GGAAAAGACTCCAGAGAGACGGGCCACTTGTGAGCTGATTTAGGATCTCATCATTCGTCCAGGCCTTTCCACCGTCGGTAGAGTTTCTTGTGCTGTTCGAAAAACACCATGGTGCAGATGGTCTGAGGGCCTAGGCGGATGAAGCTGGGTACCCAGCCTCGGAACATCCAGAGGAGACCCTCCTTGCGACTGGCTTCGGAGAGGAGGTGTAGGATGCCGACTTTGCCTCCAGCACTCATGACACGGGTCTTGACCACATCCACTGGGGAGCAGATGGTCGTCGCTACGAAGCCTGCTGCAAGGGAGGCTGTGAAATGCGTGCCGAAATTATCCTGCATGCCCATTCTTTGTAAACAGAACTGTTTGAAGACATCGTAGGATGTCAACTGGGATGCTGTCATGAGTAATGCTCTTGTGCTATTGGCGCCGACCCCACGGAATATACTGGTGGCCCCTTCCTCCCGGATCATGCGTATTAGTCCGTCAAAGGCATGTTTGTAGTTACGTTGCGCTTCAGGGGGTTTTGAGGCGTCGGATTGCATACGGACGTTCAACACGTCTCCTGGATTACCGGCGATCCCACCGAGGAATCCCGCAGTGGAGGACATAAGGACGAGGTTGAGGAGGGATTGACGTGGTTTGGGGTTTTCGGGGGTAGGGACTGGGGCAAAGCGGGTTTTGAGATCCTCATAGATACCGAAGCGTGCAGTTGAATAGGTAAGTTGGCGTAGCAAGGCTGCGGACAAGCCTGCATAGAGACCCAAGATGCCTTGGTTGCGATAGACATAGGCAAAGGTGCCAAGGGTAGTTTTAGGTGCGGAAGCAGTTCGAGTTTGGAGGCGGACCTTGACTAAAGCACGATTAACCGGATGGCTCATAGAGAGACCGAAAGGGCATATGGGTACCCAAGTCGAGAGGATGTGTGACTACCGCCGCCATTGAGGCAGCGCTGCCACCAAACCAGAACGGATAGTGCACCGGCACAGATTTGGCCTTTGTTGGCTTTGGGCCTTGTGCAGCATTTTGGGTGGGAGAAGAAGAGATTGAGGACATGGCTCCATCGGAGGGGGGAGTAAAGAGAGGACAGGAGAGGTCGACAATGCAAGTATACAAGGTCTAGGGGGTAATTTAGGTAGTTGGATGTTAAGTGTAAAGGAAGTACAGGTCCGGGGAGGGGATTGCGGACATGAAAAAGCCAGAGCCAGAGAGATGGAAGCTCCGAAGACGGCTGGTGACGGTTAATGAAAAGAAGAACGATGACGGAGGAGAGCGCGTTCCGAGACGCAACCGTAGCGATCTCGAGAACAAGAAAGCCAAAGCGAAGTCGGCCCTGGGGGTTTTCGAGATGGGGAAGGTAGACTCGATGCGGAGTAGTTTTTAATTATTTCGAGACTGAGCTCGCGTGGGAGCAACCTTGAATTAATTCTCAGGCTGCTGGTGTATCTTCCTGCTTCAAGTTGTAGGTGGAGAATGGTTGCTCTTGCGATGCCAGTGCAGTGATCGAGTGACCGCTTCAACTTTTCGAAAATGCGCCTTCTCAAAACCGGTGCGTTTGTGCGGCAAGCGCGATCAGCTCGCATCTGCACCTCCTACACATTGGCAGCTCAACCCGTCTGTCCCCCATCTCTTCAATACTCTCGCTCAATTCCTCATTCTCAGACTCCGGCTACCATCAGATGGTCCAGCACTCAGACCGTGACTCAACCCTTCCCAGAGCAGTCGGTCCCGCCTTTCAGAGAAGTTGACCCCTCTAAAACTGCCACTCAATCGTCCTCTCCTACCTCCGACGATACTGCCTTCAAAGAACACCTTCAAACCATCGGGAAAGAAAGCAAGATTGTTCATGAGTCCGGCAAGTCTGGCTCCCTCATATTGGGCAAGCCTTATCTATTTGACCAAACCACCAATGTTCCACAATCTATTCTCGACCTGGTTGGCAGAAACCTTTACGACAACCCCGACCACCCTCTCTGTATCACCCGCAAGCTGATAGAATCTTGTTTCCCATCTCCGGAATTCAATCATTTCATCCAAGCAGACCCTGTTGTATCTGTTCACGACAACTTCGACGTCCTTGGTTTCCCTAAGGACCACCCTGGTCGTTCCAGAACCGATACCTACTATCTCAATTCCTCTCATCTTCTACGAACACACACCTCTGCCCATCAACATGCCGCTTTCAAATCTCTCGCTCCTGAGGACGGGTCCGTCACTTCAGGCTACACCATCTGTGCAGATGTTTATCGCCGAGACAGCATCGACAAGAGCCACTTTCCCATCTTCCATCAAATGGAGGGTGCCAAGGTTTGGGCCTTGGATGGCGATATCTCCCAAACACGATACAATCGAATGCTTTCTCGCACTCAAAAAATCGCCACCGATTTGAGAAACCTCCCTCAGACCGACTTCCTCGTGACTGAGCAGAACGACAACTACCACCCGGAAACCAATCCTATACAAGAGGAGCACGACAAAAAGGAGACCGTTCTACTCGCCAGACACCTCAAACGTAGTCTCGAATTCCTCATTGAATCCATCTTCCGTGCTGCACAAAGCGCCTCCAACCAAACCACCTCGGGAAATGCTCCGATAAAGGCACGATGGATCGAAGCATACTTCCCGTTCACATCCCCTTCGTATGAAATAGAAGTCGAATGGAACAACACATGGCTCGAGTTGCTTGGTTGTGGTATCGTGCAACATCCAATATTGAACCAAGCTGGTTTACGTGAACATGTTGGGTGGGCATGGGGTCTGGGTATCGAACGCTTCGCCATGCTTCTCTTTGGAATTCCTGACATTCGTCTTTTCTGGTCAACCGACCCACGTTTCCTCAAGCAGTTCTCTCAAGGCAAGATCACTCAATTCGAACCTTTCAGCAAATTTCCCGCGTGTTACAAGGATATTGCTTTCTGGATTCGTTCTGCTCCTGCCAGCAGTACCCCTGTAAATTCGAATCTTGGATCTTCCGGTGTAGCTGCTGCCGCAGGAGGTGATGCCACCAAGGCATCCCCAGCCGAGACTCAGCCTGCTGCATTCCATGAAAATGACATTATGGAAGTGGTACGTGATGTCGCTGGTAGTCTAGCTGAAGATGTCACCCTCGTAGACGAATTCGTCCATCCCAGTAGTGGGCGTAAGAGTCTTTGCTACCGAATCAATTATCGCAGTCTCGAGCGAACCTTACAGAATGATGAGGTCAATGCTCTGCATGATGAAGTCGGTAAAAGAATGGTTGGACTGCATGGGGTTGAATTGAGATAGGCTTGACTTACGACCATCTCTCCTTTCTGTATTTATATAAGATACCGAAAACTTTGTCGCACGTACACCAATCAGCTCACAAACATAATTTTGGTTGTCTCTGTCTACAGACGGCAATAATCTCTTATCACATGTGTAGATATAAAACAATTACCACTCAACCGAAACGTGGCTCTCCAAACGAAAAAGTAGAGTGAGTACAGTGGGCCACCCCAGGGTACATACATATATGTATTCCTCAAATCCCACCGACGGAACATGTTAGCCGTCATCTCTATACATATATGCATACATATACATGCACCTAACAGATGCCATTCGTTTTTAACCTTATTCGAACATTTTCGCCACCGGAATCTCCCAAGTCTTTCCTTCAAGTTGTCCGGCCAAAGGACAAGACAAAAGGTTTGCATCCAAACCGCACCCCGCTCGCTCCCCATCCACATCATATTAAATAACAGGTAAGGCACAGTTTGTCAGTGGAGAAATGTAGTAGTCGCATGCATCGTCCATTCCGTGTCAAATGGGGAGAGTGTATTGATTGGGTCTTTTTTGATACATTGGGTTGTGGAGAGGTGTTGGTTGGAGTTTGTTTGTGAGTCGGGTTTAGATGTGTGTAGGAGGGGGGGGGGAGAGGTTGGTGGATTACGCTTGAATTAGTCGCAGGTGTTAATAGTGGTGATTTTAGGAAGAGGTGAGATCAATCAGATCAGATCAGATCAAATGAGTCGGGTATTGCGGGCGTGATAAAGAACGATTGAGCCGAGTCCATGAAGACGAAGGACAGTCAGGTATTCGGTTTGACTTCTTCGTCCAGCCGAGGCGTACATATTCTCCTTCGGTCCCTGATCCCCAATCCTTGATCCGCATGAGGCTAGGTGAGAGGCTTCATGGTGGAAAGGGACAAGAAACATCAGTCGTTGAAAGCTCAGGTCCAGCTCATCTCGCACCGCTCCACCTAACTCGCAGGTTTACGAGTTCTTAACGACACCCACCTTCGCCGCGCGAATAACCCTCCCATTCAACTTGAACCCCTTACTCTGCACGAAAAACACCTCACCGTCCTGCTTGCCCTCGACCTTGGTGAAGAAAGTTGCCTCATCGGTATTCGGGTCGAATTTCCGTCCCTCGCCTTCCGTCGGATCGAATCGCTCGAGGCCATGCTTCTTCAGCGTGCCCAGCAGGATCTCCTCCGTCATCTTCAGGCCGGAATACAGACTCAGCAGGTCCTTTTTGTGGTCCGGTGTTGCGGAGGCGGGAGGCGAGGCCGATACCGAGTCCGCGGGCACGGAGATCAGTGCTCGGTCTAGGTTGTCGATGCTGTCGAGGAGGTCGGTTGCGAAGCGTTGGATGGCGAATTGCTTCGCGGAATCCATGTCGCGCTTGGTGCGTTCCTGGAGGTTGCGGTAGTCGGCCACGGAGCGGAGATATTTGTCCTGTTGGAGGGCAGGAAGGTTAGTGTCGTCGTTCACTCATGATGGAAAGCCTCTCGCTGGGGTTCAATATACCTTCAAGTCGATCACCTCCTTGTTCTTCTTTTCGAGCTCCACTTTCAGAGGATCCTCCTTTGGTGCTTCGGTTGCTGCTGTCCCATCAGACTTCGTCTCCGAGGCTGCAGCGTCGGGTGTCTGTGTTGCCGAGTCGGTCGACTGCCATCTCCGCCCGAGGATCTGTGACGACTGGTATGTTGGTAGTGTGGCTACTCGAGTCTTGGTGGCGAGTGATGCACCGGAGAATGGTGCTGATCGGTGGAGGAGGGATTGTGATAGAGATGGCGTTGCTGATGTTGATGTGGGAGTGCTCTTGATGGACTGCGAAATGGCACGCGATTGCCGTAGGAGCTGTTTTCGCAGCATGTTGGATATGGAGATGGAGGTTGAATTTGATGGGAATCGGAAGTTAGTAGAGATTGAGACCGGAGTCAAGTCGAAGATGAATAGTTGTGTTGTTGTGATGGAAATCGAGAATAGAAAGCGCAGCACGCGAGTTGTAGGGTCAAAAAATGTAGGGAGGCCACTGTCGGCCGATGGTTTCTTGAGCTCCAATTTTTTATTCTTTGGCATTCGAGTTCAGGGTCCGGCCTGAATTCGGAGGTTATGGTTGGAACTTGCAAGGCTGGGTGCTGACATAATCAAAAGCCCTGCTCAGCCTTGTCTTAACTTCAATTAACACATTATATCTTTTTGAAGCTCCTAGCTATTTATTGCTTGCTATAATTCAATGTCGCCAGCACGTCTCAGCACGAGGCAAAAGGAACAAAAAATGCTGTTCATCAGTCCATCATTGCCATGCACCGGATCCACATGTCATACAAAGCACTACCAAGCCCAAGGCCTTTGAGAGGTTCTGCATCTTGAGTTGCGGTGTCGTTGGCGATCACTGGTCGTGCATCGATGCTTCCAAACGATCGAAACATGTTCCCGATGGCCACCACTGGGTAGGTAAAAGGGTTCGACACCGATCTAGGTGCCGCATTCCGATCGCACTTAGGTTTCGGCCTTTTTTCATAGTCGTCCAACCAGGCATCTTTGTCAAAATTGGGTGGAACAAATCTTTCCACAACTCGGCCATCGTTTGGGTCGACGGCCCATCGGTGGTTCTCTATAGAGGATGTATGGTCCGATCCCGTTTCGTCTTGAGGTTTGACCGTCTTCGAATTGGCCAAGCTCAGAAACCCGGACAATACGAATTGGTAGGTGGCAGTGAATGTGCTAAGAATCGTTGGTACACGCAACTTCGAAGAGGAGCCTGTGGCAATAGGCGAGATCCCACGGGAGGTCCCAGCGGGGATGGAAAGACCATTTTCGATGTGCGTGACAACAAAATCGATCGTGGTATTTGGACTGCAGCCTGATTGGCCCGGGGTGTTTGTAGTGCAGTATATTCCAACCATGCAGCATCCGTCAGAGGAGGGGCAGGGTGTCCGACCTTCTGGGTAAGTAGGTCGGACTGCTGATGGAAGGTTTGGAGGAAGGAGACGGGCAGCATCGTGGGGGGCGCCCCCATGAAGAATCGACATCTTTAGGAGGAGCTGGGGCGGCGCTGATCCATTGCGACCAGGGACTTGCCACTCACTGATATCGGAAAGGTTGAAGGATGGCTGCGAACAAATCGTCGCAGGGGTGTTGAAAATCGCCAGAGCGGCGAAAAGATTAAGAAGTCTCATGCTTGAATCGATCAGGGATTGGTTTTGATCAGGTTCAGCAGGGGCAGATAAAGTACAGAAAAGAGACCTGCAGATGGAAGAGACCGGTTGAATTTATAGATATTTGAGAGAGCCGTGCATGAGGCTGAGCTCCACGAGTCCATCGTCTGATCCAGCAGGTGAGACATCGGTCTCATATGGGCTGCCATCTGCGTTTGAGGAGAGGAGAGACTCGTTTGCGTCACAACATCAAGCACAGACTGCTCGAAGTGGCAGACAATCAGAGCAGGGCAAATGGAGGAAGTGAAAGACAAACGAAAAAGACCAAAAGGTACAAAAACACACCACTTTGGGAATGAAAAGCCATTTTTAAGGGTCGAAACTAACAGAGAGTCAGACCCACGGATCTTTTTTTGATTTTTAAACAATTCCTGATGGTGGACGGAGCGAGCCCATTAACTGTGGAATCTGGTGTGTTGACCATTGAGCCATTTGTCCACACCAGACCAAGAAGCGGATGTCACTGCCTTTCGGATCTAGGAAGTTGTTGGGTAAATTTCTGGGACTGTGATATATCTGTCGTTAGTGAATTAAGTGGTTGGTGCCTGTGATTTATTAACGTTGCTTAACGGGGAGGGTCTTGCACGAGGCTCGATGGGAGGACGCCTTCTTTACCAGAAGCTAGCAGTATTGTCACGAGTTGGAAATGGGTGGCGAGATAAATGTACTCACAGGCACTTATGGCAAGACTACCTTCACCATTATCACTGCTTACTATTCATCATCATTGTGACGAACCTTCCAGAGGATCTCCCTTGATGTACAGGAGCCTACATCGTTGCACCCGATGACAGAGTCATATGTTTCCCGTGGTATATGCCGGAATCGCCTCCAATCTCAAAATAAGACGAGCGCCGAGTTTTTCAGAAGTCCAGGCCCTGTGACTGAGATAGTTTCCGCTGCGATGCCCTTGATTGAGTAAGGATCATCGATTGTTGATTCTTCCCATCCACGAAGGTCCTGGCGAATGGTTAGTACATTTATCAATGGCCTGAATGCGATTTTATCGCACCTCCAATTCGATCAATGAGTCTCTCACTACCAGCCGCCAGTGGTCAAGATCCAGCTTCGCTACCTCTTCCTTTTTGAGAGCGCCTGGTATGTTGTATTCGAATAAAGAGCCTTCAGGAATCTCTGCATCATCCTCATCACTGTCTGCTTCGTCAAGCTCAAGGTCTTGGTCGTCACTGAAGGTTTGACCTCTACTCTTGGTGGTATCTGGTGGCTTTTCAGACTCGGTGGGTATTTGTGAAGAAGGTTCAGAAAGCGGAGGGCCGATGCTATCTGAATATCCCGCTTCGCCATTGGCACGATCTCGAGAAGGAGAAATATATTTCCGATGGTCAAGTTGCTTGCGATATGCATCATCAAGTACGTTCCATTCGAGACTTTCGGGATCTAAGATATGTGAGCACCGGTACGAATAGAGAAGAGCGAATGCAAGGGAGTTACCTAGGATGAGTGTTGGAGAGAAAGCGGCCTTGTATCGCATTTTGATACACGAATGAATATAATATCCTACAGAGATAAGCAAGACTGCAAACTCGCCAGAATCAAACTCACCCATGTAATAGTATTCATATTTTGCTTCCAGTGCGAGAGAGATCTCATGGAGAGCGCTAACTTTGCCCCAATCCCAATCTTGATACTCAGGATCATAGCTTTTCTTATCAGCACATAAACCACGTGAAGCAGGCGAGCGTGACTTACAAGAGATAAACGGAGCTGACGGCATGTGGCAAAAGGTCAAGAACCCCAACGGCCACCAGCTTACCATCGATTCGGTAACATTGGTGATAGGAACCTAGCTTCATTGTGCGACCATTTGACTTCAGTATCTTGCGATCCAGCCCTGAGCATAGAAAGCGTTTGAAAGCTGATTCTCCCCACCGAGAAACAGGATCTTTATGGACCTGGACCTGATACTTCAAGAAAATACCATATCTGCGAGTGTCAATGGACGATACAAAAGGAAACGGGGTCGACAGACTTTTCCTCGGTGAAATTGTCTCCCTCAAGATTGATCTCAAATTTGTGCGCGGGTTCAACTGGCTGACCACTCTTCTTTCCTACAGGCTTCTTCACAGTATTGTACTCCGCCTTGTGCACCGCAGAAGTCAAGTCGAACTTGTCCCGTAAACGAAGTTTCTCTCTGCTGCAAAGTCAGTCAAGTCCCATTATCCCATTGCCGCATCACCTGCTCTCTCGTCTGTGGACTCAGCATCGCCACTTTGCGCTTATATTCTGGACCAAGCAGATACTCGTTCAGCCTATTGATCGGTTTCCGCTGATCCTTGTTGGCTTTGAAATCTGATGCTTTCAATCTGATTCTGCCGTCAATTGTTTTGTTCGTGAAGTCGGTCAGTAAGTCGAGTACCTGATTGTGTAATACGGGCAGCATGCTCTAGTCAAATCTTGCTTGTAGTACATGGTCCCAGACCGTCTCCAGCCACGATCCATCAATTCTTGATAGTGCTCAAGTCTCATGCTGTCACATGTCAAATAGAATGAGGAGCCTGATTGGTTGGAAATATCAGACGAGTTAAGGGGAATAATGGGATATGAGAACACCTACTGCCATTGGTAGTCTTGCAATAGCCACAAGACTTGTTCCTCTGGTAGCCTGTGATGAAGGATAATCAAGGTCAATTGGGAACTTTACCAGTCTTCACCGGGCCGAGCCTCGTGTAAGGAACTTGTGCAACGGCTAAAAGGTGTGACATACCCTTAGGCTGCAGTAGTGAGATATTGCTCGTCATAGTGTTCGTCAGGTCTGAGACGGGGCTTGAAGCCGTTTGGCCGTCTATCGGAAAACAAGCAGATCCAATGATTCCATCACACGACCATTCGGATGGTTCACAGTGGAACGAGAAGGCTTCTTGTAAGTCAGGTCACCTGACCCGATAGGCAGAAATGACGAGTTTGCATTAGATATCAAAAGGACAACGAAGAGGCTTGTCCAAGTGGGATATGCACACGACAGATTGGGGGGACCAATTGCCGGACTGTTCAGCGAGAATCTGTATCACCCTCCGAGCGTGGGATCAAGTTGAATGCTGGCAGCTCGCGTGAGCAGGAAATGGAGTGGGAGATGCCTGGTGTTGACAGGTTGAATGGGAGAATAAAGGGAACCGAAAGGAAGAATAGACCAGTATAAACGTTGAAACAGGCACGTGTTGGGAGATCGTGTGCTTCAGAGGAAGGACCGATCTGGTTCGTTGTCAAGCTTGGGATAGCTGCGCCTAAGAGATGCTAGCTGGTGCCTAAGTGGCCTAAGCGGGCTTAAGAATTGCTAGGGGTGGCTCCCTGGAAGCCCTTGGAGCCCTTGTACTCCCGGGAAGGCGGTGGGACACTGAACAATGCCACTCGTAACTGGCACTGGCCTGTGGCTTCTGGCCGTTCAAGGGAAAGCGTCTTCGCCGCCGCGCTCCGCAACGCAACTTCAGGCTCGTTCCATGTCACTTTTTCCTCAAAGAAACGGTCACCCACTGCCCACTGCCACTGGCTCCCCGAAACTATTTCATTTCTACATCTCCTACAAAACCATGGCCTCTCCCGACCTTCAACTGCTGCTCTGCCTTTGTACGTCCAACCTCTTCCCTCAGCCCCGTTTCACACGGGACTGAAGGCTTTCGTATCCTACACTTGCGCTCTAACCGCAAATCCTCTCTTGAGAATCTCTCACCATGGGTCGTCTTTGATTGTCAGCCCATTTCCCTCCCACGCCCGACCGCCACCTCTTTTCTCTTCTCTTTCCGACCAGATCAACTGTGGTTTCAGCCGCATCTTCATCGTTTCTTAGCATTTTCGCACTTTTTCTTTGGTGGTGCGAAGAAAGTCACGTTTGCTCTTGATTCTGGGTGTGGTTCGTGGCCTTGACCATCGATCCTATTCCCCACCCTCAACCATGGCCAAACAACTGTCTATGGTGTCTCGCAGTGGCTCTGACAATCAACGTAAGATTCTCGACCATTCAGAAACCGTAACACATGCTAAACATCAACAGGTTACGGGTCCAAAGGCGAGAGATTAGTTGCAGGTGTCGTCCCTTTATCCTCGGACAAAAGCAGAGTCCTTCTCATTCAGTCCACACAACGTAGCGGCTGGGTTCTACCCAAAGGTGGATGGGAGCTTGACGAGCCTACAGCATCAGCAGCAGCTTGTCGAGAGGCTTGGGAAGAAGCTGGGATCCTCTGCAAGGTCGAAAGAGATCTAGGACATATTCCAGATACCAGACCGACAGGCACTGTGACCAAGAAGGCGCCAAAAGCTAGCTATCATTTTTTCGAAGCTACTGTCACCGAGGAACGCTCGGAATGGCCAGAGAAATACAAGAGAACTAGACAATGGTATGTCTATTCGCAGGCGGTCCAACTCCTGCACTCAAGACCCGAGTTGCTCGAGGCTCTGAGGAGGAGTTCGGTCAAAAGGTGAAATGGATGTGACACTGCAACAAGGACATGAGAGGTTCGATGAGCAGCTTCTCCGTGAGAGGAAGTCTCTGTCGTCGCATGTACGGATATGCATTATTAGCGCTACCTAGACCATTGCACCGAACCAGCTACTTTTCCTGGTCGGAATGCCCACTGACTAGTGGCAAGCACTTGAGTTGCTTTTTCAAGGTCTCTGGGTCAGGATCTTCTTTAATAGACCACACAAATTTACTCCCAACTTCAATGCGTTGTCATGATGCAGCTAATACATGAAGTGGAGGGAAAAGGATAATCATAATTCAAAAGGCACGATCAAAATGAATACGGTGCTCTATTTTTCGACGAATTGGTACAGAAATTCTGTCTACACGACCATTCTATTCGTTGAATCCACATCCAATGACTTTACCGGTAAATAGCACGACCTGGATCATCTGGCTCACGTTGTTTTTGAGTAACAGTAACTAATTGCATGTACTGCCTACCTGGATACGTACGACCCTAACAGGACTTCGACGTGGGATAATGGAAATGCACGCGGTATGCTGCAGGGCAGATACATGTCACAATGTGCAATGGACGAGCCATCCAAGCACCGCCATTCGCAACAAAAACAACAGGATGATGATTGATTTCATCAGATCAGTAGACAAGTACGAGGTGATAGAGAGGTCGTGCTTTGTGGTGCTGGCTCGTGACTTTCTCAATCTAATCTTTAATGTATGTACAGTTCAGTTTCCTCGCCTCGGCCACAGCCTTTCCACGATTTGCACTTGCACCTCCACGATCCTGGAATTTGGGGTTGGACGTGAGGTTCAGCTCTCCGCCATCCTTTCAACATAGCCACAGATTCTGATCAAACCCATTGGCGTGTCTCCATTTTAATGCTCCAAGTCAACGGGGAAGTTGCCTGCCTCACGCTGGTCGTTCCATCGTCCGACCCACGAGCTTGGGCATAGTGATCGGTATGCGAGGTAAAACTGTTTCGGGGAAAGTAAAAACACCAATGGTTAGCTTGCTGTGTTCTCGATGTATGTTTTCGTCTCCGAGGCTTTGTGCCATTCATTCACGGGACACTCCGGTTCTAGCATACCTGTCTGCAGGGTTTAAAGTCTTCACCCTTGGCGAGAATACACTTGTGGTAATCGACGTAGTTTTGCCAGCAATGTTTGGTCCTGGAAAGCGATCTTGGTTAGACGCGGGTTGCATGATGGGTTGAGATTTCCTTCTTTTCTTCTTCCTCCAACTTGGGGACTCAACGTACTGGTTCTGGTTGGGAAACCGAGCGTCGTATCCAGCTATATCAGACAAAGTCAGAGCCAAATTCCTTCTCTCAACATCGACGTTGTGGGTCAGATAGGCAGGTAGCCATACCGGTGACAAACTTGAAGGGCTTGGTAACGTTCCCACCAAGGTCGTCGGCATCGGGCATCTCGATATCAGGCATGTTGGCGGTGAGTTAAAGGTGTCTGGAGCTGTGGCGGGAGGAGATGTTGTAGGTCAATCGAGGCGGAAGTGAGTGGCCTGGAGCTCGTTGGTGCTGCGAGAGTTCAAAGGTTGCAGTTCAGGTGCAGGTGCAGTTGCTCATCGGTGGTCTGAGGGATCGAAAGCGCCCGTTGCCTTGGCATGTACGAGCTTGCTTTGGGATTTCTGTGCCGCCGCTTTTGAGACTCTCTCTTTTGGTGCCAGTGGTCTGATGTATGGCCCCTGCAGGCCTGATCAATATGGTGAACTCTAGGGTATACCTACGATAACAAGGAATTCTCAAGGAGCTGCAAAATTGTTTGTACGGACACATGGAGAGTTGTTTGTAGCGTAGCCCTGCCCTGTTGACCTTGGTTTGTCCAGGCTATGAATAGTCCACTTGACTCCCCAGTTACCTAGATCCACTCAGTCCTCGTTGCGATAATTAGATTTGGTACGACAGAACATTGAATAGGGTAGTTAGGTGTATATCAATTATCTCAATATACCTACGTAGTTGACGGAGTGATACCTCACCTGACTTCCGAAGGTTGAGGGGCACGGAAAAGCGGCATGGTTAGCCTCCTCATCTGGACGACGATTGACCCCTGCTTTGATTGGCCGACTGGGACTTCACCTGGAGCTTCGAGTTTCCGCAGTTAACAACTCCAAACCACACCACGCCCCTACTGCTTGCGTTGAACACAGCTCAACAACCTCTCCACTCCTTCAACCTCGCGACACGATGAATTCTGCAACCCTCTTGCGGATGCAGCCTCTTCGGGCGGCTGCATTCCGTCAGCCAGCTCTCCGGCAATCCGTCCTGAGACAAGCCAGACCTTTCCACAATACTAGGGCCATGTTTCGAGTGAAGGTGGGTTTTCCGAGAAAAGCCTTGTGTCATCTTTGAATCTAACAGGCACTATAGGAAGAGGAGCAAAGCGGTATGCGCAATCTGTACATGTTTGGAAGATGAAGGACGAAGTCTGACCCTACCATCAATACAGCCCACACAATCACCCAGAGAATCAGATCTCTCAAGAAGATTCCTCCGGAGTTGCTCCCTCTCGGTGTCGTCATTGCGTGCGTAGAAAAGAAGGATCCGAATTGGAAAGAACACGCCTCACTAACATATTTCTAGGTTTGCTTTGTTTGCAGCTACCTTTGCTATGGGAAGAAAGCTGTTTACCGATAAAACGCTCCGCCTCCACAAGAATCCCCCGAAGGAGCATTGAGAAGGAGGCTATTTGCACCAATAGCCAAGATCAGAATAACGGGGAAGGAGTCATTCCATCGTTGAATCTCTCAGATTGCCGAGCTTGGGATTACCGCATTGCTGGCATGTGTACATATCGAATCAAAATGTCGTCTGATAATGCAAGCAGCATGTCTTTCTGGATCCGTTCCTCTTCCCACAACCGAAGCTATTGCCCAGGCTCGTCAAGGCGGGATCGATTTTGACTCTGCAAGGTCAATGCTGCACACCCATTTCATTGCTTTGTAAGGGCTCGCAATTCTCGGGTTGTTTTTCCGAATCAACGATTCTTTGATCCTCCAGGCGTTCGCGGGCGTGAGATATTTTGATATGCTGTAAGTCATCCTTCTGCGGAACCTTGGAGCTATGCGTCTATCCATGGAGCTTGATCATGCTGGCAATCTATTGGCCCTGTGGCAGGTGGCTCATTCGGCATTTCCTGTGATCGTAGTTTTTGTGTCATTCAATCATTTCAGACCGCCTAATCTCACTCTCGCTTAGGCCCCGCTACATCCAAGCCTTCTAGACCTTGCATAGGATCCTCTGGCTTGTCGGCTCTCGATTGCTCTACAGCTGCTCGATCTTCATTGGCCGCAGTAGTATATTGGGCCAGATATCCTTCCTGTAAGAATTATTAGTCAGCAAGGTTAACGTCCCCATATACGATAGAGAGATCCTCACCTGTTCCCAAATAGCAGTAGTGCTTCCTAAACCAGGTTCTCCCGTTTCTTTCCTGTCGGGTTTGGCCATGGAGACCTTGATCACTCGTCCATAGATTTCACTCTGGTCCATATTGTTTATGGCTTCCTGAGCATCGGCTGCCTCTTCGAATTCCACATAGCCAAATCCACGATGCAGCTCGGTAGACGATGGGGCTGTAGGCTTTGGTAGAGTAATATCAGAAATTTCTCCGAAAGGAATAAAGGCTTCTGACAAGGTCGCTACTGTCACAAGAGTCGTATCCAGCCCGCCCACATAGACGGTCGAATTTGGACGACCCGATTCTTCCGCCATTGGAATTCAATCTGCTTTGACCTGCAATTTGGGGTGTAATTGGACTCAGAGGTTTAATAAGAGACAGTGAGAGAGAAAGTATGGAGGAAAGCCCCAATCACGTGGAGGTATGCCCTGCGAGTCATGCATTTGCCATTGAGTTTCCATGCGTAACCGTAGGCACCGGCGTTTCGATCAGGGGATGACACTTGGCCGATTGCGGGCGACATTCAAGTTGGCTGTGTGGAATATCGAACCCTACTGCAGTGGCATAAGTTGAACCGTGTCCCAAAAGTTGAGCATCGAGAGGACAACCTGTTTGCTGCTATACTCACCACACACCACTCTTTCCGCTTGTTTCTTCTATTTCTCTGCTGATTTATTGCTGCATGTTTCCCCCTTTCAATCTCCTCATCCGCTCCCTCTCTTAATATCTCTCACCCGACGTCGTCATGGTGCGAGTCCGGGAACTACCACGAACCGCAGCGTTCGCATGGAGTCCTGATGCTTCTGCACCCTGGATCGCAACCGGTACTAAATCCGGAGCAGTTGATGTCGACTTTAGCAACGAAACCTGTCTGGAACTTTGGGATCTTGCTCTAGACTCTCCTCAACAAGGCCAGGAGTTGCAGCCAGCTGTCACTCTGCGGACTGAAACTGGGTGCGTTCCAAGGTGTCATTCCTGAATTCAAATCTAACAAGTACTCCTTCAGTTTCCACGATCTGGCATGGACCTCTGCGCAGGAAGGACACAAACGGGGAATTATCGCAGGTGCCTTCGACAATGGCTCTCTCGGCATCTGGGATGCAGACAAAGTAGCCACTGGTGCAGCCGATGCATCGCTCTTTGATCAGAAGATACACAGCGGCGCGATCAAGACTCTACAATTTAACCCCAAAATCCAAAATTTCCTCGCAACCGGTGGTTCGAAAGGTGAATTGTTCATCTCCGATTTGAACCATCTGGACACTCCGATCCGATTAGGTAGCACTGCGGCTCGAGCAGATGACATCGATTGTCTGGACTGGAACAAGAAAGTCTCCAATATTTTGGTCACTGGTAGCAGTGGAGGATTTGTCACAGTATGGGACATGAAGACGAGAAAAGAGAGCCTGACGCTCAACAATTATCAACGGAAGCCTGCCAGTGCAGTCGCTTGGGATCCTGAAAAGCCCACGAGGCTTATCACAGCTGTACCCCTAGATCAAGAGCCTGTCATACTGGTGTGGGATCTCCGAAATTCGAACGCGCCTGAGAAGATACTCCGTGGACACGAATCTGGCGTTCTGTCCCTCGCATGGTGTCCCCAGGACAACGATCTCCTTTTGTCCTGTGGCAAAGACAACAGGACAATTCTATGGAACCCGCAGACTGGCCAAGCTTACGGCGACTACCCGGTTGTGACCAACTGGACATTCCAAACTCGGTGGAACCCACATAATCCTGATCTGTTTGCCACGGCATCCTTCGATGGCAAGTTGCAGGTCCAGTCATTACAGAACACCAATCCTAGCAGTACCCAGAATGACCAGGATCAGGCTGCGGATGGGGAGGATTTCTTTTCGAAGGCTCAGACACAACCACAAACATCATCCTTCTCGTTAACAAAGGCTCCTAAATGGCTTGAACGACCTGTCTCTGTGTCTTTTGGATTTGGTGGACGTATCGTATCTGTCAGGCAAGCAGATCCCGGCAAATCCAGAACTTCGAAAATTAGCATCAGCAAGTTCGAGGTGGATTCGAGTGTTGGAAACGCCACTGAATCGTTCGAGAAAGCCATTCAGTCTGGAGACCTTGCCGCGCTTTGTGAAGAAAGAGTTGCGGCGGCAAAGACAGAAGAAGAAAAGGCAGACTGGAAAGTCATCGAAACTTTGGTTTCTAAAAGTCCCAGAGAAGAACTTGTCAAGTATCTTGGTTTTGACGACAAGGTAGAAGCAGCTGCGAATGGCAATGAGGAACCCAAGACTACCGAGGAGCAGAAGACCTCTGTCAACGGCGCGCCTAGATCTCATAAGAGATTTCAGTCCATTTTTGCCAGCTCTGCAGATGGTGATTTCTTGGCTGAGCTCGCTGCTACCAAAGGCACAAAAACCAATAATCCATTTCAGATTTACACCGGCTCCGAATCCGAGGCCGACAAGAAAATTACACGAGCACTCATTCTTGGTCAATTCGAAAAAGCCCTCGATATCAGTCTACAAGAAGAGAGGATTGCGGATTCTTTCATGATTGCAATTTGCGGAGGAGAAGCCTGCATTAAGAAAGCTCAAGAAGCATACTTGGCCAAGCAGGGCGAGGGACCAAATTATCTCCGCTTACTAGCATCAGTCGTTGGCAAGAATCTATGGGATACCGTTCACAATGCCGACTTGTCTAACTGGAAAGAAGTTATGGCCACGTTGTGCACTTTTGCCGATGAGAAGGAATTCCCAGATCTTTGCGAAGCATTGGGAGATCGTATTGAAGAACAGAGCGATGACCTGTCTGTGGTTGGTAGGAAGGATGCTTCGTTCTGTTATCTTGCTGGATCGAAATTGGAGAAGGTGGTTGCAATCTGGATCCAGGAGCTTAAGGAGCACGAAGAAGCTGGTGCCAGAGATGGAGATGCGACTTCAGCATTCTCTCTACATGCTCGAGGACTTCAAGACTTAATCGAAAAGGTAACCATCTTCCGACAGGTGGTCAACTTCCAAGACTCAGACTTGTCCAAGTCTGCTGACTGGAAACTGGAGGATCTTTACAGCAAATATCTGGAATATGCTGATATTGTCGCCGGCTCTGGCCAATTGGAGGCAGCACAACGATATCTCGACCTTCTGCCACAAAGCTACCCTGGTTCAGATGTCGCGCGAAGTCGGATACAACAGTCCAAGAAGAAGTCTGTGGCCCCGGCCGTTGCACAGCAGGCTTCTGCACTACCATCAAGGAGCAAGCAGCCCGCTCATGCGGCTTCTTATCAACCTCCTGCAGCATCTTACGGCGCTCCAACGCCTTCAGCACCAACACCTTCCTATGGCGGTCTCCCTCAACAGCCGTCATCAAATCCCTACGCGCCACCAGTTGCAAGCAATGCGCCAGTCAATCCATATGCCCCTGCTGGTGGATATCAGGCCCCACAACAGATGAGAGTTCCTCCTGGTCCTCCTCCACAAAATTTCGGCATGCCACAAGCAAACCCAATTGCGCCTCCGCCGAGGTACAATCAATCACCTGCGATCGCTCCGCCATCTCAGGATAAAAATATGACAAACTGGAATGATATCCCGGAAGGGTTTGTGAAGCCTCCGACTTCGCGACGGGGCACACCTGGTGTTCCTCCCCAGCCAGTTGCCAACCCATTTAACCAGATTCCTCAACCCACCCCGCCGCCATCGTCAAGTACTCCGTTTGGTAGCCGGCAAAGAGCTTCCCCTGTTCCCCCGCCACCGAAAGGTACCGCTCCTCCCCCAAGAGTGACGTCTCCTCTTGCTGGCGGTCCACCTCAGACAATGGAGCGCCCTCCTTCATCCACAAGTAACCCATATGCACCACAACACGGGGTGACCTCGCCACCATTGGGTCAGAACATTATTCCACCACCTATACCCAGAGGTCCGTCTCCTTTCACGGCACCTCCATCGCACGGCCCAAGTGCCCCGAATCGCTATGCTCCTGCTGGTGGCGTTCCGGCATCAACACCACCTTCAAGGCCCAACATTGCACCTCCTCCACAGCAAACATCTTATCAAGGTCCTCCCCAACAATCCAATCCCTATGCACCCTCACAGTCGCCTCAACAAGCCAGGCCTAATGCATATGGGCCTCCGCCAACCACTCACGCACCTCCACCAGCCAGTGCACCTCCATTACCCACCCCATCACAGCAATTCACCTCAGGACCACCACCTATGGGCGGTCCGCCACAACAAACGTCAGCCAGACCCGGCACAGCAGATTCTGGTAGCAAAGCTGCCCCTCCACCTGCAGTGCGCAAGCATCGTAAGTTCTCTCACCATTTCCCAAACCACAAGCGTACCACTAATCACCCACCCGCAGCCAAAGGTGACCGGACCCACATCCCACCGTCCGCTCAACCAATCTTTCAAATCCTCTCAGCCGAGATGTCGCGTGTAAAAGCTCGCGCGCCGGCGTCCTTCAAAGCACAAGTCCTGGACACAGAGAAGCGCCTCGACATCTTATTTGACCACCTGAACAACGAAGACCTGCTGAAGCCGGACACGGTGGCGCAGATCGCAGAGCTGAGTGCGGCGCTCCAGAACCGCGATTTCCAACGCGCCTCCGAGATCCAGATGGACGTCCATACGAATAAAGTCGACGAAAGTGGGAATTGGATGGTTGGTGTGAAGCGTCTGGTCGGTATGTGTAAGGCAACGCCTTGATCTTCGGATTAGGACAGTGTGATAGGTCTTGGTAGGAGGGGTGGAAGTGATGAGATGAAGGGGGATAGAGGGAGACGAGAGAACAATGATATCTGATCAGGGTTGAAGGAGGGGATATATGAAGTGTGGATCTCAAGGCTGCAGTATTTCTACATGCTGATACGACGAGCAAGCGGTGCTGCAAAAAACGAAGTTCTGGCTCCGGGCATGATTGAATGAGTATCGAGTAGTCATGCAAGTCTCTCCGTTGCTTACAGCATGTGAAAGACTATGAGGAATGCACTACGACAAGAATGCCTGGTTTCTGAAACTGATGCAATGAACCGAGAAGACAAGACGGATAAACACCTAAGTAGACAGATGATTTAACAAAGTGATTGATGAATTCATGTCAGTTGCTATCTATGCTTACAACCCACATACTATTATTTCGCTCGAGAAATGGGTACTTTATATAAACGGTTCGCAAGGCTAGAAAGAAAGTGCTAGGACAGTGTTTTGAGATGTCGAGCGTTGAAACTTGATCGCTGATACAAGGGTTCACTACCAGGCTGTCGAGAGCGTGCTCCTTGGTTGTCGGTTTATTCCTTATTTCAAGGTTACCTGGACGTAGAAGTAGGGACAAACGTAGAAGATAAACTACATACTCATGTATCCAGCGTTGATGTTATGTCTTGTGACAGGTTTGGTGCACTGTTGGCGAGAGAAAGCCGTACGTGCATCATTGGTGTCATCTCTCATATAAAGCGTTGGAGTCTACACATACACTTCTGTCGCTACTTCTGCTTTGACCCAGGTGTTTCGGCATCTTCCGTCTGGCCGGCAATTCGAGCGAAGGTGAAATCTGGGGAACGGTCTTGCAAATCTTGCATCGCATTGTACAGAATTTCCTAAGCAACGTTCGAGGGCTAACCTTCAGGCATGCAGGTATGTATGTAGATGAGAGTCAATTGAATGCCAGCTGCTTGGCCTGTCATCTTGCAGGAAAAGCGAATGGAGCAGCAGCTCTTGTATTTGGGAAGTTTCTGGAACTTAAGAAGGCACCTTTCAGGGCTCTGATCTCGGACTTGAACTTGTTGATTTCATTGTCTTTACTGGTCGATTTTTTGGATTTAGAGGCATCATCCACGGCGCTAAGCGTATAATCGACTGTGAAAGGGTTGAAAGTTGTGTCCATCTTATCAAGCACGCTCTGGAATTCGGACACACGCTCCTTCAGTCGGTCCTGAGAGAAATGAGTATTGGTGGATGAGAGGAGAGAAGAAAGGTCGGCATGGAGGCCTTTTAATCGGCTTGTTTGCTGCGCTGTTGGGTCGGAATGGGTGTTGTTGGGGACAGAGTCGGAGGAGGAATTAGAGCGGGAGCGATGGGGAGACGTCTGAGTTGCGATGTCCCGGTGAAAGAGCTCGGTGGGATCAGAATCGACAGAATCGAGATCATCTTCACGTTCTTGCTCTTTCTGCTTTTGCAAAACAGCACTACTGGCGATATATGGGACATGTGAGACCACGGATTCGAGTTTGCTATTGAGTTTCTCGAGGTTCTCATTGGTTTCTTCAGCGAGATCGTGGCGCGCATCCGTCAGTGTTTGTAGCATCGGCTCAACGAGATATTTACTTGCGCCATATGTCAGGGCGGATACCGCTGCTAGGATGTATGCAGCATTCGTAAGGCGATCAAGGGTTACCAGCGGCGGAGGCTTCTGGGGTTTGAGGAGGAACTCGGGATATGTAATGATAGGCGGAACATCGCGCTTGGTGGTGACTATTGGCTGCAAAGGTACTTGTGCAGAAGGTACAGAGGGATTGAGACCATGGTTTTGCTCCTCGGCGCTCGGTACCTGAGACGTATCATGGATAGTCTTCAGTTCTGGTGGTGACACCAATATAGATGGAGAGTCGGCGCTCAGCACGGCTTCAATATCTTCAGCTCGAACGCCTTTGCTTTCCAGGAAGGCAATCTTTTTCTCTCTTGATTCGTCGCGTATGGATTCATCTTCAATCAATTGCCTGGCCTGCTCAAGGGAAGTCTGATCTGTGGAGGTTGAGGTGGCTGGAATCTCTGTGGAAGCAGGTTTATCATCAGAATGCTTGTAATTCTTTTGCCATTCCGGTATCGAAGCACCCTTTGGCGAGCGCGAGTCTGCCATCTTCGAGGTCTCCACTAGGACTTCAGAGAGAGCAATGCTGATACGAGGTAAGGGAAGGACCTAAGTAGTATAAATGGAGGGTATGATGGATTGACAAAGTGCAGGTGCGAGTTACAGATGCCTCGGCTACCATTTTGGTCTGGCAAACTGAGCCACGTGACTGGCTAGTCCCCAGCCACATTTGGAGATCCAAGCTAAGACTAAAAGGGAATGAAACGCCACATAGATTCAGGGATAACTGAATTGCAGCGCTCGGAACTGGAAACCAATTTATGCCCAGACCTTTGAATGTTCAAGTTGAGACCGTGGCCATACTTTGGCTGATTCTTGTTGAGTACTTGTACAATATCGATGCACGAAATCTCTAATAAATCTTCGGATCAATAACAGCATATTCAAGCCATATAGCGATACAGTGATCTTGGATAGTGGCCTTACGGAAATCAACGCGAAAACCTCACGACGCAACTCGACCGCCAGGACGCGGAGTTCACTGCCCACCAACCACCGAGCTAGGGTTTACCAAGGTTGTCTTAGCCGAACTTGACCATGACAGATAGAAGCCGGCGTGTACGACGTCAAGTTAGCGATGTAACTGATGACCTTTCCGAGGATTCAGACATCGCCAGTGGTGAAGATTATGACCCAAGGAGATCGGATGCAATGCGTAGAGCAGGCAGACATGAGTGAGTGGCTTATTCTTGTTGTCTAGCCTTCGAGTTTTTCGCGCGGTGAATGCATGTCTTTGGTCTGCGAACGGGCCAGGCCAGGAGTGAATTTTATCCCAACACAGCCTGTAATGCCACCTCTGCTTCATCAAAAATGAGGGTAGAACAAGTCACTGCAATAATGGATTGGAGTCTAATCTCAACACAACTATGGGATTGTCTTTCCGATCTCGCCTTCCTCTCTTTCACTTTCTTCCCCATATTCCCTCCATCGTTGCTTTCGGCAGTAGCGACAACCAACAACGAGAAGCAATTGCTGGCACCTGTCCACAATGTCTTTCATTACCCTTCGATATCGTCGCCGCCAGAGAACTCAAGCTAATCGCCAACTTAGATCCTCGGCAACCTCCAGCCCAGCTTCTTCACGTACAAGACGAACTGGTGCTGTTGCACCAGTCGCCACCAATGGCACTTCATCGGCAACAGTGCAACGTGGTTTATCAAGTTCAGATGATCGGAGACAGAGTCTGAAGCTGACCGTCAAGGCTCCTCCAAGCAAGCTGCGAGAAGTCATGCGTGCTAACGAAGTTGAGGCACTGCTTGACACTTTGGGAGGAGGAAAGGTCCTGGATGGCCCACGAAGCAGTCGCAGGGCCGCGGCAGCTTCTCGACAAACTGCTCCACAGGCACAAAGACCAAGATACGCCGAGTACGGGGAGAGCGAGAGCAGCGATGACGATGATGAAGAGGATGCAGAGGATGAGGACGACCAAGAAGAGGATGAGGAGGAAGATGACGATGAGGAAGAGGAAGAGCAGCCGAATGACTTTGATGAGCTCGGCGCTGAAGCAGAAGGTGGCACTGACGACGAAGATGTTGAAATGGAAGATGCTCCCAACCCTGTCCCTCCACCAAGGCGTCATGTTCCTCCCAAACCTCCAAAGATCACTCTCAAGCCACCAGCCAAGACAGATTCTCGTCAGCCTGCCAGACCAAAACTCATAGTGACTCCTGCCAAAGTTGGTCCCGTCAAAGCAGTCGAAGATCAAGAGATGGAGGATGATCCTGATGACGACGAGGTAGAAACCTCATCCGAACTTAGCGACGACGAAGACGAGGATACTTCAAAAGTGAACGACGAGGATGCTGAAGGTGAGGACGAGGACGTGGAAGATGAAGACGCCGTGGGAGAAGAGGAAGAGGGCGAGGGAGAAGAGGGAGAAGAAGGCGAAGAAGGAGACGACAACGACGACCTCAGTGACGATAGTGACGAAACCCCTGGGTCCGGTACTGCCACCCCAGACATAAATAAACTAACCAAAAGACAACGCGGACGGCCTGAAGACCAAACACAGCTTATGGCTTTAGATATGGCCCCCCAACAGCGAAAGGTGAGAATCAATTTGCGAAGTCGAGCTTACAGGACTAACGTTCATGTCTAGTTCTTTACCGATGCCGAGAAAGCAATGAAGAAGGATGAACATGCAAGAAAGCGTAAGGAATTAACAAAGCGTAAAGTTCAAGAAGAGAAGACTGCAGCTTTGAACAGACTGGTAAGTTCTTTGCACTCTGACGATATGGAACTAGCCTGACACTCTATACAGTTGAAGCCCCAAGTTTCAAAAGCCAGAGGAGCGGCACCCAAGCCAGAGACTCTAGCAGCGGCAGCGGCAGCTGCCGCCGCTGGCGTACCCTATGAAGAAGAGGAATACGTGCCACCAGCACATCCAGTTTATACCAGATGGGTCAGCAACAAAGATGGTTTCAAAGTCGGCGTACCAGAGGAGTGGTTGGGTAAACGAGTCGGCAACTATTTCGGTCCCCCTCTAACCCCGCGCAACGGGCCTCTCGTCCAGGAAGTGGATTGAATTGGCGAATGGTATGGAAATATGTGTTGGAAGTGGTCCAGCAGCAACAAGAAACATGACATCTGGTGGTTGGCGATCCGTCAGACGCGTTATTGTTAGATTGTCGCAATAGATTTGCCGTAGCGACACAGTAAAAGCACCACTTCGTCGATCCGCTCAATGGATTTTGCAAACTTGAAGTCTTTGTATGTCGATCGCTTCCCACCGCACTCTTCCACTGTTAGTTATTCTTGACATGGAACTTCCAATCTGGCCAGTGTTGTGATGTTGGAATTGCGTAGATCTTGTGTGGCGACACAGTTAGTGATGCCAAATCCATACTGGACCCAACGAGCGCAGGTGTGGTATTAGATGTCTCGAGGAATTATCGACTGTTGCTTGCGTCTGTGATTTGTTGGAGCCAGAGTCTAGCTGATCGTTCATATCAGTACTGTTGCACCTTGAATCGAAGTGGAAGAGCCTCAAGCATACCTCACCTCGATGCTCGATGGTTGTATGACCGACTTGAAGCAACTTTCCGCTTCTCTTATATTTCCACATTGGGCCTCTTCCATAGTTCATTTGTTCAAGACATCCTTGCTGGGATTCACAGTGCCATTGGCATTGGGTTGGGTCGACTGCGTCTGAATTTCAACCATGTCTGTCGGAAGATCAGCAGCTGCCGATTCGCTGAGAGGCCACCGTTAGCATTATCAGTGAAATGAGACAACCAAATCCATTTCTCACCCTTGTTTCCACTTCTCTCTTTCTAGGTCATCAAACGCAGGCTGAAAGGTCACATAGCCTGCGTCAAGTCAATATTTCATCCTCAGATACCGATTTCCTCTGTGCAGTAGACCTACCGTTCAAGACACCGAAACCGACCACAAGCGCCAAACCAAAGATCCGGCGACTCATTGTCTACCTTGTGAGCTTGGCTCCCTTTGTGAGAACTGTAACTGTGGTTCTGGCCAATTTACCAGAAGGTCCTTTCAGTAACCATCATTCACAAGATCTAGGTCGTCGCGAGGCGCATTTATCGCCCACCGTAGTTACAGACGCTGTTATCACTCACCGTATTAAAGTGCCGGAAGAAATATCGTGAACCAAAATAATCTATCTCCGACGCGTCGGTGGCGCCAACCAAACACGCGACAACAACCAAAAAACCCACCCTTGTACAACAAATCTTTTGAGCAACCACCAAGACATATCATGGACAAGAATGGTCGATTGGAAAGAGAGAGGCTATGTGCCTGACTCAGATGATGAAGATGAGATCCTTCTTGACGAGATCGGTGCAAGTCCCATTCACAAATCACAGATCGATATCGAGATCGGCAACTCGGCCATTCCCTCACAACCAAGGCCCAACTCTTTGACTATAGACAATCGTGATGCCGACTCACACCTACCAGTCACCCAAACAGCCGCAACCGATCTTTCAGATCAGGAAGATGATCTTCCTGACTTTGAAGACTTCATTGGTGGGGAGACAGTCATTGAACAGCCGTCATTGATCAACCCAGAAAGTTCAACGGCGGCCAGACTTGAAACGGAACTCAATAGGGGAATTCAACTCACTCAAGATGTTCTTGGACTTTTAAGTGACCTAGACGACGTAACAGACAGCCCTCTCTCATCACCGCCAGCTTCATTGCCTGATACACATCGTCCATCTCTAAAAGATGAGGGACATGTGGTGGGACCTTCACTGCTAGCCACCCCTACCGTCGACAATTTGAATGCACCGGGTGATGTCCAGAACACTGCTGGGGTAACGCCATTCAGCCGATCTTTGAGAACACGTGCCCCGATCCAACTGCATCCATATGCACTTGAGGATGCAAAATACCGACAAAGCTTGAAAGATCGAGGGCTCAAGCCCGTGCGTACACTCAACACTGTCCAACCCCCTAACAACAATGTACACGAGGAATCTCAAGGTCGTGAGTCATACCAAAGCAGCCAAGCTGAAGAGTCATTCAATCAGCTACCCTCCTCGAGCCTCATGTTGCAAGAACCAGACGAGGAATCTCAATCACCTGTTCGCGGCACTCGAACACAGGCACCGCCTTTTGATCTCGGTGAAGATCTTCCTGAGTTGGACGACATTCTCCAAAACCACGCTATACTACCTCCTGGTTCAGCCACAGTTGCTCGAAAACGACTCCAGCGGGCCCGGAAGACTGGTTCAAAACGTCGTCGTGATCAATATCGCATCTATGATCTCCCAAACGACGAGACTGAAACTGAGCCTATTGAGAGGACATCCCAAGCTAGGTTTCGAATTCCTCCGTCGCCTCCCCGTTCTCAGGATGAACTATCATCACAAGATGGTATTAGTGTGGAGATAGAACGACGGCTTCATAATGGTGGAACACCATTTTCGCTGCCAACTCCCTTGATATCATCGGCCTCTCGTCGTCCAAAGCGACTGCGTTCAACTTCAATCTCATCTCGCAATCCGCTTTCATTGGATGGCAGTGATGTTTCATCTGATTCGACGTCAGAGCGCTCAGATGTTGAACCAGAGGGTATTCAACGCATGCAGCGCAGAATCAAAGGGGTACTGCCAGCATCATGGCTGAAATTGGATCAGAGGAAACAGGTGAACTTAGAGAGTCAGAGGCATAAATTCTCACGCTCTCCAGTGAAATCGGCTGTTGAAAAGGGCGTGGCGAAACGTGTTCCTTCCAGTACCGCCAGGAATGGGTTCGGGATTAGCACTCAACCTGCGTTCGATGACCGGAATATCTATGGTTCGAGCGAGAGTGATAGTGATGAGCCTGGTGATGTGGGAAATCAAGGTACGGTTGACGAAGGCTTTGGCATGTTGATGGAAGATGTTGTCGAAGACAATGCAGTTGATGCCATGCTCCCGGCAAGAGCTAGAAATGTGTCTCGAAGAAAGAAGCTGCAAAAGCTTGGAGACATGTGGACAGACACCCGTGATAGACCACCAAAGGCCAGGGCCCACATTGGCACCCACAATGAGGTCTCGAGCCCAAGAAAAGCGAGGTCGAAACCAAGTGGAGGGTTGCGGGCTCACAAAAAGACGAAAAGAGTGCACAAACAACCACAGATCACTGTCCATGATGCTCCAGGATTTGAGGAGCGAGAGATTCCACGTTTCCTGAGAATCGCTGCACGACGGAAGAAGAACTCTGATCGATCACAGGAACAAAACCCATCAACCAAGTTCTTTAAGCTTGCAACAAAGAGAGATACGATGGATGTGAGGGAAGGACTGGCCCAGTGGAGGTCTCGTCGCGTTCAAAAACACTCAACGCTCAACCCTACTGCCGAGCCGCATCAACGAGCCTCGCAAGCTCAGCCGCGTCCCAAAGAAGGCGACGATGTCATTGCGAGAGATCATAACAACAAAGATACACACCTTACTCTCCTCAAACAATCCACCAAGTCAACCCTCAAGCGCGTTCAACTGAATCAAATCCAGGCAAATTTGTTGGATCACCATTCAGCCTCACAATCTGAGCGCGCCTCTCATCTCCTTTCTGCTTATTTCAAACCTACTTCAGCATCGTTCCATCGTTCCGGCGTGGGACGGTCTCTTGATCTCTTTAAACGCTCTCTCACTCAAACTGAAGGAAGAGCGAAGCCTCCACACACCATTCCACTACCTCGAAGAGTACCCAAGAAGACTTCGAGTGTTCCCAACAATCCTCAGCAGAATCAAGCCTTGAATGCTCGTCCTTCATCGGCCGTGGTACCACGTCAACAACACAGATTTAATCGTCCAAGGAAAGCTTTTTATCCATCTCCATGTTGTTTCTTTTGCTAATGTTGATTCTAGGAAACGCCGCCCAATGCCTCTCACAGAACAGCATCTCTTGAGTGATCCTGATGATCCTGGTCCTCCCAATGACACAATGGATATCGCAGATGATATTGATCCCCCTTCTTCACATCTCTCATTCCTTGAACATTTCCCCCGAAGTAGTGTTGTCACACACTTGACGGACCATCCTCTCGGAAGTCAACGCGTTGATACGGCAGAGTGCCTGAACTCATCTCGTCTATGGAGAAGTGGCATTATCAAGACGACCATCGAGTCAATGGCAGATTTGAACCGAGTTCTTGAACCAAGAGACTTGACTACCTCCGTCATCAGACCTTACAGTGGCCAAGCCATTGACTTGGGCCGATGGTCTTCAGATTTTCAAAAAATCATGTCTGAGCTAGGCTCAGCGATGATCAACATAACCAGCTTTGATCCGTCCAGAATTGATCTTACCACACCTGCCTCTGCTACAGTGCCAAGTCACTCCATCCTTGTCAATGGACGACAAGACAACAGCATTAGCCTTGAAGTCATTTGCAAGACAGTTCAAGAATGGAATCGACTGATGACCAGCTGTCAACAAACTCTCGAAGGCTTGATTGACTGCGTCAACAGCACTCTGTGGTTCTTCAACGGTACAGAGATTGACGAATTTGTCAAGGTTAGCATCACCATGGTTGAACGAGTTATCCATGAAATCAACCTTCGACGTTTTGCAAGAACTGGCATCACTGCTTCACGCATCCTTGATGTATTGAACAAAGTCATCATATTCAGCTACCAGATCACAAAAGTGGCAAAGTTTAATGACTGCTATGGATCGCTCGTGGAACGTTGTTTCGCTACCCACCAGAATCTCACACGTCTCGCTTGGTCAATTGCTCTCAGAGAAGATCATGCAGGCGACCTTATCTCCTATCTTGCAAGTTTCACAGAAACTACCTCATCTGCAAGACTCAGCCCTGGTGCTGAGATGGAAACAGTCCTCGTTGTCCGACAATTCTCGACTAGCAATTTTTGGGACATCTACTTGAAGCAATTTCTTGTCCAACGTTTCGAAGAGCCTGAAGCTTATCCAGCAGAAGCACTTGCCTACACGATACTCATTCTTGGATGTGTTTATTATCTGTATGGTGCTGACCAAGAAGACTACAAGTTGGATAAAGATGCCTCAAATTCTGTGGATTCATCTGGTCTTGTTGCATTACAAACAGCCATGCCTGCCTTCCTCATGTTCTACATTGATACAAAGCAGAAGTATCAGAGCGAACCTCAGAGAACCAAGGCTGGAAATAATCCCCACATGGACCGAATGCTCGATCTCAGTCAGTTTGGTACTTCCACCTTCGAATGGTGTCTCTTGCTTGCAAGCAATTTCAGCAGAAATAACATCGACCAATTACTGAAGAAGATCTTCAAATGCTATGGTGACAACAAGATGCATGATTTCTTCTCTTTGGTAGCTACACACGCCATGCCGGACTTTCTTGCCAAACAAGTCCCACACTCACAGCTCGTTCTCGACCACCTGGACACAGACTTCCACATCTTTCTCAAGATTGTTGCATCGAGTCTAAGTATTCGCAACCGGACCTACGAAGCGGAGTACTCAGCCCGACAGAAGAAATTGGCATCACGAAAACAATCCTTGGTGTTTAGCCTTCTCCCAAATAATGCATTTCAGGTCAACGACGACGAGAACCTCACTCTAAGAGATCTTGCAGCTGTTGCAAATCGATACAACTTGTTCTCCACCCTGTACCACTATTCTCCCAATGGTTACAAACCTCCTTTGGCGAACATCGTGTCTCTTATTGACTTTGGCAAGTCTCATGCTGCGGTGTGCAATCTCGCTCTTCAATGCTGGGCTAGTATTGGCAAGTCAGCTCTCGCTCAAGAGGAAGATCCAACATCTCTGATTGGACTTGGCCGCTGGATACAAGATATGTTCACGCAGACTGCTCAGAAGCTCTCCTCGATCCCAGACGATGCAGAAGACGCAACTTATCTCGAGAAGCAAGTGAGTGAAGCTAACCGACAATCAACAAGTGTCCTCCTCTGTACCATAGTAGATGTCTGGTGCCATGTTATCGAGCTTTGCACGACTGAGATACAAGCACGACATGTCATCAATGGAGATCGCCACCAAGGAATACTTGCTATCCTTCACCTATGTTTCGATTATCTGAGCCCTCCTGAACCTGTTGTTGTCAAAATCCTCAACATTGTGTCCACTTATCTGAAGAAGGCATCGGAAGAAAGTAAAGCTCAAACTCTCGAACAAGATTTGCAAACCATCCTGCAGAAACTCATCATTAGACAGAACAACAGACTTTGGTCGCCAACTGACGGTTTCTTGATTGCTTTGATGGATACTTGGTATCAAGTTGCTCAGACAATGGTCAAGCACAAAGTCAGCTCCTGGGAAACATACGTCAATCCAGCTTCGACATTGTCACTTGAAGTTATGCTCGATTTTCCAATTTCTGGACATTGCATAGCACTTTTCTTGAGCAGAGCCTTGATGCATCAAGAATGTTTCGACACAGCACCATTCCTTTTCTTTGAGCACTGGATTGGATCGATTCTACTTCCCCAGAAATATTTTAAATTTCAACATCTTCTCATGGACCAATTAGTGGAGATTGCCCCTGAAATCCTCGACTTGGCAAATGGTGTTGAGATGATTTTTCGTGGCAGATCACCAGGTGTTCCTGTTGACCCTAAGGTTCTATACCAACACCGACTTGAGATCATACTCTATATCGTCCACAGCATTCATAAACTTCATAATACCATCGATACCTCGAACAGCGAAGTTCTCAGCAAATCTCAAGCACTACAACTTCTTTACGCAATCCAGAGATTCTTGAAATGGAGCTGGAATAAGGATGTTGAGATGAGAGATGAATGGGCCGTTTTCATCAACGCAGTCGTCTTTGAAATGGATCTTTACCATGTGGAAGGACTCGAGATTGACGAATTGCTAATCACACCTGAAATCCGAAGCCATGAAGTCAAGGCCGTTCAGTTGAGACGTCTGTTCATCAAAGCGTTCACTCCTGGAACTATTAACACCGATGATGCAATTGACAACTTCAAGGCTTGTGTCCAAGGCTTCCGCGAGACATGCGAAGTTGCCTGTTTCACCAAGGAGTTCGCTCCCCTTCTGACCCACACTGCCACCACCTTCAATGCAATGGAGGACCAATATATAGATGATAAAGGTAGATATCTACTGGATATCAAAGCGCAACTGCAGTTCCTCAAGGCAGTTCTGCCGGAGTACATCTCCAGGGCGTTCGATGAGACACAACCAACGATGCTGTACGCAAGCATCGTCCTCGAGATCGCAATCCTGGTGATGGCGCCAGTAGAACTCCGCGTTGACTTTGACGACATGGCCAGCATGGAGTCACTCGCCGAACTGGCAGCAATGCTGCTCGGGGCCGCGTGCCGCAGCCTGCAAGGGCGGCGTGTACGCCGATTCGCCGGCATGGCCGACTGGAAGAAAATGATCATCGTACGAGTGGTCGAACTCGTCGCCCGCGGCGCATTCGCCTGGGGTACCTTGCACGGCAAGTACCCGTCGTCCGCCTCAATCACCGCGCTACAAGCGCCAGTGCAGACGTGCGTCTGCTACATCTACGAATATGCCACAATGGCATTTACTCTCCCGTGGGCGCCAATTGACCAGGCGTACACGTACGACCTGCGCGTTTACGGAAAACGCGACACCCTCGACTTCGGCTTCCTGCTCCCAGGAGCGGACCTCGCTACTGACGAGGAAATCAAGACCCTCCGCGCGGTCGTCGAGGGCGACCTCATCGTCGCCGCGGCTGCGTACGGTGAGCGTTCGCTCACAATTCCGTGGCGTGGCCCGGGTTGGCCTTACAACTGCCCCGGTGTGGGGAGAGGCGAGGCGTTTGCGGCTACGGCAGCCAGTCAAGACGACGAGATCGAGCTCGTCAATGCCGGGTTGAGAAAGTTGCGGGAGGCGATGGTCCTCCTGGGCTTGAAGGAGGAGGAAGCCTGGGGTGGCTGGGGTGATGACGATGACGATGATGACGATGATGATGACGACGAAGAAGACGACAAGTGAGTCGTGGTGGCGGGATTCGGTGAGGTGTTGGTGGTTGTTTTGTTTGGTGTCTTGTTGGTGTGTTGTGGGTGTAGATAGCACCAGCGCCCATTGTGGCCGTAATCAATAATACTGTTCGAGTCAATCTTCGCCTGGATCCCCATCGCGTTCCATTTTGTTTTCCCTTCTTTTCACAATGCCACGGACGATATTGTCATCGCGTGTCTGTCGTCGGTGGGCAGCGAGTGTCTCACAACTAACGAAATGTATCAAACATACGCGCGCGTACGTCGGGTCTCACGGAAGTCAAACGGCAACCATCGCAGTTCATTGTCATGCTAGCACCCACTCTACCCATCTAGCTTGTAATTCGTTTCTTTCGTTCCGCGATATAAATTGGGGTCCTACTGGCTTCAATGGTTCCCCAGTCTACTTGGTGTTGTATGTACAACTCGATGCCATGGTCCGGGACTTCCAGACGCCCTCAAATTCCCGGCAAGACTCGGTTGGTGGGTGACAGCCAGAGATGACGAACGTGGCATTACCCTCCGACTGTATGAGCTCATCAGTCCTGCTGCCTCACCTGTTGAATACCTTCCACGTCAATCACTGTGGACGACAGTCTTTGATATACAACTACACTTCCACAATTCTTGGCTACTACATCGTTTCACGGGCGGAGACAATCACTTCGCCAATGATGGCGGGCGGTTGGGGCGTCGGGAACGTCTTCGGAAGCTGTTTGGATGATATCGTTGTCCATGGTGGTTGTCAGTTATGGCTTCAGCTGCCGCGCTGGACAAAGGCCGTTCTAATATCATCTGACGCTGGATACGTTGGCTTTGTGTTGACCGCTGGTATACAGGATTGTCGATAGAGATTCTATTAACATAATCGTTGTGCTCCATGGGCCCTTCTTTCACTTTGACGGCAAGCTGCGCAATGGTCCTTCTTGATACATACCCTACTCTGGCTGTTGGCGCTTGAACTCGCCTAACTTTGCCAGAAATAGGGTATGCAAACATAATATATTGCTAATAGCAGCAACAATAAGTACCCAGAAGATTTCACAATCTGCACGTGACTGCGCAATATCCAACCTCTCAGCCTCATCGCAGGCACTACCCATTGCCATCGGTAGTCGCTCATCTACTGAATGTCAAAAGATGCCGCGATTGAGGTCATCTCTTGACACTGAAAGCTTATGGGCCTCGACAAGGAAAAAGACGCCTCTTCGTCAGCGGTTTGACAATTGAGTTCTCCTCCGAGCCCTTTAGGAGCCCGCCTGATACGTGCTGAATTCAAGTTGTTGCAATACGTTCTGCCACTATTACATACGCCCTCGCATCATTCCTGTCCCTCGAACTTTTCCCTCGGTGAAATCCGAGCGACTGATCCGCCTCCTGTACGATCGCTCGGTGTGCAGTGGAGCCCCTGCAACATTTCTGGCTCTCAGCCTTGCACTCTCTTCCCGTTTTGCGGGCCTTTTGCACTTCTTTCATGCAGGCAGCGTTGTTGAATTAGGCTGTCGCCGAATATGGCTACATCCGTGCAATATAAGCCGGAAGACTATACTATTGGATGGATTTGCGCATTAGCGATAGAGTTCGCGGCATCGGCCGAAATGTTGGATGAGGAACACCCAACATTAACTCTTGGTTTGGAAGACGAGAATTCCTACATTTATGGAAAGATAGGGGACCACAATGTTGTCATTGGCTGTTTACCAGCTGGGAGAATAGGCCTAGTATCGGCGGCCACTGTTGCGATGCGAATGAAAGCGAGCTTCAAATCGATAAGGCTTGGACTCATGGTGGGTGTCGGAGGTGGAGTTCCTAGTGATGATGCAGACATACGTTTAGGAGACGTAGTCGTGAGCAAACCATACGGCCAGCACGGAGGAGTCGTTCAATACGATATGGGCAAAAGGGGACTTGAAGACCATTTCTTGAGGACGGGGGCTTTGAATGCACCTCCACAAGCCCTGCTTACAGCAACAACCCATCTTGAAGCCGCTGGGCTAAGAGATAAGCTGAAAGTCCAACAGCATCTTGCCAAAATTGCTCGCAATGCTCGATTTGTTTACCCACAAAAACTAGAAGACAAGCTATATGAACCACAATCTAAACATGTTGATGGTAAGAAGACTTGCAAAGATTGTAACGCTGATGAACTAGTTGAGAGAGATGAACGTGATTCCAATCATGTTGTGATACACTATGGGACTATAGCCTCGGGAAACGCAGTTCTGAAGGACGGCTTGACGAGAGACAGGCTGCATCAGGAGCTCGGTGGCGTCTTATGCTTCGAAATGGAGGCAGCTGGGCTAATAAACAGCTTTCCATGCTCAATTATTCGAGGAATATGTGACTACTCAGATTCTCATAAGAACAAAGGTTGGCAGCCCTACGCCGCCGCTACTGCTGCCGCTGTTGCAAAGGAGCTCCTGACTTACATCCCTGCTGCTACCGTTGCCACATCGCCGACTGTCGACGAGGTAATGGTGGATATGAAGGATCTAGTTATCCAAGTATCTGAAAATGTCGAAATTGCGAAGAGAGTGGAGATGCAAGTATCTTGTGAGTGGTACAGCTATCTCCAAAAACACGAGATTAACTTTGCTATAGCGGCTGAAGATGAAAAAATCTTGCAATGGCTCTCGCAGTTTGATTTCTCCAACGCTCAAAACGTCGCTCGGACTTCCAAGGCTTTAGGAACTGGTCAATGGTTTCTGGAGCATAGAGATTATATTGATTGGCGAGATTCGTATCAGGGTCTGTTATGGCTTCATGGAGTTGGTGCGTATTCTCAAGGACTTCTTACTATTAAGGTCCAAGGTTAACAACAAACAGTTGGGTGTGGAAAATCTGTCTTGTGGTAAACTATTGCACTTGATCTCATATGACGTGATAAGCTGAATACTTGTTCTAGCTCCACGATTATTCGCGATCTTGAACTTTTTTGCCTTGGAAGTTCAACAAAGAAAGTGGCATATTGGTACTTTCAGTTCAGCGATCTTGCTACGCAAGATGTCAGGACCATGGTGAGATCTCTTATTCGGCAATTAAGCACGCTGCCGTTGCATCCTGTGGTGCGTAAGCTTTCAGAACACCACAAAGATCGTGGCAGTCAGCCATCTATGGAAGAACTCAATACTACACTGGATGCTGTAGTTCGGGCTTTTGAGGGAGAAATCTATATTGCTATCGATGCACTAGATGAATGTCCAGAAACGGAAATCCAATCCGAAAGAGCCAAGTCACTAAATTGGATGGCTTCTCTGACTGCCGCACATGCTAAGAATCTGCATCTCCTTGCAACTGGCAGGTGGGAACCAGATATACGCAATAAATTACGAGATGTGGCTTCCAGAGCTATTGATATTGCTCCATTGCTCAATGAGGATATTAATCAGTACGTCACGGCTGCCATCAAGGAACAAGGGCTGTCTAGATGGGGTCAAGACACCACATCTCGAATTGCAGAGAAATTGCTTTCCGTCAACGAGCCGTAAGTTGTCCAAATTTCAACGACTGAACTAACGCCCTTGTAGGAGATTTCGTTGGGCAGATCTGCAAATCAAACGACTGAAGCGATGCCCATCGGAAGATAGCATTTGGGCGGCGCTGGAGAGTATACCAAAAAGCTTAGAAGCAACATATCAAGAAACACTTGAGAAAATAGATGATGACAATAGAGATCATCTGAGGAAGATATTGATGTGGCTTACCTATGCTTACACCCCCTTGAGTTTAGCGCAAGTCGCCGCCATAGTTGGCTACCCTTTTACTGACGATGTTCTACGAATATGCACCAGCCTCTTGGTAACAATAATTGATGACGAAAGCGGTGAGAATCATGAGCACGCTGGGGACAAAGTCGACAATGAAAAGGATTATATCATCAAGCTAGCGCACTTCTCAGTCAAAGAGTTCCTTGTCTTTCGACAACTAGAATACGAAGGGCTCTTATGGTTCCGGTTTTCCGCTGCTTCAGCCCACTCAAGCATCGCGCGAGGCTCAATCTCTTATCTCGTTGATCCGAAAAACTATCTCAAGTCGAAAAGGCACGTTGATACAAAACCTCTTGCGAAATATGCAGCACGGTTCTGGCCAGAACATTACAAGGAAGCGCGAAGTCCTGGCGACAACACAGAACTGCAGCAAAGCATAGAGCTGCTTTTCAGCCCGAAATATTCTCGCTCATTCTCCAGCTCTTTGCTAGCTTTCGATCCCGAAGACGAGTTTCACTATTCAAGGGAACATGAACACAGACATCCACAGCCACTATACTACGCAGCCTTTTTCGGAATGCAGACGACGGCCGAGCAATTGTTTCGGACAGATGCTCAGCTTCATGATCGAGAGGGAGTTTTTGGAAATGCATTAGGCGCGGCTGCCGCTGCAGGTCACATTGAAATTGTGCGGTGGCTCATCAAACACTATAACTTCTCTTCTAACATTCTCAATATGTCTGAAGTTGTAAAACACATTTCAAAGAATGTCGGAGAAATTCTTGGAGCTCTGTTTGATGCAGGTGGCCCCTCCGTGTTATCAGGGGATGTATTAATGGCTGCTGGAAAAGATGCGAACTCTACAGAAAAATGCAGCCTGTTGCTCGATAGGCTCGATCCTAGTGTCCTACAAACATTTATAAGGTCGGTAGCAGATTCGTGGACCTATGAGGCCATGCAGCAATTATTGGATCGATTCGGGTCAAAGGTTGAGATTGAAGAGGACATATTGGTCAAAGCAGCCGTCAATTGGACTGATTATGGTATCCAGAATACGCGCCAGAATAGTGTGCTGGAAATGTTGTTGGATCGTTCGATTTCAAAAATTGAACATCCAGACAAACTGGTCCAGGCTGCGCTGGCAAGCAGTAAGCCTGGCTTGGCCAGAAGACTTGCAGATCGATTTGGGGAGGCCCTTCAGATCACTGATGGGATTCTGAAGGCTGCAGCACCGCATCCGAGAGACCTGAAGTTTTTCTTGGATCAACTTGATCCGACGACAACCATCACAGAAGAGGTCTGGGAAGGGGCTGCAAAGGATCGGGAGTCAATGAAGCACCTACTTGCTAGATTTGGATCGGAAATTGAGGTTACAGAGGAGATGTTAAAGCAGGCAGCACGTTCCGGTGGAGAATCGATCAAGTTCCTAATATCCCGATGCGGGCTTGAGCTGATTACGGAAGACGTTGTGAAAGCGGCGGCTCACAGCTACCATGCTCAACCAATGGAGGTACTACTTGAATTATGCGGCACAGATATTGTCACAGAAGACGTCGTTAAGGCAGCAGCCCAGTGCTATGATGACGAAAACTTGACGCTACTACTGGATCGGCTTGGGCCCGATATCCTCACACAGGAAATCTTAGCGGCAGCAGCAAGCAGCGGCGCAAATTTTGAACTCGTGCTGAAGGAGGCACGTTTCGACACAGTCAACAGTCGTGTTCTAAAAAAGATATTGATTTATCCCAAGTCGTTGGAAATGCTTTTAAATCGCTGGGGTCCACATATTATTGGGAAAGAAGAGTTACAACAAATTGTTGCCCGACCATGGACTGCCACGACGCTAAGAGATGTGCAAGAAGGCGATGAAAAAGTCACGTTCTCCGAGGAGGTTCTGAAAGAGGCGGAAGACCTCCCATGGGATGGTCGTATGATGCGCGTGGTTTTGGACACGGCTCTTGCAGCCGAGGAGTCGCTGGAAGACACCACTCCAATGAATGAAGATTACTTTGAAGAAGAGAGCGGCGAATCAGGCATAAGACAACTGCTGCCTTACCTGGATCCGACTTTTATTACTGAGGAGGTGCTGCGAACGGCGAGGTGGAGTCATAGGACAACGTGGCTCTTGCTCAGTTTTTTGGGGGTAACTGATTCCGTGAGTAGAGAAGTGCAGACCCTGATAGACCAAGCCAAACCACAGCATGACGGAGAGGCCTTGGAAATCATTCATTCCTCCTTGACTTCCGAGTGCAAAATGAAGGCGGAGGTAATACTTGCTGTGATTAAGGAACAGAGAAGTTGGAAAGAGGAGGGCAAGGCGATTGTGGCTGAATTTAATGAGAAGCTGGCTAGAAGAGCTAAGGCAGTGGCTGCTTCACGGGCTTAAACTATACAGGTTCCGCATGGACCAGTCAAAGTATCTCAAGTCTTATGTAAGGGGGAAATACATAAACAACTACTGAAAAAGCTGGTTCCATATGTAATCCATGATTTTACAAGGATTATTCTGCGTATCGCACTACCAGTACACAAGGCAGAGGAGCACAAATCTCATGAGTTCGAGGAATGAGGGGAGAACAATCTGCCCCGTCGTCCACAAAGCCGCCAGAATCAGACCAGCAGTGTTATACCGGGCCACGGTGAGGAAGTGAAACAAACTAGAATAGCGCAAATGGAGTATAGGAGAACGAGCGGAAGCCCGACAAATCTTGGAGAGGGAGAACAATGACAGGAAAGCTAAGAGAGAAAAGCTCGGAGGGCAGAGAATGTGCATCACGGGTCAAGGAGGTCGACTAGGGAAGGCTTGAGGCGGCGAACGGTGCTGTTGGAAGTGGGACGTGTTGTGCGCAATGGAAGAGAATAAGAACTAAGTGGGAAATGATATAATATTTCGAATCCTTTTGGCTGTCTGTTCTATTGTCGTCCATCAGCGCTCACTTTAATCGCTACAGTCAATAACATACGCTATCAATCAAATTTAGCGAGCCTTAAGCTCACGGACCACATTACCAAAATGGTCCTTGAGGTCTTCAGCAAGCTTACCTTTCGTGTCACTGACTATGGTCAGGACCAGGCTATAGTTGTTGTACAGGAATTTGTTCCGCTTGGCAGCATCGCCACCAACCCCCTTGGCTAATTTGCCCAGGAGTATCTCGTACTCGGATCGCAGACGGCCGAGACTTTTCGAAATAGGTTCGTCGTCACCAGCATCTGCGCTGAGGGTCAAGATGCCATGTAGGAATTGACCGAAGCGTTGAGTGACCGAGTGTGGGGCCACAGACGTCTTGGAAGACTCGTTGGACCCGGCGCCGACAAGAGAAAATGCAGCTGCGGCACCCCGAGCGGTGCCCACAGGGACTTTCTTCAAGGATTCACAATGTGCGTCCATAATCATCTGAAAGCGTGGCCACAGGAGGATATTGGTGTAGTTGATGTATGAGTCTGCAACGGGGACTTTTCGTCTTTGGAGTTCGAATGCGAAATGCTGATTCAAACGAACACAAAGGAGAATTCCTTGGCAATCATTTGCATTTTCCACTAGCCGCTTTGTCAGACTGTGACCCATGGTAAAAGTCGACTCAAAGATTTCGGTCACACGTCGGGTAATTTGATGATAACTACTTGTAGAGAACAACTCTCCACAAACCGCATACTCCGCACATATGTTGTCCACAAGGGCTCGGTTGAAGTTGCGGAAAGGCGTCTCCATGTAATGGGCTGCTTTGCTGTCTTCAGCCAAGTATGAAGGTAAGGCGGAGTCATTCTTGGATTTGAGGACATCTTCTCGTCGACCAAGACTGAAAGAATCATGTTGCGGAGCACTGGTTTTGGAGCTTCCTAGTACATTTCTCCGCGCAGGAGCAGATTCCGAGCCCAGAAGATCATACTGATCAAATACATGTAGTTGTAGTGTTGACAAGGCGTGCTCGTAGCGACTGAAGTGACTGCTATAGTACCATTTCATGGTATTGACATAGGCTTGACCTATTTCTTCGGCTAGGACAGGGTGGGCTCTGGCCAAGAAATTATACAAGTCTTTGTATTTCAAGAAGGTCTGTTGTTGAATCACTTGGGCATTTATATTGGGTGACCGAAGAGCTTTGATTTGAGCCACGATATAGTCCCTGATCCGTTCAATGGCCTTCGCATTCAAATCGTCAAGCAGAGGTTTGAGATCCTGTAGGGCCTTGACGTTCTCATCTTGCTTCTCCTTGGCTTCTATGAGAGCCGAGCGGGCTTCAATCTCATTGAGCGCTTTGATGAAGTTATTGTTGATAGGGCCCTCGGCAATCGATTTTACTGTGTAAGGAGAGAGGCTTACTTCTTCAACGGCTGGACCTAACAACTTCTCAACTTTACGACGGTTCTCAAGTTTTGCATTGAGCTGAATGGAACGAGCTTGGAGATTCTCTATTTCAGCGGAGACTTGACCAAGCTCAGCCTTGAAGTTCGTCAAATAGCCCTCGACAGAGTTCAGAACTTGATCGCATTCGGCTATTGAATTGTGGAAGTCTTGATATTTCTGGCGACTTTCCCTTGCGGATGCTTCAGACAGACTTTTCAGAGGCTGGGGTCGTTGAGGTGGTTCTTGCTGAAGGAATTCCTCAAGGCTGAGTCCTCCAAAATCGACATCTACTTCCCGAGGGTTCTTATGTTTGATATTGTCTTCCTCAGAGCCATGTCCGGATTGACCAAGGATACGTCGCAACAACTTTAAAGGATCTTCAACATCGGAAGGTGGTCGTTGTTCGAATCGTAAAGAGGAGCCATTGACAACTCTTGGGGGTTGAACGAGAGACGCAGTGGATGTATTGGCACTCAAATCCAAGGAGGAAGTGGAGGACCTAGCAGGACCGGAGAGGCCAAGGCCATGTCGTTGCGGAGGAGCAAGATTGGAGTTCTTCCGGGGCGGGGCAGGGGAATAGGGACGAGAGGGAGTGAGTGAGCCTGTTGGAGTGGTAGCGGAAGGAGCAGTGAAGCGGTCCAGCCACATTCCAGCCATGACTGGTGTATTGAATTAACGAGACATGGTGTGCTGTGAGTACTGGGATGACAGGCTGGAAAGAAGTTGGAGATGCACATGAGGCTCTGAGAACAAGGCATTATCACGTGACTCTGATGATCACGTGGCCAGTCATTGCCAAGACGCCTTGCCTATATCGGTATAACGTGGTTTTTATCGCCTTTGCCCCCGCCTTCAGTTCTTTTGATCCCACTTTGAAGGCTGTTGTTAGTCGGAGGACTTGATATTTTACCTGGGCCTGGCTTTAACTCTCTGCGAGACTTCTCCTCCTTCTATCCATCCTCATTTCCACGATCTCGCTTCAAGCCCGGCCAGTCCAGTCCATTTGTCCTCCTTCCGTTTTTTCATCAACTACATTCTTTACTCAAATCTCCCCTCATCTCTCACCATGGCCGACGACGCGCAGGTAAGCTTGGCTCCCACTCCCCCGCCTTGTGTGTTGTGTTGGCTGGCTTGTCGCAGTTGCCCCCAACTTCGAAACCACTCTTTGTCATGTTCTGTATTCATAATTCTCAAGTTCATTTCATACTGACGATGGATGTTACAGCATGAGCATACCTTCGAGTCCGCTGGTGACGCCGGCGCCTCTGCCACCTACCCGATGCAATGTTCCGCCTTGAGAAAGAACGGATTCGTCGTCATCAAGGGCCGCCCATGCAAGATCGTCGACATGTCCACCTCCAAGACTGGCAAGCACGGTCACGCAAAGGTTCACTTGGTTGCTCTTGACATCTTCACTGGCAAGAAGTTGGAAGATCTCTCCCCATCCACCCACAACATGGATGTCCCCAACGTCGTTCGCCGTGAATATCAATTGGTAAGAGGTCCAGAGAGATACACTGGAGCCATATCAACGATAATAACAATGGTAATAAACAGCTCGATATCACCGATGACAACTTCTTGTCCCTCATGTCTGATGATGGTTCCACCAAGGATGATGTCAAGATGCCTGAAGGTGAAGTTGGTGACAAGATCCAAAAGCTTTTCCGTGAGGAGGAGAAAGACACCAGTGAGTTTGAGTTGTTTGTTGGACTCGATATGCAAGCTGATCTCATCCACAGACGTTATCGTCCTTACTGCCATGGGTGAGGAACTCGCCATGGACGCTAAGGAGGCTCCCAAATAAATGAGACGCGATTCTCAAAACAAGCAGCATCTCAATGGCCGCCTCTACGTGCCTGATGTGTTCACGGATTTCACGAGCAATACAATGTCAAGGATGAGCGTCTTGGTGTCGGGACAATGTGCACTCCAGATTATCTAGTCATCGGGATTACTGGTCGGACCCTTTCGTCGAGCTGGATAGGCCATGAATTTTCCGACTTGCTCCCAAAAAGCATGTTTCAGACAACTGGTTGCAAATGGGTAGCCTAGCATTTTGAAGTATGGTAGACGAAATCAAAGCAATTGACCCCTAGTTAGTTCATATGACCATGGTTGGGGACCAAGTTACCCTGTAGACAAGAGACACAAGCTCACCTATCGTAATTGATTTGATTGTGATTGGTTGATCCTGACACAGCCTGTTACTTCAAGTATTTCGATGCTCTTCGTCAACTTTGACAATATGATACTTGACGAGACCGGGGGACTGTTCCATCGCTAGTGCAGTGAAGTTATCCCGCGTCCTTTTAATTTACCACGGCGACAACCTGATATCCAGCCCATAATTCCACCATCTCCAAACATCAACATGAGAAATCGCTTCCTGACGACAACTCATGGCGGAAGATGACGGCTGTGAAATATGTGGCTCGACGGATTTCGCAGTCGACGATGACGGCCGCACATACTGCGCCAACGGACACGATCAAGGCCGTGGACCTGTCACCGCTGAAGACGACCAGGACTTTGTCCGAAAAGGCAAGGTAGTGAGGAAGAAGGAGAAGAAAGTCAAGCAGAAAATCTCGAAAAGTGAGTAGGGCCTCTCTATCGAGTTGTTTTCGAAGATATGCCATCCATCGTTGGAGGTGGTTTCTTGAATCTCCCAATCCTGAGTGAATGTATCACTTTTATTTATATGGCCGGATAAATCCACACTCTGGATGTTCTTCATTCTTAAGCTGACTGAGCACCCCTCTCGCCAACACAGTCCTTCGAGGCGCCAAAGCATACCAGCTATACCTACAAGCATGGCAGTACATTCTCTGGAAACAGAGCTACACGCTCGTCCATCAACTTGGGCTGCCAGCAGACCTTTGGGTTCGTATATGAATCCAAACCATCCGACATCTTAGCCATGAACGCTAACAACAAAAACCAAGACCGTTGTCCGAGATCTCTGGTCTCTGTGGTTAACGAAGCTCGAGTCGCGACTGCAGAACGACGCGCCCACCTCAGGTCCAGACGCGTCGGAGAGTGAAGGCCAGGTCAAGGACAAGAAGTCCGGTGGTGACGAAACAGACACGGACGGCGACGGCGACGGCGACAGAGATACGGATGCAGAAGCGGCTGATCGTGGGTCTGGTCATCGCAGTGATGGAACAAATGATGCCGTGAAGAAAGGACCTGGCCTGATTGACACGGTCGTGCTGAACTATCTCGCTATGATTCTACTACGATGTCCCATTGAGCTGGCGACGCTGCTCAGGTGAGTCTAGATACCATCAAGATCTCATCATCTACAGGCCTCAAAACTGACCATGAACATCAGCTGGATTCAAGCAGAAACCATCGTCTACATCCGTGCAATCAGATTCATCCCACAAGGCATGAAAGACAAGTTGCCAAGTGAGTACCACGCGGCACTCGACACACCGACTCGTCTACCTGGGCCCGACGACCTGCAGCTCGCCGTATACCGACGTGCGCAGATGTTCGATCTGTTCTTCGGCATGGTCACGCCACCGCTGAACCATTTCCCGTTCTTCATCTCGTACACGCGCTCCCTCGCCCTGCCAATCGAAGTGTATAGTCTCGCGTTGCGTCTCAATAGGATCACGAAGTATGAGTTCGCGCATTTGGAGCAACCTGCCACAGCAGCAGGGAAGGCAAAATCAATATCACGCCGCATTCCCCACCGCCGCCACGCAACGAGCTATCCAGAAGCACAGATAATGTCGCTGATCGTCGTGGCGACGAAACTGCTCCACCCATTCGATAGCGCAACAGTCACACGCCACCCAGAATCCCCAAACGACCTCGCCACACTACGCATGGACTGGGAAGTCTGGCTGGCTGCGAAGACGGAGATGGAGACGGAAATGGAAAACTCTCTCGACTCGATGAAACCCGGCAGAGAAATGTCCCTCACAGATGCTGACGCGCTGAGCATGACCGACACCCAGCTCGACCAGTATCTCGACTGGTACCAGCGCATGTGGCTGAACCCCAGCGCTGGAGAACAGCACTCCCACTCCCAATCCCAATCTCATTCACACGGTCAAAATCAGCCTCAATCTCAAACCCAAACTCAAAACCAAGAACCCAACACCATCGATCAGACGATCCTGAACCTCTTCCCACTCCCACTCCTCGCAACAGCCGAGAAGACCCGCGCCGAGCACGTCGCCGCAGCCCAGCAGCGCGAAACCTTGCTCGCGAAGCGCATCGAACGCGTACAAGCATCGCTGAGCCCCGTGCGCGCCATCGCGCCCGCCGAGGAGGCGAAACACCACACACCTATCCTGCGACCGGGCGCGGGATATCCGCGGTATCGACGGGTACAGGACTTAAACCATCGTGGGGGAATAGAGAAATCCGCTACCGGTGTCGACGCCGTCAGAGTATTCCACGACGAAGCCGCGCACACAGCGTGCCTGAGTCTCGCGGCGCTGTTGAGGGCGGTGGCACGCACGGAGGATCTTATTGAGGCGTGGAAGCGCGAGAGGAGGCGGGAGGAGTATTTTGCGGCGGAGGCGGCGGAGGAGGAAGAGCAGGAGGAGGGAGGCAATGGGGACGAATATGCGAATAAGCAGGAGAAGGGCAAGGCTAAGGCTAAGGCTGAGGCTGAGAACCCTGGACCTCCGCATCCTTCGTCTAGCGCTGCGTTGGTTAGAGGCCTCGGCGACTTGGATATTGCGGACTTCGGGTCTCCTGCCTCTGTTCCGGCGGCGGGTTACGGTCCTCGGGACGGAGAGGAAGTTGGAGGGGGGGATTTGAACGGTAGTGATGATGATGAGGGGATGGCCGATGAGGATGGCTACGATGAACCAGGAGAGAACAGGGATGGGCACAATTACGGTGGAATGGATGTTGATATGGAGATGGCAATGGAGTATTTGCCTCAGCTGTGAATGAATTCACTTGTGTGGGAAGTGCAGAGCACGGGGAAATAGAAACCCCGGTGATCATCATGATCACACTGTCCAATTGAGAAGGCAACCAGCGACTTTGAATGTGGATTTTTGATTCCAAGCAAGCATCAAAATACGGATGCCACTGATTGAGTTTCGATTTGAGAAAGGGTTGCATGTAGGACACCCAGCGCGAGAGCCAAACGCTGCTCTGACTACTGACCATCGTGCAACAAACCCAGAAGTCCAGTGCCAATACACTTGCGTGGCTGGAACGGTCGTTCCTAGCTGGCGTTTTTCACCACATACTCTAACACTCAATTTGCTAGACGCAAACCACCGACAGATGGCCCACATCATCTTCTTCGCAATGGCATGCTTTGGGCCAAAAGTCCACTAGAAATACATTCTGACCGAGAGAATAATCACATTCCAGCTTAGATACACTGGTGTATGATTTCAGAGCCACACCCTGCAATAGGATGGTCTGGAATCTTGTGGGTTCCCTCAGTCCATAACTCAATGGTCTCCGAGCAACCATTTGACTAGAAATGGCGACCGACCATTGTGAAGATAGTAATCGAAATTTCAGTCCGGATTTGCTTGAAGGGACCTGATACTCAAAGATTTTGACAAAAAGGCGAAGACGCCGTTGATCGTTGTCCTGAGGCGGATGCTGGTCGAACGATGAGTCCTCATGTACTGTACAAGGGACGTCGGACGTTTTCTATTCGTTATAATGATACACCTATCCGACCGCGTTAGCAAGAATTCTCTCATTTTTGTGAGGAGAAGAACGAACAAGATAGTCAGGAAGCCCGAAGGACTCATAATTCAGTCTTCGGGCCATCTTAGCGAAACCCTCTGTTTCAATCAGATGATAGAAAGGAAATGGTGGAAACATGGCACCATCTCTATGCACATGCGCCTTGACCATGAGTGCCGTTCCACCCACTCCGTCCAGTGGCATGATACGCTTCGGGTCATAATCTGCATCTCCAGCAAATTTGGCTATCTTTGCCATCAGCAATCTATACGTTGGCATCTCGGCATAGCCCTCAAGCAGTATCTCATCAGGACCCATAGTGGCAGCAAGTTCTTGGGCAGCGCTGCTGTCCCGCCAGGAATTGAAATCGTAAGGTCGTATGTCAGATTTTCCATTATCATTGATATATCGCTGGAAACAGTTTGGAACAATGATGTCCTTGTCGTGACTTGCCAGGTCTTGGATCAAGGTTGGAGGAGTCTCGATGATGTCTCCATCTAACCATAGTACCCACGATGTGTGTGGTCCTATGGTGGTAAAGACAAGGCTGTTACGAGCCAGTGCCATGGTCGACCGTCGAGCTTTCTGATTTGCCATTGCATGACGTTCTTTTTCTTCTTGAGATATAAGCGGAGGGTCGAAGTCTTGCCTCAGGATGGTTATTGACTGAAAACGTTGTTCTTCCGGCCCAGACTGAGTGATCTTGATGGCTTCTTGCAAGGCTGCTGTGGCTGCATTGCCCTCCTTGTTCTTGGGTGTGACAAATCCAAGGCTTATGTGTTCATGGGGATAGGTTAGGGCGAGAAGGTTGTTCCAGTACTCAGGATAGAAACGTGCGAGAGGTGTCAGAATGAGGACCTTCTCATTGTTCTTCTCGGGGAACACGGTGGCTGTGAGGTTGTTGAGCTGATAATGGACAACAGGAGGTGGTCTTCGAACGCCGTGTGAGCCAAGAGCATTCTGCTGTTTGCGAAAGGCTGAGGTGGGAGGGCTGAGAGGGTTGTCGGCAGCAGCGTCAGATTTACGTTGACGCAGATCGGATGAGGCTGAGGGGGAGGAATTGATCTCATAGATGAAGTAAATGAAGACGACGAAGAGAAGGATGGCCAGGATTTGAGTCCGGCTAGTGGACCGCGACTGGCGCATGTCGAAATATGCCATTTCGTTGTCAAAAATAATGCAGAGTCCTAGTGTAGAGTACACAAGTTCAAGGACATGAAGAAAGCCTGCGTGTCACCTTGGACGATTCAGATGTCGCAGCATGATGTTATGGACACCAGAGGACCGAGGCAGAAGGGTGACTGAGGTGAGGTGCTTTTGGGGGTTGCACAAGAGACAGAGAAGAAGTGAAGAATGAAACTGGAATTCACCGTTGATGCTGTCGCCGTTAAAGGAGGATTTCCTCACCATGAATTGTCACAGACATGCAGCTCCAGTCAAAGTGGAAACCTGAGGCAGGAGAACGGGGTCCTTGCACATTGCACTTTACGACCACTGTAGAATGGCAAGTGCAACCCTAAAAATAATTCAACATACGACGCTTACGACTCCGGATCACAGAGACATAAGCGCAGGCACCGCCCTGGCAGCACTTTTTGCTAACAAGCCACACCATATTTCTACGCCTACAAGGCTGTTCTAGCGAGCATCAAGCACGCGATGATGGATGTGATATGAATTTTGTGATGAAGATGATGTGATTAAATTTCCCATATCATATGAACTTTTCCAGACTCAAGAAAATGCTCTGGTTGAGCACTGGCGGTAGATACACCAGATTGACCATCACCTTGTCAAACGGCCTGATGGATACATGGATAAGTGGGAATCAAGATTCCTTATGAAGGTCCTCTGTTTCGAGGGTTGGCGCTGGCACAACCCTCTACATTTTATAACAAACGAAAGTCGTAAGTGCTGGTGATAACAAAAGAACGCCAGGTTGTATGCAATAACGGAGGGCTGGAGTCGACTGTTCCTGGAAGTCGACGACCTGGATATAGATGCAAGCCTGTCTTCCCACCAAAACTCCGGAAATGATCAAATTAGATGCACGCTCAAAGAAATATCTTGAAATGGATGAATGTTGACAATCTCGAGTCGTCCTCACTCATCAGCGATACATGTCGATCTTCTTTTGAAAAAGTGATTCTTCCTTGTCAGGAGTTTGATCACTCCTGGGGCTCCGCGGTTGTGGACTTGTTGCCGGAGAGATTTTACCAGCACCAGCGACTTGGAAGTAGTCCGCAGCCTCATCCAGTTCAAGTGGCGTGACCGCTCCCTTAGGGCTTCCCAATGGATCAAGACGCGGGTTGCCAGGCTTGACGCCCATTGATGATGCTGCAATCTTGGATGATAGTTGAGCCCTCTCCAAGAATTCTTTCTGTTTCTCACGCATCAATCTGGGAGATTCAAGTTGGAGAGGCTGGGGGATCCTGCTCAAAGTGATGGTAGGGCTTTGAACACTAGAAGATGATGCTCCTGTTGAAGCGTCCAAATGGCTGAAATTGGCGGGATGAAATCTTGGTAGGTTCATATGCATGTTTCGTGATGATGTCCGGCCATGTGGTGCTGGTCGAGGTCGAGAAGGCTGAGGTGATATTGGTTGATTGCTGGTAGGTAGCCTTGGAGAGAGTGGCGAGGTTGGGGTATACCGCCCCGTATATGCTTCAGAGGATCGCATAACGTGGTGGCAACCTGTTGGTAGAAGACACTGCTTACGATAGATGGAGGGTTGCAAGACGGTAGTGACGACTTCTCCGGATGCTGTCCTGATGTTGTGTTCATGCAGCGACTTTGACCATATCAGGCGTCGAAATCTCGAAATACCTAGGTGTAAGGTGCGTAGTGGCGATGCTAAGGTCGGGTAGCTTTCGATATGATGTAGGCAGAATAGTCTTGGTGTAGTAATTCAACACAGTATCAAAACGACTTGGGTGGTGACAGTGTTCGAATAGTTGTCTGTGGCAGAAAGGATGTTTGTCGTGAAGCGTGTGCCAAACAGTAAGAGTGAGATTGGATATGTTATGTACGAAGCATGGCCTGGGTAAGGGTGAGCGGTACTTGGTTGAGCACCACTATCAGTACCGCGCTCTAGGCGAGGCCTTAGGACCACTATCCTGGTTTAAATGGACCAGACACAAATAGCAATAGATGGCGATAGTGGCTTTGGCAAGGTACCTGGTCGCACAAGTGGGCGACTGGCAGACTGCTAACTTCTTGGTGTGAACTAGGTGGGTGCTTGTGGGCTAATTGTTGGTATCCGTACAACTTGGGGGGCCAGGTGATCGGCAGCCTGAGGGGGATTAGAAGTGGAAAACGATGGAAGGATCAGCAAAGCCAGACTCCCCGTTAATGGTCAGCAAATTCAATACTGAAACGCGAACAGAGATTCCAACCAAACGCACAAGCACATATATGTGGATCGTGGTGGAATGGAAATATTCTGAAGGGATGTGAGAGTTTTAAATGCAGGGAGGTCTGAAGGACCAGGATGGCTCTCTTGTCGATGCTGTTGATCGACTTTGGGTGAGACGGCACATCCAACCTAGATCGTTAGTACTGTTAGACGATGGGGCGCTTCTTGGTACTGGGACCAGACTGTAGCCGCACGGGACCAAGAGAGATGATGATATGCATCATCCGCTCTAGTCAAGGAGACATCTACTCGTAAATCCGAGGAAGTTCTCGGGTCGTCGGCGTGCAATTTGAAAGGCTGGAAATGCCATGTCGTGACGCAGGCCCAAACAACAATGGGGAATTCACTTTTCCGGTCCAGGTGCAGGTGGCTTAAACACTTTTTTCTCGAGTCCCAAGGCCGAGACGGGAAGTGGTCATGGACGGGTTTTGCAGTCTGACGGTCATCAAAGTGAACGAGAGGCGACTCAGGCGAGTACTCCTCTAGCATGAAAGAGGCAGTTGAGACTTGTCAACTTGTCAAATTGTGAGAATGACGATATCAACGCACAGTCTCAAGTCTCGACTCGTCTGTCTGGGGATGTCAGACGTCGCGACACCAACTGAGGCAAAGAACCACCAGCAGCACAATGACGGTAAGCGTTGATCTGAGCAGTTCTCAGAACGCCAGCAGCACGGGGCGATGGCGCCACATCCGCCATGTGGACACCAAGGTCGACCAACAAGCCAACAATTTCTCTCCGAGGTCCATCGGTGATACGAGATACTCCTTACTTTCGTGGAATCTGGAGAGATCTGCTCGGAATCTTAGAATGGTCTACCCGTCAACACCACAGATCGCTCCAGCTAAAATTGCTGAAGGGAGATCCAAACTTTATAGCCAGCACATGTATATATGATTGAGAAAAGGAGAACGAAATTGAGAGAAAAATCCGCACCAGAGGATCAGGGATTGATACTGTTCTTCCTCCTCTCCAGTCACCTCGCTTAGAATTGTGGGAGATGCCGGCCCCTCTTTCTAGGGCCGTACGAATAAAACTAGCACGGATATCGGCAGCTTGCAAGGGAATGTGGAGGTTATGCCTGTAGGATGGCGAGAGTCTTCCTACTCGAACTGACCCAGCACACACCGTCCAGGCTTGATTGTCCAGTAGTGCTGGCAATTGACCGTCTGTTACATAGCGACAACTCACAACTACTTGCTTGAGGAACAATCATTGTAGGTCATTGACAACAGGCACTCATGTCTTGGGGCAAATCTTTGATCTGCCTTATCGCGACTGGTCTTATCCTCGACCCGGGATCTTTCATCTCACCACTATCTAATCCTCCAGAGAATGCTCGGGAACCTAGAAACCCGTCAGTGGAATTGTGATCTCCACTTCTGGGAGCCACCAAGCAGGGACATGGCCAAGGCTCACTAAGGACAAATTTTCCTCCCACGAGGTCTTCATGGAGGGTCCATGAAGGTAGCCAATCCGAATGGAGGGGATATGAAGTTACGACGGGTATACACGAGTGCTAGATTGCTAGTAGATCATAATTGAATATCATCGAAAGGCGACTTGAAGGCCAGATATCTTGGATAACCTAGAAAATGACATGGCAGTAATATTCATAGTTTTTGTGTTTCGGTTGCGCACGACCAATGTGCCTCCATCGTCAGCAAGAAACGTTTTTTGTGTACGTGTAGGTACCAGGTAGTGGGAAGTTTATGAATCCCGTGCGGGTTGAAGTTTAATATATGCATACTGAGGACGTCATACACATCGCCCTATCTGTAGTATTGCCCCTTTCACTACTTCGCAACTCGATTACCAATTCTCTGTTCGCAATGTTACTGCAATTCCGACGCTGCCGTAAGCGGCGATCAAAGAGTCCGAAAACCTAGGATGGAGTTGAAGAAGTAGTACCGCTGCCGTACCTATGTACGAACACATCATCGACCCCCAAGCCATACTCCTCGAAATGAATAGTGATACAATCGACTATCCTTTGAATCCATGTTCATGCTCGCTTTAGTCGTTTGCAGGGACGAGTATTTTTTAGGTCAGCTGGCGCAGCCAACAAATCGCACAAATTAGAAAACATCCATGGTTTCCCTGAATTTTGGGCCGCCATCCATAGATGATCGACAGCGAACACTGCCACCACCGAGGCTTAGGCACGAAGTCTGGAATGCCCCTCATCCGGATGAATCATCCGGCGAGTGGTTGCGTGTCTGCTGTATTCTTGATTGCGGTCATGGACTCATGACTAGTGGGACTGCTATAGTAACTCATCGCTATGGTCAGGTGAGTCTCGTGAAGATCGTAATTGAGGCTGAGATCGGAATAGAGGGAGTGCACGAGGGTTCCATTGGAAGTACACCACTTCCCACTTGCGTGTCGCCTCATGAGCATAATATTGCCCCGAGAGTTCCATTACTAGTGGCCGTTGACGGTTGCCTCAACCACGGCAGGGTATTATCAATTTGATTGAGGCCTGCTGCTGATTCAGTCCGTAATGATGAAATGAGCGACCTACCTTGTTGTTCGTTCAGCCGCACATGGCTGGGTCTGTATCTTGCGGTCACCCATGCGTACTACGAGTAGATCTCGAGCCACAAGTGCCACCCAGGACACCTGGCATATCGCAGCGTAAGCATGTTGAAGATGGTACTGCGCTGACAGTGACGATCGCTTGAGAGCCCCTCAGTAGATGAGTGTATTCGCTAAAAAGCCACGATTGTCGGAGTTTCACCGTTTCCCTGAGCAGCGACCTGAGGACTTCCATCACAAATGGTAGAATCGCGTCATCAGGAAGTCCTCAGGCTTTTCAAGAGTTACTCGGGATTACCTGAAGTGGCCTAGAGAACGAAGAATGCGCAGAATCACGATATCATCTCTAAACATGGACATCAGCCTGGTAAAGCGGACGCATAGTGGCCGGGAATGGACGCGGATCGCGTATTACTCGAGGCGCAGATGGAAAAATTCAGGTACATACACCTCGCTTGCAGGAAATCTCAGTAAGATCTTCAACATTTCAAGACAGCACGTATCGCGAAGAGTGAAAGTAGAAAAAATCACGGCAGCCTGATGCTGGAAGAATATTCCATTCGGCGGGAGCATTCCAATCCGCAGAATTCGGTTCGTAGGTGTTGTGGCTGAGCAGTCGGAAGAGGTTGTGCCGGGTAAGGGTGATGATGCCAGAGCGAGTAACAAGATAGACGATGCCAGCAATGGCTTAGGCTGATGCTCCGAGAGTACCGTTGGATTTTTACAGGGTCGAGAGGCTCTGAACGAGTACGGAGGACGGAGACGCAATCAGTTAATGGGCACCTAAATTCACTTAGTATTGCACCAAGCACCACCTTGGGCTTAGCCAGGGACCATGAGCATCGCCTAACTCCATCCCTATTCCTCCAAGATAATCGACCCATGCATGCAACTCCAATCTTGCCTTCTTCAAGCTGTCACGACGCACTGCACTACACACCGTCCCTGTACACGGTTATATGACTCTCCCACAACCACTAGATATCGGCCTCCTCAAAGCCCACTATACTTCTCCGATAGCTTGTGAGCCATGCTTTCGCCTACTGCCACTCTGGAACGCGTCTGATATAGAAATCACCAACTTCCCCTGACCATGGACGCTCCCCTCAATTTCGATGGCGTCGGCCGTGAGTTTGATAAATGGCTTGACTGGAATGGCTCGGTCAACAACACCACAGACAACCATACTGCGCCTAACAAAGACTTTGTCGATCCTGGCACTCTCTTCCAACTTCCCATATCTCCTTCTTCCACCACCAATGGCGATGGTCACAATCCCTTTGTGAAAAACGAACTCCTCACCGCCCCTCCTCCCGTTGATATCCTTACCCCCCGGCACAGTTCGGCTTCTCCAGAGTCCCGTTCTAGTATCGACATCAGACTCAGTGGCGATACACTACGTGATCAACATTCTCCCACTGAACGCCCAATGCTCAAAAGAAAACTATCGCCCTCCGATGTGCCCACCACAGATTACTCAAAAGACACCCACGTACCAGCGGCCAAGAAGCGTCCTCACAATGTGATCGAAAAGCGATACCGAGCAAACTTGAATGAGAAGATTGCCGAGCTACGGGACAGTGTACCAAGCCTTCGCAGTATAAAGAAGACTAAAGGACGAGACGGGGACAATGTCGACAGCGACGACGAAGATCTTGATGGTCTTGCTCCCAGCAACAAACTCAACAAGGCCTCGATCTTGACCAAAGCAGTCGAGTATATTCGGCATCTGGAGTTCCGCACCAAAAGATTAGAAGACGAGAACAAGGCTCTTAAAGCACGCCTCGAGACCTTGGACAAGGTCATTGCTGCGGGCGGACAAGACGCCCAGCGAACGGCTGCCTTCACAAGTAACACGATTATAGAGGAGTCTTCTGAACCCATTTCTGCCGAAAATGTCTCGAAAACAGACCAATCATCCTCAACTCCAGCACAGGGTCTCATTCCAGTCCCCGACATCTGGCGAAAAATGAGACAGAGCCAGCCTGAGGAACATTATGGCCATATCTATCAAACAGCTAATGAACGGACCAGATTCAAGGGCAAATGGCCCACAAGGATCATGCTGGGCTCACTTGCCGGACTTATGATTATGGATGGTCTTACGGAATCAGACACTGGTACTGAGTCTCGTGAGAAAGGCCTCTTTGGCATTCCACTGGAGCTCCTCGACGGGTGGCAGTTTCTACGATCTCCCAGAATTTATCTCGCGGCTTTTAGCCAATTCTGTCGAACTGGAGGCATCATTCCCCTCGTCAAAGGATTTTTCGCTTTGACGGTTCTGGCCTTCCTCATTTTCTCATACCTATTCAACTCAAAACCAACACCCAAGGACGACCTGGAAGAACTCGGCACATCCGCAAACCAAGCACCGGCCCCAGCCTCACCCATCGAAGTACGAAGGAGGGCATGGAGCACGAGCATGCAAGCTCTTCACCTCCCTCACCATAGCTTCTTTCCGGAGTGGTTAGCCATCACTTCCGAGTGGTTCAAGTACACCTTTGGTTACATCTTCGGTCCTCGGGCCTATGCCTGGCTTACTAAACGGACCGTCGAAGATGACGTGGCTCGGATCAAAGCCTGGGATATCGCGATCGATGCTCAATTAGCTGGCGGAGATGTTGAAGTCAGTCGGAGTAGGGTCGTGTTAACCATTTTCGGATCCGGGACATTGCCTTACACACCCCTGAGGCTAATGTTGAAAGCTCTCCACTGTCGAGTTTTATTGTGGAACGTGGGCTCACTCGGAACAGCGACATCCAGGCTCGCTAACCGTGTTGGGCAATACTTTGCAAACAGGCAATGGCGGCGAGCCAAGGCCTCGCACGACAAGCTACCACTCCAACATTCAGACCGACTCCCGCGTTATCTGACGGAAATGCTCAATCTGCCTTGTGATGATGTCTTCCTTGATACGGTCTGCCAAAGGGCGTACAACCTCATGTACGATCTACCAACACAGGAGCATTCCTCCAATGAGCTTCTGGATGTTGTTGTTGATGATCATGCAGTAAGATCACCGCTTGATGCAGTTGCCGCCTGGAGGTCAACCCAGGCTTTGACTCAGGCTCTAGAATCGACCCTGCAGTCCCCTGATTCTCCTGAACTTGCTCAAGAGCATCTCAACTACGCATTGAAAATTGCTCCCGTGGGCTCTACAGCTGAAACCCGAGCTCTAGCCGCAAGCTCGGTCTTCAGTACGGCGAATCGGAATGCTTTTTTGGTGCGAGCTTCCAAGGCAATGGACACCGCTCTACCTTCTGATACCAAAACCACAATGCAAAGCCGACCACCGTATTTCATCGATTCCTCCACTCCATTATCGGCAAGAGCCGATATAATCAATTGCCTGCATTGTGCTAAAACTCTTCAGATTCTCGATTGTGAGGGCAATGCTCAGAAAGCTCTTGCCTTTTTCTCCTCTAAGAATATCGATGCCACATCTACGAACCTCATGACCCAAGCCGCGGCTAAGCATCTTATCCGACGCTTGTCGAGCATAGAAATATCAAATGCAAATGGTGGAGAAGAGGTTCGACACCTACTTCACGATTTCACACGCGTCGCTGACATTTTGGACGTTGCAAGAGCCATGAAGTTCTCAAGACGATCCAGCATCCTCAGCGATGATACTGGCTACGAGAGTCAGGACGAGTCTATCTCGTCGTGGGGTCTTGATCAAGACCTACGTTGTGTCGAACTAACAACTCCGGCATTGAATGCTGAGTTTGTGGTGTAATATACTTCTGCGCATGTTGGCGTTGAGCTTCATTTATGGTAGCAACAGATATTGTATCGCATCTTCACATAGGGACTTGCCCACCGGGAATTACGCACTTTATGAATGATGGTACCGCAGGGTCATAATTACCAGTGAGGACATGATAATGGAACAAGCGCATTGCCTTAAATTTCAGTAGCCATTACTTGTTCGAGTGTTCCATGCGTAGCTTTAAACATGCTTTAGAGTTGTAACGAGAGTGCCTTCCACCTTCAAGGTGTTCAATTGATTTCACCAAGGAATCCAATGAGCCAGGGCGAGAATCGGTTTAAATGACGTGGACTACAGTCCCATAACATCAACGGAAACCACAGCAGCATTTCTCCTATCTACACACACATTTTCGTCATATGCTATCCTTCTATTAAGGTGCATTTCTGAGTTCCGATCTTTCTTGGTCACCACCAAGTTTCACCATGGCTGGCGTTACTGAGAAAGATGACATTATATGGGACATCGGGGTGTTTGATGCTCATTGTCATCCCACCGACATCATGGCCTCCACGGACAATATTGTAAGCATGAAAGCACGCGTTCTCACTGTGATGGCAACCAGATCCCAAGACCAGAAACTTGTGGAAGATACTGCCAGGCGTTACTTGCTCAATGATGAGGCCGAAACGCGCTCACAGGGACAAGATGCAAGTCGACGTGTACTGCCGGCGTTTGGATGGCATCCGTGGTTCTCGCACGAGCTCCACGATGATCGTGAATCGAAAGATGAGCTCGACGCATCGAAGCATTATAGATCAGTGCTAGACCCTGAGCCACAGGACTCGAGTTTCATCAATGCACTGCCGTCACCAACACCACTCAGCCAATATCTAGCAGAAACTGAGCGACGACTCAAGGATTTCCCGCTTGCCTTAATCGGAGAAGTCGGACTCGATCGTGCCTTCCGTCTTCCCAACTTACCAGTCCCAAAAGGCTCAGCAGAGGAAAGAAGTGACAAAAGTGGCGGCTCAACTGAGGAGTATACTGGCGGATCTCGCGAAGGACGCCCACTAACACCTTTTCGTGTCAACCTGGAGCATCAAAAATCGATCTTGCGAGCACAGCTAGACCTCGCAGCAAGGATGAACCGGGCAGTCTCGCTTCACAGTGTTCAAGCCCACGGAGTGGTGTTCGATCTCATCCAGTCAATGTGGAAGGGCCATGAGAAGCTGTCAAAGCGAGAGCAGAAGAAGCTCAAGACTGCTGAACCAGATGCTCGTCCTGAGAAGATATCATCTGAGCCGAGCAAGGATGAGATGATGGAGAGACGCCTCCCATATCCTCCCAGGATATGCATGCACTCTTACTCTGGCCCACCAGATGCTCTCAAACAATTCTTCAACCCCAAAGTCCCCACAGACTTCTACTTTTCATTTTCGGCGGCCATCAATTTTTCAGACTCACATGCGTCCACAGACAAAGTGATCAACGTCATCAAGCTTGTGCCTGATGACAGAATACTGATAGAAAGCGACCTTCATTGTGCTGGTGAGAGAATGGATGGTCTGCTGAAGGATATAGTCGTGAGGGTCTGTGAGATCAAACAGTGGCCATTGGACAGGGGTGCAAATCAATTGAAGCATAATTGGATGAAATTTGCTTTCGGTTGATTGTTAGACAATGCCTGAGGAGTTTGTATGGCATCAAGGGCATTCACACCTTTCGCGGCTTATTCGTCCTGGCAACAACATTGGGTGAATGCTTTGTCTAAGGAATTTCTCTCGGCGGTGGATGATGTCGCCTTCCAGAGGCAGCGCATGCAATATTCGCTGCCTTGAACTTCTGATCTTTCTCAAGATACATGTTGCCAACCCATTCTCTCCTCTCTCCACCCTGGTTGTAGATTCTCAGCAACCACATGCCTCACAATCATGTATTCGTCCAAGGAGATATGTCAGCTCAACCCTCCTCGAAATCTCCAGCCAAGCGACTGGGTTATCGAGCTTCCCCAACATGCCGTTCAATCCGGAACACCTCTTGCGATAGCCCGACAACAATACCAAACCGTCCGACTGGACAGATTGATTGGGTACATTGAGAATCGCTTCCACAAGGGATGTTGCTTCTATGAGTTCCTGGATGAGAACAAGGATCAAGATTCACTGCCTGGCCAAACCCTCGTGACGAACCTATTCGCCTATCATGAGATCGAACACTGGCCAGGTGCGAAGGCACACGTCAAGTGGACTGAATTTGTCATGGAAAATCTCGAGTACGATGCGCAGGCTGAAGCTCAAGCTTCGGAACAAGGTCTAACTTGTAAGTTGCTAGCATGGTTCGATATCTTGGGTGCCCCTTGGTGCTAATCAATCAATTGTGCTAGTGCCTCCTCTTCCACTAGAGGCCGTTCCCATTTTCAGAGCGATGCAATTGAGCGAAGGCCCAAAACTCGCAAGGAAAGCAATTCGATTGAGAACATCTATCCAGGAACTTACTGCTTACAAATTTGAGCGAGTTGGTCAGAACGTCCATACTCGCACTCCTTCTGATGTACCGCAGCCTGATGAAGGTCCAAATAGCAAACGCCCCCGACTTGCTGTTCTCTGTGAGCCAGACCATGGGATATCGTCTTCTCAGCCTGAGGGAATCTCTGGTCATTCGATCGACACCCAAAAGCAAGGAGTACTGTCAGAAGGAGAACCACTCGAACCGCAAGCTGCAGCACAAACTCCATCTGCGCCTCTTCCACCCACCAGCCGTCCTGGCATCTTTCTTGATGTGCTCCTACCCCACTTCGGCATTCAGACCCGTCTGGAGAGCCAATACCTGGCTGCAGCATGCTGCAGACCCGAAGTCTTTCAACGCATTGCTACTGGTCATGGAAAGTGGACAACGCATACTGTCAAGAACCTGCATCGTTTGATGCTTCGGATCATCTTCTCCCACCAAGAATCGACCAGTAAGTCATTTGACGTCTGCTATGCTTTGGCCAGGCAGAAGATTCATGGATTCGCCGAGCGCGCTTTCTTGATGTGGCAACAGGCTAACCCCTCTGTCCCATTTGACGGGCAGAAAGACTTCCCTAACTGGCTGACGAAGATGTGGGAATACATATTCACAACAATTCGACACACACACTCTATTCCAGCTGATATGTCTCCAGACCGTGCCGCAGTCATTTCCAAGCATCAGCATCTCATAGCAATGTCACGCCAGCAGAGGATCTTACGGAGTTGGTCAACCCAGCTGAGTGCACGAGCTGCTCAACATGGGCAGGTGAGGTTTCGTGCTGAAAAAAATTGGTTGCTGGATTTGTGGACTGGAAAAGTGGTTGGACAGCCACATCCAGAGACAGGCGAAACGACTGATCCGACTTTGAGCCCCTCTGCTCGACATATGCTTGCGTTGACTGCTGCTCCAACTTCTACGCTGCCCCCGCCAGATGGTGGAACAGTGCAAGTCGATACAACACAGGGTATTGCAACCGTCATATCTTCAGATCAGCAATCCGGCCTTAACGGAGACTCTTGAGGGACGGATACATTGAGAGGGGAACACAAGTGCAAGTTCTGTCTGAGCACCAAAGTGTTTGTGATGATTACCGGGCAACCACCGGGCCATACTGTCACGTTGGATAGCTCAATCGACGAACCATGGTTTCTTTTAGGTAGTCTCAGTATCGATGACAGCGCAGGTCCAGCAGAGAAGAATGGATATCAGTTTTCTCAACGTGGCTATTGTGCCCATCTATGTGGGCAATGGGGTGATTTGGTTCCGCGAAACACTAGCAGGAGGCATAATATTGACGCAAGTCGGATGTATTAGCTTTTCAAACACTGAACCGAGAGCTTACTGGGTATGCCAGAAACATGACTACAGCGCATGTATCAAATAGACAGCTTAAGTTCCCCCGAACTGATCAATTACGAATCATTATGGTAGCCTCACCAAAAGTAGTCCGATCAGCTGTGATATCTCGGCGGATTCTTACTCAACACACCCCAAAGCTCCGCCCACTTCCTCTGCATCTCCTCCGACAACGGGCCCTTCTCACAAGCATTCAAACTCGCATCAATCTGCGCCTCCGTCGACGCACCAATGATGACGCCATCCTCCTTCCCCAGCGGCGAATGATGCACGAACCACCTCATCGTCGCCTCCATCAACGGCACGCCCTCGACATCACACCTACTCTGCACCATCTCCAATGCCCCCAGAATCTCCTTCGTGAGGTAGATGTCCCCAAAGATCTTCATCTCATCGAACCGCGACCCCTTGGCCGGCGTCCTGATCTCCGCCAATGGCTTCGCCAACAACCCACCCGCGAGCGGCGAAAACGCATAGAATGCCATCCCCAGCTTCCGGAGCAGCTGGAACAACGTCTTCTCCGCCCCGCGTCCAATCGGATTATACCCGCCCTGGTACACACTGGGCAAGACGTATCCCTCACGCACGCAGATGTCATGGATGCTTTGGACCTCGGCGTCCGAGATATTCGACACGCCGAACCGCTCGAACCGCCCCTCGCGATACAGCCCGTCGATCGCGCGACACTGCTCCTCGAGAGCGACGGTGCGGTCCGGGCCGTGGAGATAGTAGATGTCGACCTTGTCCTGCTTCAGCGCGGCGAGCGACTTCCGGCAGTTGGCGATGATGTTTTGCTCAGCGAGCGAGCCGGCCGCGAACGCCGGTGCTTTGGTCGAGATGGCGAACCGCTTGTGGGCGTCCGTCTCGCCGAGGAGTTCCTCGGAGCGCCCGCCGTTGTAGACGCGTGCCGTGTCGAGTTCGTGCACGAAGCCGTGCTTGGATACGGTGTTGAGGAAGGATGTCACTTGGATGGGCGTGGAGAGCGAGGACGATCCCTTTGCCACGCTGCTGCCCATCATCCCGACGATGATCTTCACCATCTTGCCTGCCACGGTGGGATTTTTGGTGGTATTTTCCTTTTGGAGTTCTGCCGTGCTGTCGTGCTGTGTCCGTTCAAGGAAACCTTCTTGGATTGATTTATCGAACAGCGAAGTCACCTAGCTAAATAAAGGACAGAACACACTTGAATGCCTGGGGTATGATGATAGTCTAACAGCTCCTGGTAGGAATCTCACGTTCAAAGGTGACCTTGACGTCTCCTTCATCTTCATATAGCCACAACGAGACGGCCTCACAATCGTCCGTCCCCAACCAATCACATTGAGGTCCGAGCATGTGTCGTCCGGGCTTCCTGGACGAACTCGGGCTGCTGGCAGTTAAGATTAAGCTTTGGTGCAAAGTGCGGGTTAGTATCCACGAGGCTGAAGGTTGTAATGCAATGTATGACGACATTTGAGATCGTGAAGGGCGCTAGAGTACGATCGACTGCGGCTGGACCAAATTGAAAAATGGCACCCTTCAATTACAGCCTTTGCTACACGCTACTCAGGTATCCGTGGGGTAGCATCTGCTTAATTTAATCTTCAGCTTTGGCCCGGTGGCATTTACCCATCCTGACCTGGTGATACTTAGACGTCGACGGCTTCGTAAGGACACAAGACTTGCATGTGAGTCGAATAAGGCCGACCCCTACCAGCCTTCTACGACGATCAATCACTGAACGAGAAAATCTACAGTGTCGCTCTCGTCCTCAATCTACAGCTTCGCACCAAAGACCTTGCTGAAGACGAAGAGATTCCTCTTCCCGTCGTTCTTGACACGGCCCGTCCGCCCAATCTTCTCCTCCGACCCCGAAGATATCTCTCGTAGTGTCTCCTCGTCACCGTGATTCGCGACAAATCTGTGGCCGTTCTTCTTCAGTCGACCGATGATATAAGCCCGCAATGGTGTGTTGTCGCGTTTGAATTCGACCGTGTATGTCTGAGGAGACGGTCTTGTTAGTGGATATTTTAAGGTGGTTTGTAGCAAGGGAGTTGACTATTCGTGAGAAGGGTTAACAGTACCTCAATCGTTGCTTCCTCGTTGCCTTCTACCTTGGCATCCACAGTTGGAACTGGAAGATCCGTAACCCATTCTGGCAATGGGTTTTTGGTGGGATATGGTGATCCATCCTGTCGAGCTGAGGTTGAGAGGCAAAGCACGTGTTGGTAGCTCATTACTCCGCCATTGGCGAGAATTAGACCGGTGCGGCCTTTGCCTTGTCGTAATTGCCGTGTCATTTCTGTGATCGCCTGGAGGGAGGTTAGTGGTAGAAGAGGGTTCGTGGTGCGAAAACCTCACATGCATAGAATAGTTATTGCCCGCGCCACCGAAACTCGTGAGACCACCGAGCAAAGTCAAAGCTTTGGTGCCCTGGGTAATGGGTAGTTGCAAATGCGATGCCGCAATTTTAGGCACGATGGGGAAGCATCTGGAGATAGTCCTTGGTTAGTTTCTCTGAGTCGTGCTTCCAAATGATATTCGTCGCGACGGGTTATGAGGAGACGTACGAGTAGAAGTCATATAAGTCAATGTCCTCTTTCCTGACCCCGGATACCTCAAGTGCAGAGTCGATTGAGCGCTCTATCGATGGACTAGAGTGGTAGTTTGGTCGTTCCCAAACTGAGAGTTGCAAACAATGATCAGCGTTTGCCGGCCTGCCTATGTGGAGAGTTGTACTTACACGCATCGCTATCTCGCGTCCCGGCCCCACCTAACGCATAAATCCATTTTGCTGGGGGTATTCCTAATTCCTGCGCATAGCTTTTCGACGTCAAGATAACTGCTCCGGCAAGGTTGACAGTATTGAAAGCATTCATCAGGAGAGGATCTAAGCAGCAAATATCAGTCAAGAATCCTCTGGAATAAAGCACTTGAAGTAGCTTCGTACATGGTAAACAAATCATCCGGTTTCGCTTGGAAACGGTCGCAATGTCCTGCTTGGACTTCCGTGAGCCGTAGTTCCATGCCAGAGGCTGTTTCTCTGCCACCTCGGCGAATTCGGCATAAAGCTGAGCAGATTCGTCGTGATTTGCTGCTAGAGATTGCCCTCGGTGGGCGCGAAACCCGTTCTCAAACAACGGATATATATGGATCGGGTCTCCAATCGAGTGGGTTCCGCCAATATCTGATTGTTGTGAGCCGGATGTGAATCAAACACTTTAGTCTAGGATTTACTCACTAGTACCGTGATCCCTGCCAGTGGCCGAGAAGACAGAAGTAACATCATCCTTCGTCTTCGTCCACCCTGGAGGAGGTAATTTTTTGGCTTGAGCACAAGCGGTCACTAGAAAAGTGTCAGGTCGAATTTGGAACCCAATCCTGGTTGGAGACCTACAGGAAGCCAAAGCCTCTCCTCCGGCCACGACAGCCACCTTGGTAGTGCCTTTCGAAATCCTCCGGGCAGCTTCGTCCAGCAATAAGGCAGGCTTGTTGCCTCCATGATCAGAGTAGAATTTGTGCTTGGGATTTACACCCAGTTTTTGACCAATAAGACCTGGTAAGTCATCGTACGGCCATGTCCACGTTCTCACAACATCAACGCTGTCGATACTAGACTGTAAGCTCAATCTTTTATCTTCAGCTAATCCTGTGTCATCAAAGGCCTGTTGAAGGGCATTCAGGATAAGCGTTAGAGGCTCATGTGCATCAGAAACAGAAAGTGAACGGTTAATGTAGTCGCCGACGCCAACAATGACTGGGATTTCGGAATGAGAGCCCATAATTGTAGAGGGTGTTTAATGGATTGATCGGGGAGTCTGCACTCTTTACTGGAAAGAGGGAAAAAAAGCAGCGACAGAGCAATGCATTGTCAGAGAAGTCTCGATACACTACCTTCCTGTATGACCATAAATCCCTAGGTTGATTCCTGCCAAGATTGGCTCCAGCGATATCTACAGCCGAAGGAACAAGCGACATCATCAATGGGCCGAGGTTACCGTGTGGAAAGGCACTTAGCTGATCGGCACGGCGGAGCTCTAACGTCGCACTTGCTGACTCCGAAAATCACACATCAAGCACAACTCTGACTCGGCCTTTTCTTCAGGGCATTCTTAACATGTTCGTTGCGTCATTTCACAATATGTGATATATATCCAACAACAAACTCGTCGTCGAGGGCACACCAGCTGCCAACTTATATTGAATGCGTCTTCCAAACAAGCTTTTGCCGGAATGGAACAATATATCTCCAGTTTGAGGTTTCTCACTACTGCCTCGTATTCGTATTTGATGACTCGGGCTACAACCTCGACGACTTACGCGTGCTGGATTAAAATCTATTCATATCTTCATCTTTATTTCTCTCTCCTGATCCACTCTGTTCCCCTTTGGTTCTCCTCAAACCGCATGCATCCGTTCTGCACAAACCCCAGCTACCCAGTTAGGGTAGCCTTCTGCTTCGCTAGTGCGCTGCAATTCTCCCAGCCATATGATGATAGCGTTCCCATCAATGTTGATGAGCTGTTGCGTTTATTGATGTTGATGACATGTTGATTCCTTGAAAATTCCCTCGATCCGGCAACTACGGCAAAACTAATTCTTCCCGAAATGCACAACGGCCATCTACATACCCCAGACTCTCAGGCAGGGACATACAGCTGCATCCATTACTGTATCTGCTAGGATGTCGCGTGCAGCCAATCCAGTAACTGCCCGGAGACTCAGCATGTATATGGTCCAGCCAGCGAGTTCCCCATGGTTGGACTACAGAGCGAAACCACACCTATACTGCAGTTAGAGGTTGCTTATTAACAAATCATCTGTGAGCTGATTGGACCGTGAGTCAGCCACAATCCCATGCACTTATTCAACCACTATGGAAAAACGTTCTCCACGGACCAGTAGTTGTGGGCGGTCCGGTCTTATTTCATTTTTTTGTATTCTGCGGCATGTTCTGAGTGAGTTTTTCTGCATCCCAAGTCGCACCTGAAGCCAGGGTTCAGGGTTTCGGGGTTCGCGGCATTTAAAGCCCAGAAACCTGGATGGCAAACCCTCCACTCTACTCGCGCTGTACTTCCATCTCCTCGCTCCTCGGAGTTCTATTCAATGGATATCACCCTGGTACGGAACTCTGACCTATTGTTGTTGTGGAAGGTGGACCACGTTGTTAGTCAGATGGCATACATTCAATTTGTTCCATCAGGCCACATAGCCAACCATTCATTCGCTCGCTTTTGCTAATACATGACAACATGGCAATTGGTGTAACAGCGCAACTCAGGAGTAGTACATAGACCCATTTCATACTGGGTGGTCTTGAGTATAAGTAGCACACTCTCTTCCCAATGAACAACTGAAGTTCATTCGCACCGCCATGAAACAACACTCAATGCTCGCCAGAACAACACTCAGAAGCCTTCCAGCCAGGTGCACTAGATCGTTCAGCTCAAGCATGGCGACCAAATCTGCGAGCGTCAAGACAACCTCACCGCCAGACTTCCCCTTCGCACGTCCCTCCGGCGCAGAGCCTGCTATTGAATATGCAAAGCTGAGAGAAGAACAACCGATCTCACGTGTCAAGCTATGGGATGGCAGCGAGCCGTATCTTGTCGTCAATCACAAAGACATCACGCAAGTTCTGACGGACAGTCGGTTGTCAAAGCAACGTCAGCGGGCCGGGTTCCCTGAGATGACTCCAGGAGGCAAAGAAGCGGCGAAGAATAAGCCGACTTTTGTCGATATGGACCCACCGGACCATGAAAGGCAAAGAAGCATGGTAGAGTCATATTTCAGTAAGACCAGTGTCGACGCTATGAGACCGAAAATTCAGAAGACCGTCGATACACTTCTAGATCAGATTGCGGCGAAGGGCTCCGGCGCCCCTTTAGACCTGGTCGAGAAGTTTTCTTTGCCAGTTCCTTCATTCGTGAGTATAGTCAGCCGAGGTTTTGGATTTATGCTGAGTGACAGATCATCTACGGTATTCTTGGCGTGCCTCTTCACGATCTGGATTTCCTGACACAACAAGCCGCGTGAGTTCCAGGTCAGTTCACATCCAAGAACTTTCGTTAATAGAGATAGAATTCGTTCCAATGGCTCAGCAACCGCCACCGAAGCCTCCCAGGCGAACTCAGTTCTTCTTGACTATCTTGCATCATTGGTAGACAAGCGCGTCCAGCATCCAGAGGAGGACTTGATCGGCACATTGGTGAAGGAACAGGTTGGCCCACCCTGGCTTCCATCCTCATATCCCCCCGCAACTACTAACCTCATCTTAGGTCAAGCCCGGCCACATCACGAAGGACGACGCCGTCCAAATCGCATTCCTTCTCCTGGTAGCCGGCAATGCGACCATGGTAAACATGATCAACCTTGGAGTTGTCACTTTACTGCAGCACCCAAAGCAACTGCAAGACCTGAAGAGCGACCCCAGCCTTGCACGAAAGTTCGTGGAGGAGCTATGTCGCTTCCACCAAGGTTCAGCGATGGCGACGCGGCGCGTGGCGACTTGTGATGTCACATACGGCGGAAAGGTAAGGCTCTGGCCTCATGACCTCGAAGCCATTCCCGACTAAGAACAATGCAGGTCATCAAAGCTGGCGAAGGCATCATAGCAGCATGCCAGTCTGGGAATCGCGATAGTGCCGTCTTTCCTAAACCGGACGAGTTCAACCTCCATCGAACATTCGACCCCAAGGACTCTCTTGGTTTCGGATACGGGGCGCATCGCTGCATTGCCGAGGAACTTGCGAAGACCGAGTTAGAAATTGTGTTTGGTTAGTAGACAGATTCACTATCACATCAACCTGTTCGGGTCACTGTGACCTTGGCTGACATTCAACCCACAGCAACATTGTTCCAGAAGCTGCCGAATCTGACTCTGGCGATCCCACTCGACGAGGTGGAATACTCGCCGCCCACGAAGGACATTGGGATCGCACAGCTTCCAGTCATCTTCTAGGTTCCTGGCTTCCAAGGTGTCTTTACAATCTTGGAATTCAAGTGCTCTTTGTGGAGAGGAGTGTTGTAAGAGAACCCTGAGTCGGAAAATATAAGCTGTGTATGTATAAATTGTGATTGAATTTTGACCTACGGCAATGACAAAAAGCGAACATTTCCCCTCCAACAATAGGGCAACCATACTGAGACAAGCTGTTGATCCCCAACCTTCTGCCAAGCTAGTGACCCCTTTCCCTTCCCAGTCTTATAACATGCCATAAAGCTACCACATGCCCGCCACTTCTATTCTAACCAAATCCTAATCAGGCTCTGAATCGTTTGGGTCGTTTCGCTGGTGCTGCCGGTGCTGCCGGACCATTCGGCTGTGAAGCGGCGTTGGGGTCGAACCGCTTGTTCGGATCCGTCTGCGGTTGTGCCGGTGTTTCAGGAGTCTTCTGCGGTGGCTGTGGTGGCTGCGAGGGTTGTGACGGTTGCGCTGCCGGAGGTGTTGGAGTGACGGTGATATCTGGTGGCGGAGGCTTGCCAAGACGATTGATATCCTCTGGGCTCAAAGCGTTTGGATCTCTCTTTGGCGGCACACCGTTGGGCGTGGCGTGTTGCATGTAGTTCGGTCCAGTCGTGTTGGCAGGGCCATTCAGGGTGGGTTGTGCCATTCCAGGATGCATGGTGGTTGTGTTTGTGCCGGGGCCAGCACCGTTGGGCGTTGCTGATGGTTGTGGACTGCTTTTTGAAGCGTCTGGTGAAGGCACAAATCTAGATCCGAGAAGAAAAGCGCCGCCCACCGTGGACGCACCGACTGCGCCGCCCACAGTGGCTTTTGTGGTAACTCCCCATCCCTTCCGGACGTTCTGCTGAGTTTCCTGATGTTGCTGCCGAGAATTGGCGAGAGTCTGCTGCTGATATTGCTGAGTGTTGGCTAGATTTTCTCGATGTTGCTGCTGACTGTTGGCCAAGGTCTCCTGATGACGTCGTTGCTCCGCTTGAGCTGGTGTTTCTCCGGGAGCTGGCCCTGTGAGCGGTTGACTGAAATTGGTGGTGACTGCTTGACCTGGAGGCATGGTCGAGTGTTGTGGAGGGGCCCGTATTGAAAGAGGTTGAGTTGGAGGCTCGATCGAGTTTGGTGGTGGACGACTAGTGAGAGGCGGTTCATTTGAAGGTGCCGCTGGGTTTGATGGAGGCATTCCGGATGGAGGCGGTCCTGATAACGGCCATGATGGGCCTGGGTCCATCTGTGGTGCTGCTGCAGTTGGTGGAGGTCGGGTGGGGAATGGTTGAGTTGACGTTGACGGAGGGAATGGTTGCATCTCGAATTGATCACGAACAGGTTGTCGGGAAGAGGAAGCCTCCGTCGGTGGTATCCATGAAGAAGTTGTTGCCATGATTGAATCGTTAGATCAATTCTTTCCTTGCGGTTAACCGGCCCACAGATCGAGCGAAAGATCAATTATGTTTAAAGAGGTAGCCTGGTGTATATAATACTCTTGGACAGCTCGACCATTGATTTATGAATAAAGATCTAGCCTTGTGGTGGGTTGAACGACTGTATCGAATAATAGCAGCTCTCATATTTGGTGGAATAAATACGATAAACCAAGACCGTACTCCATCTTCTCATGCCTGAATAACCTTCTAGACATATGCTGAAATCCATACTGTCTCAATCGGGGAGCTCATTCATTTGCCCAAATTTAGTACTCCAGTTGAGTTTACATTACAAATTTTATGTATTTCATCGAGAAGATTCATACACACAATTGGGAGAGTGGCCAGAAGCGAACTATCTGAGCCTCGAAAGGCGCCCAGCCATATCACTGCGAGATCCAGAAAATAGGATTTTAGCGTCTGAGGATCAAAGTTGAGGTGGTAGTAAGTAAACATAGGATGTCCCGTGCTGATGTTGTGTATTTTGGTTCGACTATGTCCAATTTGCCCCACGGAGGGGAGGATATCTTACACGTGCATTTTGATCCTGGATCCAAGGACAGTGAAAGTCGTGTTCGGCTGGTTTGGTAGGAAGACGACTACCTTGCTAATGCCGCGCGCCTGAAAGAAAACAGGAGCCCGCCCCTATCTTGGGCAGCCTTAAAACTTGCAACGGACCCCAAAGCTAAATTTTGCAATATTCAAAATGAATTGACTAGGTAGGAAATAGCCTGAGTGCCCACTTTATTTCAATGTCCTCAAGGCGGAACACGATAAGGCCGGCAGCTTCGAGCACAGTTCCATTCTGAGAGTTGAGATATTATCTATAGATCTTTAGGCCTTAGCCTTTCGCTGCAATGCTCAGTATGTTACATTTTCCGCCCTAACTAGTTATGTTGTCAGGACTATGAATATTCGGCGTGTACTTACTTGGGACAACCAGGCTCGGTGCGCCTAAGCTACCACCTGTCTTGGGCGTAGCTCTGGAGTTATTGCTTTTCGCAGCTAACAATAGTTTTGTGCACCGAACAGCTCAGCAAGGTCGGGAGTAGAAGGCATAATATTGGTCTTAGAAGATACCTTTTTTAGATTCTTGATACCTTTCTGCCACAGAATCTGGAATGCAAACAAGTGACACACATATTTAGGTCTGGAATAATCTGTAAACAATTTCAAAAGAAACCACCCAGTCTCCTAAAGTTCATAAAGACATCCTTAACGGCCAAAAAACATAGCTGGTCATATTCACCGTTCAATACTTGGAAGCCCAAGATTTGATTATAGTTATCTTTCTCCACCGTCAATATGAACCATGAATATGACGAGCACGACACGTACGGAGACCACGGCGAGGAACATGAAGACCAATACAATCAGCATGAAGAACACGGCGGGCAGAATGATGACCTTGAGAAGGACATCACAGGCCACGCCCATGATGCCGAAAGCGCCTTATTCAACATGATTGAGGATTATAATGTCGAGAAGCTCCAAGACCCGGATGTCTGGGGAGTTGTCGAAGGGTTCATGAATCGAATTGTCAAACTCCTTTCTTACCTTGAAGACGTTCACGAGGAAAATCGACCAGAGCACAACGAGGAGGATCAGGACGAAGAACAAGATCAAGGTCAACGTGAAGATCAAGACGAGGATCAAGATGAACATAACCACGATGCATCGGGACTAGATGGCCTGCAAGATCAAATGGCAGAGAACGACGAGAATGCAGAATACGATCATGATCAAGACCACGATCAAGGCCACGACCACAATCAACATGGAGGACAAAACCATGACCAGCAAGACGATGATGATGGCCAATGGGACCATAATGACGATGCACAGAATGATGGACACGATCGTTATGGTAATGGGTGCTATGACCACAACAACCAGTACTAGGTGGTTCTGAGAGGAACAGTATTCCGCCATCGCTCGACTAGAAAGAGTCTAGTTGCAGCCTCGGCCTCATATTTCCGCTTAGATGTGGAGCTCAATGGCATGTGCATGATACCGCTAGGGATGGACGTCTGAGCATGGTTATGAGGGCTGGACGGCTCAAGGGGAAGACGACTGGAGTCTTTGAAAAGCAGAAACGTAGGCGCCTTGGCGCCAATTCGGGTTCAACTGGAGCAGGATGAATGGTGATGATGTAAATAGAAAATGATCTTTAACCTTCTCGCTCGAGAAGCTTGTTCATTGATATCCCAGGCGACAGTTGTGCAGCTGCGAGCTGAGTTTCAGCTGGTTTCCTGCAGTCTTGGAATTACCCACAGCTTCTTCGAGAGTTATAGATTCAAAGACTTCCTTTCCTTTCGCAATCGACCATATTTCTAGGCTTTCGACAAGGCTAAGGAGACTCTCCTTCTCTTGCTGATAGGATGTAAGAGCAAGCATCTGGAGTTTGAGCAGATCAACATTAGGAGTATCTTTCACTGTCTTGGCCGACGGAATTTTCACCAGTCCCTAATTTACGATCTCAGAAACGACTATTAGTGGTTCAAGGTTTCTTGAGGTACAAAGTCTGTGAGTTGCAGTACGACTTGAGTCCACCGATACCGAACTCGACCCCAATGCCACTCTCCTTGTGTCCGCCAAAGGGAACACGAGCGTCTAGTTCGAAGTGGGTATTCACCCAGACGCTGCCGGCGTGCAACTTTCGAGCTATTTCATTGGCACGCGCGATGTTCGAAGACCATACGGAAGCTCCGAGGCCGTACTGAGTGTCGTTGGCCTTTTGTATGGCCTCTTCATCGTTGCTGAAGGTCAGGAGAGGGACGATTGGTCCTATTGGAGCGAGTTGTTAGTGGCTGAACGGGATACAAAGAGGACAGGATAACAATACCGAAAGGTTCCTCCACGACAATCCTTGAGTCTTCCTTTGGTCGGTCGATTATAGTGGGAGTGATGAAGTAGCCTTTCCCTTCAGGAATTTTACCCCCAATCGCGACATTCCATTTCTCTTTCTCGATGTCGCTAAAGAACCCCTTGACACGCTCATATTGCATAGAGTTCTGAACGGGACCGAGGAAAACACCTTCGTCTGTGCCCGGACCGAGCTAGAAGAGTGATTATTAGTCCTTCGAACGAGGGAAAGCTAAGAGGGGTACTTCAATCATACCCTCAACTCTTTGGTAGCTTTGACGAGCGCATCACGGAACTCGTCAAAAATGCTTTCCTGAACGAAGATGCGTTTCAGAGCCAAGCAGATCTAATCGACGGTTAATTTTGAGTGACGCTAGAATGAAGGTGCCTTCCTACCTGGCCAGAATTCAAGAAGGCTAACTGAGCGATCTAGACAGTGTTAGCTTGACGTCGATAATGTCTTGAGGACGAAAACGTACTTTTGGTGCAACGGCATTGATATCAATGTCGTCAAGAACAACTGCCGGGTCATTACCGCCACTATGAAAACAGGTCGTTGATCAATCGAACCAATACACCGTAAAAGTTAAATGGAGAATGCACTTACAGCTCAAGAGTTACTCTCTTTAGGGTTTTGCTCGCCGACTCCATGACCCTCTTACCAGTGAATGTGGAACCAGTAAAGCTGATCTTCGCGGGTACCGGATGAGAAGTCAATAATGGCCCCAGACTATCATCGCCAGAGAGACTTTGCACCACTCCGGAAGGGAAATAGCGCTGGGCAAGCTCGACGAGCTTGAGGCCACCAGCAGGAGTAAACGGTGATGGTTTGATGATGATGGAGTTGCCTGTGAGCAATGCTGGTGCCAACTTTCCGCAAGCAAGCAGGATGGGAAAGTTCCACGGCACAATTCCTACACAGACCCCGAGAGGGGTGTAGCGTACCATGGTGTCAGCGTCACCAGCTTGATAGCGCTCCTCGGACAGAACGAGATTGGCAACGGTTTGAGTGAAACTCGCAGCCATGTCAAGCTCCATTCTAGCGAATGCCAGAGGCTTGCCTTGTTCACGCGTGAGCATTTTGACGAAATTGTCCTTTTCTTGCCTAATTCCGTTTGCAAATGCGAGCACAGCCTTCTTGCGCTGGTCCCAAGGGACATTTGACCAGACATTAAAGCCCTTTTGTGCCGCAGTCATGGCATTTTCGACGTCCTCTGGCGTTGACATTGGCACGTCTGGACCAGATTCGCCATTGGCAGGGTTGATGCTGTGTCTGGACCTGGCCGTTTGTACTTGCTTGCCATCGATAGTGTTGGCAAAGGTCGTCCAGTCTAGTGGCGTGGAAATGTCGTTGCTTTGCTCGGTGCCACCTTGTTCAGCCATGGTCAATTCTATGCTAACAGGACGGCCGACCCAAAAATGTCGACACTGTCGATTGATTGTTTTGTTGTTTAAGAAGAGCGATTGTTGGGATCACGTGAGTGTCAGAACAACACATGCCTCATCGACCGTTTCTTTCCTTTTAACTCTCCGCGTACCTCTCTCATACCTGACGCGTGGGAGGCGAACCGGCTTTGCAAGCACCATGCAAGGAACGCGTAGGCGCCCAAGTCTGAATTGATCAGGGTCACGAGTTGGACAGCCGCGGCATAGCAGTTGCAGTCGTGAGAACGAAATAGCTCGTCAAATCCAAACCCTAGGGGACTTTTGCCACATCGCGATCTACCAGCTGCATCTTGGTTTAGCATACACGTTATCTGCTCCAATGAGCTGCGCCGGCAGTGTTTTGGACATTAGATGTCAGAAAGCCTAGCCGCCGGTCCGTGGCAGTAAATATGTACGCCCCAACGATACAACAGCCGCGGACCGGGAGCCCGACGGATACAATTTTAAGTTGGACAAGTGACTATCCCATTCTTGGCAAATCTATCTGACAAACTTGAAGCCTGAGCAACGCCGGCTCCAAGGTTGCACAAGTGAGTTAGGCTGTTGCGAGTATTTCTGCTAGGTAGTAGACTCCCATGCAGGTCAATCAGCTATTCCAATTTTTCGAATATGTGAGAGGAATGACTCAATATCCACGGACCCTGGATCCCAAGGAAAGTGGTGTGAGTGATTAGCCTATTGGTCAAAGCCCCAGATCTGCCTGCCAAAAAGGAAAAGTGCTCTGTCTCCGCGCTTGTCCCCGCGTATGCTCTTGATCATTTGGGGCACTCCGAAAAGGGGCGGGCTGGGTATGTGGATCAAGCTCTCGTCTCAACCACTGTTGAGTCGACGCTATGGTATACGCCCGTGGGATAGTACGAGTACATCTATCGAGATCTCTCTACGGGCGCTCGAAATAGTATTGGGGACGATTCCTGTTGCCCCATGCCGCCAATGAGTCCTTCGAAAGGCTCTCTGGACCAACAGACTGGATCAACAACGAGGTTCCTGCACTGCCGGCACCTCTCGATGAGTGCAAGAGATACGTTTGCTGCGCTTCAAACGGCGCCTTGTCGGTAGAGAGGCCCTTCTCGGTCCCCTGTGCCGCCCTAGATCCTCCCCAATTCAAAAAAACGCGCATTGTCTGGAAGGAAGTAGGTACAATTAGTGGCAGGTCTAGTACGGCCGATCATGGGAGCACGATAGGCAGATAAGCCAAGAGCTCTTTACGAACTTCATAACGCCAAGGCGACATCCGGCTCTGGCAGAAGACGCTAGTAGGTATTTACCTAGGTAGGCGCACGGACTTTTCATTCGCGTCACTGGCTCCATTAGCTCCATTAGTTCCATTAGCTTCCGCGATCGAGAGTCTTCTACTACGAGTACGAAGTAGTAGTGCACTCCATACGAGGTACTTAGGTAGGTTGTGTTGCTGAGCTCGAGATCAAGTCCGATGGTGACGTTGGGCACAAGGGCAACCCAGTACCCCGTACCCCTCAGTGCCAAGGCTCATATGCCGCCTTCTTCCTCTCCTTCGGCGCTCCCTTGATGGCCCTCGTCCTCCCGTCAGTACTAATCGTTACAACCTACCCATCCCTCCGGCACAGAAATGTTGCCTCGACAATGTCCGGCGCCGACAAACAGATAGAAGCCCATTTTGCACCAGATCAGCAACGGTATATTGCACAGGCTGCTCGGCGGGCTCAAGCAGCATGCACTAGCTGTCGCGCCCGTAAGATAAGGTGTATAGCCCCTAATGGCCAGCCATGTGCCAATTGTGTCTTTGAGAACATTCAGTGTCTCCTACTGCCAAAGAAACGCCGAACGAAAAAGGTAAAGTCCACCGCTTCCGCAAGCGAGTCTTCTCAATCGATTCCACCCAGAGCATATGTCGATCCCGACCAACCTCGACAACAACCAGGGGACGCCTGGTCAAACACTCCCACAAATTCGGAGCAAGCGGTTCAAGAGACGCCTCCGTCCCATACAGATGATGGTATCAATTGGGAGGAAGCGGCCCTCAGAACCCTCCCGCCCCCGCTGCTGCCAGACGCTTCTCAGTCTCCCGCCGCATCAGTCGAGATTACACAGCCGAGTGTGTCGTTCTCCATACCAGATTTTCTCTCTCCACCTCCTGCGCAGTTGTCAAAAGAGGATCTGAATTATCTTCACCAGAAGCGGACGCTTTCCATCCCTGAGCCTGAACTTCGAAGTGCCTTGATCAGAAGCTACATACTTCATGTCCATCCCTTTTACCCGATTGTCGATCTGGAAGCCTTGCACGATCTCTTGCACGGGGCTTCGCACCAAAACCCGTTCAGTCTCTTGGTCTTCCAGGCCATAATGTTCGCAGGGTCTTCTTTTGTGGAAATCAGGATGTTAAGGGAGGTGGGATTCTTGACTCGAAAGGCTGCTCGGAATGCATTTTTCCTAAAAGCAAGGGTGAGATTAAAAACGCACTGAATTTCCTCATCAATGTCGCTAACAATGCTGAAAGCTACTATACGACATGGATTATGAGCAGGACTGCCACTCCCAAATTCAGGCACTCATTCTGATGTCCACCTGGTGGAAAACACCAAAGGAACAAAAGGATGGCTGGCATTGGTTTGGTATCGCACTATTGCTTGCGCGAAGTATTGGTCTACATCGCGATATCAATGCCCAGAACTTGAGCGCTAAGTCTCGAGCATTGCGCCGGCGCTTATGGTGGAGCTTCATCATCAGGGATACACTCGCATCGATTTCCACGAACCACATTCCGCTTATTCGAGATTCGGAGTTTAGCGTGGCTTCTTTGACCATGGATGACTTTGCCCACGACGCATCTCCAAGGATCATCTCCACGTTCAATGGTATTCCAAACTTTGAGGTTCGGAAATTTGCAGAGATCGGCATCCAAACCGTCCACATCTGCCGACTCATCAAGCAAGTATTGCTCACTGCTTTCCATGAGACCACAACAGGCAATATCGATATTTTGTACCTGAATAAATCTTCGAAGTACGAATCCTTGCGATCTAAATCGCAGGATCTGCACGATATTGAGAGATCATTCGAAAAATCGCTAGTAGATGTGTATTCTCCTCTCAAATTTCAGACAATTAGCTCTGAGGCTGAGCAGGCCCTACAACTCCACAAGGCATTGCTATCTATCCTCTGTCATTATGGAACACTCTTGATACATCGTCCAAAGCACGCCAACGAGCGGAAGAACAATCTGCGAGATCATGTAACATCTCGTACCAGGGTGCGTAGTGCGGCCATCCATGTGAACCAGATTCTCATGGAGATTTACACCGCCGACCTTACGAAGCGTATGCCTTCAACAATAGTAAGCTGTCTTATGCCGGTTGGTATCAGTCACATTCAGGACATGAAAGACAAAACCCCAGCGGTTCACCGCGAAGGTCGTCGACGTTTGGAAGAGTGCAAGCAGATCTTGATGGAGCTCTCAGACGGCCACATATCTGCGGAGTGGACGCTGAGCTTTCTAACATATGTGGAACGTAAGGTGAATGATCCTCTACGAGCTTCGACTGAGGCAGCAGCTGTGACGGGCGAACATAGCTCCAGTTTTCCTCGGAGAACGGATGAATTCGAAGGTGGTGTGCATCGGGAGTTCAATCAGCACTCCCCTCAGGTAGGGCGCGAGAGCTATGAGACCAACAACTCGACATCTGTTCCAGTTGCGGACTTCGCGTCCATGAGGCCTTTGGATTCAATTTTTCCAATCGCTGACGAGGTCGCCCACCCTCTGGATCTCATGTTACTCGAACCAAACTTCTTTAATGATTTTCAGAATGACCTGCACTCAGGAGAATACCTTGCGCCTAGTATGTCGATGTATGAAAATGCAGAATATCAAGTGCAAATTTGACTGGCTTGATGGTGTACTGCCAGTCCCGGGAATCTCTGTGACGACGGAAGACGATCAAAGGGGGCAAGGATTTCTATATAGCTGACATGTAAGTTATTTGTTTTCAGAATTTGAGGCCTGAATGTGTCCTCCGATCGGAGATGTATGAAGCCTAGTGACTTGTATGGAGGTATCCCCCATCCACCCTGAGTACCACCCCATTTACCCAACCGCCTTCTTCACTTAATAGGAAGGCTACGGCTTTGGCAATGTCCTCAGGTTCTCCCAGTCGACCCAGGGGTGTGGCTTGCTCAATTGGTGAAAAAAAGGAACTGGGAAGCGTCTTCAAGGTCGCAGTCATTACCACTCCTGGAGCAATGGCATTGACTCGAATTCCCTTCTCACCCCATTCAAGCGCTCCTGCGCTCGTCAAAGTCTGCACACCTCCTTTAGCAGCTGAATATAGTCCGAGGCCGGGCTCGGCTCTAAGGCCGGAGCCCGACGTGAAATTGACTATACTAGATCCCCGCCCAAGATGCTTCACTTGGGCCTTCATACAGTTCCAAGTTCCCCTCAAATTAACATTGACCACAAAGTCGAAGTCTTCGTTCGTCGATTCCGTCAATGGCTTGATTGGATGAGTTGCTCCACAGATGTTTGCCGCATGATCGAGTCGACCGAATTTGGAAACGACGTCTTCGATCCACCGCGATACAGCGTCTTCCTGGGAGACGTCCACGATTGTCGCCCAGAATTGCTGACCTGCTTCCGCCGGTATTTTCTTCAGCAGAACTTCTGTCTGAGCCAAGTTTGTGGGGTCGATATCAGAAATGGCCAACGTCGCTCCACGAGCATATAAGATCTGTGCCGTGCTTTGGGAAATTCCACTGCCGGCACCTGTGATACTAATGACCTTTCCCAAGAAGGGTTTGGATTTCAGCGCTCCAGTCATTTTCAACTTCAAATCACTTTTTCCTCAGTATAATCGAGACAACGTCTTTCTTCCACGCGCTGTTAATGAATATGTGTACCAAGCAGAGATATACATGCGAAATCATGATTTATAAGGGCCAGTAGATGACTACCAGTGGATTGGAGTCACTTACCTCGGACCGGTGAAAAAGTATACTGAAGCACAGCTTTTGCTGTTACCTGCCCGTCTTAACACTACTGAATGAAACCTCGTAGAAAACGTGATTCAAATGGATGATGCCAGCAATTTCTGGGCCGCGGGAAGATAGTGAGGATCAGACATAAATGGGTTCAGCATGACTGCTCCAGTGCACCAAGTTCGTTCCTTGCATGAAATACTTCTACGCGGGGAAAATGTTCCACCCCTCAACTCACGGCCCGGCGGCTGGGGAGAATGGTTCTGGCAAAATGCGGGGCAAAGTCGTGAGACGGCGCACAGGAAGCCAGGCAAAACGACCCTATGCCTATGAGCCCGGGGATTGCATTGGAGCGTTTATTGTGGTAGTAAGCGTGGTCTTGGCTGCTTGTACACTTTTATTGCAGTTAAGCATGTTGCAATCGAAGTCGTCCCGCAAAACTCGAAGAGAATCACTTGACCGGGCTCAGTCTCATCAGTGACCGTGTAAGAGAACACCGCATCAACTGTCTGCGAAATAGTTGATGAGAACCTGCCATAGCAATCTAGATTTCGGGGAAATAAATCCAATACCAATTTTCAGTGGGTAATGACGAGATCTATACATCCACTCCATTCACATCATTCGATTGATGTCCATCCCTTAGAGTCACGAGGAAGCCTTTCCAACCTTGCAATGTGTCCTTGATCTGATCTTCGTACATCTTAATGCCCCCAAGATGTGTGACATTTTGAGTCTTCTTGCCCGGAACATTCGAAGTGTTCCACCAAGAATTGGTCAAAGGGAACAGAGTTGGAGCATTCATTGCCTCAATCATCCGATCCCATGAATCAGCGGCCTCATTGGTTGCTTCGATGTGCTTAGCACCCTCTGCCTCGAGCTTCTCGATAGCCGATGCGACGAAATCACTCTGCGTCTCTATCAAGGTTGGCCCGTTGGCGAGAGCCGCGGGAGCTACGACATGCTAAGCCTTCGAAACACGCAAGAATTGTTGGTTGTGCGCAATACGTACCTTGTGGCGTGTAAACAGCAAACGCATTGGGAAATCCCGGCATTGATACCCCTAGATAGGTTTTGATACCATCTCGCCATACCTGCTCGAGGTCTACCCCATCGCGGTTTTTAAGACCGATGCTGGTCAAGCTGGGCCTTGTTAGCTTAGCTATGGTAGCGAGGGAAATTCGCCCTTACGATCCAGTGAAAGAGTCGAATCCTGTTGCCATAATGACAATATCACAATCCTGCTGTTCGTTGTTGTCGAGTAACAAACCTTTCTCGTTGAAGGTCTTGATCGGCGTGTCCTTCAAGTCCACAATGCTAACGTTGTTCCGATCCATAGATTCATAATAATCTTGCTCTAGCGGGCATCGTTTCGTTCCAAACCAGAACGGCGGTTCGACAGGAACTAAGATGTCCCTTTTCCTCGCATTGTTCATCCTCTGTCGGGTCTTTTTCGCCCAAAAATCGTAAAGAGATCTGTTCGCCGTCTTGTCAAATGCCCAGTTGTTAAAATTGCTGACGACAAAGGCGAAGCCACCCTTTCCCCAGAGTTCTTCATACAGCCTTTCGCGTTCTTCCGCAGAGACATCGAAAACGCCTTGGCTGTGCATAGCTCCGGGAAATCCTGCATAAGATTTACGACTGGTCTGGAAGAGAGTCTCGAATCGCGCCTTAGTCTGTTGTTGGTCCTCGAGACTGAGCTTGCGTTGCCCCATCGGCAAACAGTAGCTAGGCCGACGCATGAAGACTGTCAACTCTTTAGCCTGCTTCGCGAGGGCTTGTGCGACCTGGATCCCCGTAGCGCCAGCACCAATAAGCGCTACCCGTTTGCCTGTGACATTGATATCGTCTGGCCAGAATGCAGTATGGTGAAGGTCGCCCTTGTATGCTTCTAAGCCTGGAAAGGCTGGCACATGTCTTCGATGTAATGGTCCTGTGCATAGAACGATGTACTTGGATCGAGCAGTGATGCCTTCCTTAGTGGTGGTCAACCATTGATTTTCAGTCTCGTTCCATCGCAGATCGATCACTTCTTGATTGAAAACAATGTCTCTTTTAAGGTCAAGCGTTTTGTCGATGTGCTGCATGTACCTGCGCAGCTCTTCGGCACTGGGGAATCGCTCCGTAAAGTCGAAATTCTCATAGAATTCGGGAATACTAAGTTGATAATATGGCCATTCTGAATCAACTCTGGCACCTGGGTATCTGTTCCAATGCCACACGCCACCAAGGTTGGCACCAGCTTCTAGGACTTTGGCCTTCAGTCCCAACTTGCGTAACCTGTACAGCATGGAAATGCCGCTGAGGCCGGCTCCAACCACCAAAGCGTCGACCTGGATGGTTGTATCCATTTCGAATACTTTGCTCAACAACTCGGCGACGCAAAAAATTGTATCTGCGTAAGATTTTGGGAGATTTCGTCTGGGTAGAATAGTCTTTGTGGGTGGGATTCGAGATATTGACTTCGATGAAAGGTTGTACACTTGTGGGTTTGGGCTGTTTGCTTTTGAGATTACATGGTGAGCCATCGGCATATCATGGTCTCGGGTCACATTGCCGAAACAAGAATCACCGTTGCCTGATGTTCGCGTCCGGTAGCACGATGGACTGGAAAATTCTTTGTCAAGCCAAGACTTGGGACATCGCTCTGGATCGCGCGAGGCTATTCGGGCCACAATCTAACACTTCATCCCGTGGGCCGGGGCGAGGGAAAGGGGTCAACATTCGGAGTTGGCTGGTGACACGGTTGTGGAGTCACACCCAGTGAACTTGACAATGCAGACAGCCGCGGCTGGTAGGACTTTCTATATCTGATCCTGGTACCATAACTTTTGTCTACCCTGTAGACATACTGAATTTGGGCCGGAGTACCGCAATGAACATACATACAAGGCTTGTATCCACTCCCAGTCACATAGGTATTGTTCACTGGGGTTTTTCGTAGTGATATACACGATCCAATTATCCAATATCTCGGGCTTGTATGATTTTAATTCGTTGTTCGCGTGACTTAAGCACAATGGCTTCGACCGTCTACATGGATGCAGATTACGGATTTATTGGTTTGTTATACTTTGCAAATGCTTCGAGATCAAAGGGGGCTGACCTTTGCCGTTCAGGTTTGGGTAACATGGGCTTCCATATGGCAGCTAACATGCGGAACATGATGGCAAAGAGTGCGACGCTCCATGTTTTTGATGTAAATAAAGATATCTGCAACAGATTTCTGGACAAGTTCAGCAGTAGCGGTCCCATTAGGATTGCAACATCCTCGAAGGACGTAGCACGACATTCGGTGACCTTGATAATGATGGTGCCGATGGACGAACATGCTCGGGCAGTCTGTTTGCACCCCGAAACGGGTGTCGTTGCTGCAGGCTCCGCGAAAGACCGGCTGATTCTTGACTGTAGCACCCTCAGTGTCTCTACGGCAAAACATGTTGGACAACAACTGATGGACGTCGGTGCTGGGATTTATATCGACACGCCGGTCTCTGGAGGAGTTGCTGGTGCGGAGGCAGGCACACTGTCCTTCTTCTGCGGTTCCTCGAGCAATTCTCAGAGCAACCTTATCGTTAGACGGCTCATGGCCACACTTTCTTGGATGGGTGCCTCTGATCGTATCACTCTTTGTGGAGGCATTGGAACAGGTCTGACAACTAAGCTTGTAAACAACTACGTCGCGTTGGGAAACCTTGCGGTGGCCGCCCAAGGCGTGGCCTTCGGCGTCCGCCAGGGATTAGACCCCAAAATCCTCTATCAGTGTGTAAAAGGCTCAACCGGTGACTCCTTGGTATGGACGGCTATGTATCCAGTGCCAGGTGTCAACCCCAAATCTGCATCGAGTAACTCCTTCAAAGCTGGGTTCTCGTCACGCCTAGGTCTCAAAGATTTAGGTCTAGCCATCAAGGCCGGGGAAGAGGCTGGCATCGATGTATCCATGGGAAGGACCGCGTTGGGCCTATACAGGCAAGCAGACCAGGACCCACGGACAACTGTAGGTCTTCTCTCCCTTGGTCTTGTCATACTCGATATGAAGTTTACTAATCTGTTATGTCACTTGGTGAGGGTCTTGACTGCGCCGCAATCTGGCTGCACATCAATGACGAGGTCGGATCGTTTTACCCATAAGCTCAGTGCTGCCAGATGATAATCATCACGCTTCTCGCAGAGGTCAAGTTTCAATGGCCTATTACTATAATCGAATCACACCAAATCCTTTCTGCTCGAGAAACAATTATAGATATGGCTAGAGTTTCATGTTCATGATAAAAAGTAGACACACCTAGCTTTGCCCAACTTGTCGCTAATGTCATGTAAAGTTTTCGAAACACCAAAGGTTTCTACACAATACAAACGAGCGCATCGACGTAGATGTTCTACAGTTCTTGGCGTGAGAGCCTTAAGCGGAACTGGAGTTAGTATGATGGGCTGATATTGGAAGTTTCTTTCACACTGTCAATTCACAGGACCACAAACTTTACAGCAGATGTCGATTCGGCATATCCAGCCCATGGCATTCCACCCTGGACGATGGAAACAGCTCAATATTAGCACATTAACGCGCGTATGGCACAATGAATTCAAAACCTTGATCCCTAATTCTCGGGTCAAAGGCCCGTTGAAGTCTACGTTGAAGGGATCAACACAATTAGAACATTTCAATAGCTGTGAAACACATTGTGAAGATTGCGAAGATTCCCAAGCTCTGAAGAGATATTGAGATGATACAGAAAGGACGTAATACGTGTAATATGTCAATGCCGAGCTGTGTAGAGCAACGCCGCATAGGGAAACCCAAGGCGTGGTCGATCGAATACCTTTCTAAGCCCACCAATATTATGTATCGTGTCAAGGTATGCCTATGCAATATCAGCTCTTCTGACACAACTTTGTCCTCTTGACGAGCTTAGCCGCCTTAATCTTGCATTTGCTCTCACCTCTGGGCAATTGCTCGGCAAATCTCGAAGTTGGTATAGATCTTCAGGAGAAAAGAACGGAGGCTACTGCACTAGAGCCCAAACATGATTCAAAGCCATCGTATTCTACGTAGTCTTGAGGGTCTAGTTCTCAACTGCCTGGACAAAATCCTGCAAGAAAGCCCAATGTAGTCGGTTCGCATAGCCTTTGGCCTTCCAATCTTTCATTGTGCCATTCGGAAAGTATTCGATACCGATGCTCGGATCCAGAAGTGTAGCATCGTGGGCAACGATTACCAACACGTTCTCATGTGCGTCGAATTCTGCCATGTTTGCAGCCGATTGGGTAGCATCTTTTGTGTCATGGTGAAGAACTCCTTCGATATGATAGAATGGCGCATCTCCTTTCTCGCCAGGATGAATTGCCTGAAAGACATGACCGGGGCAAGCTATAGGGTATTTATGTTTATAGGGTGATGGTCGAATCTCTTTGGGAAGTGGAAGGTATTGAGAAGGTCTAAATTCTCCCCCGTGGTGGGCAGCGTCCCCTCCCATGAAAATGAAGGTATCTTCCGCGGCCCCTTCTTGAGCAGAAGTCACCCTTGCCAGCCCACATATGTGTCCAATTGCGTGGCCGGGTGCATTTAAGAGATAAAACGAGCCGTCTTGAAAATAGTCTACCGCAGTGAAGTGGCCTAGCTGGATCCCGGATTCATCACCGAAGTCAATTTCCCTATGCTCGCGTCCGAAGAAGTCGCTTTCGAGGAGTAGGGATTCCGGATTGGTCGGAAATCCAGGAAGTAGGGCTTCAGCTACTCCCTTTCCCGATATCAAAACCGTGCTCTCGGGGAAACTGGTCATGTCGCCGATGTGGTCGAAATGCCAGTGACTCCAGATCACTGCCTCGATGGCTCCACCTGCCACATCGACATCGTTCTCTTGCAGGATCTCGGAAACATTCTTCTCACTCTCCAAGGTCCAGCCTGGCGTACTGACAAGGGCAAGAGTAGCTGGAGGAAGGTTCTGCCAATCTTTCCTCAATCCTAGATCGAACACCACTTTCCGCTGAGACGAGACTTGTTCGACCAGAAAGCTGAAAGCAGGTGTTCCTCTGATAGTATCAAAGTCTCCTATCACAGGCTGCATGAAAAGGGCCAGCGGTGCATCGATCCTCGAAGTGGTATCGATGATTTGTACTTTCGCAGAAGCCCCTGGCGGGATGCTTAACTTTGGCAGCGGCGAGGGGGCACAAAGGGAATCCTCTTTCTTCGTCGCCATTAGAGGACTGTTACAGATGACTGCTGTAAGGTTGTTCCACTACGCCTGCTGTACTTATAGCTTTCTAGACCTGTTAGACTTTGGGACATAGTATTGTCGTTGCTTGATTGGTAGTGATGCAGCATTCGAACATCAATGATATCTCAATAAGTGGTTCAATCTTCTTATGTGCTTGGCCAGTTGTCGGCCTAGTGGGACCGACCAAAAGCAAGGGAAGGTTCGATCGTCATCGATTCGAGCATTGTGGTTATACGATGTACTTGAGACCTATGGCACCCGTTAATGCGAGGGCTAGCGCTCGTGCTATAGCCGCGGGCCACGGATCAAACGTTCCGTAATATTTTGACGAAAGTGGATCCTGAGAGTCAATAAGACTTATCTTGCGGACGCGTATACAGTATTCATTACTATTTTCAGAAATCCATTAGAGCCGCAAGCTGCCTGTTGCATGTTCTGATAGACTACAATACCGTAGTCGACTATACTCGATCAGGCGAAATTGAAGTTTTAATTCGCAAGCATGAATTGTCGTGCTTAGTGCCAGATCAACTTTCAAATTAGTCAGACTACAATATATCTATCATGTTGCAGTGAGTGGTACGGAGGAGTTCAACTAATAATAAAAGGCGAGAGCGAGAGGTAATTTGCCACAGTCCAGTGTGTGGCTCACGTTCGAGGCATTTGAGCAATGGGTGCGAGCCGCCACCGTGACAATGTCTAGTATCTTCAGCTGTGTTCTCGAGCCTCATGCCTTTTTCGGATATTCTCCAGATGCTTTTAGTTGCTCGATGACCTCACTCGCCGCCATCATAGCATCTCTTCCAGCCGGAACTCCACAGTAGATCATCGCATGACGGATAGCCTCGCATATTTCTTCTTCCGTTAGTCCATTCTGGACCGCCCCTCGAACATGAATGCGTAGCTCACTTCCCCGGTTCAACGCAACCATCATCACAATATTCATCAAAGCCCGTTCCCTCCACTGTAAGGAAGGGCGTGCATACGAAGAGAAGCAAGTTTCCCAAATAAATTCCATACTAGTCCGTGCGAATAGATCATCTTTCTGGAAATAGGATATCATTAGCTACTTATGTAGAACACACTCGTGGAAGGCTAACCATATTCTCAAGAGCAGCGGCGAAGAATTCCTCGCCCAAAAACTGCCCACTGAGCTGTTTGCCCAGTGCTGCCTTATCGGACAACTCGCCAAAGGTTGGTGCCATGGTAATGGTGGAAATCACAGTTCGCTCGAATTTGATGGCGCTAAAGACTGGTCAGGACCTTCAAACCTGATAACCAAGGCCTTGATAAAAATGATCCTATTGTATACTCAAGGAGCTGGAGGCTGGTGGACCAGTTGACGGGCCGGGTGAAATTTCCAGTCTGGTGACCCGAGGGTTGACCATGCACACGGTATGATACATCCGCGGGCCGGGGAATATTGCGCTATTATGGTGTCAACAAATCAACGTCAAACCAGTTCAACCTGCATTTCAACATCGTTTCAAAACATGCGATAGCGCGTATGATATTGCCTGTCTGCGCTGTGACAAAGGAAAAGAGGGCCTGGCGTTAGATGCCTTGGTGAAGGGCAGTGGCACTGCAGAGACGTTGGAGGGAGGGGAGGGACACGCCGCGAGGGCGCACTGGAAGATCAGCCAGATCCTCAGAGCACAGGGCAGGGACATTCGAGCGAATTAGCATATGAAGAGTGCAATAAGTTTGAGGGAGAGGTTCCGACCTGAGGAGGACCTTGCGGCTATAGGTGATGAGTCTTGGGAGTGTCTGACTCCAGATATGCTATGGTAGACCGAAGCGCGGTGGGGTATAGTGAGCAGACGAAGTTTGTATGCTTCCCTTCAAAGGGGGCGAAGCTCAGCCCAGCCCAATTAGGCGTTGTGCGACTTCCATGCTTCCATTGCGGTGCCAGAGCTCAGCTATTTATTTTTGGATGTAGAGGAAAAGACTCGGAGGTCGTACTGGGTAGGGTTTTAGTGCTATGCTCCGGCGGATCAAAACGCGCAATTGCAGCCATTACAGCGAATTCATTCTTATTGGTGCTAAGGCCTCTAGACTCCGCCGTAATGATTCACCGTACTGCAACTTACTATCAGCGCAGTTGTCAGCTCGACACGGACCAAAAACCTCAGCTACCTACGAGTGGGACAAGGCCACCAACTAGTTATTACAGCCCGACAAGGCCCTCAGGAGATGCGGAAAGGGCCATTCTACATCGTCCCTACGCATAATTTATAATACAAGCATTTCAAAACAACGCCCAAGGAAGGTTTTTCGGTCTAGAGGTGTCTGGTAGATTCTCTAGTTGCGGGGGGACCAGTAAATACATTCCCTTCCACCCTCTCAAGGTACGCCCTCACGTCCCAAGCGGCGTCCTGGGGTGCCTTTACACTCTTCAATAACCTTTGAGCACCCCGACCATCCCTGCAATGCCCATCAGGACCGCCAAAAATGATCTCTCCTGGGCCTTTGCAGACCGCCTACTAGATGAACAGTGTGGAAAACACTTCGGGAGTTATAAATTCAAAGACTTCATTTCCTTTCGCAATCGACCATAGGATGTGGAAAACAGGGCTTCCCGTTCGCTCAGCCATACTTAAGCCGCATGCCGGTCAGGTAGTAGTGGAGTCGGTGACGATCCGCGAATGCTGGCAGTTGATTGTTTTTTGTTTTTCTCGGTTTTCCCTTATACTCTGATGCAGTTTGGCATCACAGTGCTTGTTTTTGATGCCTTGGCCGAGAATCAGAGTCAGGGAAGCAAGTTCACCCAACCACGAAGGTTCTCTACACTGCCGGCAGAAAGAGTCGCGCTCTCTCACCGCCAAACGGACCGCCTAATTCCTACACTTGTGCCACTTGCCGCTATTAAAGCTACCCATTAACGCGACTTAGAACTCAGCCTGAACCTACTCGTACAGCTGGATCGGGCACTCCAGGTGAGTATAAAATCAACGGGAATGAAACGCGTTTATCCCGCGATGACAAGAAGCTTTGATATTCTAAGTTTGACTGTCAATCAACGATGAGGGAGATCTACCCCAACCGCTAAACCATGGAAGCTGCCTTACGCTTCTCCCTAAACTCGACACCAGGTGGTGAGCAGCGATTTCTGCATGTCGATGTGACAGGGAAGTCGTTCAAGCTCTGCAAAATCGTCGATGACTCGAAGAGCACTACTAAGTATGATACAATCCACACATGTACAAAGATCCCCGCCTTTCGGGCCTTTGACTGGCATCCTGTCAACGAAAACTTGGTCGTTGTAGGACAGGCGGGAGGCGAAGCAACCTTACTCAATATCGCAGAAGGCCAGCAAGATTCTCTGTCATTCCAAGTTCGAAGCCAGAGGCTCTGCAACTCCGTGGCTCTGAACTCAGGCAATTTACTTGCAGCGGGACTCGACAAAGTACGAACAGACTTTTGTCTGAACATCTGGGACTTCAGTCAACGTCTTCCTGCTCCTGGCTATGTGAACTTCTCAAAGACCTACTCTGAGCCGATTCACAAGCTTGCAAGCGGCGAGCCCATCACGAGTCTGAAATTTTTCCATGATCATCCACAGCTGCTAGTAGCAGGAGTAAAGGGACAATTTGTCAGACTGTATGACTTGCGAGAGCCAGCCGTGGGAAATGGACTTCAATTTGCCACTCGTTGTGTCCACAATCTTGCCATAGATTGGCATGACGAGAACTACTTTGCCTCATGTTATCCTACCTCGGATCCGGCAGTCTGCGTGTGGGATAGGAGAATGATATCGCGGCTCAATCATTCAAACATGATATTTGGCTCTGGTACAAGTATGGAAAACCGTGCACCTGAAGTCTCTATGGAGCTACGGAATGTGATCCAGAGCCCCGGTGTTATCTGGAGTCTTCGATTCAGTAAGGCGCAACGAGGATGTCTTGGTGTTCTTTCTAGTACTGGCCACCTCAAAGTATACGATATCAATAAAGAGTCGGTCAGTGATGGGCATCAAGAAGGTTATGAACCTGGACATGAGCCCGCTTGGGACAGCAGCTCACCTCAAAACATTTTCCTTGATCGGCTGCAGGAAGTTGCAAAACCTTATTCAGACCCTACTGCTAAGGGCGATGAGAAAGACCGCGCAGTTTCTTTCGACTTTACGACTTCGCTTACCAAGTTTGGTGAGTCGAGAATCATGACGTTGAGTGGGTTAGGTTCTGTGAATATTATGACCACAAGGGCTTCGCCTGAACCAAGTACACTTTCATCTCTAGGCCAGTTATACAAAGGTGCAAAACTCGCTGGTGAAGCGGAGCCGATGAAAAACCATCCCGGTGAAACGGTGGAGCTCATCCGTCGCCGCGCAAAGCCTCGAAATATTCTCAAGCAAGCCTACAAAGTTTCCAGACAGAACAAAACATCAACTGAGACCAAACGAATGTCTAGTCTAGCCGATCAAGAATGGCACTCAGATCTTGGGTTCTATGAGACGGATGTGCCTATTAGAGATATGCTCACCTTGAACTCAATTCAGCATGCACGCTGTCAAGCAGGCTATCTACTTGATCCAACCAAGAACAAGGCCATTGTTTCTGATTCACACTGGCTACAGGCGCTCTGGGCATGGGTTGAGAAGGCAACAAAGGCCTCACGCAAAGGGAACATGGTCCAAGATAATTTCGATCTTTCTTATGTGGGAGTCTACGGACTCTGGATGGAAGATATCGGCCCCAAAAATCGGACACTTGGTCCGAGTTCGAATAAACTTGCCAAAATCATTGAGAACCTTGTGAGACGTCTCAACATTCCTCAGCTCAAAAGCGTGTCAACAGAATATCCTGCAAATCGCCAAATGTGCCTTCATGCGTCGGGACTCGCTTGGTCAAATGATGAGCTGGAAATTATCATGAAGAGACTAGTGGCTCAAAACCAACACACAAAAGCTGCGGCATTAGCAATGTTTGCATCGCAACGAAAGCTTGCTTATAAAGCCCTTCGAGGTAAGGGCGCCAATCAAGCGCATAAAATGCTCGCTCTCGCAGTCGCTGGTGCTGAGAGAAGGAGTAATGTCGAGGAGTCGGCAGCCTCGGGTGACGAATCCGAAAGTCAGGACGACTGGATTGACACAGTCTCCTCTCTGGCAGAAGAATTGACTGATCCGTACGCTCGAGCAATTCTGGCGTACGTCAAGTCTGGAGATTGGGCAACAGTCCTCGAAGAAGACTCCCTGCCTCTCAAGTATCGTGTTTGCATTGCTTTAAGGCACCTTGATGATTCAAAATTGACTCACTATATCTCACAAGTAACGAAGGAAGTCGTTGCTAAAGGAGATATCGAGGGTGTCATTTTGACTGGTACCGCAACACAAGATGCTTTCGATTTGATATCTAGTTACTTGCATCACTTCGGAGACTTGCAGACTTCTGTTCTGGTGCTTTGCCCCACGGTCCCACGTTATCTTGATGATGACAGGATGGTTCGGATGTTCAACGGGTGGAAAGACGCCTACCGTAACATGATTAATAGTTGGAACATGAAGTTCGACCGGGTTCGATTTGATATTGCATGCCAGAATGTTGCCGTGGACGAAGCAGGCAGACGACTCCTACCACCTGTCAAGCAACAAGTCCGCCTGGTCTGTGGCTTCTGTGCACAGGGTGTTGCCCACTCCGCCGCCAACGACGGCGAGAACAGTCCAGGACAGAGGCCAAGAGAAACTCAGAAGCCTCTTGCGAAGGAAAAAGCAGCTGCAATTGGAACGGTCTGCCCGAAATGTGGACGCCATTTGCCGCGATGTGGAGTGTGTGATCTTTGGCTGGGAATGCCGGACGAAACATACCTGCCTTGGCACAGCTCACAGGCATCGCAACGAAACTCACGAGCCAAAGAAAGCATGGATCTGAGTGCAAGTATGACAGGTAGCATCCTGACGACGATTGGGCCTGGACAACAGCAAAGCGGCACACCCCAAAGGAGTCGATCGCCACGAGTGAAGCAGACACAACAATCGCAAAATTTATCCAAAGAATCCTCCTCGACTTCGGAAACCTCAAATAAAACCGCAGTCCAACCAACGGTTCCAGCCATGAAGGCCGTTTCAACCGACAGGCCACCACACGATGTAGTTATAGAAGGAGATGGGGAAGGAAAAGATCGGTCTGCAGCTGGAGCGATAGAAACCTGGGATACTGCAATGTCTCGCTTCACAGTCATCTGTGTGAAGTGTGCTCATGGATGCCATGCTGCTCATGCGAGGATGTGGTTCGAAAAGCATCGAGTTTGTCCTGTCCCGGAGTGCTCATGCTTGTGCAATGAATGAGGGTGGCATAGTATAATCTTGGTGTGACATTACTACGGATGACACTGTTTGGTGGCAAGCAGAGGATTGATCCTTACATTAGTGTGCCAGCACAAGCCCAGCTTTTATGCGACTTCTTTCAGTGCTGATTGGTTATATGACATTCATCGTGGTTATTGGTAGCGGCCAAAGCTAAGCACTAACAGGCCAATTAATACTTATTAGTCCTCTCGGTAGATGGAAGGATTTGTGCAAGGGTGTATCGCAATCGGAATCGGTCATAATTTTATGAGGCTCCAGCAAGCTCCTTTTAGGCCACCCGGCCACCTACGGAGTATGTGCTATGTGGAGAGCCTAACAAGTTGAAACATGCTATAAAAATGATGCCTTGGCTTGCCAGAGACATCATATGTCTCCTTCCACTGTCCATCGATTTAATGAGAGCTCGGTTTTTAGGCAGTTGTGTGTGCATAAACACCCAATTGTGAGATTGTGCTGGACGGCTATTAAAGTGCACCACTATCAGCATCAACATCACCATAATGGCCCGAACACCGGCAAAAGAAATGCGACCGCGTGGTCCATTCGTGAACCTTCTCACGACCGGAACCCTCATCGCCCTCTCCGTCGTCGCCGCATACTTGATCCGGCTAGCTACCGTCAAAAGTGGCGTCGCCGAAGATATCGAGAAGATCACGCAGACGCGTCGATTCCTGGACCGTGACATCGCGCTTCGATCCGATTACACGGGCAATGCACTCGTCGACCAAGGCATCGGTACGCTCATTGCGGCGTTCATGGGCGGGCCAGCTGGCTGGGACCTAGGATTCCAGGTACAGATGGCGTATTTCCTCGTGTCGTTCTTCTCAGTCATTTCCATCTGGACGGTGGAGTCGGTGAGGAAACGGAATGAGAATGCTTGGATAAGCTAGTAAGTTACGTCTCTTTTGTCCCGTCTGTTGGGAGAGAGATACCTGTACAGATCATCTGAGCTATCCGCTGACACGAGTTTCCCTCTGATCAGCACGAGCGTGTGGGCGTTGTTCTACCAGACAGTCGGAGGTGCGATAATTATCCCACTCTACTATATCGCCTACTTCAACAAATCCGTTCCCTCAACATATTGGAACACATCTGGAAGACCAGTACCGCTTGGCTATGCGAAAGCACTTCTACCAGCACTGGTGATCGGATATCTAGTCCCAACGATTGCGCTGTTCCTGCCAGATTCGGACCCGGAGCAGAAATTGCGGCAGTTCTTGGTCTTTTTGTGGCAGCCTTGCCCGCTGTACGTCAACGGGCTCCTTTCCTTACTCTCGAGAATATTCTCTTCTTCCAGTGACAACCCACGAGCTGTCGAGAAGAAAGGCACCACCACAACAATTCAGGACGTGAATTACCTCAACTCGCTCTACCTCGTGGCCTTCGCCGTAACGGCCGCCGCGCATTTCGCGACGTTCTACATCATCCTCACATCCACAGATCCGCAGCACTCGTTCACTCACGTTTTCGTCAAGCCCTATGATTGGGGCCAGTCCGGGGTCACGAAGGGCCTGCACGCCGTATTTCAAGCCGACTACTGGATCATCTTCCTCGCGTCGCTGCTTTGGGCTTACCTGGCGATCTTTGATTTGAAGCGTGGTCGCAAGACCAATATTTCACTGGTCACCGCCGCAGGGCTACTTGTTATCGGTAGCATTGTCGTTGGGCCTGCTGCGGTGCTTGCGGCTGTGTGGTATTGGAGGGAGAATGTCATGGTGAAGCCTGATTTGTACACGGGTTGAGTGGTTCACGAGGCGGCGATGGAGCAACACCATAGGTGATTCGTGTGTTGAGGTCGTTTTCCTTCTCACGCAGCATTACCTTTGAAGCCTCGCCTCCTTGAAATGTAGGCAATCCGTCAATTGACGATTTGGGCCACTAGAAGGATTGAACAGCTGAAGCAAACGAAGTCTTTCTTGTAAACTATAAAAAGGGATATGCCTCCATTTCTACAATCAATCTTTTCTTCCAAACCCAGACCAAACCGAACCAACCAAACAATCCACCGAATATCCACAACTCCGAACCAATTCAAGCAATCCAGATACGCAATCACCACTTACCAAACAGCCCACCCACTCACTCAATCCACAAACATAGGCGGCTGCATGTCAAAAGGCAGCCCGGGCTCCTCGACCACGTCCTCCTCACCGTCCCTGCCAGGCGGCAACGGCGGACATACCGGCAGCACGACGACGGCGAGCATGGCGACCAGCAGCGGCACCTGGAGTGCTGGTCGAGGACTGACGGCTGGAGATGAACGCTGAGATGTCGACGCCAGAGTTGATGTGGGCTGGAGCCGGAGGGCCTGAGGCAGCTATCTGGTCATGGCTCCTATGGGACCTGTAGAGCGATCGCATGCCCGTGCTGTGATAGAAGCCTCGGGAGGTGTGTATTTACTAGTTTGATTGTAGCTGTCGTTGGCTGCTTCCGAGTTGCTAGTTTAGACGCAACGAAAACTCCCAGTCCATCATCCCATGAAATTCTTGTTTGCGCATTTCCAGCCAACACTGAATGTCAGGATCGAAGCGTGTTTCATTTAGAATGGTTCAACAAGTAGTTAATTCACATGACTAATTGTCGCTATGGTGCGCACATTGGCAGTTGCAGGTGGCGACCAAGATAACGACATGTAATGCATATTGCAATTTTTGGAACGGAGATGTCCGATTGAACCAGACATGGAAAAGTCGCTGTTGAAAGGCGTAGAGGCTTGATTACTACTAGCTACCTAGGTAGCATGCTGATGTTTCTGAAGTCAAAGGTTGAAACATCATTGTGAATTTCTACAAACATCCATCCTTGTACCACCATCAGATCGGAAATGGCTACTCTCAAATCCGGGGAAGAGCGATTGCGGGATCGAAAGCCCATCAAGCCTCCTACTCCAGCGTACCTCTCGACAGCTGGTTCGCCGTTATCTGTAGATCGGGAGCTGTACTCGGCGATTCAGCAGGGGCCGAGAACTCTGGTTGAGTCTTTCACTCTACCGATCCGGTCGGGTCGTGCTTGGAAGGCACCAGCTAAGAGTATTGTGCGCATCAGTACGCCTGAAGGAGCTCAAGTTGGTGAGTGTTGAGAATCTCATCTCGAACTGCTTTACATTGTCTGGCTGGGTGACTGACTGCAGATGATATAGGGGATCTCAATGTCTGGAATGCACACAATCCTCGTGAAAGGTTTTGGGCTTCTCGCACGAAGCAACTCCACTCATCGCATGTATCGACATATGACCGGCTGTGGTCATGTCTGCCATACATGCGGCCCCTGGTCACCATTATAGCTGATTCCCTTTCGTGGTATGGTGTTGATGAGACTGGGGGTCGAGTCCATGATCTCCTAGGTACCAGGTGTGATCCATATATCAACGTCTTGCTGTCAGGACCGGAGGCGTCTTATGACTACCACTGTCATTCGAATTTGACCCGGGCTGTTATACCGTTCGGGTTGAATGAATCTGATGTTCACGACGTCATCAACTTATTTCAGATTACTGGCTTGGATTCCAAAGGCAGATATTTCATGAATGCATGTCCAGCAGAAGGGGGTGATTTCATCGAGTTCTTCGCTGAGCAGGATGTGCTCATGGCATTGTCGACATGTCCGGGAGGTGACTTGTCTTTATGGGGATTCGGGAGCGATAGCGAAAAAGATATGATTAAATGTTGCCGGCCGCTCAAGGTTGAAGTTTTTAAACTTGAGGACGAGGAGAAAATCTTGGCCCAGAAATGGAGTGGTGCGGAAAGGCCGGATTATAAAGGGAGGCATGGGCTGGTAGTCCCTGAAGGTGAGAAACGCTCATAGACAATCGATTGAAAGACGATAGCTAGCCGGTGTCAAGTTTCTGTTTCCCTCACATCCTTTATCTCTCGTGGCAAGCTTTGATTATCGACTGGCCATCTCTTGTTGACCTTTTGTTGGCTCAACCTCACTCGGCTGGTTGAAGACAACCTCCATTGCTTGTTCCAGGATCGCCAAACCACGTTCAATCTGTTCGCGTGAAATAACTAGAGGAGGAACGATCCTGATAACACCATCTCCTGCAGTAATCACGAACAGGCCCCTTTCTCTAGCAGCGGTAATGATCTCGGTAGCGCGGGGTTTGGCCTTCTCACTGAGCTGATAGCCGACAATCAACCCCCGTCCTCTCACCTCCTCGATAACCCCTGGGAACTTTTGGTTGATGGTCTGAGAGGCATCCCAGAACAGTTTTGATTTAGCCTTGACTTCTTCCTGTAGCTTTGATTTGGCCAACCGTTCGAAAACATGATGAGCGACTCGACTTGCAAGAGGATTGCCGCCAAAAGTTGTTCCGTGATCCCCAGTCTTGATGTATTGCGTGACGGTCTTCTCAGATACAAGAGTGGCACCAATGGGGATACCATTTCCAAGTGCCTTAGCTGTCGTCAGGATATCGGGATGGACACCAGAGGCCGTGTGGGCCCAGAGATCTCCTGTTCGGGACAGGCCACATTGGATCTCATCAAATATCAGAATAGCTCCAACTTCGTCGCATCGCTTGCGGAGTGCTTGCAGAAACTCTGGAGTGGCTACATTGACACCGCCTTCGCCTTGGATGGGTTCGACGATTACTCCAGCGGTATTCTTGGTGACCAGGTCACTAACAGCCGCAACATCATTGTAGGTTCCGTAACGGAAGCCAGGCAACATAGGTCCGAAAGGAAGTTGGTATTTCTTGTTTGGAGTGGCAGACAGAGAGCCGTAGGTTCGACCATGGAATGAGCCATGGAAGGAGACAATTTCACGCTGTGTTGTCCCTGGGTCTTTGGCGTAGGTCACCTTTCTTGCGAATTTAATGGCAGCTTCATTTGCCTCGGAGCCAGAATTTGAAACAAAGACTTGGGTAAGTTCTGAGCCTGGGGATTGTTTCTGTGTTTCCTGTATGAGCAGCTTCGAGAGAGTGGGCGTCCACGGGTTGTGATAGAGGTTTGAAGCATGGATGAGTTGTTGCGCTTGATGAGCAATGACTCTTGAAATCTCGGGATCTGCATGACCCAGAGAATTGACAGCAATTCCCGCAGTAAAGTCAAGATATTCTCTATTTTCATTGTCATATAGTATGCTTCCTTCTCCTTTGACGATCATGGGCGGAGGTCGGACATAGGTAGGGACCATGAAGGGAGTGCTTTGATTCAAAAACGTGGTGGTAGGCGAGTCCTCGGCAGGGTCGGGATTGGGTAGAGAGGCTTCATGCTTTATCTGGGCTTGGTCATGGACAGGAATGGAAGAAGAAGTAGGAACAGCAGCGGCAGAAGCATAGCAACGCTTGTTGAGCTGAGTTCTAGGAGTTGCAGAGAGGATGGAGAGCTTCGCCGGGTTGAGGGTGGCAGCCCGCTTGCACAGATTCAACGCCATAATCTTGAGACACTGAACATACACGGCTTTGAACAGAACTGCACACGATTGCTTTGAAAAGGAAGAAGAGGAACAGGAATGGGAGAGGTGTGAAATTAACACCGCGATTTGCACTTTTTTTTTCTTTTCGAGTCATTCATGCAATGCGGTCGTTAGTCGTTAGTCGTGTATCTCCAATTCATGTGCGGGGCAAGAAATGTCACTCCGAGTTGCGGACTTGAAACAGACGCCGCCTGCATATGGACCGAGAACACTAACTGAATCGAGATCAAAACTTAAGGCGGCATAAAATAGCTCTCGATAGCATGCCTAATCTACACGTGACTCTACCTCGGCTTGGCAGCCTGCGTCAACTCCACCGCAGCAGGCGCAAGTGCTGGGAATGACATCGCGGACAAGCAGGACTCTGTATTCGAGCATTTGGTACCAGTTTCATGCTCAAGCCACGTACACACTAAACCCTCCACGACTTTCACATCATTTGACTCATCTGTTGGCATTCGACATCTGACAAGATACTCTAAACTCTGTGTGTTTTACTGCCATCGCCATCCCACGACCCTACCCCTCCATCTTCTACAGACCATGGCCGACCCGCGAGCATTACTCCAAAAGGCCGACAAGGCCGCACAAGGTGCCACTGGCGGCTTCAGTCTCTTTGGTGGGCGGACCGAGAAATGGGAAAATGCTGCTGATCTCTTCACACAAGCCGCAAATGCCTTTCGGGTACAAAAGCAGAGTAAGCCAGAAGACCATACCACTAATGAGATAGAGACACTAATACCTGCCTTCAACGTTAGATCATGAGGCTGGTCAAGCATTTGAAAAGGCCGCAAATATCCAGCAAACGAAACTCAACGAGCCAGACGACATGGCCAATACTTTGACCGAAGCATTCAAAGTCTACCGTAAGGACTCACCCCAGGATGCCGCCCGTGTCCTCACAACCGCCATCGGGCATTACACATCGAAGGGGAATTTTCGAAGAGCAGCCACGCATCAACAAAACCTAGCAGAAGTTTATGAGATGGAGATTGGCGACCAGAAGAAAGCCCTCCAGGCATACGAAACTGCCGCACAATGGTACGAGTCCGATAACGCCGAGGCTCTTGCCAATAAGCTGTACCTGAAAGTCGCCGACCTCGCAGCACTAGAGGGTGACTACCAGAATGCAATCAATAAACTCGAAACGGTTGCCAAAACAAGTTTGAACAACAACCTCATGCGTTGGAGCGTTAAGGACTACTTCCTCAAGGCAGGTATCTGCCACTTGGCCGCAGGGGATCAGGTAGCGACCCGACGCGCACTCGACCAATATCGGGAGTTGGACAATTCCTTTGCCAGCACGCGGGAAAATATGCTCCTGACGGATTTGGTAGGCTGTGTCGAGGAAGGCGACCAGGAAGGCTTTGCGGATAAATTATACCAGTTCGATCAGCTGAGTAAACTGGACAAGTGGAAGACTACGCTCCTCCTCAGAGTGAAAAACAAGATTGAAAACACGGAAGAGGACTTTTCATAAACGACGGGAAAGCAAAGCGTGAAAGCATACTACGGAGTTCTTTTGGTCATTCTCTATTCTTGGTGCCTGCGGGGGAGAAGCAAGGGAAGGGATTGCGCGATACAGTTCGAGTCCACCACAGCAATTAAACAAGCATTTCGCTCATCTAATCCATGCCAGTGTCTACCCTTCCGCAGGACTCAATCGAGTCAGCGATCCGGCTTCCAGGCTCATCAACCACAGGATCCCGTGGCTGAAAGAGGCGTGTCTGTAACGCATCGCGAAATTTACGTGGAGAAATGGCACCTCAAGGATCAGCAAGCAGTGCATTTAGCTGCCATCAACTATCCAATGTCTCCATGGTCATCCGAGGCATCTTTTTTGTCGCTTCATTGCCACGCCTCGTGCTCCGTGCTCCATTTCTCCTCCTCTATTTCCTCACAAGCGATTGTCTTTTGTAACTAACCACTCGAGTCGCAGAAAAATGCTAAGAACAACGCCCTCGTTTGCCGCTGCCCCTACCGCAGGGGTTGTGGTGATATATAATATGCATGGTTTATGTTCCGCTATTGTTGGCATTAATACATGACGCTCTCACGCTCACTCCCCACGGAGAGAGATGAGATGTCCATCGAGTCCACCACACCTTTTTTGCAGCCGTAGATCGTGAAGAGATCGTTCCTGTGTATTCCTCATATGTACGTAGCTCTTCCTTCGGGATCCAAAGAAGGGAGAGGCGAGAAGAGGAAAGGATTACGCTTTCTCGATTCTGCTCTATTCCACCTCCTGACTCCAATTCAAAGACGACTGGGGAAAACTTAACACCAAGTGAAGACCGGCTTCTTGCTCTTGACGGTTTCCAGCCTCTCGACGATGACTTTGCGTTTGTTCTGCTCCATATCGCTTGCAGCCGCGTAGCCCAGATCGCCTTCGAGGTCGTCGCCCTCGTAGAGAAATTGTGGTTGTTTGCCGCTGCGTGTCGACAGGGATCGTTGTCTCTTGACGCTATTGCCACCTCCAAGACCAGTGAGGGTATTAGCTTTGAGGCCGCTCTGGCGTGGGAACTCGAAGCTGAAGCGGGAGCGATTCTTAGGGTTCGGTCGTGTGGGTAGTGTGGCGCTGTTGCCGAGGGAATTGCGTGCTTCTCGCGCGTCAAAGGGATTGTTGCTTGGCTGAAGAGGACTGCTGGGCCCTTCGTCGGGAATGTGGGATATGTCACCGGCGACGTCTTCGCGGGTGAGGTCGAAGCGGTTGGGATTGGGGAGTTCATTTGTGGGTGAGCCGAGGAGATCGTGTGCGGGTGCGTGTCGACCCGGTGGTGCGGACGCATATGATGCTCCAATGTCCATTTCTTCTTCTTCATGGTCGACTTGGGTTTTCCTCCTACTCGTCTCTCCTGATGGCACACGCATCGGGATTGCCACTGGGACGTCGACAAGATCGTCCCAGACACATACTCGGGTCCGACGGGTGAGTTCGAGAGGCCCATGGTCCTCTTGTTTGAGTGTTTCAACGACATTCCACGCCTGACCTTTCATGACAGCGATCTGACGTGCGAACATGCTTTCCTTGAAATCGGCATCCTGAGCAAACACTCTTCTTAAGGCCATTTGAGTCTCACTCCACCATGCGGTCGATGTAAGTAAAGGTAGGAAATGATCACGTGTCTTCTTCGAAAAGGGTTGCCCAATTAAAGAGACTGGAAGGAAAAGCCATCCAAACGGGAAACTACGCCACTGTACAAGTGTCAGTAACAGACGCGAAACGAGATTAAGCTTAGACTTACAGCATCCGGATGCTTCCAAGGCCACGACAAACTGTTGTCAATGGCCCCCAGAGATATTGAAGGTTGAGGTTGGTCATGTGCATTTGAAGGTGTTCCTGAACGGCTCTCCATTGCTTCGTACCTCCGATAGGGTCGTGAAGTATTTGACTCTGGTCTTGGGCTGACTGATACCGGTCGAAGCGTATTGTCCCCAGGTTGCATTGAACCGTTGGTTTTTGGTGGTTCTGCCACAATTGATACCTCTTCTGTTTTATAATCAATCTTGATCATCCAGTTGTCGAGACCTCGATCGGTATTCCGCATGATATAATCTAATATGACAAGTTTTTCGAGCTCCTCGCGGAAGGCTTGCTTTATTGTTGGCGTCCAATGAAACTTGGGTGCGTGTTCCTGTGGCATGGGTGATGCCACTCGCGGAACTTCGTCCTCGTCTTCCGACTGAGCACCTCCAGGGATACAGTTGGTCAACGGCCTCCTTTTCCGCTTATGTTCCATCTCTGTTGGAAGTCTTGTCTGTTGGTCAGGCCATGGATTTTCCCTCAGAAATATATTTGCATCTTTGAACCCCTTCAAGAAGACCTGAAGACTGCCGACTTTTGCAGGCAAGCTCTTCTTGCCTCGCCAATTACTCCGTCGTTCCCAGAAGTCGTAGTAGAAGGATTTCGAAGATAACCAGACGATGTCTGTGTAAGGTACCAAGTTCGTTCGGAGTTGGCAATCCAGCACATAAGCCGCAGCTTCAGAGACGTAAGATAAGTTGGGGATGAGACAGGCTCTTCCGAAAAAGAATGGAAACAGATTCCGATGTATCCATTTGGTCCATTTGGGATTCCTCGACGCGTATGGCTCTTCATCTTTGGGTTTGAACACTCCGACGACTTTTCCCTCGGTATTGCGCGCAAAGTAACTGCCTGAGCTGCCCTGCGAGATCATCTTGGGATGAGTTCCGAGTTCTATGGCCACTCGAACGGATTCCACGACCTCGTCGAACTGGAATTTTGTCATCCGGTCCGATTCCGCATTAGAATAGGCGGCAATTTGTTGAGCAGTGTAGGGGCGGACCCCGGGAGGGGCCTGGAAAACCGAGTGATGAATCTCGAGTTGTTCCTCCTCTTGAGTCTTTCCTCTGACTGAACTGATCTTGAACTTTGAAGCGATTTCCTCTGCCCATCGTTCGAGTCTTGCATTGATCGCCTTAATATCAACTCCCGAGGAGTTACTTCTCGTCCTTCTATTTGGCTTTCTCCGGGGGTGAGCAGAAGGACCGGAGCGCATGCCCTCTCGTGGAGCGGGCTGTATGGAGGCATAGCGGGTGGTGAGTGGTGCATGAGCATAGTCTTCGTCTCCGGAGTCGTCGGTCAATGGACCATCATCTTCATCAGCCTGCGCAAGGCGAGCATAACCGGATGCAGCAGGTCTCTGACGGGAGGGCATGATTCGGGGATGCTCACGTGGGAACGTCGGGATCGAACTCTAGAAGACAGTTGACCTTCTTCCGTGTGCCATTACAGATGATTATAGTTGCCAAAACTGATCGTGCTTAGGTAGGTGGTGGAGGGAGAATGATGTTCGACTTTACTTTTGGTGTCCGAACGCAAGGAAGGCCTGTTCGGGATGTCGGTTACCAAAGTGTCCAGCAAATAAAGGATAAAGAACCAGGTTGCATTAATGATCCAGTGCAATAAGGGCTGTGCCGCATAAGTGGCTGATGCCTATGCGTGGTGGCTAAGTCCCATTATTAGGTCAGCCGAGCTCGGTGCTTCTGGGACCTGTCCTTTATGGTTGGTAGGTGGTTCTAGGCTGGACATCCCTTAATGGGCATGCCCAGAACCTTGGTTGGCGCCTAGAAAGACAGGACCTAGGTACCCTCCCGTCGATACCTTGTATTCGTACATTGACCTGCTCGTCTCCAGTCCCAAAACCTAATGGTGCTGAAGGCAGAACTCCTCGTCCTCGCCTCACTGCAACCGCACAGCCTCCTCTCATTAGTATCGGATTATTCCTGAAATTTCATCGCTTGTGTTCCATGGCTGAATCCTCCTTGATTTTTCTTCAAGTTGAGCCTCTTTGGTGAGCGGCGCTCTTGAGGCCATATCTGGTTAAAAGCTACGTTAAATTTAAGCATAATCAACAACAGCCGAGACATTGGTCCACATTCATTTTAGATTAGCCATCGTCTTGACCCTTTTTCGCCTGTCGATGGCTTGCTGCCCTGGCCGATTACAACGGCGGTCTATCTCAGGGGCCAGCCAATACCATCAATGACGATTGCTGAGATTGCTGATCCTCAGTCTGTTTCACCGATGCGCCCCGGGCGTGGAGCCTTGCGCTCGTTAGTCGGGTTGTCAACGTGGCCGTACGAGAATGGGTAGGTTTTGGTACCACTGAAGGCTGAAGCCGACCCTGATAACTCGTATCTTGAATTCTCTTCTTCGACGACAAGTATCCCGCCTCCGGAATTCAATCTTTGCCTGACCAAGGTGAATGCGGTCAAATTTACAATTCTTTCGACAGCTTCCTGTCAAAGCCAACGTCCAATTGCGGCTGCTCCCGCCAGAAAAATTGCAGCGTGGTTGACCAGCGTGACCAGCATAGGAAAAGGGGCTCGTCGGCAGCCGGATATCCACATCATAAAATTAACCAATTTTACAATCCATTTCCCCAGATCTTCGAAGCGCCAATCTGCACACAGGTCACCCCTCTTCTCGATGGTCTTCACTGCCACCAGGACGAGCATGTAGCTCCAATGGAAATGTATCAGAAGCATTGCAAATGATTCTGAGGAGGGGCATCGAATTCTACAGCCTGGCAGTCAGATATACAACTGGTCTGTTCGAATCAGGTGGAATTATCCTCGCGAAAGTACTACCAGGTACGGACATTATTTTAAGTCATGTTGAGAGACGCGTCCGAGCTCCGACAAGGCGCTATCAGCCATGCTTCCTGGGCTGACGAAGCGGGACCCAGAGTCCAATATCCTACCTGCATACTCCGTAGGGATCCTCAGTCACTGGCCTACCTCGTACCAAGGGCCCCTGACTGAGAGATTGTATTGGATAAGACCCAAAAGGCTCGAGGCTCCCGTCTATCGATAGACGGTCTGCTATCTCCTCGATTCTGTAACACTCGTTTTTGTGTTCTGGATATTGATATCGTCACTCGTTTGATGTCTTGTACACAGTCGTGATAGATTCTTCGACTTCAGTCATTCCTTTGGCCTACCCACGGCGTCCTCTCCTGACCTCTAGTAATCGTTGAGACCGCGTATTGGTCTCCAACCATAGCGAACACGGCTTCCGCAGTAGCAGCACCGCTCTATCGAGCCTCTCCGATTGACCCCCCTTACCGACCGGCTTCAACTCCTCTAATTGAATCAAGACTCGACGAGTACGGGACAACGAGGAGGGATCATTATCGAGGACTCTCACCGTTGCCACCATCTGCAGCATATGGGAAAGAGATTTCAAGACCATCATCGACCGTTCTTCCCACAGCGAGCAGTTTATTCCATACTCAATCTCAATTTCATACTCGAAGTGCCAGCTTGAGCCTTGGGGTTTACCAGCACAGTGAACCACGACCCGCCTTACCTGGATTGTCGTCTCTGACATCGTTGTCTGCAACCCCACCACCCATCAGGTACGCGAGAAAGAGTCAAGAAATGGACGAGATACTGATGATGGAATAGGACATTCTCGGGCAGTTATGGATCATCACCGATGAGTCTTCCAGGCATTATGCCACCGATTCCAACGCCAGGAATAGCGGGAAGTGCACCAGTAAGTTCAAGTTGTGGTGGTGGTCCAAGTTCCCTGCCACCGAATATCTGTCGCCTCCAAGTTCGCCCAGCGATTGAATTTAGTCCGGTTTTGTCTGACGGTGGATTCTCCCACTTTCTCGAGAGCCATCTGCGGTCATCTCCACCCGTCAGACAGCTGGACGCGCATTTCTCCATCCGCTCTCAACCTCGTCTTCCTCACTTATCTTATCGTGAATTTCCCAATTCCCCCACTGGTATTCCCATCTCCGTCACATTGCGGAAAAGCAATGGCCGCTTCTTTACCAGGTGCTGACCACAATCTACCTTTTTCACAGCCTGTCTGTCAGAACTGTCAGACATCGACGACTCCTCTATGGCGACGGGACGAAGCAGGATCCGTCCTCTGCAACGCCTGTGGCCTCTTCCTCAAACTCCATGGCCGCCCTCGTCCAATCAGTCTCAAGACCGATGTGATCAAGAGCCGAAACAGAGTCAAGACGGCCAACCAAGGTCCCAAGAAGAAGGTGTGTGTGGTGGTTTGGTCTCCTTGAGTTGTACTGACTGGTTCCAGTTTGATCAGAATGGTCTTCCCGCCTCTCAGTCTGAAATGGTGTCTCCACCAAATGGCATCAATCCACACCGTCGCGTTTCTCAGATGGCAACATCCGTAACTTCAGATCGCTCGCACTCCCCGATATCGCGAACGGGAACGCCTGGCGCGCTTCACGACCCCAACATCGCCCCCCAACACTTGTTCGACGGTGCCACCATGAACGACCATCACTTTAACGGCTCTCCTTCCCTCCCCGCCATGCACTTCAGCCAACCTTCCCCGAGCGCAATCTCTCTGGGGACGGACCGACACCTGGAAGCACCCATGAGCTACGAGCAACTCGTCGCCGCAAATACCAACCTCCGAACAAGAGTTTCTGAGTTGGAGGTGATCAACATGGTCTATTCAGATAATGAAAACACTCTCCGCACGGAGCGCGACCGCGCATTCAAGGAGCGGGACGAGCTGAAACGCAAATTCGACGAGTTGGAAAAACGATTCCAAGAAATTAGTAATGATGAACCCGAACAGCCCTTGAAGCGGCCACGACTATCAAATGAACCTCAAGAATAAAAACATTCACTCTCATTCAACCCCGATCGAAATGCACCAGGGCGTTTGTTTCCGGCCTAATGTTGGATAATATTTGCGACAGGACGGTACCTCGTCTGTCACCCGCAGGTGGAGGCGGGTGCCGCTCTTCTCTTATTCCTGTGCCGTCGTTGTTGATACCCCAAGAATCCCAAATTCTACGAGTTTTCTTTTGTTGCTGTGTCGGGTCCGTCCAAGGGAGCAAAGGGTCTGCATGAGATAAGGCTTAATCGTTAATGTGTGTTATTTTTCCCCGCATGAGTGGTGCGTGGAGGCGGCTTTTAGGCCGCCAGAATGGCGAGGCGTTTTCCTGAAGAGACTTGTCATGGGAAAGAAACGGAGAAAAAAAGGAGTCCAATGAACATTATGGTGTCCATGTGAAGAAAGGGGAATAGACCAAGCCGCAGCAACATCATCACCATGCGCGCGCGAACGTCTTTTAATCCCTCTTCGAAAGAAGTGATGATAACGGAGGGGTTATTTCATATCATATCAAAAGTCGGGGCTTGATGATTTGGATCCCCATGGATGGGGCGGGACGGTGTGGTGTTCTGTCCATACAGATGATAAAATAATATCATGGTCTTTTTCCTCGACGACAACTTTCAAAGTTGATTGGGTTTTCAAAGCCATGTGTCTTCCTCCTCTGAGACATTTGGCGACAGCCACAATTTTTAACACCCAGCCCGAGTTGTCTTTCTAGGCGAGTCGAACTCTCCTTCTCAATCGTACTCCTCCCTAGCGACCTGGGTATGTAGGTATGGGAAGTCCACTGTTGACATACCGTGCATGAACAGCTAATTTGCAACAAATTCTCATACTATGCCCCGCTGTGCCAGCTTTCCCCCACAGTCGGTGTGGAGCAAGACCACGGCGCAGACTCGGTATATGCCCGGATTGGGGATAAATAATTGATCGGCCAGCCTTGTGCATGTCGAAGTTCTCGACTCGTTCGAAGCTTCTCCCCATGGTCACTCCGTTATCCCGAGAAGTGCTGCCGTACCCCCTTTCCTTCGATACATGTTCACAAATTAAAGCCATACAACTTCCTAAAGCGATATAAATAAGCCATCTCTTCCCTCGAGCAAAGTAGAGGAACCATCTGCAGGATTGGGATATACATAACAACCTCGGCACCAGCACCATGCCATCACCGACTCCGTCACAGGTCCCCGTTTCCCCACTCCGCCTCCCAACAACGTTCAATTTCGCCCGCGACATCGTCGACCGCTGGGCGAGTGAATCCCCATCGCAAATCGCGTTGCACTGGACGGACCAGACCCTCACAAGTACCAAAAAACTGACGTACCGGCATTTCTCTCGACAGTCGCACCGCATCGCCACACTACTCGCCTCGCTCGGAATCAAGCAGGGCGAGACATGCATCCTGATCTCGTCGCGGATCCCCCCGTGGTGGGAGGTCGCGACGGCGTGTCTGCGGTCCGGCGTCATCATGTGCCCGTGCACGACACTGCTGGTCGCCAAGGACATCGAGTCGCGCTTGCTGGTGTCGCAGGCCGCGGCGTTCATCGGCGACGAGGCCGCCGTCGCGAAATGTCTCCAGGTGCGGCGCCAGTGTCCGAAGCTCAGGACTGTGATTCAGATCGAAGGAGTCGTGTACCCGGGGTCTGAACATGGTAGTGAAGTCATTGATTTCCAGGCGGCGCTGGAGAAGATCCCACCGGATGCAGAGTATGCCGTCCCATTGTCGCTAACGCCCAAGTCCCAGGCCCTCACGTTCTTTACATCGGGAACCACAGGCCCGCCGAAAGTCGTACTGCACACGCAGACATCGTATCCGCTCGCGCACGCCCTGACGGGCATCCACTGGCTGCAACTATCGCCCGGGGAAGTGTACTGGAACCTTTCGGAGCAAGGGTGGGCGAAGGCGGCATGGTCGTTCTTCAGCGCGTGGAACTGCGGCGCGACACTGTTCGTGCACGACGACAGACTGGCGTTCAGCGCGGAACGGACGCTGAGGGTCTTGAACCGCTTTCCCATCACCACGCTGTGTGCCCCGCCCACGGTCTATCGGCAGCTGGTGCTCGAGGAGAGTCGGAAGTTCTTTGCGTCGGAAGCAGGGAGGCCGATGGCCCTACGCCATTGTTGTGGTGCCGGGGAGCCGTTGAATGAGAGTGTCATACGCACGTGGAAGGATATGACTGGCGGGATTGAGATCTTTGATGCGTATGGGCAGACGGAGACCATTGTCATCTGTGCAAACCAGAGGGGTAATCCGGTTAGGCCGGGCAGTATGGGAAAACCAGTGCCTGGTGTGCCGTTGACCGTTGTGGATGCAGAGGGGAACGTTACGGCGGATGAGGTTGAGGGTGATATCGCGATTGTGGTGTCATCTGGGTCCTCTGGCGATGAGAAGAACGCCTTCTTCGGGATGTTCGAGGGGTATATCGACCGTGCGACAGGGAAGATCGATAACAAGATCAAGACTTACGCGAACGGAAACCGGTTCTTCATCACGGGGGACCGCGCAAGTCGGGATTCAGACGGGTATTTCTGGTTCGTGGGCCGGAGCGACGATGTTATCAATTCCAGTGGCTACCGGATCGGTAAGTTAATTACGATGAGATCAATGCAACCCACTGACTGACAAAATGCACACTGAAGGTCCATTTGAAGTCGAATCAACACTGAAACTCCACCCCTCGGTCGTCGAATCCGCAGTCGTGTCCTCGCCGGACCCGGCGCGCGACGAGGTCGTGAAAGCGTTCGTCGTCCTCACAGACGCTGCGTTCTCCAAGATCAAAGGAAATAAAGAAGCAGAAACAGCAAACCTTGTCAAGGAACTCCAGGACTTCTGCAAGGAGAATGCCGCGCCGTATAAGTACCCACGCAAGATCGAATTCGTCGATGCAAAGTTCCTGCCTAAGACTATCAGTGGGAAGATCAAGAGGGCCGAGTTGAAGGCGTTGGAGAGGAGGCGGTTTGAGGAGGCGAAGAGGGCGAGGTTGTGAATGCGTTAGTTCCATGGGGTAGGTCAATCGTAGCGTCAAAGGGGTTGCTGGTCGCTCAGCTGTACTACATATCCCTTTATGCCAATCTAAGCGTGGCGTGGAAGCAATTGAACGTTTATGGTATTTCAAAAAGGCTATAAAGCAGGTGGCAAATATGCCGGGATTCTGAAATGCGGTTTGATGTCTAGCTAAAGCTACAACGTCATATAGGCACGCCAGCAACGTCTTCACCCTCTCGACCATCAGGGACGAGATCCCCGTATACGGTGATGGGAATGACGACCTCAAACGTCTCACAATCCAGATTCTCAACCGCAACGTTAACCGTGCCGCGCTCGTCCTTGACGACTTCCTCTAAAAGGGTGAAAGCAGGCTTGACGTCCCTCTCCTCCCCTTCTTCGTCCTCTGGGATCTTGATGGTTCCGAATTCGAAGCGGAGACTCCATTCGAGATTCACACCTGTAGTGACGAATGTGGGAGTTGCTGAGGCTGGAATACTTGGGGCGAAGGTCGCGCGTCTGGAGAATAGTACGTTCTCGGAGCGTCCTACGTATGTCTTGCGTGTGATGCGGCTGATGGTCGCAGCGGAACGGACTGCGAGTGAGGGGGTCACTTTTTCTGAAGTCTCGAGCGTGGACCTCAACATTGAACAGGGGACCTGACCTTCGGAGAAGTCGACGACAGCGGTGATTGTCTCTCCCAAGCGATGCAATGGTCGGTCGATAACAATTACTGCAACTCGAAGACCATTCCGAGAAATGTCAAAGCGATTGGAGCTGGACTCTTGATCCTGTAGCTGGTTTCCGAACAGAATCGCACGATTAATGGACTGGACGGCTTTTCGATGATCTCCTGCGGCTTGGCTACTGAGAAACGCTTCCATGGTACCGCTGCTTGATTGGCGTCTTCTGTTCCGATCTAAAAGGTTATCGACAAACTGGAGGAACTCAGTTGTGAAGACGTCGTCGGATTTGGTGGTTGGTGTTGCGGGTTCTTCGGGATCTTCTGGCGAAGAGATAGAATTTATCCGGGCCAAATCACGGAGGATAACATGTGGTTGCATAAGATCATGACCGTATATCTCACCATCGTAATTGACCCCAGAGAACACCCGGACAGGAATGTTGACTTGTCGAACGGTGTGGGCGTCGCGACTTCCAGGTAAGCCTTGAACACCTATGGTAAGGTTGTAAGATATTTTGATGGCCTTACCACGATGACTTGATGGCAGACCATGTGGAAGCGGATAATTATATGAGTAACTTCGTTCTTCGCCGGGTTCGAGATGTAAGTCGACAAAGAGTAACGATTGAGGCGTGGAGAGAAGAGGAATGGCTCGGGCATTGGTGACAGCATGCATCTCTTTCACGCTGCTCATGTTGTCTCCTCCCATCAAACTGTTCAAGGAGTCTCCAATACTATTAAAGTTGAAAGTCCCTAAGAAACCACTATTTGGCCTCGGCTTCTTCACGCCAACGACACCTCCCCCAGCTTGACCGCCGAGAAAGCCTTTATTTTTCACTTCTTCGAAATGAGACTGATCGATCAAGGACGCGTCCAGCGTGAAAGTGGCGCCGAGCTGTGCATAGCCCATCAGCAAATTCACCGCTTGAGGCTTGTGCTGTGGTTTCAACGCCGGTTTCCGTAGGTGTAAGTTGCCATAATTTAACGTTGGTCGAATGTCTGATAGAACAGAAGGTTGCTCGGACATCAAAGTTTCCTGAGAATGATTGCTTAGCGAGTAAAAGTCGCCACTACTTCTTTCGCTGGCAACTTGGCTGGCATGGGAAGCACTTTGAGTAACTGGGCTTTCTGTTTTACTGTCATCGCGATCCACATTCAGAAACTGAGGATCTGGTCTATCGGGTGGGAATTTGAAATCGGGAGTAGAGTCACGGCTCCTACTGGTAGCCGGTGATAACGGACTGCGACGGCCACCTTTGACAGCAAGGTGTAGTCCCGTCGGAGAGTCCCTCCGACTATGTGGATTTGGAAAGGCTGGTATTCTAGTCAACAATGAACTTACAACAAAAGGGGATCCTGAATTGATGACCTACCATGCTGAGTACCAACAGTGGAAGATCGCTGGTGGTGACTAAGTCGTTGTTGCTTTGCCCAACTGCTGCTATTCGAGTCGGCTAGATCACCTGCTGTTATCGGAGAAGTTACAGAGATTATCGAAACAGATCTTTGTTGTTTGTGGCCTGGACGTGGTGGACGAGTCTCATTGTCGCTTGTGCCTGTGCTGTTTGGAGTATGAAAGGATGAGTTAGGTCGATGGCGACCGCTTATCTCGGTGGAGTGATCGCTGCTGCTGTTTGTTCGTCCATTGGGACCAACTCGATTGGCAGCATTGATTCTGGTTGCTTGACTGGCGATTTGACTGATACTTTCGCGTCGACTACTGCGTCGAGGTGCATGTGCTGGAGTTACAGGTTCTGAGAGATTTGCAACGTTTCTGAAAGTGATGGTGCATCGTAAATGTTCGCCCGCGAAGACCGATTGTTCATGAAAGCGGACAACTACATGGATGTCCGAATGCATACCAGCCCAAATCGGGCAAAGATGTTTGGGTGAGAGGATCGGCTTTTGATCGTAGTGACAATATCTTTGTTAGTTAAGATCGTGAAAGAGACATTCTGAAGTCGACAGTCGACGGTAGAACCTCGGCGAGAAACATGTTGACATTCAGGATATTGAGAGAATGCCTTTCAATCCATATACGAGTTAGACTTGCTCGAATTTACTACCCATGGAATTTTACTCTTTGTATTTATTTCTAATCATCAGAACCATGATGGGTTCGCGATGGAATAATATTGTATAAACCATATCTACCCCCGGGCTTTCGTGGATACTCAAGTCGAATACAATGGACAATGGCTAATGTCCTTCTAGTGGTAGTTGTCGCATCAGCAACACCTGTCGATGGGTTCAAAGGAGGTGAGTGCAAATAATTGTGCAAAATTTACCTTGATAGACAATATGAGCTAGCGATAAACCCTGCATCCTTATTGAGACGTTTTGCATGGGTTTGGACGATGTCGAGTGAAAATGGGGCTGCTACCAAGATCTGACGCTCAACCGTAAACCATTATCCTATACAGACAACCTGTCATGTCCATAGAGTCCGCCGCTAGCGTAACCCAGCGTCCTTCCTGGTGGGATCCGACGGTCGTAAGACTCGTCTCCAAGATTCGTTATCATTCTTGTGCAGGAGGACCTCGGGGCGATTGAAGTAGAAATCCCAAGACGCGGGTATAATCCTAGGCGGCGTATAGCCATACTCGCAATATCTGCTTACGCCCAATCATCGCTTTTATAATGCTGCGATGCTCATCTCAGCACTCATGACATTGGAGGATGAAGGACGTATCCACTGACATCTTTCTCTGACCGGATTTTGGAACGCGATATATGCACGGGGTAGCGGAGATGTGGCAAGCCCTGTGGGCCAGAAAGGTCCTTCCGCAACTGTTGCATAGCCACTGGACATTCTTATAGCTCGACGAGGGAATTGGAATGAGGATCGTAGTCAGCTTAACCATATGGTTCTGCTCAGTCCACTCCACTCTTATGGCAAATGACTTGGCCACGCCCTGCAAACTGTAAGCTGTGAATGCATATTTGACACTGTTTTCCTGCCGACTTTAGGATTTTGGGTAAATAATGCTTCCACAAAGGAAGGGCAATGGAACGACGCTCAACCCGCAACGCCAACTTGTGCAGCAAGTTTTTCAGTTGTTCTTCCAAGGCCATTATTGGCATAGTAATCAACAGGATAGACGCCATCATCCTTCTCCCATCCCTGTTTTGCACCGAGAACCACTAGTGCCTCATATGGTGTCAACAGGGGGCGAGGAAAAGCATAACCCCAATCAATACTCAGGCGCGGACATGCCACTTGGACCCAACAGTCGACATCTTCGAACAAGGCCAGCTTTCCGGGAAAGATCTCGCTAAGTAGTAAATTGACAAATGGGATACCTTGTTGATTCAGGTAATTCTCGATCATGGTCAAGATATGTGGATTCCCCTGCCGTCCTAGAGCACCAAGGATCAATCCCCATTTCTTGGCTTTCTTTGACGTGTTGATTGCCGTGGACCGCATATCTAGCATTTCCTCGTGAGAATAAGTCTCTCTTGTTAACTTTCTCGAGTATGGATCATATCGGTAGGCTGGCATGTCAGGATTTGCTATCATGGCCGCTTCAAGATGAAACCGGCCATCTCCAAGGTATAAGATGAGATCAACATTGGCATCAGGAGTGATCTTTGGAGCTGTACACCCTAGGACCTCACCTTTGCTCAACGGCATGATTTGAGGAACCACCAATTTCAAACCTTCGGCTTCAAGAGCCGGTCTGATAGTATGGAGAGTGGAATTGAATTGGATAGTACCCACCATGGCAATAGTCTTTCCCGGCGGGATGTTTCTTGACAGAGTGCTCACCAGATGCTTTGTATCGAGAGAGATATCGACGAATATGTATAGCGTAGCGATCTTGGTGGCCGACACTGGAATTAAACAACTGTGTGCATAGTGTACCAGTAAGTCACAACCAAGTGCCCTTGCGGTGTAGTCATCTATACAGCATGCGCCATATGTGACATCTCCCATGATCAGCGTCTCGCTTCCAGGGCAGAACTGCGTCAATATATCGGAAATAGTTGTAGCGAACATGAGAAGGCCTTCGGGGAACTGTAAAGCCACCCTTTTAGCGTCAAGAGTCCGTATCCGGTGTATCGTCTTAGGAATCTCGAAACTGTAGTTCTGGGGTAGCAGGGAGATGGCGGCTTGAATGTCGGGGTCGTCAAGGATGTCACGAGGGATCTGATTCAAGGCTCGAGGGGTCTTTCGTTGTGCTAGAGATGTCAACAAGGGACATGTGAATAATGGGATGGGTATTATATCATACTGTTCTGGACAATCGCCGTCGTCTCTTCCACGGATGAAATCCCATCTTGTTGCCTTTGCTTGGCCTGCGCCTCCGCAGTCCTCCTCCCAACGAAGCGTTTTTTGGGGACTCTGGTTGATGCAGGGACTTCCTCTGGCGCAGGCTCGGGAAACGCACCTGGCATCAAGGACTCCCCTTGGTCCATTTTTGCGTCTTTCTCGAAATCGGGTCGAGTCACTCAGGACGATGCGAAGAAGGTTCGCCGCATAATGGCCATCCGTATTCATTTCTCCAAAAAATTAATATCATCCCACCGGAGCGCGGGGTCAATTTGTTCCGAGCCAGATCACATGCGGTGGGTCTTTCTTTAGCTCGTATTTTGGCTTCGATGTCAAGCTTCCATCACTGGAAATCGTCGTCATACACTTTTGCGCTTCGATCGCGACCCAAACACAAAATACTCGACTCCCAACATGTGAAGCACGACATGTCCTCGAGAGTTCAGGACGCCTGACTGCTAATGGTTGCCAGTTTGAGCACGGTTAAATCTTGATCTCAACCTTCTCATACATGTCAATTGCCATAAAACGGTAGGTCCGTTCTCTGAAGCACTTCTCTCTATGATTTCTCAACCCCGTCTTTGCTGTGAAACACTTCGCTCCTCACAACTATTCTCGTCCTCTGTACCCAAAGTCCAACAATGGCGATCCTACATTCTCTCCTAATGGCGACGAACTTCCGCAATCCGTTCCTGCGCAACCTGATCCCCAGCGTCGGACTGGCATTCGGGATCCAAGCCGCCGTCGCCGTGCCCTCGATCCTCGGACAGACCGAACGCTTCTATGACCTCTCAGGCTCCCTGACATATCTGTCCTGCACGGCCTTGAGCCTATACCTACCCGCCATGCGTGCCCGCGCCACAGCAGCAGTGGCTGGGGCCGCGAAGCCAGCCTGGCCGAGTCTGCTCAGTGCCTTCAACGGCACCGCCGGCCCATACGGATTTAACTGGCGCCAGGTCGTGCTCAGCGCCGCTGTCACCATCTGGGCTGCGAGACGTAAGGACACCAACCTTTCTGAGTTCCCTCAATGCTTTAGACTAACAAGACACCCCGATCCATAGTCGGAACATTCCTCTTCCAACGCATCCTAAAAGACGGCTCCGACTCCCGATTCGAGACGATCCGCACATCCCTTCCAAAATTTCTCGGCGCCTTCTTCGCCCAAGCAGTCTGGGTCTCCCTATGCCTCCTCCCCGTGCTATCGATCAACTCCCTCGCGCCCTCGACCTTCACCGCGCTTGGCTCGCTCGTCTCACTGACCGACATCCTCGGCGTGGCACTGTACCTAGGCGGCCTAGGCTTCGAAGCGACGGCCGACCGCCAGAAAAGCGCATGGAGCCGCGAGAAGAAGGAGAAGAAGCACGACGAGGACTTTCTGACGCGCGGCCTGTGGAGCAAATCCCGACATCCGAACTACTTCGGCGAGAGTACGCTGTGGACCGGCATTGCGACGTTGGCGGGCGGCGTGCTGGCCAGTAAGGCTGGCGTCGCGGGCATGGGCTTCTCGAGCGTAGGCAGCGGATTGTTGACTGGGAAGATCGTGGCGCTGTTGGCCGCCGGTGTGAGCCCGGCGTTTGTCACGTTTCTGCTCTTCAAGGTCTCGGGCATTCCACTCAGCGAGAAGAAATATGATAAGAAGTTTGGCGATCGTGAGGATTATCAGCGCTGGAAGAGGGAGACGCCTATGTTCTTTCCTAAGTTCTGAAGGTGAAACGGGAAATAAGAGCGGCGTCATCGCACTCATGTCATCAATCATGGAAATGTGTTATAGTCTTCTCAATCATATTTTCATGTGCAATCCAAACTTTTTGTTCTCGTTTTATACACTTGCTCTGCTGTCCAAGCAAGCCTGAGCTATCACCATTGCGTATCCCTTTCATGACCGGCCAACCGCTCGTCAAAATATCTTTCTAGATCCTCCGCTTCCGACAGGCGCAACGCTTCCTCCACACTGCCCACGAAGTGCGTTTTCCCACCGCAGAGCTCGACGATGCCGCTTCGCTCAAAGCTCTGAAACACTTTGCTCCGTCGATGAGGGAGCCGGCAGAAGAAGACTCTCGTGCCCCGTTTGACGTACGCCTCCACTATCTCCGTAAAGACTTGAGTGCCAGAACCGTCAATCTTGGTGACGCCGTGAACGTCGAAGATGACGTTCTTGTTGTTGTCCTCGTGTCGGACTCGGGGGAGAGATGGGTGTGCGGCGTTGGTGCCGTACTGTTCGAGTCGTCGAAGTCGGTTCTTCAGCTCGCCAGTGTTGGCGAACGTCAGAGGCTCAGGGATCTTGACGATCAGGCAGCCCTCAATATATTCGATGTTCTCCGGAGAATTCTCAGCATTTTCGAATCGATCGGTTCCTGGCAAACGTCCCAGAATCTGTATCCGAGGTTTCGTAGCATGGCGAATGAGCGATAGTAAGGACAATCCAATGCCCAATGCGATTCCGGTCGACAGGGAATAAAAGACAGTTGCTAAAAAGATAGCAGACATCAAGCACAACTCTGTCCAACCCCTGATTTTGGAGAAGAATTTGATATCATGAGGACATTCTTCAATGAGCGAATATGCAACCACCGATATCATGGCCGAAAGTACTCCTTTTGGTAAGTAATAGAAATAGGGGACCACGAAAAACACGCAGAAAAGTGTAATCAAGCTGAGTAGGATGCTACTCATAGGAGTGGTTCCACCAGTCGAAGCATTGACCTTGCTCCTGCCATAGCCACCAAAGCCAGGCAGAGCCATGAAGCAGCCTCCCACCATGTTGGCGGTTCCCAAAGCGATCAATTCTCGGTTGGCGCTCAGGGTCATGCCTTGCAGCCCATGTGTGCCTTCCCCTAAACTTTTCGCTGCCACGGACGACTCAAAAAATCCTAGTAATGCAATCAAGAACGAAGTGCTTAGAGCAGAGTCGATGTGCTTCATGTGTGAAAATTGAAAAGGCCAGTGAAAAGGAATGGCTTTAGATCCTGTGGCAGACTCGACTTTCCCGAGTACATCCAGGCCTTGCTTGTCCCACCCATAAGCCCAAGTGAGAACTGCAGATAACGCAACAACGAGAAAGCGGTCAGGGAAATAAGCGACTGAAGGGAACCTTGGCTGGAGCTTGCGCTTGAGCGTCCTGATCATGTCAGACGAATTCGAGAGTGGGTGGAAAACATGGTTCTTACCGGAAGAGCATGATAATGACAAAACTTGTGAGAGAAACGGCCAGTGTGAGTCCATGTGATTTTCCAATATTTCTCACCAGGAAGACCACCTTTTGTGCACTGCTACCGTGTGAAGCTCCAGTCTCTCTGGCGACCTCAGTAAGGCCCAGTTCCGGGATCAATTGATCAACAAAGATAACAAATCCAATGGCGCTAATAAAGCCTCGAAGAAAAGGTCGACTCAAAACGCTGTCGAGAAAGCCGAGACGACTTAACCCAGCCACAAAAATGACAGCCCCTGCAGTGGCAGTAACGACTCCTGCAATCTGAGCATTGATCACGTCGTTGTCATCTCCAGAATTGCCTCGATCGATCGAGGATCTTACCACTGACCCAACAAGGAGAGACCCGGCGGCTTCTGGACCAACAACCATTTGTGGACAAGTGCCCAAAAAGGCATAAATCAGGGGGTTGAAGACAAAGGAATATAAGCCATTGATGGCTGGAACATGCGACAAATTCGAAGCATAAGACAAAGACATTGGAATGTAGAAGGAGGCCATTGTGAGGGCTGCAATAAGATCGCCCTGAAACCACGCCCACCGGTATTGTCGAACCCACTTGACGAATGGGAAATAGTAGGAGAAATACATGAATCTTGGGCTGCTGATGCCATGTCTCTTAGCCAACCAGTTAGTTGTGCTCATGCTTTTGCTGCCTGGTAGAGAGTCGGCTATACTATCTCCCAAAATACCGTGGGTTTGATCTCTTGGACCTCCGTCCTCGCCGATAGCACCAGGGTATCGACCACCAAATTGAATGGAACTGTCGATGCTACTTCGGGCACTTCTGAATGAAGGGGCACTCGGGGAGAACGTGCCATGATTGCAATTCTTGCGCCCACAGACACGGTGATTGTGGTGGTAGTTTCCTAGTAGGCTAGTTCTGGCATTGACTTCATGTGAACTTGGCTCGTCAATTTGGCCTCGAACCTGACCATTTCTGCTGTCTAACAACAAATCTGGTTCGGGTTCTACAATGGTAGGGTGTGCGGTCTCTGGCTCTAGTGCTGGTGGGGATAGAGTCAATCTAGGGCCCTGGTCTATCTCTTCTGACGATTTTGATCTTGCCATTCGGTCCTCCGGAGACAGGATCATGGAATCTCGCAGTCGACTTGGGATGAGTGGTACATGTTGACTTGACATGCGACTGTGAGTTTGTGCGGGTCTGGGAGAGGTAGGAGGGCTAGCTTGGTTCACCGAGGAGGTGGAAGAGGTCTCTGAGTCGCGTTCGGACATGGTTGTTTTGGATCTCGATATAAGACATTGACGGAGGGTCGTGTCTTTGGGAGGGTCGTCTTATTGAGTGGTCATAGCGAGTGTCTAGGTATGAAGTACACCTACCACAACTTGAATGTTAAGGATAGTTTGGGTATACAAAAAGGATGAATTTTCAAGCATGGAATATAGCGCTGGTCAGATGCACGCGAAAAGTCGACCTGGTAGTAGCGTTAATTAGTAGTAGTATGTCTTCCAAGGTGAGGGTGCATTCAGAAACGTAAGATGGTCGGGCAAATCCAATCACCGGTCTCGCGAATGTCGACCAGGAAGGAATGACGTTGCTCTTGCCCCAAAATCCGGGCTCCGGGCCCCTTCCCCTTGGGATCTGTACTAACCAGCAGCCCGGGAGGACGCACGTGGGAATGGATGCACTGCATCTACACTATCTACAGCCCTAGGTATTCATACGAACTCATTGTAAACTGTGAATGGGTGAAGACAGTACAGAAATATAAGACACAAGGAGGTGGCAGTATTGCTCTTGCATAAATCTGGTTATTGAATCCATGGCCAATCCATCTTTAACACAAATTCACATTGAACACAATTGACACCATCCCATCGTGGATCGTAGCTATGTCTCTGAGAACTCTGCCGTCACTCATTAGTCATTCCTCACGCAGTCTTGCCCGTGTCTTCCTTGAGTCCAACAATCCGATTCAACACAATCTTTCCCGCTGCCTCATCTGTGTCCTTGTCCAAACAGAAATACCCGGTCCGCATTGCTTGGAACCGAACTGATTCAAACCCAGCAAGCCCCTTCTTCTCACCCGCTTCCTCAGGCCATGGCGCTCTCTCGCGAATCTCCTTCAGACCGACTTCTGCAACTGCATTGGGATATATCTGCAAGCTATCGTCTCGTAGGTCTGCCATAAAGCTTGGCTCCACTGCATCAGGATTTTCTGACTTGAATAGTGGCTGGAATACTCGGACCTCACAATTGACAGGTGAGCCATGTTCTGGTGCTTTGGCAACCCATTGGATGTAGGCTTTGGGTCTTTTGGCTTTCTCTCCCTGAGCTGGCTTGTCATATTTGGCATGGATCTCGGTGACAAGTCCTGTGGCTTCGTCCTTCTTGAAGCTTGTCGCAATCACTGGATATGGAACCTTCAACAAGCCTACCGGTTTGCCTGGTGCCATTCTGAAAAAGTCCTTGCTGTCCTCCTCTCTGAAGTCGTCTCGCTCGATGTATACCGTTTTGGTCAATGGCATCTTGTGTGAACCCATGTCAACGTCTTTTGGTCCAAAGGCATTTTCGATCTCCTCGTAATGGTCGTCAGCGAGATCATCGATGATGACTGGAATGGGATCCAGAACTACCATGAGTCGGGGCACGGTCGATTCGAGATATTTCCGAACAGACTGCTCGAATCTTGTGATTTGGATATTGATCTTCGCGGTCGTAACCCCGAGTTCACTGACAAAGGATAAGATGGCGCCCGGTGGGATACCTCTCCGGCGTAGAGCAACCAGAGTGTAAAGTCTGGGATCATCCCACCCGTTGACGATTTTGTCGTCCACTAGCTTCTTGATCTTTCGTTTGGACAAAACGGTCCCCGTCACATTCAAACGTCCGTACTCTCTCTGCATTGGTTTGTGAGGCACATCGACCGTATTGTTGAGCCACTCATAAGACACTCGGGACAGGATGAATTCGGTCGTACAGAGCGAATGGGTGATGCCTTCGAAGCTATCACATAGGCAGTGCGTGAAATCATATGTCGGGTAGATTCTCCATTTATCGCCGGTCCGATGATGAGGCTTTTCGAGAACTCGATAGGCGACCAGATCCCACATTTGTGGATTTCCATTGGTGATGTCCTGCTTCATTCGCAGAAAGGCTTCTTTCGGTTTGTATTTCCCATCCCTCATTGCTCGGAATTCAGCCAATGACTCCTCGATTGGTCGACTCCGGTGTGGACATGCATATCGCTCATGTTTGTTCTTGACGTCTGTTCCACCTCTTTGATCTTTCAGCTGTTCATCAGTGCAGTGGCACACGTAAGCACCATCCAGTGTGATCAATTTCTCTGCCAGTTCATAGAGCTGATCAAAGAAGTCACTCGAGTAGGTGATGAGGGCAGGATCAAAACCAAGCCATCGAACAATGTCTTCGATGGCGGTGAAATAGACTTCTTCCTCAGCCTCTGGATTGGTATCATCAAACCTCAGATTGCATTTGCCACCCCAGAATCTGGCAAATCCGAAATTGATCGCGATTGCTTTGCTATGACCGATATGAAGATAGCCATTAGGTTCTGGAGGAAATCGAGTAACAACGCCTTCTTCGTCAGGTCTCTCACGTCTCACACCAGCAAGCCAGCCTTCCTTGAACATGGCCTCCGGGTCGACGGGGCCTGTCGCTTCTGTCTTGGGAGGTTTGGGTGGTTTGGCAACCTGTGGCTTGGGTTCTTTTGGAGCCTTGTGTTGCTTGGGGGCTTTCTCCTTCTTTGGCTTCTTGTCGGCAACAACATTTTCGACCTTGTCCTTTATCCGCTCGGGTAAAGACTTGCTGGCGTCTGCACTCTCTGCCATGGTGGCTGTTCTGGGCTCAGTAACCCACACTGGAGGGCACTTACGCTTCGCGATCTCTGACAGTTTTGTGTGCTTGTGTACTGCAAAAAAGAACTCCCTGGTGAATTGATGTGTTTAAGTTTATCAGAGCAGGCTTCCGTCAATACTCTATCGAGGTTGGTGACTCTTGTTTTTCTGTGATGTTGTCGGAGCAGTGAGTCAACAAAAGTGTCAATGTTCAGCCACAGTAATGCCAAGGCTGATATCTCAATTTGGAGTCCGCCAATGGGAGAATGTCGGGAGACACCTAGCAGCTTCTAAAGGCGGCGCTCCTTTCTTCCCAATCTGAGACTAGCACTTTCTAGCGCTCCCTAGTAACACTAACGCGACTGATACTCGATTCCAAATGAAACCCTAGGCTGTCCAGATTGCGCCGCCGATTGCATCAACTTTTTCCAAGGACACCCTGTTCATGGCCACTTCGCCGCCGCCGCCGCATTTGCATTCACGACCATTTTCTAAACGTTTCTGCTCCTCTCGTCGAGCTCTTTATTGACGCTCGCAATGGCGCAGAAAGTGTACGTCTCTCAACACACCGAAATGGCAAAGATAATGTCTAACATACTCGATAGATCCAAATTGGTCGACAACGACCGAATTCAATCCGCAACTCTCCACCATCCTTTACCTATATATTTCAAAACTTATGTTTGGCCCTTCCTCATCCTATGGCCCATTTTCCTCGGGTTTTTTCTCAACGAAGATCTTTACGATGAATACATCGATGGTCCAGAGTGGACTTTCGTCTTTGTCGCAACTATTGTGACCTTACAGTCTCTAGCTTGGCTTGTCACCAAATGGAATGTCAATTTACAAGCGGCATTCACCACTAGCCCTGCCAGTGAAGTCGAGGTCGCAGAGCTGATCAAGGTCGTTCCAGTCGTCAACTCGGGTGCTCCAGCGATTGTCAAGATTGATTACGAAGATGGTAGATGGTCCTTTCTTTTCCAAAAGCGACGATTCCTCTACAACCCTGAGAAAGGGACTTTCGCCCCCTTGGAATATGCTTTAGACGCTGACAAGAAACCCTTGTTGCGCGACTTCCAACTTTCGCAAGGTCTTACTACCGAGAAAGAGATTGAAGATATTCAGAGACATTATGGTGACAATACCTTCGACATTCCTGTGCCCGGATTTGTGGAATTATTCAAGGAACATGCAGTGGCTCCCTTTTTCATCTTCCAGGTCTTCTGCGTGGGTCTATGGCTTCTCGACGACTATTGGTACTATTCATTGTTCACTCTGTTCATGCTGGTGGTTTTTGAAAGCACTGTTGTCTGGCAGAGGCAACGAACCCTGAACGAGTTCCGAGGTATGAGCATAAAACCTTACGACATTTGGGTTTATCGTTCCAAGAAGTGGATCGAGATCAAAAGCGACAAGCTGCTACCGGGTGATTTAGTTTCTGTTGGTCGCACCCAAGACGATTCCGGTGTTGCTTGTGACATGCTTCTCATTGAAGGAACAGCCATTGTTAACGAAGCCATGTTGTCGGGCGAGAGCACACCTCTTTTGAAGGAATCGGTCCTCCTTCGTCCAGGAGATGTTGCTATTGAGCCAGAGGGTCTTGACAAGAATGCTTTCCTTTTCGGCGGTACCAAAGTCCTACAAATTACTCATCCGGCTGCTAGTGATGACATTAAAGACCCCGTTGCAACCGTCAAATCAGGAGTGCCCCCGCCTCCGGATAAGGGAGCTCTGGCGGTTATTTTGAAAACAGGCTTTGAGACTAGTCAGGGAAGTCTCGTCAGGACCATGATCTTCTCAACCGAACGTGTGTCAGCAAACAACGCCGAAGCACTATGGTTCATCTTATTCCTTCTTATCTTCGCTTTGGCCGCTTCAGGGTATGTATGGCAAGAAGGTGTTCGCAACAACAGAAAGCGCTCAAAGTTACTACTCGACTGTATCTTGATCGTGACTAGTGTCGTTCCTCCAGAGCTTCCCATGGAGCTTTCATTGGCCGTCAATACCAGTCTTGCCGCATTGAGCAAATTTGCCATTTTCTGCACTGAGCCATTCCGTATTCCCTTTGCCGGTCGGGTTGATGTCGCTTGTTTCGACAAGACCGGAACACTCACAGGTGAAGACCTGGTTGTGGATGGTATTGCAGGACTCGGACTCGGACAAAAGTACATCAAGGCAGAAGCTGATGGAGCGCAGTCAAGCATCATGAAAGTTCCTGAAGTCGGGATCCATACCACACTTGTTTTGGCTAGCGCTCATGCCCTTGTCAAGCTTGACGAGGGAGATATTGTTGGAGATCCAATGGAAAAAGCGACGCTCAATGCGCTCAATTGGACCCTGGGCAGTAACGACACTCTGTCAAGCACAGCACCATCAAAGTACAAAAAGGCCGTCCCAATCTCAAGTGCTGCTCATGTGGTTCAAATCAAACGTCGCTTCCAGTTCTCGTCTGCGCTCAAACGACAGAGCTCTGTCGCTTTCGTATCTATGACGGATCCCAGAACTGGTCGTAAAGCGAAGGGCACCTTTGTCGGCGTTAAGGGGGCACCGGAGACTATTCAAAAAATGTTGGTCGAAACCCCTCCGTACTATGAGGAAACGTTCAAATACTTTACTCGAAATGGTGCTCGTGTCCTCGGGCTTGCCTATAAGTATCTCTCTACTGAAGCCGAACTTGGTCAAAAACGCATCAATGATCTCAAGCGAGAAGAGGTAGAATGTGATCTTCATTTCGCAGGTTTCTTGGTGCTTCAGACACCACTCAAGGAAGACGCGATCAAAGCAATTCAAATGCTGAACGCAAGCAGCCATCGCGTGGTAATGATTACAGGAGACAATCCTTTGACGGCAGTTCATGTGGCAAAGCAGGTGGAGATCGTCGACCGGGACACCCTGATTCTAGATGCACCTGAACACGACGATTCTGGCAGCAAGCTTGTCTGGCGTAGTGTTGACGAAAAGACTATCATTCCTGTGGATCCTACCGCGGACCTCGATCCACAAATTCTCGAGCACAAAGATCTATGTGTCACTGGATATGCTTTGGCCAAATTTACTGGACAAAAAGCCTTCCTCCCTTTGCTCAGACACACATGGGTTTACGCACGAGTTTCACCAAAGCAAAAAGAGGAGATTCTGATCGGTTTGAAAGATCTGGGCTATACTACACTGATGTGTGGTGATGGTACTAATGATGTTGGTGCCCTCAAACAAGCACACATCGGAGTCGCTCTCCTCAATGGTTCACAGGACGATCTCAATCGAATTGGAGAACATTTCAGAACGACCAAGATGAAGGAGATCTACGAGAAGCAAGTCAGTGTGATGAAACGATTCAACCAGCCTGCTCCTCCTGTACCGATCGGTATTGCCCATCTGTATCCTCAAGGTCCAAGCAATCCACACTATGAAAAGGCCGTCAAAGCATTTGCTGAAAGACGAGGACTCAATTTGGAGAATGGTGATGCTGAAAATGGCGAGATCGAGACCATTACCTCTCCAGGTGCCCAGGCCCTCCAGCAAGCGAACTCCAATCTCACTCCTCACCAACGTCGTCAACAAGAAGCATCACAGAAAGCCGCAGGTTGGGCCGATAAGTTCACATCCGCCATGATGGAGAACGAATTGGATGACAACGAACCACCAACCATTAAACTGGGTGACGCGTCAGTCGCAGCGCCCTTTACCAGCAAGCTTGCCAACGTCATCTCCATCCCCAACATCATCCGTCAAGGCCGATGCACATTGGTGGCAACCATTCAAATGTACAAGATTCTCGCTCTGAACTGTCTCATTAGCGCATACAGTCTGTCAGTCATTTACCTCGCAGGCATCAAATTTGGTGACGGACAAGTAACCATCTCCGGCATGATGATGTCGGTCTGTTTCCTGTCGATCTCACGCGCCCGACCGGTCGAAGCCCTGTCCCGTGAACGCCCCCAACCCAACATTCTCAACGCTTACATCCTCGGCTCCGTCCTCGGGCAATTCGCTATCCACTGCGGTACGCTCATTTACCTGTCTCGTGTTGTGTACTCGATCGTCCCACCCTCGGACGAAGTGGACCTAGAAGGCGAATTTGAGCCCTCTCTCCTCAACAGCGCCGTCTACCTAATGCAACTAATCCAGCAAGTTTCCACCTTCGCCATCAACTACCAAGGACGGCCCTTCCGTGAATCCATCCGCGAAAACCGCGGCATGTATTGGGGACTCCTGGGCTGCACGTTCGTTGCCTTCTCCGGGAGCACAGAGTTCCTGCCCGAGCTCAATGACAAACTACGTCTCGTGCCCTTCACCTCTCAGTTCAAGTGGACGCTAACGACGCTGATGATCGTGGACTTTTGTGGATGTTGGCTCGTCGAGCAGGTGTTCAAACGCGCGTTCAGCGATTTCAGACCCAAGGATATTGCTATCAAGCGGCCTGACCAGGTCGCAAGAGATGATAAGCGGAAGCAAGAGGCGGCCGAGAAGGCAGAGAAGGAACGTATCGAGGCCATTGAGAAGAAACGCGGCGTTCACAACAATACTGCGCCCGCGCCATCGGCGATCAAGGCTGAACGGAAATGAATATGACGATGGAAGGCTGTTTCGAGTACAGGTGTTTCGCGGTGGCATCTTGTTGAGTACAGGATTTGCTCTCGCTGGTTCACCTGTACCCTCCCTAGCGTAACCTGCCTGGATTCATTTCCCCTAACTAGACGCATTTGCATGATCTCTGGAGTTATTGTTGATAATAGAAGGCTCTCAATAGTCTTGGCGTTAAGATGCATGACATGTGATTTCCACTATACCACCTGCCTGGACATTACCTGACTCAGTAATGACTCTCAGCTTTTGAACTGGCAGTGGCAGTGGGGATAATGTATTTTCCGGATGACACTGGATAGACTGTCTCGGCTGATCTCGGGATCATCCGGGCGTCGCTGGCAGTCCGGGGTTGATCAGTCTTCCCTCAGAAGAGATAGTCCAGGATTGATCCAGAACATGGAACAACCCCATATTGACATTCATTATTCAATGGGAGTATCTAGAATTCTGGCGTTGGCATATGCAGCACGACTTGAGCCTCGTGGAACGCAGATAATTGTTCTAGAACTGTAGAACAACGGTGGAAGAAGCCTCAAGCTCGGTGTTTTCGGGGAGGGGACACCGAGGCACTTGGATGGACGAAACCCTTTGATCCATTGCCTGTGGTTCGGGTGATTCAGGAAGACGAACAACACCGAGTCTGGGCACTGCACCAAAAAAAAACTGGACGCTTGTTTCCCCATGACGCTCGCCCCATTGCCATTTGCCGCTGTGTCATTTTGCCCCTCGCCCCTCAGTCCGTTCTTTCTGGACTGTCAATAATGGGTATCGTCGGATCAGTTCAGATTGCGGAGTACCTCCCTCGTACACAACTATCCTTCCACTGTGATTCCTCTTAGTGTATCAGACGTCCACTGGTGTCAATGGCTACGGAATCTGTTCCTACCCACGAAAATGGGGCTTCGGGATCTCATACAGCTTCAGTTTTCTTCTCTCAACAACTGACTGGTTCTCTTTCTGATAGATAACAGCCGTTTTCTTCCTCTCCCTCTGATTCTTCTCGTTGCTCTCCTTCATTTCCTGCTTCATCTGTGTCTGCTTGGTTCCCGTGACGAAACCCCGATTTTCCCCAATCCGACATTCCTTCCTCTGACGTCGGTTCCTCCATTCTGCCGAGGGACTTGAAACCAATATCATCGTCGTGTGCTTGACTCTAAACTTCTCCCTGAGATTAATCCAGTTGAAACCCAGTTGAAATCAACATGGCTACCAACGGAAACTCCAATGGTCAAAGCACCGGCACTGGCACAGAGAAGATCAATACCGATATTATTACCCTCACCCGGTTTCTGACGGAAGAGCAAGCAAAGCACAAGGAAGCCACTGGTGACTTTACGTGAGTTGACCCTCAAGAGCTGTGATTTCCCAGAGACGGGGGAACCATTCATTCTGACATATCTCTCACAGATTACTGTGCCATGCCCTCCAATTCTCTTTCAAATCTATTGCCTATTACATCCGACGAGCGACCTTGATCAACCTGACCGGTCTGGCCGGATCTTCCAATACCACCGGTGACGACCAAAAGAAACTCGATGTCATTGGAAATGATCTTTTCGTGGCTGCTATGAGAGGCTCCGGCCGCTGCAGGGCAGTGGTTTCAGAGGAGGAGGATGAGATCATCTATTTTGATGAGAGCCCAGATGCAAGATATATTGTGGCCTGTGATCCAATTGACGGCTCCTCAAATCTTGACGCTGGTGTTTCTGTCGGTACCATTTTTGGAATCATGAAGCTCCCAGACAGCACTATTGGACGCAAGCCTACAGTGGAGGATTTGCTTATGCCTGGTACTGAGCTACTGGCTTCCGGGTGAGTGGACAGAGGGGGAGATATGCTGTATTTCTGCTGACAACCCTTCTAGATTCACCATGTACGGAGCCTCAGCACAACTAGTCATTACCATGAAGGGCGGTACTGTCAACGGCTTCACTTTGGTAAGCCAAGGAATACGATTTTCCTACGTCAAAGAAGATTTCCACTGACCTTTTAATTTTTCAGGACAATGCTCTCGGTGAATTTATCTTGACTCATCCAGACATGCGCATCCCATCCAAGCGTGCCATCTATAGTGTCAACGAAGGCAACTCACTATACTGGACCGACAAGACGAAAGCCTACTTTGAGTCCTTGAAATATCCTGCCAAGGAGGGAGGCAAGCCATACTCGGCTCGATATATCGGGTCCATGGTTGCTGATGCCTACCGAACACTTCTATATGGAGGCATGTTCGCGTATCCTGCCGATAAGAAGAGTCCAAAGGGCAAGCTCCGAATTCTGTATGAATGTGCGCCTATGGCTATGGTGATGGAAAATGCTGGTGGTAAAGCTGTTGACTCTAACATGAAGCGAATGATGGAGGTCGTACCACAAGGTATTCACGATCGATCAGGGATCTTTATGGGCAGCCCTGAAGAGTTGGACAAAGTTATTGAGGCACACAAGTGAAGTGTTTGAATGGAATGTTCTTGTTCTAGCATTTAGTGTTCGTGGGGAACCTGCAAGGTGGAATGGGAATTGATGAAAAATCCCATCCGAGCCCAAAAAAATATAACAATCGAGAGCGGGAGGGGAGCATCATCGACATGCCTGAGTCTGGCATGAAGGTATGAGCACAGGGCATGAAAAAGGAGTTGAGTCGAATGGTTGGTCTGTACTGCTAGTATTTATCCCTTCGCCATGGGGTTTTTTGGAACTGTCGAGATACCAAAACTGACACCCTGATTATCACCTTACAATTTACAAGCCACAAAAATCCACAAACAATTGAACTCCAGGCTCGAAGTCAATCCCCTATCATGGCTTACCTTCATGCTATCCTCATACTGACATGTCTACTCACCCACCTCGCAGTAACTCAACCAAACAACGCAGCGCCCGCCATCCATCTCCCACTGACCAGACGAGGAAATCGTTTCTCCCGACGTGAAACAGCCAACCTGACATATCTGGCAGACATCTTACAAGCTGTTGAAGCCAAGTACGCTTCCAGCTACCGTGAAGTCGATGGGAATCGTTTGGTACGGCGTTGGCGACTGAAGGACAATGACGATGAGAATGACCCTCACTTGATTGATGTCGCTGGTCACCCGAATCGTTGGTGCGCGGACTCGGGACGATTCTTGAACGGATTTGACCTGACCGTGCTACAGGTATACGCATCTCAAAGTGGGTGAGCCGCCGCAGGACTTGGAGGTGGAGCTCGACATGTTGAGTCCGGATTTCTACACCGTTGTTACCACGAGTGAGAGAGGGTCTGCATATAATGCTTCTGGTTCGAGATCTCACGGTAGGCAATGGAGTGGCTTCACCGTCTCAACGTCTGATACGACTCTAACGTGATCCTCTCTGTACCTGAACAGGTCCGAGCGATGACTCCGTCCACGCCATCTGTCACAATCCCAGCGACGAATTCCACTTCACCAGCAACGACATCACCAGCCCCATCCGTCTAAACTTCCCAATCTGCAGACCATCCAAAGCCTCACGACAAACACTGACCAACTCCGGCACATTCCTCGGCTTCTCACCTCCATCAGAGTTCCTCTCCAAGCTCTCCTCCCCTTCACTACTAGACCAGCTCGTCAACCAAGGCATCCTCAAGCACAAAATCTGGTCGGTGGCCTTACTCGACACAGAAACCGGCATCCTCAGCCTCGGCGGCACGATCGCACGGGAAGTCGAGGAGACCAAGATCCGCGTGGAGACGGAGCTGAAGCATTTCGGCGAGTCGATCGCCACGGCCGAATGGGTGACGGCACAGGTCGAGGAGCAGATGAAGTCGGCCATGCCCATGGCCTCGGCCTGGGACGAGCATTTCAAGTGGACAGACGTCCAAGGTGCGGCGGGCTGGTGGACAGCGTTAATGCTGGGTGTGTGGATCAACGGTTCAAAGGTAAAAGGCTTGCAAGCCCTCTGAAGTCAAGCCAGTGTGAAAGTTCCTCCCTGACAAACAATATGTGATGACCGACAGGTCCTCAAGAACCAACCGATCCTCCTCGACGTCAACGTGCCCTTGATCCTCGCGCCCCCTGTCGCCGTGCAACGCTTCTACGCCTCCATCGGCGGCACGAAACGGCTGGCGGCCCCCTACGACGCATTCCACGCGTTCCCCTGCCTCAACCGCGTCAACATCGCGTTCGAGATCGCCGGCTGGAATTTCCCCGCCATGGCGGGCGACGGCACGGCTTCGGATGCGCTGTATGGTCCCGCTGGGGGGAGGTTTAGTCTGGGGAAGCTGGGGGATGGGAGTGGGTATTGTGTTGGTAGTGTTGTCGAGAGTCGTATGGCAGGGCCAGAGTGGAGGGCGAGTGGGTTGAGGGATTTTTGGGTCCTGGGAGAGCCGTTTTTCAGAGGGCTCGGGGTCGTTTTCGATACGGAGAAGGGGAGGGTTGGGGTTAGGAATTATTGACCTTGATTTGATACTGAGGTTGGTTTTGGCTGGGACTGAGTATCTGGCGTGCTGACTCTGGAGTTATTTGCTATGTTCAAGGCGAGAGGTATGAGACCCAGCATAGGGCTGTGATAACGACCTGATAACGACTAGATACAAGATGCCATCAAGACTAGAGTCGACTTTTGTAGCTCCCACATGCGAAAAACGAGAAATGAGAAATCATTCATTTCTGCAATTCACTTGCCTTGGGCAGAATCTTCTCCTTTTCCAGCTCATCCAGCGTCTCAAAGAACGCATCCTTCGTATCGTGATACCCAGTCCACCCCAACTTTCTCGCCTTGCTCATACTGACCACACAGTCATACTCCCTACCCAACAAGAACGTGAGGAACCCCCAGGTCGCCTTGTCCCAGACACTCTGGTCCAGTCCGAACCGATCTCTCAATTCCTCCCATTTCTTCACCACCTCGGGCCTTTGCGCCCACTTCGTCGTGTCGATCTGCTGATGCACGACGCTGTGGTCATCCTTGCCATCAAAGAGACCTTTCAACCCGATCTTATCCGCCTCCTCCGCGATAGGTGGCTTCGTGGGCAACACCGTATGCGCCACCTCGAAGCCGTTGTACCGCTGCTCCTTTGATGATGGCACCTTCAGCTCCGCGCCCGGAAACATCTTCGCAGGGACTTTCGCCCCATATCGCTCAGCAATCGCCGGCCATAGATTCTGCCACGACTCGGTATCGCCGTTGACAACGTTAAACGCTTGGTTCCCGGCTTTGGGCTCCAGAGCCGCCCAGGTACAGAACTCGGCATGCAGTTTGGCGGACGTCCAGCAATTGAAAGCCAGGTAATTGATCAGATTGCCTGGGAAAACGAGTTCTCGCTCCGGCAGACTCGCCGAGATGCTGGCATACAAGCCCAGCGCGGTCGCGAGATTCATGAAATTCGCCCGCGCAACCCCAATCACGTCCTGGGGATACGTGACAACCCAATCCCACTTCTCACCGTCACCCTCGTCCTCGACCGCATCTCTCAGAATCCGCTGCAGCGTATAATAGAAATTCGGCGGCCAGTCGCCTCCCTCGAGCCACGGATCAGTCTCGTGCATGGGCTGCTTCGCCCGGCCCAGGTGCACGCCATACTGCTTGAGGCCGTTGACCAGGACAAGGCGCTTGAGGTGCTTGATCTCGCCCGTGGCGCGCAGCGCGGACAGGAAGTTGCGCAGCATCGCGCCGTTCACTTCGGCGGCTTCGCCTTCATCGTCGCGTGCGAGGTACGCGCAGAAAAAGACGTATTCGCCAGTCACGGAAGCCAGGGAGTCTTTCATCTCCGACGCGCTCGATTGTAGGTCGAGCGTCTTGTGCGTGATGCGCGAGTCCGAGGCCGTTGATGCTTGCGACCGGCTTAGCGTGGTGATTTGGCTCCATTTTGGTGTTGTCGACGAGAGGAGGTGTTGTACTATGGCGTGGCCGGTGATGCCTGGGTAGGGAACGGTTTAGCTTGGTTTTCAGATGGGGTTGGATCATTGTCGTTGAGGTGAGTTTGAAAGACTGGATAGCTAGCTTGCTAGATGTCTCTGTTTCAGAGGCTGAGGAGAGCGTCACGTACCTGTGGCACCAGTAACTATGGCTGTGGGCATCTTGAAGTCGGGGATGAGAATGTTCTTCCGTTCAGAGTACCTGGACGAGTAGATAAATGCAGTTGGTAGGAAATCAGGAGAAGAAGTCACAAGAACTGCATTTATTTCGTATTTCTTTATCACAATAACGAACCGTTCGTATGCATTCTCGACTTTCCATGATGAAGATTAAATGCTCTTCACTACGCTCACCTACATGCATGATCACATAACAGGTAAGGAAGGTTCAAAGAGCCGAACCTAAAGAATGACGTCTCGATCCGGCGAGTCAGCGACTCAGGAAGTCTTGACGGATCCAGCGATCGTCAAGCTTACGAAGTGACGAACGATGTATGGTCCACCCGGGTGATCTGATCTGCGCGCTGGCCACGCGCGGGTTTCGGTTTCCGAGGAGTGGGATACGAGTTCCTTGCTTAACACTTCGGGAGGGTGAAGGATGAAAAGTGTGCGACATGTGCGACGCGTGGAGCGGATGATGGTTGATATGAGGCTTACTAACATGTCAACTCTAGTGCTGGGTGTAGGTTACTAACGTGTGAGGAGCGGCTGGCTTTCCATGTTGAGTGATTCCGGGGGATTTCCCAGGGGATATGGCCCCGCGGACTGGCTGATGGAGGGATCCATGGCCCGTATCTTATAGGTACACTAATGTGCATGTAAATGTACGGACGATTGACTCAGCTGGTGGGTCAAGTACCCATCGACACAGGTCAACGACAAGGGAATCGGACCGTCGTGGTCATTCATGGTAGCAATTGCAGGAAAATTGAGGGACTATGGAGGCAGAACTCCATCCCCTTGGAGAGGTGGGTGGGTATCATTTTGTATCCCATTTCCTGCTATACATTGAAAGTATCGCTTCATTCAATCATCAATAGATATCTCTTTCCAGATATCTCTACCACATCAAGATTCGCTCAACAAGACCATATGAATTGGGTCCATAAACCTCATTCCGAGTTCCATTTCAATCTATTCAGCCGCCTGGACTAAGTCATCCCAACCACCCAGGATCTCAAGATCAGCCTTGACCTGGGCTTTCTTGTCTTGTAATACTCTACCCAAAGACTCGAACCACTGTTCTTCGATCATCGTCACCTGCTGTTTCAGCTCGGCAGTTGCCTCTGCTTCTTCCTTGTCGCGTGTCTCTCGTGGATCCTCGGTTGGGAGGTTGTTGGTGTTGTTTTGTGCTTGACACGCTTCTGCTGCTCGGCATCGCGCTTTCAACACTCCGAGTTTCACTTCGTGAAGAAGACAGTTCAGGTTGACTTGTGATTCGATGAATTGGTAGGTCGATTTCTCGGCATGGTCGAGGAGTGTGTACAGGTATTGTTGTGGGAACTCGACATAAGATGGGTTTTCTTCATACTCTGCTTGTGGGATGGCAATGGCTCCGGCAGGGATATCACCATCAGGCAATCTTTGAATCAAATCGAGAATGCTCGGCGCAATATCCCAGAACGCCGAGGACTGCAATTCAACCTCTTGTGCAACATGCTGTGACACCATCTGGCATAACGTTTGATATCGTGAGACAGATTCTTCCCGGAATATTCTCTTGCGTTGTAAGCTATCCCGGTGGAAGAATTCCTCCGTGTCTCTGATCTTCTCGAGGTGTGAAACTTGGTGGTAGGGCAGCAACACAATAGCCTTATACTTCTCATTCCGTTCACTGAGAAGATTGAAGATTTCTTGGTGCGCATGCTCTCGGGTCTCAAATAACCATTTGAGCTGTGTCAAATATTCCAGAATTTCCGGCATAGCATCTCCTTCCTGTTGAGGTCGATCCAGGTTCTGCTCTTGGGTTTCCGCGACTAGTTTTTCGGTCAATTCAGCTATACCAGTGGTGAGTTGTTCAACTCGCGCATTCAACATGTCATGCATCGGATTGATCATCACATCTTGTAACGTGTCGAATTCCGCTTGTAAGCAGACTTTCTCCTGCCTGTTCTCATCCAGCTTCAATGCTTGTTCCGCTTCCGCTGCTTCAGCATAAGTGAGGCTTCCATCACTGATCTGTGCATGTATATTCGTTTTAAATGTGTGCTGTCCTTCTCGAACTTTTCGTTTGTGCTCTATTCGCAATGCCTCCACACTAACATTATACCGAGATCTCCGGTCCTCCAACTCTGTCAGATCGCTGAGTGTTCGTACCAAATTCCGCGAAGCTGCCAGTTTTGGATGACTGTTGTTTACAGCAGGATAGTGACGTGGATAAGGTGGAGGAAGTGTTATAAAGCGAGAAATGTCCACAGCTTGAGGGCTCATCGGAAAGCTTGATGATCGGTCCATATACAGAATAGGTTCTTCATCTTCATATATCCCAAATGTATCCGGATCCACTTTTTCCTGAGCATATCCGCCTCCATTTTCAACAATTTGATCAAGCTGTGTTGGAGTTGCAGCTTCCGAAAGAACTTCTTCAACAGAGAGTGCTGAGAGTCCCATATATTTCGATTCTCTTTTAGAACGTTTCAGTTTTCGCGCCCCACCAATTGCTTCAGAATTACTATCTGCCGTTTGCGATTGCCACCAACGACTTGCAGTACGTCCACGAGAGCTGGCTTCGTCATTACTCATGCTTGCGATTGGTGACAGGGCTGGGCGATAATCTTTCCACCATGCGGTTTCTGGTCGTTGAGGAGGATCAATTCGAAGGCCATGCATTGAAGCCCGCTCTTTGCTTACAGGGGGACTTTTCAAGGCTTCTTCACTATTGTTGGAGAGTAACGCATCGAACAATCGTTGGCTGCCTGCATTGGCCTTCAGGGTGCCATCCGTGAATGGTCCGGGATATCGTGCTCTTCTTATTGTGGCCTCTGATGCAATAAATTGTGCAAAGAGTTGTAGCCGCTCCAAATCGCTGCTAGCCTGGCTTTCCCGCACCAAGAATTGATGGTGGCGGTTTACAGCATCCGTTATGAACGAGTCTACTTCATGAAGTAGGTCTGATACCGAGGAGGCTGTTGATGGGAGTACACTGTGAGCTGATGCTGGATTTTTCTGGCTCAGTGGGGGTGTTGGAAGAGATTTGGGTGGGAAAACCGGGGTAGCAACTCTCGGACTGAAGGGGTTATTAGACTTCAGGGCTACTTGTGTTGGATTGGACGTTTGATCATCAACTGATGTTTGCGTTGTTCGTCTACTAGAAGTCATTGCTCGTCGGCTTGATTCTGGACTCATTGCTGGGATCCGAGAGTCTATAGTAGGGGATTGATCTGGACTAAATCCTGTCGGGCTCACAGCATCTGACCATGGGTCTGTCTCGATAGTGAGTGCGCTCCAGTCCGTTATTGGTCCATCGTACATACTCCGTCGGTGCTTGCGTCGTTCCAAGAGACCCTTTGCAGACGAAACCCGAAGAGCGGCACTTCGACTTAGGCCTGCCTGAGCAGAACCTCCATTCTCAAGGTTTGAAGTTTCAATGTGCAGTGGTGCTGCTTTGGAACTAGATCGTGAGGTTGAGCCATCTCGCCAATTTGCTGGGGTTGCTGGGAGTGGGCTTAATAATGGTGCCCTTAATGGAACCCGGTGCGATGGTCGACTGCTTTGACCAACGGTTTGAGACGGCCCGTTGTTCTTCACACCGCCAGTACTTTGGGATCTCGATGTTGGTGGAGGTGGTCCTGGTGGAGGACCGGGTAATGGCATCCCTGGATGCCAGCCTCTTTGCCTAGATGATGAGCGCGAAAACGAACTTTCAACGCTCTGGCTAGATGATCCATGAGAAGATACGGCACCGGCGGAAGCCGCTCTTCTTGCTGCTGGTGGACCTGGATAAGGCCCAACATGTGAAGTGCTTGCCATTGAATGTGAAGAAGTGTACGAGGACTGAGCGATCCCAGTAGCTATCGACAGGCTGGTAGGTGGTAACGACTGCCTGGTGACACCCAGAGACGATGCTGGTCTAGGTTCTGCAAGTTGGGTAGTAATGCTGAGGTGGGTAGGTCGAGCTTCGAAGCTAGTAATTCGAGGGGCAGGAGTAGTCGTATACGGAAGACCATTTGAGGGATTCAAGGCATGTCCACAGTCTGCCAACAAAGATGAGCCTGTATTCAGTGGTGATACGATTGTACTTGTAGGAGTATTCATTTGAGACGGAGGTTCTCCTGTAAATGTTGAGTCTGCAGGAGACATGGTCGAACCCGCACTCGTACAGGCGACGCCGTCCCGAGGAGGTGGTCCAGAGTAAGGGGGAGGAGGACTGGACACCCCAACTATATGGTCATGAGATATGTTCAATAGTGGTTTTTGGGTCAAAGTATACCTTCTGCCTCATTGCCATGGCTCTCAATCATCGATGCCCGCCGACTGCCTCCCACCCATTCCCTAGGATTGTACGGAGCATTGTAGTTCGCCGGCACCCTTGAAGCCATGGGAACTGTACTTCGTGGGCTTGGTATAGGCGATTGAGCGTACGAGGAGGAAAGCGGTCCGTACAATGAAGTAGTGGAGGCTGGTGTCTGGGTCGGTGGACCTCGAGGGGATGGAAGATTGGTGTTCAGTAACGGCGGATATCCAGGCCGCACGGGCGAGGCTTGAGACTGACCATCCCTAAGAGGCGGAGGAGGAGGAAGAGGAGGAGCGAGGGCGACGGACAGTCTTTGTGGATATTGTGCTTGTTCAGCGGTAGGCCACGGTCGGCTTTTCAAACATCAGCTGTTGATAGAAACAGCTTCGGAAGGGAACATGAACATACGCAGACATTGCAGCAGGTTCCAAGGCATTCATCCAATGATACGATTTAGGTTGGAGGGCTAAGCGCCCAGGCGGATCATATCACATTGAACGAGGCTTCGGGCATGGTGCCTTGTTTAGAAAAGTTGATCGAATTCTCTTGAAACACAGACACGAGGTACCGACTTGATCAACGGCGCCATCAACAGAGAGGTGAATGAAAATGGAAAGGCTGGAATGTGATGAAAGAAGGACCAAAATAATCAAGATGAGCGTAAGAGGAAGTGGACATGTTAGGGCGTTCTATTCTTTGCCATTGAGTATGCAACTAGAGGAGTCGAGGGACATGAGAGGGACCCGAGTACCCCAGCCGGAGAATAGTAAACAGCCTAGCGAGACTGAGATCATGAGGATTGGATTGAATCGTTGACAAGAGGGCATGGCACGCAGCTAGAAGCGGGAAGGTGTATCTGCAGGTCAAGACTGTTTGATTGAGTTGATGATATTGTCAGGGCGGCTATTTTGAAAGTAGTTGACCAATCGTGGTGGAAGTGGGATGTTCCTTGCGGTGATCCAAATAAAGATACAATTGCTCGATCACGTGGCGGCTCTTACTGTATTGAGATTGGCGTCTGGGACTACCGCCAAGCTTTCACGTGATCTCCAAAATTGGAGAAGGCAAGTGCAATCCACTGCGCTACTGCATTTCTTCCAAATCCACTGCACTAAACAACTTTTTCCTCTTCTCCTTGTACCACAGAGAACAACTCATGTTTTACACGGTTTCATGCGTAGCATTCAGCTATGCAGCTTATGGGCCTGAGAAATCGTGTGTATCATGATTAACGCTCTTCCTCTCATCCTCTCCAATGTGTGGCTCTGCAACCGTTGGTCAGCTGAAGAGTCCAGAGTTGTCCGACACACTTTTGGCTGCGGACCTTCGACTTTTACAGCAAACCCGGTGCTAAGAGAAGCAAAGAGCTAACAAGAAGAGACAGTATGGGCTTTGAGAATACTCACACATGGTACGTTTTCCCCTGCCATCACGAGAATCACAAGAGTCATCTCAAGTGATGAATCCGCATACCGCAACAAACTAGAGTCTTTGACCCTCAGGGGAATGAAACTCGCACTTGCAAGCACGTCAGTCTGAATAATAGTCGACCCTCATTTTCATCATGCCACGCTACATTCGAGGTGCGTCTTGCTGACGAGAACAGCAGTTAGGACCCTGCTTGAGATTACCATCAATGAAAAGCCGCGCCTTTGAGTGCCACACGAGCACGACCCAATATGACCTCAACGAAGCCTTCCTATGGTACGTTCATCAACTTCTCCTGCTCCCATACCTTCTATGATGACTTTTCGAATATTACATACGCTGGAAATTACCGGCTGAGACCTTCGGGTTGTTGAAGATATTCAATGGCTATATCTGATCACGATTCCTTTCGCAATCCCACTTATCTCAGGTACTTTGTTGGGATCAGAAGCTGACTCCTCCAAAGTAGACTATGACCCACGGTATGCAAACCCACTCTGAAGATGGCGACCTCTATGATGAATGGCACTGGGCTCCGACAGTCTATCATGGCTGGTCTTGATGGATATGCCCTTTTGTGGCAGGCCTAGAAAACCTCGCCCTCTGATTGGCCTTGCTTGATCTCATCCCCTGTCGGTATTACATGGCCCCATACTGACAGAAGATTGCTGCAGCTGAAGCTCAGTTGTGTCCGACGAGGGTTTCCTTAGCCAATGGTAGGCTCAACCCAATCTCCTTCCGCCTTCTTTCTATGATGATTCCCATCTAGATGACGAGTCTTATTCCAGCATTGCTGATGCAGAGACACATCCAAATACCATTCATGCCTTCTGAATCTGAACAATCAAGCTTGTACTCCTGAACTAGTTGCGAACTTGTGCTGACAAGTATTCCCAGTGGATTTGAAATTGTCTGCTCGTGGTAGGTAAAATACGCTCGAGTTTCCTGTCCTTCATGATGAATCGACACTACAAAGACAAGCATATGTCCAAGTTGATCTCGATCGACCAAGACGAGACTGTCCGCCTGAATACCCTCATATTTCGGCTATCTTCGTGACATCTGAGCGAACCCCAGCTGATATATCTCAAAGAGTAGTCGCTTTGGGTAGTTAGTTTGTTACTGGGTAAGTTCAATTAACCCCATATCTATTCCTTTGCCTCTGCACTTTTTATGATGATTTATTCTATTATCACGACGGTCACCGTAGCTACGGCTTTGACGACCACAGCCTGTGACAGGGCTTAGATCTGAACCCTTTGCGTACATTCACATGCATTTCTATCATTGCGTCGCGGATTCACTTGCTGACCTGGAATGCAGAAACAGTATTTAGTCTATCACATGCATGGTTGTCCAGCCGATCTGATCTTTTCGCGACCATAATATAACTATGAACTACCAGTACTTTCCTCGTCATTTCTTTTCACTTTCGTCTCCACGTTGGTACTATCTGGAGGTGTTTTCCTTCGCCTTGTTTACTTGCCTTTGAACATCTTACTTCCTCTGCTTCATGGTGGTCCCTCTGGATTATCTTGGATAATTCTCAAGTCGTATCCAGACACATTCACATCATCCTTCTGTCGTTCCTCTGCTTGGCGCCACTTCATCTTCCAACCCACCCGAGGTATGCACTTGTTACTTTGAGTAGCAAAGTACATGCCACAACCTGAACAATGCCTTACTCGAAAGCTAAACTGCAGCATACATTGCGCATCTTTCGAAAGCTCAAGGACGACGGCCCTGCCTGGTTACCCAGCAACGAGCAAAGACATCTGCGTGATGATTACAACTTCCGCCAGATATCGAGTTCAAGGGCTGTCAAACATGTGAGCCTCTTTTTGGAGGAGAACTCGTCTTCAGATGATCTTGACGAATATAATCCTTCTCTTACTAAACGCAAACGAAGATTGGCACGGGCAATTGCATCAGAACGTCTCCCAAAGAAGGCTAAGCGACAGGTGCAGACGAGCACAGGAAGTTCTCAGGCAGAATCCACTGGTCCTGGTCCCGATACTGGTTGTGTCTTCAGTACTCCCTCTAGTCATGGTGATAACAAGAAGCTGCAAAATGTTAGCAAACCTAACACAAGCCGCTTCTATCTTGACAAACTTGATGAAGAAGCAGCAAAGATCGACAACCAGGGCGGACGACGACTACGAAATGACAAGTTCATTTTAGACAAAGACAAATCTGCAGCCAACAAGAAATGTATGGCTTGTACGCTTTCCAAATCCCGTTGCGTCAGAAAGAAGAACAATGAGAATTGCTGCACACGCTGTGCCACGGAACAAATTGAGTGTATTAAGGTAGATCAGGCTGTCAAGCAGCTAGTGCAGCCTGTTGCTCAAGATTCAGATGGTGAAGTGATCAGAGAGACGATCGAACTGCCCATCCCAGATGCTCAAGCATCCACCTCGACTATACCAAATGGACCCTTGCCATCAGCCCGAGCATCAGACTCGTTGCTATCCAGAAGGGGACCAACACCAATTCAAACATCAAGCTCAGTTTTCCCTGCCCCATTGCCCACACCATTGCCCACACCGTTCCACGTGTCACCTTCATTCAAACCTCATCAGCCTCCAACACCAAGCCAAGTCATCAGAAATCATGCTGCTTCACTTCGGTCACCGCCGACGAGCTATCAGGCCGGAAACTTTTCTTTTGGCTCGGCATTGGGAAACTCTCGAGAGAGCGCAATTCTTTTGGACTGCTCGCCATCTCCGGATGTATCACCTGCGTCCTCACCATTGCCCCATGAGAATCTGGCTGGAAGACAGATGACTATTGTTACAACCTGGGCACACCCCATCAATTTCAATCATAAACCAACCCCAACAGACCCATGCCATTTCTGCTCCGATTTTCGGTATGGCATTTTTGGATATGGTGAATTAGAAGTTGGTGTGATTAAATATCGAGACAGTCCTAGTTATGAGGAACTTGGTAACGGACATCGATCAACCCACGATGGGCCGACAAAGATGTGCATCAAATGCACTCTAAGCCGCATCTACATCTCTTCCTGCAAAGTCCACTCCATCATACAGTATGCCAGGCGTGCTAAGGACCTCGAAGAACAGTATGGTGCTCAATTGGCCTCGGCAGACTGGGTGCCAGAATTTCCGACTCTCAAGGCTGGTGTTCTTCGAACATGCTCGCTCTGTCACGCACCGGCATACTTTCGATGCAATGCAGATCAGTGTCGTGACAAAGTTGGCAGAGTATTGACAGGGCTCAGAGGCAAAGGAGTCGGATGCGGTCTCATGCTGTGTGACCGGTGTGCCCCACAGGTCCAGAAGGATGGTATCTTGAAGAGGGCATCGATTGACGATCTGGACGGGTTTGATCCACGGAGGAAGCAGAGGGCCGATGTCGACTTCCTCTTCCCTGGAAGTCTCCTACATGAAGCCTTCAGAGAGATCACTTCGACTTCCGCCTCACGAAAGAACGTAGCATAATATGAAAGCAAGGAAGAGGGAAGATCCTATGATGCCTCGAGCGGAAACGAGACACAGCGACTCTTCGTTGGGAGACGGATTTGGTCAAGCAAACTTGGGAGGAGAGCACAATACAGGAACCTGGAAAAAGTTTGCAGGTTGGATTTGGAAAGCTATACAGATGGTGCTGGCAGTTCTTCGTTCCTTTCTATTTCGTGTTGAAAGAGCTTCTCGTTCTACTTTCATCCCATTCAAGTGACGATACTTGCCTAAAATGCATTTGTCTTTCAAGGCGGCTTTGAGGGTCAAGTTGGGGTTGGAGACAAGTCCGTCCAAAGTGCTGGTATTCTCTCGTTCTTTTTTAGTGCAACTCAAAAGTCAGTCATTTTGCTTCCATAGCCAGGGACACAGCAGATGTCAAAATTCGTCGATCAGCAAACTGCCTCTATCTGTGAATTTCGTCGAGCCTTGGTCACGTCTATCCTTGTAGGAGGAGCCCCGTAAGTACCTGCATTGGCGAGTGATTTACAGATTCTCTTACTCTCCTGGGCCCAGTTGCTTTTCACTCGTTATTCAGATCGCAGGATGCAGAAAATCCTACAATGATAGTATTTTCTCGTCATGATTGTTACATACTCGCATACTGTATTGTGCTGCACTGCGCAATCTTGGTGTGACAAATTGATTGATACACATGCAAAATGGCGGCAGGCGATGTTTAGCGTCGATAAGAAGAGCCTCTCGGGGCCTTACGATAAGCAATTGGATCAGATCGTGAGCAGCTCGCTCGCCCGTATGGGAATTGCGTGCGTAGATTTAGAAAAATCCAATCCCATTAACGGCGGATTCATTCTTTTTTGAACAAGTCCATAGAGTTCTCAACATACTCAGGGACCGAGTGAAAAACCTGTCAAAGAAAGGCGACCTCCAAAAGAGGCCGATCAGAAAATAGCGCCGTTGACACCAGTCTATTGGTAGCTTGCTGGCTCACCGACAAATCAGTCTGCCGCTCCTCACGCTACGCCGCCACGATATTCAGATATTCACGGATTCTTCTGTCACTTTTTTGAGCTAAGGCAGGCAATCGATCTGGACGACGGAGGAGAAGGAGAACGTGTGCCTTTTGGTCGTTGATCGGATGTCGCACTTTTGACCTCAACAGTGAGCGTCACGACAACACGTTCTGAGTTTGACTAGATATCGATAGGACGCTTCACTGTGAACAACTCCTACCGCTCAAGCCATACCTGTGGAGGACCTCTCCAATTATTGGCAGACTCTCGGTAGGGCAGGGCAGGCTTATTATTAGGGAGGCACGCTTAACGAGCAACACCCCACGCCACAAAGCCACAGCCAGATCCAGGTACCTCCGGGCGACTGCAGACCCAGCTCTCCGGGTGCGAGAGCCTAACCGCAGGCATGAGCTTTGTGCAGTCAAGCCCTCTGTCACTGTTGAACCGAAGTTCGCTGAACCGGCTTCTTCAAACCGATGTGAGTAATACACGTCTTTTCTTTTTCTGTTCGACTGCTTTTGCTGTGGTTTTTGTGTTTGTTTTGCCGTTTTTGAACCTCGTCGCATGAGATTTCCCGGCCGGTGAATGGGAAGAAACCGGCTCTGGACTGTGAGGGTCACATGGCATATCAGCCAATTCTCGTTCCCTGTTCGGTCCGTTTTTTTTCATGGGACTGGAATGTGCACTTCATGTGCCTCAGGAACACCGTATTTGAGAATGTGCGGGCAGTTTCTGCTGCGGAAACTCTGTCCTATCCAGCCGAGGCAGTTGGTGGGAGTGAATCCATGACGGCAGAGCTTTTGTCAACCACGAGCAGTGACGAGGCACTACTGGCACATCCAAGTCTTGATCCGGAGTGAGGCTGAAGAAGTAATTTGTTCAATCCACTTCGGTCGTTGTTCTCAAAGACCTGGTATTCCGGTGAACCGGAAGACTCGCTCATTCCACCACGGATCCCCCAAGTCAGCACCTTTCATGCTTCGTGGTGGAGAAATACGATCAGCCGTGGGGACAACAGAAGTTCCTTAATTCTCCGAGGGACAAAAAGCAGTTGTCAGAACCTGCAAAATTGTGTTGAGCCCAGATCCCAGATCTGAGTTGCAAGCTTGCATGGTCTTTATACCCAACCACGACTATTTCAACCACCCACCTTTGGAAAAACTCTCTAGCCACAAGCAGGAGTGGTATGATAGTTCCTTGACAAGTCGTTAATTCTTGTCCTGCATGTGACTTACCTCAGCCTTCCTGAAAGAAATTTCGAAGGTTGTTGAAAGATCAATCATCACGAGGCTCGCTGCTGGAGGCATATCAATTCCGGTCATCGTGACGGCTGTGCAAGGGGTTGACATCCACACTTCTGGTTAACGGCTTCACTCTTTGAGCGAGCACCGCTTTTGTCGTGGAAATAGTCCCAGGGATTCTTGTTGTCATTGGATTGGAATCATACTGGAATGTGACAACCGATAGCTTGTCCATTTTATACCAAGTCGGCGCCGAGAGGGAGCAAGAAAGGAGAGGCTGAGCAGGCAACGGCAACTGCAACGGCGCAGCCGCACCTGCTACCACTGGTCACTCTGTACACTCATCTCACTTTCGCCCGCACAAACTTGATTTCTCCCTCAACGGCTCAACTCTTGCCAGGACATCCATCTGTTTCATCCACAACACTATCCGACTGGTTCTTCTTTCATTCAAGATGTCGTTCTGTGGACCGATTAGTGATCGAGTATGCTTTTATTCGTTCTCCAAAGATGCAGCGTTTGATTCTGTTGCTTCAAGATGATAGTAAACTAACCACTTTCACAGACAGATGTCACCCAGATCGTTGTGGTCATGGTCGGCTTGCCGGCTCGTGGCAAGAGTTTGATAGCTGGCAAAGGTAAGTTCCCTTTGCCTCACGAAGCTGTCCTTCCAGCTAACTTCGTTGTCCAGTCAAACGCTATCTTCGCTGGACTTCTGTCAAGGCTGAGGTATTCAACGTCGGCAGCTACCGACGGACAGATAATCCCCATCCTGATGCGAAGTTCTTCGATGTGAACAACCCTGAAGGAGAGAAGGCTCGTCGTGCCGCTGCTGAAGCAGCCGTTGCGGACATGCTCAATTGGTTCAAGGACAAGGACAATAAGGTTGCCCTCCTGGACGCTACGAACTCAACAAAGAGCAGACGCAAGTGGATCTATGAGAAGATCGTCGAAGCAAACCTCCTCCGTAAGTATCTCATCTCCATCTCAAACAGTACGGTCTGACACTATATATAGATCTCTTCGTGGAGAGCAAGTGTGACGATGAAGATCTCATCATGTCAAACATCCTGGAAGTCAAGACCAGTTCGCCTGATTACGTTGGGTAGGATCCCAGACCTTCATGACAGAATTAATGGATAATTCGCTAATAATTATCCCAGGCAAGATCCCGAAGCCGCCGCACGCGATTTTCGTGACAGAATTCGAAATTATGAAAAGGTGTACCAAACGATCGATGAATCGGAGAGACACTTGACATATGTGAAGATCATTAACATCGGGTATGAAGTATGCTGCCCATATCATCCAACTTCTCTGACTCTCTTCTAGCGCACGTACTGTCATCAACATGATTCAAGACTATCTTCAATCACGGCTTGTCTACTACTTAACAAATCTCCACATCAAGCCTCGAAGCATTTGGTTGTCGCGCCATGGCGAATCTGAGTTCAACCTGAGTGGCCAAATTGGTGGAGACGCAGACCTTAGCGAACGTGGTCAAAGCTATGCGAAGATGCTTCCCGAACTCCTTAAGCAATCAGGGCTACCAAAGGATGCTCCCTTAACCATCTGGACTTCTACCCTCAAGCGCACAAGCCAAACAGCTAAATACCTTGTTGAAGACCTCGGCTGGGAGAAGCTACAGTGGAAGGCACTGGACGAATTGGACAGTGGCGTATGTGACGCAATGACCGTGAGTAATTTCTCGATCGTGTCTTTTTTGTTTGTATCGGCTAATCTTTGAAAAGTACCAAGAGATCGCAGACCAATATCCTGAAGATTTCCAGGCTCGCGATGATGACAAGTACAACTATCGCTATCGTGGAGGTGAATCGTATCGTGATGTGGTCATTCGTCTCGAACCCATCATCATGGAGTTGGAACGAAGCGAGAACATCATTATCATCACGTAAGATATCCATTTCTTTCCTCCTTTGCGTGACATCGGCAATACCTTTTACCGCATGCTAACTCCTTCTCACAGCCATCAAGCAATTGTTCGTTGCATTTTTGCCTACTTCATGGAGATTCCCCAGGAGAAGTCACCGTGGATGGAGGTTCCACTCCATACGCTTATGAAGCTCACCCCAAAGGCCTACGGAACGGAAGTAGAACGTTTCAAGGCCAACATCCCTGCTGTCTCTACCTGGCGGCCAAAGGGTTCCACGGCGAAACATCACGATAGCGTCAGTGAGGGGATGCCAGAAGATGTAGTGGGTGAGGTGAAGAAGTTTCAAGCCGAACCTGCCATGCCAGGTCTGCCACTGCCATGAGTCTACCACCATAATGACACCGGAGCAGACTTCACGGACAGACTTCACGAATATGATGAAGCAAGATATGCGCAAGACATGATGCTATAACAACAGAGTGTATGTTTTACAGGTAACTACAAGCCGATTACAGCAGTCACGAGAGAATATGTTCTAGGGGCTAGTGTTCGACACTGACCAGTGCTGAGTATCAAACTCTCTCTTCTCGTTCCAGGAGCTGAAGCGTTACTGCTTTCAATCAATTGTCTCATCTCCGCTTGATTTTGCTGCACAGGCAACAATCACCGTTCATGAAACATACATTGCGCCCTTCATATTTGGGGTTTCGCCCACTGCCCCAGAGCCCTTCATCCCGGATATTCATCCCATGTCTCACATCGAGGTGAGTGAGTCAGACTGCTTAACATGGACTTTGTGAATTTCGAGCTCAACCCCTCTTCCTCCTGCCTATAAATATCTGTCCTTTCCTCCCAATTTCCCTTCTTACTTTCCTCATTCCGATCGCGACACTCGCACACGCTGTGTCCTTGAGTCCTTGCACTGTTCAACCCTTTCGATGGCAAGGTGGATACAGCAAGGTTCATTATCCACGTCGCTATATATAGATCTATCAGTCATCCCCTCGTGGATTCCTCTCCCTCAGCGTCAATGACAGGGATTACGTGTTCCCTATCCGCATTATTGTATCCTTCCATCATTCGATATTGACCCTCTATGGTGGATCGAATCGATCAATCTTTTGTTGATGCAGCACTTCCTGGTGCATGCTAGTCCAGGCAATCGCAAGGCTTGTTGTGCTGGTGCTCTATGACCAGCTATGACACCATTTCCAGAGTCAAGCTCCGGATTCATTTCCCAAGAAGAGCTGCCTGCAACATTTTTGTGGCACATCTAACGACTGAAGAATCCTCTGTGGCTTCATGCACAGCAAAGGTTGTCCACAAGCTCGGAGTGTTTGCAGATCAAGATGCCTTGCTGACAAAATTGGAATCATATGGAAGATATGGTGATGATATGAACATCGAGCTCGCTCAAGTAAGGGAAGGTATCAGCAGACTTGGGGAATGCCGTCCCCACTCTCCAGCCTCTCGGGTAGCGACAGTGTCGTGCGTTTTGGAACTCGCGGCTCTGAATATTCGAGAAGAGTACTGCTCTGCTCACAGCCCATACCAAATGAGGCGTTAGCTGTAGAAATGAAGCTTCACAGACAGAGAACCTCACTTGTTTGGCGCAACACTCGCCCTCCTCGCTTTCGAAGACTTGAAGACAACGACGCCATCCGTACGCAACACTTGATAGACCCAGGCTCAACAGACGGTGGTTGGTGTTTGGCTTGCGTTGACTTCCTCTCAACGTGACCTCTCCTTGACCCTCTGTCGTCTGGGTCATGCTGCAGCAAGAAAATTGCTCCCAAGCGGCGGCTTCACATACGATCTCTCTGTCCCACTCTCTGGAATCCACCATGATGTCGTCTTCCTCTCGATCAACAATGAATTCGAGTCAAATGTAAAGGGTTGCGGTAACAATGGTTCTAACCTGCTCGAGAGCAAGGATGGGCAATTCTATCACTCGCAGACGTTGCACACATCCCACCAGTCTCAAACTTCCGAAATGGGGCTGCATCAATTGAAGTCCATTCAATGCATATCAACAAAGTTCGGCATTAAAAGGACATGAAGACCGTCAAGCACCCAAGATGTTTCCCTGGCACAAAATACCATGTCATCACTAATCCTCTTGACTTTAGTAAAGCACATTGAAGCAGTCAAATTGAAAGAGAATCCGAATGAAAAAGGGCCCACTGGGATTTGAGACATCTTAAGGCCGGTGGTTGGCTATCTTGTCAATCAGACAAATCTTCCAAAAATCCCGGGCCAAAATATCTCTCAAAACTCAGGTGGATTTTGGTATCCTCGACATGCCAGCTTCAAACCCTCTTTGATGCAAAGGTGAAACAACTGTGTCCATGGGATGCGAAGGCGTTTCTTTGCCACCCTTGAGTCGGATATTCAAAATAACTCCTCGGATTCCTTTACGATACCGGACACTCGACAACAACACCAAGGGTGAGCACAGAGCGAATGATAGCAAGAGTTGAGCAATGCTAGAAATTCGCAGGAATTACTGGTGATGGCTGGGAGGACCAATAGTTGACCAAGGATATCAGATTGTACGAGAAGTGTCAATTCTGCACGACAACCCCAGATGTTGAGTAATTTCGGGCAATTCGGTTTACTGCTTAGATGTCCTCGAAGAAACCCATCGCTCATTCCAGATCAACTATCTACCTAGACACCATGAAATCAAAACCCTTAACAAACATCATAGCTAGTTTGAAGCACTGAGTTTTCCTGGCTTGCTCGAAGCTTTGATTCGATTCCATTTACACATCACGGGATGATGCATACGTCTGTATTTTGCAAAGAAGAAGGATCTCCACATGACGCAAAAAGCGTCTACAGTTTCGGACCAGAGTTGGCCGGTACGAGGATGGTCTTCGAACTCTCCCCGGCGGGTTTACATGGAAACCATAACTTGAAGATGATTGCAAGCTATGGGTGATATCCTTCTAAAATCAAGCCCATTCCTTGCAAAATCATGCAATGGTTCGCTGATCTTATGGTCGCAAGTTTGGCAGAGATGCTTGTGTCTGAAAGCACAATGTTGCAAAGCTCATATTGTCACTCAGCAAGTTGTAACAAGTGCCATATACCGACACCATCGTCAGAACCATTGGTACTGTTCGGTCTTTATCGATTCTCAACCAACATGGGAACGCTGGAGAACTTAGGAGTGGAACTCTATACGGTCTCGCTGGCACCCCAGATCCCGAGCGACAGGAAATCTACCGCAAGTTCAACGACCACGAAGACAAGATGGTGATTCTGCTGGTCAATCTGAGAAGCTTAGTAATGGACCTACTCTTCACTTTTACGGTACTCATGCTCAATGGGCCGGAATAATAAGCATGGTAGCTTTCAACACCATGATCCCCGAAACCGACTCTCTGCACCTGAAGACAAGAGCTCAGGGACCAGGCGACGATCACCTATTGTCCCGCCATGAAGTTTTTGATGATTTCAGGCTTTTCTCCAATACCCCCAAGAGTGATCAGAAGATGTACTAGGTGCCTCCCGCAAGACTGGAAATATGACGCAACTTGCGTTTGTTGCTGTCGGTGGTAAGGGATGTCGATCGGGCCGCCGATGAATACATCGAATCGGAGATAACTGTACTTGACATCAGCGTGAGCACGATCCATGGTCAGATGGAGAACAATATGTCTCTTGATGGCCATTGAAGTCTTCAACAGCACAAAAGGCCCAAGGGGATTTGAATATAACATGCGCAGACGCAGTAGCAGCACAGCAGAATAAGAAACTGAACGCGCTTGGCCCATGGATCAGCACTACATTACGGATATCGTTCACCTGATATCTACAGCTTGGTCGTGGACTAAGGACAAAACTGCTGCTGGAGAGATAGTTTCTCAAGACAGCTTGCGATCATATTCTAGTCGCCAATATTATGGAGTGATCAACTCGGATATGGCAGGCGCAGTATAGATCCTGATTGCAGTTGGGTATTTCCAGAATGTTCTAAATCATTACATTCCAGACAACGATGGCCAACCCACTTTTGCTGTTGCCCCTTATCCCAAACTACATGCCGGCTCGAACAGCTTAAGCATGACAGAACATATATCAAGATGCAGGCTGTCAGCGAAAGGAAGAATGTGGGCGAACTCGGTGCCGCACTCTACAGCAATTTTTCTGACAGAGATTCGGAGTACTCGCGGTCATGTAAGAATTTGAGGGTAAGTAGTCGTCGAGGAACGACCCCGCTACAGCGTTAAGCACGTTTGACACGAAGTGTGCGAATTGCAACAGACAGACGATTACGGAAGGTAAGTGCAATATGCTTCGCGGTGGCACCAACTACAAGGCTTGTGGCCAGTATGCGAAAGGTTCGAGTGTTTATACCTGGCGGATTCAAATCAGAAACTCTCTGAGAATCAACCTTCCGTCCAACGCTACCTATGGCTCGCTACTAAATTGCTCAGAAAAAGTCCTCGGCCAGAACCAACGCAGTTTGAGGAGCACACTACAGCACAATGCACATGGCAACCAACTTGTTTAGCTTCCAACCAGATGTTGCCGAGCTCTAGTAGTAGATGAAGCAGGAGCGTCACACCTCAAGTGACCAAGAATGCATCAGCCGTCTCTGGAAGATCAAGAATCAGACGCCAAGGGGAGCTTACAGTTTCTTACTGTTCACCATCTGTCATCAACCAAGTATGCTACAAAAGCGTGCTGTCCCGCATGAGTGAAGCAAATCGGTGTTTACCCCGGGATCATGTAACGGATCATCGCCCCCGACTCTCGCTCCGGCATGGGATCGGACATTCGGTCAATGATCACGGACGAATACAACACAGCTGTGGAACCATAATCGTCTGTATGCCGCCAGAGGCAGAAGCAATCTTCAAAGTCGGAACGCTCATTGTAAAAATCCTGGTCCGCTGGTACTCCTAGTTGACGCTGAATTTGAGTGTGGAAGCGATGCTCGACTATATTTCGTCGAAGCCCACCATTATTACTGAAATGGTGTCTCTGGATGGCATCATGACTCCAAGAGAGTCTGGATTGGTCAACACGGATGACCCAATCTCCCATAAATGCCACAATTCAATCTCTTTCATTATGGATGACGCTCCTTGGAACAATGCTAAGGAAACTCCATATTTGGGGTTCTCGTGCCCAAAGATGGCTCTGGCTTAAATTTCAAGACTTTCGGCCAATATTCGGGTTCTGAACTCATCTCACCCACTGATGAGGGTCGGTACCCTAGGTATGAAAGGCGTGGGTCATGGCAGAGGCTTAGGGAGATTTGATGGGTTGGATGATGAGAAAGATATTGGTATATGGTTGCATACCTTAGAATGAAGGGGTCCTACATTCCTTCCCATTTCTTCAGTTGTTTTTGATCGATTTCTATGGCGAATTCTACTGGATACATAGGACCAGGATTGATGTGCATCTTTACAACTAGGTCGACCAGCAGCGTCTCACAAATAATCCTTTGGCTACCTTTCTGATAGCATCAACATTGAGCTCTCTTTCAAGGTTCTTGAGCATGAGACACGATCCCATCCTCACTTCGTCAGAAGACCTGGAATCTTTACGACATTAAACCTCCACCGACAAGATGACGAACTGCACTTCGGCGTCTATTGCCGACCAACCATATGTGCATCTCAATAGTCCCGGATCAATCGCATGAGCGAGAATCCCTACGTTGATGAACGAGACATCTTCATGAGAGCAACGCCGCCAGATTGGGGGATTAACCCCATAACTCTCCTGGAAATTTTCAGTAATTCAGCTCGACTCCGTCTTTCAACCCGAAGCACATTTCTAAATGGGACTCTTTTCAGGAAATGGCAGGTCCTTCAACGCCGAGACTCATCAGATAGTAGGACAAGAGATGAAGCAGAAATAACGCACAAAAAAGGTATTGTGGGCAATTCAGTACCCGAGTATGGGGATCATTGGCCAGGACTCCGTAAAGAAGACTTGAAGAGTCTTGGAAATAGAACCGTCGAATGCGTCTCAGCGTTTGCTTTGCTGCCACTGAAGCAAGAGTTGAGCACCTACCAGAGGGTTACTGAACTATCCCAGACCAGGGGAGTCCTTCTCACCAAAATGATCTCCAAATACATTCATTTAATCGCGCTCCTCATCGTCCTCACGGAAACTGCTGTTCTAAGCAAAGGCTCCGGGATAGAGTGTGGGCCAGCTGTCGGAGGAGCAAGATGTGGTCTGAATACGTGCTGCAGCGTCGCCGGGTTCTGTGGCACGACCAAAACCGAAACCAAAAACAGCGTTGTTGATAATAATAGTATCGATTACACAGACTGGAACGACACTAATATTATCCACCACGCTCTTTTCGTTTTTGGTTTCTATCCTTGACCAACCAAGACTCCTTTCGTTCTTGGGTTTCCTCCTCTTCTTATCAAAGAGTAAAGAAAATGTCGAGCTTCTTCCGAAGTTTTTACTTGCCCTGAGCAGCGGCTCCCTGGCTGGGTAATCGCCCTCATTGTGGTGTCGTGAGTGCTGGTGGCTACGGTACGGTGTACCAACCAGGATACGGAGGCTGTGTGATTCCAACCGCTCCCATCTGCGATGCGAGCAAGAAGTCTGCAATCTACGGCCGAAGGATAAGCTATTGGCAGCTACTTCAGAATGTTTAAAAATGATACATAGACTGACTTTCGGTCTACCTATGGCGGCTTAGGTCGAGGTGCCCATCTCATACAAATCGATGGATATGTGCGAATGAGGCGTGGTAGGACTTCATAATCAGCCCTCTCGGACCGCGTTAGAGAGCCTTAAAAACCCGGTCATAATTGTGATCGGTGCTCCGAAAATCACTCACAGCACTTGGGATACGCTGATCGACAAAATCGAAGCGATCATAGACCATGCTGGCCTCGACGACGTTCAAGTCACAATCATCCCGGCAAAGCACCCATTCTCTGCGTTAGATGACCCAGCGGAATCCTCCCTGTCAATATCCACGTCATAGTCTGAAGTCAGATCCACATCATTCTCGACGCAATCAGCAGGAGCACCAGTAGTCCCAGGTTTCCCCACGAGCTCAACAGTCTGGTTGCTTCTTCGCCTCCAAGCCGAGCAACAGCCTGCTAGCAATCCCGAGCCCCCCAGATGGATGCAGATGCAGATGGAGATTGAACTCGTACGGTTGCGGCAGCATGACCGGATTCACCGTCTAGGGATGGTGAACAGCTCCCCAACCTTGTTCTGAAGAACACAACACATCTTCAAGCCATAGATCACGTGATGTGGTTCACAGGGGTGACAGCCTTGCGGTCATCCCGGCAAGAAGTCGACGCAATGTTGATATGACCGATCGCTCTTCTAGGTTTCTAGGCTTCTCAACCCTCACCAAAACATATCTATTTCTTCCCATGGTCTTGATATTCGGGAGGGAAAACGAAAATGAAAAAAAAGGCTTATCTGAAGTTCTCGCTCTATTCTGCATCTCCGACTCCTTCAGACGCACAACAACAGTATCGGTGGCATCTGTACGGCACACATACCCTCATGAATCATCTCCAAGCATACACAAAACTCATGTGAATCGAAGATCTTCTTCCCTTCGCAGGTTGCTTGACTATCGGGATCTTAGCTAACTCATGGGATCTACATTAGCCTTGGCGTTGTTTTGATGGATATATCCTTCTTACGACGCTCAGAGCCTCCATTCCTGCGATTCATACCACTAAAAGACCATCAAGCAAGATTAGGCCAACAATGCGCGTAACACTATCCATGTTGTAATTGAGTTTGTCAAGGATTATCTGAGAAAGGGGCAGTCTCCGACGTCATGGGCTCAGAATTTCGAAACCAATTCATCATTCAAATTTCATCTTGAGTCCAACATCCCCAACCAACCCACTGATTCCAGAAGAGTTGCGATTGAACCTCTGCAGCAATGCGCGCACAAGGTCCCTGTTGCTAGTACCAGATGACGAAGAGGAAGCAGGTGGCTTCGATGTCACAGAATTCGTCACCCGGTAGACGGGCTTCCCACGACGGGTGGCCTGTGACGAAGGACACCGCATCAAGAATCCTCACACAAGGAATCGCTACACGGCGCAGAGTTCCACGCGACTAACGCGGGGAGTGTCACAGCCACACCCATGGTCAAGAGGGTTTCAGACCTTATCAGGAATTGATAGCAACCAAATACCACAGAGAGAGGGACAGGATCAGATTTTTCGTGAAGCCAAGAAAGAAAAGGTTTGGTGCCCAAGTTCTGATAGAGAGCACGAAGCACTCCACATGAAGGCGGTACATCTTGTACCGAGCAGCATCGGAGAACTCACGGGAGCGTACATGTCCGCTCTGGAAGACACCGTGGGCTGAGGATCTAGAAGCGGATGGCTTTGATCTGCCTCAACACCCGCCTCTGATATACACAGCATGCATCGAAGAATCAGAAAAAAATGCCCCGAAATACTTCCAGCGTTACAAAGGCTGACCTATATCCATACTTGACACGAAGGCATTTGCGACCATGAATGCCAATGACATATTCAAAAGCGGGTCGGTAACACTAGTTGTGTTGAGGCAGATTCTCGGCCAGCTTATGCAGACATGCACAATTGCGTCAGAGATCAAGGCAGGAGACAGAATAATGAGACCAGGATACAATGTTCCAATGCACGTGTGTAGAAGGGTCCTTAACTCGTCGACACATCGAGACATAGCAATGAAGATCTCATCCAGGATTTGGAGGACAACGCACCGACTTACTTCAAGAAGTACGAAGGCTGGCCCATGTGGATGTTCAACCCCAAGGCTTTCGCCACAATGAATGCCAAAGATCTCCTGAGAGGTGGTACTGTGACGGGAGATGTGTTCGGGCACGAACCACTGACATGGAGCATCTGTAACTTTGGCCCAGAGAAGGTATCTAATGGTCTGCTCTCCGAAATACGCGAAGTGGCACTTGGGCGGTGGATGTCCACAAGTAATGAACTGATGCTCCGCAATTGGTGGTACTCAGTAACATCGACTTCAAGATTTACAGAGCAGTGTCTAGGGCTTTCACATCTACATCAACCCATTATCAAGTATGCTCAGCGACGAGGAACTGCTATCATGAAAGCTAGCGGGTTGTCATTCCTATGATTGGAAATTTCTCTGAAGAGATAGGATAGATGCAAGTGCAGCTATCGCATGAGCCATCGTGATAGAGGACTATTCTTTCGCTCTTTTGCAAATTTTTACTCATTTAGAATGTTTGCCTTATTTTCCATGACAATAGGAGTTTGGTTCCCAGACAGGTTGTCGACACCGCGTGGTCAAAAGGGCTGGTAATTCATATGAGAATGCACGCGTTTGCCACCGTGGAGGGCTTGCTTCCCATTGCATACAAATTCTCAATCATAACTATGGTCTTTCCAACGTGAGTTCTTCTCTTCTGCTTCCATTGGACTTCGCTTGCCAGAAATTCAAGGGGGAAATCCGCCAATACTCTATGCTCACGCAAGTTTGTCATGCCGGTTATCTCAACCCGTGGTCGGTACCCTTGCATGAATCTATTGTCACACAGCCAATAACGCAGTGTTGATGTATCGACTACCTTCCGAAGCACTAAAACTAAGCAGCAGCCGGTCTACCACCTCTAACTTATCTTTCGATCTGGGAAGAGCAGCGATCGTATAAGTCCACGTGATTATAACCAATCTTCCGTCGTAGCTGATTAAGCGTTTAACGGTGGACTTCCGCAGCTTCAGCCTGAGCGGCCTTCTCGCTTCTCGCTGGGCTGGTCACGCGGTCCTCACCATCGCTCTCAGTGTCGGTGACCTTGGTGGCACTATCGCCAGAAAAAAGATTAGTTGCTGATCCTGAACTAGGAAAAGGAGCTCCAGGGGTAGGGGTAAAGCTTACTTCAGGCGATCGATGTACCACTTGAGAACCCAAGTCATGATGATCAGCGCGATGGCACAGGCAAGGCAGAAGGAGAAACCCTTGGCGAATCGAGGGGCCTCGACTGTGGGGAAGGTTAGGATAGGTGTCCATGCGGTGGAGGATTGAGCTGGGATATTGTCAGTCTCTTCGTCAACCCCAAAAACCGAGGAAATCGTAAATCATTGAAAACGGGAAGAATATGGACGTCGGCTCGAGGAACTGAGGTTACAAACCAATGATATTAATGAGGACTAAAGTGAACGATCGCTCTTCAGGCGAGTCTCGCAAGATATTGTTGACCCAACCATGGAAAACTGAAAATCGTTAACATACGCCTTAAATTCATTCTCGTGATGGGCACCTACTGCTGCTCAATGCATTGGACCAGTAGCTATTGGCAAAAGCGAACCACTTGGCTCCTTCCGGTACATACCAAGCGGTCAGGATCGCCAAACTGACAGCGTTCAGAGTCGAGCACATGGTAATCGCCCAAGCCGGCCCCAGGTAAAGGTCAGAGGCGAAGCATGCAAAAACTGTAACACCAATGCCAACGGCAGGTGCAATGGTGCCATACTCGTTTATTTCAGCGGCCGAATAGCGATTCAGGGATTTGATCCACAACAGGAAAGATGCGGTGCTTTTGTAGATGCCAGCGTTCCAGAACAAGACGTCAGTAAGGATCACCGTCCAGAATTGCGGTGACAGAGTGACGGATTTCAGATGGGTGAATTTGAATTTGCCCTCGACCCTATGGCCAGCCCGAAGTAAGCGATTTTTACCGATCTCAATATCCTTCTGGTTGAGCACCCATCGATTTGGCTGGTCAATAGTGCCAGGAAGGAGGAAATAACCCAAGATGCCGACGGGAATGGTGATCAGGGCACAAATGATGTACATCCACCTCCAACCCTCGAGACCATGCACGCCTTCGAGACGGTGTGATGCGCCAGCTTGAATGAGGCCAGCAGTGAGTGTGCCCAAGCCAAGTCCTGTGTAAAATACGCCACCACGACGTGCAATTTCATGCCCACGATACCAGCTACCGAAGACGAAGTGCATCGCAGGGAAAAAGCTTGCCTCAAACCAACCGATCATGAAGCGGTACCCCATCAGTTCGCCAAAACTCTGCGTGCGGTACTGAAGCAGTGTGAATATACCCCACATTATGTCAAGGAATGGAATGGTCCAATACATCGGGATATAAGTAAACAGGAGCAGAAATGGGAGCTGCCCAAGAACTGCTCCCACCGTATACATTGTCTGCAATTGAACCAGCTGGTTCCCATAAAACCCAAGGTCTTCCTTCATACCTGCGACATAGGCATTGTCTGTGATCGTTTAGCTAAGATCCGGCACTGGAGTGTTGAGACAGACTGAGGTTAGACTGGTCGATATACTTTACCCAATATGCCAGCACAGCATATGGGACGACGATGAGATCTAATTTGACGATGAATTTGCGCTCCTCGGGTGTATCCTCCTCAGAATACCATTGAAGATGCCACCATTTGGCCTTCTTCACCACCGTGGTGTTGTTGTCTTGTACCCCCATGATGATTTCAGATCATGAGCTGGCTAAAAGCTGTACATTTGCGCTGACCAGCTCCAGATGTCCACCCTCTTATCTTGATATTTGCTGGAGATCATCGCTATGCCAACAAAGAAATTTCTTCCATCGCGCAATCACGACCCTGGCGTTGCGAAGCCAAATTCCACGGCGGAAGACGGGCTTCTGCGGCGCGAAATGGCACAGATACAGCCGAAGATGCAACCCTGAACGCAATTGTACAATCTACTACAACGCCAAGTACGCGGGTCAATAACTTGGAGAAGATAAAGGATCAAACGTGTTGTATTGATCTTCTCAGTGGTTCGCGTGGACCAAATGCCGAGAATCGATATCTTGGGAGGCATATGGCGTGCGAGATGACCAAATCACGCAAGCAACACAACCCATTGCAATCTAGGTTCGCTTAACAGAATTTGTTTCTCCAAAATTGTGGGTATCCTACTTGTGATGTATACTGTACAATCTACTCCATATCAAGCTCAGGGGCAACCCATGGCGCAGAATCCTCTCGGGTCGATTGCGCTTCGTGGGAGCATTTGTAAGACAACGAATTCGATGCCTCGATCGGATCACCTCAAATATACCATGTGCAGTGACAATACACCGATCTGTTCTTGGTTTCCCAGTGTATTCGTGAGTACCTCATGCTTTGTTTCGGCTGTATCAACTGTTAAAGGAGTGGTGGAATTTTGATCCATGCCTTATCCGCCAAGCCATTGCGATTAGAGTCGGATCCCATCAAGGGTCCGCCACTTTTGCCCCCAAAGGATAAACTCCTTGTATGAGAGCCAACTGAGAAATACATCTACGAAAATCTCAGAAATGCGAAATCCTAATTGGCTTTATTACATGCTTCAGAAATGTTTGAGACTCATTTTGGAAGGGGAAGTTGTCCGACGTGGTGGGCTGGTTTCTTGAAAGCTCACTTGACTTGTATTGAATCTGAGTACGTCTAGCGTTCAACTCATTTTTATCATGACCCTAAGCATTACGAAGGCGGCCAGATGCGTACTAGATATAGTAGGCGCATGATACTATGCGCCGCAGCCAGATCTTGTACGAGAGCATGGAATAGTCACCAGCGAGAATATTATCATCGTGTTTGCAAAGCTGGACGGAAGCTGTATATCGGGTTTTCTTTCATCCTTAGACCAGAGAGTCATCTTTATTCAGCGTCAAGCCATGTTGACATCAAATCTAATCTGAGATGTTTCACTTACCGGCAATTCGAGCACGCTTGTCGCGCTCGTCTTGTATCCTGTGGTCACTGACCAGTGAATTTGGTGAAAGTGCGGTCTCTGCCCTCGCAGCCTCGCAAAGGAGCTTTCAATTCTCTGCAACTACTTGGACAAGCATTCAGCAGTGTTGAAATCCTTGCATGATTCTGGGACACACCTACCATGCCTTAACCTAGAGCTTGGTCACCCCTAGAGGCCTGAATATGGAGTTATCGTACCAATTGCACCGGAGGAGCACCTGGGAGCTCAAGTGTCTTGGACAGCCAGCAACGGTCAGCGACGGCGTAGTGATGCTGCGTAGAGAAAAAGCCTGTGCCGCTTGGTGCCTGAAGTCCTGGTGACGCTTTGGACAAATGGAGTAAACGACATCGAGAGCAACAGTGGGAGCCAGATAAAACAAGCTATCATCTACACAATCATCGTCACGATCATAGACCGCCAGGTAAGAGAGCTACCTACTTCCTATCCCAACCCGAGCTTTCCGGTCTACTCTACTGAGCTTACCCATGGTTGAGGAGAGATTTTCAATTTAGCAAAGCCTTCCGGGGGGACTTGTGGTGATTGTAAAATACGCGGATGATCCATTTCACACGTCATATTGCTACCTAATGAGTACACGGCGAGCTCTGTACGTTCCTATCAGCAATGTGCTGTGGATCATATATGTGCCTTTCCTCCACGATCAGTCTTGTCTGTTAGGCAAAGACTGGAACTATTGGCGTTGAATAAACCAGATGCGGCACAACGATCTTGTGTCATTCCAGAGGCTGTTTGGTGAAACCTATAGACACGTCTTCTGGCTTCTCAATAGCACGCAGCGCCACAAAGGGTCCACCACGGCGCTCATATTCCCTACTGAAACGAGTGGGATTGTTCGGGGTTAATGGTGTATCCGGAGCAAATGCATTTTCGTCGCTGCCGTACGATGGGCCCTTGACGGGTGGCAGCGATCGATTGGCTTGAAACCTTACCGCTGGGCGATAACCGTATTCTGCATTCTCTAGAACAGAAGCGTTCTCGCGAACTCTCTTCTCAATGACAGACTGCACATCTGGATGTCTGTGTGGAGCGCCCATGGCTTCGAATGCCACCCCTTCAACTTCGATATTGGCTGCTAGGAACTGGGAGACAGCGGAGGCGGCGAAGAAGCGCTCGCGGACCCCAGAGGTTCCAGAAACTCTGCTCTTGCCATCAGGGCATGGTATCGTACGGCGTATGAGGCAAAGTCATCTTGACCTGGAACTCTACGTTAGTATCTGGAAGAATAGTCGTAAGATCGGCCCGACTGCAGGGGTGTGCTCACATATCTGTTGGCTTCTGGAGGAGATCTCTGATAAGCACTGATTCGAAGAAAACCGAATTCTCGAATCAGCCAGCCGCAGACTCGAAAGATGTCGAAGACAATCTCGCGTATGTATGAATTTGGTGCCAGCTGTTCAAGCTCTGAAGATACAACATGTTAGGACTGAAGCTCAAAGTCTAAAATCCTCGGCTAGGGGGTTACTGACGACAATAGTAGACAACTAGAAAGTTTGGCACCTTAGAAGTGGTCATTTTGAAATTTGGAGCAGTAGAGACTTGACGTACTGTCCCAGTCCACGATGGACACGAATACTTGGGCCACAAAGCCTTTCAAAGGTCCAGGAATAGGATAGAGGACCTGATCCAACATGGCTGAGGCCATAACCTCGTTTGCATCTTCACGCCACCGGAGAGTTCTCTCAAATTGCTAAACGATTGTTAGCCTCATGGCGTTCGTCGTGGTCATAAGAAGGTCTACCCTTCGCCACTCCTTGGCCTGTTCCAAGGTTCTAGGGATGTACTTGATCCCCATACGACAAGCGACCTCTCTCCATAGAGTCCAGCTAGAACGAAAGTCAGTGATTTCAAGCAAAAAGTGCACTCATTCCTCAGGCGTCCGGCTTACATCGCGTGTTCTTCGAATGGCTCAAGCTTGCGATACCCGAATCGATTGATCCAAGGGATAGGGGCAAGGCCAAAAAGGATCATGAGGTAAAGCACATCATCGCTATTGATCTTCATACCATATCGATGGTGCTGTATTGCTGTAATCAGGTCATGCAATTCTCATCTTGCACTTACCGGGGCTTCCACTCACATGTTCATTGATTCTCGCAATTATAAGACTGTGGTTTCGAGATTTGACCTTGTGCGCCACCATTCCCGTCATGAGGTGAATAGTCGCCTGCATTCTTTCATGTTCAATCATTCTGTCCTCGTTGATAAAGTGGCCGGGATTGCCAATCGCACGAGAAACACCTGGATCGGTGGAAGTCTTTACCATAAATCAGTGCTAAGTCACCTTTGTGCTCATGATCGAAGCTCACCCGAAAGAAATCTGAGATCCATCCGAACTGCCATAGGCGTGGAAATTCCCTGGTTTTATCGACTCAGGAGCACGGACAGATACAAAATGTTCGAAGACTCACCACTTCAAACACAGTCAGTACATCTTGCCATGAAATGTAAACATCCGATGGGAGCAATGAGGCTCGGCCAAGGTGCTACGAATCCTCAAAGGACCATGGGTGACTGGGATCGACTTACTTCGGCCATGTTTGCTTCAATCTCTTGGGCCTCCTTGATGGTCATGTGCTCCCACGATGCAGGGCCGTCCGTGTATCCATACTTCCATTTTGTTGCGTTGATACGAGCAAACCGGAGTTTGCGCTGGATGTATTTCAGAGGTGCCAAAATGGCGAAGGCAATGAGCACTGCATTAGCGGGTTCATCGCGGGTGTACTTGCGAGCTGAAGCTGAGGCAGCTTTGAATGCGTCGGAATTGTACAGATAGGAGAGCAGGACAGTGGGATAGAATGTCGACCATACTTTAGTGGATTTTGAAGCAGGTAACAGTTTCCCGAATGCCAGGGTGAACCCAACAGAAACGAGGGCAATGAAAGAAAACAATTCTGGAAGTGACATGGTCATGTTCGATACGGAGATGTGTATGAATATGATCAAATTGTAGTACGAGGCCCGGAGGAGAGTGTATGGCGGTGGACCCTGTCGATTGGTCACGTTACTGAAGGCTTGGCACTGAGAGAATGCCTTGCGCCTGTCACGACAATCTGTGTACTGTGATGGATTTCTGTACAAAGCGACCTGGATTTCGTTGTTGCAGTTCGCTTTGTCTTCTAGCGTGTGCCATCCGTGGTACGTCACTCTCTCTATCCAAGGTAGTCTGAGCCTCAAACCAGCTGCGCTACCGGTCTGGCTGTCCGGATGTTACCAAGTATGATTCCAGGGAGCTTAACACCGTATTAGCAGCCAGGGATATGGTGCTCCAACTTCGGGCCCACAGCCCGCATTGAGAATGAGGACTAAGACCTCTATTGAATCATAACATTGATATATTCCTCAACGACTGTGATATGGGGAATGATGCACACATATATTTTGATAAGTCAATCCCTCGATTACATTCCTGCCCACTCCGAAACCTTCGCCAAGTATATAAGATTGCCTTGAAGAGCTGATTGGCTTGTCTCCGTCCTTCATAAGGAATCATAACTACAACGATCTGCTCCATCTGATCCCGTCCACACTTTCGGAGGTGCAACGGGCTATTGATTAGCCGCCACCCGATGACATGTTCCGGAATGAGACCTCAGGAAACCTCATACTTGGTCCGCTGAGCAGCGGTTCGTCCGTCCCTTCCAGTATTTCATGGAAGAACGCTGCAATATATTCCCGCAGAATCTTCAGTAAACGAACTGAATCTATTGTTCCAATGAATGCTTCAACGGCCGGATCGGTCCGATTCGTCCCGAGGAGGGTTGACAGGATTGAGAAGTCGGTTAAAGCATTATGTCGTGTACCACTAATCTCCAAGTGCCACTTTGGTCCCTTCTGGTAGGGCCAATTCTCGTCCCAAGATGTATCAGACGCTGGATGGTTTTCCGCATGAATTAGGAGAAAAGGACGATCATTGTCCGTGGTAATCTCGTCTCCCCAAAGACCACCATCTATATTACAGGCAGCCATAAGTCGAGGCTCCGCAAGCAAAGCACCAACCGCGGTAGCACCTCCCAAAGAGTGCCCGAAAACGGCCATTCGCTCAGTGCTGAGTACCGGCACCCCAAGCTCCTGCCAACGTGTATTGTTGGTCACCGCGTTCAATACTGTAGAGACATCTGCAACGCGAGGTGCGAGTAAAGTGAGGATCTCATCGGGGATTGTAACATTGGCATATTCGACATAACTGCCATCCGGGTACTCGACGATTGCTCCATCATAAGGATGATCTATTGCAAGTATGTTGAAGCCAAGCGAAGCGACCCACTGCAACATTACAGCGTATACCACGCGAGGGGCCCAGTAGCCCGGAGTGAAGAACAGAAGTGGCAGATCATTTTCCACTGCGGCCTCAGGACAGACTTGTAGCTCGAAGTTGTCGAGGCTTATATTTGGTAGATAGGGACTAAATACTTTTTTGATTGCAGCCGCCGATGTCGGCGGTATGTAAGTAATGGTTTCGGTCTGTTCACAGGTTGCTGGTTGATATAGGGTCACCATCAGTCGTCTTGGTAGGTCGCAACATGGTGCAAATGGGTCCACTCGACTCGTGTCAGTCAGAGGAAAATGAGTAATGTGAACATTGGCTGAACCAGGGGGAGCTGGAAGCAGAATTGCTTGCGTGAGTGTGCTCAGAAGCAAACAGGTCAGTAGAATAAGTGGACACATGGCAATCGTGATGAGAGTTACAGTGAAATCCACGGAAGCCTTGTGCAAGCTATAATATTCTTCACAGTCTATGGACGAGTTAAGGGCAATATATAGAGGACGGACGAACTGGGATAAAGTCACTAATCTTGAAGGCAGGTTAGAACAAGTCTAGTGGCTCGCTTAGTGTTGTTAATGATTTAGTTAAACAACCATGAAAAGAGCTCTGGAGCAGCTGTCACTCGAGAATCATGTGGCTGACTATCAAACCATCAGTCACTTGGGCTACTTACTCGAGCGACAATCGTCAACCCCAAATGCCCGTGTTCCGTCTTCCGTGATCCTGTGACCAGAGTCAAGGATGACAATTGACTCCGAATTCGCCGATGGATAATTAATACCATAGCCTATAGCTGTGGTAAGCTACCCATAAGACGATATGCGGGAGTTGTTCCTCTGCTTCCAGTCTCGTAGGTCAGATAAGCTTCACAAGCCTCGATGGCTTTGCAGTTACTGTGGTTCGGTGTTGAATGACTCTTGAAACAAACTCATTGGCTTACATGTACTATGTGAGCATAAATATCATTTAATGATGTATATCTGTTCCCCTTTAGCTTTTGCGATAATTAGTGTCTTCCTGGGTGGATTATTGTGATCGCATTATCACCAGTCCCTCGTGTTGGGAGATGAGCTCCATAACACGAACATGCGATCATGCGTACTCCTGGCATCTGGAATTGAGATTGGATCCATATGGCTGTCTATGAGCACGGCAATTTTGGGCAGATATGACATCTTAGAATGTGTAGTCTCTGGGCCTTGACCTGGGTACAACCTCAGCCTTCATTTTTATAAGAGTAGTCCTTTATTTTTCATTGTCGGTGGATAGGTCACTACGCAGAGACTTATCGCAGAGCCACTTTTGGCTTCAGCCATGCCTCTCAACTGATCTATAACCTGGCATGCTCATGGGCACGCAGTTGTCGTCTTTCCGGCCCTCCACGGCTTCCATCGCCCGGGAAAGCATTGACCATATCTTTATATTCAGTGCGGAACCGCCACTTCCTCGCAAGAGCAGGCTCCAAGCTCTTATGGAGGGCAAGGGTCGTGTACTTGCCGAGGACTGGCAAGAACTTGAAGCCACTGTCATTGGGAGAGGGTGAGTTAGCACAAGCACGTCAGACAACCATAAATCGCCGATTTAGGAAAGATACGTGAGTAGGGAAAAACATACTGGCCACTTCCTCCACCGGCGACGAAAAGATTATGGTAATCTGGGTGATAGTCCATGATGAAGTCACCTGTAGGCGTGTCGGTGTACCAACACACAGCCGTTCGTTCAAAAGGTCGATCGGCAAGTTCGGGCAGTAGCTCTTTGAGGCCGTCACGTAGTCGGCGTTCACCGTCTAAAGGAATGTAGTTCTTTCGGTCGTTGGAAACGGCTAACGGAGGCGTCGACACATCTGAACTGAGGATTTGGCGTTCCACTTCGTTCGGAGAACGCTCATAACCCCATCCGTGCACGGCCATCTTCAACAGTGATGTGTCTTGATGTGGTGGAAAATTAAACCACCCTGTAGCGAAATTGATGTATATAGGCAGTTGCCGATACTTTGCCATTTCATCCGGCGACAGATGGAGATATGCAAGCACTTGTCCGGTTGAGAGTGTCGAATTATACATGGGTACCAGGCTCGCCGCCCACGCGCCAGCAGCGAGGACGAACAAATCGCCCACAACCTCGGTTCCAGCAAGGGTCCTAACAGCACGGATTTTTCCTAAAATGTTACGATCAAAATTAACAACGGTGCCGGCATGGCCTGATATGAACGACACCCCGTGGACAATGCACTCATTGCGTAGGCTGACGATAGCTTTTTGGGCGTCTGCCCAACCGGCCTGTTGGTTGTGGTAACCCATGAAGTCGGGTGCGGCGAGGGAGCCGCTAATGGTCGGGTACAGACATCGGGTGGTCTCAGCAGATTCTAATCTTTGCCACGGTAATTGGGCACGATCAAGAGCACTGGTGGTATTCTCGATATACGACCTTCCGATCGGGCTATGGTTGCTGGTCAATATGAAAGGCGTAGGGACGAATATGTCTCTGTATTTTGGGGACGTGAACCATTTCTGATATGCCTCATGTGCTACCTTCAGATAGATATCGTCAGCGTAGTCGAACCGAATGACGCGTGAGATGTCCACGCTGGAGCCGTCAGGGACCTGTTCAAACCGCAAGTCAGTTCAACTCAGGGACTAGCGAATTGACCTTTCGCTTCTTACTGGAGGGACATGGCGATCAAGAACAATGACTTTACGGTATCCTTGTAACGCGAGCTCAAGCGCCGTCGTCAAGCCAAAGACTCCGGCGCCGACCACGACGATATTCCAATCTTTCTTCATTGTGTCCAATTAATCGACGACCCGCGTTCTTGTTTGGTCCAAAATGTCATTTTCAGAACTGCTCACACTTAGACAGATAAGACCATACCGGCACGTGATCGAGCCTCGTCTTGAGCCCCTGACCGTGAACCGACACCCGTGGCCCGCTCTGGATGATGGAAGTGAAGCAGGTCGCCATCTCACCTTACGGAGAGCGGCACTGTGAATCATAGAACACGGATAGTTCTCGGCTAAGTAATGACCAGAGGTGGATTCAGGCCCACTCCCACGATTCGCGGTTTCTACTCGACACTGCAGAGATGTCACTTTGTTCTTGTTCCTCCACCACCCGGATCTAGGGTTACGGAAGCCGGAAGACGGAATCCTCATCATTAGCATTGGCATGCCGCACCCCAAAACTTGTTCCTTCGATTTCTTTCCCTCGGCATTTGTTTGCAAGGCCATATCTACATAATCGTCTCTTTTTTGAGTTGCATTGGTGTTTTTCTGGCTGATATGGTAATTGTCTTGCAAATTAACAAAATTATTCCCACAATTCAGCCATGTCGAATACCCAAGAGTCCAGCTCAAGGGATACAACCCGCTCAGCAGTGAAAACTCCTCTTCTTATTCCAGGTCGAGGTGATCCTGTCAAAGATGCTATCTTGGTCTATTCTTTAGGAAAGATCGACTATGCCGGGCCACTAGCTAAGCTGCCTAAGTCTCTCAATGTCCCTCGAGAGCGAACCGTGGAAGTGCCTGTCTTGTTGCCCGGTCTTTGGGACTGCCACGTACACTTTATTGGGCACCTGGAACAGAGTATGGCTGGCATGGTGGACCCTCTGCCATTCTTAGCAGGAACTCGTACGGCACACGACGTAGCAGCCACCTTGAACGCCGGGTTTACCAGTGTCCGCGAAACGGCAGGCTACGGAGTTGAGCTCTCACAGGAAATTGAAGCTGGTAGGCTCATCGGACCAAATATATACTCAGTTTGCGCTGCGATCAGTTGCACCGGTGGACATGTCGATCATCACACCATGTCAGAGCACCAGTTCCACGAACTCGGCTGTCACGGCCTTCCACTTGTCGTCGCAGACGGTGTGCCTCAGTGTATCAAAGTGGTACGGCAACAACTGCGTCGTGGCGCCAAATGCATCAAGATCTGTACCAGCGGGGGCGTCTCCAGCGATCGTGATGACCCCGAGCATCAGCAATTCTCCGATGAGGAAATAAAAGCCATGGTCGAGGAGGCAGCTCGGTCTCAACGCGCGATGGCGGCGCACGCCCACGGATTGGCCGGCATTATGGCCGCCATTCGTGGCGGTGTCACCACGATCGAACATGGAACTTATTTGAACGAGGAGGCAATCACACTGATGAAGGAAAAGGGTATCATTTTAGTCCCTACCCGCGGGATTATAGAGGATGGCTTACTGACAGCCGAGTCGTGGTCGGCTAGGGCATTCGAGAAACTGAAGCCGATAGCGGCGCAACATGCCGGCGCGTATCGAGCTGCAGTAGCTGCTGGTGTCAAGATCGCCAGCGGGTCAGACTACGGTATCAGCAAGCGGGGCACGCCATTAAGTCACGGCCACAATGGTAGAGAATTGGAGCTGGCGGTGCAGGTGGGCGGTATGACACCTTTACAGGCAATTGAAGCAGCCACGGCCACAGCCCCTGAAGTCCTTGGCCCTCAGGCCCCGAAGGCCGGCATTTTGACGGATGGTTATGACGCTGACTTCATTGCGTTGAATTCCAGCCCATTGGACGATATCGGTGTCATTGCCAATCCAGATAATGTTACACATGTCTGGCTCGGTGGACAGCTAAAGAAGTCCCCAGAAAGGCCGATTGTAGTCCTGAGCCGAACTAAGCTATAATGAGGGCTCTTGATGTATAGTGGGCAAGATTTAGGGCCTCTTTATGAGAACATTCAAGAAATGCTTCTAGATCTTTGTCGTTATGTGTGACATGAAACTGATCCGGCCATAGCTCGAGCATTGCAGTGTGGGAACGAGAAATAGAAAAAGAGTCTCCGGCTATAAACGATCAAGTTGTAGATTCACTTGGCTGAAATAATCTGCCACATACGTAATTCACACCACATCAGATAAAGCCAAGTGTGATCTTTAGATAGTATGTACGCATCAGCTTAACTCGATCGCTCTGAACAAAGTTGCAGCCACGTAGGTTGATCCCAGTACATGGATATTCACATATAGCGCTCATACGATTCTGGACACCGTCGGCGGCGGGCAATTCATGTCTCAAGAATACCCAATCTCCATGCAGGTAACAAACTAAGTATCGTACCAGGGCTCATCCTGCTTAGCAAGTTGGCAAACTAATATGCTATACTGTCGAATCGTCCATCTGGATTTACTCGATGACAAGAGATCGCACAATGTTCGCCTATGGCAAAGTCGATTCGCCGATGGTTACAATATGGCGGCAATCTTGCAGGAGACTGATCCATCGGTGAATTGAGAGGGCTGTTCACACATAGTGCAACAGGAGCCCGCCTGGACCCTATGAGTCCGTACCGATAACCATCATGCCGCATCCGTGTTCCGTACCCCGTGGCATGGTCTAGAAACAGTTCCCCACAGATCCATCACCCCGGATTCCTTGATCATAACCATTCGCTATATGAATCTCTCCTGAACCACGCCGTGTCAACAAAGGCTCGTTAAACTCTTCGGTCTCGATCAACTTCAATACCTCTAGCACGATTGGTATCGTCGTCGCCATGAACCACAGCGCCATGGCCAAGGAAGTGGCGGTACCGTCCTCCATAAAAGAGAGCCCGTCAGAGGACGCCAACAAGGAATCTGTGATTGCTCATATCGATGCATCACCTACCAATGCTGTGACTTCGGCTGAGAAACGACTCCTTCGAAAAATCGACTGGCGGGTGTTGCCCATTCCAATCATGCTAGTTGGCTTGTCGTCGATTGACCGAACCAACATTGCCTCGGCCAGAGTCGCAGGGATGGCAACTGATCTCGAGTTGACTGGCAACCGATATAATGTCGCTGTTTCTGGTATGTAACCTCCCCTTTATCTTGCTTTCTCCTGCTCTGTCGGCGAGTTGTCCGAAATGACACTAATCATCTATCTCATGACAGTCTTCTTCGTTTTCTACGCTCTGTCCGAGCTACCAAGCAATCTTATTCTCCGGCCGATTGGTGTCGTTCCATACTTATCGTTCCTCATCTTAGCATGGGGAACGATCGCAATGTGTCTTGGATTTGTGCAGAATTTCGTGCAGCTCACCGTTTTGCGCCTTTTACTGGGTCTTTTTGAAGGGGGACTTAATGTAAGCATAATCAATGTCTATCTCCCACCTCGATCATACTGACGAGTCTCCCCAGCCTGCGTGCGTCTACCTCATTTCTTCGTGGTACAAGCGGTACGAGACCCACCGTAGGATTGCCATTTGGTACACTCTTGCCAGTACGATCGCCGGATTTGCCGGCGTCATTTCGTACGGATTCAGTAAAATGGAGGCGGTCGGTGGACTCCGTGGATGGCGCTGGATCTTCATTATGCCTGGCTTGATTACGATCCTATGTGTTGTCCCGGTTTACTTGTTCGTTTCCGAATTCCCCGAGAAGGCCAGATGGCTGAAACCAGAAGAACTCGACCTTGTGCGACAGCGCCTCCGGGAAGATCGGGCGGAAGAACTTGACGATAAGACGACGCTTAGAGAGTCACTAGCCCCGTTGAAAGACTGGCGAATCTGGGCTATGTCTATGTTATACTTCTACCCGGCCGCTGGATATTACGCTCTGGCCTTCTTCATGCCATCCATCCTCAGCGCCTTCGGATTTTCTGTAGCTCTAAGCCAGATCCTCCAGACACCACCTTATATTCTAGGAGCCATCTGCTCCGTTGCAACGGGCTACTACGCCGACAAGATCCACAAACGGTCACCATTTATGCTTGGCCATGCGATCGTGACGATCGTCGGCTTCCTCCTGATGGGTTGGGGGGCCAACACAGGTGGTAAACTCACCGGCGTGTTCTTCTCCATGACTGGAATTCAATGCATCATACCGACTGTCTTTGCCTTTATGTCAAACAATATTGTCTCAGTTAAGGCTCGGAAAGTGGGTATCGCGATGCAAATTGTGGTAGGAGCCATCGGTGGCATTACCGGCTCCCAGATATTTCGAACAAAAGACGCCCCAGGGTATAGGCCTGGCATGTACGCCGCGTTCGCGCTCATGGCGGTATTTGTAATCAACGTGGCCGGAGTCACGGAGTACTTCCGTCGTCAGAACAAGAAAGCTGATGAAGAAGGTCTGATTATAGATGGGGTGGTGGGATTCCGATATACACTATGAATTGAGCCTTCGAGGGGCGAGGGTCCATACTTGATGATGGTCACATTCAGCGAGTTGCGAGGCAGTCCCGCCCGCACAAGACGCATGGCAGAAGCAGCGTTCTTAGTCAACCACGATGGCTTCCGGGCGTGATTGGCAACTTTGAGAAAAGCTGAGCGAAAGGATCATAAGAAGTCCCAGATAGTTGAATAGGAGTATCAGTTCCGAGTGAGGCGTTCAGCTAATTATCTCGTATGATCACCCACAAATTAAGTGATACAAAGACTAGTTCGTAAATTCTATCTTGCTAATTCAAGCACAATGTAGTGAATGATTTTGCGAACAGGTCAGGAAATAAGCATCAGGCAGCCGGCGCATCTCAATGATTGGAGGGGATTGTGATGCGTAGTTTCACGGATCTGTTCAACGATTCAACATTGCCGAGATACGACATCCCAAAACGCGGAAACGGTTGGACACTTAGTTTGCCATCGCTACCATGACGTCGGAAACGATTAAGAACATCTGTTTATCTCAGACGAGCAGGCCCATAATCATATACATCTTGTCCCCCCCTTCTACACTCAATCGGAATAGTCAAAGTGTGCGACATGCAGATTCTCGATACCGGGATCATTCAGAAGCTGAATCTCCATCAAAGACCCAGGCAAAAATGTAGGGGTACCAGGAGTTGTGAGACAGAAGTCTGGCAATGCGAAACCCCAAGTGTTTGGTCCTTATTCCAGCGGTATCTCTGCTACAACAGAGTTTCGTATGCTCAGCTTGAACGGCATTACGACCTTAGACGCCTGAGTTAGTAGGGTCAAAGTATTGGGTGAGCTGTGTCGGTCCCTCTGAAGAATATGTCGACCATGGCCGGCCGAAGAATGACCACTCATTCGTGACATCTGGGAAGACCTCAAAGTCTTCGTTTGGCCAACCGAGTTCTTCGTGGGCTACCAGAGGATCTGGAAGGATCTGCCCAGTCTCCATAATAGGCGAATCATCAGAGGTGGATCTGAGACTTTGCGGGGCAATGTTCGAAGCCAGTTCAGAGGCTACGAGGCAGTGGCGCGGAACTAAATTTGTGGCAGGAGATACCCTCTCCGGTTCGGCAGAGAGTGACGCGTAGTCAAATAGCTTCGCCATGAGATCGATGTCCTCCTGTTCCACGTTCACATCTGAGATCTCCTTGGAAGGTATTGCGCCGTCGTATTCTCCGCTTACGTGGCTGATAGTCCGGCGACTGTGAAGACGGACCGAGATGTCCTCGAGAACGCTTAGCTGTAACTGTCAGACATGACTGACCTACCGTTAGGTCGTGACTTACGATATTCGCAGCATTGCGCCAGATATCGGCTAATTTATGGAGGTATACGTGCGCCTTCTCGTACTTCCGGCGAGCAGCATTTGCCACCCTTGGGTTGTCGTTAAAAGTCTGTTCCAGCTGAATGCTGGCTGCAAGTGCAACGAGATAGCCAATGAATGGATCGTAGATGCTCATCCCTCCCTCTTCCATCTCAACAATATGCCGGATTACCCAGCTGGAGTGAATCATAGATTCCTGATGGGACTTTTGCAAGGTCGTTAGAGGAACTTGACCATGCTGTTGACGGGTCTTCATGAAGAGAATGAAGGGATGATGCCTGGGATGATCAGTATTTGGCTTTTTGTCGTGAAAATCTTGCTTACAGGCGACATTGGGTGGCTGAATATAAAATTTGGTAAGATACCCACGCAGAAAAGAAGGGGCGTAGGTGAGGTTCATTCAACACACGACGGGGCGATCCCACCGCGGTGTATCGGTGTGGATGAAGCTCTGTAATAGATCAGTGGGATTCCCCTTGTTGGCTTCGTTCCACCCACTCATCTCAAACTCCATTAGACGGCTCTCGATGGCCGCATGTGCAGAATCATGTCTCCAGAAAGGAATAGGTGGAGCCTTGCTATCGCCAGATACTTCCATGACTGCGTTGTGCCATATATCAAGGAGCACGATATTGCAAGAAATGACATCCAAGGACTCTGTCCGCAACATATCTCCAGGTGAAGTCGGCAACGTGATTTCTCTAGATGCGATAGAACCGTCAGGATTTGATGGAGCGCATTGCATCAAGAAGAGCTGAAAAGAGGAGGCCGGAACGCAAGGGGACCTCACGTCGGCGCTACTGAAAATGCGATCCATCATGAACAATGTCCACACGACCGAACGCCAATTGAGCGACGACTGATCTTCTGCTGATATGCCGCTTTCTTTGCGAAGCAACCCGCGTGTTTGAGCAAGCCTCAGGCCAAGAGCAACCTGAGCTTGAGCACGGTGCGGCTTTCCAGCTTGTTCCTAGTCTCAGCACACGATAGAGGTAGCGGTTTTGGCACTTACTTGCAAAATCTATGTGGGCGATTAAACAAAGCGCTTGGAAATAAGCTAGATCGAAGTCGAACTTGGAGTATCGAGCGGCCAAAAGGTTCCAAGCCGCTTCTGATAACATCTCGCAAGTCTCGACAATGGCCTCTTTACTGTGGAAAAAGGCATTTTGGCAGATACGGAGACCAATGGCAAGCAAAGGGAGCAGCACGAGCTTGGGATATTCAACCATCAAGGGTTGGGAGTTGTTGCTCGTTCTCACCAAAAGTGGGTACGGCCGGTTGTGGAAATGTTCGAAGTAGAGCTGAATGCCTTCTTTCTTGATCTCATCCGGGATCTCGTCTTCGTTTGTGATTCTGGGCATGTTAACGGAAGTTCGTCCAAGACATGTGCAATGGCTCACTGGAAGGTGCCAGATGGAGAGGTTGAGGCCATGGAAGTCATCTCATTTGTGTGGCCCAGCCCTTCTCCGTTCTCCAAGTCTACAATCCCCTTTTCTCTGGTCAAAATTGTTAACACAACCTGAAGTAATGATGGAGCACCTTGAGCTGAGCAGGAGTTTCGCATACTGACCCTAATGCCTTTGCCAACTCACAAAGCTTGGTCTCGACAGCGCTTAATCGATTGGACTGCGGCCAGACGGGTGTTAGCGACATTAGAGTATGCGCTCGAGGTACTCACCTCGTACTGTTCCTGAGCGAAGGGGAAGATCGAACGAGTGTTGCGACCTCGACTTCGCGCCCCTTTGTCGGGTCGCGCCGCCTTCTCGACATAGACGCATCGCTGTCTCAGACGTATGCAGAGGGAGCATCGTGGCTTCTCACCTGGACACCGTGACTTTTTGCGTCTGTCAGGTGTCAGCTAATGATGTTCCTTCTCTCCAGGACTCTCATTTTTCGCCAGAGGTGAAGAAACTACCGGCAATTGTCGCAGGCCTGGCTTGCCCGCTTAATGGTTTCGACAAAATACTCAGCGGTAGGCGAAACAGGATTATCCGCCATGAAGGATCAGTAGGTGGAATCTGCCCGGCTGTTAGCAGCCTCGCAAATCATCTGGAGTTCGAGCGCAAAGGTAGAATTACTGAGGCTGCTGGAGTCTGGACGCGAGTGGTGCGAGTTGCTGGTGGCTAGTAGCCCATACTACAATCTCAATGCTCGGTCCAGCGAATCGACTAGGCCGCCATCAACGAAAGAAAACACGATCCCATATCTGGGTGCCTGTGAGTGGGCGTCGTCGGGAGGTGTGTCAAGTCAACTGCAGCAGGGCCCTCCATCCGTCCTTGGCTTCGTCAACCTTGCGGATAGCTTTGGCCGGATATCGAGTATCATAACTGGTTTAGGCATAGACTCCGCATTTCGCGAAGAGAATCCACTCGTGCCCAGACAAGAGCACAACTTCAAGTTAGAATGAAGAGACTTGACTCCACATGGATGGGAAGGAGTCCTAGGCACCGGAGAATCCGAAGCCATCTTGTGTGGAAGGGATTGCGAGAACTTCGGCTAGCCCGAGGCGCTCAAGCTTCACCGTTTACCTCTACTTGTATAGAGCAGGACTTACCTACAAGTAGGTAAGAAAGCCTGGTATGGAGTCTAGGTAAGTAATTATTCGTTCCCACCACTATCCTCACCTTGAAAGGCCATTGGACCAGCATACGGCCATTTCACTCCCAACGCAGGCATTATCACGGGGGTAAATCCCGTCACACTAAATTGCGAGACCTCACTAACTAGGGGCTTGGCTTCCTCAATGTGCTTCTTGCTCCTCTTCCTCTTTCCCCAGGTTGTCAAATTTTCTACTACTAGATCGCGGTTCGCGGATCGCGGTCTACGGAGCACGGAACACGGCACACGTAACTTGCAAGTCCTAAGGAGAGTTGGCAGTGAGTAGGCCTCGGCACTGTTTGGAGCATCATCACACGTCTTATGCAATTAGGTGTGATGCGCATCCATCGAACAGCTGCACGCATGGCCAACCAGAAGGTCTCACTCCATTCGCCAACGGTCGGCCGTGGTCGGTTACGGTCGTCAAGGTAGCCAAAGACCTGTGTCTAGCGTGCTCAGGCCACAATGATATCTCTCCTAATACCGACTCAGGCTTATGGTCTGCCGAGATTCATGACCTGGCTGCAACCTGTTCAGCACTTCCTAGGTTTATGTTGGTCACCATTATGATACGGTCGAAACTGCTGTTGTCAAGAATTTGGGCAATGTTTGACTGCCAGTCATCAGACATGACCGATTTGGACTGCCTCGAGCTCCAAAGTCTATCTAATCTTCGATTCCGCGTCGTCCACAAGCACTATCAGAACATGTTCTGGGCAGGAGTGAGTGGCTTCAGGGGAAGGTAAGGAGGAAGTCCACGGTGTTACCGATCAAGGTATTTCTGAGCTTAACCTGTTATTGAGTCGTAGCAGGAGTTCTGATCAGCAGCTCTGGAGCTGCAAAACCTAGACAAGACATTCAATCAGAGTAGTAAGTTTGTGGTCAGAAAGCCCTCCATCGTACACAGCATCTTTTCTGGGAGCGAAGACTACTCAAACGTGCAATTCACCGCTCCCTTCTGCATTAAGTAGGTTTCCGTGGCCATCAAAGCTCCCAGGAACGTCTCGGGATCCTGCATAGTCTGCCTCCTGCACGAGTTTGTCAGTCGTCTCATTGCCTGCTACCAGTCCTATTTCTGCATCTAAAACACTTGGGTTAATAGACCCCATGCCATCATTCGCTACCATCGACTGAATTGGCGCATGTATATACACAGTGTCTCAATGAGTCCCTGGTCTCTCCATCGCTGTAGATATCTCCTTAATCGAGTCTCAAAGACTGTATCAGTTTCGAATACCAATATTTCGTATACTTAAACACTGCGTAGCCGGCCAACAGATTCAGTGGCTCGAACCCACTCTTCCACACCTGCGATGCGTATCATTGCCTCAAAAACTACGGGACTCTTTGGTCAGCCACCCGAACTGCGCAGACCGCAAGCTCGATCGCAGCTGAGTGTTGAGAATCCGGTCGCCACGGCATAACTTATCGCTGCGAACAAGGAGTATAGAGGGAGGGGAAGACGGTGCGTGTACATGGCTACCTTGCCCAATAAGATTGGCGCTTCCTTCGACACATGGCCAACATTTATACCTCCCTCAATTTAGGTCTCTGAGTCAACCGACAAAACCGGCATCAGTCCCGTTGAGATGCTTTCCAAGCTCGTGGGCACCAACAAGGCCTTCGCCAGCTGTTGACCCTCGCACTGACTCGCAACTTAGATGGCACAAGAATTGGACAAGCTGAGTCAACCTCTCCCGATGCCTTGAGCAACATTTTTATCTACGATCCAGCGCAGGCGAGGTGGTTCAACAAGATAGCTTCAAACGGACCTGACCGGCTCTATGAGTCGCGTCAGGACTTCTGCGCTATTGGAGTTCTGGTTATACAAAGACGAATGAGGTCTTCATCTTTGGTGGTGGCTTGTATGCTGACAGCACGAATAACGATCTCACATATCTGGACGAGGTATTTGTTCTTCCCTTACCTGCCTTCACTTGGTTCAAAGCCGACTATAAATCAACCCACGTCAGGACAACAAAGGCGGTAATGTAATTAGCAAGAAGAGAAGGATTTCTCTCGGCGACGTGAATCCGAGGGGAAATATCTGGTGGCCAGCAGACCCTTGGACCCAGTCGATTGGGATTTTTGACATGGCGGAGATGAGATGGACAGATAGGTATAATGCTACTGCTGTCGGTTATGCCATATCAAATGTCGTGAAGGCTTGGTATGCCGATATAGGACCATATCCAGGTGGGGATAGTGACGATGTGAAGGCTTTATCCTTCAATAAACTGACGAGTAAGTTTCCTGCATACCATGTAAGCTGTGTTGAAGTTCGAGAAGGATATTGATATTCAGCACAGCAACAACCTCATCCTCTGCCGGTCCAGCAACCAGTTCAGCGGAGGCTCCAACCACGTATGACCTGAATAATCAGACCGGTCTCCTTGTAGGCAGCATCATCGGCGTTTTGGTCGTGATAGCACTTCTCAGCAGTGCAATGTTCTTTTCCTATCGTCGCTCTAAGCACCGTGGTACGGCAAGCAAGACTACAACCGCTTCAGGCACGTTGCCTGATTGGCCCCACGTCAAGGCTGAGCTCCCCATGGATGCTAGAAAAACTTCAATGCAACCTACAGTTGAGGATTGCTGTCATCATCCCTCTATGGATGCAATTTGAACTATATAGCCGAAATATGATTGCCTTATTGGGTGAACATAGTAGTCTAGATACAGAGCAGTGGAGTGCTGATCTTGATTGTCTTGGTCCCATGCTTTTGTTAGCACGCGAACGGCTCGCCAACGGTACCACTGTCATAAGCATCGATGATGAGCTTGATGGAGACATATGTGCCCGCAACGCAGATGAATGCACCTGCAAGGAAGGTCAAGAGATTGACAATGGTTTTGCCAGGGCTTCGCATCCATGCAGCTCGTCCATGCAAACCCCTCGACCGACCCCTATCCAAGCCATGGTAGCTATCGTGCAGCCAAAAAGCACCAGCGATGCCATAAGTGTACCAAGATGCGAAGAGCGAAGCCGTAATGGAGACCAGGTACCCGAAGATGGGGACGCCCACTGCAAGTACGAATGCGGCACCGTTTGCGAGGATGATCAGGATAGTCCACGTACCCCAACCAAGCACGGTATGCTCGTGTAAATGGCGGGTGCGACGAAAGAAGCGGATAAAGAACAACTTGGCAGCTGTATGCGAGTACAAACTTCCTGCTATCAGGAAATTGGTTAGGGCAATGCCGTACGTAGCTTTGGCCCATTTTGGAGGAAGAGACGAGAAGGCAGGTGATGCCACGCTGGGGCCCAAGTAGACGTACATGACGATGGCGAAGACCACGTAGAATGTGGTGGCGAAGATCTGGAGAACCCATGCAGCTTTCTTCGCATCTCTTGGATTCTTCATTTCGGATATCAAGATGAAGAACATGAAGTGACCGGCGTATGAAAACACGGGATTCGTGATGGACAAAAATGCATCGTAGAAGCTTGCTGAGCGTGCGATGTCAATGTGGCGGTCGGGTACTGGGTTGGCTCCGGCAGCACCCATGCCCACAAGGCCAGCGACAAGGATACAGATGCATGATGGGATGCAAAGCCAAGACAGTTGATCAAGCGTCCGTGGAAAGGAGAGTAACAGTGTTGGAATGGCAAATATCCCAGTGTACCACATTAAGCAGAGCTTGTTCTCCGAAAGTACGCCCAAGGTGATCTGTCCGGCCAGAAGTTGAGAGCCTGTGGCACAGATTGCAAAAATGACAGTGCCCGCAGAGAGAATCTCCCTGACAATGGGACCCCCCAGAATCATGCCAGCATCACCCATGTTGTGAACTTGAGGATGATTGATTTTGAAGTCCACGAGGACAAGAGATGTATACAAAGCGAAGATACCTGTGTGGGCAAGATAAAAGGAGAAACTCAGCTGGGTGCCCCAGTTCAACATGAACGAAGATTATACGAACTCACCCAGAAAAGCAATGAGGACCACACCAGGAACAATTCCAACCACGGCAGTAGCAGCAGGAAGGGAGAGCATTCCATTACTGACGATCTCGGCGATCATGAGAACAGCAACAAGGGGCCATGATAGCGTTTTATACTTGATGGCCGCATTGTCTTCATTACCAAAGACATCGTGTTCTTGGCTTGGAGGTGAGTAAATGACATTGAGAATTGACAATGATGATTAAGACTGCTCACCATGATCGTAACCAGTTGGAGGGTCATCAGCAACTCCCCTCAAGTGAGATGCAGAGAGGGCGTGATGGTGAATATCAACATCTCTCGCACTGCTGAAGCGATACTTCTCGTAGTCACTCATTTCGCTCGCGTTGGCCATCTCAGGCTGTCTGCTTGCTACGGATGATTCAACAACAAGAATAAATTATATAGCAAAGATGGCGGGGCATAACGGCCACTGAGGGCGCCTGAATCCTGATAAATAGCTAATGAAGGATGGGTAATAGCCTATTGCGAGTTTCGATCGAAGACATCGTGAGTTTGTTCTCAACCTTATCGTTGGTAGATATGACATTCAATCCGGATCAGGAAGGTCGTAAGCAGCAACTGACAGTATCTGTATCCGTAGCTTGATGTGATGATAGGCGGTGGGATGGATCATGTTAACGGATGATGGCCCGGGATGAAGGGAACCGTTAGCCCCCGTGGGTGGTGGAGAGCTCCTTCCAGACACTACCTCAGGTAGGTACTCCGTACTTTCTTGAACACTAGGATCACGTGATGATATCATCTCCTACGGCGACGCACATAGATCACAAGTGACGACGAGGGAGGAAGGAGCAGTCCCAGCCACAGCGCCTCAAATGGCCGGAAGCAAAACAGGGCACATGCTCATTTCACTAGCCTGGCAATGACTGGCACCGGGTGCATTATTGCGCCAAATTCCCATTGCCTCAAGCACTGGCATCGATCGACTTGCATGGCCATCCACAGTCGTCATACTGCCGCTTGACCCAAGAGAGCAACTCACTTGACTTCCCTGCCTACCACTAACACCACCTTTTTGCTCCGATTTCCTTCATTCATCCTTTCCATTATCGCAATCTCGTTCAACCTCGCTCTGTTCACTTCCAGTCTTCCTCCTCTCGTGCCAATCGAGCTTCATCATTCTTCATCACTACCGACAAGATGAGTTACGCAGAGGCCGCGGCCAAGGGCCCCAAGCAGTCTCCGGAAGAGGTACCCTACTTTCATGCTCTTGTGATGCGACGATATAGCTAACCCTGCGTAGGCGTAGGTTCTACAATGAACCGATTATAGATATAGTCCAACGAGTGCTAACACTGACGTCACGTTATAGTCGCGCACCACCTGTCCCAGAAATCGCACCTTCCGAGTCCGAATCTGCCAGCTTGATTGACGTGGATTCTCCTCATGTCAGTCACGTCGTGTCTGATTTCCAGGACCAAGCCATCAAGACAGAGACCCAGGCTGAGCGAATCGAGCACGAGGCGGAAGACAAAGCCCGTGCGGAGGCTCAAAAGGCTGCCGATGCTGCAGAGAAGGCAAAGAAGAAGGCCGCTACCAAAGCCAAGGAGGCAAAGAGTGCCCTGAAAAAAGAAGGCAAGGCCTTGAGCGAGAACAGAGACAACCCAGTTGTTATTGGAAACGCCGTCATTTGGGGTATCGCCACCGTGGCTATTGGCTATGGAGCATACCAGAAGCACAGTGAAGGCAAACTAGACTGGAAGCTTGCCGGAACTGTTGCTGGTGTTGTTGGTGCCTTTGGAGTTGCAGATTACTTTGGCAGCAAGTGAGTATTTTCTGGACGACAATTTGATTGACTGGCTGACTGTTATCTAGGTGGCTACTCGAAAACAAGTATCCTCCCAAATAGAAGGTGACAATAGGAGGATTGATGTCATTCTGCAGGGCAGGGCGGGACTAAACTGTGTATTTTTTTCATCAACCTCTCTACTCGGTTTGACATGGTGGCTTGCGGCGCAGGATCTTTTGAACCGTATCTCCTTGTGTCAACGAATATGATATCCCATGTGCTTTTCATAATATACCATTTGCCATCGCTACGTTTTCGGAACGCGAGCATTGCAACAGCCTGGAATATTCAACTTCTCGAGTGATTTCTTCGTTGTCATTCGTGATGCTCGTGGGTAGGTCGTAACAGATAACCCCAATTTCTCATCCCTTTTCACGTGTGTCGTTCTTGACTCAGTGGTTTTGGGCACGTAAAGTACCAGCTGCAGAGCGACCATCAAGAGAACAAACACTTTGCAAGATTTGTCGTGAGCATGGACATCTAGCAGTGGGTCTATCCTGACATCAAAAGGCAGGTCGTACAGGTTGTTTGGTCGGAGAAAATTGAGAACTTTGTTGATCGAGTAAAGCACCAGTGTGGGATTGCAGATAACGGCCGAGGTCAGCATTCGCTGGTGAGTTCTGACCTTTCGCCATGTTTTCTCGATCATCCTGGACATGGAAGATAGTATTTCCATTTGTCGAACTCTCGACCTGTCTCAAGAATCTTGTGGGTAGGTGATCGGCCACTGCTCAGAATGTTGAACTTGATGCCGGCTTTTCAAACCCAAGTCAATATGACGCTATTTTCAATGACTGTAGTGGCGAGCCGTTGTGGTCTCAGCCCGGGTGGAGGACTTTTTGACACTGTTCGTTTTTGTCCTTCATTAGGTCTTGTTGGATAAAGATGTGTCGGTAGAGTGATGTGATGAATTTGTCAAGGAAGATCACAGCCCGAAAGAAGAAAGAAAATGAACTTCAGACGCGCAAAACAATGTCCGGCAGTCGTGTCCGTGGTGACTTCCACGGTTGAAGTCAGTCTGTTTGCTGTTCAGACTTGTGACACTTACAAACAGGAAATCACTTCTAGGAGGGACAGGGCGAAAAAAGGCACTTCTCAACATTCATATTCAAACCACCACTGGCATGCCGAGTCCGCTCTATTTTAGGGCTAAGCCCCCAAGCACGAACGTCTTGTGTCTTCGATGCGGGTTCAGCTTGGATTTCTTGCTGTTTCTTCTCACTAGTACTGGTAGTGGGGAGGGATTGACTTTGCTCACAAGTGCCATGCGCGTATCCGGGGCGGGCAAAACTTGCGAGCCTGGGAGTCTGTCCAGGCCATGGGGAGAAACAAAAAGTAACCCGCCGGGACACTCCATCAACGCAAAAATGGAGTACGGAGGTTTCGAGTTAACGGACTTGCCATAGGGGTTACCTGATGATGTTTCGGCCGCCGGAGCCCCTACATTTTCCCAGCTTATCCTGATATCTAGATGGTTGATGCTTGAACAACGTTTGTATTAGAAGGCAGACAGAGAGGGCGAGAGGGCGTGCCAGCCTGCGAGCATGAGGCCTAAATTTGTTGGCAACACCCGGCACCGGGATAACCAATGTTCCCCCTAGAATCTGGTTGGCGCGTTTTATCCCACCCATGGCAATGACGCTGCACCATGTTGACCACGTATTTTGTTGTAGACAAGGACACATTGTACTTTTGTCCCTAGCTTGACCGACACCATGTCACACTAGAAGGAATTCTTAACTTGGGGCTCTCTATCTTTGTATTCTTGAGGAGCTTTTCGGGTGTCTTTCTCATATCACGAACCAGTAACCCCGTTTAAAATGGTATGCATGTCGAAGAACTGTTCGTTGAGAAAACTAATGTCTGATCTTTTCGCAGAATGTTTTATTCAATTCAGCATTGAAACAGTCGACTGCCGTGCGCCGAGATCTGGAGACCTTCGCGCAGGCGCCGGCCACTGCGTCCCCTGCACTCCAAGGACAGATTTCCACTACCCTTACCAGTTTCTCTCGCACTCTAGAAGACTACCAGAATCTATCACGCAATGAGTTGAATGAAGAAAAAAAGGACAAGGCCGTTGAGAGAATCAAGAACTTTCGGGCAGACCTGGCCTCCTATCGAACACAGTTTGACCAACTCAAAAAGGAGCGGGAAGGCGCAGTTGCTGCCAACAACAGAAGCGAATTGCTAGGTAGGCGGCCACATCATGCCGCGACTCCTGAGAATCCATATGCGAATGTGACCAGCCAGAGTGCATTTGCTCCAGCTCACCGCAATACCCACGATGGCCTGTCCTTTGGCGCAGGTCCCAATGAGTATAATCGGGAGGATCATGCTCTGCGAGAACAGAACTTTTTCAGTACAGCCAACGCTCAGATCGACGAATTTCTAGATCGAGGACGAGCAGTCTTGGGTGATCTCGGTCAGCAACGGGAGATCCTCAAGGGCACTCAGAGAAGACTATACAGTGTCGCCAACACTCTCGGCGTGAGTGGTGATACCATCCGCATGGTTGAGAGAAGGGCCAAACAAGACAAATGGATCTTCTGGGGTTCCGTCATTGTCTTTTTTCTCTTCTGCTTTTTGGTCATACACTTCCTCAGATGAAGCATGGCTTGTTCAACTACATCTCATCACTTGATTGTCCCAGGTGAACGGTGGTGGAAACCCTGGGTACCGCCACCTCCAAGCGAATACGTGTCTTCCGGTATGAATCACGGCAATGGACAATCAATCTCCATCAGCACAGATTTTGGATGACAAAACTGAAATTGCAAACCACTGGGGCATTGTCCACAAAACGACTTCTGATTCAAAGCGTGTGGAGACATTGCGCTGCTACCGATGCCGCCTTTTACTGGAGAACAGCAGAGTCAGTGAATAGTTAGGCACCGAGTGAGCCCGGACTAAGGGTAAGTCCTAATCAGGTGACTACCAAACCGTGTTAGATCACTAGCACCCCTAGCACTACAAGTGAAGATGAGTCAGGCGGAGCCGAGTCAGAGAACCACCACTAAGATAGGATGCTACACGGATTTCCGAGTTATGCCTTATCAACAAGCTCGGTACTTCAGTTTCTCTTCGGAATCTCCAAAGTCTCGAATCAGATGTGGCAAAACCTTCCCCGCACAATGAGATCGACTTGTGTCTTTTCAATTGGAGGAAACCCCTAGTCCGGCACGGTCTTGACCTGCAGCGCGATCCACCTTTCTTGGATGACCAGCTTCAGCGATTACTGACAGAGGATTGCTACATCGCTACCTCGGGCCATGGTCGCTTGGGTAAAGCTACGCGTTTTCCTGTTAAATACCAAACATTTTTCTTCCAAGATCACCTTGTCCAATCTGCGAGCCAAGATTTCTGTTTTCCCTTCACTCTTCCTGTGCGAGCTTTCTCTCGATCTCCAATTGTCTTCCTCTGTCCATCGCATAGATCAAACTTACTTCTAACTCCAATACCGCCACTCACCATGTCGGGTGACCGCCCTTGGCCCCAAGTCCCTGTGGGTAACAAGGACTACACAGAGGCCAATGTGGTCATTGTGGGAGGAGGTATCTCAGGAATGTGCACAGCAATCGATTTGATTGCTAGGAACAATTGCCGGAATTTCATCATTCTGGAGAAGTCTGGTGGAGTCGGAGGCACGTGGCGAGATAACAAATATCCGGGGTGCTGTTGTGATGGTAAGTGGTCAACGTCATTCCAGGCTTCTGATTTTTTGAGATTGCTCATGATGCTCCAGTGTGGTCCCACCTCTACAGCTATTCGTTCGAGCAAAATTCGGATTGGACGCGAGAATATCCTGGACAAGAAGAAATTCTGGAATATTTGATGCGGGTTGCGCAGAAGTACGAGCTCTATCGATATGTTCGCTTCAATACCGCAGTCGATTCTGCTCGGTGGGACGACGCCAGCAAGAAATGGAAGACAACGGTATCAGTTCAAGGTGGCAAAGATGCAGAGTTCACCAACACATATACCATCAGCTCTGATTTTTTGGTGTCGGCTGTCGGCCAGCTCAACGTGCCAAGGTTGCCTGACATTGATGGCCTGGGGGAGTTCAAGGGCAAGTTGATGCACAGTGCTCGGTGGGATTGGAGTTATAGTCTTCGTGGAAAGAAAGTTGCAATAATCGGCAATGGAGCGACTGCTGCCCAAATCATCCCAGAGATCGTCAAGGAAGTGGATCACCTCACTATTCACCAACGAACACCCAACTGGGTGATTCCCCGGTTGGACGCCGCGATTGCCCCTTGGAAACGCAGTCTTTACAAATGGGTGCCATATGTCCGACAGCGCAAGAGAGCTGACATGATGGATTTCCGGGAGGCATTCTACGATGCCGTATTTGACAAGACTTCCCCCACGTCCCAATTTATTGAAGCAATGAGTAAGGAACACTTGCAAGCTCAATTGAAAGATCGACCCGAGCTACAAGAGAAGCTGCAACCTACATACGCCGTGGGCTGTAAACGAGTCATCATTACCGATGATTACTTTCCTGTTTTCTTACGGGACAACGTGAAGCTTGAGACCGGAAAGATCGACAGAATCACTGCAAATGGTATCGTGACCGACGGCAAGGAAGAAGAATACGATCTTATCATTCTCGCCACCGGATTCCGCACTGTCGAATTTATGCACCCAATTGAGATCACGGGAAAAGCCGGACGCACACTCAGCAGCATCTGGAAAGAGGGTGGACAGGCACTCTATGGCGTTGCGGTGGAAAGTCTGCCAAATTTTGGCATGCTCTACGGACCCAACACCAACTTGGGTCATAACAGCATCATACTCATGATCGAAGCTCAAAGCAGGTATATCAATGCAATGATCAAAGAAGTGATCGCCGCAAAATCAAGTGGTGACGACCTGGTTATCACACCTAAACCATCACGCGTGAAGGAGTTCAACGATGAAATACAGTCAGAACTGGAAAAGAGCAATTTTGCAGACCCCGGCTGTAATTCTTGGTACAAGATGAAAGAATCGGGCAAAATCACGAACAACTGGAGCCGGAATGTGGTTGCCTATCAAAAGGTTAGTCTCCAGTTTTATGGTTGCGTTGTTGGTTATGTGTGTACGTTTACTGACAAACTCGCTTGCAGCTTTTAAGTCAAGTGGACTGGTCGGATTTTGATCTTGACGGACCCCAGGCAAAGAAGTTGTCGAACTCTCAGGTGACCCATCTTGGGCGTGTGGTAGAGGAGTCGACAGTGAGCTACCAGACCATGGGGTTGACTGCTCTCAGTCTGGCCGCTGTTGGTGCAGGTTTGGTATTCCGCAACTCTGCGCGGTTACGGCTTCGATGAATGATTGCTGGGTGCTTGAAAGATGACTTGAATACCTGGCTCTCGAGCTTAGGCTGGTCAAGGCAAGGATGGACTCGACAGTACTGGCATTTCTGTATTCCTCCTAAACAATTGAAAGGGGGCAACAGGCGTTGTAAATACGGAGTTTGTTACACACCTAGGCCTCAGCCCAGGCCAGTACCTGCAGTGATAGGCAAACGCAAATCCTAAATAACTGGGTCATGACCAGCATTACAAAATTGAAGGTTAGACTATGTCTAAGGGACAATTAGTAGCAGCCTAGCCAAAGTCTTAGGCTCACAAAGATTCCAGACTGGCTGAATCGCAAGAGGGCGGATCACGAGAGGCCACTAATCCCCACCTGGAGCGCGCTTCCTCGTATTTGCTCTGACACTAATAATTCACTAACTGAAGACTCCACGCTGCAGTTTGGCGAACTCGAAAGCCATTTTTCTCTCTTCTCCTTCTACCCATCATTTACTTGTTCGACAACACCACACGTCCCGAATAGCACCTTCACTTTCTCTGTAACACAACCGTCGTCACGACCTCTACTACGAACCCACGAATCTCGCAACTACCTACTCGGTTTCCCCTCTTACACACACCACGCGCTCACACTTCCACACTTCCACCCCTAGCCCTTCAAAGCTACTTCGATTATCCCTGTGGTTTCCATTGTTCCAAAGAAACAGCAAATATGCCAACTCCTTTTACTTCCACATTTGCTTCAGCCGCCGCCAGCACAAATGGTGAAAATTCAGGAAACAGGACCAACAATAGTGCTGGAAATGACTGGTACGGCCACCCTTGTGACCCTCCAAAACCCACGCGCGACACGGACCCTTTCGAGCACCAGCCTCATGACATATCCTCTGCCACATCCGTTTTGCCTCTATTTCTCTCCTGTTTTACCGCGAAAACAACCCGAACTGATATGTTTCGAACCCTAGGTCAAGAAGTCGTGTGAACGGGGCTACTCAAACTTTCCGCAGACCTTCTGTAGCCACCACACCTTCCAGTTCAAATCTACAAGCACAAGCACAGCAGCCGCGCGATATGCCTCCCACACCGAGTGCTGCCCACGGAGGTGTCTACATTCCACCTCACCTGAATGCGAATCATCCATCCAACTCGCCCCGATCACTTCCCTCGGGTGATATCCGCTACAGCAAAGAACAACTGTTGTCCATTTACCAGACGCTGAAAGACTCCGCAGCTCTTGACCGTAGCCTGGAGGATATCTTCTTGGGATCCTGGGATCCTTTGGAAGGGAAGAATGGCATTTCCAATCAAACAGGGCGTGGGGAATCCAAGGACCAAGTTCCTGGCCCCGAAGTCTGTTGGAATTACTCTGAAGCACATCCCTTAGGTGTCGCGGACTTGACAGAGGATGAGAGACAGGTATGATCTAGTTCACCCTAAACGCTCCGCTTCGAGCTGTCCCACATCTGACATGCATTATAGCTCTTCTCAACTTCAGTCAATTCTCCAATCAAACTACAACAGAGTACCACGAAAGAAGGTGCGGGAGCTGGGACGGTCGCAGGACGAAAGGCTTCGTTATCAGGCTACAATAGCGCCACACAAGGATCAAGACCAGGCCCACGACGAAGGGAGACAAGTGATTCATATGTGGGTAACGGACCTTTATCACCAGTAGAAAGCAAGACCTTCTTTCGCGGGGATACCAATACTGCGACACCTCCCCCAGCGTTGTTGCGCCGCCGGACAGATTACAAGGACGAGGAAGCCACACCGCCTTCCAAGGACGACCGCGAAGGAGATGAAGCTACTGATTCACAGTCACAGTTTCCTGGACCACGCAGATCGGTCACTGGCCCTCTAAGTGCAGGTTTACATCCTCCGTCTGGATCGCCGTGGTCTGCTGGTACGCAATCTGGCGGCTTTGGGTCCATGGGAAGTTTCGGTAGCTTTGCAATCGGATCTGCAACCACTCCAACTGAACCCGCCGACAAAAGACCCGGATTTGGGAGTGCTCGTGGTGGTAGTCGTTTCAAAGACCTTCTCTCCAAGACAAGCTCGGAGGATATCAGTCAAGGGCTCAAGGATAAGGCATCATTCGGAGCTCTGGAGAAACTCCCCGAGGAGGATGCGGACGCAGCTCACCTACGATCACGAGAAGGACTGTCAACACGTCCAGGCCGTAGCGAGACCAATCCTTATGCGGAAATTCCGGGTCGTAGCGGCAGTGCTGCTCTTGGAGGATCTCAAGATGACGTTCCAGTCACCCAAGGTATCGAACAAATGGGCTTTTCTGCGTACGGACCTGCTTCAAATGTTGGAACCCGAGACTTTGGCAACGACGACTCGTACCAGCAGACACCACATGGCCGTTTCAATCCTCATGAACCCATGAGCCCAACCAATACGAATCCGTATCAAAGTCCCCAGGGTCGACTGGAAGATGATGAACAAGACACGAATGATTCAGCCTCTCAAGCTTCAGGTCTGCCTCCGTTCGGTGGAAGTCGTAGGAACGTGTTTCCCAATCCTGACGATAGAGGCCCAGGTGCCGGTCTTCGTGGTCCTGGCGCTTTCGGCGGTTTAGGTTTTGGCGGCCTTGGAGGGGGACCTTCATGGTCAGGTGCTGGAATTGGTTCTGGAAAGCCTGCTCTCGATCGAGGTATTGGTACGGGTTTTGGTGATCCAATCTTCAGTCCCCTTGCCGATTTGCAATCGCCTGGAGCTGGTGGACTTGGTGGCGGCTTCTTCGCTTCTGGCGGATTCGGCTCAGCTGGTCGCGCCAGTCGACTTGGTGCCATGTTCCCCCCAGCAATGCAAGAACAAATGAGGGGAGATAGCAGAAATGATATTCCATCCGGGGCATTTGACTCTCGTCCTGACAGCGCCCAGCATGTCAGCCGTGACCCTTTCGCGAATGCAGGACGCACACTGGATGGCTTCGGTCGTGGGTCTAGTGCTTTCGAAGAGTCACCGCCGGTCCGCACTGTTGAAGAGGCTGGTAGTATCGGTCCTGCTGGTGGGTTTGGTCCACCTGGCACAGGTGCTCAAGCAGGAGCTTTGCCCACTCCTCAACCAGCGGGCGTTCGAGCTCCTCCGGGAACGGAAGGCTTCCAGTCTGCTCATGGCCTCAGTCAATCCAGCGGTAGCAGTGGTTCAAACCAGATGCCAGCTGCACAACAACGACAGATGGTCATGCCAGATCGGATGCGGTGGATCTATCGCGATCCTCAAGGAAACACTCAGGGACCTTGGTCCGGTTTGGAGATGCACGACTGGTTCAAGGCTGGATTTTTCACCGCGGAATTACAGGTGAAGAAATTGGAAGATGTGGAATATGAGCCTTTAGCACAACTCGTCAGACGGATTGGAAACTCTCGTGAGCCTTTCCTGGTACCACAAATCGGTGTTCCTCATGGACCTCCATCCGCTGCTCAAGGCAATCACTGGGCAACTTCAATGGCTGGCACCGGAGGTCCTGCTCAACCACCATTTGCTAGCAGCTTCCCAAGTTTCGGTACAACCTTGACTGCGGAGCAGCAGAATGCTCTGGAGAGAAGAAAGCAGGAAGAACAATTCCTCATGGCTAGACAAAAGGAGCATTTGGCTCAACAACAAATGGCGATGAAGCATATGCAGATCCAGAATGGGCTTCATTCTTTACAACACCATTCAAGCGCCCACTCATTACAGAGTCAACCAAGCTTCGGCAGTATCACATCCCCTACTGGTTATCAGCCATCACCAATGCAGGCACCTATTCAACCCCCACAACAACAGTCACAGGCACCAACATCTGGTCAATCTTTTGGTCCTCCGGGAGGTCCTAACCCTGGACAGACTTTTGGTGGTAACCGTGACGAGGATGTGCAAAACATGATGGATCGATTGAGTTTCAGCCAACGAGCCAACCTTCCATATGCGGGCGGCCCTTTAGGCCCAGCTCCCACGGACGCGGCTCCATCTTCCCAACAGATTTCTTCCATGCTACAAGATAGAGCTCGACTTCAGCAACAGCAGCAACAATCCGAACTCCAAAGCCATCAGGACACTTTTTTAGGCCAGCAGGGCCGCAACGACCGACTGGAAGAGTTCCACACCCTTCGTGGGGAGGTGGACAACCAAGCTGGTCGTCTCGGCCCTGATGAGGCTCTCCCACAACCAATTGGGTCTCAGCGCCATTCTGAAGATCAAAGCAGCTCGGCCACTGCGTCAAAGGCCCCGGTCTCCACACGCGATCACGAAAACTTATCATTGGCTCAGCAGGTGCAGATTGCTGCAGCAAGTCAACAAGCAGCTGCGGAGGAAAGTGCATGGGCGAGGATTGATACACCCATCGAACCCCCTCCTGTTTCAATTTCCCCCCTTCCCGCCCCGGCCGCCCAGCGCAATAGGCAACATGTTGCCGATGCACTGGCAGCCGATTCTAGATCAGCAACCCAAACTCCGATTGAAACACCATCCGCATCCATCGCGCCTTGGGCGGAGAGAAATGTTGAACATCCTAAAGGACCATCCTTGAAAGAAATTCAAGAAGCTGAAGCCAAGCGGGCAGCCGAGCAAGAAGAGATTGCTGCTGCTGCACGACGGGCGCAAGCTGATCTGGAGAGACAGGTTCAAGCTCAAGCCCCAGTTGCCGCACCTGGCCTGCCATTGACATCTACTTGGGGTGCGTCATCATCTCCGGTCAGTACACAGTCATCGGTCTGGGGTGCTAAGCCCGCTCCTGCCAAGCCTGGTCCGGTCAGCGGTTCGAGTGCAAAGAAGACCCTTGCACAGATTCAGAAAGAAGAAGAATCACGTAAACAGCGTGCGGCTGTCGCTGCTGCTGCCTCTGCAAATATTCAAAATGCTACCAGTCCAGCATCCGCAGCAGTGGGCAAACGCTATGCAGAGCTTGCCAGCAAAGCCGCTCCAGCAGTTCCAAATCCTCTTGGAGGTGCATGGATGACAGTTGGATCCAACGGAAAGAGCAAAGCCCCTCCTCCTGTTGTCGCTTCTCCACAACCAGCCACCCGTACTGTAAGCAGCACAGTTGTGAGTGCTGCAAAACCCCGACCCCCACTGTCAACCTCTCGAAGCTCAAACTTGCCCAATCAAAGCAAGGCGAATGAAGAGTTCTCGAAATGGATCAAAGGATCACTCGGGAAGGGGCTCAACAGCAACATCAATCGTAAGTGATATTTCTTTTGAGCATATGTTGATGGAAACTAACGAGAATTACTACAGTCGATAGCTTTGTGCAAGATTTGCTGATGCTCCCACCCGATGTGGAGATCATTTCGGACTCGATCTACGCCAGCTCCCAAACACTGGACGGTCGTCGCTTCGCAGAAGAATTTGTGCGACGTCGTAAATTGGCGGACAAGGGTATCGTTGAACCAGCGGCGAGCGGACCAGCAGGTCTTGGTGCAGACAACAAGAGTGGTGCAGGTGGCTGGAGTGAGGTCGCGAAGAAAGGACCAGCGCCCAAGGAGGAGAGCACCTCCGCTTTCAAAGTGGTTGCCACCAAGAAGAAGGGAAAGCGCTGAATTCTTGACACAGGAACTTTCCACTTTCTCCCTGCGTGCGTGTGTGCGTGCATGTTTGCGACGATTGCTGTTATTATTGACTGATGGTGCTTGATGCATACTGACGAGTTCAAGAATCCCATTTGCATTGGAGGGGTTTGATGAGATGATTGGTGCTCATGACCAAGATGGCCTGTATGCTTCTACGATTACTTGTCAAAGTCTAGGCTACGAATCAATTTCTCGAGTTCATAAATGCTTCTTGAAGAATGACAATGACATTTCACTTCACTCTTTCAATCGTCGCCCGTCCGTAATGCCAGTTAATACTCGAAGCATTCCGTAGACGACGAACTGGATGCACACACGACCAAAAAGATGATCATATCACGTGATTCGCGGCGGAGTTCACTCAGGGCTCTTCCTACAGGAGCAAAACTGATTGGCGTAAATTTTCCCATAGTCAAAAAATCGCTTCTCCGCACCGCTGCCCTCCACTTCTATAGTTAGTCGTACGGCAGCCAAAACTTTTTTTTCCCACTGGAAGCAAGCCAAAGTCGCAGGTTGCACGAACAAATTACCATTACATCTTAAAACCCTCCAAGTCCCTTACCCATGTAAACCACTCAAGCCGAACGAAACCCCAACAGAAAGGAGGAGAGGAGAGACAAGAAAAGAGAAGGCGTGCTGGCGTTCCTCGAACACACAGACAGACAACCAGAGACAACATGGAGACGCAGAGTAATCGGCCGCATCGGGCGAAGAAAGAAAAGAAGAAGCCACAGCGCGGCGAGAAGAATGTGAAGGCGTTTGCGGTCGCGAATCCGGGGCGGTTGGCGAAGCAGGCTGTACGGTCGAGCGATATCAAAGAGAAACGCCTGCATGTACCGCAGGTCGACCGCCTGCCGGAGGAAGCGCCGCCCATCGTCGTTGCGGTCGTGGGACCCCCGGGCGTCGGGAAAACGACGCTCATCAAGAGTCTGATCAAGCGGTACTCGAAGCAGACGCTGTCGCACCCGACGGGCCCTCTAACGGTCGTGACGTCGAAGCGCAGGCGGCTTACCTTCTTCGAATGTCCGTCTGACTCGCTGGCTGCCATGATCGATGTGGCCAAGATTGCGGACATTGTGCTGCTGATGATCGATGGCAATTTCGGGTTTGAGATGGAGACGATGGAGTTTCTCAATGCGCTGAGCACGTCGGGCATGCCGGGCAACGTGTTTGGGATCCTGACACATTTGGATCTCTTCAAGAAACAGAGTACTCTGCGCATGGCGAAGAAGAGGCTGAAACATCGTTTTTGGAGTGAGTTGTATCAGGGTGCGAAGCTTTTCTATCTTTCCGGCGTTATAAATGGGCGATATCCGGATCGAGAGGTGCACAACTTGTCGAGGTTTCTTTCCGTCATGAAGAATCCCCGTCCGCTGGTGTGGAGGAACAGCCATCCTTATTGTCTTGCGGATCGGTTTCTGGACGTCACGCCCCCAACACAGATCGAGGAGAACGAGAAGTGCGATCGACAGGTCGCGCTGTATGGATACCTGCGAGGGACGAATTTCCCGGCTGAGGGTGCCAGAGTGCATGTCCCTGGTGTGGGGGATCTGACGGTCAGAGAGATTGAGGCATTACCAGATCCGTGCCCGACGCCGTTTCTAGACCAAGCTATTGCCAAAGCAACGGGGAAGTCTCGTCGGCGGAAATTGGGTGAGAAGCAGAAGGTGTTGTTCGCGCCTATGTCTGATGTCGGTGGTGTGCTGGTCGATAAGGATGCCGTTTACATTGATGTCAAGACGAATACGTTTGATAGAGAGGCGGATGATGTTGAGGATCGCGGGCTGGGTGAACAGTTGATGATGAATCTACAAGGGGAAAGGCGATTATTGGGAGAGTCGGAAGGTGGTGTAAGGCTCTTCCAAGGTGGGAAGCAGCTCACGGGTGAAGGTGACATGGGTCGGACCACAAAAAGGGGTGCGAGGATTGTGCAACAGAAAGGAGACACAACTCATGAAATTGAGGACCAAGAGGATGATGAAGATGATGAAGGCTTCGTCAGTGGTGAGAGCGAAGAAGACGAGGAGGTTGAAGACGATGCCCTGAGCGGCTTCTCCGGATACAAGGGACGACCTGGATTCGCCGCAAAAGACGATCTAGCGAACGGAGACCCAGACGACCTTGAGTTTGCAGAAAGCGATTCTGACATGGGTTCAGTTTCCGGAGAGGAGGACCTAGGTTCTGATCTGTCTGAAGATGATCTTGATAAGGTCGATGAAGACGACGACGACGACGACGATGGAGCTCTACGGTGGAAGGAAAACCTAGCAGAAAATGCACGAAGAACGCATGCATCAAAAGTCGCTTTTAGGGCTGCCGACCTATCCAGGCTTATGTACGATTTGACTCTATCACCCTCGCAGGTCATGGCCAAGTGGAGGGGCGATACTATCAAATCAGACGATGACGATCAAGTTGACCCGGAAGATGACTTCTTCAAGAGGGCAAAGAACGATCATGATGCTGATAACGAGGACCGATTGACACCCAGATATGACCTGGAAGCATTATCGGCCAAGTGGGAAGATGAAGACAACATTCAAGCGCTGATGTCTCGCTTCACCCGAGGGTCTTTGGCTACCGGTGCTAACGCCGACGGTTCTGATGACGAAGATGGAGAGGACGGCGAGGATGGCTTTGGCGACGAATCTGATGAAGGTGATGGCGAATTCGAAGATCTGGAAGCGACTACAAATGAAGGACCAGCTGCAGAAGAAGCACCCACGCTGGAAGAAGAAAGAACAAAGAATGCAAAACGGAAAGAGGAATTGAAACTTCGATTTGAAGAAGAAGACAGAGAAGGATTCGCCAACACCAAGAACGAAGTCAAGGCAGCCGAGGAAGAATTTGGTGAGGACGACTGGTACGATGCACAGAAGGCAATGCTCCAGAAGCAGTTGGATATCAATCGTGCAGAGTTTGATAGTCTCGATCCAGCCTCTCGAGCACGCGCCGAGGGGTTCAAAGCTGGTACGTACGCCAGAATTGTCCTCGACCAGGTGCCGTATGAGTTTGTCCGGTCGTTCAACACTCGGATGCCGGTCATCGTGGGCGGTTTGGCACCAACCGAAGATCGATTTGGTTATGTTCATATTCGAATCAAGCGACATCGATGGCACAAGAAAATCCTCAAGACAAATGACCCGTTGATCTTTTCCTTGGGCTGGCGGCGGTTCCAGACGGTACCACTCTATTCGATATCTGATTCTCGGACACGAAATCGGATGCTCAAGTATACACCTGAGCATATGCACTGCTTTGGAACATTCTATGGTCCTCTGGTTGCACCAAATACTGGATTCTGTTGTGTACAATCATTTTCGAATGTCAATCCAGGATTTCGGATAGCAGCCACTGGAGTGGTCTTGAACGTGGATGAGACCACGGAAATTGTCAAGAAACTCAAGCTTACAGGGCATCCATATAAGATCTTCCGCAACACGGCTTTCATCCGAGACATGTTCAACTCTTCAATAGAGATCGCCAAGTTTGAAGGAGCCAGTATCAAGACGGTGTCGGGGATTCGAGGACAGATCAAGCGAGCACTCAGCAAACCCGAAGGACATTTCCGAGCAACTTTTGAAGACAAGATTCTCATGTCTGACATTGTTTTCCTACGGGCTTGGTTCCCAGTCAAGCCTCACCGATTTTACAACCCAGTCACGAACCTGTTAGATGCGCCTCCCAGTGGAGAAACCTCTGGAGAAGGCGAACGCATCAATGATGGTTCAGAGGGATGGCAAGCCATGCGGCTGACAGGAGCAGTCCGTGCGGCGATGGGAATCCCAACACCCCTATTGAAAGATTCAGCATACACCAAGATCGAACGCCCTACTCGTCATTTCAACCCTTTGCGAGTACCTCGTGCGCTCGCCGCAGACCTCCCATTCAAGTCTCAGATCGTTCGACAGAAAGCACGCAAAGCACCGACATATCTCCAGAAGCGAGCAGTCGTGCTGGGCGGAGAGGAAAAGAAGGCGCGAGATCTCATGCAAAAACTACAGACTTTACGAAATGAAAAAGTGGAAAAGCGAGCCAAGAAGCAGGAGGAGCGCCGGGCGGTGTACCGCAAGAAGGTCGCTGAGAATCTGGAGAAGAAGTCAGAACGCGAGAAGAGAGAGCGTGATGATTATTGGAGGAGGGAAGGGAGAAAACGGAAGCCGACTGCTGATGGCGGCAGCGGCGGTGGAAAAGGAAAAAGACAGAAGAGGTCTTCTTGAGCATCGTCTCAATATCCAGGGCTCATGGGTACTCCAAGCCAGATCCAACAAGCAATAGATATGAAATAATAATGTGATGAATTGACATGCTGGCACTGAACTGGTTTCAAAGTGGAGCAGTGTCCCATGTTCTCAATGATAGCCCAGGTTCGGAACAACTCAATCGCCTAAACTCGGGTATGGTCTGTGATTTGTTCGATATTGAGTGAAAATTTGGATGGCGGGAAAAGCACGCGCATCACGCGCATCCCACTCTTCTCCATGGCAAGCGCAACCACTGCCACCCACACCCAAGATCACTTCCTCTCGAAAATCATATTACGCGTTCCGACTCCAATATATTGATATACATATCAGACTGACATGAAAATTGACAAGTTTGAGCTTTTCACATCGCGTTGATTGTTGGTCAGTACGCGTCTGCCTAGGTGATTTAGATGCGGGTAAAAGAGAGGCTTTTACGCGTCGTGCCGGGCTGATCACCTCTGAACCCCACCACGTCTCGAGCAAACCCTCACGCTCCAAGCCCACCCTCGCCGGGGCCTGCAACTCCCAAGGGCCAAGGCGGCCTTTCTTCCCTTAAAGACCACGCGACTTCCCGGGAGGCGCCACGCCCAAAACCACTGCAAGTCCACGCCCACGCTGGACGCCGCCCAAAGGCCTGCCCATTACCCATTACCCGCTACCCACTACCCACTTTACAAACCTGGGAGGACCCTCGTCCGATACAACTCCCACTACTACACGACTTGCACACCAACACAACACGCGTCGTCGTGTCCTCACAAACCACATACTAACCACCTACCTGTTGTTGCTACTTTGTCGCTTGTCTCCTCATCTCTATTCTCCCTCAACAAACCTATCCATCATACCACTCTCCAGAGAAATAGGGCATGACGACTCTGGTTGAAGCTGATACCATTCCGCATTATGCGTCAGTCATGGAGGACAAGGGCCCACCACCACCACTCCCACTCCCACCATCGCCATCCGAACCTCTGACATCTGCCCCTGCGCCCTTGCTTCACAATTCGGCTGCACATTTCCCCTCGAGTTCGCAGCAACCCGCTCTATTTCAGTCCGAGTCTAGTACCGAGACTGCCGCTCAACCCAAATCTCTGGCTATCACAACTTCCGATGTATCCTCGTCCAACAACAATACCTTTCCACCGCCGTTCAATCATGATGACTCGACAACCTCACCCTCCTCTGCCATATCAAGTCAAGCCGAGTCACAGGCCACTGGCTCTACAGATTTGTTAGACAGAAAACCGCTTCAAATCGTGGAGAATCTCAAAACCGAAGCTACCCATGACCAACGCTCACTATCAACCTCTCAAAGCCCTGAGCCTACATCCTTATCGGGGACCAAGAGAACTGCAACCGGGGAATTAAAGAGATCAAGTGTCAACGGCTTAGGAGATGTTCTCGCAAATTCAAAGTTCACTGGCCATGCTCGTAGTGCGAGTACCTTCTCCAATGGGAGCTACAGCAATGGGAATGTTCTCGAGGTATGTCATTAGCCCGCTTTGAAGCTACTCTTGTTCCCAATTTAATCAATTCATAGGTCTCACAACAACTACGTACCAAACTTAAATATGCCATGATCAAGGTTCAGAATGGTTGGCAATCCAGAACTTTTGACGAGGTTGAGTCTCTAGCATCACAATCGCCCCGATCGACCGTTTCTGGGTTTCAATCCTTCAACGATTCCAAGTCGTTACTCTCCCCTCGGACCGTCATGACCAGGAAGTACCAACGTGAGTCGAGTGACAGCGATTCCTCCGACAGCACTATCGCTCTGGAGAATCGCGGTTTGGTCAATATGATGGCAAGCCCTCAGCCTCCCTCTCGTCGAGCTTTAGCTCCCCCACTAGATATCATGCCTGGCTCACGACGTCGACCAACCCCCAATGCACCCTTTCACGGCACCCATGGCCCTCAGATCCAAACCAGGCATCTACATTCATCACGTCCGAACAACAGTCAACGAACTCCAAGTCAGAATGCCGCTATGGAGGCGGATGCAGTTGAGACACTTTTGTTCATGGCCAGCCCCAACAATTCAGGCTACAACCCTTCGAACCGTGGATCTCAGGAGTCATCCTCAAATCGTGCAAACCAAATTTTCGCTTCACAGACATCTCCTCTTCGTACTCAATTCAGTCAAACCTCAATGACGTCGCCGAAGAAGGTTGCATTTTCCGAGCGAGATCTTTCTACTGCTGCCGCCGATAAAGCCGCCCTGATTGACCGCATGTTGGATGACTTATCCGATGATAGCGATGGGAGTCTCGAACGAGCTTTCAGACTCGCCGATAAGAGCAAAGCAGCGGCAGCAGCTCATCCAGTCTCAATTTGATAACATACATTTCCGTCCGATGTATCCATGTTATTTGGCATGTTGTGCATTCATTCGCTATTTTGGCCTGGCCTACCTACATCATACCCCCAGTGGAATATTTGTTTAGCATTTTTTGGGAAGATAGCCTCCTCCAGTTGAGTGAGATGGCCATGAAGAGACGACCTGATCAAGTTTGTACAGTTGGGATTTTTGATTTGGATTTTCAATCGACTTTTTGTTGCATCTGGGAGACACGATAGTGTCATTCGTACCCTACGGTTTGGAAGACCTTGGAGAGGACCTAGGATGGGTATTTTGCGACACCTTGACCGAGAGTTGGTTCAAGGTTTATTGGACATAAGTCGATATTGACTGACTCAGGCGTTTAGCTTTGTTCCCGGGAGTGGAACCAATTGATCTTTAAACGTTACTTTCACGCTTTCACAGTTCTCCAACAGCCTCGGTCGAGTCGTTCTTTTCCATTTCCTGACTCTGCACAAACATACCCTGTTTCCCCGCATTTTGAGGCAGCCCTTTTCATACTCCATAACATCCTCCCAGACTCGATTCAGGGTCATTTCGACCCAACAACGTGCCTTACTCTGTTGTTATTTTCACTTGTTATCCCCAGCCGCCTTACCATTCCCCTCGGTCCCTGGACAGGTTTCCGAAATAGTGAGCCAGATCCAGGTCGTCCGAAATTGGATCCTCGCATTGGAATATCAGTCCCTATACCGAGGTAGGGATTTTCTCTCGACCATAATATCCTCTCAAGCGACAGAGTGTAGGATATAGGAGCTTCACCACCCTAACCATTCATCCAAACCAATCGCCACCACACAATAAACTCCGTTTCAATCCACAAACATGGCTGAATCTGGCACCAACGGCATCAACGGCACCAACGGCCACGCCACCCCATCTCCAGCAGCAGCAGCATACCCAGCAACCGACTCCCCAATCGGCAACATCGCCTCCCTGCACAACAAAGTCGCCTTAATAACCGGCGGGAGCAGCGGCCTCGGACGCGCAATCGCACAAGCCTACGCGGCAGCAGGCGCATACATCGTCAGCGCCGACCTACAGGAGCAGCCACCACGAGCGCCCGTCGTCGAGGCCGCTCTGAACAGCGACGTGAAATCCGGCGCCAGTGTGCCTGCCACGGACCTTGATTTCAGCACCCCGACCGTCGAGCTGGTGAATCGGCGGTGGCCGGCCAGGGCGGAGGATGCCAGTGCCAATGCCAGTGGTGGCGTGAAGGGCGAGAGGGAGAAGCGTGCCGTCTTCGTCAAGGCCGATGTTACGAATGAGGACAGTGTCGAGAATATGGTCAAGACTGCCGTCGAGACTTACGGCCGCTTGGATATTATGGTGAATTGTGCTGGTATGTTTTTTCTCACTCGTCCTTTCCCTTGTTGCTTCTTGCTTCGTTTGCTCGCACCCTGTATCTCTGGAACGGAAATTCCTGCCCGAGGCTAGGTTTGGGACCGGCATCTCGACCATGTCAAACACTGAGCGCCAACTATCTGCCCGAATGAATGGTGGCGAGCCATCTCGACTTCCCAGGAGCAACCGTGTCCCACTCTCTCATAAGCGTCTTTTCTCACGGAGAAAGCTCTCCTCCTCCTTCCACCATGCTGACCCAAACTCCTCCACCTCCCCTACAAAACCCACAACTGACCAAATCTTTCTTTCAACCCCAACAGGCATATCCGCCGAATCACAACACCGCAGCAGCACCGGCTCCTTAGCCCGAATCCACGAAACACCCGTCTCGATCCTCGACGCCTCTCTGGCCGTGAACGTGCGAGGCGTGTGGCTGGGGACGAAACACGCGGTCCGACAATTCCTTGCACAGGACCCAAGTCCCACGTCGACATCGCGCGGCTGGATCATCAACCTCGCATCTATCCTGGCGTCGACCGGCCTGACGGGCGCATCGAGCTACTGCGCGTCCAAGGGCGCGGTGCTGAACCTGACGCGCGCGACGGCCCTCGAGTACGCCGCCGACAAGATCCACATCAACGCCATCCAGCCGGGCTTCACCGACACGCATTTCCTCGAGACCCTGTATGCGACGGCGCCGGGCGGACGCGAGGGCGCCGGGAAGCACCTGAATGTTCTGCATCCGTGGGGCCGCACCGGGCGCGCAGAGGATATTGCCCGTGTCGCCGTCTTCTTGGCCGGTGAGGGCGTCAGTTGGGTTACCGGTAGTAGTATCGTTGTCGATGGTGGCTATCTGGCGCAGTGAGTGAGTGAGCTGTGGATTGATGGGTAGGGTGGGGTGGGAAGTGATTCGAATGAACGCCTGTGTCACGACGTATGCTTTTGACGGGGTGTGTGGTTTGAAGTGACCCGTTGTTAAATAGGGGTTTGAGATGCAAGGGTTGTATCTGCAGGAGATTAGGAACAGGAGCACGTAGTTGGTGGCTTTTTCAGCCACGCTCTCGAGATGGCCTTGAAGGATGCAAGCAATGCATACATACTATGCTTCTAGCTAGAATACCATCTACAGCAGAGCCATCGATGAAATATCATGAGCGCAGGAAGTTGATGTCAGTCGAAATGATACGCACACTCTACGGTACAAGTCGAATAAATTTTACAACAAAAAGCATCATCATTAGAAACTGCAGGCATTAAAACGATGGTTTTGGATAAACGCTCAATCACGCCTCAAGATGCCTGCCAGCGATAAATTTCGCTCCCAATTTCTTCATCCTTGATCGAATACACGGACAACTCCAACCATCCGGTGCTGGAGACACATACGCCTTTTGTTCCCATAACCAAAACATCCAATGCTCAAGCATGCATTGTTGATAATGGTGACCAACTCAGCCAGTCAATCGAGGTTTGTTTCCCAGCTATCGGTCATCCATAACTGGCAACCTAAGATCTATCATGCTTCGAACTCTTTCTAATGGTGCAAAGAGAGTAATCACGCAGTGCTCTGACGAATCATCAATTGTAACCTGTGATTTTGTTAGCGTCATGGCTATATCAAAATATGATTTACGGGAGCACTTACTTCTCATAGCATCGGTAAAGCCTGTACCACCTTTGAGATCGTTTTCGAAGCTTTCAGCAACATCAATGACACGACGAATGTGAACCATACTCAACGGTTTCTCTTCATGGATAGCCAATGCCTGTGCTGCACGGACCAGATTTTTGATTTGTCGACCATTCACATCTCGTCGAGCCAAATCAGATAGATCGCTATCATTGATATTTTGGACTTCCATACCCTCCTGTTGCCTAACTCGATCAATGAACAATTTCCAGACAGTGCGTTTGGCTTTGACTGTCAGATCTTGGAATCGGAGAGACAAATGAATTCTGGACACAAAGGCAGAATCAAAAGTCTCCACCCGATTGGTTGTCAAGAACAAGATTCCTTGGAAGTATTCGAGCAAGCGCAAAAAGATACTGACCAGGGCATTGCGATGAATATCGTGAATGGAACGTTGCTCGAGAAAAACATCAGCTTCATCGAGTAACAAAATAGCACCCCAACTGTGCGCAATATCAAGAATATTTTGCAATTCCTTTTCCAATCGCGTAGGATCTGTCCCAAGATCACCAGCTGATACCATGTAGAGTGGGCATTTCAGGAGATCAGCAATCCCTTCGGCCGTAAGTGTCTTACCAGTACCAGGTCTCCCATGAAGTACGGCAACCAGACCACGACCTTTACCAGAGATGATATCATCAATACTCTTGTGGGCGTGGAAGGCATGGCTTGACACCAAGGCTTTGATGATATCCTTTTGATTCTCAGGAAGGACTAGGGTATCGAAAGCATCTTCATTGTAGACGATGTCGGAGATGCCTGATACAGTGAATTCGAGCCATAATTTCTCTCCGAAAGCAAAGCCAAGGACAATAGGGCTTGCAATCAAGAGTTCTTCCTCGGAGAATTCATGACTGTCTTGTTTCTGAATGGCGCGAGATGAGTCTGCATCAGCATCAGGGTCATTCTTCGAGTTGACCACAACAATGACTGTTTGACCATTGGGCATTTTGACTGCTTTGAAACGTTTCCTCTCTTGGATTGTATCCTCGGATGGTGTGTTCTGATTGTTGGCTCCTTCGTCCGAGCTACTTGCCTCACCACACCCACAATCGCCATCTGAATCATCCCCGTTGTTTCCCTCAAGAGAATCTTTCTTGACGGTACTGACCGGATAATTAGGATTGATGCGACGATGAATTGCGGGGTCGACCATGATTCTGCCGTCGATATGAATCTTCAGGATCTGCTTCTTGCGCTTGGCATATGCCATGCCTTTGTGATAGCGATAATTCATGCCTTGAAGTTGAACGAACTTCTTGCCACGTTCAATGAGGTGTTCACGAACCTCCTCGGCATCTTTGTGATACTGAAGTGGAAAGCATTCCAAGGACGAGATCTTGCGGACGCCTTGAAAGGATTGAACTTCGGTATGTAGTGTTCCCATACCAAATGATTTGCCGTCATACTCAAGATATCTTCCCTCGACATTGTACCATGAACCCTTCATGAAGTTTGATTCTTTGGTTGCAAAGTCAATTTTGAAGGCACGACCTTCTTCACTATCACCATAGGTTGAGCAATATGCAATTGCATTGGGTTTGAATAAAGCCCATAGAAGATCAAATGTGATCTGGTTGTTCTCCAGCATGGGATAGAGAGTCTTCTTGGTTTCCGCAAAGTCCTTGTCAAGGTACCTAACCATGACCCGTAAATGCTGTGCCTGAGTTGTGAGATCTTTCTTTTCTTTGCGCTTTCGAGTGGTTGCTGATTGATCCAGGGTATCGGCGTATTCTCTCATCTCTTCCAAATGAAGGAACAGCATATTTGGGTCCATGTGAAGAGTCTCCCCCACCAGACTGACACCTTTCACATGTGCCATGATGTGTTGGAGAGAGTCTTTCAGGGGTTTTGATTTGATATCAACAATGGTACCCTGGTATTTTTGCTCCCAATCGAATTTGCGACGAACAGTGAAGATGTACTGATCCCAAACGGCTTCTCCTGTGTTCTTTGCAGTTTCAGTTAGCTTGAAGTTATGAATGCCCTGGTCCCAGAGCTGATCCACACGTTTGTATGCAACCTTGGAGGCACGTTTGGCGATTTTCTGCTTGTGTTTTGGTGGCTTGATTTCCTTGACCAGAGCACGCTCTTCGATACCACTTCTGTGCTTAAGAGGAACAGGCATTCTGTTGACAACTGGGTTGATCTGACCTCGACCTCGACCTAAACCCAAGGCTGGAGGGTGTGCATTTGCAAACCGGAGATCTTCCAATTGAGCCTTCATGGTTCTCAATCGGGCCGAGTTGGGGTCCTCCTCATATTCGATATGATCTGAGTCGTCATCGTCTCTAGCCTTCTTTCCAGCTTTCCTTGCAGATTTGAGCTTGGAGACTTTAGCTTTTGGCGGGGGCTCTTCAACAAAATCACTGTCTGAGATATCACTTTTTTCCTCTTCTGCCGCGGCGGCCTTGGCTGCGGCTCTCTTTCTCGCTTTCTTCTGCTTCTTCAGAAGCTTAGACTGCGCCTTGAGTTTCGCTTTCAACTTCTTGACTTTCAGCTTCTTCTCAGCTGGAGAGTCGCTTGAGGAGTCACTATCCGACTCGGTGGAGGAGTCGTCACTGGCGGAGGATAGGTCAGATGATTCGGAGGAAGAACTTGAGCTGCTTTCACTTGATTCTGATTGCTTCGCTTTTAAGGTGTGTTTCACTTTTCGTTTGGAGGTTGCTGCATGTTTCTTACAGGACTTCTTTTGATCTTTGGGGGTATCGATGGTGTTGATCTTGGTGATTGCTGATCGATCAGTGGCAGGCTCAGACTTTTTGTTCTCGGTAAGAACCGAAGTGGTCTGATCCATCGTGAGGGAAAGATGGCTAGTACACAGCGAGAGACGGTGTTGAAAAGACAAGAAAGATGATAGCACAAGCAGGGAGAGCTAATGATGACAAGAGCTGAAGGATGTTGATGAGGAGTGTTTGATCAGAGGTTCAAGTTTCAGTGTGGTTGGAAGACAAAACAGGTAGGCATCAACTTTCAAGTGCGAGAAGTGAATGTATTATTAAGTGAAGACCAGTCAATTCTGGTCCCTGGTATTGTCTAGTCAGGCAGAAGTCGAGACAGATATGAAAATAATATTGCAAGCGACTTTCAAGTGGAGGCCAAGGATGGATATTTGACAAGGCGAACAATAGGCAGACAAGTGAATGGCTGTGTAAAGGACGATGAGAAGTACGGGATTTGGATTGGACAAGATGGAGAAAGATGGATAAAGATGGAGGATTCAATTAGCAAGTGTCGTCTGCTGCCTGGGGTTGCTTGTTTGATGATGCCAATGAATGGTGTTGATGGCGGTTGCCTCATTCTCAATGAGCCAACGATTGCGGACATGGTACGTGTCGATAGACCAGGGTTGGATTTTGGCCTGGAGACTCAGGCATCTTCAGACTTCAGACATCTGACCCCAAAACCCGTTGACAGTCATGACAAGCCTCTCCCCCGCAGAAATGGTAAGAAGGACGGTTCTGGTTGCGGCAACTTGCAGATGATCCACCGCTCGAGCTCAATTACCAGGGGGCAGCCACCTAGAAAACTGGTGGGCACCGACCTGCGGATGCGCCTAACCGTGGAATCTGAGCTTTCTGAAAGCCTAAACCGCCTGTGTGGAACCTGCTAGTGTTTAACTAACTCCGGGTCGCACGGTCAATGCTGCAGATTTGTTTGGCTGATCGACACACAAATTCCGCCTCTCTGGGTGCGAGTTGCAAGGGCTTTTTAACTGAACAGCGCCAATAACACATGGTTGACAAGGGTTGTTTAGCTAAACCGGACAATCCTTCCTCCCATCAGAATTGGAGAATTGGTTAAAAATTACACGACTTGAGTTTGGCCACTTCATTTTCTCGCGGCTAGCCACTGCATCAGCTAATCGATATGCCAAAAGCAAGATATACTCGTACCGAAACGTCCAGCAAACTCAGACAACCAGGACCTTCCTAGTTCGACCCTTCCAACAATCTGAGTCTTGTATCTGGGATATGAGTAGTGGTACTCTCGAAGAGGATGTCACATCGTCTGCACCACTGAACCACTGAACCAGGCCCAGTCAACCTTCGTTCAGAGGTTTATTCCATCAAGGTTGCACGTTATCCCCCGTCCCCTCAATTCATTTGGCTTTCTCAAACCCGTACGAGATACAGAGTAAACCCGTTTCTCGGGACGTGCCGATCAGTATGCCGCTGGTGGTGCAGCTGGAACAAATCTGTCCACCTGGAGATCTCTGATATCATGCAGTTTCTTTGCCTCAAACGCGCATTTGGGATTACCACATTCATTACCCTCTCTTATCCACGGACAGACATGACCAAAGAAACAGTCTCGAACTCGACACTTTTGTCCATTGCCGCAAGGAATGGTTCGGGCCTTGTGCCTAAGTGTGTTCTTCATGATATTATCGATCCTCGAGTGGTCAAATCTACAATTGTATGCTTCACAATTGTCACGGAGATGATGTTCATTGCAAAGCTTTTGTATCTTGATGCGTTTCTCAAATTGTGCCATCTCACTTGCTGAAGGGGGCCGGATCTTCAGATCAATTCTCTGTCCAATTCGATTGATTGGGATCCCTGTCTTGACGTCAAGTGCCACGGTCAGTTTCTCGGCTGGTGGAGTTGGGGATTTGATAGCTGTTGGGATTCCAATTGATGCTGAGACAGGCGTAAGTTTAGGTGGGACAGAGATTGATGAACTTGTTCGACTTGCAGGAGGTGTGAGTTCGGTTTCCTCATAGTGTGCAACCTCGTATTCTGAACTCGGTCCATCAAACCCAGGAGCATTCGAATAAGCTTGAACCTTGGGTGTGGTGTTTAGTGGGAGTGGTTGAAAGACGGTTTCGAAAGCGGTTGTCTTGAATGGCAAGCTAGCATAGGCTTGGACAGATCTGGCGCTGGAAGATTGGTGAACTAGGACTATTTTGGGTTGTGCTGGAGAATAACGATATTTGTCTAGCTCAGCAATGTATCCATTATCGTGTGTGACAGCTAGGAAGATCTGCTGACACTGAACGTTTTCGGTATAGAATCGGAATGTGTCTAGAAAGTACTTGAGTTGGTGGGTGGTAGACAAATTCGAGCCTGGACTGAAGCTCACCTCTTAATTTTGCATCTGCACGTTCCTTGCCCGGACCACAATCAATGAATTGAAAGAGACGTTGTCCTTGGGAGAAGGAGTAGAAGAACTGGTCTAGTTGAGCAGGATGATCGAGGTAGCCAGCATTGACCAGCGCTCTAGCAAGGCCAACTTTGTTGGCATAGACATTCACGACAACATCGTAGTTTGAAGTGTTGCTGCTTAAAAGTCCTTGTTCTTTGAGATGGTCAACCACTTCGGTGTAGAGATCATTGGCCGCCTTGGAGCCCCCGGAGGTGGCAACAGCTTGATACAAGGCCTTCTGGAAAATATATCCATCGCCGTCGATGAGGACAACAGAATACTTTCGTTCAACAGCGGTGGTGGCCTCTTCGGCTTTTCTCTTCCATTCACGGCGAGTGTGGCGTTCATCGTCAAGATCACTCTGAACCGTTCTCAATTCCTTTTGTGCCTCAAAGAGGGCTTGTGCTAGATGTTGCAATAACTGTTCACGCTGGATATCAGTTGCCCGAAACCCCTGCAACATACTCTCGACGCCCTGGAGATTAGGAAGGCCCGCCATCTTGAAATTTTGGTCTGGGCGACGGGGAAACGCGTCGCAAAATGCAGATTTCACGTAGAATCAAAGGCAAGAACAGAGGCAGGTGAGCAGAGACGACGGAAATAAGATCTGGGTCAAGGTGATGTTCACTGACCCGCGACCAAGTGAATCTCCTTGCGCGCGTGAAGGTGACAAGTCAAACCTGAATGAAGCCTGGAAACGTGAAGTAAGCCTGCTTTAAAACAGCGGTGACCTCCTTCCGACAGCAGCATGGGTAGCTGCCTCAGCCACCATACTGTCCTTCCAGATCAACATCTTAGAATCTCGATACTAAGTATTTTTGTTTCTAGATTGTCTCTCGATGAATACATACCTCAATATGCCATTGTGAATATCAGACACATGTCAGTGTAAACACGGCAGAAGCTATTGGCTGAGAATATGGGAGGGTGGGCGAGCCTACTTAAGCCCCTTGGGTCACGGGTGCTACGCCTACAGAACTGCTCGCGACACCTTAGGTAATCCATTGGTAAGAGCTGTGGGTGTGGATCGGGGCCGATTGCCTGCCCAGCTCCCCTGGATGCTGCCAGTCCATGCCCCTCGGCCCCTCAACTTTAACTGGAGGGGCTCATTCCCGGGCCGACGGGCATCTCTGGTCCACTTCATAGACTTGACTCATGAACTCGGCCTCCACGATCTTACTCACTTGAGTACCTATCATACTGCCTTAATGACTGCAGACATGCCCAGGTCACAATCTTATCAACCCAGATCAAGCCAGAAATGCGGTACGGCCGGACCTTCAGCCAGGACTTTACGAGGATTCGTCCGTGAACATCTGGCATTTAACTTCAACTTCGTCCATGATGCCCCTTTTCTCAGCTGCAAATTCAAGCTGACGTATTCCGATTACTCGATAGCACTACTGACATAACCAAGCGCAATCGTTGCTATTGATGATATTATATAACGATGGACTCCAGTGCGGAATGCTGAGGTCTGCTAAAATACTCGACAAGGCAATCACAACTACCCGTTCGAGTGCGATAGTTACCGATATGGGCGGTAGCGTCGAGCCACTTGCCGAGGTAATCTGCTGAGAATGCAACGGGGGCTTTTTTCTGACAACCATGATTACTCCATAGTCTGATTAATGGCCATCCAATGGTGGACTCAGATGGGCAGGCCAGGACGAGTCCAAGTCAACAGTTCTGCGTGATGTCGCAACTTTGCTTAACAACCATTTCCCTTGGGGTTCATGCATTACGGGCATAGCATAAACATTCTAAAGTAGGTATATATTCGTATATACTGAGATCATACCACGGTTGAAGACAGACTATTGTATCTCAACTCATTGCTCATCCCCATCCCCGTCCCCACTCCCTCTCACACTCCCAATACTAACTTCAGTCCCTACACCAACACCAACCGCCACCATGGTCCAGAACAAAGCTTTCATCTACAAATCCATCCCGGTGGGATGGCCGGTCGCGGGCAAAGACCTAACGATCGAAGATATTGGGTTCGACGACGCCGCCCCACCACCAAAAGGGGGCTTCACAACCAAGAACTTCTACGCAGCATTCGACCCGAGCCAACGAGGACGGATGCGCGACCCCTCGATCAGCTCATACTCAGCGGCGATGCAGACCGGCAAGCCCGTGACCAGCGTGCACATTCTGGGCCGTGTGCTGAAAAGCGACCGGGCAGACGTCAAGGAGGGCGCGCTGGTGCTCGTCTGGAGTTGGGCCACCGAGTCGTTCTCTGCCGTCGGTCCCTCCGCGCAAGTCGAGGTCATCGAGGAGAGGCCCGGCGTGCCCCTAACGGCATATCTCGGTCCGCTCGGCATGACGGGCATGACGGCGTACGGCTCGCTGCATGAGATCGGCGAGCCCAAGAAGGGCGACACCATCCTCATCAGTGCGGCCGCCGGTGCCGTTGGACAGGTCGTGGGCCAGATCGCCGTGCGGGAGGGTCTACATGTAAGTTGTTCGAGACGGACCGAAATCCAGAGATCCAATGAAACTGACCACCCGTCCCATAGGTAATCGGCTCCGTCGGCGACGACGCAAAACTCGACTTCATCACGAAAGACCTCGGCTTCACGTCGGGCTTCAACTACAAAAAGGAAGACCTGAACGCGGCGCTGACACGCCTCGCGCCCAACGGCATCGACATCTTCTACGACAACGTGGGCGGCGACCTGCTGGACGTGGCGATCACGCACATGAACACGTTCGGGCGCATCGTCGCGTGCGGCTCCATCTCGACGTACAACAACAAGTCGACGTCGGACAACTACGGCATCAAGAACTACGGGCAGGTCGTGCGCCGCCGCCTCAAGTGGCAGGGGTTCCTGGTGCTCGACGACAACATCACCAAGTGGCGCAAGGAGCGCGACGAAAACATCAGCAAGTGGATCGCCGACGGCAGCTTCAAGAGCGTCGATCATGTCACGGACGGCATTGACCGTGCCGTCGAGGGGTTTTTGGGCATGTTGAAGGGCGAGAATCTCGGGAAGAGTCTGTTGAAGATTGCGGAGCCTGAGTGAGATGGCATCATGGTGTGGGAAAGGGGATTGGAAGAGAGAAAGCTAGACAGGCGGTAATTTGATACCAGTGCAATGTCGGACGAGACCCTTTGCGCTCGCAAGGAGAAACTCAGCGCTGCTCAAGAGGAGCATTCAATTATGGGGTTTGAAACGTTTGAGAAGCCCCTGGTCGCTGTAAATATTTATTCACTAGTATCTGCCATGTATCTAAATCACACACAACTCTCTGTTTCGGCGTGTGCAGATCCCTAACGCCGCTGTGCCTCAGTAGTGACTCTAGTAGCATCGCCACGATGCACGAGTTCTGCCCTGAAAGCCAATTTCATCGTGACCTGCAAGGTCACCCATCATGATCACATAGTCCTAACTCTGAACCCATGATGAGAACCCGGACTTGACCCAAACTCCTCTGCTCGGTAATTTGATGCAATTTGTAGCACAAAAACATAGGTTCATCTTCTCGCATACCTCTCGACGATTTGGCAATCTTGAGGCGGAGACGAGGCTCTCGATAAGTAGGATGAACCAGGTGGTTCATTTCATTTCGTTTCGCTTTCGTGTTTTACCCCATTCTTGTTCCGCAAGAAAGCAGTCCACGCATTATAGCCTTTGGCCGCAAAATCGGATTCAGAGTTGTTACTTTGTGTCAATGCTCACTGTTCTCGTTGTTCTCGATGTAAAGGAGGAAGCCTTGGAGTGGCAGGGTTCCTAGCGCCAGCCTGGCCGACTTCACTTGAGCTGCCCTGCTCCACCTCTCCATTAATTCGAGCAAGGCCATGAATATTGGACAAGCATAAATCACAAAGCTCCACATGACAATCGCGGCAACTCTTCATTTCATCCGTGAGACGAAGACATCCATGACATGGTCCTTCGCCATCAAGCTCAACAAACTCTGTATCCCAGTGAAGGCATGTAGGTCGACCTAGATTATCGACTGCTGCATGGAAGTCTGGAAAGACATCCTCTTCCTCGGCATCATCGCCATCGTTGTCGCCATGATTTTCGTTTTCACCCCAGGCTCCTTCGCAGTCACATATACCCTCTTCATCATAGAGGTTTCCACAGACGTAGCAGAAATCGACTCCACATACGCACTCCATGTGATTGCAACCCTCTGTTTTTTCCACCATCACGAGACAAGTTGGACATTGCCTCCATCTTTCTTGGGTACCCAAAATCAATAGTGCAGACACATCAGCATCAGGAGCTGGACACATTCGGCGACCAAGTTGCCATTGTCTATGGTCTTGCTTGTCTTTTAAGCACAGCTTGCACGTTAGAGTTTGACATGTGGGGCAACGACCAGCTGCTTCAGCCTCAAGATATTCCTCGGCAGGGATGAACTCAGAGCATGTTTTCTTCGCACAATACAAAGGACGATGAGAGCTGAACTCAGCCTCCACCGCTTTATATCGCTCAAGCACATCGGCATCGAGTGTGTATCCCCACACCGCGAGTCGCAAGGGAGTTCCGCAACAACGAGGTGGGAAGGAAGCCATGTTTGCGCAACCAACTCGAAAGGCACCATTTAGACAGTCGTTGCAATAATGACACTGGCATTCGAGAGTGAGAAGGCTGTCTCTTGGGAACTCCTCCAAACAGACCGAGCAAGGCATTGCCGGCATCAATCGGTGACGACGAAGAAGAAGAGGGTGTGGACGAGGGGTCCCAGGTTGAAGAGCGGCAGTGTCATTGTTGTTGTCGATAGACGAAACGCCATTGCGCCGTCCGAGACGTGTTAATGAATCAGATAGTGAATCATAATGTGAATCATGTTCGGAACCATAGGCCTCGAGGGATTCTTGAAATGAGTCATCGGACTGGTGCTGAACAGCTGATGGATGTGGGGAATCCGAACGCTGTGCGCCAATTGCAGGCAACTCCAACAGACGCCGATTGATGAGCTCTGGAGTGTCTCGATCCCGAACAGCAATAGCAGAATTAGCAGGCAAGAAATTCGCTTGGTTTGCGGGAGGGCTATGATGGGGAAGGAATGTCAGCGCAAGCGAATGGGATGGGGGCGAAGAGGGCGTTCCATCAAAATACGGCGCGCGAGGGAAAGGATTCCCGGCAATGGGATCGAACATGGATCTAAGGGCTGTATCAGACGAGAATGTTGTATTGCTGTGTGGTTGTGATCGAGTATTTGGTGGTGGAAGGTGTCTCATGTCCCCAAAGGTACGCCGTGGCAGAAGGGTTCCATGGTGTTGAAATGCACTGCCAGCTGTTATTGCTCTCGGATCATCTTTAAGATCGGCAGAAGATGCAGGTTGTGGAGATGTAAGTTGTGCTGCCAGTCTTGCATCTCGAAGTGGTTGGAAAATGGGATTTGGAGTCCAATCAGCCAGGGATTCACTAAAGAAGGCTCGAGCTGGTTGGTTATTTTGTGCATGGTTGCGGACTAATGCCGAGATCTCATCGTGATCCTCCATGACTGTATCTCCGTCACAGTCAATCATGGTCGATGGCGTTGTTGAGGCCATTTCTTCATAAGGCTGTAGCGATATCAGGCTGAACGGCTGTTTGGTGGTGAGTTGAGGCTTGGCTCTTTTCCCCAGAGACCGAGGAAGTCACTGAACCGGTGGGGCTCAGCAGAGTGATGTTGTTGTAAGTTGAAATCAGAGCAGAGCTCAGGTAAGGTCGGTCAATTGTAAGCTTGGAGTTGGGTAGCAAAGTCGGGATGGGGATCAACGAAGAAAGTCCGATATCTGGTGATAGGTTAGGCTGGTAGGTAGTTGCCTGTTGAACTGCGGGACATTGGGATGGTTTTGACCACCACGATCTCAGGCAGTGAACCACCACTTGAAACCTCTGGCCCTGACGTTGAGACAATAAACAAAAGTGGTGAACAATCGAAGCAAAGGAGTGGCTTCAATTACAAAACAAAAATCAAATGAAATCTGAAACATGAAAATGATCTTCTTTATCTGTAAGTTGTTGGTGTTAACTAATCACTCAGGACTGCCTGAGGCCACCGGTTTGGGCGAGCAGGTTGAGATTGGGCAGTGCTGGCTGACAGTCCACATGTACGCCCAGGGCCACGCCAGTCACAAACTTGAACCTGAACCTGAACCTGAACCTGGACCCTCACAGCCTTGTGGACATCTGGCAGTCGCACACTACAAGATTAGTTAGGATTCGCGTGTCCCTACTTTATTGACTCAATTTCACCACCACAACGTGAGACAGAATCACCAACGAGCTTGAGAAGTGAAAAGGTAGAGTACAGTGTTTGATTGTGTCTCTGTTTGCTAGGCTCAAAAAGTATCCGGTCCAGAATACTCGTTGATTGCAAATTTTGATTTCCACTTGGTATCAGGAATTACTTTTGTACACAACGACCCTTGTTTAGCCGCAGCCTGTGTCGTCTACCAATTATGGGTTAGCCTTGACAAAGTCCACTCCCTTCTGGATGTTCTTCTTCAAGTCTGTTGCATGGTCAGTACAAACAAGTTGATTCGTGGGTTCAATCACATACCTGCCAATGCGGCTTCAACCAGTTTCTCCTCATGGGTTGTGAGTTTGCCAAGATCATGGATCTTCTCGACACCTTCGGGGCCAAGCTCGACCTTGGATGCGAAGAAGTCGACTCCTTGGTCCTTGTAGAGAGGGCTTTCGACAAAGGTGGGCTCAATGACACCCTTCTCACCTTGAGATGCCTTCAACAGACTCTCAGCAAATCGGGCACCAGCCATAGCCATGGAGAGTGTTGCAGAGCCAGCACCATCCTTGGCCTTGACGACCTCATCACCACCGAATTGGATACGGTTGACAAGAGCATCGAGCTTCTCCCCAGCAATATCGGTATGGCCAGACTGCGAGATCAATGGCACAATTGTAACACCGGAGTGGCCACCAACAACGGTGATGTTCTCATCGGCGGGGTCGGTTCCCTTGATCTCGGAGACGAATCGAGAGGCACGGACAACATCCAGGGTAGTGACACCGAAGAGACGCTTGGGGTTGTAGACACCCTTGGACTTGAAGATTTCGCGAACGATGGGAACGGTGGAGTTGACCTATGTATTTGTCAGAGGGTTGGGCCTCCGAGGATGGCTCTGGAGGGACTAACGGGGTTGGAAATGACCAAGACATTGGCGTTGGGTGCGGCATCAGCCACAGCCTTTGCAAGATCGCGGACGATGCTGGCGTTGGTGTTGAAGAGATCTGAGAGATGTCAGTACTACTATTCTCTTCTCTCCAAAAGACCACTTTGTTTACCATCACGAGTCATGCCGGGCTTTCGGGGAACTCCAGCGGGAATGAGGACGATCTCGGCACCGGACAAAGCCTCCTTGAGACCTGAAGGCGTTGGATCATAACCCTTGACGGTGCTCTTTGTGTTGATGTGACTGATGTCGGCGGCAACACCTGTTCAAGGAACATTTGTGAGTGTGTTATTTCTTTTTTTTTTAAATAGCTGCGGACCAACGGACCTGGACCAAGACGGATATCGTAAAGAGCCAGTTGGGAAACGCGAGGATTCAGTTTCATCAACAGGGACAATGGCTGGCCAATGCCACCAGCGGCACCAAGAACAGTGACTTTTGAGGACTAACAATCAAAGAATGGTGAGCTCGCGACGGTGGAGGAATGGATGCCGGAGTTTATGTTACCTGTCTCGCAGAGGCGGTAAACGCCCTACGTTGGACCTGAGCATAAGCCTGTCGTGCGAAAGACATGTTGTGATGAGGGAGGATACAAGAAGATGATCAAGGTAAAGGAGGACACTGAGCTTCAAGAGTGTGAAATGTGTTGATGATGAGAGTGACTTTTGTTTCACTCTGCCAGATGAACCAAAAGTTGAAGCTCCCAATGCAGTCCCTTGCTCCTCCGTTGTCGCTCCTTCCCTATTCACGTTCGAGTTGAACAAGGTTCTCTTGGCAACCCCGAGCTACCAAGATCGACAGGTTAGCCGAATGTCCATTTGAGTGCCCATTATCACGCCTCCTAGCGGTGGTATCTGCACTCCGCACACCTTCTTGGGGGTGGTGTTCTGACTCAGGGCTGTGTTCAGGTCCCTAACACACCCACCCATGCAGAAGCCCGAGGGGCCCGTTCTGTTCAGGCTTCTTTCCATTAATCCGCGTCGGGGATGAAAGTGCCTACTGCCCCGACATATTCAGCTAACGCATCTCATTTTTCTGTGCTTCCTATTATCCAGCTCAGATATACCTGAGCCTTAGGCACCTGCCTAGGTATGTAGGTGGTCATCTGATGTCTGTGTCCATTGTACCAGACTCTCCGAACAAATTTTGACGCATGTCGATCGAAAGTCTGAAGGATTGTTCCTCGGTGAATATTCCAGTCCTTCAGTATATGTTCTTCACGATTGCGACCCAGGAAGGCAGGTAAATTATGGATACTGTGAGCCTTCAGGAACCGGCCAAAGGTCTACTACCCACAAGGGATATTTTATCCTTACCTCCATGTCATTCCTCGCATTCATCTGAGTGACGGTTCTTTTGCTTCTCTTGGTTGTCACTCTGCCTAATGACGCACGACCCCGGGCTTTGAACTACACCAAAGCCGAAGTTGGTCTCTGGACATTGTTTCTTTCCAATGATTCGCCATTTTCTTGCTGTTGCTACTAACGCCTCTGCACACAAGTCCATGCAAGAGGACTTGTGTGGAGCATTAGCCTTTCCAACTGTCCAACTTTGTACCTCCAACACATTCTTGTCTGAAAACTCCTTGTCTGAGAGCTGTCACAGATTACGCTAGTTCAATTCAAAACTCGAGGCCTCGTCCTGCCGTACAATTCGATTTCTATTGGTCTTGTCTATCGGTAGCTTTGTCTGACGATTGATGGCATGCAGGCTGCTGCAGAAAGTCTGCAAACGTCTTTCACACTTGGGTAGAATCACGGCTGGGCTAAGCCGTTCATATGTTGATCCTTGCTCAAAAGATCGCCCTGCACCACAATGATTTATCCTTCCTTTCCTCTGAAGTCTCATCTTCCATCTAGCTTATTCTACAGAGAAATCGCCTCTTGACTTTGCGGGTATGTCCCTCGCCAACAATGGAGATGAGTCTACCCTCGAAGAGCACCAAGATGTTTCTATCGAAGAAAATCCTGCTGTATGAAGCTGTGGTCCCGTGGGTTCAAAGGCAATAAAACTCTAATGTTAGGTGACCATAGGCTCATTCGGACGACAATGATTCTGCATTCAGCGACGATGCTCAGACAGTCCTGAGCACCAGCCTGAGGTCCTCCATATTCAATCATCGTTACGAAAATGGTCGCACATATCATGCCTTCCGGGATGGACAATATCCAATTCCAAACGACGAGGAGGAGCAAGACCGGCTTGACTTGCTACATCATCTTTTTAAGATGATCCTAGAAGGAGAGCTATACATTGCACCACTACCGGCCCAACCTCAGCGAATTCTTGATGTAGGGACCGGCACTGGAATATGGGCTTGTGAAATCGCAGACAAATTTCCGGAGGCGAGCGTCACAGGCACTGATTTGAGTCCCATTCAGCCTTTGTGGGTACCCCCGAACGTCCAATTTTACATCGACGATGCCGAAAGTGATTGGCTTTTTGGTGATGGTGAGAAGTTCGACTTTATTCATGGCCGGGCACTATGTGGAGGAATTGCAGATTGGCCAAAGTTTTACGCCCAGGCATATAAGAATCTAAAGCCCGGTGCCTGGATGGAGATGCAAGATCACGAATGCTGGATCAATAGCGACGACGGAGGAATGGACTATGCTCCTGGTTGCTCAGAGTGGATACGAGAAGTGGATCGAGCAAGCCTTATGTTTGGTAAACGCCTCAACATCGCTCACCAACATCGTCAGTGGATGATTGACGCTGGTTTTACAAATGTGAATGGGATAATTCGCAAAGTAAGTTGGAGTGACAGGAGTTGAAACCTAGGAGTTATTAATGATTGCCAGATTCCTATCGGTCCCTGGGCCAAGGACAAGAAGCTAAAAGAAATCGGCAGACTATTCAGAGTACAGATGATACAGTCAGTGCCATCTTTTATGCTTGCATACTACACCCGAATCTTAGGGTACAGTATGGAGCGTACTCACGTCACGATGGCCCTGGTAAAGAAGGAATTTTCCGATCGAACTCTACATCTGTACCTCCGATGGCATTTCGTGTATGGACAAAAGCCGGCTTGATTTTGATTGTTGCACGCACATGCACATTCTCAACGGCCCCTCATTAACACTTGCATCTCTAGTTTTAGGGGCCTAAGGCTGAAGTGGTTACAAGGTCTAGACTTGGAAAGGAGTTCCTCTTTGGCGGCGAGGCAGGATGCCAAGAGATTATAATTTCCACTACCATTCAGACCTACCTAAGGGGCCACTGCGGCTGAAAAAATGCCAGTTCTGTCGAGATATCAGCAGCCTTTAATGCACTATCACAATAAAAAAACGTGAATGATTCAAAACCGGTGTGGGAATGTGCGATATGTCCTATTCAAAAGCCTCAATGCAGCCGCCATCGCTACCTTCAGGGTTTCACAATTGGCCAAACTATTCTCTTCAGCCCAATAGCTCTTCATGAGTGCTTTAGCCACCAATTTTATAATACTCCAAAGAGCCTCCTGATCTGAAAGTGTTCGAATCTGGGATGCAAACTTGTCTAGTGTTCTTGTCCGACGAAGTGCATGGCGTCCCGGGACCGCTCAACAATGGCTTTGACCTTTTAAGGCCTTTCGTGAGTAAAGAATATTGCAGGCACTGTTTACCCTCGAGAAGCAAAAGAGCATATAAGTAGGAACAAACTTTTGTAAGTTCGTCGGATTCCCGAGTGTTTTTTCACCGTCTACCGTCCTATCCTCAGTCTTTGAGGTCTTCGTCATTTTGCGCCGTCCCTCGTGCTTCCATACAAATCCAAGGCGTGCTTTACACACCTTATTGCACTGAGCAGCCAATATGAAGCGACCAACAAGCTTTTTGTCACTCGTGGTCGTTCTATGCAGCCTTCAGTCATGTCTCGCGTTCAACCCAAGCTGGTTTACGGTCGGGAGCTTTCCGTATGTAGACAAATATGCTAACCTTCTGATGGACTTGCACTTGAGCGGCGAGTATGGGCGGTTGGGCCGACCACATGAAGCGATGACCGAGAAGGGAGTCAAGAGCATATATGTGCCTTACTTCGGTATGGCGAAAATCACATCATCAATGGATACTGCTCGCCAAGAGATCATAAAGGGGACAATGATTGTCGATCAGGCTGGCGATGCCGAAGCGCTTATGAGTGAAGCGCATTGCGACGACGAACAACTTGAGGCATGCAGCCAGAAACTGATCAAACTTCGCCAGGAGATCCCTAAACTACTGACAAAGGGTCAGGTTGGACTCGCACGTGCGAAGCTCGGCCGGGCATTACATACGCTTCAGGACTAATTCTCTCACTCAAACTGGGTTGAATTGAGGCTCAATCGAATCAACTCAGAGCTCGGGCAATTGTCGATGGTGAAGCCACCAAAAGCCACTCCACTTGCACAAACCTGCCATGATTGCGAGTACACTGGAGGCGATACAATCCGGGACGCATATATTCTTGCGACAGATACCTGCCGGAGAGCCTGGGTAGATAAAGGGGGAAACCCTCCTTTCAATGAGGCATATAACAAACTTCTAATCATGGGCTGCCTCTTCAAGACGGCCGCAAATGTGGTTAACTTTGCACCGTTCACATGTGCCAACAATCTGATGAACCCATTCATCTATCCTTCATCAAGCCTGCTTACCAGTGGTTATTTCGGCTCCGAAGCAGAGTTGCACAGCAACACGAGGACAGTACAAAAATACAATCATGGAGGTCCTTTCGATAGAGGCGCATATGGCCGGGAAGGCATATCCAAATATACAGAATCTTTTTACTTCAGCCCTAAACCTAACATGCCTCGAGATGCGGTAAAATATGCTGAAGAGGCCACAGTTCAATACCTAAATCAAGTGAAGGATGAAATCTGCCAGCAGACACCGAAAGCCAGTGCACCCCTCAGGCTCCTTTACGGGGTTGGTCCCATCTTGTATTTCGGGTATCGTCCTTCCAAATGTTGATGGTGGGTCGGCTGGAAATCTGCCTCCTCAGTGGTGCCAACACAGACCCCTGCTCCTGCAACCAAACGGTGCTAAATGACTTACTGCAGTGGAAGCCGCAGCCCGCGGATGCCGGCCGTCACGCTTGTGGATACTTAACTTCTACTCCGTTTTTCATGCACAGTATTAGTCCGTTCTTCAATTCGCTCGGTGAACTGGACTGCAAGTTCACCACCCTTCCTGGTTACATTGCAAATGAGCGTGATAACACTGGGGGCCCAGCATCAGTGAAGTTAATCGTGAAGCTAACTGCCGCTCCCTGACTCGCGTCACAGGCAGTGATTCCATGGTAGGTGACAATTGGTTCGACTCACCAAAGCAAAAGCAAGTACATGAACTTGAATTGAGCTGTGATCGTCCAGCACTTCCTTTCCTTCAAGGTCTCATTTCAGCTCAAGATGGGGATTGCAACTGTTCTGTCCTACCCTTTCACCACGGTCGCAGTCACGTACCTTGTGTACCTTCTCAGCCTGGTCGTGTACCGCTTGTACTTCCATCCATTAGCCAAGTTTCCCGGCCCCAAATATGCAGCTATCAGTCGATGGCATGAGTTCTACTACGAGGTTGTCAAGAAGGGCCAATTCACCTTCAAGGTTCAGGAGCTACACAAGCAATATGGTCTGTTTATTCAAACCTGCTTGAGCAAGCTCCGAATGGTTTCATGAGTCTCAAAGGTTACTGATTCCACTTACAGGTCCTATCGTCCGAATCGTCCCAGACGAAGTGCACATTCAAGATTCCCAATTCTATGAGACGCTTTACACCAAAGCAGGACGCGTTGACAAGTATGACTGGATGGCCGGCAGGTTTGGCTGCGATACTTCAGTGTTCACTACCGGCTCTGATGAGCTCCATCGCATTCGCCGTGGCGCTTTGAACCCACTATTTTCTCGTGCTCGCATTGTTGATCTTCAGACTATCATTCGTGAAAAGATCGATATCCTAGTCAGCAGGCTTCGCGAATTTCAACAGAATGACCGTGTGCTAGCAATCAACCACGCATTCATGGCCTTAACTGGGGATGTCGTCATGGAATATTGCTTCTCCTTGACTTACGATCATTTGAAGCTCCCAAATTTTGAGAAGACGCTCCACGAACCTTTTATGGCAGCAAGTATCAGTGGCCATCTGTCACTGCAATGTCCGTGGGTTCCAAAAATGCTCTTTGCCCTACCAGAATCCATCTTGGTCAAGATCGAGCCACTTTACGCTTTGGTCTTCAGAATGCAAGCAGTAGGTTGTGGCTTGCTGATAGGCTCCAAACACCCAGAACTCATGCTGACTGACAACAGGACTTCCGCAGCCAGATCAATGCGATGAAGGAAGGGAAGATGGATGACAAACTCGCAAAATCGACTCACCCAACAGTGTTCCAAGAACTCATTTCCGGTCCACTCCCTGCTTCAGAGAAGCAAACACTTCGGCTCCAAGATGAAGCTCAACTTGTCGTGGCCGCTGGTGTCACCACAACTGGATGGGCGTTAAGCACGGCAACCTATTATATCACGACAAATCCAACGGTTCTCAAAGCACTGCGAAATGAGCTCGAAACCGCCATTCCAGATCCCAAAGCACCACTTTCATGGACAGATCTCGAGCGACTCCCATACCTGACAGGCTGTGTGCGAGAAGCAGTGAGAATGTCATACGCTGTCACAACGCGCAATCCTCGATTATTCAACAAGGAACTCGTGTATGACAAATGGGTCATTCCAGCTCGTACTCCGGTCTCCATGACCATCGTGGATGTTAACGATGATGAGGCAATATTTCCCAGTCCCCAGGAATTTAGGCCTGAACGATGGATCAATCCACCCAAGACACCTGATGGAAGTAGTCTCGAGAGATACTTTGTCGGGTTTGGTAAAGGCTCAAGGAGTTGCTTAGGAATCAAGTACGTGACAATGCTGCTCAGTGGGCACATGACCAGTGGCTTTGGAATAACTCAGCTAACTTTAGCATCTCCAGCCTCGCTCATGCCGAACTATACATGACTTTGGCGGCCGTCTTTCGCAACTTCTCCTTCGAGTTGTACGAAACAGACCTATCAGACGTGAAGCTTGCCCATGATTTCTTTCTTCCAAGTCCGAAACTTGATAGCAAAGGCGTCAGGGTCAAGGTATTGGCTAATTGAGTCTGTCATTGGTTTTGAACGACATGTGTTGTATTGGGTTTGCCGGTTTTGGAGGAGAATAATACGTGAGGGATGTGGTCTCGCGTTTTTCTCGAAACGAATGGAGTCGGCAAGTCGATTGCTCATAAAGATGTACAGCTGCATTGTTGCGGAGAGTAGAGGTACAGGTATTGCCAGGTGAATTCGGAGATTGTGATGGGATTGGGGTCACGACTTGCGCATGATTCATATAACGACTGACGAAATGAAAATGCACCGCAGTGCTTACCCAACACAAGTCACTGCCTCGGCAAAAACCCTTCTGGCTCTTCATCGTCCAAAGAAGTCTCAGAGTCCTAGTCGTGGGGGATATCTGCATCCAGTTCTTGATAGCCCTTTCTTACCAATGATATAAATTTCATCTTGAATTGGTAGGGGTGTCTCATAGTGAAATATGACTTAAACCCCTAGGGACCAGCAACAAGGCTCTGCATAGTAGGACAAGCCCAGGACCTCGACCAAATGACCGTGTTGAGAGACTTTCCTGATACGGATCCAGCACCGCCGAATCCAGCCAGACCGACGAGATCGGTGACCCAGCAAAAACACGTTCGAGGTGTTTCTCCAAGACGCGTCGCGTTGCGATTGGTTGCAATCTGGCTACCTCTGCTGTCGCAACCATTGTTGTCTTGGCAGGCAGTCTTCGCCATGACTGAATGATACAACTTGGTCCGCATATATCAGCAAGTGCATCTCGAGTTCTTTCCTCAGGCATATCAGGGTAACCTCTCGAGTCTTTTGAATGTGGGTGGCATCAAGTTCTATCCCTTCTTCCTCTTTGCGTGTTGTGGGTTGTTATCCGGTCAACTTTACCGGCCCCGAGCCCCGAGCACGGCACGATCAAGTAATACAATAATGCACCAGACAAATATAGCAATGCCAACCTAGCTCCTGAGATACAGTGGTATTAATCTTAATTCTCTTCCCTTTTTCAGAGGGCAACACTACCAGATCCGGTGAGCTCAGTCAAACTCGACCACCCAGCGCGGGTGCGTATTTCGTATTCATGGCGAAGTACGACGACTCGGAGCCACAGAGGAAAAAACGTGGTGGGGAACGAATAGGCCTTCTTTCCCTTTTCAGTATATGAAGTGACTTAACCGAGGAAGAACGTTGGATATTCACCAGCCAGCAGGCCCGAGGCCGACCCGGGGACGTGGTCATGTGGATACATTCTGCTCGTGCCAGTGCCTCGTGTGCATTTAGAGGGATCTTGGTGGGGGATAGGAGATCATCTGTGCTGGACCGCTCGGAGAGTGGGAGCGTCTGAATCGAGAACCACAGGTGGGTTTTTCATTGCCCAGCAAAGGGTGTATTCATGTGGATACATCCTGTTTTTCCGTGAGTCACCCATACCCGCCTGGGTGGGGGTTGCAAGTAGTATCCCTCGATCTGAGTAATGGCAGTGGATTTCCATGAGCCAGCAAATGGTGTATTCATGTGGATCGCCGAGTCGTGAACACGGCATTCCGTTGGCTACATCGCAGGCGATATGGGAACTTGTCCAGGTCTCTTGCCAGTATTGCTCAGTCAGGTAAACCGTACAGGTTGAGGAAGGGGACTTGTGTGTCTTCCCCCAAACGATGCCTCGAAGGGCCGGAGATGAACATGTCTGAATGATGGCTTTCCTGTAGCTCAAACCGAGCTGCTAGACCGAGTGATGCTGGTACCTTCTTCGAAGCTTCAGCGATTACACGTACTGTCAGTACCTAGGTGTTCACGCCGAAGCAGGCACCCATGGTATAGACGACAGCGAGTTTTCGCAACACGCGAAACGATTTTCCTTCCCGATTTGATGGGCAGTGTTCCTAAATGAGTAGCCCTAGGGGGCTTTCATCGCACAGCAGAGGTCGTATAAGTGTGGATCTTTTGCCTTGCGAGGAGGTGCCGGCGCTCGAGGTGCCCGCGAGGCATGTGCTCGTGAGAATAATGGCAGCAGACTAGGTTCCCCTTTGTGTAAATGGTGCTGCCAAAAGGGGATTTGCATGAACCAGCAGAGGGTATATAGATGTGGATCCGTCCTTGATGCGAAACTCGACAAGGCAGCATTGTTCCGCGATGACTGGCTGCGCGGCAATACAAGGTTCAACTTTGGTTGCCTGTGGTTGCCTGCTCTCCAGACTGTCCAACCTGGGGAAGAGAACTTCCCTGGAGGAGTTTTCATGAGCCAGCAACTTTGTATTGACATGGATTTGCTGCTTTGCAAAGATCCACGTCGCAAACTTCTTCCGTGCTCACTGGCTGCCAACGCACCCAAGGTTTTCCTTTAACAAAGTCAATATCCAACATTCCCTGATGTGGGAGCAATCTTTCCCTAGATGAGATTTCATGGGCCAGCAAACCAGTTATCATGTGGAATGACATGTGATCGGTTCAGTCTTGTTTGTCCCCTTCGTGACATGTGGGAAGCCACTGAAATACGTTCATCTAAGGCATTTGTTTGTTCCAATTCTGCGCTGGCCGTGACTTGATCCGGTAAACTCTGTCCCTTTTCGTGCACCAGCGACAGGCATTGTGTGCTGCTCACGTAGTGTATAATCTACACCTGCGCCCGCCCGTTAAAGACGTAAAAAAAGCCTTGTATCACCCCCTCAAGCCAGAATCGAACGCACGACTTTCACCCGAACAAAAACAGCAAAAAGTTTGGCAGCGGCGGATTGATCAATCCCCTCTGAAACCCACTGATCCCTCAGAAAGTCCACTTGTTGTTTTGGTTTTGTAACCCAGCTCAAGCTGTTCAAACCGCCCTGATGCCCCCCGATACCTCTTCCTCTAGACAGGCAGTCCCAATCATCTTGTTTGATTAAGGTGCAACCTTCCTGTCCAGTAGAGGGGCCCCGCCGCCAAACCTTCATACAGACACCTAAGTGTAGATGGGACTCTTTATGGTTGCGCTACCCTACCAGGGGTGTCGTATGTTGGAAGAAATTCAGCGACTTTAATATTTCACCTTGTCGTGGGGAGCTAGTGGCTGACGCGGTGGTGAAGTGAATGTCTAGGGAAGGCCATCATTCACTTACTAGAAACTGCGTGGAGGGTTTCCCCGTTGCGTGACCAGCATCGCCAAACTGGGCGGAGCTAGTGGGTTTTCATGATCCAGCAATTCAAAATCCATGTGATCATCGATAACGCGTCTTGGACTGAGATTCACTTCTGGACTTGAGAGTCGACGTGTTGCGGAGTGAAGAAATTTGATATGGCGTGTCTTTCCCGCTCCTTGGCGATCAGCATTCCGGTCCAATAACAGTGGAGACTCTCTCATTGGGTGCTATTTTACACAACGTCTCTCTACGTTGAGGTCGTCTACGTGAAAGTGGGTCAGAAAAGAAAAGCAAGCACAGATATCCGCGCATGAGTTTTGAAATTTAGACAAGTTGAAGGTAATAGACATTAGATATTCTAGGTATCAATTAAATCGTAAGAGAAAAATCCCATCCTTTCCCAACCTTGAAACTCGAAAGAAATTCGTCACGGACATGATTAAATTATAGATAAGGTCATTGGTAGCAACGGCCCTTCTCCAAGTCCCTCGGACTCCTCAACGGGTTTCCATCATCGACAGCAGTCAAGCCGACGCGTCCCACCTCAGCGGCGGTGCCGACATCGCCAATCTTGACCTTGACGTGTTTCATGCGCCTGGACCGGTCGATGCCAGACAGCGTACTGCCACCGTCAGGAAGCTGCAGGTTCGGGTTGTCGCGAGTCAGCGACGACACAAACCCGAAGATGTCGGGTGCGAGCGTCTTCTTGCGCAGCCAGAACGCGAAGATTGCCGCACCGAGGAGGACAGCGTTCGAGATGCAGTCTACCATCAGCCACGGCCAGGAGAGCGTATATTGGGGCTCGAATTTGGCGCCATCCATGGATATATAGGAGAAGTCCGGGTTGTTGTCAAGCTTGAGAGAGCCGTTGATGGCGAGAGCATCTTGGAAGTCGTGCTCATGGAGGAGGACTTGGGAGGCGCTGAAGTAAGTGTTCATGAAGCGTGTGATGGCCATTGACATTGGGAATTGGGCGGCCTTTGCAGCAGCTTCAAGTTTGGCGGGGTCTGACAATCGGTTTGGGACATTGAGATCGTTTCTCAGGTTGACGAGCCCGTTGTCGTTGTCGAAGGTGGAGAAATCGCCGGGTCTCTTTGGCATGCCGCATGCAACCAGCATTGAATCGAAGAATGACTTTGCAAACACATCGTCATCCAGAAGAGTCCGCATCTCCGTTTTCAGTTTTCGCATACGTATTGGTTTGCAGACCGCGGCAGTGCAGTCTGCTTCGATTTCGACTGTTACTCGGCTCAACTCGCATGTGGCTTGCAAACTGGCTGTGTCGTTCACGTAGTGCCAGAAAGTCAACTGCCTCGGAACATTCGCGTCTGGAGATGGGGCGCTCATGTTCATGCCTGTTGACAGTACCGGGAGTAGTCCCACGGGTCTAGTGCCGTTCTTGACTTCGGGGGCAGTGCAATCCGCTTGCCAGTTGGAAGTATTGTAAGTGTATGAACCGATCATCTTTGATGGCCACCATTGATCGCCCGCTGCTTGAGACATATTTCTGCGATAAAGAGATGTACCGATCGAAGAGACTATCGGCTGCGTAGACATCTCCTTGATCTCCAGCCATCCATCTGAATCAAACTTCATATCTGAATCAGTCTTGTCCCGGGGTGGTCCATACCAGGGCGTGAGAGTTGCCCCATAGATATCGGCACCGTTGATGGATTTGGCGTCCTCAGCGTCGTCCTTTTGCGTGCCAGCTGTGAACTGACTGTACATGTGGTATCGCGCCGTCATGTCAGTCATCCTCACTTTCGACATGTTGGCGATAATACCATCTTGAAATGCAGATTTTGCTTGAGGCCCGAGGAAAGACACGTTGACGTGTTGAAGTGGACTCGAGTTTTGATAGCTATACTCTCGCGGCGAAGCTTGAGAACCGGCATAGTACCAGCACCACAGGAAGACAAGCCCAAGACTGGTGAAGGTAAATGCTCGAAGAGACCAGATGGCCTTCAGGGTTGCTGGCAGACTGATGGAGGCATGAAGTTGTTCGAGCTCACCGATCGTTGCTCCTTTCTCTGCCCTCCACAAGGCGAATCTTCTGACAGTCGTTGACACGATAAGAATAAATATGATGGTGAAGATTGTGGTAAGCTGGCCGTTGAATTCAATCAGCCGGGTTGTCAGTTGAGTGGCTCTGTCGATGTATGGGCCTTTATTATCAGCATCAAGCTGCGATGCCAACACACAGAGTCCAGCTTTAACGAGCAAAGCACAAGGTAGGATACATAGAATGACATCGAAGAGGTCGAGGAATCGCTCGACGACAGGCTCATTGGTGATCGGAAGTGGTTCTTGTGGCCATCGTTTCAAGGGTTGTTCTGTCTGCGTTCTTTGAAAGGATTCCGAGCTACTGCTGGGCTGCAATTCTCTCACGCCGACCCTGAAATTCTTCTCTTCCTGTGGTGACACATCAGATAAAGGCACAGCACCCGCTGTTCTAGGTGAGGCACGTTGACTCCAGTGCTGCAATATCGTTGCCAGCGTTGCACCAGACCCTGCGGCTTGGTCCATGGTTGGCGTGCTTAGCGAGCGGTAGCTGGTCGTGCCGTGTGAGTTCAACAAAGAAGATCCAATTCAATTGATCCTACCAAAGGAACGATGTTGGGAGACTTCAAACAACAATAACGTGCCGTCTGGGCCGCCATGTGTATAAAGGGTTTCGGTGTGTCGTTCTCGCCACACTTTTGGCTTCGGCTACTCCGTGGAAAGTATCCATAACTCACCTCGAGTTGTGCGATATTCTTAAGGCCTCGGTGGAATGTGGCTGTGGAAGGCGTTGACTATCGACTGTCGAGAGTCCATCCCCGAGGCTAACAATGGCACAAGGCTGGCTGGACCTCCGTCGGCTCAGCCTGTCAACAATGGGTCCAGACGCCACACGCGTCGTTTTCGTCGCTCGTACGGTGTCGTACTCTACAATTTTAATTTGACTTATGGATGCAGAAGTGTTGACACACTGCCATAATTATGATTTCGACACTGTGAGCAACACCTCGCAGACCCAATGGCACTAATAAGGATTGTATTGTTCCAGGCGGCAATGAGAATGTTCTTCTTTGCAGTCTCGACGCTTCCTTTGACCACAGTCGAAAATTGAGCGCAGGGGCATCTCTTTGGGAAACAACAAGCCATGAGGAGGAAATTAAGAGTCCGGATTCAGCACGCGACCCACGTGGTCACGGCAATAGAGTTTGCGTCGCTTAACTGTCGCCGCACTAAGCCAACTAGCGTTCGGTTAGCAACCACGTCGATGTGTTTGGAAGAATAAATAATCGGAAGAATTCAGCTGGCCCCAGGAAATTGTGACACCAATTTGTAGTATGTACACGTACTTTGCCCCTGTGGATTGCCAATACCTCGGTAGTCAGCAGAATCACCCAAAGAGACGAGCTATCGCGTTGAGGTGAGGAGTCAGCGCCGAATGAGATAATATATATTCTTGTACATGTCTCGGTTGCCCGTCCCCAGCACTGGATACCTAGGGTAACTATGTCAATCAGATGTCTCTCAACGCCAGCAACGCGCAAAGTCCCTGATTTTCCATCATGTGTCAATGCTCCATCAATGAAGCAACTAGAATCTAAGATCCCAGCCAATGACAGGTCCCAGCTTCGGTAGCTCATCCGCAACACTCTGTACATCCTTATCACCTCTTCCGCTCAGACAAATAACCAGAATCTCCTCTTTCTTCATCGTTTTTGCAACCTCCATAGCACCGTAGATCGCGTGACTTGACTCGAGTGCAGGAATAATACCTTCCTTCTCACTCAAGGTACGGAAACCTATCAAAGCCTGGGGATCGGTCGCATTGAGGAAGACAGCACGATCACTATCCTTCCAGTTCGATAATTCTGGTCCGACACCAGGATAATCAAGTCCGGCGGAAATTGAATGGGTGTCACTGATCTGGCCGTGCTCATTCTGAAGGACATATGTCCGCACGCCGTGTAGCACACCAATTGAACCACCTCCAAGGGTAGCTGAATGCTTGTTGGTGTCAACACCTTCTCCGCCAGCTTCTACTCCAATCAATCTCACAGATGGATCAGAACTGAAGGGATAGAACATGCCAACAGCATTGGACCCTCCACCAACGCAAGCAACGACCGCATCTGGTAGTCGGCCGCCAGTAAGCTCTTTCAGCTGCTCCTTCGTTTCCTGTCCGATCACACTCTGGAAAGTACGGACGATCGTGGGAAATGGGTGAGGCCCAATGGCCGAGCCAATAATGTAGTGTGTTGTCTCAAGATCGGTCACCCAAGCTCGTAACGCTTCGTTGACGGCGTCTCGGAGTGTACGAGATCCAGCCTCGACAGCCACAACTTTGGCCCCAAGCAGCTTCATTCGGAAAACATTCAAGGCTTGTCTCCGTACATCTTCGGCACCCATATATACGACACATTGCATACCAAACTTGGCGCAGACTGTCGCGGTAGCTACGCCGTGTTGTCCTGCACCAGTCTCCGCAATGATACGTTTCTTGCCCAAACGTCTTGCGATTAGGATTTGTCCAATTGCGTTGTTGATCTTATGACTTCCAGTGTGGTTCAAATCCTCTCGTTTGAGATATATCTGTGCGCCTCCGGCTGCTTCTGTCAGTCTTTCGGCGAGATGAAGATGTGATGGTCTGCCCATATAGGGATAGTAGGATTTGAATTCTTTCCAAAATTCTGGATCATTTTTGGCTTTCGTGAATCCGTCCTCGAGTTCTGCTAGGCAGTCCATAAGTGACTCAGGCACATATTGTCCACCAAACTGACCAAACTGAGCAGGGATGGCATCGGGGTTGGGAGTGGTGCCGTTGGTGGACGAGTTGAGCGCATCTAACTGGTCAGCTAGACCAGGCTCATTGGGAACATCATCATCTGTGATGACTTGGTCGACTTGGACTGGCTGGCCATCAATTCCATTGATAGTGTGGCTGTTGGGCTCCTTTGCAGCGTTCATGGTCTCAACTATTCCGACTTCACGAGTGACGCCGTTCGTGGTGTTGAACTCTCCAAGTTTCCGTCCCGCAACCTGGGCGCAGTAATCTCTTACAGCGTTTCCCCTTTCGCCTTCTTTGGCGTTGCCGAGCGTGATGACGATTTGACTTCCAATGACTACGCCATCGGCGATCTCTGCCACGCTCAAAAAGTGTTCTCTCGTGCTGACACCGAAACCAATGGCTGCTGGAACTCCACCAGAGTATTGCTTGACTCTCTCGAGCAGCTCGGGAAGTTTTGTATTCAGAGTGCCGGTAGCACCCGTGACACCCATTCTCGAGACCACGTAGATGAAAGAGTCAGCAATTCCGCAGAGAAGTTTCATTCGCTTCTCTGAGGTCGCTGGGGCAATCAAGGGAACGTATGATAGGCCTTGTTTTTTGCAATTGTTTCTGAATCTTACTGCCTCCTCCGGGGGCAAATCGACCATGATAAAACCATTGACACCAGCCTCTCGACAGTCCTTCAGCATTCGGTCCTCACCATAGCGTAGGAGAGGGTTGTAGTAGCCCATAAAGAGTACCGGAATATGCAGTCCTCGCTTTCGAGCATCTCGGACGAACTGGAGGGCGCTGGTGACTGTGACGCCGTTTTGGAGAGCGATGGTGTTGGAGTGTTGAACAGTAGGGCCATCTGCAATGGGGTCGGTGAAGGGAAGGCCAAGCTCAATGATGTCTGCGGTCACGAATTAACTAAAAGATCTCTCGACTGGGAGGTATAGTGAGAGTAATTACCAACACCACCGGCCTGTAAACCCAGCATGATATCAGGAGTTTCCTCAGGCGTAGGATAGCCGGCCGTGAAGTAGCCCACGAGGGCGGCGCGACCGTCTTTCTTCGCCTGAGCGAAAGTAGCTCTAATGTGTTCCGCCATGATGTGATGTTGCAGCTGTGTTAGAATGAATTGAAAGCAGTCGAGCTTAAACGGTGGTCAAGAGGAGGTTATATGTGACCGACCTGACTCATAAATCATTCAGCGTTGACCGTGTCGATTTCAATTCGATGTGCTGGAGAGTCGAGGAAATTTGTGGCTAAATCGATTGTCCCTGCATATTCATCATTATTTTGGACGCAGGTGGTGGGGGGAAATCGTGCAGACGGCGAAAGACCCATTCCGAAACCCCGATGGAAGCTCAATCAGGTCTAGCTCCCTCCCCAATCTCATGGTGTTTAACTGGCAAACGCGGCCCGCGAACTCAGCCTTGCCCTTCCTCTTCCTAGGCTTGAGGCTGAAGAATTCGAAGCCTTGAGCGACGCCCATCAGGCTTATGAGTATCAGGTGTAGGTCTGCATCCTTGCTGCTTACATAATGTTTCGCATCTAAGAATCAAGTTGGATCCTGTGAGGTCTTGCTGAGCGTTCAAGTTCTACATGCCTTTATCCTCATCTCGTAAACATGTTCCTGTGTCGGCTAATGCACTTGATCATATATCAACATCCGCAGATGATCATACGAAGCGCTGCAAGGGTCAAAAGCCATCTCATCTCCGGCTTATCTATGTGAGTCATAAATCTGTAAGATCTGGATGTGGCTCAACGACTTTGAGGGTCATTCTGATGCTGCTCCTTGATATCTTTCATCACCAACGGCGGAAGGACGGGGTCACGTTCAATTATACATCCATAACCTAGAACAGGCGATGCTAGCAGAACAGAAGTGCATTCCAAAGACCTTCCGCTGGGGTTGGTGGCCGAATGGATTTCTTCTCTTGTCGATGCAACAACTCTTGGGCTTCAAGGCATAAGATACTCATATATTCATTGAGACGACGCCTTATTTAAGCCTTTCTTGACCCAAAGCGGTCTCAAGGACTACATTGACCTCTTTGGCTTCTTCATCCAATCATCCATATCTTGCAGAGTCTGGACATGCGCAAGTTTCGGCTTGATCACACCGGTCTCCTGTCCATCCATGGACCCCTGCTCCAGTTCAGAATTAACCATCGATACAGCTCCATGGTGTTGTTCCAAGTCCTTGACCGCCTTTGATCTCTGTCGCATTTCAATAAACTTGCTCAAGCAGGCAGCGAAGACCACAAGCAGCGAGTTAACAACAGGTCCCCACTGGCCGACAGCATTGTTCGTTTCGTTCACAGGCAGATTGCCCTGCAAAAGGGTGATCTCATTTAGTATAATATTTGCGACCATCAGCGGCAGACAAAACACGTCGATCAAAAACGTGAGAAAAAGCCACGGAAGAGTGACGGAGCAGATGAGTGTCTTCTTGATGGACCGTTTCGATCTCCAGAGGTAATTCAGCAGCGCGAAATAGCCTCCATACCACCCATCAGCGGACGCATTGTAGACCGTCTTCGTCAGTGAATCGGCGTGACCAGGGTGGATGAGATACTTCATCACAGCTCTTTGACACATCTGTGAGGGGTTATGGTCGAGCGTATCGATACTCAATGCCGCATATGCTGCAAATTGGATCGGCCCGACGAGCGCGACCGCCAACCTCGAATACTTATCCTTCAGCATCTCCGATGGCACAGCAACAATCTCGGAGAGATGGCGCATCGGCTTCGACACACCGAAGCACTTGTAAGAACACTCGAACTCCGGACTGATCAGCTCAATCGGGTACTCCAAAAACCTCCCCGAGGTCGAATAACAAGCCGCTTCAGGATCACTCAACTGGGTATCAAACAACGCCGCACGCCCAAAGATCAAGCCCACTCCGACCAAAATCCCCCAGCAGATCATGATCCACCGGGCATTCGAGTACCGCAGCGTCGAGCTCCAATGGATCATGCCGATGTAGCCCAGCGCGCCCGTGCTGAGCACCGCCCAGGCGGCCATGATGTCCAGATCGAACACGCGGGTTTTACTCGACACCAACGCCATCATGTGGATCGACGCGGTGCCGGCGTAGGTCAGCGCGCTGACAAGCGCGCCGATGATCAGCCATTCCTGGCTTCGGCCGAAGATGGCAAACACCAATGTCACATAGTAGAGGAGGCGTGGGAGGAGGCCATATGAGCCGGATATCGCATACACGCAATTTATCTGGGTGATGGGGTCGCTGGGGTCGGGTGTTGGGATTGCGTTGTTCGACATGTTCGATCATTTTCTTCTTGGGTTGTTTCCTCAGATCGAAATAATAATCCCGATGCCCGAAAACCAATTTGGTGCCTAGAGTGATAGTCGCCTAAGTCGCATGTGCGGAGTCAAGTCTCTCGGAGGTGAAGATGCATCATAAAGATTGCATCCTCTATAGTCAATCAGTGAGATACAATCAATCGCATTCACGGCGCAATTTATTGAGAAATCAGATCATAAGTTAGGCGAGAAGCGAGATTAGCTAAAAGAACTTGAGAGACTCACGAGCCAGAAGAAGGGCGTGGGCTGCATGATTGGCTTGAGAAGCTCCCGAAGGAAAGAGAATGATCGGCACTCCTCAAGTTAAGAAGAGAACCGACACCACCAGCTCGAATACCCCGCGAGAAACACTTGGGTTGCATCGACAGGGAATAAGACACGAGCTCGTGGTGCTTCCAAGCGGGACAGCGTAGGGCTGGGAAATAAACGGAACAGGGGATCTGCCGTGGAAATAATCAGGCTGCCGTCAAATCCGACGTATTGGTTCGTAGGGCTGTTCACTACCTAGCTACTTAGGTAATTGGGACTGGGTAGCATTGCATAATCCGGATCTGGTTGATTCTTCGTCTTTACTGAATGCCTAAGAAGAAGGATTGGATTTTCTGCAAGAAGCTTAATTGGTTCAAAGGCATGGCTTGGACAGGAGTAATATTTGGTAGGTTATCCAAGAATGATATCCTTCCAACCAGCAGGCTGGACTGCACGTTGCAATGCCCCTGTTAATATGCGGCCCAAACCCTCCCGATAGTATATACCGTCCCGCTTAGAGACCAACATCACATTGTAGACTCCGTAATCTCGTTGAGCCAAAATGTCTTCAACTTCATCCGGTAATGTTCCCTCCCAGATGGCAAGTTCATCGTCAGTAAATTTGCTGACCCGGGACATGAGCAGAAACTCTAATGGCACTCCAACACGAGACATCCAAACTGCATCCAGGTCAATTGTTCCACACCACCACCCTCTGTCGTCTGCAATTCCTGCTCGAATCAATCCAGGATCTGCAGGAGCTGGTCGTACTGTCGATAATGCGCTCGGTCCCGTAAGTCTTTTGCGCAAGGGAGAAATCACTGATTTGTGAATGAGCGCGGGAGATATGAGAGTGAAATGAGCGGTTATTGTTCGAAAGTGTAGCAAAGGGATCTTCTTGCTCAAATTGTGTCGCGAAAGTGGTGTAGGGTTCTCTGGTCGCTCGAGAGGTGGGGCGATTCTCTCATGGGCCTGGTCTGAGAATGCATGTAGCCCAATATTCTGGTCGGCATGCCACTGAATCCAGGATCGTACGGGCTCGCTGTATTTCCACTGAATCTCACCGATCCATCCGGACCATGACCAACTTGGGAATCCTGACCGACGGAACAATCTCTTGGTAGACTCCCATATCAGAGAGGAATCGACCATTGTTTCCAACACGCCGTAAAAGATTTTTGCGGAGAGGCGCTTTTCGAGCACCAGTTGCACTCCTTCAAAGGCATTCAAGATGTCTATCGGATTCGTCAGCTCTCTCCGCGTATAGAGCTCCACGGCCGACGTGAATTGAACAAATGGCTTTTCGCGGAAAATCCGAGTGGGCATGTCGATCGAGTCGAGGGACCATCCGCCATTCAGAGGCATTTCCATATCTTCACAGAAAGTGGTTCGCCGGCACTGATAGTATATCCGCCCATTGACGAATAACAGACAACGTCTAGAGAGCATACGCTCTTGGAATGTCCACGCCCGGGAGTCCCACTGTGACGTTGAGATATAATCTACATGAGTTAGCAAGCAGATGTGAGAATCTTCGAGGATAACTGACCTTCAGCCAGATGCGACATCATCAATCTCAGACCAGGCCGAATCTCTTCTATTTCTTGATGAAATTTCCGCGATTCTTTTCTCACACCTGGAAGTCCCGCATTTGCGTCTTTTCCAGAACCCGCAACCACGGTCAACGCAGCACGTGCGTAGACCCAGTCATCATGATATTGAAAGCCAGCATCGTGCAGGAGAGCCAGACTGTCGGTCCACAAATATCGCTCACCCAACATCCTCGTCAACGTAATGGTATCTTTGATGGTTCTGGGTAGTTTTTCCTTTTCTAGTGCTCCTGGTTTTGATAGTGTAGACAAGTTTTTGCTGGTTGTGAAAAGTTGGTTGAAATTCTTACCCCAGAGGTAGCTCAAAGCCACATATCTCGAGTTCCGAGGTGCCTCAACAATGTTCATTGTATTCACGTCAATGGCCCGGAACACGTCTTTTGGTGCACCCAGTAGATCGGGGTGGACGAGGGATTCCTCACACTCCAGACCGTGGGTGGTCTCGCAATCATGAATCCATGTTCGCAGTTGCTGGATATCCAGAAGATCGGGCGACGTGATGCGCCTTCCAAACCATTCGGGCCTCGGAGCGTCCTCGGCTAAAAGAACGATATAGCCATCTTTGAATGTTTGGGGATCGCTGTAGATCAACAACCGACGCGTTCGGGCTTTGAAGTGATGTTCTCCAGGTCGGTCTGGGTTTGGGCCTAGGTCCTCCTGTCCATCCACCACCCATCGTGCGTAAACCGCAGGATCCTCATCGGCGACCGAACTAGGGGTTCTTTGATCGGGAGGACGGTCGGCAATTTCGAGCACAAGTCGACAGAAAGGGCAGTGTGTTTTCCTTTGAATCTGTGACAGCCGGCCCAAATATCTGAATTTCTTTGCTATTTCATATTCCTTGTCCCCTAGCTGAACGTAGAAGGATTCGACTTTGAGATCCAGGCGTTGGCAGGTTTCACAGACATAGGACTCTTCTGGGGCGGTTTGGGCGTCCTAAGGGAACAAATGTCGGTCAGTCAAAGAACAAGAATCAGGAGAAGCAAGGTGAAGCCCGGTTCTGAGACTTACAATTGCCTTGACCCAACTGGCTGGTAGTCGACTGAGATGTCTTATTCGTTTGGTAAGATGGAGGATTGAGGCGTTGGAACCCTCAGAAGGTTCGGTATTCGACATCTGAGTGCATTTCGTGGTCAGGAAGGGACGAGCAATTCCAAGGGAGAGCAGGTCTTACAAGTCGACTTCGACGAGAAACGAAGGCATGTGTCGCAGAAGGTCTTTTTGGTGGGGAGATGATCGGGGTTGTCACTGGCACAGCCACTGGACCCAGAGTGGATGACGAGTGGCACTGCTGGTATTGGGACTGGGACTGGGAGTTGAACACAAGCAGCGGGGGGATTGCAATAGGCTCTTCGGGCGTGGACAGGGGCGTCCCGGGCGAGGCAGAGGCAGTGGATGCGGAAGGCGGGGCGTCGTTGAGCTTGGTCCTTATTGACAACGTCATGGTCCCCAATGATAATTATAATTGACTACCGACTCGGGGAACGAGAGTCATCAGGAAGAAGAGCTACTTCATGGAGCCGGGATCCTCAAGAACAATATACCGTGCTATGAGATCTTGAGTCAGCCAAGTCAGAAGGTGGCGGGCTGATGCTCCCTGTAACGATGATTCACAGGTGCTCAGGTCAGGGCCCTATTCCTAAATCCATCACCCTTTGCATCAGCAAACCAAATCACCATCCTGCCAATGCTCGAACTGCCACAATCTTGCCACAAACCAGGCATCCGCAAAGGAACAAGCCTTGCCAACCCTTCGCAGAGTGTGAAACAGATTTCAAACCAAATCCCATGTGCCAGCCAGTAAAGACTTGGACCAGCAACAAGGCTACTGCTCACATGTTGGTGGGTACTTGAGGAGGCAAATGCTTCCATCACCTGGTACTCGGTACCACTGGTAGGTGACTGGTTTGATAATAACTGTGATTAATCAGTGCCCTCGCCCTCGCCCTCGCCTGAAGCTGAAATGTAAGCTTTTCTTTCAAATTTGGCCTTCAAGTTCTGCCTCTTAGCTAAGTGTTAGCCATTGGGGGGCCTAATTCAGCCTCGGGAGCTAATCGACGCCTCGGGCCTTTCGCCTGGTGACAGAAACTAGCATGACCATTGCACAACTCAGAGCCCTCCATGAGAAAGTCGTGACTGATCAAGAGCTCTGTGGATTATGAAAGGTCAAGTACGGGTTCAATACGCAAAAAACTTTTATTTTCGGAAGAAGAACATCAAATACCTCCTCAGTTCGAACCAGTCGAGACCTTAGATCACTCGCAAGGCAGCGGGGGAGGTTGGTCACACAATGCATGCCTTGAAGATGCACTATGATCTATTGGGTGCGATCTTCCAGGCCTTGAAATGTTTGACGCAAGCGGCTCCCTGCAGTTCGAACCTTTCAAGTACTGTCCTGCAGCCACCAGTGAGTTGTCACAATACTACTCTACATCCGAGTCTACATATATGAGTCTGGGTTTGCCTGTCTGTTTCGTTCATCAGGCTGAAATGAAATTCCTTCTTCAGCCTTGACTCCCTACGATCCTCTTGCTTCGCAGTCATGCACTGGATAGACAAGTTTGACGACTTGCGCCTGGACATCGTAGGTATCATTGCTGTGCTTGGAGAAGGCTCAGTCACTAGAAATGCTCAAGTAACAGGCCTGACCTGGTGGTCGGTGATTCCAAGGCTGCTCCCCGCCCCACAAGCCTTGCTCGAACATGAAAGAAAATATCGCCTACCTACTGCTGTTGGAGTCGTTGCGGGCGCATATTCTGGTACTATCAAGAAGGAAATCAACTTTTTTGCTCAGTTGCTACACCCCCGGACACTGGCGAATTATGAGGTCGAGCTTGTTCAAGTCACTCGGCGCAAGCAAGAGGCTCGCTCATTTGGTCCAAGGGAATATGGCCCACTGTTCTTCGTGTCCCTACTGGGCTTCGCGATGGCTATAGCTCTGATAGTTCTGTCCGTGTATTACCAAGATGGCTTTTCCTTGTTGGCCACTATAATGCTTGCGACCGTCAGTTCGTTTGCGGGATTCGGAACCCATTGGGATCTAGTTTTCCAGGAGCCCAAGATTGCTGCTTCGCGCGACAAGACGTTACCCCGGAGTGATGTATTGATATACTACCCAAACGGAGCCATTCGAGTTATTCGAGCAGAGTCTGAACCCATCGCTCGCTTGTACTTTCAAGCAGAGTACGCGGAATACATCATTGATGGTAAGAGAAGGCCCGATATCGTGTTTTTCTTCATGACTGACAGGCCCAAGATACCCCTTATCGAACACTCGCTTTGCTGTCGACGATCCTGCTGATGGGAGGAGTGGTGTCACTGGCCAACTCCAAGAATATTCTCCAAGTCGCCTTTGTGGCAACATACTTCACACTCAATGCTGTCTACTGGGCGGTATCTGCCTTGAATCCCTTCACGGCACATTGGCGCCATGCCTTTCAAGTTGATGTTCTTCCCGTCAAGCGGCCGACGGAAACGGCCCTTGGGGATACTACGCCTTTGACCAAGACAGCCGAATTGAAAAGAACAGTCAAACAGCAGTGGCATCGCTTTCAGAACGCCTGGTCACTTTCCAAGAGACAGGCTCGCGCTGAGAAAAATGTCAAAAAGGAGGCCAGAAATTTCACGGCAGCATTGTGGACGGCCATCGCGTTAACGGGGACCACTCAATGGTTGAATGAGGCGACAGCCATTGCACCCATGAATGATGTATGGAGAACATGGCTTGCACAGGCTGAAGAGCATATTTCGTCCTATGATAAGTGGGAGGGACGTTTTAAGCTCCACCGAAGACCGCGCATTGCAACGGGGATAGACTGGACATTTACAGCGGCGACCTCGAAGCACAAAGAAGAGGCTTTGCAACGACGGCAGATCGTGATCGGATCGTGGGACTATCAAGGAGCGCTCACCACCATCCTTGCAAAATATGCAGCGCAAACCCGTAAGCCTATCCCGGATGAGGCCGAGGATGAAGATGAGCCATCATCCCTCTCGGAAAAGACCTCCGCGGTACCGAGGCCTGTTCTGGAGGTGTGATAGGGGAATAGTGACACAGTTGATCCAGGATATCACAGCGTAATAACTCAAGATAGGTCCTTGATGACCGCATTATAAAGTAGAGAAATCGATATTTTAACGTATAGTAATGATATACCAACACCCCTTACCGACTTGAAGAGAAGCAACTCCAGGATAACAAGAACTGGAGCCATCTCACCAGACCCAGCATCGATCTACGAATCCTCAGAGATGGCAGCCACGACTCGGACATGGGGGGTGAAAATGCCGCCAAGCATGTCGTCATAGCCCCTTCACTGCGTGCCTGCCATGTGCCCACCGCAGGGACCGTTGGTACCCGCTACTGAGGTGCCATACCAGGACCGCGGGGCACTGCACATCACTGCGAGTTCCAATGAAGTTGGCCAACTTGAACTTGCAATTCCATCGCGTGATAAATAGATCCCTTCGTTCTTCCTCTTCCTCTTCCCACCCACTTCCATCAAACCAAACCATCATCCTCCTTCAAGCCAAAACTTATCGCAAGAACACTCTTTGCGAACCCCACAATCCACTACTTAGGCACCAGTTTCTATCGACCACCTCATCCGTCAGAATGCCTCTATACAATGTAAGTAACAATCTCGTCTTCTGTTGATTGTTATCAAGACTAATCATCGAGTCCTAGGTCACCCTAAAAGAGAACGCCTCGCCCGAGGAGCTCACCAAGGCCAAGGATAAGGCGAAGGCCGACGGCGGCAACATCAAGCACGAGTTCACTTTGATCAAGGGCTTTACGTGAGCAGCAATTCCCCCCTCAGGCTGAGATAAAACCATCATCTAACCCTTTCCGCCCCCAACAGCGTCGAGTTCCCGGATGACAAGGTCGGTGTCCTCCAGACCAATGACCACATCCACGTCGAGCAAGACCAAGATGTCAAGACCCAGTGAAGTAGTCGGGAGTTGGCGTGTTGCATCAACGGACATATTCTGACTCTTCACCACACTTGGACTGGAAACAATGGTATCTCATCTCATGGGCTTGAATTCGATTCTATAACCTCGCCATATCATGGTGGCCAAGTACTAGACCAACACTTTTCTGCATGGAAACTGGCGCGCTGGGAACAAACCATATGATGGAGAACCAACGTTGAGAATCAGACATCGCTTTTCCCTCACGGATATAGAATTGAGATTCATGCAAAGAATGCTTCTAAAAGTCCGTAGCTCGCCCATTATATGTCCACTCGCTCGTCGGACCCCATCTCAAGGGCTCGTTCTTCGGGCCTCCAACCTCGCCCGTCTTCGGGTTCACATCACCTTCAAACTCGGGTTGCGCACGTCGCACAACATCAGGATGTAGCTCCTCGCCCTTGCCTCTCGCCTCAATGGTTCGATCGTATTTATCTTTGAACGTAGACTGCCCAGACTCGCCCTCCGAGGCGATCTTCTCGACCCTCGCATCTACGACAGCCTGTGCGTCTTGTGCCTCAACCGGCGAAGAATTAGGTGACTGGTTTATCTGTGGCGTTGCTCGTGGCGTGGAGAATGCGCCGGTCGACGCCCGCTGCAGGGATTCAAATATTTCTTGGTCTTCTTTGGGGAGGCGTGGAGGAGCGGGACCGCTGCGGAAGGAGCTGAAGGATGCGAAGGGATCCGGTGATGAAGCGGGAGAACTGGTTTTGCTGTCGGCGCTGTCGTCGTCGCGCTTCCGTAGAGGACTTCTCGAGCTCAAGGTCCGAGAGGCGATGCTGGGTGGATATCTAGTGGTGAACAGATGGGCTCGTGGAGCCGCGCTCAGTGATCGCAGAGGCCGGATGTGCAGAGTCATGTTGAGTGTATGTTGGTAGGAGGATATGTACCAAATCTATTTCGTAGGATGTAGAAAGAGAAATGGAAAATATCTTGAGCTCAAAATGTCGAAAGTCTATGGCGTAAGGCGTAAGTGAAGCAAATGGCTTTCCATCGGAACTTTGGAGGCAAAAGATGCTGCATCGGAAGCGGGTTGTGGCTGGCAGAGGGAGTGGCTAATGTCGCTGGTGGTGGACTCACGTGACCGTGGCTGGAATGAATGGCAGATTTTGGAGAAGTTCTTTTGTCGGAACATTTTTTTGGTCTCGATTTGCAGACTCACCGACAACCTTAGAACGAGTCACCAGATTAACAGGAAATCCCACTAAGGACACCGCCGTCATGCCTCAGAACGAGTATATCGAGAGATGGACCAAACAGCATGGTAAACGTCTGGACCACGATGAGCGAGTCCGAAAGAGAGAGGCTCGAGAGGGCCATGCTCAATCCGACAAGGCACAGAATCTCCGTGGTCTGCGAGCAAAATTACACCAGAAGAAGAGACATGCCGAGAAGATCCAGATGAAAAAGGCCATCAAGGCACAAGAAGAGAAAGATGTCAAGTCCGCCGCTCCCAGCGAGCCTTCATCTCAACCACTGCCCAGTTATCTCCTCGACCGTTCTCAAGCCAACAATGCCAAAGCACTCTCCAGCGCCATCAAGAATAAGAGAGCCGAGAAAGCCGCCAAATTCTCTGTTCCCTTACCCAAGGTGAAAGGCATTAGCGAAGAAGAGATGTTCAAGGTGGTCAAGACCGGCAAGAAAACAGCAAAGAAGAGCTGGAAGAGAATGATTACCCAACCCACCTTTGTGGGCCCAGATTTCACCAGACGACCCGTCAAATACGAACGCTTCATTCGGCCTATGGGTCTCAGATACAAGAAGGCCAATGTCACGCATCCCGAACTGGGCGTTACCGTCCAACTGCCCATTATAAGTGTCAAGAAGAACCCACAGAATCCCCTCTACACACAGCTAGGAGTTCTCACCAAAGGCACAGTCATCGAAGTCAACGTTTCAGAATTAGGTCTCGTCACCACTGGTGGCAAGGTTGTATGGGGCAAATACGCACAAGTTACGAATGACCCAAGTCGAGACGGCTGTTTGAATGCTGTCCTCCTGGTGTGAATGATTTTTCCCTCGAAGGGAAATTAAACTACGACTGTTAAGGAACTATTTTCACAATTTCTCTGCGAAAATCGCATGATCTTGATATCCCATGGCTTTGACCGCGATTTGGGCACTTTGCAGTACCCTGCCCTTGAGACTCAAGGTCTGGTCAGGTTTCTCATCTGCAGTCAACACCATTAGCAACGACTCAACAGATTGCCGGTGCGATTACTCACAAACGTTTGTGAACTTCGCCATAACGCCATAAGTTGCCTTGAACTCGAATGCCTTCAGGGCATTCCAGATTTGCAAGACCTTGTCTGGTGGTAGCGGGATGAAGTTCGGTATACTCCACAAAAACTGATACGAGATCGTATCTTTCCTCTTACCCGGATCGGGGTTCTGTCCTGAGGCGACGGCAAAGATGGTATCTGCCACGAACAAGGTCGGGATTTTGGTGTTTGGCAGTGCTGAATGTAATACCATACTTCCATCGAAATGGCCACCACATATTGCAGCTGTCAGACCAGGGAGGACTTCAGTATATGGATCCTTCAAAAGCTTCAAGGTTGCGGAAGATACATCCTTCCTGTTGGCCCAGACTGAGTCGACTTCAGTCATGTAAACAGGACACTGGAAGGTAGTGGACCAATCTGCCCACGTTCTACAAGAACAGGTTTAGCATGCCCTCGAGGTCAAGAGGGGAGCACAGGGGAAAAGTACGTATAGAAATGAGGATGAGAAATGATGATGAATTTCAAGCCGCCCAATTCCTTGATCTGTTCCAAGCAGTTGTCAGCAGTGGGAAATCCTATCGTTGGAAACTCTTTACTCACCTTATCAACGGTAGCCTGATCCAGATACGCGACAAGGTCCCAAAGCACATTTCCATTCGGTGTCTGTATCAGACATGCCCGCTGTCCTATGCCGAACTGACAATTGCCCCTGCATGTCAGCCTCCATCCATGCATTCCCACGTTCACTCGTCAATGATCATTCAGTATCCGTACCTTCGGCTCAGTCCAAACCTCGATGACATTTTCGTCCTTCTCATTCCTCTCAAACACGTTCCTGTGTTTCCCCTCAGCCTTCAACTTCCCCAGCGTCGTGAATGACTGTCCCGGTGGTGGAACGTATTGTCTCGGGTCCTGTCAACATTCCGGATGCGCATTTAGATATGCAATTAGAGCATTGCCAACCATTTGGCATGGCATGACATGGAGTAGTGTGGCGTGACTTACCTCGCATATCCTACATTCCGTCTTCCCTGCCGCTTCGGTCTCTGCGTATTGTGCTCCACATGCCGTGCAGAGGAGGAGGTCGTCTGACGTCGCCAGCTGGATTGTCGGCATGATCTGTCTTTAAAGATGTGAAGCCTGGAAGAAAGTCTCTGTTCTAGAAACAGTATGATATTTGGCAAAGGTATCACATGCAGATTCAAAGCATTACCAATATCCAGAGTCTCCCAAAGGTGGAGTGCCAGTCTAATTACGTACAAATCCGAGTACGAGACTCAGGAACTCGATAGTGGGGGGGAACGAACCGGACGGGGTGCCAGCAAACTTTCACTTCGAATCACGTTTGATTCTCCAATTTAGAGATACAAGTTCGTTACGAGTCATCACTACCTGGGCCTGCGGTATCATTTTGATACCGTTGCTAGCTCTTTACAGGATGCAGCGCCATATTCGGCGCAAACACTTTCCCATCGTGCTTAATCAACGGATATGGCACCTGTCCGTCATCAGTGGGAGGCTCCAGCCACGGCTTGCATGAGTTCGCCAGGAAACGAAGAAGCCCATCTCCACGAGGGATGCATGGTGTAGGATTCATCAAATGCAGTGTCGTTCCACTTGGTCGTACTGTTGGAAACCCCTTGCCATTCCGTACGCGGTGGATCTCCGTTCAACAGAATGTCCATATGCTCAGCTAGCCGGGGCGGGTTAATGAATAAAGGCTGCGGTGGGAAGCTGATCTTGAGTCCATTCGGTAGGCAAAGGATGGCAGTGTGGCTTCTGAAGGGATGTGACCGCCATTCGTGACCTGTGCTGTATGTACGGCATTCAGCAGTGCCCGGATGCTCTCCCCACCACCTGGGGACAAAAGAACCAGGAAATTCCTCTCCCATGCTGAAATCTGAAATGCGGATGCTGCCAAACCAACCTGGCTCTGAGAGGACGTTGGAGCATGGAACCGTGGAGATGAAATCGGCGTCCTCCCCCTGGGCCCATGCGAAATCTTCACCATCGAAGTGCTACCTATCTTGACTAAAGACAGGCAAGTGACCGACATCGCCCTTCTTCGTAACTCGTTGGCAAAGATCATCATGCCGACTGTTGTTCTCTCTGCCTCAGAGTTCAGCTCCCGATTTCTGTTTAGGGCTTGTTCTTCTGTCATAGCATTATTCGATCATCTCTCCGATCTTATGATATTGCCACCTTTTCATCTTGTCAGCGTTTCGTTCATCTTCATTCGCGATGAAGAACTGTCTCGCCGTGTCAGTATCTCGCTACCATTCAATTTTCGATAGATCGCTCTTGCTCGCATTGCATCCTCAACTTTGCTCCGCTTGGATGATGAGGCAACATGAGCTCGAAATTGACAGTGGCAGATGCTGGGGATTCCGCGGATACTTCATGATGTCCGCTGGGTATCATCACCTTGGCTTTTGTGCTGCTGATGGATTAGCACTTGCCATCGTTTCGGCCTCGATTATCTCTTCCAGAAGCCTACGTTCTCTTCTTCTCATCTCAGCGACTTTGAGTTCTTCCAACAATTCATTGTGCTCAGCCTTGAGACGCGATAGTGCAGTTCTACCTTGTACATCGTCTGGCGCTTGCGCCGTTAATGCCGTTGGAAAGGTGGGCATCTGTTGATGCACAGCCCTGGGTATGCTAGTGCTCGCAACGAAAAACTTTGGCGCAAGGTCTTCGCCCTGTGCCTGCTGCGATGAGCCTTTGTATGCCTCGGTACCTGTTGTCTGTGGGAGGATCAGCTCTCGTCTTGAGGCTGGGACAGATTCTTTATCCCACGTCGGTGTTCGATAATTCAGCCTGAGGCCTTGAGGCGTCGCTGGAGATTCCAAAGCTATTGGGGCTAGTTGTGACAACGATTCGGCCAGCCATAGGCACAGCTAGTTCGGCTTTATCGACATATTCGAATCGTGCGATACCTGGACTTCCTTCCAATTCGGGCTTGAGGAATGAGGTCTTCGTTTCTACACGACCTTGCGGTAGGTTGGCTTCATTCTCATTACGTATTCGCAGATGCTGTCTTTGGACCCGCCGGTAACGAATACATAGCACCGAGGCTGTGATGGTGGCAATAGCGAGGACAACAATGCCTACGATGATTCCAGCTTTGGCGCCTGTAGAGATTGACTCAGACACTGGCTCCGAATCTGGCGAGCTCGTTTCACCTGATTGTCCAGGGATGGAAGAAGTTGGAGATGCCGGGATATTTGTAGTATTTGTGGATGATGTGGAGGTATTCAGTAAGGCAGTTTCATGTGAAGCCACAGTAGACTCTCCGGGGACAGAAGAGATCGTCATGGGAATGAAATTGTTGATGTCAGGTGGCCCAGCATCACTAGCCACTGATTGTAGACCGTTGGAAACGACTTGCGGGAAAAAGCCGGTCATATCACTTAGACTGAAGCGATCCGAGAGATTAATAACAGTCCCACCCTGTGCAGCCGACACAAACTTCAGAAAGTATGCATTGGGCAAGTTTGCACCCCAACCGGCGACTAAGGGTGCAGACAGTGTGTTGCCATCGCTGAAATTGCCATGGTCCGCAAGGGTGGCCAACTGAATGTAAGAAGACTTTGAATTTCCACCAGCGCAGAGGAACACCTGGTAGGAAGCGATATCTGCCAATGGAGCAGCCGATTCCGAATCCTCCCAGGAGATATACAGGGAAAGACCGAATATTTTGTCTCCTGCCCTGGGCGAAATAATGGAGACATCAGCGAGAGCAAGCGGGTATAAGATGCAAGTTGATGCGAGGAAAGACCAGGTGCGGAAGTTGATGTTTGAGACTGCTGGATTAGTAAAGGTGAGGAATGACAGCTCATATTGCGGTCGTTTATATGCCTAAGTATGCTTCGGTGGGCTTGCATAGATAAATACTTTTGGGTGAAGGGAGGGATACGTGTGAGAATAAGGAGCAGCCGATGCATGGTGGGCAGTGTTCTCAGGGGAATATCTACAGACTATCACATCATATCGTATTGGCCATCTCCGCGATACAGGACTGGAAAGACAGGGCAGTGTTTCTCTCTGCAAATCTCAGAGACGTTTGTGCAAGCGGATTGGCTGGACTTGAGGTTCGAGGACGCACCCCAAATACAAGATCTCGTTACGAATATATGTCACCAATTCCCAGAACTTATCAGCCTCACCTCCTTATTTATGTGATACTCAGCCTTGTCTGCGACACCAATGGAAACTTGGAGTGCCCGTCCCTTTGCTCCGCCGGAATGCATGTATCCTTTTGACGAGTTATGATCCACCCAATCTTTAGCGGCTTGGCCTTGAGACAGACTGGCAGTGACCCGCTGCCGCCGGTTATTTTCATCTTTGAGATTGATTGATTGAATTGTTTCCAAGTGTCCAACTCACTTCGAACCATGCAACATGCCGATTAGGTAGGAAGATGCTGTCTGTGAACTTGATGTATTCATACTAACGAATCCAAAGTTATCTCATCCTGCTGTCCAGGCAGGGCAAAGTGGTAGGTTCCCCACCGAACATTTTGTCGCCCACCTTTTCTTCCTTCGCTGACCTCAAACCTCCTGCGTAGAGACTTGCAAAATGGTTTACTACTCTCTCGCCCAAAGAGAAGGCCAAAATCATTAAGGATGTCTCTCAACTTGTTCTCTCCCGGCGGACGCGAATGTGCAATTTTCTTGAGTACAAGGGTGTGCACTCGTCCCTCTCTTACTTTCCCTCTGCCCTCCATGACTGATTCGAAGACCCCTTCCAATAACCCTTCTTGACCTGTGCAAACCTCCCACTGACACTGCCTATCTATCAGACAGCAAAGTAGTCTATCGCCGTTATGCCTCTCTATTTTTCATCGCAGGCTGCGCTTCCACCGACAATGAGTTGATCACACTCGAGGTCGTGCATCGTTACGTTGAACAAATGGACAAATATTATGGCAATGTGTGCGAATTGGATATCATATTCAACTTCCAGAAAGCCTATTTCATCCTTGATGAACTTCTCCTAGCAGGAGAGATGCAGGAAAGCAGCAAGAAAAATGTCCTACGCTGCATAAGTCAAGAAGACAGTCTTGAGGATATGGAGGTAAGTCCTGATGATGCCCCATACATGTTCTCCTCGCACTCTCCCAATACTCTGCATGCTCGGAGTTGAGTTTCAGTGTTCTCTGTAAGCCTGCTTGCCATCCCTCCCATCAGGTGATTCTCCCTGGTACAATCAAACTAATGATCATTGGGACGACACTCAGGTTGAGGAAGATGTCACCAAGATCATGTAGAACATGATGCAGACCAGTATTCAAGCAGTCTCAACGCCAAGCGCTTTCTATGGCTGAGACCTCCCCAGAACGGAGCTTAGTGCAACATGCTATGAATCATGCCAAACAACAAATCCACCTCAAATCCGGATTACAACATGGATCAATTAACTTTTGATTGCACTGCAGGTGACCGAAACGAACTTGAAGGACAGCGGGTTGATGTGAACGAAGCTTGGTGGTTTTGTGTAAGTCACATGCACCAAGGACCGGGAGTTGAATGAATATACCCTTTCCTTGCCATTAATATGAGCAACAGCAAATGAATTATGTACAGTATACCACGATGATGATATAACCCAGCATCCATTTGATGACCATCCAACTGCTTTCTCGCTAACCGATTATCACCAGTGTTGACCGTTCATCCTTTATTGACGCAGCTACAAGGACAAACATCATGACCTGCATTTGAGCCCACATCTAACTTTACAGCCATGTCACAAAGCACCGGTTGAGATGATAATTGTGAGTATAAAGCCATTGTCGTGGCTTACTTCCTACTCGTGCAGGCTTCAACACGCCTATTGGTTGATCACCAGACTCCCATCCGTCACGTGATGAGGCCTTCCGCAGTCGCAACTTCAACTTCCCACCTCCGCTCCATTGTCCAACCTCAGCTGTCCTTCTCATCAACCATCATCAGCACAACATGGGATTCCATCAAATATACACTACCTGCTAGACGTCTATCGTCTAGCTATTCGAATTGCCCAAGAGCAGTCTCTGCAGCCAGCCTTGACAACTCTCGGTTCGCGATCGCTTAGCTCATTCAGGTGCCTATCCTACTACATCGCATCATTCTCACACCAATTCCACACGCGAATCTGCCTACCACATCTGATTGTTGACATTCGTTTTACCGAATCTGAATCCGCAGTATCGCAATCCACACCTCGTATCCTGGCCCTCAATCGTCGACTTGTCTATAACCACCAGACGCCTCGGTACAGATAAGACCGTCACCATGAAGGTACGTCTCAGTCTTTTCGAATTTAAATGCCAGATCATCAACATTGACACTTTTTCCATTAGTTTGTACCGATTCGCGAATTTGATAGCGTCAACTCTGCCCTTAACTTCTCGACCCCAGATTTGCACGTCCTCGGAGGCTGCGATTTATACACCACCAAAGCCGCAGGTGGCGACAAGAAGCTATACAAGAATATTGAAAATGGACTGGAACAACAGTACAAGTCCAATCTACAATTCTCGAACTCTCTATCGCCCCCGCAAGCACATCTCATGGCCTCGAGCCTAAATTTGAGTAGGAGTAGCCCTTTTGGAAATATGGGAATGATCAGCTCCAGAAGAACATACGCATACCTCATCGCCACACTCAATGCCAGTCACCCAGATTACGACTTTTCACATGTCCTTCGGCCGACCGATTTCAAACGGGAGAAGAGCCTACGAGCCGTAATGAACAACCTTGATACTACTTTATACAATTTACGGCCGCGAGCTTTCAATCCATTGTTTAATGGAGTTGGTGGGACGGTTGAGTCAAACGGGCCCCCATCCAGTCAGACTTTGTGGGGTCCGGGGATGTGGAGATTGATAGACAACTCGATGAGCCTCCGGGAATGCAGCATCTACCGATATGCTCCGGAAGATTATGATCCTTTCGAAGATGATGATGAAGGGTCGATCTGGTCAATGAACTACTTCTTCTTCAACAAGACCAGGAAACGAGTCTGCTATCTCTACCTTCGCGGCGTCAGTATCCTGTCGGTTGGTGCCAACGATGGCCTTCGGACTCCCGTTAGATCTAAGAGATTTGCTGAGGACGAATCCGATGGCTGGCTCACGCCCGATATGGGTGCACGCAAAAGAGCAAAATACTGGCTTGGTGATCGCGAGGGAGTCCAGGTCATCGATCATGATGACGTCGAGATGATCTCGGTAGAGAATCCATCTGGGGAAGTCATTCAAGAACTGAAAAGTGACGAGGAACATTTCTCTCCTCCATCGCGGCCTGTGGTCGATGAGAACGATAACTACGTTCTCAGTGATGAAGAGGTAAGGAGTGCTCGAAGTGTCAGCAAGAGTACTGCTAGGGGCATGAGCGAGGAGATTGTTGGTCCGATTGAGGTCTGAAGAAAGATCCTTGATATCCCGTTTCATGATCCCCCACTATTGCATTATGATGGCGTTTGGAACTGACATGATCAAGGAGGCATGATTTGAATTGGTTTGGTGTGTATGAATATTGATACCCAGAATGTTTCCGGCGTTTTCGAGGGCCTGTGGGAGCGGCCTCTCCGACATCGCCGAAAACTCATTCTGATAATTTGCACCGCTTTGTTTTCTTGGGATATGGTGTTCTGAGTATGGCTCCCGTTAGGACCAAGGAACGGGACAAATAGTTCAACAGGCTTCACATTGTAAGCCTACTTTGACATGCCGTAGCACTGGCGGCCAGCTGGTCTATCTGCAATTCTACCGTATAATGACATTAAAATTGCACTATAACACTTCTCTTGATTCCAAGTTTGTCACTGGATATGTACGCTCGCCTCAGACCTAGAATTCCTTTTTTAAGATTTATTTCTTTCACATGCTCTTAGGACTCGGGACTAGACACTTAAAGCCCCCTTCGCATGTGTAGCAGGACACGTATTCTGATTGGCTCCCTACAACTCGCCTAGGAACCACGTCTTCTTACCCATCTTCCTGTCGACACCAGAAGCCGCGACAATTTACGTAGTGAATGCTTCACAAGATCAATTCTTGACATCCTATCACTTCGAGCGAACACTCAACAAAAATGGGTGAGAAAGAAGACAAGGAGAAAGCTGAGAAGCTGGCAGCTGCAAAAAAACGGGTAAGCGATTGTGAGGGCCTCAGACCCCTCTACAGATACCTCCCTCCACTAAAGGGCTTTCAAGCTATTTGATGCCGTACAACTGGGCAAAAGAACTGATTTGGATCCGCATGTAGGTCGCCCAATTGAAGAAAAAGGCCGCAGCCGCAGGCGGAGGATCGAGCACGACGGGGAAGAAATCGGGCAAGAATAAATCCAAGAAAGACGATGCTGCGAAGGAAGACGACGCCGAAACCGCGGATGCAGAGGTAGAGGTAGAGGCAGAGGGCGAAGAGAAGGACAAAGACGATGCTGGCGAGGCTGCGGTTGAGGCGGAGGACAAACCTGCAGACGACACAGCCGCGGCAGCGGTGGAACCCCAGGATGCAGACGAAGCAGCCTTCAACGATGCCATCAAGGCTGCTGCTTCTGGCGGTGGTGGTGCGGCATCGCTGAGTCCCGACGCGGTCGAATCCCCTGCTACGGTTTCCCCTCCCTCCGCAGACCAAGAGTTGGCTTCTGCTTCTACCACAACCAGAGGGCCGCGGCACTCGACTCGCCAGCCGAGCGTGAGTCTACAGAGCAAGATCCGCAGCACGAGCTTCCGCGACAGCGGTCCGCTGAGCCCTGCACTCGTGACGCCGAGTGGCCTGTCGCGGCCGGAAGAGCTGGAACGCGAAAACAAACGGCTGGCGAGAGAGGCCGAGGAGCATGAGAAGCGGTGGCGGCGAGTCGAGGAGGAGCTGGAGGAGCTCCGTGAGCAGAATGCAGAGAGGTCTGTCTCGGGTGGTGCTGATGCTGATGGGGAGATTTCACGTCTCAGGGCCGAGGTTGAGGTGCTCCGGCGCAGGACGAGTACCGCGGCCGCGAGGAGGGAGAGTAGCCAGGCCGTTGGAGGCGGTGAGGATGTGGAGAGCTTGAGGTCAAAACTGGAGAGTAAGGACTCTACGATCGCTGATATGCAGCTTGAGATCTCGCGGTTGCGGGGCCAACTGTCGAGTCAAACCGAGGGCTGTGAGACGCATGGGGAGCAGATCTCGGCGCTTCAGAGTTCGTTGTCGTCGGTTGAGGGCAAACTACGCGGGATGGAGACTGAGTTGGCTGATACGAAGAAGGCATTGTCAAGAGCCAGCGAGAAGGCTGTGCTTGATGGGACGGAGCGGACTAGTAAAGACACGAAGATTCGAAGCCTGGAACGCGAGCTTGAGGAGGCCATCAGCAAGCGAGACGAGGTGGTCAAGAAGGCAGAACAGCTCGAAAAGAAAGTCGAGGCCATGAATAAGCTCCACAGGGAGGCTGAATCTCGAAACTCGAACAAGCTTGCTACATCGGAAGCTACGGCCAGAGAATTACCCGCTCTTCGAGCGAAGATTGAGAAGCTCGAGTCCGAGAACTCACGACTTCGGGAAAAGCACAAGAGAGTCATGAGTGGCGGTGGAGGGGACGAAGGCCTCGACGAGCTCGAGGACGAAGAGCGACAGAAACTCGAGAAGAAGATACGAGAACTCGAGGGACAGGTCTTCGACCTGCAACGCGGTGTGTGGAGAGACAAGAGGATGCAGATGCAGCCTCGTGGCGACGAAGGATCACGGACATCACTCGATCCTGGCGAGGACTTCGATGAAGTCGACTTGTCTGGCTCTGGCAACGCCAGTCGACGCAGAAGCTCGGGGAATCTTCTCAACCAGCAATCGCAGATTCGACATTCGGGGTTCACACAGGTGTTGAATTCTGGCCTTGCTGCGTTTCGCACGAGCACTACTTCTCCTGATTCGCAATCTCGAAATCAGACTCGACCGAGGAATGACTCGCTTCTACAGGAGTTTGACGACGACGATGCTGGCTTTGATGAACATGCGTTCGCTCGTGCTCAGGCAGAGGAAGAGGCTCGTAAGATGGTTGAGCATGTCAGGGAGGTTAAGCGAGGGTTGAAAGGTTGGGTGGGTTGGAGGTTGGACCTCGTTGATGCTAGACGCGCCAGCGGTGGTGTTGGCTTTGGAGAGATATTCGATGTATAATTAACCTTGACCCTTTGACAGACTACTTTGAATTGTATTCCTACCTACGGTTCGGTTCATGGAGAGCTTCTATCACGGATCCTGCTCTTACTAGTGGCATAGTCGCTGAGAAAATACCAAGGGATGTTCACTTCCACATTCCATGGTAACATTAGGATACTTATGCTAACTAAATATTTGCTCCCTTGAACCACCTACTTACTTTCCTTGACTATAGCAGCGAGAGTCTTCTCATATTCCTCGACTTCCTTCGCACCTACCAGGGTTATGTCCCTTCTCTTGCCTTCAAAAATAATGGTCGGCACACTATCAACACCGTTTCCGGTCTGTTCGCGAACCAGGTTCTTGACGTCAATGAGACCGTCATTCTTATCCTCAATGAAGGCTCTAGCCTCGTCTTCTGGAATCCCTGCTTCAGTCGTGGCTTTCAATAATGTCTCATCCGTTGACGGATGTTTCTCTTGTTGGAAATACTGCGCGTATAAAGCTGCAAGACACAACATAAGTCAGATGCAATGCATGGATGACAATCAACGACAACAACCGCAATGTTGTCCACTTCAAGATGTCTTACATTGGATGATTTTGTCCGCTACCTCCGGACCTTTTTCCTCTTGGAAATGCTGGACCACTCGATGTGCATCCATTGTATTCCCGACCGTACCACCGAATTTAAAATCGATACCAGCGGTTTGTCCGTAGGCTGTCATCAAGGCCATGTACATCTTCATCTTCTCTTCGGAATTGCCATATCGGGACTTCTTATACCACTCATACTTGTCCTCACCTTCTTTGGTAGCCTCGGGATAGAGCTGGTATGGATAATATTTGACGGTGAAATTTACTTCTTTGCCTTGATCACTCTGGCGAAATCGACGGAGCGCTATATCAGATCACGAAGAGTCAGGTTTTCTTGATTGGCAGCTCCAGACAAGGAAAGCCAAATGCAATTCAGGTTCGGACAAACCTTCATCCAATCTGCAAATGCGACCAGGTCAGCCAACGATGCACATATGCTTCGTACTTTGCATGCTGGATTTCAAGCACACCTCTTCTTTGCAAGGTATGTCCTGTGTGACCAGTCAGCCTGGTTATTCGAGACGAGCTGTCGCAAAAGAGATCACTGAAATAGAATACGGGTCTAGGGCGGAGGTGGTGTCTTACCATGGACAGATGGTGTCCAAAGTGAAGGCAATCTGCGAATCGTACGTCATATTTTCGTCTGCCTGGAATACGTTCAACCGCCAAGGTATGGCTCGAACGAGAAAGACTTCAGAGGCTTGAACAAGGTTGAGTGATACCTACTACAGTCTGATATCAACAGGCCAAAAGTAAATGACAGCTCGAGTGCGGATACAGATCACACCTGCCTTGGAATTATGAAACGTCCTAGGTCGAGTTTGTGATGATCAAGGTCATGATGACATTGTTGACAGATTTTGATGGACAGCTGGCTCCTCTGGGCTTTCGGCCTCTTCGTCTGAACCCCGCGGCTTCCCGATTACTATCCAACTGGACAATGGGTGGGTGGCTGCAAACGTGCCCTTCGAGCGGTGCGGAGAGCATTGCAGAATTGGTTCACAGTACATACGAGTACGGAGCAGGTTATCATGTGTCAAGCGCCCCCAACATGGACGGGCGATGGACTTCGCTGTAGTCCTTGCAATCAATTCCTTGGACGAACCGGATTTTGAGCTTTGGACATGCCACGATCATACGAGTATTCGTACTCCATATTGTGCAAGTCTCTCCTACCACCTTCCAGGAACAAAGCCATTGAAGATCGCGAGTGAAAGGGTTGGGGTCGATTATTGGCTGAACTAGCAAATGGTCAGCCTCCTGATCGCTGGCAAGCCACCAAGCCCAAGCCCAAGCCCAAGCCCGTCCGCGGTAAGCTCTTAAGCAGATCCAGGCACAGTGCTCGGGGACCGCCTAGAGCCCCAAAGGCTAGTGGAGGTGTCCCTATCCTCCAGGTCCTCCGAGTCCACCACCGGGCGTGCCCCTGCATCATCGGGCTGCCAGCCAACTCCACCCAGCCCATCAACACGACCCCAGACGAGGTTGGTGCCGTTTCAGCTTAAATCCACCTTCCCATTCGCCACAATCACCATCAACCTTTCCCCGCCAGCGCTTTTTCCGTTGTGCTCGGTGTGCTCTGTCCACCGTGATGGTTCCCCCAAGGTGACCGTCTCCCAAGGATCCCCTGAGCCGTGCGTGGTTCCAGCCTTCCGTACCCTGCACAACGCTGGCTCTTTACCCACTTTATGCTATCCACTGTGCTTCAGCCTGGCCTGAACTCCTATTCAACCTCTCCACTCATGAAAACCTCAGCACACATTGACGCTCGGAGTCTCTCGCTCGGTCAACAATGCGAACATTCGTTGACTGACCTGCCACTTCTGACCGCAAACTAATGTACGACCAGACTTCCAAGGCGGTTGTCAGTCACACCCGCCATGCATGACGTTCTGTCCCCCTAATGGGTATTTGAAGTCCTTTCCCTCTTGCTGAATTCATGTTTCTCTCCCTCTTCATCCCTCGCTATCAGATCATTCACTACAGAGTACTCTGAGCCTCTCGTTCAATATCAAGGTCTTTCTATATCCAGACCTGCAATCAATCATAATAATACTTCAGACACTTCGCTAATTCAGTCCATCAACAACAAAACACATCATCATGAAGTCTGCTATCATTCTGGCCTTGGCCGCTTTGGCCGTTGCTGCACCAGGCGGTGGTGGTGATGGTGGTTTCGGCGGTGGCCGAGGCGGAGGCAATGGCGGATTCGGTGGTCCAGGTGGAGGTAACGGCGGCGGCAATGGCGGAGGCCGTGGTGGCTTCGGTGGTGGTCAAGGAGGTCCCGGAGGTCAAGGTGGTCCTCCAGGAAATGGTGGCAGCGGTGGTGGTAACTGGAATGACTGGTCAGGTGGCTCAGTCGGCGGTGGCAGTGGTGAGCATACCTGGAGCGATTGGCAATCATCATCATCACCATCACCATCCCCTATCCCCATACCCGTCACAACAACAGCAATTCCTCCTCCACCCCCTCCCCCAGTTCCGACAACAACCATCTGCACAACGACATCCATCCCTCCACCACCCCCACCCCCTCCTCAGCCTATTCCAGAGACGACACATTCATGGGTCGATTGGCCATCCAGCTCATCATCAATTCCACCACCTCCTCCACCTCCTGCCCCAGCTCCGATCGAGCCTTCAACTACTAACATTCCTCCTCCACCAGCTCCCGAGACTTCTCATTGGGCAGATTGGTCCTCTGTTGAACCCGCGCCAGTTCCAACTTCGGTTGCTCCGGCTCCCGTCCCTGTTGTTTCTACTTCAGTGTGGCAAGATTGGTCCTCGACATCTGTGGAACCAGTTCCAGCTCCAGTTGAGACCTCTTCTCACCACTGGGAGGACTGGAGCAGCGCACCACCCGTGCCAGTAACGACTGCTCCTCCTCCACCTCCACCAGCACCAGTTACAAGTGCTCCCCCTCCACCTCCACCAGCGCCAGTGACTACTGCACCCGCTCCAGTCCCAACCACTTTCAAGCCATCGAGCTCTGTTCCAGTTGCTCCCGTTGTCAGCACTTTCACTGGAGGAGCTTCTCTACCCACTGGTGCCGTCAAAATGGCCGGAGCTGCTGCCGCCCTCATGGTTGCTGCTATCCTATAAATGGATGTCACTGCCTTTCACTCGATATTTTATTCAATTCATTTATCCCCCGCCCAAAACTGGGGGATCATATAAAAGTGGGCGGATCACAAATTGACCGTCGCCCTGCTTTACCTTTTACATCACCATCATGAAAACCAGCACCTAATGACATGAAATGAACATTCGACGAAGAGAAAGGAACTCATGATCACTCCTTTAGCATGAGAATTTGGACCCCTCCCAACAATTCGGGAGTCGGTGGGCAAAACGGGGGGCATACGGGAAATGAGGGCATTTGGATTGTCGGGAAAAATCCCCCCTTTTTTGGGACCAGAACATTTTTGAGGCGATGGGTTTTGGTCTCCACTGCCTCTTATTTTGAGCGTGGGACACATCAAAAATGTACGATATATATAGAATTCATACTCCTTTTTTGGGACCGCAGCAATGGATATATTGTTGAGAGATCATATCTTTTCCTGGTTTGAAAATTGTGTAAGGCATTTCTGATTCGACTGTGCGCAATCAAACCACGTTCTTTTGTCCCATGGAGAGCATAGCATTTTACTAGGCGCTATATCACATAGATTCAGCCAGAGATTGAGAGCCCAATGAAAAGGAAATCATCTAAATCCTTCAAGATCACTACTTCAGCTTTTCTCGTAGCTCGACAATTGCTTCTCTTCTCTTCTGGAACACCGGAGGACTCCATACCGCAGCAAACTGCCAATTGCACTCACTTGCTATGCTACTCAATTGTCAGTCTGTCGATGGCAGCCTTGACGTCGTCCCAGATCCCCGTTCCCGTCTCTGAGTGTAACACTGCCCATTGCATACCCAGCCGAGCGGGTTCACAATGTCTCATACTTCTCCGTTCGACATCTTCAGGTACTTTTGGTTACACTACACGACTATGCGGCCTGTGACATGGGTTCCTTGAGGCCCTTTGCATCCGTACTGCCTGGCCAGAGAAAAGCCATAATAAATGTCATGCTTGAGATGCTGGTCACGAGGCCTGATATTGATGGCTGTCAGCTCGGATGTGGATTTGTTCACGCACTCCCTGCTGGGAGCATAGGGATTGCTTTGTTCTTCGAAGAACCTCTAGGTTTCGAATCTGATAGAAAATCAGACATCAGGAAGAGTAATGCCTCCTAGCTCAATGTCGGCAGTGGAATTAGCTCTCTCCCCGATTTGATCGCCTCATCGAGCATCTCAATCCTGTCCTGACCCCAGAACGGCTCGCCCTTGTAGAAGAAGAACGGAGCCCCAAAGACTTGCTTCGCGACCGCCTCCTCGTTCAAGCTCTGCTCTTGCTTCGACAACTTCTCGTCTGCAAGCGCACTCTTGAGATACCTCTCCCCATCGAGCCCCGACCCCTTCGCCACATCGACAATCGTCTTCTCGTCCGCAATATCAGCTTCATTCGCCCACACCGTCTCCAGCCCCTTCCTCGCAAACTCATGCACATGCTCACTATCATGGCCCAAATCATCGATCGCCGCCAGCAGCACCCGATGCGCCAACGATGGATCTGCCGGGTAGAACTTTGGATGCTGCACGATCGGCAGGCCACGAAGTTTCGTCCATCGCTCCATCTCCACCAGGCGGTATGCTTGCCGTTGGGCCGCGCGCTGCTTGACGGGTAGACCTCCCGAAATGGAGAAGATGTCCATTATATTGATGGGCTTGTAGATGATCTGGGCGTTACGCTCCCGCACGAGTTGTTGGAGGCGTCGGCTGCCCACGTAGGACCATAGGGAGATGAATGAGAAGTAGTATTCAATCACAGGGCGACGCGTCATGGTGAATGATTGGTGACCATAAATACTGTCCTGTTTTCAAAGTCTTTGAAAATGGGATGTTGACTATTTCTCGAGACAGAAATTACAGTCCAATGTTGCGTGCTGTTGATGCTCGGCAGGTGGCAAAGTGCATTGATACCTACATGCCTACCCAAAGCTGGAACTGGGCGGTAGGAATAGTTATAAAGTCTCGGTGAAGAGCACTGAAGTTAGCGGCGGCGGCGGAGTTGGCCTACTCAAGGCTCATAGAGTTGGCTTGCTTGAGACAGTGGAAAACTACTGCTCAGCAACCCGTCATTCGCTCTACAAATTACAATCGTTATGGGCACATCCACGCCCAGCTCAGGCTTCAACACCACCTCGATTTCTTGGCCAAATCGTGCGACTTCCCCTCAACGCGTCTCAGAACTCCAAGGCGTCGTGCACAATCGCGGTACGCCTGGCAACTGGCGGAACAATCTGTCTAAACTCTAATCAATGTCCATATTATTGACTTCCGCTTTTATATCATGGTAAATTATGAACACATTGTTTAAATTATGTTCTCTGGGGAGTTGATGAAATTGAACTGAGCTATGGGTTATCTTTGCAATTCTCAGTAACAAGTCTATTTGTTTTCTCAAGCAGGGATGCCATAAAACTGAGCCTTCCGAGCATGCCCAGTTCCTAGGCTTACAATCCAGTCCCATGGGAATGATCTGAGGAGCTCATCGTCGGGCGCCTCCGTATTGAGGTAGTCCCCGGCTATTTCATTGAGCTCGTCAAAATAAATCACCCGGTCGCTAGGTTGTGCAAGGATATGGAACATCTTATCTTTGGGCCCTGTCTGAACCAGTCGACGAGCTTCCCACTTCTTTTGCTCTTCAACAGGGGGTAATTTAATGCGGCCTGACCATAGAAGAGCGGTTAAAAATGCTGATTTTTCCCAAGCGAGCCAAGCGAGCGTCCCAGTCGCTACACCAATGAAGGCGATGTTGGGATTATAGATATCAAAAATGTGCTGATATAAGCCTGGGACCCTCTGACCACTTGGCGCTGATGGTCGGATGTGGTTCAGGAACGGATAAGTGTAGAAATAGCCAGTGGAAAAGACTATCGTGTCGATGTCTGTCAATACGGCACCATTAGAGAGATGGATACTATTTCCATCGATGTGGGAAATTGTTGGCACAATTTCTATCCCTTTACGGTTGAAGACTGTGGGAAAGCGTGGGTGAGGAGTTCGCTGGGAGACGTACACAGGCGACTTTGCGTGCGGGAGACTCTGAAGCGTCACATCGATGGCACTTTCGCTGGATCCGACAACGAGAATGCTCTATATATCACACAGGTTAGCAGAGATACGACCCAGGGTGGCTTTATATTTCAATTTGCCTTACCTGTGCCTTGAACTCCTCCCCTGATCGCCATGTCGTACTATGTCGGAGTTGACCTTTCCATGTATCAAGCCCTGAGATAGCAGGTACATGAGGCACAGAGTTATGACCAGTAGCTACAATCAAGAAATCAAAGACTTCCTCGGACCAGGTATCTGTGAAATCTGCATTTTCGGTCCTCAAAATTAGTCTCAGCTTCTCGTCATCCGCGCCAACCTTTTCAACATTCTCTACCGTTGTATTGTAATGGATTAAATCGTCATATTGATGCGAGATGCTTGCGACACCTTCCACCAACTGAGTTGCCGAGAGGTAGGGTGCAAACTCCGGCATCGGGTCAGTAAGCTTGAAAGTAGAGGACCCCGTCATAACATCGAATGGAATGTTAGCGTAGAGGGAACTATACAGAGGGGTTGATGTATAGCGTTGTTGGGTATTGCGAGGGACGGTCAGCGGTAGGATACCCTCAGGCCGAAGGACCGGGGGATTGACTGACTCAGGATTCTCCGATGGGAAGTTTGGTACAGTATTAGAGACTTCGTCGTACACCCAGCTTCCTCCAGGTACAGCCTTTCGCTCAAAGATCTGGATCTCAAAGTCGTTTCCAAGCCGCTGGAATGCGCTCGCCGCCACGATGCCTGATATTCCAGCTCCAATGATGGCCAATCTCTTCCGGCCAGCGTGATCGCCAGTGCCGTTCGTTATACCGTTGCTAGCTCTCCCGTTGGTAGCCGAATCTGGTGCGCCGTCGGCTGTCCCATTCAAGCCTAAGGCTTTTACCCCCTGACCCGCATCATAATTCTTGTAGGTGGTATAGCCTTTCGCGCCATGCGTGTAGAAGGTATCGCGATCATACGGAGTCAGTTGTAATCCTAGGCGAACCCGATCCACCAAGTCTGGGTTCGAGATAAATCGTCGACCAAAAACCACGCCATCCGCAAGGTCCTCGTCCACCGTCAATATCGCGGTGGTTGAGGTGTAGCCTCCAGCCCCAAACAGCACGGTTGGAGTATAAGCTGGATCGACAGGCCGGACCTTTCGAAGCAAATCTCTGAATGGGCGCAAAGATATGTCCTCAGCGGATATACCTTTATCCAGAAGCCTTTTCAGATTCTCCTCGATATCCAGGTTCCTAGATACTCGAGCTTCACCCACATGCACGTATGCTACTCCACGTAGGGCGAGCTCGCGTGTCAAATGAAGCAGCTGAGCCAAAGGTTGAGACCCATCGGTCTCATGGAAACTGGAAAAGATTAATGTCAATCACAGTTCCTACATTTTATTACTTCTTTTTCCTCACTTTGAAAACGGGCTGATCCGGACGCCAATCTTTTGGTGCCCAAATATTTCAGCTATATCATCGATAACCTCGAGCACAAACCTCGATCGATTCTCTATCGAGCCTCCATACTCATCTGTTCGCTGGTTAATGTTGTCGTGTAAAAATTGATCAAGAAGGAAGCCATTTCCTGCGAGAATCTAGACCAGTCAGCCCGAGGCTGGTGCATGCAGATAGAGCAGCTCACCTCTATGCCATCTGCTCCTGCTCTTTCTGCGTTGCGGGCAGAGTTCTTGAAGTCTTCACGGATCTCCTTGATTTGCTCCTTGGAAACGGCATGAGGTTTCCCGAATGGTTCGCCAGAATGTGTGTTTATACCAGACTCCTCGACCTCAGAAGCAGAAAGAGATCTGTAGCCATAGGGCGGTGGCTCTGTGTGCCCAGCCCTTTCCCAAGCCAGTTTTACAAGAGCTGGGGAGGTGCATCGGCCCACGTGGGTGAGCTGGTGGAACCAGAAGGCCCCCTTTTCATGTACGGCTTCAACGATACGAGCTACAGCCCGAACCTGGTCCTCCGAGTGGAGTGAGGCAGAAAATGGCCAAGCCATCCATTCTGGCTTGCCACCGGTTGCTTGGGAGATGATGAGACCCCCTGGGGTAGCACGTTGTGAGAAGTACTTGACCGCTAACGGGCTTTCTTGGCCCTTGATGCTTCGGCTTCTGCCCAACGCGGCATGGACAATGCGGTGCTGTAAGGTGAAAGCTCCCACCTTTAAGGGTCGGAATAACTTTGACCCTACCCTGTCGTAGCCTGGAGGAAGTTGGAAATCATCATCTGATACATCTGTAAATCCACTCGTAGGGCCGCGAGCGTTCGCATGCGCTACGACAGCTGCGACCTGGGCCATTTCAGCACAGTCCAGCAACTAGAAACAGAGGGACGATGATACAACACTCTCTTTCTAATTAGTGGTGGGAAAAGAATTAGAATGCGCTGATGGACGAGAAATTCAGGACAAAGAGTAGTCCTAGCCTTGTTAATCAAGTCGTGCTTAACTTGCGCACTAACTTGTTGGAAGTACAATCGACCTACTTCGGCCGTAAACAGCTTTTACAACCTAAATGATTAGTGATTCGACAGGTTTAATGATTACTATTAGTGATTAAGTAGTCCTCGTTGCGCTGTTCAATGTCGCGAACGCTGTAAAGCATGGGGAAATTCCTTCGACATATGGGGTGATAAATATGGAAAAGCGCAAGAACGAGCATTGCATCAATTTCGGTCAAAGCTCGTCATTTTAGCCTCCCATAGCACCGAGTTGGCGTTATTTCAATGGTATGGGTCCACTCGCCACTCCACCTTAGTGGCGATTGCCTCTATTCAGGACCCACCATCGCATTCCTGTTGTTTTACTCGTACATCGAAATTGAATCTGGTTATCTACTGTGCAAGTAGGCTTACAATGATGGTCGAGAAGGGCCGCCGTCGAGTGTTGAGCTGTGGTCTATCAATACTACAACTAGCGTTCATACATCCAACTACCCATTGGAAACCCTATCTCAGTGGTAAAGTAAATACCACTAGTTTGTAGGTGGCCCTAGTTTCAAGCTAAGATTAGGACATACGATAACAGCAGAAGCAGTTCTGGTACTGGATCATGCGCTGCGAGAAATCGTCATCATTCTGTCAGAAGGAAAATTACATACTTACAAGAATGCACTTTGCACCGGATAGCAGATTCCCTCTCGGGACTATAGGAATCGTCGTAACAATATGCCAAATCTGCGATATTAGTACTTCTTGCTATGGCCAACATCCCACCTGTTGCATGCCGAGACCGTGGAGGCTTTGTATTACCATATAATAAGGAATACTTATGGCAAAACTGATTCCGGAAACAACGAAGTTCGGTCTCGCGTGATGCATTTACACGATCCTTGCATCTTTTACTATTTAATATTTGACCTATCTGCTCGTAGTCCTCTATGGTTATACCTGATGTCCTCTGTATTCATTCTATCTCGAATAATTGAATCCGCCGCTTTCACCTAACACCAGATAGCATGCATGATATGGAGAAAAAGGTCCACGAGTATGTGGTTTGCAGCTTGACGAAACAACTAGTGAAGCACTTCTGATGGATCTGAAAAAACGACAACACAAGCTAACTCACCTTAGAAACAAGATATCCTGGTTTGAGGAAGGGAGACAATGTGGCGCTGGCATACTACAACAAGATTCAAGGAACTGAGATACCTGAAGCGGACCAACAACGAGTACTGGGGAAAATTGACTACCACCTGATTATGTCGTATGTCTCGGCTTCATTATGCAATCTAGCTAAAGCACATACTGAGTCCACGTCTGTGCTTCCAGGCTTCCACCCGTTCCTGGTGAAAAGGAAGCTCATTGGAGGCAGGAAAATTTTGATGCTCTCGTCGTTGCTACGGGACATTATTATGTTCCACCATTTCCAGACCAGGCATTGCTGGCTTGGTTGAATTTGAGGAAAGCTTCCCTGGCAGTATCAGGCATCCTGGATACTACGATACAGCAGAAGATTATCGAGACAAGGTCAGTTTCTGTATCTTATTTCAATAGTCTGCTGGATGGCCACGTCTGACCCAGTCGTTCTGCAAAGGTTGATGGTAGTTGGCGGCTTAGAATCGGCATTTGACGCTATCCATGATAGCTCATCAGCGACCAAACACCCGGTCATCTCATCGGTGAGGAGTATATCACCGCTGTGGGGGAAAGGTGCCATTCACCCATCCGAACGTCGATAACCGTCCAACAATCCCTCTTTTGATCCTTCGACCAAACGGATCCCCTTTGGGGATGGGAGCTCATTCGGTGATATCGACATCGTTCTCTTCGCGACCAGTTACGATTTCGATTTTCCGTCCTTGCAGGATGTGCAGCCGAAAAATGGGCGCACCCTAGGCTGTACCAGCATGTCTTCCATGCCAAAGACCCAAGCCTGGCATTCATTGGAATGGTAGACTTTCTTCTATGACGATCTTCGTCCACGCGACTGTTTTCATTCAATCATGATCTAAGCGCTGATCTTCACTGCACAGGTTACAGGAGCCTTCGGCATTCGAGGTTTCGACTGGCAAGCAGTCGCTGCAGCGCGCAGTCTCAGTGGTCGTGCGTCTCTACCATCGTGCGAAGAGATGAAAATGTGGGAAATCAAAGACTGGCTACAGACGGAGACGGCGGATCATTTTGGGCTTTGATGCCAGATTTTGAAGTTTTTAAGTCTGTTTTGAGGTACCGAGAGTCATTGCGGGAAAGCTTGAAGTCGGCACCATGGAGAGAATGCTGCCAAAGTACGTTTCGGTGTGGGCAAACTTGTTCTGGCGATTGATTGACAGAAGAAAGAACTGATGGGATGCTGAAGCTAGGAAGGCTGTTGAAGTTGTAGCAAAATTTCCCAGCCACTGTTCAACGTCTTATTCGGGATATTTCCAGGTTAAGCTAGTAGTTAAATAAGCGGGTAGTATCTGGGCGCGTCGGGCCGTCTGGGAGCTAGCAGCCTAGCCTAACCTCTTAACTTACGATCATCAATGGACGGGGACGACAGGTAAAACTATCCATGGGGAATTCCCACCTAATCAAAGAGCCTCGGGTTATAAAGGAACAAAGTTGAGGCTGTAAGAAATCAATTCGATTATGACTGTTGAATGATTTGGACGGCCGATCGATAACCCGACCAACTGGCCTCTGGAGGAGGCCGCTTCCAAACAGGCATCAGTCTGAGCCTCAATCTGAAGTCTCAGATACGAATCCGGGCGCTTACAACTATCCTTCTTCTTGATCATTCTGAGAACTCTGTCACCCTGAGTATACACAACATGAATGTCTTCAATATGTTGCTTCTACTACTCGTCTCCGCGTTCTACGGAATTGCTGCGAAAGGTAATTCCATATCGAATAGATTCACAGTGTCGAAGGCTAACACGAGGACAGCAGAACTGATCTCTTCCACCAGCTTAAGCCTATATTCCGATGAGAAAGCCCTCTCTCCGATGCCTCTGGAAAACCGTGGTGGTTGGGTCAATCCTGAGGACTTGGATCCTATGCCTCAGTGCATTGCTCAGCAAGACCAATCCGTCTGGCTGGATGCTATGACGAAATGCACCAGCAGTCGATGCACAAGACGTTTCACATTCATATGCACCCATACGCAGTGGCTGACCCAACTCAGCTGCCTGAGCTCTGCATTCTCCCCCGGCCTTGTCAGAAACTATCTTCCGCAGTGCGGTCGGTCAGTGCTCGCTAAGATACAGCTGAACAACTGGATTTCCAAGTATACTGGTCGAACATGGCTGGTCGATATCGGCGATGCGGACAACCTACTTCCCATCTCGCCTGAATTCTTAAAAGATGGACTCACCACAGTCGATGTGCTCAACAAGGCGCCAACATGCTTGACGAGCTCGGATTCTGCTTCGTCGATGGAGGCATTTGAGCATATCGCGGCGTCCTGTGGCTTCACGAGCTCCACAGAGGAGACTGGCGATATCTTTCGTTCTTGGGAGTATGATCAGTCTCTGAGATCGATGATTGCTCTGGAATATGAGACCGCTGGGTTGTACGAACTGACTGGGCATAGTGTCCGACATGGCAACTATTTAGATAAGAAATGCTTCTGCGGTGCGTATGAACTGAACCCAGAAGAGGAGCCCTGTTCAGCGCCAGAAAATATAGACCTGACGAGAGGACGTTTGTGGATGAACGCCACCTGTGGGCCAGCATCTCTACCCAGAAACTGGGAGGATACAGTCAAAACAACGGGATGGAGGTACATCCCTATCGAAGACTGGGGGTGGCCAAATTGGGTTGCAGATGTTCCACAACATCTAATTGGGCTTACTGGCGAATGCTTAAGTGATGCCTGTGAGGTCGACTCCCAGGGCTACTGCGACAGGATCATCCCCTCGTTTGACAGAGCTTGCTTTTGCCATGCCAGCAATTACGAATCTTGTGGCGACCAGTGCCAAAATTTCGACAACAGAATAGATTATGTCAATTGGCTTCATGATCTTTGTGGAGATGTTCAGGATTGGCACGGCCTACCAGATAACTGGCGTGATCTGACTGAACCTACCGCGCTTGAGCTGATTCCCTGGCAATGGACCCTCAAGCCATTCAACAACACAAGCCTAGATTGCACGACCCATGGGGAATCTTCTGAGCCTGGAGCCACATGTGCTGCGACTGTATGGAAGTTCGGAAGCCTTGCTCTGGTCAACATAGCTACTTTATTCATTGCTATCTTGACACCCGGTACTCGCAAGTCACAGGACGGACGAAATCATCTTCGGCGCTCACGGCCATGGTATTGTACGGGAATATTTATGGCGGCACTTCAAATCTCTGCTATTGGACTCAACGCACTTCTTACCCGGAGCACCCCTGGATACGAGGACATCTCCGCGGCTCAGTTGATACTTCTCTGGTGCACAATGCCTCGCCTAACTTCCCTAACAGCGTTGATAGTTGATTTCACATCCCGCAAACGGTTGACTTTCTCTGGGATTGCGGCACCCCTGTTTGCGGACACAATTCTGCAGGCCTTATCCTCGTATTACATGTTCATGACTTTCAACTATGGCTGGGAGCACAAATTCTACTGGGGATTCATCGAAAAACTCAAATATTCGCAGTCAGCACAACTCATGTATGCAGGGGCATATTTATGGCATGCTGCTATTCTTGTGACAGTAGCTGTGCTATTGAGCTTGTTGAACCGGGATGGAAATTGGATGAGAGACAAGAAAACATGCCCCCGGATATGTGAGGTTAGGATATTAGAGGAAGCGGGCTTAATGAGCAACCAGCATGGGATTCACACCTCTTATGGCACTATCACTATCGATCATAAAGGTAACCCGGTACCCAAGACAGCGTTGAAGGAACTGTATACTATCTCAATGATCAGCATGGTCTTCCTTTGGGGTTTCCAATGGCTTTTCTGGATTGGGTTTATTGGCCTGGCTCTAGACGAGTATGTTCCCCTCCATGGCTCGGAGTTTGAATTCGCTAACCGGCCCAGGTTTTGTCCTCCAAATCTTCTCACTCTTACAGCTGTTTGGGTCGTCTTCTCATGGGTGGGTATCCTTGTCCGGGTCGCTTGACATCACCAGTCCTCTGGAAGTTGAACTTCATTCTTCGTACAGGCCGACTAGGTAGCCTCTTACACCTTTCCCAGAGAAGATGAAGACACGAGATCTTGGTCTGTCTCCTACTAGAGGATGGGGAAAGATATGGGAAGTGGAAGTCCATTGGTTATTTTAGAGAAGGAGCAACAAGTCCAATTATCTTCATTCCAAGTTAGCAGCTTATTCGATTAATAGCAACGGCAACATCTCGAATAGGAACAAAGAAATGAAGGCGATAAGGCTGAGGAAATGAGAGGAAGAGGTGCCCGTAGATTATCGGTGCCATCGTTCCATTAGATCCAACTCTTGCTTCCTCTCATGAAAATGACTTATAGCGCAACACAATATGAACAAGTTTTGCATTGAGAATCTACGACCACTTAGTATTACGTCTAGTCCATCTAATTAGCCGCAACCTGCCCAGGGTCACATCGTGTTTACAACTGCTCCACACCTGCTTCGCTCACACCAACAGGGAGGTGATTGAAAGAGACGACGTCAGATTTCAGCACCGGTCGTTGGGACAAGATTCTCAACCCTCCAACGCACAAGTATTATTTGATTGCCAAGTGAACCCAGAAGAGGTTGCTCAGCCCCTTGGTGAGGGCCGTCGTGGTGAAGAAATATGCTACTTTTAGAGATTTTTTCTCGTTGCCCACGAACTCTGAGGGAGCATCGCGCTCTTTGAAAAAAAATAGAATACTCGTCAAACATCTCCAGCGTCCTTTGTGGCGAGATCTTTCGTTTTCATGTTAGTGAAGATGCGAAGTCCTTCATATTACACTCACTACTTGGTTCTGGCAGCTCACCGGTTGCTCAACGCGATGATGGAGGATCAGATGAGAGAAGCTTCCGAAGAGCGAGCGAGACTCGAGGAGGTTGATCACGACACATCCACTCATTTCGCCGAATATCTCTATGGAGGTGATTACAATCCAGCAGAAGCCTTGATCATACTAGGGCAAGAAGAGCAAGAAGACGAAGAAGAAGCCTCGTGCAAAGGTGATCGCCGCGCCGGTGAGTGTACATCCGTATCTGCTTTTGTTGAAATTCGATTTCTCTCAGCTAGTGCTCACTTTTTGATGTAGGCAAAGAAGTCTATCTTCTGTCAGTTGATCCTGATTGTGCAGTGCTTTCCAGCTACGATGGCACAGCCCGTTTAAGTAGATATTAATTCTTTTATATTCGTCGTCTTGACAAAGGCGCTCGGGAAAGATACCTATATTAATTGACTCGATTACACAGACCAGATACAGTATCACTGAAAGAAGCACGCGTATATATGTGCATGAAACTGCCCAATCCAGCTGCACTTGTATGCTGACACAAATATAAAGTGGCCGTTGGGAATCCCCTTGGCCCCCTAGCCAATTATCTAGGGAGTCTTGACAGTGAAAAACGAACCATAAGAAAGAAAACGCTTCTCATATCCTTCAGTCCCTAGCGGCCCAGCTTGTACTTAACATCATGCCATGTCGAATTACGTTTCTCAATCATGACGTTGTAGCTCGGCAATATGGACGCCGTGAGAGGCCAATGGTTTGTCATGGGTGTAGCTTTGAAGGGATATACTTTCAATATCCCTTTCATCCGCGTCGGAATGGGAGCGTGCGTGTAGTTGCTTAGTTGATTCTACACGTTGACCATTGTTTGTTCGGTATGCACGAGAGGATCTGTGGTGAAATGAATTTGACCCAATGGGTACATGCATGTTGGAAATTTGGTGGGAGATTCGGCTTTTTAATAGGGCCTTCAACGCCGGGGCTGAAGCGCAGATAATGGCAAGATGTGCTTCAATATCTGTGAGGATCTGATGAACACATTAGTCCGGATCATAGAAAGAGGTAGAAAGAATTACGAAAGTTGGCCAGCCTAGCCAGGTAGTGTCATGGGTATCAGGACCAGGTTGATAGTTTATAGTGACTTCTGCCAAAAAGTATAGTCTTGCACAGCCGACAACAGCAGTAAGGAGGCCAGCAGAGAAGAGAATATATAAACCTATGCGTTGCCGAGTTGTGAGCGACAGCCTTGCTGTTAGTGACATAGGCAGCACCGATGCATATATATCGGAGAAAACTGATGCAACTGCGCCGAGCATAATAGGAACGCGTTCATTGCCACAGGTATACTTTTTGGAGTAGGTCAGACTGTAGGAGTTCCAATAGGAATCTAAAGGTCGGCAGACTAGGCTGATTTCCAATATAAGAGCGACAGTATACATTACTGTAAATGCAATAGCGGCCCATGTCAATCTGATAAACCATAAGTTGTGGCTACCAGAGGATATCTTTCGATATACGAGGAGAATGGAAATTTTCGTGCAAGCTGTTCCAAGAAGAAAGAAGAATTCAATTAACCAGACTGCAAGTCGAATATATGTGGCTCGATCCGGCGGAACATCCCAAAGGTGCTTATTCCAACCCCATGTTGTTAGGGCTTTGTATTGTGCGTGTGTCTGTCCAATTGAGAATCCCTACTCGTGTTAGTACTTTTAAACACTAATCGAACTGTACATACATAACCGGCAAGGAGCAGTATATCATCGATACCTGCAGATCTAAGGAGGTAATGTCGAGAGTACAATCTGAGAGCAACCACGACTGTGGTAACAACGGAAGTAACAATGAAGATAGACGCGTTACCGCGTGTCTCTGGGTTCTCGTAGTTTGGGGCTGGCCAACTTGCTGGCGGATATGTAGAAGGCTCCACAGGTGATGACATGAGGATGCAAATCCCGTAAGCTTACAGCTGACAAAAGGTTCTGATTGAAACTAATGATTAAAAAGTAGGGAAAACTCGAGAGAAATCCAGGTATAATACTCTTCTTGTACCCAACCCCGCAAGTCTGGTAGACACTATTCATGCAAGAGCCACTTTCCCCTGATTTCACTTACGTTGTTCCCCGTATGCTTGTGGAGGTGCGGAGGGTCCTTCTCGTTAGTCAAAAACTTGGGGTTTTGGGGGATGAAGGCACAAAATACAAGGTCGAGATCGATTTGCGGGATATTGCAAGGAAAACCTGCAAGGGGGAGAGGCAAAAAGACGGTAGCAGTTCCACAGACGAACTGCCTCACTACGCCCGTTGAACTGCGAAGCATAGTTGTTCAACACACTGCGACGATTCAGCCTCATATTTTCGAGCACGACGCCGGCCACGGAGTTGAGTACCAACCTATCAGGTCTTGGGGATTTCTCTCATCTCGATAACATCAGCCCGATGTGCAGCACCCTCGCTCGAAACGAATATTATCACAATCCGGTATAATGTTTGAAATTGCCCCAGATTTCCAAAGATCGGCATCACATGTTGCCAGGGCACATTCGAAAGAAGTGCTAAAGTGTGGAGACTGGGCCGGTGGTTGTGCCAGATCGGGAAGCCCACCTCCGCATGTGCGCCATGTCGTCCGAAAAGAGTTTGTGCTTGGAGGACGATGTGAGCATTACCAAATTCCTTGACGAGATCCTCTCTGAGAATGAGTAAAATGAAACAATTGTTTATCGGCTTCTCTGTTTGCATTATCAATCGATTGCGCCAGAGTTCTGTTACCCCGCTCACTCGATGTTTCAACTGTGTGCCGCGCCACTAACGAACTCACAACAAGCCACAAAATTCCCCACAAATGTAATCTATCATTTTTCCTTTGAAGAACATTCTGGGGTAGTGGAAAAAGTGTATTATGACCTATTACTGAGCGGCCCATCATTCCGCAAGTCAATTTTCAAGAAGATTGCTAACGGTTTTCACTCACAAGTGAGCTAACGCATCTATATGCGGAGTACTGTAAGCTTCAAGAAAAGTGGAAACTACGGCAAGACTGCCCGTGCCGTTGTAGTGGGAAGCTACTACCTATTATGGGTGATATTCTTGACGCCAAGTCAACGCGTTGCTGCTGGCTCAAATAGGGCATAAGATGTGCGCAAAACGAACCGAGGACTGTGGAATATCTGCCTGCGATAGGACAGCATACCCACCACACAAGAGCTTCAGAGGCTAGTTTTCAGAGACTCCAGACAATGGCGTCAAGCCTTGTGGTTTCGTAAAATGTAACAATACAAGTCATGATTGAAGAAGGAACGGTAATAGGTGAGGAAGTGGCAGAAGTTGTTAGGCGCGTGCAGTCCTCGCACTATGAAAATTTCAGAAACACGAACGCACGATTTACTGGTCGTGGCGGTTGTCCTCGATCCACAACTGATCCTACACTCAAGCCCTGCTTGTATTTCCCCAGGGTCTGTGTAACAGTAGATCTATAGCACTCACCTGGGCACGGAAGGTGCGATGCCAATTCCCCGATAGCCAGTGTTGCCATACTTGTACCAGTGGCAAACTTAGGTCATGCAGCCACAGGGTGTTTCCAAGTCTGGTACGAGATGTAGGCTTGGAAGACAGATGCTCCTAACGACAAGAACCCAAGCAGGACTGCGAAAAGCACACCTATCAACGTGGCAAGCATGATATATCTGGCGCCGCTCCTTCGTTCCAACCACTTCTCGATGAGGCCATCTGGGGACGGGTTCTCGATTTCTTCGTATAGCTCAGCCATTCGAGCACCGAAGTAGCGATAAGACACCTCTTCTTCACCTGGAACTCGTAAGGAACTGAACTCGAACTGGAGACATTCTGGGTCGAAGTTCTCTTTCGATACCAATGAACGCAAAATTGTCCGTGACCTGGCGTCCGAGTGCCGGAAGAGGACTTTCTGGATCGAGTCCAGGATCTCGAGAGCGATCTGCCGTGGCACTGCGCATCTAATCATCAATTCGTATCTGATACGTGAGCGATTCTGATGGGCATAACACTTGCAATTTCAGCTGCTTGGTCATAGTCATGTTTGGATCCTGTCCACGCGTACACCGCAGATTTTCCTTGAGGAAAGCAGCATGGTGGAAGATCTGCACAACGCGTCGTTGTCGGTCGAGGATTAAGTGCTTCCGCATGTCGTCTGTGGCCTCAAATTTGTACTTTGCCTTCTTCATCACCTGACTTGCCGTCAAGTTCGTACGAACAAGCATCTCACCATTTATGTGCTGTTCGGTGGTTTGGGGCGCCAGTGGCATAGGGGTGGGAAAGCAGCTCTCAATGAAATCGCTGAAGGTCGTCTCTGCCGACCAGCCTTGAAATGTAGCCCCATATTCAACAAATCCTATTGATCTGTTTTGTGGCTGGCAGTTGATCATGGTCATCACTCGGACTGCAAGATCAATTGCTCTATCACGATCTTCTGACCGCATTGGAGATTTGCAAAGAGCACTTCCAATCAGCTGTGTCTCAATCAATTCAATGCGTGTCAGGTCTGGATGGTCACGGATCGCTTGAACAAGGATGTGTAAATCGGGGTGAGAGACTGTTGCGCCGGTTGGAAGATCTACCCCATATCTCTTTGATAGCCGCTTGTAGAAGTTCAAGTACGGAACAAGTTGTTGTATTCGCTCGAAAGGACAGCCGAGCTGTTGACAATAGCAAGGAACATCGTGCCTACGTGCTGTCGTGGTTGCTGGGAAGACCCACAAGCTTTGGAGTAGACTGTCTATATGTTGCTTTGAACAGTTGGTGAAAGGTCCTGTTGGGGTCGCCATGGCTGATTAGTAATGCGCAAGGCTGTCGGGTAGGCCCGACACTTCATTTGATACTGCAGTATAAAATATCAGCAACGCTGTCGCGTCAACAAAGCCATTCTAACAGAAGCCTTTTCAATTGATCTGCTAGTCCAAAGCCAAAAATTGCTGTGATGTTGCTGGCAAACCCAGCATGCGAAAAATGCAGGGATCGTGCCCACTGCCCAGTGAGCCGGCGGTTGCGTTTTGCAAGGCAACTGCAGTAAGTTTGTATGATTGGTTTATGCCTGTTTGTGGCTTGAGAGCAGGAACCAAGGAACCTCAGTCGGTAAGGCTGACTCTGACGATGGAGCAGAACCCCGCCATATCATATCTACGCTTGGCATTCTAGTTCGAGGGAAGTTGTCGCAGAATTGAGGCTGTGTCCAATGTGGGCGGATTTTCAGACCCCAGCCAGGTTCTGGCACCGCACAACCTGAATCTGGGAAACACCGACCCAGGCATTGTTCTGCTCCTGAACTCTGATAGCACCAAATCTTGATACTGGTGATCTCTGGCATTCTACTTCCATGTCCAGCACAATGGTCTTGACAGTGCAAGCGCCACCTGCAGGATCAATACACATCGCAGACACTGATGATCCCGAAGTGGTCCTGGCCACCCTGTCTACCGACGATCCTGAATCGTCACGTTGCAGAACCCGAAGCCTGATCGATGGGACACGAAGTTCGACAGAGCGGCCAAACACAGATTCGGGCTATGGGTCAACTACCAGTTCACCAGAACCGAACCAAGAGAGCACGAGCACATCATTCTTCAAGGATAAAGCAAAGCATTTCAAAACGCGAGTATTTCCAAGAGAGAAGAAAGTTCTGAAGCAATATAATAGAGGTTTAACCCCCATTGAGGATGTCCGGTACGCCGATCTGCAAATCTTGTTCGCCCATGCTTTACCAGAGTGGCTCTCAAATCAGAAGAAGACGCCTTCCACAATTGAGATGAGGGTTGCTGTGATGGGTCAGACTGAGGCTTCTACAGCGCTCTTCATTCTTGTAGCTTGTCAGAAGCCAATAGTCAAAACTGTAAGACAGTTCTTCGCGCAAAAAGCGATCAAGGATGAGCTTGAACCGTTGAACAAAGTATGGCCGAAATTCGAGGTCATCGTCCGGCAACAATTAGCCCTGTTTTCCGCCAATGAAGCGATTTCTGTCTGGATGGAGCGCACTCCTAGTTGCCACGGAAATCACATCATCATGAAAACAAAGAAAGGGCCGAAAGTCTCAACTTTTGGAGGCGTCTTGTGGTTGAGGGATGCCAAGGGTAGTGTCAAAGACCACGGACTGACTGTTGGCCATGTTCTCTGCGAGCAGGAAGATGCTTTGGAAGCACGCATTGCTGAGTATGGTACCATACGAGATGAAGATCGCGTGGAAATAACGGTCGAGTGCAAAGATCAAGTCACAGATTCCACGGACTTCGTTGACTTAAACCATTCCATTTCATTCGCGTATGATGAGGATGATGTTGACGACGACGACGACGACGATTACGAAATTCCAAGTTGGGAGATTCTAGGTAAGACACGAACCAAAAACTTGGAGCAAGACTCGCAGACCCCATTTCCAATCCATATTGGCAACGTTGGTGCGAGCTCATTCACAAACTCGGCCCGTACCAAAGTTGGTAGAAGATACTGGGCTCTGATGGATCTCACTCCGGAATACTACTGGGACGTTATCTCTTACCGATCAAGATTAATCACGAATGGTCTAATGCATCGCTTGCTGACCCAGGTTGCCAGTGATGATAAAATCTCGACAGCGCAGTCGAAGGATGTTATTGTGGCCCGAACAGGACTGATGGATACTCATGGTTATCTGAAAAAACAGAGGAGCGCTATCATATTCGGATCTGACACTGTTTTTACCGATTTGTACACGCTCACAGGCTCGGTAGCTCATGGTAAGTAAACGATCTATGGCAGATGTGGAAGAACGTTCTGATCGAATGTAGCTTTAGGAGAGGGCGATAGTGGTGCTTGGGTGTACGACAGTAAGTCCTATGAGGTTTACGGCCACGTAATCGGCAAGGGTCTTTTCGGAGATGTCTTGGTTATGCGTATGCCTGCAATCGTAAGAGATATCGAACAGACAATGGACGCGTCTCTGGTCTAGCTGTATGGAGTGGCAGTCGAGGAGACCGACACCGCCGACAGCACTTCTTCTAAGCGGCTCAACGATATTGACAGAACGTTGGCTGCCTTCGAGGTCTTGGGAACAGGCCATGCTACTGACGTTAGGGATGACCGACATGGCTTTGAAGAAGAAGCATCGTCACAGTCTCCAAAAGGGTTGACAGTCAAAATCTCGTTACCCACGCACCTGTCCCGGACGAATCGATGGGAAAATTTCTTTCTCATTGGTCTGCCCCTATTTATTTTCAACTCTATTCTCTCCATGTGTGTGTCCGGACTTGCGCTCATGACATCATGACCCATGGTCTCCTGGCTCGCCGAAGGTCGATTTATCTCTCCTTTTTTCTTTTTAATTCTTGAAATTCAGAATTATAGCTCGAGAGTGCTACTGGACAGCGTGTCCTTCTTCAACTGGCTGATTGGGGTAGCATTGCTGGTTGTGGCAGCTGGAGTCGTGATGCGGATGATTTGGGTGTTCGTGACAGAGTATCAGGACCACCATCAGCGACGCAACTCTCAGCCGCGAGCAAGATTCAACTCTCCAAATCATGAGCCCGAAGAGGCTGGTGAACTAAAAGTTCAGGTGGACAAACAGGGGGAAACGGAAGCCTCAGGCTGAAAACCAAAGATATGCCGCTAGTCTTCCTAAATCCGTTGCAACCTAAAAGATACCAACAACGTCTGCTCCAGACGGCCGGGCAGATAGGAATGAATCACACCAACCGAGAACCATATACAGGCTGAAACAAGTGATCGAGCGGTCCTTTGCAGAAGTTTGGAATGTCGGGTAGGCCAGAACCGCACCATGTTAGGGGTTTACGCCACGAGTAGCTACCGGAAGTATGTGGAGAGAAGATCGTTTCTCGCAATATGTATGAAGCAATTTCTGAGACGTGCAAAGTAAAAGGCGAGATAGGTTCTGTATGCAGTGTTGCATTGCAGGAAGCAACCTCAACAAGCTTGTGTCAATTCGTCAGGTCGTGCTATCTTCAGAGCTATAAGTACATCGATCAAACACTCCGTGCTACCAAATTATCCCTGAGACAATACTGCGGACAAAGAAGGAAAAGGAAACGCCGAAAAGGCTCTGTGCCCGCAACCCGTTCGTTTCTTCTGGCTGAAAAGGACCGAACTTGCTTCTCGTCGATAAGTGCCCACGTGTATTGCGTTGGTGAGAATGCAAGACTTATGAACGCATCCAATGATAAAACCTTCGACACTCCAACGGTTTTATTTGTATTTGATGGGAATCATCCAGCAAACGCCCCTTACGCCGTCACAACTCCCCGCCGATGAGTGAAAAGCAAATGAATTTGTAATCATATTTCTGATTGATTTTCAAGAGTTGACCGTCTGGATTTCTGTACTGTGGGTTCATTCGTAGGCGTGGCAAGGCTGGAGCTCTCGCGGATTGTTGGCCTCCTGACTAAGGTATGGGTGGGTGGCAGCTGTGCCTTGGTTGATGAAATGACGACGACTAAAGCCATGGCTAGACGTATGCTGAATGTAGGATGTGCACGGGGCCGAGTTGAACTGATTGGAGTTGCAGAGTGGTCGAGTGTCTTGATGTTGCACAGGTTGCGTGCGGTGTATGGGACAGCCTTTTGTATATCTTGCGGGAGCTAACGGATAGCCCCATTTCTCCGAGTTTCCCCGAACTATCCCCGGATGACACAGCTCGCCTGGAGCAAAAAAGCCTCACGGGGCAACGACGTCAATGGCCCGGTCAAAGGGAACAAGCTTATCGTTCTAGAAATCCCCCGGTCTGCAATTCCGTGGTCCGGAGACCTCTCCCCATGGAGGTATCCTGGGGTGACGAGATTGCACATGTAAGAGATAAGCTGCAGCGGTGGCGTCATTTTCGCGATAGAGACAAAGCCGTGCTCACTCCACTGCTATCATTGCCTGATAGCAATCCAGAAGATTCTAGTGGTACTTGACGTCGAATGATACTCCTCACATCCGACTTGTGCGGCTAAGATATGTGGCACCGTTTCGAGGGTCTAGACTTGGTGATGACGTTAAGACGTAAGCTGAAAGACTGCATGTATTGGCGAGTGTATCAATTGCAAACCGCAGTTCAATGCCTGCGGGCAAGAGAGTGGTATGCCAGACTGATGTAAGTCTCGACGCCGAACAGGACTGGGGAGACGAATTGTGAAGGTGGTCATTTGTCGTAAATAGTTGTGGGGGAAGAGTGTATCAGGTGAGTGGTGCTTTTCACCCTGAGATGCTTGGGCTGGCTTCGAGATTCTCGCTGGCACCTTCTTTGTTCCCTTTGATCGAGTCCACGAACTCTTTTGCCCATTCCTTTGCCTTCTCAAGCTCTTCGTGTATAAACTTCCACCAGCTACTTTTCTCTTCAACTGCACCATCCTCTGGATTGTCCTCTGGAGTGCCTTCTGCATCATCGGGTTGTGTCTTACCCTCCGTTGGATCTTCTTCTGCTACTGGGTCGTCGTTCTGGCTTGCATCGGTGTTATGATCCACGGGATCACTTGGGACCTCAGGCACAGAAGTATCGAAATCACTATGCAGTCCAATCGTTTTCAGAGGAAGCCTGAGCGTTCCATTGTTTGAATGGGGAGCCATTCCCAATGAATCGCAGACGATATTATAAACCTCAATATTCTGGAACACCTCGACACGACTGTTCGGCTTGTGTGGGAAGGCTGGACCTCGAGCAACGAATATAGCGCGCATGAGAGGATGCTCATGATCATAACCATGAAGTCCCCTTGGTAAGTATTCTTTCCCATTAGCAAGCGCATCAGCAACGTCAAAGTCAGGTCTTTCAACCACTGCCCATCCAGTTTTTGGAATCACCCAAAGAGGCGCAATTCTCTCATTGTTGGAGAAATGGTAACGTTCTGGCATCGTCTCCCGGGTGTAGACATCAAATGTCCCAGCCTTTGCTGCCTCCCTCGAGAGTTGGTCATACAATATTGGGACATCACGCTCAGGGTTGTTCAATCGAAGACCCCGAAGTGGCCAGCCATCAATATGATCGACCAACGACATGTCTATCATATCGTCAAGTTGAATTAGCCTTTCTGTAGATGTAGTAGCCATTCCATGATCGGACACAATCACTATATTGACGATCTCAGTCAGATTGCGATTGAAGAGACCTTCGACAAGCATAGTAAGCATGCTGTCGACATCAGCAATAGTGGCACGTATTTCAGTACTGTTGGGTCCATATTTATGACCGTCCGCGTCAACATCCGGTACATACGCAGCAATGAGTTGTGGTCGCTTGTCAGCGTCTGGCGCCGCATTGTCATCATCACCCGGAAGATCCAGCCAGCCTAGTATTCGCTCCACCTTCCGTGGCAATGCTTCCGACCCGTTGAACTTGTCGAGATATGTTGGGTCAACATCAGGAATATGGGCTTCAGAGCCTGGCCACATGTGAATCGCAGTACGGACCTTCTGATCCTCGGCGGTGACCCAGAGAGGCTCAGCAGTCCACCACTTTGGCTTCATCGAAACACCAATGTTTGTGTAGTAGAACTCTTCTTCGAATGTCGGGTCCCAGAATTGGTTACTAACAATGCCGTGACTTTCTGGGTAGAGTCCTGTAACGAGAGTAAAGTGGTTTGGGAAGGTAACTGAGGGAAATGAAGGTAGCATGTACTGGGGTGAGACACCACTGCCAATGAAAGCGTTCAATGCCGGGGTGATGTTGCGCGTGAGGAAGTCGGCGCGGAAGCCATCGAGGGAGATCAAGATAGTGGTCGGCCGGAAGTGGTGTGTACCATTGGAGGTCGTGATAAGACGGTGGTGCGTCGGTGCAAGAGTATATTTCTTGGAGGCTTTGTATGCACCAGAGACCAGGGCAATGAATAGAGCAATAATTGCCAGATAGACAATGGCCAGCCGCCCTCGATGTTTCTTGACTGGCAATTGGCGATCCCATTTCGTGCCTCGAGTTTCCGAATCTGAAGACGACTGCGAACTTGTGTTCTTGAAACCTCCCTCCATCTCAAACATATCAGAGTCGCCAGACAGTCTTGTCCTAGATTTCCTAGCTTTTCTCCTCTGTTTCTTCTCCTTTTTGGCGGTCGCAGTCCTCTTCTTTCCATTGCTCAATCCGAGGAACCCTCGGCTTGGCTTCTCGAGGAGTCTCTCATGTTCCTCCGGCTCGTCGAGAATATCCCTGTCGGTATCTTTCACTGCATCAAGATCTCCTGAGTATCCCTCGTGGCCACTATCGGCCTCTGAGGCTGTGTCCGACCCAACGAGGGTAGCATCGTTGTCGTACTGGTTTTCAGCTAGGAATGCTCGAGGGTTGCGGTCGCCGTCCATGATCGCTGAGTTGACTTTTGAGGCTTTAGTATTGGCCAAAGTAGGTGATCACGCTGCTCACATGATTGAGAAGGTCTTCAGAGACGCGGTGTTGCACAGAGTAGGTGTCTGCGTTGAAAATGTGCACGGACTGCGGCGGTTCAATGCAAGGATATTTATCTGCCGCACCCGCATTCACAGCCGCCCCTAAACTTATGACCCCTGATTGCGCTAGTGGTAAGGGGATAACGCTTATCAAACACTATCAGTACAGGTTCTACCATCTATCCGTGAACTACAATCGACTATGCCTTGCCCTGCTTCTGAAACTGGAATGACAATCTCAGGGCAAGCAACATCCAAGTTTGAATGCGGTCGGCTTGCTAGGAAGGGCTAATCAACTCCTCCACACGCTGACAACACTATCAGTAAAGCGAATGTTTGGCCCTTCCCAGGTCCGAAAAAGCATCATAATCCTGAATCCACCATTTACATTAGTGATCTGAAGGGGGAAAAACCGGACGGAGAATTCATTTTATTCTAAACATCTGGCCCCTTGCCAACATCATTCGCTCGGTGTTGGCGCGGACTGACGACAAGGACTTCGCAAGCAGCGCGTCACGTCGCCAACCACCAAGGTATGAGCGCCCCAAGCATGGCGCTCACATGTATGTGCAGAACGGTCACTATCCCTCTAGCACAGTTGCGACTTCGCCACCACGTGTGAGTAAGTCGACATCAGCCTCAGGATGTCGGTTGTAGGGGCCAACTAGTTCGAGTTTTGGGTAGAGCACGATCGCTTTGTAGTTTCGTCTAAATCTGTCGTCTTCCTGCGGGTCCGTCATGATATAGGTACCTCGTAAGTTGACCACTTCCTGGAGCACACTTCCCATCACCCACTTCTCCCATTGTCCTGCATTAAACGTCGTGGGCAAGATGCACAACTCGAACAAGTCGGGTTCCAATTGCGAGGCATACAATAAATTAGCGCCGCTCCGAGGATGTTGCACTGCATATACCTTCCTACGCACAAAATAATCAAGCATGCCCTTTAGCACGGGCTCAGGTTTTCCAAATGGGCTATTCTTGACTACGCGACTGTAGGAGTGGATGCGCTTCATCGTGAAACCTTGCCTCTTCAGTACTGGCCAGCTCAACTCCGAACGCGTTCCTGTCGGCGTGTACAGAACATTGGAAATCGTCATGATGCTAATGGTGGTGTGCTTATCCAAGACTTGAGGATTTGGCCTGATCGGAAGGACAATGGTGCCGGAAGGTCCTGAGACGCTTCCGTTTTTCATCGTTGGGCTTGGTATGAAAGGATGGCAAAATAGGTTGGCGTCCACACATTTGTGCTGTCTCGTGTCAAGACGGAGAACGCAGGGCGTAATATCCAGTCAGAGATATTCGAGTATGGAGGAGGCGGCATAGATGCTGCGAAGGAGTCGTGCTCTGGAACCGTTCCCCAGACCATCCTGACGCTTGAAAAAATTTCGATCTTTTGTTGGTAATCAGTGAGCTTATTACGGTGGAAGCTCTTCGAAGTTGGTGCTGAGATGTGGGAAAGAGAAGAATGATCAGAACAATCCAGAAATTCTCTCGGCCATATATACCCGAATAACAGTCACAATTTCTTTCATGCTGCTCTTCAGTGGCGCGGATGATGGCTGTGAGTAGGATCATGGCTGACAATGGCTGGGCAAGTATTGATCATAGGTTTCTCACATCCAAGTGGTCTCAGTTGATGTTCATCGTGGTGATGCATCTCGATGACTCAGTCAGGTGGTTCGACGCGAGCCTCGATGCCGAATATCCTGCCGTTTGCAATACCCCAGAAGTCCAAACAGGCAGAGGGATTCTTGGTGTGTTAATGAAGAGACGTCGAATTCTCCAGACCCTGATTGCCCTGATGCGAGTATGCGATGCACCCACTTCCGAGATTGCAATCCAACGCAAACGACAATTTGTGACAGTCCAACTCTCAAGTACCGGACATGGTACCCATTGGAGCAACCCGAAGGGCTTTTACTGCAGTCTCTGGCAAGTGGATGAGTAGTCTTGTGAGGGACGGCGCAAACGGGGCCCCTCCGCTGTCTGGGAAGTCGATCAAGATATCCCTGTGAAGAGTCGATGAATGAGCCGACGTATCTAGGGAATGACAGGAATTATGATCTTAATGGAAGAGGCAGTGATTGCATTGATTTTAGAAGACTAATATTGCTATCAGGGCGAAATGCGCAAGACACAAGACGAGTTGGACAAATTGTGACATTTAATTCCCCTTCCGAGGCAAGTATATTCTGGGAAAATTGCCCCAAAAGCTCAAGATAGCTTGAAATAGCTCAATTATCATAATGATGCTTCTAGTAGTGCATCAAATGGCGAAACACATTCAGTAGATCTCGCAGCTTCGATCTTCACCGGCGTCGAGCCGCTGCCCTGTTTATATTTCTTTTGGCCTTTTTGCCCTTCAACCAGCCTCTCCCTTGACACTCTGAGCAGCAGACCTGATAAAGCATCGGATCTATATTATCCGATACAGGTACTTCTTCCCCAGTGAAAGGAGGGATCTGATGATGATCCAAAGGATGTAAACCGCCTGAGGCAAATGCCTGATCACTAGGGTTATACTCTCCGGTCTCACATTCGTCACTATTTCCAGGGCAGTACCCATGGTCACAAGGATAGTCAGGGGCAAGATCCTCACGCAGAGGTGACACTTCATCGCTTAGAGCAAAAGCGTAGATGAAGAAATTGTCCACATCGAAGACCACAAGCCGTTGAGAATGACCTGCATCGTCAATCCTGGTGAGATGAAAAGGAAGCGTGAGTTCATGCCACCGATCCCTCGAAGTGCGCAGACCTCTGTAAGGAATGCATTGGCGTGGTATGGATGTCGCTGGGCGAGGATGGTTATCTGGGACATGCCTGTCTGGGCGAGGTGGCCGGTACTGCTGAGAGTGATGAAGGCTGAGCATTCGCAAAATGTCTAAGCCATCAGTTGAGAGTTGAGGCAGATACCGTTGTGTGTATGCTTCAAATGCCCGATCGTATTCAGCAGTCATCATTCGAGCCTCGTCAAGGCCTGGGTGGTGCGCAGGTGGTGATGATAGACCAAATTTGATGTTCGTGAAGGGAGCCCATGCTTCTTGGACACTGATGCTTGACCTATTTTCGTGAGTGGGTTTGAGATATGGAGGGGATGGATGCCGATGTGCACCCGTGGAGGTTTTGCCACTTGACGAGGACGAAGGTGGTTGCTCTCTCCTCAAACTACTCGGCCCTATCTGTGGAGGTGAAGTCTCTTCAAGCGTTGTGTATGCTTCGATGGTGTTGTCCTCCTCGTCTGACTCCGCACTGTAGCTGGCAGACTCCGCCCACTCCATAGGCAAAGCTTCGAGAGCAGTAACCCGGAATCTCTCTAGAGTTGCTGCTGGAACTGCTAATATTGGACTGGCTATCATCTGCGGCGATGGGTCACTTCCCGAGATTCGCACACCACCTTCACTGCCAGTCGAGACAGTGTCTTCTTGACCCTTCTTGTATGAAATTTTGCTGTCCAGACGACTTTCGCTTGCCGAAACACTCGCCTTGGCTTGTATCGAGAGGCATCGACCTGAGGTGGCCTTTGTAAGGAATGTACTGTCAGCTATGTTGCGGGAGTTGACAGTCGCTGAAGGCATTGACTCAGAGAGGCGAGGATATAATGCAAGTTCTTCCGGTCCAATTGCTGGTGGAAAGAGTATAATATGATAGGGTATCGAGATGGTATTCGTATATTGGTAGCGGGTAGTCATCGAGCTAACTCAAAAATGAGGGCGCTTTTTATATGTAGACTTCCTGGAGAAGCGCAAACGGAGTGACTTACTGGTCCTTCACACAATGCCCCTCGGTTTCAGCTCGAGGTGAAAGTCTGGGCTTGTCAAAAGAGTGTGGTGAAATGCTTCGCACTCAGGAGGCATAACCCTTGTCACGTAGTATCTCACACGTGGGTTACTTCAAGGGCCTGAGAGCGCGTAGCGTACTGGCCGTCACGCATGGAGATGGTGGTTGAGTAACGACTGTCCTGTCGCTTTGAGCATGCAGAAGCAAAAATTCGGTGAAATATCAACGGATGTCTTTGTCAAACTGTGTATGTAAGTTGGAAGTTAGCCAGCATTTTTCGAAAGGCATCGGTTTCACCTTCATAGAATGAATTAGACTTGAAGTGAGAGATTTGATGCATTCCGCTTTGAGTCCAGCTGTGTATCCACAGATACTCTATTTCAGCCATAACTCGCTCCAGAAGAAGATATAAAGCCATTTATCGTGGACGTCGAGGATCCAAAAGGACAATCTTTTTGTGATCGATACAATAATGTACAGGAATTAGTAGATATCGCATGGCGTTTTGTCCGCGCTTGATCATCTCCTTCTCCACCAAGTTTACTCGGTAGTCATCCTCTCAGCAGCTTCTCTTGCTTTCCGGAGTTCCTCCTTTTCACGTCTAATCTCATCGATGCCAGCCTTGACTCTCTTTCGATCTTGGCCGCCGAAACTTAATGTATCTTTCCATTCTTTCATCATCGTCTGCTCCTCTGGTGTCGCCTCAGGCGCTGCTTCACACTTGGTGACGAACTTTACGTATTCCCAAATGGCCTTGTGTGGCTGATCGGAGACGTCGGCTTGGACCTGTCTGGTATATGATTGTTCCGAAGAGTCGACGGATGCACCTGCTTGCGCAGTCTGTGTCTTGGGTTGTACTTTTGACCAAGAATATTTAAATCGACCAGACATAGATTGGGCACCTTCGTCCCTTTGATCGAGCGATTGTAATGCCTTCCTATCTTGGCTTTCGAAGGTTATGCCGAGTGTCGGAGCATCTGCTGTCTGTACACGGATCGCCAAACTTGGGTTATGGTATTTTATGGAAGGCAGCGCATTTCGTATGAAACTCCATGCACCGGATATCTGTTTTCTTGTCTCAGGCTCGTGTGCCTTTTTCTGCTCGGGTACGAAAAGATCGAATTGTGTAATCTGAGGTGCGGGATGAGGGAGAAAGGTGGCGGCGCCGACTCCGCTTTCACCTCCATGTCGTATATAGAAAAGCTATAGATGTGAGCTTCCGAGATAGACCATTGCGAGAGAGTCACCCACTTTCTGTCAGATGTTAGTACAGTCCTGGTTTTGAGGATTGGGGGACTTACAGGTCTGAGAGTCCGCATGCGCTTCACGATGTTGACCATGCTGAAGAGGCTTGCGAGGCTTTGAGGCCTCCTCGGACACAGTGCTCCTCAAGTTTACTCGGCAACGGAGATCACAAACTGTGTATTCTGCACTTGGCAATCAGAGAAGCCTCTTAGACCTTGCTGTCTTGTTGTTCACCTTCATCCATGGGCGACAGGAAATATCTTGGAGTGCTAGCAAACACGACCAAAGTGCCAAGCTCAGCCTCGTCTCGGCGTGTTTTTCATGCAATATCGCGTCAGTCACGTGCTCGGGAAACCTGCCCCTGAATCATGCTCTCTCGCTCAGCCTTGTCAGTCAGTGAGTTGGCTGAGATGAGTCTAGGTGTGCCTGGACAAGGATCTCGAATCACGATAGACCCTCTGTCTTTGTTCCTGCTCTGACTCAGAATTGCCTGAAATTAGTTGTATCTTACTATAGTTCAACTGTAACAATTCCAGTTTACACGGCTGCGGTAGACACCATTCACAACTGGTGTACCTAAGTACAATGGCCACAAGGCAGCATTCAAGATCTATCCCCTGGCAAGTGTGGAGTAGGAAGTGGTCCTACTTTTGTTCTGAAACCACAACCAAGGTGTTCTTCATGCTTTTCCCAGCTCTTTATGACACCCTACAGTGCACTAACTTGGGCTTGATAAACATTTAAACCTCGTTGAGCACACACGGGTGGCGTGCTTTGATAAGGAGGACCGACAAAGGTGCAAGGATGAGTGGTGTTTCTGGAGGAAAATAGCGCACAGTGGAGGTCATTGAGTGTATGGTTATCGGGCTGCACAGTAAGTGGTAGGCGCCAATAGAGGTCGACGACAGATAATGGAAGTCTTTCAGGCAGAGGAAGTCATGGCACAGAACCAGACAGGTTTGAAGCCACGTCTTCCCCGCTTAAAGGTCGGACTCTTTGGCAAACACGACAAACTTGAACTTCCAAACGGAAGGTGCACCAGGGAAAACAGGAGACGATTTGAGCAAGGCGCTGCTTTAGCCTCTGGAAGAACTTGTTGTCCGCAGGTCCCTCATCATATGAATGAGATCGATCAGGGACAGTATACTGGCCCATGGCCTTCCTTCGAGCCAACAATCTGTATCAAGGGCGTCTTCCTTTGAGAGAACATACTCTGTCCAACCGCAGTATACTCCGTCTATCAAGTAGTGAATGATTAATCCCAAGAGTGACGTAGGTTTGTCGAAGAACGTGAAGGGCGGTGACCCTGACGGCAGCGTCGAGAAGGCGGAAATGGCGCTAGTGGTGCTTGCTTGTTGAATCAGTTCACCTCTCAGTCTTCTTCTCTTTCTCTTTTCTTCTCTCCTACCCACCATTTCAAACAAAAATTCTCTTCATCTTCATTCATCAACGATAGGTCGTCGTCATGGCGGCCTACCAACCCGAATCCACGCTGTCTTTGACAGCAGCAGGCAAGAAGGTGATCGCCAACGCGGTCCCGATCTCAACCACCATGACTGAGGCCGTATTCGAGGTCGATGTCCTTGAGAGAGTCAAACCTCCACCAGCCTCTAAATGGGGCCAATACCTTGCCGTCATCTCCTTTGCCAATTTGCTTCTCTTCATTCTGGGCCTCTGGCTCAACATCTTTGCAGCTCAGGCACAAGGTCAAGGCCTTCGTGTTTTGCTTGTTCCCTTCGTCTTTGCACTGTCTCAAATCTTCGAACACAGTAAGACATCAATCAATCGATCTGTACCGTGCTAATTGATTGTCCAGGCTCTGCAATCACAGAAGCATTGTGGCACTACTGCATCTTCCTCAACAAGAAGATCGTTGCCTGTCCTGTCCTTCGTCTTCGGGGTAATCATGTTCCTCCTGTCGTTATGATAATCGTCACTTGTGGTGAACCACTAGACATTATCCTTGACACCATCAAAGCAGCACTGGACGTCGACTATCCAAAAGACAAACTTCGACTCATCGTTGCCGATGATGGCAATGATGTCAACTTGAGAAACCATGTGTCTCAGTTGCAACATTCTGGAAACACTCATCTCTCTTATACTTACCGTGTAGTTGGAAAGGGATACAAAGCCGGCAATCTCAATGAGTGTCTCAAGAAATTCGTGCCCGCATTGAATTTCAAATTCGAATGGATTTGTGTTCTCGATGCCGATATGATGCCAGAACCCCACATCCTGCGTGCATTGATTCCCCACACCGTTAACCGAGACGAAGTCGGCATGGTGACGACTGGTCAGGTAAGTCATCTCGTCGTTGACAATCCAAACGATATGGGCTGACTCTTTCCACCAGCACTTTTACAACATTCCTGCCAATGATCCCCTCTATCAATCCAACATCACCGGTCCTCATGCTGAAGATGGTGCAAGAGATAGTTGTGGAGCTGCCTGGTGTCCAGGTTCTGGCTTCATCATGCGCTTCAAAGCTTGGTGCGACATTGGAGGCTTTCCTGAATATGCCATCACGGAAGATCTCTTCACAAGCTGGCATCTGCATGGAAGAGGCTGGAAGACAATGCTCGTTCATGAAGTCTTGCAATGGGGCTTGCAGCCAGACTGCTTCGTTGTCCACATGAAGCAACGTCGTCGATGGGTAAGTTAGATCCTTGCCGATACCATACGATATGTTGCTGATTGCTGTTGCCCTAGTGGACTGGTCATATTTCACGCGCCATCACCACCAACCTATCTTTGTCCGATGAGAGATTGGAAGGTGCTAATTTTGTCCAAAGATACGCAATGTTTCAGCATTGCATGCGGCCATTTTTTAACACTGTCTTCAAGGTCATCTCTTTGGTGTTGATTATTGTTTGTGTCGCCACGGGTGAGAAGGTCCTTGCAACTCCTTCCAAGTACCACGTGCTCCCTATCTTCTTGAGCCTGGTCATTCGAAGTGGTATTTCTCGATACAATGAAGTCAAGGATCTTCCAGACCTTGACAGAGTATGGAACATGCGTAGACGACATGCGACCAACACCTGGTTGGGTCTTCATTTTGCAGTCGATACTGTCAAGGCCGTTCTTCCTACTCTTCTCAAAGGCAAAGTACATATCAAGCCTCTTGGCTTTGAAGTCTCTGGCGTCGAGGAGAAGAAACAAGATTCGGCTCATGAACGAAACAAAGATCAGCGAGGATGGTGGTTCCAGCGTGTCATCCTCATGCACCAGAAGGAGAGAATCCTCTACCATCCTCTCATGGCAATTGCTGTCACTGCTATCATCATCCATCAGTGTTTGAAACTCAACATGCACTCCAACAACTTCTGGCATGACCTTACCTTGTCAGTGGGATTTCCTGGTCTGGGTCTGATTGAATTGCTACCTCTCGAATTCACACCCGTCCTCTATGCCATGTTCCCCCCAAGCATGCCCAGCAGACGTGAACTGATGACCTGGGTGGAGAAGAAGGAAATGTGGCTGCCCAAGGCTGAAGCGAAAAAGATGGTATGGACAGCATCAACCAGTGTCTGGCTTGAGATTCCACATCTCATTGCCTTCTTCTGGTTGATGTTCGTGATGTACATTCAGCCATGGCAACTTGTGTAAGTGGGATGAGGTGAGAACAAAGTTTGGTGTTGCAGCCGCGCCAGCCCCGTCTTTCACTACAGGAGACACCACAGCCACACCTCCCAAGCCGCAGCGACACAATTCGACATATTGTCAGCCATCATCAACAGATCTTGTTATCACCAGGGGGAAAATCTGCCATGCAGAAATTGAAGACCAAAGAAAGAAAGAGAGTGACTCATGATTGTCAAAGGCGACTCCAGGAGAGTACATGCCAGTATCGGGCTTCAAAGCAGTCATTATCAGACTCAAAATCACTCGGCCTGTCCGTTAGTGATATGATCAGGTCAATCAGAGTCAATGAAAAAGAAAATTAGCTGAAATCTTTGCACAGCCGCGCCCAGTGACCCCGTTCTTCCCTTTCAACGTCTCCCTTGAGCTTAGATACTTACGAGAGGCGATTAAGCACGCCGAGCCGCATCCAACAGCTCCTTTGCCTTGAGATTCTCCTCAAACTCCTCCGGCTCTTCCACCCGCCAATCCATCTTCCTCGGCGGCCGTAGTCCCAATTGCACCTTCTGATCCCAAATCCTATCATGCCGCTTCGCCCACCTGACCCTGCGCTCCTGCATCTGCGCCTCCGTCGGCCGGAAATTGCTCTTCAGGATGCGTCTGATGGCCTCCGGAGAGACCTTGAAGTGCTCCGCAAGATTCGGCGTCGAGTATTTCTCTGGATCCTGCTCGTGCAGCCCCCTTATCCCCTCAATCGTGTCTGGCGACAGCTTCTTCCGCGGCTGCCACCCTTCTTCTTTGAATTTCTGCAGCAGTCCTTTCTTCTGGATCTGCCATTCCTCGGCTTTGCGCGGGAGAAATAATGCTCTGTTCTCTTTTGCTACCAGCGTACCCTTGTCTTCGACTGGCTTTGTGTTGCGTCTGATCCTGCGCTCGTAGGGTGGTTGTCGCTCCTGCGATAGAGGGATGTGTGCATCTCTGTCCGGTGCTGCTCGGACAGATGTGGGTGCTTGCTTGTTCCTGAAGCCGGATTTCCTGGACTTCACTAGCAGTGATGAGCCTTCGACGGCTTCCCATTCATCCTGCTTGAATCGCGGTTTGGGTTTTCGCTCAGGGCGTGCGAACGAGGGCGCAGACGCGTCTTGTGAATATCTCCGTCGTTTACGTGCATGCAAATCACTTGCGGTATTGTGATTGGGATTCGTCGTCAATGTAGCCCGTATGCTATTGAACAATGGCGGTCTTGATGTCGCTGCTGAATGGGTATGCCGACATGCTGTCAGAGTCTGCTGCCGGAGGACTACAAGGCAGAGTATGTTTTTTGTGCCTTGTATATTGACGGACATCTCTAGGCTGATGCAACGCCTTTATTGCCCGCTCTTTTTTACCTCCCGAATCTTTCTATTGTTGCTTTTCTGAATGACAGGGGAGAGATTCAACTAATTTCTTTGCACTCAAGGAGGCATGGCGTCAGAGGCATGTCGTCCCCATGACTCGACGCACATGTAAAATACTGGACCTCTGACTCGTGCACAGCCCACATCCGAGGTCGATCTCGATGATGATCGTTGACATCAACAGTCGCCGTGTCGGTTGACTAGTCCGATACTAAGCCTGGATTGTCATATTCTCGAAGATATGGCTTCCTTTAAGTATTTTCCTCCGACCAGGAGCACTCCAAAATTGATATGGCGTGGCCAAACCCGTTCAGACGACGGGATGAGCACACCCGCACATGCTGGGGATACACTTTCCAGTTGACTCCAGATCATCTGACGCCCGAGCAGGCACATCCATTGAAATTCTCCTACGATGTACTTGGAGAAGAGTGTTATGATATCTTGAAGCAAATAAGCCCGCAAGAGGCGCCGAGAGCAGAGACTCCATTACCGAAATCTGAATCACTTCAGAAATCGCGCGAGACAGTCCCAAGTGGCGAGAAACCATCAAAGCCAAAGCCAGATCTCTATGCTATTTTTCGTGACAACCATGAAAATGACCCCAAGTTACAACAGCTCTGGGATGAAGTCACGACGATCCCGGACTGGGTTGACTGGGACCAAATCGCTCGAGGACAGGACATATTCTACCGATACGGAGGCGCGACAATGACAGGCTTAGCATATCAATCCCTCCTAGGCGGTATGGGAGCGAACCGTGTGGTCGAAGTCCTCGCCCGCACGGGTGGCTTTTCCGTCAAAGTGGCACGCCACAGACTCTTCGAAACAGCCCAGCACATCCTCGAATGCACCCGGTCCCTCGAATCAATCCGACCAGGCGGTGCAGGCTTCTCATCCAGCATCCGCGTCCGCCTACTACACGCTGCGGTGCGCGCACGCATCATGAAACTTGCCGAGACGCGACCCGAATACTACTCGGTCGAGAAATACGGCGTGCCGATCAACGACCTGGACTGCATCGCGACGATCGGCACCTTCTCAGGCACGATCATCTGGCTCTCACTGCCGCGACAAGGGATCTGGCTCCGCGAGCAGGAAGTGCACGACTACATCGCGCTGTGGCGGCTGATCGCACACTACATGGGCACGCCGACCGAGTGGTTCTCGTCGCCGGCCAAGGCCAAAGCCATGATGGAGTCGCTACTGATGAACGAGATCAATCCGAGCGAGACGTCGAAGATCCTCGCCGCGAATATCATCCGTGGCCTCGAGGCGCAACCGCCGACATATGCGTCCCGCTCGTTCCTGGAGGTGAATGCCCGCTGGTTGAATGGGAATGAGCTCTGTGATGCGCTTGGGCTGGGGAGGCCGAGTCTTTGGTACTGGGCGCTTATGTCTGGTCAGTGTATCTTCTTCATGAGTGTTTGTTACCTGTATCGATCGATACCGAGTCTTGATAAGCGGAAAGTGTCGGCGTTGAGGAATGTCTTCTGGGCGCTGATTGTGGAGGGTAAATATGGGTTGGGTCAGGAGACGGTGTTTGATTTCAAGTATATTCCGGACTTCAATGTCATCACGGCAAGAGGAGGCGATGAGCAGGCTAAGATGATGGAGGCCGGTGTTGAGCGGAGGAGTTTGAATACTTTGCTCATTGCTACAGGTTGTCTGTTGTTCACAGGCTATGTTGGTTTGAAAGTGACAGCGGGCATTCTAGGAAGGATTTTCTAGTGGAGAGTCCTGCAGGAATTGAGCTCGCAGTTTGTCCCGGAAGCTTGCAGCACCAACTTGACAGTGCTGAGAATATTACCGACTTTCATCCTCCATCATAAGCTCTCAACCCACTTCGCCAACACCAGCGCCTCCTTCATGCCATCATCCACGTTCAGAACATGCTTCCCAGACTTCTCAATCTCGGGCGGCTGCGGCACAGGTCTCTTCTCCGGGTCACATTCCTGGCACAACCGATTCGCTTTGAACGTGTAGCCACGCAGGGCTTCAGGATCAGCACTACCGCGCTCGATGAATCTGGATATCTTGGACTTTTGGCACGATTGCTGGTAGGATTTCTTGTGGTTCGGATTGTCGGGCGTGCATTGGAAGTGGATTGAGAAGGAGCGACACATCGTGGAGGGTTGTCCTGGACTGAATTTATGATCCTTTGGATGGCAAATGTTGGCGGTGTTGATTCAGAGATCCCGACTTTGATAGCACTCTGCGGAAAGATGGATATTTGTCAAGGATAGGCGAAAGATTCTTCGCGGCTCGGGCGTACAATCGTTCTGAGTAGCCAGGTACCAAACTAATCTCGCCCTTGTTATCGCTGTGGACGTAGATTATACAATCGCAGTCGTGATATCTGCCTCATATGGTTCAAGGGCCTGTTACATAAGATACCACTGGAACTTCTAAGCCGTGGCTCTAGACTGCCAGTGCCCGAGAAAGCCAGGTTCTTTCCCCCAAGACCCGTTGCAGATGTCAAATAACCCACAGTCACGATCTGCTGATGAGCGAAGTCTTGCTGTGCCGGAGATTGAACCGTAAATGGTAGTAAGGCACGCGGCACCACAGTTGAAGTCGATTATTCTAGATAGCACCTATTATGCCATCAGCATAGCGAGAATGCACAGAGGGACTCGCGTAACCTAGCTACCTACGCATACATGAACTACTCGAAGAAGAAAAGCGGCACACCGCATTCCCTATTGTCAGAAAGCAAATAGCAAAACTCACGAATCGCGAGGTGCTAGGGTCAATTGCCAGCATGGCAAAACTCACACCCCGCTTCTTCAGCTCATTCATGGTTGCTTTCTCGCAGGTTGCCTCCGAATAGCATGCTAGAGCACGGGAAACCCAAAGATAAGAACTCTCCGTTGCCCATGCGAGAATGGGATCACGAAATGCAGGGTGAGATTCGAGCGAGGGGCTAGACGAACCGATCGTCACAGCGTCAATCCTGGACGCAGTTGATCTGCTGGACGGATGGTGACGGAAGAGGGAGGGATCCGCCTACGAGCCACACTGTTCAAGTGATAAGCATTACCTGGGCTGTTGCTTGTTTTGTTCTGTCACCAGATGCCCTGGTGGTACTAGTTCGTGGCTCTTGCTAAGGTTTATATGAGAATTGCTGATCAAGTGTCATCATTGGTACTTCAATGTCCGGATACGACGATACTTGAACTCCTCGTGTTTCGCTTTAAACTCCAATAACCAAAGATGTCCAACCTCAGGAGAAGGTGCTCGATTGGATTCTCCTCCACACCTGCACCACTACCAATGCCAAATTCAACCTTTGTGCCTGTTTGCTGCGCAGGAGATTGGGTTTCGCTTCTCAAGAAATCAATCAACTCAGCCATGTTCCTCCGAAAATCATGCTCGTATCGTTTCATCGTAATATCATCATCATTCCTGCGCGTCCTACTAGCTTCGGTCTGAGTTCGTCTGTATGCAGCAACTTGCAAGATAAGACCGAACAAGTCATGCAGCAGCCTCAGACCTTTTGTTTGTTTATTCCTCAGCAACATAGCGCGAAGGGTATCATCAAGCGTCTGCTCGTGCAGCGTGTTGAGATAGTCTTGGCTCCTCACAGCGTTCAATGTTCTTACGTAGTCTTTTGCGTCAATATAAGCTTTCACATTTTTCAATAGAACATCGAAGGGTTGCCAACAAAGAGTCATAGCCGTATTCTGGCAGTAATCTGCCAAGGCCATAACAAAATGGTGCATTTCTAGAATAAGCTTCTGGTGGGTAAGCTCCTTTCTCGATGCCCATTTTGTTTTACAATTATCCCTCAACAAGCCTTCAGTCACATTGTGAAGTCGGAGGATGAGTAGAAGGTGTTGGAAGATGCGGTCATATTTGTCGAGAACGCTTGTGCTAAGAACGTTTTCTAGAATTTGGTTGGGTGCTTTGTACTGGAGTCTGAGGAAGTTCAGAGCATGGATGGAATCCACATCCCGACACTTCTCGAGATCATCAGAGGGCATATCCCGAATCGCAAAGGAGATCGTACTCTCAAGTGAGCCCTCTTTTGAGCTGGTGAGACTATCAGAAAGGATACCCATGAGTACAAGTCTGAGCTCCGATCCTGCTGGTGGCCATGCATCCCGACTTTGCAAGCGTAGCCCCGTTGAACCACCACTGGATCGATTATGCTCCCCACTCCGCTGGTTTGGGTCGAAGAGAGCAGTAGTAAGACGCTGGGAGAATGTTGGATGGCCAAGTAAATGGAAGTCTCGCTGGATTTTGATGTGGGCAATTAGGTTGTGCTTGTCGAAAAGCATCTGAAGTACCGCGTAAGATAGTAGCCTGTGCTGTGCTGCAATCATTGGTGCAACTGAAGAAGCCAAAGCTTGATCGAACGGGAGTTGCAGTGGTTCTGAACCTTCATTACCAAGCTTTGTCAGATAGGAAATGACATGCTGTTCGAGATGACTCTTCTGTCGCCTCGCTTCGTCCCGCGCAGGTGAATTGAAGAGATCCATGTCCAAATGAAAAGGGTCCTGAGGATGCGTTGCGGGCATATCTTCACTTTCCAATGAATACCCCATTCCGGTGAGCTTACTCCCGGTCATTGGGGTATTGGTGGTTGAGGCTAGGATTGTTGGTCTCATTGTATTTTCGTACTCAAGGACCAATTTCTCTTGTTCACGTACATCTGTGTAAGCATAGATAGGTCTCAGGGTCACAGTAGAGGCAGCTTTATTCATCCTGTCTCGGATGACCGAAGCCTGCGTTGAACATTGGCCGAGCAATTGCAAACTTCGTTGCGTCTGGGATACGAGAAGTGAAGACTCGTGGGAGAGCAACCTTCTCCACGATTGGTCTTCTTCGTCTGTCCAGTCTAGAGTATGACCGTTTCTTAACGGTGATGACAACCCTATTGTACAGCACAGATTTTCTAGAGCCGGCGTGGCAGCCTGGGTGAAAATCTCCTGCAATATTTGAGTGAGCCCCGAATGTGCCATTGACGCAGCTGACGTCTCTTTCGTTAGAGACAGTATCACTTCGTGGTCCGATTTCCAGGGCTTGGTGGCCGTGCAACAACTCGTCAAGATCTGTATCAAGGGCTTGACCCTAGAAACAATTCGATTTACTTGCAATAAGGATGATACATCCGTACGCAAGTCTTCGAGATGCTTGTGAATGGCAAAGAGAGCGGACCTGGCGGCGGATAGCAGAGCAATCCTCGAAGGAAGCACCCTGTGGCTTTTGGCGTCTAGATCTCGGAATGATTCCACCAGTATCCTGGTATCGCCACCGACGATGGAGAATAAGGCAATGGTGTTTCGTAGCAGAGTGCCACTATAACCTATGGCGATAATGTTCTCCCAGCAAGTGTGGAAGGAGTTTTCCTCCGCAATCCACCGGAACAAGCCTGAAGATCGTCCCAAAACGAGCTCAAAGGCGGCATTGAGAAGTACGTCGTCTTTCACGATTTTCAACGAGTTTGTGGCCGGCCTATTCGCGATCAAAGTGAAGACTCGCGGGCTTACTTCGCTAAGATAACCCGACTGCGGCTCATCGAGTTTCTCATCCAAGAAGTTGTCCCAGAAAATCAAACGATTTCTTCGCACTTTTTTAAAGACTTCAGGGAGTGCCCAAATGTCTGTGATCTCTTCATCATCTGTCTCGCCCAATTCCTCCTGCACCTCAAAAAACTCATTCTGGCTGGACCGCGATGGAGAGGAAGGAGGAATTGAGAGGTCTGGTAGTGGTACATTGTTAAAGTCCAGAGACAGGACATTGGATCGAAGTTCAGGCAAGTCTTTCACTTGGGGTTCTTTCAGCCGTAAGAAGCCGCTTTCAAGGCTGTTGTCGAAAATGAACCCATTCCATATCCCTGTGGAATCGATGAGAAGTGAGGGGATCTCTGTAAGCGTCTCGGAAAACGGGCTGTGGAAGTTTTGGCGAGACATCGTGACGTTACGAACTTCATCTTGGTAGACTCTATTCTCGAGTATTGTTCAATGCGATTCTTGATGATGTGACGGGGCTTCAATCTGAATGCTGGCCGTTGATATGTTGCATGAGACACTCACCGATGTCAATGGGGAAGACGCGCCGAGGAAAGCGCGTCGATGATGTGCCCGAATAGGGTAGGTCTAGCCGAGCATATAATTTCAAGAACAAGAGCATCGAAACACCAGAATGCCTACCTTGTGGATGTGAACGTGAGAATCTTCAATTCTAAAGATCAAAGGTTGTAAGTCACGGATCTGTCTACTGCATTCGGTGGCGACGCTGTATTTATTTCAGTTATACGATCGACTGGGGGACCATGGCCTGGCAAGGACATTCACCATAGCCGGCCTTTCTTAGTATTCGACGGTGCACCAGTACCTTGGTTCCGACAATTACTTTCGTGTGCCAAAACCCTTCTGGACGCGCTGATAAGTCGATGCTTCACTCTGAGTGATCGTCATCACCCAAAATTATGGCGGAGGAAAATTCTGTCACGATGGCGGACCCAACTCTCGATCCCTCACGATGGACTGATGATCAGGAGTCAACACTACTGCAGGCAATTGTCCGCTGGAAGCCAGTTGGCATGCATAAGCACTTCCGCATGATCGCTATCAGAGATTTTATGATCAGCCAAGGCGTTACCTCGGCCGAAGATGCACACACCACAGCAGCCGGCATCTGGGCCAAACTGGGATCATTATACGACCTGGAGAAGCTAGATGAGCGTGAAGACTCGATAATCGACGGTGAAGACTCTAAGGGAGACGACTACTTTCGAGACTTCGAGCTTCCACGAGAGGACTTCGAGGAGTTAATGTGGCAAAGACGAATTGCTCCCGAGGGAACTCAAAGCCCTGCTATGTCGAGAAGAGCAAGCACGGTTGCCGACACAGACGAGCCACGCTCCTCGCCTGTTCCGGGAAAGGGCTCTGTGCGCGGTGGAAGAGGGTCTGGACGTCGAGGCGGCAGGCTTTCCCGTCTACAGAATGAATTGGAAACCGAGAAGACCAGCAGTCGACGGACGAGTAAGGCCACCAGCGTTGCTGATGAAGATCAGGTTATGGAGGATGCCGATGATGACGACGAGGAAGAACAAGATAGCGAGGACGAGGAGGATGCAAGTAGTGAACCAGAGGAAGATGAGAGAAAATCGAAAAAGGTTGCACGTGGTGGCAAAAGAGGTGGTCGAGGCAGACGTGGCGGACGCCGCAGATGAAACTTCAGCAATCAGAGTCTCTAATGCAGGATGATTAGATGGATTTTGCTGCAACTAGTCCGAGCGAAGACTGTCAAAGCAGCCCTTGGACGCAGCTTTCTGGATGGGAATGAGCAAGCATGTATTGGGAGATGATCAAAATACCAGGACCTCAGGCTCTTACATTTTCCTGCGACTACGTGCACACCCAGCTAGATACAATCTATCTAACCAGTCAACTTTCTTCCCCTCTCCTTCTCTGGACGCTGCCGCTTGAAGCAACCAAAACTATTCCTACTGCCCTCACGCAATTTCTTCAACACGACACGCATATCACCTAATTCCTGCTGCAGCCGCTGTCTCGCATCGTTCGTCGTGCGCTTATCCAACTCAGTGTAGATCTGGCCCTGCGTCTCACCCGCCTTGGTGGTGGCGTACTGCGACATGGTCTGTGCAATAAACTCCGTATCAAGCGTAGCCTGCATCAGGGCGGGGAGCGTATAGGTGTTCGGTTTGCGCTCCTTGAAGCCGTCCAACAACGCTTGCGAGACGTTCTCGAGCAGGAAGGACAGGATTTCAGTGAGCAGTGGGCTGCTGGTTGCAATATTGGAGACTGTCGTCGAGACTTCGGTGTGCACCATCACTAGTGTCATGAGCGCGGAGTAGACGTATGGTCGCACCTGGTCGGGTCTTCCTGTTGTTGGTGCCCAGGTGGGTGCGTTGATGCCTTCTTTGATCGACTTCGTGAGTCCTATGACCATGGGTTTGGTGTATGAGTGGAATAGTTTCGCATCAATCTGGGTAAAGACATCGCGGATGGTTTTGGATTCATCTGCCAACGTGACTGAGAATGATGTTTCGAAAAGTTGGATCAGTGACGGCACATGATCGTTTCGCAAGGCTTTCAAATTTGACATGGTCAGTAGCATGCGTACATTGCGGCTAGAGGGATTGATAGCGTCCTGTGTGAGCATGTCGTTCAAAGCGCCACCTTCCGCAATGGAGCCCGATCCGATTGATAGAACCCATTCATCCTCTTGACCTTGCGTTGATGATTCGGCATTTTCCAACATTCCGCTGACTGCTTTGTAGACGCTACTCACAAATTGTGTACGTACCATCTGCAGGAGTTTGGATGGTGGTGGAGTGATGATTTCTCGACCGGCTTTCGCATGCGTGTCAGAGAAATAGAGGACTTGCTGCATGCCCAACAAAACCTTGCGTTCGAAGGCCGCAAGATATAACGGCATTCTTGTCTGATCACGCTTTTCTGGTGCTCGAACCCAGTCTTCGAGGGATTTGCAACTTTCCGCATCCTTGCCCCATGCCTCACAAACGGCTCGCAAGCATCGTTCACGAGCACCGGCGATCATGGATTTAATCTTGTCATAGACTGGTCCGTTGTTCGTGACGGATCTTAGCGCAGCCATTTCGCCAGCAGCGATTCCAACAAGGGCCAGGATCTTCTCCAGATAGTGCACAGCGCTTAATGCATTGGAATGTGGAGGCCAAAAGGCGAAATCCTCCCAAGGTTCACCCCTCTTTGCTGCAGCTGCAGGTAGGTTGTTGGGATCCAACCTGCCGATCCTCCCTTCGGTAGGGGAGAATGGGACAGGCGCCAGAGGTGTTGTTGGGGTTTGGGCAGATCCAGGTGTTGGTGAGAAGAGTGCTGATATGTCTTCGGTGGGAGGCTCGGCAAAGAGCGAGAACACAGCATCTCTGACCTGGGTAATCAATTCGACCGCACCATTGCGTAGGGAATTGATGTTGCCTTCAGAAAGTTGATGGTGTTTAACACTTTCACCATCGAAGCCTCTAGGGAGGCTCTTCTGTCTGCTGCCTTCGATGAAAGAGCGAGCAGAAGCCCAGAAATCAACCACTTCACCAAGAAGGCCGTTCGATAGCGACAGTAGTTTCGTGATGTATGTCAAGATACAATTCCAGAAATCAACCACGTTTTCTGTGTCAAGTGCTTCTGGCCGATCCTTAGATGCCTGGCGTAGAAAAGCTGCTATCGTTTGTGACGAAGGCTTTTCTCCAGCTGCTAGACGCCGACGAAGGATCTCAATCTCGATCTTTGATCTTTCGACAACGGCCGCTATCTTGTTCTTTAGAGAATCATAGCGACTCAGAAGATAAACCCAGATTGGACTTTCATCAACTCCTAACTCCAGTAGTACGTTGATCAACTCCACATGCTCCTCCGCTTGAGATACACCAGGGAGTGAGTTTGTAGAAGGCATATTTGATAGTCTGCGCCAGATGTCGCGCTTCAGAGTTTTGACTTGTTCGTCCGCGTCGGTCCAGAGTCTGCCTGCAACAATAATGCGGTGAACTTGCTCATCGGTTAAGGTTCTGCCATTCTGTACCACGCCATCGCTAAGAGATCTTGCCTCGACTGCGTACCGACGCGCAGAATTATACAGCTCGACGGCTTTGCTGTAATCCTTCTGCTTGATGGCTTCATCCAGATTCAGACCCACCTCGTAAAGCGCCTGATCCTTCGCGATAGCCTCCGCAATGGCTTTGAGGTTTGTTTCACGCTCTTTTCCCCCTAGAGCTGGTCCCCAGACATCTTCAGCCTTTTGAGCGACCTCTAGGAGTGGTCCTTTGATACCTTGCACGCCGAATTCGGTCTCTTTTCGAAGAGCATTCTTGCTTGGAGTCTGTGGTGGGGCTTGACTATGCATACCTGCTGCACTGCCACTGCTAACATTGCGGAAATGAATCCCACTGGTGCGCCTAGAGTGTCGAGGCGACGGAGGAGGTGGTGCTGAGGTTGAAGTATCAATCCCCTGATTGCGCATTTCGGTGTAAACATTGTCGATTGTAGCCTTGGCGCGTACAAAGCGTTCAAAATTGGTCTCCACCAATACTTTTAGTGATGCTGATTTTTGATCGATTGACCTCGACAAAAATTGCAGACCTCGGAGCAAGTCATCGATTGTGGCATCAGAATGTGTTTGGGACAGAAACAAAGCCGGTGAAAACGTGGTCGATGAAAGCATGAATTTGTTGCGTAATCGAGAATCCTGCTCAACAGGCAAGCCACGGTTCCGCAGAGTTTGAACGACACTGGCGTTGTGGCCTAGAGGATCTGGTTCATCTTTTTGAACCAGGTTCGCTCTGCCATCACCAGTCTTCTGAGATCCTGGGAGTAGACTTTTCCGTTCACTTGCACTTCTTTCTAGAGCTGAGTATCTTGATCGGGATCGTCGAATGCCAACGGCATCTGGCGCGTCTTCTTGATCATCACTGTCGTCTAACTCTTTAGGCCACTCAGTCGGATATGGAGTGGGCAAATTGTAGTGAGTGACGATGGTTCTTTCATATTCAGCCATTTTCCGAACAACCTACACCCAAGCCACTCGTAGTTTGGGAGAACCCCAGATTTGATATCACTAATAAAGCCAGTCAGGTCCAGGGGCAGTCGGATGCTGTCGGTGAGGTTCGTGAAAGTTGCCCGATAGGTTTATCTTGAAGCTAACACTGCGCTTAATGTCTTGGCATCGCTTAGAGCACATCGGCCGATATCGCCGCTCCGAGAGTGCACTATCCGTACCCGTACTAGACTCATTCCAGCTCGCTAGCATATGCTCCCTCTGCGCCTGCCAGCTTGTTGCTTTGGCGCTTTCCGCCCGCCGCAGGAAGATGTCATATCCGCGGCTGCAGAAGCAAAAACCCTCAGAGCTCCACTCCAAGCATTTCTGGAACTGCTCCCTCCATCTTCGCGATATCCGCATAGCTTTCTCTTTGTCCCTCTGGAGCCCGTTCAATGCTTCGTGCTGTCAACATAGGTTCTCGCTGAAGCTTCTTGGGTTTTCATCTCTCAGTATTTGTGTATATTGATCGCCCATCATGATTGCATCTCGAGCTTTTTCCTCTCCAGCTCGCCAATGCTTGCGAACGGCCTATCAACAACCTATCTGGACTCCAGCATTCTCGCAGGTACTGTACAATTCTTCCAACTTCTCCTCTAATAGCTGTTGCTGACTCTCGAGCTCCTGCTATAGGTTCAATCAAGAGGTTATGCCGCCCAGGTCGCCAAATTTAAGGGTCAGAAGAACTCAGATGGGAACTACATGGTTTCGTTAATAGAAGGAGATGGTATTGGTCCTGAGATTTCTCAGTCAGTCAAAGACATCTACTCAGCTGCAAAGGTCCCCATCACCTGGGAATCTGTCGACGTCACCCCCCGCCTGAAGGATGGTCGAACTGTCATTCCAGACGAGTCCATTGAGTCTATCAAGAGGAATTACGTCGCCCTAAAAGGTCCCCTAGCAACACCCATCGGCAAAGGGCACGTCTCCCTCAACCTCACACTACGTCGAACCTTTAACCTCTTTGCAAACGTCCGTCCCTGCCGAAGTATTGAAGGCTACAAGACACCCTACGACAACGTCGATACTGTTCTGATCCGAGAAAACACAGAAGGAGAATACAGTGGTATCGAGCATGTGGTGGTGGACGGTGTAGTGCAGTCGATCAAGCTCATTACACGACAAGCTTCAGAGCGAGTCCTCAGATACGCCTTCCAATATGCCAGAGATATCAACAAGAAGAAGGTTAGAGTGGTACACAAGGCCACTATCATGAAGATGTCCGATGGTTTGTTTTTGAGCACGGCACGAAACGTCGCAAAAGACTTCCCCGATATCGAATTCGATGCTGAGCTACTCGACAACGCCTGCCTAAAGATCACCACCAACCCGGGCCCATATGCCGACAAAGTGCTTGTCATGCCCAACTTGTACGGTGACATTCTCTCAGATATGTGCGCAGGCTTGATTGGCGGTCTTGGTCTCACACCCTCTGGCAATATTGGCGACGAGTGCTCCATCTTCGAAGCTGTACACGGTTCTGCTCCAGACATCGCAGGCAAGGCCCTCGCCAATCCCACCGCGTTGCTTCTCAGCAGTATTATGATGTTAAGACACATGGGTTTGACTTCACACGCCGAGCAGATCGAGAAGGCCATCTTCGCCACTCTCGCTGAAGGAAAGGCTCTGACTGGTGATCTGGGTGGAAAGGCCAAAACTCACGAATATGCCGCCGCTATTATCTCGCACCTGTAAATACAAAAGCGCGTGATATGGCTTAACGTCGGGAGAGAAGAGCGTAACGACAGTGGGATGTCGTCATTCATTCCATGAATTTCCGCTGGCTGGTTGCATTGATGTTTTTTATGTATTAGGTTTTGAGAGTAGCGCAATAAAGATCCGAAAAACCATGAGACTGTGTCATCACTCTTTTAATAATATGAGGGCGTCTCCTAACTTGATACAATTCGGAGAGTGGACAAGCGATAAGCTCATATCCATAGGTGTTATACACGCACACACGCACACCAAGCCCGAGCATAATCCCATCTACTCGATCAACTCTCCAACGGCCCGACCTTGACCGTTTCCCTCTCCTTCCTGACCTGCAACTTCTCCGCCTCCCTCTCGACCTTCCTTCGAGTACTCTGCAGCCGATCGAATCTACCTCTGGCCCCAAACTTGATTTTCGTAATCATGTCACCGGCCTGGCCCTTCGTGATATCATCTTCCGTCAACGGCTCCTCCATGCCAACTTCGCGCAGACGGTTGAGGAAGCCCAGCTGGCCCTCTGTCGCCGGACGCTTGCGCCAGCTCGAGCTCGTCGCGATGAAGATGCGCTCGAAGTTGCGGCCGGCAAATGTGTCGGCTGAGCGCAGGGCGTCGGACAGTGTTGTTGCTGTTGCTACGGTGCGGGGCCGCGACCACGGCGATTTGATGCCCTCGGCCCGCGGCAACTCGTGCTTCCAGATCACGGCGAAATGGTCATTATCGGGAGTGTCGGGGGAGAGGTGCCGCTCTAAAGTTAGGATTCCGCCGCGTGCAGCGAGGATGTATTTGTGCTGGTCGATTTGTACCCATGCGTTGGGTGACATGGCGCGTACGTGTCGCTCGCCAGAAGCATCGCCGATGAGGTCGTGGACGGATTCGTAATGGGTGAACTTGAGGGTGTGGTTGTCTGAGAGATTTGAGGATCCGGCCATGAAGGGGGAAGCTACTGCTGCGTTCTTGGTAGCTTCAATCTCTTGCTTCTCCTTGAGTTCTTTGAGATCGTCCGCTGTAGCTCCCTTGACCATTTCTGATGGGTCGAGGCCGAAGAGAGTCGGCACAGAAACAACACCGGTTGCAAGAGATGCGACCATATCAATGACATGGCAGTCCTTTTTATCGGGATGGAGTCGCATACCCCGACCGATCATCTGGACTAGTAAGTTCCGGGATTTAGTTGGTCGCGCAAGCAGGATACAGTCAATATTGGGTATGTCGGTGCCTTCTGTGAACACACCACAATTCAGTAAGACAGGGAATTCGCCTTTCCTAAATTGTTCGAGACGTTCTCCTCTGTCCTTCTTCTTGGTAGCCCCAGTAACGTATCGTGCATCGATTCCTCTATGTCGAAATGCATAAGTGAGGCCCTTGACATGTGCGATATTGACACAGAAGACTAGGGTTGACTTTCGATCCCACGCCTCTGATTGCCATGATTTGATGGTGATCTCATTCGTGATCTCGGTGTTGACAGCCTCGGCAAGTAGACTGGTCTGAAAGTCTCCATTACTGCCAGAACTTGATTTGACTTTCGATAGGTCTGCTTGGGATTTGACCGTGGTGAATTTGACGGCTGATAACCAATTTTCATCGATCATGTCGACATAATCTTTGTGGTAAACAATTTCGTCGATTGCTGCGCCTAATTTCAGTCCGTCAAAACGAGAGAATGTTGCGGAGACCCCGACCAGAGCTGGCCCGCTTTCTCGTTTTTGTTCCAAGCCGAAATGTTCCAGCACTTCCAGATATCCTGGTGCAACAATATGATGAGCTTCATCGACGAGGACTAGTTTGAATCTAGAGGGATCGTATTTGCTCAATCGATCGCCCGAGATCATACTCCGAACAGATGCAACAGTGATATTTGCTGCTCCAGAGGCTTTGGTCTCCCCCATTTCGATGTCTATACTTTTGTTCGGGTATGCCTTTTCACAATGTCGAGCCGCCTGCTCAACAAGCTCCCGTCGGTGAGCAAGGATGAGAGTTTGGTCCGCATGTTTAGAAGGGGCTCGGACCCGATCAATGAGTTGCGTAAAGATTACCTGGTAGACGCTGTCTCAGTCAATTGTACAATGTTGGCCAACTTATGGCTCAACCTACAGTCTTTCCACTCCCGGTGGCAAGAGAGATACCCAGCCGCTTCTGGCCCTGTCCAAGGGCTGACAATACTGATTGAATGCATTCTTCCTGGTAATTGCGGAGTTTGATTGCCTGTTCATGTCCGGTAGGAGGAATAGTGTTGACAACATTTGCTAGAGATCGTTTCCATTGATGTGGACGTAAGGCCAATTGCGTCGAACGTGCAACTCGTGTTAGCCATCTTGCGGGCAATAGCATAGTATGTTGATGTGCATATTGACATCGATTGAATTACATGGCAAGGACGAGCCACGAGAATGAGTCGCATAATTCACTTCGCGAGGAATGTACGGTCACGTGTCTAGAGTCTTGCAACGATTATGTCATCAACCCCATAACGCCAAGACCGACTTTTCTGAAGGCTCCGCCCGCCATCAATTGAGTCTCCAATGCCGACTTTCTGCAAGCCCATTCCATCAGTCAATCACCAAATCCTCACTGGTCATTCTTATCCAGATCTACTCTCAACATGGCGGAAGGAATCGATAAGAATGCGGATGGTATGTATCCCGCATCCTCAACACCCGGGTCTCACGCTGTATCGCTAACACAGATCATAGAGCGCATGGAATTCTCAACCTCGAAGGAGGTGACTGTTGCGCCAACCTTTGAGGACATGCACTTGAAGGAAAATCTTCTCCGTGGAATCTACGCATATGGTTACGAATCGCCCTCGGCTGTCCAGTCCCGAGCCATTGTTCAGATATGCAAAGGAAGAGATACGATCGCCCAGGCGCAGTCTGGTACTGGCAAGACAGCAACCTTCTCCATCAGTATCCTTCAAGTGCTGGAAACCTCAGTCCGCGAGACGCAAGGTGAGTAGCGGCACATTTCACTGTACGAACATCTCATTAACTCAAGGACTAGCCCTCGTTCTATCTCCGACTCGCGAACTAGCGACCCAGATTCAGAGCGTGATCATGGCACTCGGAGACTACATGAACGTCCAGTGTCACGCTTGCATTGGTGGCACAAATGTCGGCGAAGATATCCGCAAACTAGACTATGGACAGCATGTTGTATCCGGCACTCCTGGCCGTGTTGCAGACATGATCCGACGACGAAATCTACGAACCCGACATATTAAAATGCTAGTCCTGGATGAAGCCGACGAGCTCCTCAACCGTGGTTTTCGCGAGCAGATCTACGATGTATACCGATACCTTCCCCCAGCCACACAAGTTGTAGTTGTCTCCGCTACCCTTCCTTACGATGTCTTGGACATGACGACCAAATTCATGACCGACCCGGTCCGTATCCTGGTCAAACGTGACGAACTTACACTCGAAGGTTTGAAACAATACTTCATCGCTGTGGAAAAGGAAGACTGGAAATTCGACACTCTTTGTGATCTCTACGACACCTTGACCATCACTCAAGCCGTCATCTTCTGCAACACTCGGCGCAAAGTCGATTGGCTCACCGACAAAATGCGCGAAGCGAATTTCACCGTTAGCAGCATGCACGGCGAAATGCCACAAAAGGAACGAGACAGCATCATGTCCGATTTCCGACAGGGCAATTCTCGCGTATTGATCAGCACCGATGTCTGGGCACGTGGCATCGATGTCCAGCAAGTCAGTCTTGTCATCAACTACGATCTTCCGTCGAATCGAGAAAACTATATCCATCGCATCGGGCGAAGTGGCAGATTCGGCCGAAAAGGCGTTGCCATCAATTTCGTTACCAGTGATGACGTGAGAATCCTACGAGATATCGAACTCTACTACTCGACACAGATTGATGAAATGCCAATGAATGTGGCAGATCTCCTCACCTAGGAAACTTTGACTAGGTTGCAGATATGACTATCACGCCATAATGCGCAGAGAAGCTCTCCAACGCCGACTTCGTCTGTCTACACCGCAATGCGATACAGAAACGAGATCATTTCTACCATAACTACTGTCGTATCTGGCCAGCCAATTGCGCCAGTATCAAAGAAAAAGCTCTGAAACCTCAACTGATGGGATGTGGACATCTATAGGGTGTCAGGAAGTGGGCTGTTTTCTGGACGTCACTGACAGGGCCTACCCACAACCTTCGAGTAAGTGAGGAGCTCTGACATGTGACCAGACAGAGATTCAAGCACTTTGGTGTTCAGGTGTTTTCGGATATGGAAAGGATGGAAATGGGAATTTATCAATCAGGTCAGTGTGCATGCTCTTGATGACGTTCGAATATCGCCAGAAGCTGACCCTGTCCAGAATGCCAAAAAAGTACTTTTACTACAGGCCAAGTCTTAAAACTTGTGATTCATCATTAGAGGTATCTGTTGCCCTCTTCTTACTCTCCCACAAATACAGGTGATCTCGTGCCGTCGTACCCAGTGAATGCTTCTACACTAAGACTCGACATCAAACTTTGCGAAGTAATCAGTTTTGGCAGCCTCATACTCCCTGATGATGGTGTCTTTCCTCTTTTCGCTCCTGACCTTCACATCAAGCTCATAGGGCTTCGCACATACCAAGAACCCCTCACTATATCCGCTAGTAGGACTAGTGTCAGGGATGATGTCGTTGCCCTTGTCATCCTTTCCAGGTTTGAAGTCGAAGGCCCACAGGAGCTTCGCAATCGCGAGGAACAGGTTCCGCTCTGCGAGATGAATACCCGGGCAGAGTCGTCGACCGGCTCCATAGCCGTAATGGTCTCGATCTTTGGGGTCCACTGACTGGGCTAGCTCTGAAGCCAGAGCGGTCACTCCCTTGTAATGATCGGGGTCAAACCGTTGGGGGTCAGGAAAGCGCTCTTCGTCGTGATGAAGGCCCCAGGCGTTGATGAAGACAACGCTTCCCTTCTTGAGGTGATGACCATCAATCCAGTCGTCTAGGCATCAGGTCAGTCAGGGCAATTGGCAGACATGTCAACTGGAGTACATACCTTCGTCAAGTGCGTGCGGAAAAGCAAGTGGCACGACTGGGCGCCAGCGGTGTGCTTCCTTGACCGTTGCTGCTATGTATGGCAGGCGGGCGTAATCATCCCATACAGGTGATCGATCTTCGCCCATAACAGAATCAATCTCTTTCTGCGCCTTGTGCATGACTTCCGGCCATTTGACGAATGCTTGAACAGCAGCCAAAATGATACTGGAACTAGTGTCGCTGGCTCCCTCCATCATGGTTCCACCGAGAAAATAAAGCTGATGGCGAGTCAGCTCGAGTTTCTCCTTTTGATCCAGAACCCTGTCCATGAAGGAGTATTTCGGACCGACTTTCTCCCTTCGCTTTTCGAGGCCTGTCAACATGTCGTTGTAGAGACTGTTCATGGCATCACCAACATCACTTGCTCGTGTGCGCCAGTTTCCGAACACTTTCTCCGGGATCCAATGCAGGAATGGGAATATGTCCACGGGTGGGGTGTTTCCAGGCTCCATGACAACTGACCAATGCTCCATCAACTCATATAGGCGTCTCATGTGGCTTGTATTGGCGGTCGGAGATCTCACGCCCCAGATCGTCCCACAAGCAATACTGTTTGTGAAACGTTTTGGATGCCACATGTGGTCGGCAGGGTTGGTCAGATAATCATACAGCAGTTGCGATGCCTCTGCTTGTTGCAGTGGGAGATGATCTTTCATCACAATTGTCTCCATGAAGTGCTGGTGAATCACTTTGCGGTATCTCTGCCAGACTTTCCCATAGTGTGCAATGAGGACGTGGTCGCCTCCTGTGATGAGATTATGTGACACATAGCTGTGCGGTCGATTACTGTAAATGCCTGATTTCTTGTCGAGAAGTTGCTTGACGAGTCGTCGGTCTGTCAATACAATGCCCGTCCCAGAACCGAGCTTGAGCGAGAAGATGCCGCCGTACGTCTTGGACCATTCTGTGAACCTGTCTCGTATGTCAGAGGAAGATTCAAAGGCATGTTCTTCGTCGTGCGCAGCGGACAGCATCCACCTAACTACTTGTTTACTCACTTTAAGTATGAGCCCTTGGTGGGTATTTGATGCAGATTTCCAATGATGGGTAATGTTGGTGGTCCTGTAATTTGAACATCAGCATTGAGAAACTCATTTAGTAGACTCTTTTGAGTCATCTGTTATCGCAACTCGTCGGTCACTTACCAGGTGGAAGACCCTTCTCTCGCCTTCCGACGAAGACGACAGCATAAAGAATAAACGCGAGCACGGCGGCTCCCACGGCGGGGATCACGATTCCGAACGCCATGCCTGGGCAGGTGAATGGTGAAGATATGGATAGATTGAATAGTAACAGGCTGAGCTGAAAAGAGGACGATTCTCAATTCTGGAGATGAGCGGAACGGACTACTGTTCCTTCCATGCAGATGTGGCTGCTAGATAGGGATCGTGGTCAGTGAGGGGCACTTGGTGTATGTCAACCACTTTCAGTGACCAGCTTGCCAGGTGGAAAACACTTGCACTTTGTATAAACGAGCTTCCAAGCATACACGACTAAGAAGCAACAGAAGTCATGTCACGTCCTGGGGGAATAATCCGAGATCAAGGATACTCCGCTCCCCCTGGGAGTCACGATTCACCAGTCACAGTAAATACAGTGAGTGACATGTCACCATAAGACCCTTTTACCCCCAGACGACCTTATGCTGAAAACCCCCCACAATGTTCTAGTAGTACGCTCCGTACAACCTGGGGAAACGGCTCGGAGGTCCCACCGGAACCGCCAACGCGGAGGGACCTTGGCCAACTCGCTGGCAGCCAATGGCGTGTGGGACGAGCAATCGCTTGGGAAGATGTAAGACGGGCAACGGAACGACATGGATCGTATGGTGATTGGTGGTCGCCAAATGCCCAGCAGGTGAGTTTGGAGGTTAAATTTGCCTTCTCGATTTATCACTGGAAGAAACAGGGAAGATGGGTGACGATCGCTTTTGGGGGATTTCCGAGATCCTCTTCATTTTGTCGTGATCATCGTGGCGTTGGGCCGTGAATCATTTCCTCTCGAACCGATGGGAATGCTTGCGAGTCATCTAACAGGGCGGATGGTCAAGTCGGTTCCGCACTCGGGATTATCGTACAAGCAAAGGGATCAAGGAGGGTAGTTACTATCTTTTACAGGACGGTGTTTGAGTACTCGCAAGAAGAAATAGTCATGTTGGAGACTAGGCTGGTTATATACAACAAGAGACCTCCAATCTCTGAGACAAAAGCGTGCCAGCTTAGATGCGTGTTAGGTACCGTCATTCCCTCTCCGCTGCCGTGACTGCTCCTGCAACTGTGATCTAACCTGAGACACCTCCTTCATTCGGACAAGTGACTCAGTCGGATATGCCCTCAATCACAATGTCTGGAGTGGGTCAATCTCTCATGATGCCCCGAAGTAGTTTTCCGAGAACTCCTCTCACGTTATTTAGCTCTCCAGATTGCACAGAAGTGAGAACAACAGCCATACTGGTTGCAAAGACAACCTGTTCTCTTCGTCTGTGCTTTTTATCGTACACTCGCGGTAGCACTGTTGCGAGGGCTCTCGGAGCCACAAAGAAAGCAATTTCTTGCCTTCGATTTGGCTTCTCCAGTAAGATAGACCATCCGCAGGCTAAGCATCCTGCGAGTACGCAAAGACCAGAATCCCACATCTGCGGTGTCACCGTCTTGGGAGAGAACAACTTTGGCCCAAGGCGGGTACGGGACAGGCACACAGCGTAGTAGAATAATGAGACAAACGCTGCCAGAAATGAAGAAGACCTGACAGCTGCTTTGAATGCGTCGAGTATGACGTCAAACTTCGGGGTCCTTACTCGTGATAGTACTTGCAGTGGTAGATACAATTCCAGAGCAAACTTCCAGCTCCGCCAAAATCGAGACATTGCATGAACCTCACAGCTGGTCCCAGTGCCGGAATGAACCAGTTCACACGGGATGGGAATTGTTTTTGATGGGTCGGCATAGATTTCCGGCAATCCAAGGTCTCTGCATAGAGGTTCCAAGAGAGGTGTCTGGCCTGTATCACGTCCATACACAAAATCTCCCTGTCGAGCTAGTCGAAGAGCCTGTATTAGCCGAGAATCGATGTCTGCTATCTTGGAGATCCAATTATTGTATGCTCGTGGAAGTCTGTGTGGTGAATAGAACCAAGACCACATAATGATAGCAGCTGAAGTGGAGAAAATTGTTGGATCGGCGAGCTTTCGAACAGTATTCGCGAGGCGCGGAACCGTTTTTTCTGGGTGCCATGCCTTGGATCTGCTTCTGGTCCAGGCGGTTACCGCCACCACATCCAGAGCCCGGCAAAATGCAAACAAGGTGAAGTCCATCGTTTTGCCTGCATAGTGAGGATGATATGACGGGGGAGGGAGATGATGTTGGTTTGGAGAATGAAATTCGTTTGGTCCAAGACTAGCAGCAGTTCGGGATTGCGCTCGCTTACGGACCCAGCCCTGATCGCGGTTGAGAAGACTGAACGCCAGCCACGAGGATAGAAGAGAACATATGAATGTCAATCGCGATGCGAAAGCACTATTTAAAGTCTTCTCTCCCGATCGACCTAAAATCAATAAAAGTCGCTCAAGAAGCGTTCGTATCAGGCGCGGCAAAGTGGTGGCACCACCTGTGATGATTGCAACAGCAGTGGGAAAGCGGTTGAGTTGAGTTGACGTTTTCAGAATGGCGAAGAGTAGATTTAGCTTCTCGTGTGCCGTCAGGTCGTTGCGCCGAAGGGCCCTCAAGACGCCGAGCAACCTTGGGCCGGTTGCACTGGCATAACCTAAGGCATATGCTCGGAGGGGTGGCTTCAGAGAATTAAGTATTTGTCCAGTCATGATTTTGGTAGCGCTTGCGGTGTGGTCAGCGACCACAAAGGTTGCAATATGGAATAGACGGGGTATTAATAGAAGTTAACTCGATATACATGTGTACCTAACTCATGATGGTAATGGAGAACACAATTCTCAACGTGAGGGAGGTTGACACGGTTTAAAACCGAGGTTAGTTGTGCTTCACATGTCTTTGACGCTGCTTTAATAGATAGCTCTCGTCGTGCTAAAGCGGCTATATCAATGTCCCGATATATCTTGGGATCAGATACCTAGGTACGCCACATGCAATCTTGGTATTGCTTCTCTGTGGAAGTCAAAGCTTCAATCGACCTACAATCTCTTGTCCCGACTCTGGATGCAGGCCTTACGAGGATAGAAGCCTGATGAGCCGCCTCTAATCGAATGACAAGCGGCTGTGCTTCCAAACTTCCCTGACCACGGAGGCGACAATCAGAAGTACCTTAAAAGTTGCCCATCAGGATTCGGTTGGCCAGGACAGCCATTCCCACGAGTGGAACTTCATTGAGGCTCAGTCATTTGCTGGTGGTTAGAAGCCGCTTTCTTGACTTCTCAACGCCATGTTTTTCCCCTAGCAAAGCAACGGCTCTTCTTCGACAATGACCTGCCGGGTGTTTCTTTCTGGAGAAATCTTGCGGACCAGGTATTCAAGATGTGGGTGCTTATTCGTCCCCCCTCATCCCCCACTCCTCCACAACTTATCCTGCACATCCCCGGAAAACGGCACCTCCCCGGTGGTCAACATCCTGGCAGAATAACCTCGGATTCCCCAACTAGATAGGTACCTCACCTACTGGCCTAGCTACTTGGTTGGCGTAGAGACAAATTTCAGCACGAGCATCACGACTTGAGACATTGAGAATTTCATTCCAAGCGCTAGAACCTGCTACTTCAGTCCGTCCCCGGCCACGTGCTGTACAGATTGACCATCGCAGTGTATTGCGTACTCACGATTACTATCTTCTGGACTGCAAATATTGAGCTACTCCTCCACAACCGAGTCCTAGGCTGATCTTAGAAGCGAGGGGTTGGGTCAGGACTAGCTCTCAACTAGGGATACTTGCCATTACCTTATTCAGGTATGGATCGTCCACCGATGACCAGATATAATTCCATCGTGGTGCACAACATGTTCAATTGAGCCTAATATCCGGATTCCAAACAACCTCAGCATTATTCGCATTTCCAAGGTGCCTTTCACGAGAGCCAGACGGCAGCCTTCATGAAGCTACATTCGAGAATGGCGACTGCCGGTAAGATGATAATGAATTTACCCTCGGAAAATATCCGACTTGCCAGGTACCTTCAATATAAAAGACATTCGTCACCAGCTCAAGCATTTCTTGTTGCTTGAATCAGATTCGAGACGGACATCTTCAACCAGGATGCTTTCCTCAATACTTCTCTCTCTTCTTCCGCTAGTGTCTGCTATCCCCTGGGGTCCTCCTGGTTCCAGCAGCCAGACCCCAAGCTTTGACAATGTGACAATATTCACTCCTCCAGCAGATTGGCCTCGTCGCAGTACCAGCTACGCTCGTGTTGTCCTTTTAAATCAAAATTGCGAAACCGACAATGTACTACTTACCACCTTCACACTGACACCGCCATCCGGACGATACTATCCGGTTTTCGCATCCCATGATCAAGGACAAACATGGGCGCAAATCTCGCAGATCGAGTTTGGACCCGAGACTGGCAAGGACTATAGCGCTGGCCGACTTGCCCAGCCAACGCTGCTGGAGCTACCGATCGATGTCGGCGAGTACCCTGCTGGCACTGTACTATTTTCGGGGATGGGACAACCGACAGATCAGTCTTCCACCGACATATATGTCTATGCGTCGCGTGACAAAGGGTGAGTATTGAATGTGTGTCCTCCCTGGCTCAGCGGCATTCTCACACTTGTGTCCAGATATACCTGGGAATTTGTCTCGCTCGTCACATCAGGAGGGCGAGCCAACACGACCAACGGAGCAACCCCGATCTGGGAACCATTTCTACTCATGTCACCCGTCTCGCACGATCCCCCGTGGGTGATGAACGCATACTCGGACTCGCGAGATCCTGCACACGGGCAAAAGCTAGCGCACCAAAGCTCACCGGATCTGAAATCCTGGAGCGGCGTCATCGACGACGCCGCCGAAGCAAACTACACGCTCCGGCCCGGGATGACGACCATGGCCAAAATGGGCAACGGCAAATACATCTTCACGTACGAGCTGGGCTTGTCGACCGACGGCCTCCCCGGCGTCAACCCGTTCGCAACCCACTACCGCATCTCAGACGACCAGGAGACATTCGACAGCGCCGAGGAGATCCGGCTGAAGTCGTCGGACGGCATCATCTCCAGCTCCGGGCCGTACGTGGTGTGGACGCCCGTCGGCCCGTCCGGCAAGGGCACCGTCGTCGTCAGCGACAGCCACTTCACCATGCTGTTCATGAACACCGAGTACGGCGACCCGGACGCCTGGTTCACCGTCTACGGCGACCACGGCGTCGGCTACACCCGCAGTCTGACCGTCATGCCCGACGAGAGTAAAGTGCTGTTGGTCAATGGTGGCATGTATAATTCGAGTTCTACGATTGTGACGGCCGGGATCATCGATATCCCCGGCACGTATGCGCCGGGCTTTGGTCCGGGTCCCAAGGATCGGGATTCTGTGAGCAGTTGTGGTGGTAAGGGGTTTTGGAATAATTGGGGTGCTGGTGTCGCTGCTGGTGGTTGGTGATACTCATGCAGTCAGTGCTAGGTAGGAAGAAAAGAGGCTGATATGGCTATCAGTATGAAGTTGAGTCATGTAAGTAATTAGTTGCAAATGCCTTTCGGCACGTCAAAATGGAGAACAGGTCACGTAAGATCTGCATAGGCTTTGCAGCCGAAATTTTATTTTTGATTTACCATCGGGGAATTGTATTAAGTAGACCTAGTCGGCCGAGTCATTCTGCCGATGCACTACGGCCGCTGAGTTAAACTGGTTGACTCGACACAGATGATTGTGTTTCAGCTGCTCCGCTGCATCTATGACGGAGGGGAAAAGAGCCCACAAAACATACTCGTACATGAGAAAGGTCTCCTGTCAGCCCTGTGTCGCCCCCATTACCCAGAACGTCGTATGCGATAGGAAACCCACACTCACGACCGACGTAAAAGCTCCTCAGCAAAGAGCACTCTTGTTTTTTCCGCTTCTTCCACCACAGCTTTGAGACCTGCATCCAGGCTCCCGAGCAGTCCCAGTATTTCATTGAGGAGGCGGCGTGCACGAAGCGCGTCATCAGCCAACATTTTCGTCTTGTTGTCAAAGGAGTACAACTCTTCCATGTTCTCGTTGAGGAACTGCTTTGCCTCATGTGTTGCGGCTGTGAGCTTTCTCATCAGTGCCTCGGCCTCTTCTCGTAGACGTGTCGCGTGTGACATCTCATTTGATGGATCAGCTGGATGCGAGGCGGTTTGAAAAGGTTCCTCTTGGATAGATTGTTCGGTCGCTGCTGTCTCGAGGACAGGCTTCGCAATGACAGGCTTGTCGCATGCTGTGGAGTGCTGAGGTTGGCCTCCGAAGATCTGCTGGCTTGACGAAATTGCAGGCACCGTGTCTGCTTTGCTTGGCTCTGTGGGCTCCACTGATTCATGTGCTAATTTTCTTTTCTTGTTTTGACTTTTCTTCGGTGTGGGTGGGGTTTCGATCTCGAAGACAAAGCTGTCATCACTATCATACTCGTAGTCTGAATCCCGGAGGCCGTACTCAGGGCAAGAGCATGTGCAATGTGAATCGTGTTTCCGCTCTGTGACTGGTTAGATGAGGAGGCATAGAGTAAGGGAAAAGAAAGACGCAACTGATATGGCCAACGGGCGTTGTTGGAATGTTGAAGTTACGACCAAGAAGAGCATCGAGGCGTTCATCTTCCGTGTGCAAATCAATGAACAGATTTTGAATCTCGTCTTGATCGCAATCAGTCCAAAACATGACGTGTTTCTGAAGGGACTCGAGGATGGAAGATTCGACAGGAAGTTGTCGATGAAGGTCATCTTGCACAAGTAACCACGTTTCGGAGCGAGTCATGATTTGGTCTTTATTCTCACTTTGTCCTTGGAGCATCCGACGCTTGTCGAAAAGTTCTTTTGCGTAGCGAGCGAATGATGGCATGGTCTGACATGCTAGGTGGTACCATGAGGCATAGGGTTGTGCTCTCTTCTCTTTGTCTCGCTGTATGATCGATAAAATGCGATCCTCCGATAACTCGGCTTTGGGTTTCAGTGATGACTCCATGCTGATGTGGATATGTACGAGTTAAGAAGTGGAAGGTGGAAATATACCAACCCAAGATGATAAGTGGATGGGTTATGGAAAGGATGGAAGACTCCAAACCAAGAAGAGAAACAAGAGGAATTCTTTGCCACCTGGTTCGAGACAATTCACATTGGCGACGTGAGACCTCCTCAGGTGCAGCGGCAGTGGGCTAATGAGAACATGGGCGGCAGGCAGGCAGATGCAGGCACCGCAGATATGGTGACAAGTCTGGTACCCGAGTCTAAGAACCTCAACTTCAATGTCACAGCCCGAGGCAGGGCGAGGAACTGAGAGCAATAGTCCATACTCCTTTCGGGCTCAACACATGATATACTCCTACCTTTTCGATCGAGGAAGATACCTACCTATGTGCCTAGCTATCTGAGAGTTACTCCCACGAAGAGATTGTCGCTTCTGTGTGGTAAAGTCCCGTTCCGCATGCTAGCTGAAAATTATGCAGAAGACCCCATTACTTCAAGCAGGAGAGGTATCTGGCATAGTGCGGATCCCTTTGAGAATTGAAGGCCACAATACTTTAGGAGTGAGAAAAGTGAAGCGAGAACCAAGTCAACTCGAAGTTCTCAACAATCAAGCATTTGCCAAGAATCATGAAAAGCCTTTGGTGCCTGGCGGGTGCCTGAACAGAATAAGTCTAGGTAAAGCCAACCCTAAATAGTACGCCTCTAACCCCTGGAGCTTAGGCCGAGGGGCGTTCTGCTTCCCCCACAAAAACCCCATCCATGACGCAGCAGAAGATGCACGTTCCAGCTTCTTCTGGTTGCTGATTTATCCGTGCCCCAAAGTTGATCGCAAATCATACGACATATCGGATAAAGACAGGGCCAATGATCTGGATATTAACTGATCCTTTCGGAGATGATAGTGCAGACTATCCGTGTCCAATGTGGTACCAATTCACCTCATGCCGTTTCGTGTCACACCGTTGCTCTTCCAATCATGGCACATCTGAGCACTCAAATCAACTCTGTAGGTGTAGATTATTCACGTAGACCCTCAATCCATAATGACAGAAAGTGGACTGCCAGTGTTTCGAACGGGAATTGTGGTGACTGGCATGGCAGATCCTCATCCACCGGCGTCATCCAGCCCCCACTCCTTCACTTCGCCTCCATAATGCCAAGTACTCAGGTACCCATCTCGTTAAGACATCGTTCAAGGTGCCCAACCATTCTTTCAAAGACCCAGCTTCATCTCTTGATAGATAGACTTCCTTTGTTCTTGTCCATTGCCTCCCTTGCCCAAATTCTGGGCTTCACGTTCGTTATGATCGTCTTTCCAATCTTGCTGGCTCTCACAGCTATTGCCCAAGTTGGCTTGACCTCGCCAGTGCTCTCGGGGCTTGACTACGCTGTCAAAGAATCTCACAATGTGCCTCCCAGATGGTCACAAGTTGGAGAACCTCATCCTTTGCAACCGCTAAAGCTCAATATTGGTCTCAAACCAAATAATGTTGACCTATTGAAGCAGCATCTCCATGAAGGTACGTGTCTCCCAAAAATCACCTCACACTTGATTTAACAGCTGATTCTCTTCAGTTTCAAATCCGGATCACCATCGTTATGGCCAACATCTGTCTGCACAACAAGTTCAGAGTTTCATGCGACCAACAGAGGAGACTCTTAGATTAGTCCGAATCTGGCTTGACGAAAACTCCATCGACCCGTCCATATGCCAGTACAGTTCTTCTGGAGACTGGGTCACTCTCACTCTACCAGTCTCCGAGGCTGAAACCCTTTTGGACACCAAGTACCATGTCTACCAACATGATGACGGAACAAACCTTGTTCGAACCACTCGCTGGTCGCTTCCACGCTTCCTGCTAGACCATATCACCACAGTTCAACCCACCACCGCTTTCCTTCGAGCAAACCCCAATGGCAATACTCTCCTGACCGTTTCCACAGATATTGATGTTGCGAAGCTTGTAGCAGCAGAGAATGCCGCCAATTCCACTACCTTGACACAGAACTGTAACTGGAATAGCATGACCCCTCGTTGCCTTCGCCTTCTTTACAACACTTACGGCTACAAACCCCAATCCCTGGACAAGAACAAGATTGGGTTCACCAACTATCTCGGCCAAGCGTACAATTCCAGTGATACAGAAATCTTCCTTGGAAACTTCCGTGCCGAAGCAATCTCAGGAGCACGCCAGGTTACACAGATCGGTATTGATGGAGGTGTGTGGGACGACGGGGAGACAGGTGCCGGGGCTGAAGCCAGTCTTGACGTTCAAACCATCCTCGGCCATGTCTACCCGACCACCGTCATCTCCTACTCTACAGGCGGCGAACCACCATTCGATGCCGACATCCTCACACCCACCAATACCAACGAGCCATACCTGACTTGGGTTCTCTTCCTCCTAGCTCAAGATCCAACGTCTTGGCCCAGCGTGATTTCGACCTCCTATGGTGACAATGAACAGACCGTCCCAAGATCATATGCCGAGACTGTATGCAACCAATTCGCGGCATTGACGGCCCAGGGCATTAGCCTGATCTTCTCATCCGGCGACCACGGGGTAGGTAAGAACAACACTTGCAGCACGAACGACGGGGAAAACCGGACCAGCTTCCTCCCTGTCTTCCCAGCTTCATGCCCCTATGTGACCGCAGTCGGCGCCACCAAGAACTACCCAGAAGTCGTGGCATACGATCCTCGAAACGGATTCGCCTCAGGCTCCGGCTTCAGCGACTATTTCCCACGCCCAGAATGGCAAAACACCGTCGTTGACAGCTACGTCAAAGGCTTGGGCAATACCTTTGAAGGCCTCTACAACAAATCTGGACGTGCATACCCCGACCTCGCAGCACAAGGCTTCCGCTATCTCATCTTCGTCAATGGAAGCGCAGTCAGTCTCGATGGCACGAGTGCATCTGCTCCAACTATCGCCAGCGTCTTCTCCCTGGTCAACGATGCGTTGATCGCCAAGGGCAAACCCACTCTTGGGTGGTTGAATCCATGGCTGTACTCAAAGGGCCATACGGCGTTCACCGATGTCGTCGAGGGTAGTGCCATTGGCTGCTCTGGTCCCGGCTTCTCAGCCGGGCCTGGTTGGGACGTCGCATCTGGATTCGGAACTCCGGACTTTGAAAAGATTCGGGACGTCTTGGAGGTCTGAGTGAGCACTGGAGAGGCCTGACTACGCAAGCTCGCTTTGGAGAGTTCATCACGACTATTCTCTCTCTCCAAAAAATGTCTCGTGTGACATCCTCTCTACGGACGCAAACGCCACATCATAGCATAGCACAGCACATCATCACTTTTGGGTCGCATTGCATTGAATCACTCCTGCACCTGCATCTGCATCGCACCACACCTGCATAACATGCATGCATGCATTTCTCACGCGAACACGGAACACAGACCAATCAAGGAAACTTTTCTGCATCAGCATCGTCAACGGCGTCGGGGATCGAATGAAATGAATCATAATTAATGAGTGAAACGGCTCAACAACACATCTTGCATCCGAGATAAAGCGGGGACATACATGACTGCACTGCCCTGCACCGCACCGCGCCCATGTACCAACAAGACTTGAAACTCAGCTAGACAGACATGCATTCGTTGACCACACTACATAGTTACAATTGCTTATGGGTCGAGGTTGAATTCGCTTGAACCGTGGACTGGGGAAATGGTATGCAATCGTGGTAGATAATAAATAGAGTAACTAGAGTACTTGCTTTGGGGCTGGTTAGAGGGATAACTAAGTTAATGGTATGTTCGCTGCCGGATAAATGGGATCAAGATTTCCCAGATTTCTAGATCGTTTTTACCGCGTTGTGGACGTAGGCTACCTCCATGGAGTGAGCGAGGAACACTGAGTGAGTGACCATGATCGATCGATCGTGTGTGCAGTAGTTATTTAAGTCTCCATGCTTCATCGTTGAAGCATGCGGGGAAGCGTGAAGGAGGGGGAATATGGAAAGGCATATTAATTAATACATGTGGTCCGTCTCGACCATCCGGCAGCTTCATCTGAGTGGGTGTCTCTGCCACATCCATCGCATACCTAGCCATCTTCCATCCATAAGTTATTCAGCCCTGCAGGGAAATTCTGTCTCTTGCTGGATGATTTAACACCCGAGGCGACGAAGAACCAACATCGAGGAGACAAAACTAGCTGGGTATTTTCTAGGCTTTGATTCCACATCCGCTGGCCATTGATTTGTTTTTTTCGACAGCTAAGGAAATTCTCAGGCCGGTCTAATAAGGGGTATCATATATTTGAGTAGAGTTACAGTTATGGCTCGTATGTTCTATCCCATAGCATGCCCTTTTCCCTCCCTTCCATGCAAGTTTTTGTAATATCCTTATATATGCAGACGACGTGATATGGTACATGAGACTTGGGTCTCTCGGAATATAAATGCTGATTTTAGCTTCTTCAGACACGAGTTTCCCATCGGACCTTCCGGCGCCGAAGGATGATGGGTTATATGATCATCTCCAGGAGGATTTTGAGATTCCAGCGGATATCTCGCTCCCAGTCGCGACTAAGCCAAGTACAAAGGTGACTTTGGCCGACTTGCCGGGTTTGACTATTTTGTTTTTGTACCCGAGAACAGGTATATTGCACCGCTCCAGATTCAATGCAGAATAATATGCTGACGCTGGTGCAGGGGCACCAAATGAAACAGTCCCCGATTCCTGGAACTCCATTCCAGGTGCCCGTGGCTGCACTCCACAAGCATGCTCGTTCCGCGACAAACTTCCTCAACTTACTGCACTTGGAGTTTCTCAAATTTATGGCATCTCCACACAGCCGCCTGCGTATCAAGCTGAAGTGCATGAACGACTACATCTGCCGTATGACTTGCTGAGTGATGAGCAGTTGACGTTCCAACAGGGGCTGAAACTGCCGACATTCGAATGGGAGGGGAAGAAAGTGCTGAGGAGGTCGATGCTGGCCATTGAAAATGGTCGGATCATCAAGTGGTGGTATCCTGTGTTTCCTCCTGATAAGGGTGTGGAGGATGTGCTTCAGTGGTTGAAATCGAGGTAGATTTAAGGACCTTGGAGCACAAGGTTGTGGATCGCCTGACTGCGTCCTAGTGAATCGACGCTGGGCTTGTACAATAGACCTCCTCTTGAGTCGGGTTGTCTATGCTGGCTGCATTGCCAAAGGTACCGTGGTCAAGACCCCATTCTTGTCGTATCTGGCTTTGAAGAAAGTGTAGCTCAAGGTGATAGTGTCGATGTTTCTCATTTGTGGATCCTTAGCAAACTCTGGGTCGATGAAGAAGAAAACGGGCATGTCCACCGTCTCGCCAGCATTTAATCGTTGTTCCTCAAAGCAAAAGCATTGAATCTTGCTGAAATATGGTGCCACCTGCCCCGGGGTTACCGAGTATGTTGCCACTCCAATTATGTCTGCGTCACTCTTGTTGGTAGCTGTAAAAAAGGCCAAAGCCGTCTCGCCTGGCAGGACTCTCACTTCTCGTTGCTGAGGTGTAAATTTCCAAGGCAGGACATCGGAAACTGAGCCATTAAAGGTGATTCGGAGTCGGCGGTGGTCCTCGAGGGGTTTCAACCGTAGGGCAGGGTCGCCAGAAGCGTCGTGGGTCTTGACGGGTTGTCCATTCCAACCCATCTGTTGACATATCTGCAATAGTGTTAGATGCTGGTGGTTTCAAGGAAGATTGATTGAAATACCATTTTATAGAGAGGAACCGAAGCATATGCGAGAGCCAGAACCCCTATACCCAGACTCGTCCCATAAAACAAGGCAGTTCGATTCTTGAATTTTGCGTTGGCACGCGCAGCCTCCCACTGAGCAGAGGGACCGTGTTCTTGTGACTTTCTTGTCGATTGCGAAATTGACCGAATTGTGAGTTTTGGCTGGGTTGATCTCACGCAATGACTGAATTTGGCAGCATTTTTCCCGGCGGAAGTGCAGGTAGAGACGACGGCATAGACTTTTGGACGCATCTTTAGGTCAGTGAGAGAATTATGAGCTCGACCGGAGACTTGAGAGAGTGCATTGGACAGTGGGTTCGAAGAGCTTCGGACTTGAATTCTCAGGTGATGGTTTCGGTGAAGCATAAAGCCAGGAGCGCAGACTTGGCAGTCTCCACTCATTTGGACCAATCACCGACCACGTGCACTGGGAACAATTTGAAAGTGAGAACTGATTTCGATATCCTTTACCAGCACCTCATTTATCACCAGAATCATTCTTGGGGTAATACTAAATCCTATGTCCAACTTCTTTTTGAATTAACTCCAACTCAAACAGCCTCATCTTTAAGTTACACCGTCTGCACACTGGCAGCCTTGGGAGATCTTGGATCGGAGACGGCGCTACACTACGGTGATGATGCGCCGAGTGGGGTTCCGAAGGCTTGATCCCGGCGCTAGTCACCAACATACCGAACTCGGCACGGTCTTCACGCGACCACAACGGGGTATGATATCATCAGAGCGACAACTTGTTACTCGTAACCTTACCAATGAAGATGATAGTGACAGCGAAAACTCGGATGCCGAAGATCAGTCTGAGCAAACACCTTATGAACTCAAATGCGGAAACATTAATCTAGGCATTGCGAAGAATTATGTCCCAAGCTGGACCCCTAAAGATGCGTTTCGAGAGTGTTACCAGAACTGGTATTGTTTCACTTTTTGCACATTGAAATTTCCAAAACTAACAATTCGCAGGAGAGATGGTATTGTCGAGTCGTTCAAGATTGATTCACGAGCGCTCAGGCTTGTTACTGAGGAGAACAAAAGTGCCATCACAATCAAAGCATTCAAGAATCACGATGGAGCCGTTTCACCAGAATTGGTCGGTTTCATCTCGTACGACAAAGTTACTGGCCGGACACAGCTTTGCAATTTCAATGCCAGACTTGAGGCTAAACATCTCTGCATGGGGGAATCCAGCAAGCGGTCAAGCGATCATCTTGCAGGCACTCATGGAGAGGGTCTAAAAATTGCCGCACTTGTGATGCGTAGGCGCGGTTATGGTGTTCGAATTGCATCCAGCTCCTTCTACTGGAATTTTCATATTGCCCGTGGTGATCAAGCAACCCTACGCTGCAAACTTACTCAACCGTCGCCGGGATCCCTGAGCAGGAAGAAAGCCTACGCTAAGCAGATGGCGTGCCGGAATGACCCCCGACCACTCGTAGGCCGCGTTTGGGAAGATGTCACCTTCTTCCTCACCACTGGTAAAGGCGAACATGGCCGTATGATTGAGGAGTTTGAGTTCCGAGATTGGCTCACAGTTGCCTTGGATCTGGACCCACCGCGAGATGGTGAGATGATCAAGACGCCCACAGGTGATCTTCTTCTCGGACCAACACATTCTGGTCGTGTGTATCTAAAAGGCCTCCGTGTCTCTGGACATGGGACTGATGGACGTGTCTACAGCCATGGCTACAACTTTCTCACAGGGCGCATCAACAGAGACAGAGAACGCTTAGTGAATCAATCCGAGGAAGCCGCGATGGTTGCCACCATCTGGACGCAAGCAATGTCCTTGGGATCCGGGGGCATCACAGACACGTACCTGAAACTTTTCCACGATAACGAGAGTGGACCCGATACCGCGTTCGCTGCTGAAAACATCAACATCTCGACAGCGAGGCTCATGTGGGAGCGACTGTTGGAGACCTCTTCTCGTGTATTTTTCTTCCACGGTGATGATCATTCCTCAGATTACCAGGTAAGCTCTGCCGCATTTGTGCGAACAGTTCTATACAACGCTAACATGACATCGTAAGTTCGAGGCGATTACGAAACTTCTGAGAATGGAACCACGAAAGCTCCCGAAGACGCTGTGGAAGATTTTCCGGAGCCTCGATCTAGTCCGTACTCCAACTGAGCAGCTTTTCAAGAAGTCGGCTATCGTCAATGAAACTAAAAACAACTTCGCTATCACAATTAGTTGGATCCTCCACGCATTTCTGCAGCTAGATCCACGATTGAGACTCATCAAACTTTGTTTCGTTGAAGGCGGCAGAACTCAGATTGATTTGCTCTACGAAGCAAAGTGCCAAACACTTCGCATCCATGAGAAATGCACAAAGTTCGAGGAAGTACACGAAGATTCAAGTTGCGATGTGGAAGCCTTTTCCAAATATTTCCCCACAAAGGAGGACGATTTTCTCTGCGATCATGTGGCGGAAGACCTGGTAGAGCGTGTTCTCGATAAGGTCCGTGGCTCCTTAGGAATGACACTCACCGAATCTCGAGCTCTTCGACGAAAGGCACGCTCATACATAAGGTCCATGCCTCGCCAAGTTACCGTCAAAGTCACTGCAAATGCCAACGAACTCGTGGTTCAGTGGATCGGTAATGAGGGTAGCTTTGTCTTCCAGAAATGTGGCTCCGACATACTTTATCTTGTTACTCTTCACATGGCTAGCACGTGCGATATGAGGAAGGCTCACCTTCTGGACGAAAACGGTGAGTAAATCTACTGAGCTACAAGCTGCGAGTTGCATTACTGACATGGCTCTTCAGCAGATGAGCCATTTCCCGCCAAAGCTACTGATTCTCCAAATTATGGTACCTCGACTTCTCCATGCCAATGTCCAAGGCAAGTCGTCAGTCGAATCGATTCAAAGGCTATATTCTCTGGTCTCAATCACCATGAAGCATACTTCCCACTTGTCCGACGGTTGGTGAGTCCATCGTTCTATGGAATACCTCCAAAACCTCTTTCGCCGAGAGCAACTGCTCTGCTCAAAATAAGCCTTGTGCCCCCTGCCATAACTTCAATACAAGCTTGTGCAGATAAATCTCGCCGGGAGAAACAAGTGGCAACGTCACAAGAAGCTAAAAGAGTTGAACATTCAGATTGGATCGAAGATATGAAGACCTGGCGGAAGTGGTACGCGGAAGAGATGTCTCTTGCGGTGGCTGAGAGTTTGCCAGAATATGAGGCGAAGCCTCCTGTGAGTAATACAATTGCTGCGTAAAGCGTCTCACAAACATATCTGACCAGACTTAGGGTGCGTTTTGACGATTGCAGCACTGCTGAGGTCCTCGAGTGCCCGCATCTCGACTACACCTTCAGAAGAGATCAATTGGTTTGTATCGAGTTGACGACATCGCAGTCTGGTTTTTATTTCGTCTATGTACGCGATATTCTCTATCAGCTGGATGGAAACGACGAATCATCGTATTCTCTGCTGGTGACGAAGTTTTCTGCAGTTTCGACCTCGAAGATCCTGTCCAAGTTATCATCAGACAACTTGGAGCTTCTCCTTCACTTCCGAAATTATCGCAACATGGGCTCCGAGGCCAATGCCGAACTGATTGAGGTAGACAATATCAAATCTGCTCAAGAGACATCTCATAAGCGCATTCTTTACTGCACTGAACGTCCCAGAGGTAAGGACAAAAAGCTATGCTTGAAGTAGATTTGCTAATCGTTGAACAGACATGGTGGAGGGTGATGCGTTCTGTCGATTTGGTATCAGGACCTTCGTCACTCCAGGCATTTTCTGCATCACGCGCCTGGCACCCAGTCTTCTCCCTCGCTCCGAGAAATTATCAGAAGTCTCTTATCAGGGCTCTATACCTCCTATTGTTTACGACCTGAGTCCTAATGCCCTTGGGCCAGCAGAGGGATTTCGACAAGCCGGCTACATTATTGATAGCGCTTTTGATTTTAATGAAGAGCATAACGTCACCTGGAGGGTAAGTGTGTCCGCTAAGATATGTCGTTCTTCTTCTCATAAAGCTATAGGCACGCTACCCTCTGAGTTCAGTGTTTAGCGGTTCCTTTATGTCTACTATGAGCAAAATCGAATCTGGTACCTTGAACCAGCTGACTAGTAGTACTCCTGGAGCTGCAAAAATCGCTGTTATCGCTGGCGAGTACTCTTTTTTCAGCTTGAGCGAAGAGGACATCTCCCTGCCCTCACTTGAGCGATTTTGCAAGCCGTTTGAAAATCTCTCGGCGATTGCGACGTCTCCACTCAGACCTGACTATGTGGTTGCATTGCTATCACCTGCGGTCTTACACCCACTGGCAATAGAGAAGTTCTCAAGGAGCATGAGCCAGCTTCTCGAACATCAATTTTCCATTCAGCTAAAAGTCTGCCGCTCGTCAGGTTCTGAAGTTCGACCAGTTGGCATGGTCTTAGCCTTGATCGTGTCTAGAACGTATGCTGACTTGCCCTGGGATTCTGTGGAAACAAGCTCAACGGCCGGACAAGCAACCGAGCTTGAAGCGATGATAAAGGATCTTGCCATTACCAGTGCACGCCCTGATGATCCCGGCTCTTCGGAATTCTTGACTTCTGTCCGCGCCATGTCCAATGGTCAATTGGTACCGACTGGGACAGCACCTGTTGTTCATGTCTACAACCACTACGTTGGAAACAATCCCCCTGCTGGGGATTTTCTAAACAAGGTCTTTATGCGGCCTTTCGCGTTTGGCCAAGAGGCAGCCGTGCGACATCCAAGTAAGTGTACCCTGCTCGGATTTGCTGTAAGTTCTTCAAGCAGACCTCTAATACTTCCTCCGTAGGACTCGAGCGAATACTTACGATACGAGAAATTGCCCGATTACAGGGTTTTGATGATGACTACATCTTTTATGGATCTAGAGCAACTCAATACCTAGATGTTCTCAACTCCATCCCGCCGGCAATATCGAAGAAGATCGCTGACAGCATTTTGCGATTCATTCGAGGTTCAACGAAGGTAAAAGTAATCAGAATGAATCCCGCGTCTTCCAGGAAGAGAGCAAGAGTCGACAGTCCGGGATCATGAGTACCAAAACTATGAATTTGTGTTTTGGCAGACCCTCTCTCCTGGATGAACGAATATAACAGCTTGCTTATGAAGCATACCTACGACTGCACGCCCAGGAGCATAAGATATTCCTTGCGACTTGCGACTCAACATCAGTTTAGATGAGACGCCTGCTGGGGAAGAATTGCAAAATTGGGGCTGCATTAGCAGCGACTTGGTAACAAGGGTTTGCATTGGACGATCAAGCGCGAGGCTTCCTCGTTACTCAGATTAAGGGCTCCAAGTGAGCTTCAACAGTGCTCAATATTCAGAAGAACTGGTGCATACATAGGTAGCAAACGTCGCATGGTCGCTCCAGATTGCATATGTCGATCTCGGCTCGGCCTGCCCTTGCAGATCTCCAAGTCCATAATCCTCAAGGCTTCCATCCCGTTCGTGCTGTTCATTTTTCCGGCGTGCCCCAAAATTCCGTGACGTCAAGCGTCCATCACCCTCACATCATTCCAAGTAGTATCAAAACTCAACAAAAAACGAACTGTCCAAGGGCTGTACTGCAATCCAAATCCCTATCCATTGCAGAAAGACCAAGCCTAAATACTTTCACATGCAGGCGAAGCCCATGCCCATTGAACCTGCAAGTGACATAAGAAATGCACGCATCTCCACAACACAACCCGCCCCATAATAAGTCTTGTTGAGCAATAGAGTTACGTGTTACGATAGATGGACTTATTCCACGCCGTCACCCAAGGCATAGACTCGGTTCTCACGTGCGACTGGTACGAGACATTCAAGACCTTCAACCCTGCGTCATCGTCTTCTTCTTCCAATTCACCTTCCACTTCCACGACCAGTTCGAGATCACATTCGAGATCGAATAGTACGACCAAAAGACTCTCAGAGAGTATTACTACCACGACTGCTTCTACTTTTGCATCGTCGAAGATGCCTTCCGGATCGGATCAGAAGTTGATGGATACTGAGCCTGGTGGCGAGAGTACCCAGTACGTATCTCCCCGTCGACCCAGAGAGGGATTTTGGAGGTTTCTTTGATGTCGACAGTCAATCGAGCGATGTCTAAAGTCGGCCTTTAGGTGGATGATGCTAATGCGTTCTCAAAATCAAGATATGAGTCGATCAAGACTGTGACAGAACCATCTGACAAGGAGAGGGGTCAACTGGGAAGTGAGTCTTTCTAATTCATTATCCTATGTTCCCATGTTGTTCCCACGTATCCCACACACACATACAACACATGTTATACGGCCAGTCTATCATGTCACACCTCGCTGACGTGAGTCTGCGTCTATTCGTCTCCAGGCGGACCCAACACATCCGAACCAACCAGTCTCTCCAATGACCGTGGCGAGCAGACGGCCGACAACATCAGATATGGCCAGAACATTTCAGAATCCGGCGTCGGAGGTAAAACGACCACTTCGACCGGCTCTGCAGAACAGGCTGGAGGGTATGGTGGAAAGTCAGATGACGCGGAACCCCAGAAACAGACACGACGCGAGCAGGGATATGGACCGGGTTCTGGGGTCGGTGCATAATCTTGTATCTCCTGCTATGATATAAGTTCCAGTTTAGTAACGAAGCAACGATGGGTAACTGCAGTGACATGTTTATATCGTTTTTTGGTACACAATGCTTTATAGTGATACAGATGGGGTCGTCTTCAATGGCGGATCCAATTCCCTAGACACTGTGAGAGGTGGCACATCATTCGTAGGAGGGATAATCGACTGCGACTCGTCCGTCTTGTCTTTCGGCTCGACGGGTCTCCTGGCTTCCTTCAGCGACTGCAACGTGACACCATTACCGAGCTTGACCAGGCCGACCACGGGCGGATCCCCTTTCTTGACAAACTCCCACATGCCCGGTAGTTTGAGACCGACCAATCTGAAAGCATCTCTAGCGACCTTCTCGTGCATGTCGCCCTTCAACTCCAACACGATACGGCTCACAGGGACACGCGCGGCCCAATGGTCGAATTTACCCTTTCCTTTACCCATACGCACGCCACTGCCCTTGATGTAGACGCCAATGTTGGCGCTGACGCGTGTGAACATCTTATATCGCAGACCTCGTAGGCGTTGACGGATCGTGGCTTCGGCAACCCGAAGCTGTGCTGCGGATATGTTTCGGTCGTGGTCTTTCATCCGCAGCCCGTAGTCGCCCCAGACAACCGTGGTCCCACGAGTCGAGCCTCCGGTCGGCATCCGCGGTCGCCCATACATGGATTTCTTGGTCTCGGGCCGCGCTGGTTGTAGCCAGTTGTGGCGGAGGGGTGTAGTGGTGAATGAACGGGTGCTGCATCTTGAAAGTGTCTGATGGGTGGCGGTTGTGGGGGAGTGTCTCGATTGGTATGAGATGGGTTTTGCTGACGAAAGGAGAGAAGATCGATGAAAGACTGTACTTGATCTCAAGTAGCGTAGGCACGCAGCTGTGAGTTGGGTCAGTATATCGTATGGTAGCAAAAGAGGTCTGAAGATTGCTATAAAGTACCTGAGGGCTGAAGGACTGGCGCAGCCATGGCTGTAGCTATGAGGTTTCACCTGGGAGCAGACAGCCTCACTCAGGAAAGCCGTTACCGCTATTTTATCAGCAGTTGGCTACCTCGACGGAGAGAGTCGATGTCGTTGATGCGTCTAGCTTGCGATCTAATCGACAAGCAAGGTTCGGAAAAGTGATAATGCACGTGATCAGGAGACTAGTCACGTGAAAGCCTTGGCACAGGTCTTTCAGCCTCGTCTCAGAAAGTCTCCGGTCATACTTCCCTGTTTGCTGTAATTTGGTCCGCAGGAGTGCTATTAAACTTGTGATATTCAGATTGCCATCGACATCGTCCGCCGCCTCGGTGGAGCAGGTAAATTGATATTTATTACCCATTCAGGAACATCCCGATGTCAAACTCTTACCAGAAAAGGCAATGCAGCCTGATGCTGACTTAACTGGCCACGGCCCCGGACCGGTATCCGCTGAATACGCTTCCATTTTCCAAGCTCGTTTGGAATAGCATGAAGGTTCAATGGTCACGTCTACTACTATGCAAAATCCACACCTAGTTCGGATCTTGGTTTGATTGGAGATCTTGACTTATAAAACGCCAAATGACAGTGGTGTAAAGCCGTAAATTCCAATACTTCGGTGTGACATGTCCAACGTTGCGATTCGAAACGGATGAACTTGCGGACGGCTTGCGGACGGCACTGTACATGTTGGATGCCTTAATTCCTATCCATGGCGGTGTCGGCCGTGTCATGGACGCACATAGCATCATGGCAATGGCCGCAACGAGGTGAGTTGTGGGAGACCAAACTGGCATGGATGATGTCTACATAAATGGCAGTTTCCCAAGGTGCGGAGCTTTGTGAGTAGCCAATTTTGGAACATAGCCTGAATCAAAGAAAGTCTCTAAAATTGACACCAAAAATGCAACTGCTATGTCCTCAAATATTGATATTGCTATCAGCAATCGGCAATGCTCTTGCGATCCTAAGAGACACTGGCAGCGGTGTGTCGTGCGAATCATCAGCTTTTGACCTCCCTGAAGTCCTGGGTACACGCATTATCTCACTGAGGGCAACTCCAATATTCAACGACAGCCTGGCTCTTGACAGACGTGATGTTCCGGATCGACTCTCAACATTGCCCGGAGCGATCGATGATGGTCTTGATTATTGCAACGTCAGCCTCACATACACTCATCCAGGGCTGAATGACTCAATCAATGTTGCAATTTGGCTGCCATTGAAGAGCCACTGGAACGGACGATTCATGGGTGTCGGCGGTGGAGGCTTCAACACAGGCTACAGCGCAGACTCTTCCTTTCCTTACAATGGAATTGGCGCCAACTTCTCGACCATGTGGACCAGTGGAGGACACGTATATCCAACTCGTGAAGATCCCTTTCCTGATCCGGCGCCCTGGGGTCTCGCAAGCCCGGGAGTCGTAGACTTTAATGGCTTCAATAACTTTGCGTCACTCACCCTGCACGAAGCAACCCTGTTCGGCAAGGCAATCACCGAGAACTACTACGGTCGACCTGCTGAATACTCATACTGGAACGGTTGCTCGCAAGGCGGTCGCCAGGGCCACATGTTTGCGCAGAGATATCCTGACATGTATGATGGCATTCTCGGAGCAGCAGCCGCCATCAACTGGGTGGACATTTTCCAGTTCATGCTTTGGCCACAGATCGTCATGAATCAAGAAGGACAATTCCCATCACTATGCGAGCTGGAAGCCATCAAAGAAGCAGCCATCGAAGCATGCGATGAGCTCGATGGTCTGAAGGATGGTCTAATCTCGGCGAATAGCCAATGCACCTTTGACGCCAACGAGGCCGTTGGCCGACTCTACAACTGTTCTGGCGAGTATGTTCAGGTCTCGGCTGGGGCAGCACAAGTCGCCAACGCAGCATGGCGCGGCCCTCTCAACATCGACGGTACCCAGCAATGGTATGGAACCTCCAAAGACACAGACCTCAGCCCAATTGCAAACACGACCATCTCCAGCAATGGAACTCGTGAAGTCAACCCACTCTTCCTGCCACACGACTGGATCAGAGTCTGGATCGCCAAAGACGCAACCTACAAGCCCGCGCTCGCCACTTACGAGGACTTCGACCACTTCTTCCATACTGGACACCAGATCTACGACTCGCCAATCGGCACTGTCGACCCCGATCTGCGCGCATTCAGAGACGCGGGAGGCAAGTTTCTGACCTGGCACGGCGTGGCAGACGCCTTCATCCCCTTCGATGGCACCGTTGACTATTACAATAAAGTCCTGCAGCGAGATCCATCAATCGACGACTATTACCGCTTCTTTCCAGTCCCTGGCATCGGGCACTGTGGAGGCGGTCCCGGTGCAAAGCCGGATTCGAGCCTCGAGACGCTCGTGAATTGGGTCGAGAAAGGTATTGCGCCGGAAACGCTACTGGCCATGAAGAAGTCTACGAATGGAAGTATCGAGTACCAACGCCCACTGTGCAGATACCCATTTTTCACTGTCTTCGTAGGCTCTGATCCCAATTTGGTAGAGTCATATGAGTGTCGAGAATCCTTTTGATCTGCGCAGCCATCGCCCATACAAATTTGAAGGACCGTGTGGAGCGTAGCACCTGGTATTTAGACGAGAATGTGTCGTCTTCATGCAGCTAATCTCCTGTGTATGTGGCGAGAAGGATGTGGGGCCGTGTTTAGCCTTTCACCATGTTTATAAGCAGGAACCTAGGTCAATCCCGATCTCATGTCAGTACCGAGAGTCCGTAACACTGATCGACATACTTATCCTTGTGAGCAGCGCAGGTGAAGGAGATCTGGCGTTGTAGTCTAACTAAGTGCTTAGTCTCAGTCCTTAAGTTTGAATCGATTCTTGTCTCAGCGTACCCTGCTTGAGCGGTGCCATAGTACACAGGTGGCCAAACATTGATTACTCGGGGAGATCTCTGGTTCATCGATGTGGGTATGAATTGAATGGTGGGCTCTGGAGTATATTGTAACATTGTTAAAGCTATCTCCTCAGCACAAAGGAATACTAGTTAACATTTGGTTTTCGATAACTTTTCTTGTGATACACAACACTGTACATGAGCAGTATCGGTTGCCAGTTTGATAACTGATACCATTTTTAGCAGTCATGTTGTGTCAAACCATATTGTTTCATAACATAAGCGCAAAGTCATCAACGATAGTTTCTTAGCTCAGTGTGATGCCACAACTCAATCGGCCGCCATCTGTCAATATTGGGCGCACCAGGCACTGGTGGTCGATATAGTAATGGACACTTTTTCGGCCTCTCACTAAGCTCGTCCTTTGCCCTTTCTTCCACCGCGAGCTGTTGCAGCAGCGGTTTTCTTCTTCTTTGGCACACTTGCAGTCGACTCCTCCTCATCGTCTTCATCATCGGCGTCCTTCTTGCGCTTGGTTGGGGCTTTGCCCTTCGCGGCAGCAGCTTTCTTCTTTGGAGCTTTGATGTACTTGTCTTTCTTCAGATCAATCTCATCGTCTTCATCGTCATTAGCGTCGTCGATGATTTCTTCGGCTTCGGATTCGTCCACGGCCTCTTCCAGATCAGGTTTGTCTTTCTTTCCTCCACCCTTGGCCGTACTCAAAGAGGTAGTAGCTTTGACGAAAGGCATTGGGTGACTCTGCTGGTTGTACAATCTGGTAAACGTGGATTTTGTTGCAGTGTCGAGTTTGACCTTTGCTTGATCCATCGGGCCTACTCCCAATTCCAGAACCGCGTCATAATCGTCTTTGGTCAAATAGTAGGAGTCCATAAAATCAATGACATCTTGAGCAGCTTCTTTGCCTTCCTTGTCTAGCAGATTCACCGTCTTATTCCAGATTGCTGGGAGATACTGCTGGCGGACTTCATGCCGGTCTGCCGAGGTGCGCAGCCGCATATGTCCTTGAATCTCCTTGACCATGCGGGAAAGCTTACCTATGAACTAGTTAGTAAGTTGAATATATTGTACAAGGGAGCGAAACTTACCTTGCTTGCTATTTTGGCCGAGCCAGCTCGCGAAGCCGACCTGGACATTGAAATTTCCATGCATATAACTAGCTGGACGAACAAAACTGAAGATGGCATGGGTAGGCATGAGACCCCATTGTTGTTGCGAGCCATGGATCATCCTATCAACCAGATCGCCGTCGCTGATGCTTGAGGCAGCCTTATCACAGAGCTCCAGGAGCTTCATGCTTCGCTCTCTCCCATTATAGGTACTAGCTAGAGTGGGTTGGGTTTTGAGATAATTTTCTTGAAGCATCAGATAACTGAATTCGTGATCATTGAAGTACAATTCGGTTTTGTCGTTCAAGGTGGCAGTTGAGCTTGCCGAGAACATTTGTGGACGCAGAATCTTGCTGACAATATCCCATGGCTTGAGGATGACATGCTTCTCCCAGGCTTTTGACATTGCCTTTGAGTCGTTGAAATCCAGATCTTTCTTATCAAGTTTGACAGTCGAAATCATGTTGATAATCTGGCGAATATCTCCATTGCCCCCTTCGATCAATGCATTCAAAATCTGAGTGGGCAATTTTATTCCTTCACGGAAACAGATGGTTGCAATACGACCACGTATCATATCAGTAGTTGGTCGTCGGAAAGCAAATTCAGCCGTACAGCCATCAAAAGGTTTCATCTTGGGCAAGCGGCGTTCGTTGCAGATCATGATGATTGGTATGTTTGTCTTCTTCGCGACCGCAGCCATGGCACCAACACCACCTCGGTCACCTGCAGACATACCGTCGACTTCATCCATTATCAAGACGAGCTTTTTCTTCTTGGCGTCGACCTTCTTGCCATCCCCAGAGAAATATCCGAGAAGTGAAGTGGTATCAAGTACACCTTTGAGACCGGTTTCCAACAGTTTCTTGTTTCGAGTCTCGCTAGCGTTACTTTCGACAATATCATATCCCTCTAGCTTTGCGACCAAATGAGCTGCAGTGGTCTTGCCAATGCCAGGAGGTCCGTGAAGCAAAGCAGCACGAAATATACCCTTTCCACTCGCACCGGCTTTCTTGAACCCGGACTTCAAGTTATTTGGCCACGCTCGAAGCCAGGCTTGAAGGCCCTCAACAGTGCTCTTGTTTCCACAAACACTATTCATCGAGTCTGGGGCGTACTTGTCCACCCATAGCCGATCGTCGACCTTGGATTTCGGCTTGGTCGCTACGGGAGCTCCACCAGGTCGTGCTAACGCAGCTTTCTCAGCAGCTTTTGCGGCTTCCTTCTGTCGTTTCTGCTCCCGCTCTTCCATTTCTTGTGCTTCTTGACGAATCTTGGCTTCTTCTTTGGCTTGCTTTTCAGCATAAGCTTCACCGGCTTTCCCATCACCTCCATTTGCGGGAAGACGCTTAATCAGCGCAAAGAGTCCTTCTTCATTGATGGTTTTTATACCAAGTTTCTGAATGGTCTCAAGCTTCTTAGGGCCCGCATCACTACCTATGACCACATAGCTGGTCTTCTTTGAGGGCCCGGTTGTGACTTTGCCTCCATATTGTTTCACGAGGCTCTGGCCTTCTTCTCGACCGATGGTTGTCAAGACGCCTGTGAAGACAAAAGTCAATCCAGCAAGACAATTTTCTTCGCCAACAGGAATTTCTGCAGAGCCTTGTGCAGGAGGAGCGGCAGTTGCATTATTTACTCCACCAAATTTGAACTTCTTGGTCTCGTCGTCTCGTGGGGGAGGAGTCGGTGCCCGGACAGTGGGGATATTGTCCAAGATATCCTGTATTTCTTTACTTTCTTCCCTCTCCTCCTTCTTAGCACGAGGTTTGCGAGTTGTGGGCACGGCCTTCTTAGTCTTCTTCTTTGGTGCATCGTCGTCATCGTCTAAAAAGTCATCCTCATCATCTTCAAAATCTTGAGACTTCCGCTTTCGAGATGTTGTTGATGTGGTCGAAGCACGCGTCTGCTTGCGGTCACCGGGTCCATCGTAAGATGGGATTTCCGCCATATCAAGATCAGACTCATCTTCATCATGTTGGGGCTTCTTGGAATATCCATTCACTCCTTTTGTATGGCGCGACTTTGGCATTAAATCATCATCATCTGAGCCTTCATCATAATCATCGTCGACTTTGCGGCTCTTCAAGTCATTGAAAATATCGTCACCTCCTTCTTCATCGTCTGCCAGCTTGCTCGGCCTATCATCAAGGTCCTCCGCGTAATTCCTTGTTGCAGTCTTCCTGGCAGAGCGACGGCCAGTTGACGGCGTGCCGCCATTCGTCTGCTTAGGTGTAGATTTCCCTGTTCCATTTGTCATGGATGTGTTTTTAGATCGAATTGGAGTTGACTTTGAAGCACTTGGCTTGGAAGAAGCGAAGTAAGCAGAACTTGTTGTGTCTTCCTCTTTGACTTCTTTGGTAGCTTTCTTTGTCTTGGGGGTTGCGGGAGCTTTGGGTTTGGTTTCAACCACTTCATCGTCATCGTCATCGTCAGAAGAGACGACATTCCGTGGACGCCCGCGCTTGGCCGCAGCTTTGGGCGCCGGCTATCACCTCGTTAGTACTTCATGGCTTGCAGATACATGTTGAAGAAGTTGTAACCCACAGCTTCCTTCTTTGAGGTGGTGGATTTCGGTGCAGGCTTCACCCCTCCGCCGCCTCCGCCAAAGAAACTTCTGATGTCTGACGGCATTATGTCTCCAAGGTCGATGGGTACAGTGAGATGTCGTGATCTGGGCACGAGATCTCAGGACTGTAGAGGGGAAAACATCGACATTCCTGGGAAAGAGTTTCCTTTGTTGAGTGGAAAGATAAACGGCAGGCAGTGAGGGCGTATTCGATTTCTCAGGAATTGAATGACGCGCTTTCGGATAAATCAGACACGCGACGTGACGAGACCATTCACGTGACCACTTTAGTTTGTTTTAGGACTAGAGCATTGCTGCCTTAAGTTGGGCCAGTAGACGCAAAATGCCTCCGACCTCATAGATCCCCTACCTACCTTTAGCCATTTCTTACGAGCCCCTCGAGACAAGAATGATGAATTGACTGCCAGGAATAGCACTCCTTCCTGCTCTGAGTTTGAATCTGGTTGTGGTCTGGACTTCAGTGATACTCCCCTGGATTTGAAACCTCGGATTGTGAGACACAACTCTGAACTCGTTGCCCAGGATGGAAAAGAGGGGAGGCAGTAACACAAAGGCCGTGAAGGCGCCATTGCCTGATCACGAACAAACTGCCCGATACTTCCTCAACACCGATTATTCATGTGGCAAGTCCTAGCCCTTGAGTATCATTGTGAAGCTGACAGCAATTAGGATAGGAAAGTCTGATGGCTGATCCTCGTGGCCGACGGCAATGGTAATTATGCTGGACAAGCAATGATGTCACACCTGGTATGTGAGTGGGCCTGAAGCATAAAGAATAGACGTCTTTGCTCAGATAGGACCTCTAACACCACCAATCAACAACGAGCCCGAATTGTTGAGATCTTCACCAGGCGGATTGCAAGGATCTCTTTGCACCACTCGAACATTGTTCGCAACGCTTCAACCTGAAGACATCTATCCAAAGGAAGATATTCTCGCCGTATGGTCTCAAGATTGGCGTGCAGCCAGTCTAAGAAAATACACTTCATGAAATCTTCCAACTCCTGCTCCTTGTCTGCTCTTGCGAAGCACGGCCACTCATCACGCTGTCATGAGAGTGCCTATCGCTGGGGTCAATGCTATCGTCAAGTCGAAGTTCTATAGCGGCAGCCTTCGGTCTGTGATAGAGCAATATCTGCTATGGAGAGTATGTCATTGACATTGGGAAATTGCTCTTTGGATTTGGGAAGCGAGTGTTGGTGTCCTTGGTGGGCATATAAGTAAGTGTACGATACTTTTTTGAACTGACCGGCAGCGAGACGGGGATCAACAAGAGTCCTTGTTGCATAAACGCATGCCGATTGTTATCAACAGCGTGGGGACAAGTCGCAGTGACGGGCACGAATTTGGCCACAAGCAAAACAGGAAGTGGCATGACTGGTTTTCTCGACTGGGCAAATTAGTGAGTAACACTCTTCTAATTGCATGATCTCATCAACCCTGTTTGCCAGCAACCCTGCGCTTGGTCCACCTCGATTCGTTATGGGGTCAATTAGTCATAAAACGACATGGCGAAAGGAGCAATCAATAAGATACCTACGCTCTTTCTGTGAAAAACCATAGTCTCGGGGAATATCTCTCAAAGTTTATACCATAGGCGTTGATGGTCTTCCACAGGTTTGTCCGACATCTTCCAACTTTGAGATTTAGACAGACCTTATTGAGTGAACAAAAAGCTACAATCTGGGCTCCCTCTAATAATTTGGAGTATTTAAGGGTGAATCTACTTAAGACTCAGCCTTGCTGTTCTGCTGTATAACTTGGATAAACTTCGGCGCGGCCTGTGCTGCCTCCCCAAGAACAACTTTAGTCGGCAACCTCCTTCTTGCGCACAAGCATCAGCATCATGGTCACGGCTAACCCATGCTGCATGCAAGTATCATGGGCGAGTACCACATATCTGAAGGCAACCGAGGGGCTATCAGAGTGCGAGACACATATGCCAAGACCTCCTGCGGCGACAATCAGAACGGGCGCTTCCTGAAACCCAGGCCGGGTTGTATGGATTTCCGGGCGTTAAACAATTGTCTCTGCCCTTCGATTTTCCAGGATGTCTTCACACCTGGAATCTTCGGAAATGATTGGATTGCAAGATCTCCCCGACCACGTCTTACGCGGTATTGTGTCTTTTGTGATTGATGCCACCCGCTTCAAGGGCTGGCAATTGTCCCTTAGACTGGTCAATCGTAAGTTTGAACACAATCTTTATAATGGGCTTCCACTTACACGACTTCCCTTTTTAGGCGAATTCAACGAGGCTGTGTTGCATGCATGCTTTGTGCAGAGGAGGTTCTTTGCTGATGGTTCATGGCACTCCCTCGACTGCAGTATGCCATGCTTCAACTGCTTTTGCGGGAAAGATGAAGTTTCACGTCTGAAATACACCTACGCGTTCCGCTTCAATTTCCAAAGTCTGCTTGTGGCCCGAAATCTGTCCGAAAAGGTCACAACTGGAAACCAGGCCCTTAGACAATGGACAGAAGCACTGACGATTTTGCAAAAACTCGAAATTTGGAAACAGCTCAATTCACAGGAACTTCAGTTCTATTCGACATGCAACTCCAACCCGATCTTCCATGCCACCTTCAATGACGAGGCCTTAGATCATGGACCGCTGAAAGGTCTGGTAGGAGCTCGGGTAAACACTAATTGACTCCAGTGGCCAGCGAGAAGCGCTCCGGACTCCGGGAGCGTCCGACCAGACTTTGAAATGGTCTTGGTCAGGAGATAAAAAGCTTGCTATTACGGACTGGAGTTACAAAAAGCATAATACCAGCGAAATGTCTCCAAAGGCACATTACGGTGAACTATCAATGGCACTGTTTACGAAAGCCGGAGATGACACGAAGAAAGTGGAGCTCATCGCCCGAACCAGAACCATAAATTCATCGGCAATGAAAACTATCGACTCCATTTTCAAAAGTCTCAAGTTGAAAGCAGGTGTGAATGAGATGAGTATCTCACGATCAGATACAGACCCGGTAGAAGCGGAAGCTTTTGATGCGTACTTTAGGACGACGAATAGAAGGGGACTGTGAATTTGTTGGCCTTTCACGCAGAAGACTGGGGTTTCCGGACCCCCCAGACTGTTGTTCCTATGAGGCCTGCGGCTTTTAAGCCTCCGAGTTATAACTCGTCTGTTGTACTGGGGTAAACAGGAGCAGCTCTCGGTAATTTTGAGATTGCGGACAGCATGGACATTTTTGAGCGTATGAAGTTTGACCATAGAAACGCGGTTGCTGGGCGGCTTCGGTTTTACTGGGACGAGAGGCAAGAGAATATGGCGTAGGCGGGAGGAGAACAACGAGTATTTCATCAGTACCAAATGCTGTGACGTGGACGCTCACTACTTTATAAATATCTAGATAAATACATACTTACCCATGCGAAAATCATGATGTAAGTCCCTAACTCTGCTGACAAGTTGCACCATTGACAATATAACCGATGAGAAACCTCATTCAAATTCTCCAGAGAGTCCTCTGCCTCCGCCACAAGGCAAGATGGGATGCCATTTTATCTGAAGTAATTTTTCTTTCTCGATCTCTTCTCTGTGGGCTAGCATTTCATCAACATCCCAATTTACGCTCGCCATCTGGCCTCGAAGAAAGTCAGCGTCCGGCCGCATCAGCCATAAGGACAGCATTCCTGCTAGCTGGACGTCGTCCTGCGCGAACATCTTGAAGCCTTGGTCTAGAATCTCCGTATCGACAATTCCTGGTATCACGGTAAACACACGAAGGGTAGGATATTCTAGGATGTTTTATTGGCTCAGCTGTTGCCATCGGATGATTCCGAAATAGATTGATACTAAACTCACCTGCATCGACATGCTCGATGAATCTTTCCGCCGCAAGCTTCGAGGTGATGTAAGCTGACCACCCTGGTGTCACCAGCCCAGAAAGTCCCGAGGAGAGAAAAATAATGGTCCCAGTTGGGCCTTTGAGGTCAGGCTGAGAGGTAATAAAGCTCCGGGTAAGCAAAAATAACGACTTTACATTGGTTTCCTGGATACATGGTCAGGAATAACTCAAAGAAAGGAGCACTTCAGGCCAAACATAGTCATTCCACCAATTCTGTAGCGAGCTCTCACCAACTGGCATCGAAGGGCACATGGTACCAGCACTGTGTAGGAGGACATCAGGACATCTACCAAAGCGGGTTTTGATTTTATCGAACAAGTTCATCACATCGCTTTCCACGGTCACATCAGTTGGTACTGCGAGTATTCTCGGCTGGCCAGGCAATTCTCGTAGCTCCGTGGCAACTTTCTCTAATCTTCCTTGTCGCCGACCAGCAATCACTATGCCGAACGCCCCTGCGGTGATCCAAACTTTCGCTGCGGCCTATGTCGTGTTATAAGATGATGGCTGAAGCGGTGGAGGTTCCATCAGAATTTGTCCGTACCGCACCTATTCCTGATCCACCACCAGTAATTAGAATGATCCGTCCTGACTGGTCATTATTGGAGGGTAAGATACTATCGTATGGTTTGCGATGAAGTTTCTTCGTGAGCTGGAATGGGAGGGTATATGCCAATGAAAGGTCGTTCTCTAGCTTCATAATTCGCCCTACTAGTGTATTTATTTTACGAATAGTCCAATCTCAAGATTGAGTAACGAGAACCAGAATAGATTCGTAGAAGGACCACGCGTACCTGACAGGTATGGAGATTATATCAAGTTCGGTTGAACTTGCGGTATCTCGTATCTCCGAGACTGGTATACTGGTCTGTTTCTTGTCACATAGACCAATCGGGAGAACGAAAAATCATAAATAGAGCCTTGCTTATGTAGGCTTTCATAGATTGAGTCTAAGCATTATTACAAAGCTTTCAAGACGCCCCTCCGATTCGTTGCCCTACATTCCTTTCACGACCCACCCTTCGTGAAAAGGGGATTCATTCTTGTCCAGTTGATAGTTTAGGATGGCTCTGAGCTCTTCAACAGCGCACTACAATCGGTCGGTTTCATCAACAATGGCAGGCTTTAATCCTGATGACATGAGTCGCTTTGACGACTTCAACATATTCACTACCTCCTACAAACAAATCGGGAGTTACAATATATCCCTGAATACAATTTACGAGCAAGGATTGACGTCTGTTAGCACCTCTTCACAGCCTATCATCATCCGGTTTCATGGTGGTGGCCTCGTTGCCGCTGATAGCCTTTTCCCAGACTTCTTCGGGTACTGGTTGTTGGACCTTGCAAAGAAATACGGAGCAATCATAATCTCCGCAAATCATCGTCTTCTGCCAGAAGCAAATATCAGTGATATTCTCGAGGATCTCGAAGACGTTTGGACCTGGGTCCAATCGTCACTACCTGAATTTCTCAGGATCAAGTCTCAAGGAAAAGTCAGATGCGACCTTAAACAAATTCTCACGGCAGGAGAGAGTGCAGGCGGGTATCTCGCCATCCAGCTCGCGCTCAATCATCCAAACGGGATTCGAACATTCTTGGCACAATATCCAATGGTTGATATGAAGAGCCGTTGGTTCACAGAAAGCTTTGAAAAGAGTGTTTTGGGCGTGCCACAAATGCCAAAGTCAGTCATTGGCAATCATCTGGCCAAAGCTAGAGATGGAGCATCGACCACGAAGGATGAGAAAATCGTGGAATCATCGGATCCGAGACTCGACCGTGGTGGCCTGATGTTTTGCATGATCCAAAATGGCCTATATCAGGACTATTTTGACATAGACGATGCAAAGCAGTTTCCAATAGATCGCCTAGAAAATGGAGAGCGCTTACCCCCGGCTGGTGGTCTAATATGGCATGGAGAGAAGGACAGTGTGGTTCCGGTAGATGGAAGTCTTCGCTTTAAGAATACAGTGAGGAAACACAATCCTGACATCAATTTACGCCTTCTAGTAAGGCCTGGCGACCATGGATTTGACAGTTCTGCCAGGCTCACCGATGAATGGGTAGAAAGGGCACTTGAACCATATGTCGCAGCCTGGCTAGCTTAGAATGATGCTGTTGATCAGAACATCAGCCATTGCGTATAAGACAGCGTACATCAAGATTTCTCTCCCTTTTCCATGTGGCTGTAACCCGTCATTGACGCGAAATGAGACTTGGTAATGCCGACGAGTTCCTAGTTCAAACAAAACTCAGACGACTTCAAGTCGCTGTAGATCAGTTGACTTGTCGACCGGGCTCCGACAGTGTAAGTAGACTTAGGGCAGAGTCGCAGGAAGGTAGAAATGCTGACTAGGCGTCCAGAATGACCCGCTGATTTACAAAGCGTGTCCTGTTGACCTAACCGGGTTCAATTGACGCTGCGGAGTTACTTGCGAAGTATGTCAAATGCGAGATTCCGATTGGATGGGTAAAAAAGCTCTCTGTAATGGATCATCGCGAATCTTGTTTTGAAATTCAAGCATGTAACGTCGATTTTTCAATATCTTACTTCTGAACAACTGCTCATATACATTGGTGCGAAAAGAACAAGTCGGCTGTTGCTGTGCGGTTTCCTTGTTGCTCAAACACTTGCCAGTACAAAAATCCTACAAACAAAATAACCATGGCGGGACTTACACTCGTACTCGAGGTTGTCTGTGCCCATAAGCCAGCCTCTCTCATTTTTACTGCCCTCCTAGCACTAACTTACATTATTACATATCGTATATTCTTCCACTCTTTATCTCGCTATCCGGGGCCATTCCTGGGCAAGTTCACAGATTTCTATTCTTTCTACGGCGTTTACAAACAATCCCGTACTAAGCTCCAGTATAAGTTTCTGCAGGAATATGGAAGCCCAGTACGGGTATCAACTAATGAGCTGGTTTTTTCTGATGTTAAGACTGTCAGTGAAATATATGGTCAGAGTTCGGCCCTTCCAGACAAAGAGAGAACAATTTCCGAGGCTCTGAGCGCTACTGGCGAAGGGAGTCTTCTGAACACAGTGAACAGGGTTCAGCATGGTCGCATCCGCCGACTTCTGTCGCATGGTTTCTCATTGCGGAGTCTGTTGGAATCTGAAAGCCTGATTTCTGAGAACATTGAGCTCTATGTCGACTTAACTTTCCGTCGTGGGAGAGACGATCGGGCAGCAGAACCACGGGATATCTACATTAAGACCCATGAATTATTCTTGGACATTATCAGCCGACTGAGTTTTGACCAGTCCTTCAATTGTCTGAGTGACGAAAGCTCAACGGCTCTAAGGGATGTAGACTCGTTCGGAAGGGTGGTACCCCCCCAAGCATTCTTTCCCGGGTTTCGGTATCTGCCTTTCTCGAGTATACGCGAGGGATTCAGAGGCGTCTCTCGACTTGAAGCTTTTGCAAGGGACTGTGTTAGCCGAAAAATGCAAAGTTCCAAGGACAGATCAGGTTCCCACTCGATTTTGACCAATATGTTCAATGCACAAGATGCGGAATCTGGCTCCAAGCTTACTATGGGAGAGATTATCGAGAATACTATCATCTTTCTGGTGGCAGGAACTAGCACCACCGCAGTGACATTGCTATATCTGATATGGGAATGTGGTCGCAGGCCGGAGATTATGAAAAGGTTAACGAAAGAGATTAGAACGGCATTTCCTGATCCCAGTCAAATGCCTACTTACGATGAAGCATCTAAGCTGGTAGGTAAATTCTGTTATGGTTATATTTACCGCTGACATTTGATTTTTCCCTAGCCATATCTATCGAATGTAATTGACGAAACACTGCGGCTATGGGGACCTCTCAACACAGGCATCCCTCGAATTTCCACAGGCCGCATGATTGGTGGAGAGTATTTTCCCGCTGGTGTTGGCATTTCCAACAATCCTTACGCCACAGCCAGAGATCCAGAGGTTTTCCCCGACCCGGAAGCATATGAGCCTGATAGGTGGATCAACGCATCTGCGGAAATGAGACTGATGTCAAGGCCATTCAGTATTGGACCAAGAAATTGTATTGGTCGACATCTAGCTCTCATAGGATTATATGTGACTGTGTCAAGGGTGCTACAACTCTTTGACATATCTACAGATTCAAGCATGACAGAGGAAAAGATGAGACCGAAAGATCAGGGTGTCTTCTCGCCCTGGGACGAGACTTTGCTGGTATGGGTAAAACACGCGAACAGTACTTGATTACAATCTTCGTGTATATCTAGAAGAATTAACAGCCTTGATTAGCGTGCCGATAAGAGAGAGTAGAGCTTTTCTAAATTCATTACTGGATCAGCGGACGAATTCAAAATCGCTATGTGGTCAAACAATATCGCGCGACGATCGGAGCGTACTTGCCACGTTATGTGACCTTGACAGCAAGCCGATTCCGAGCAGGAAAGAAAATTGCTTACCTTAACCGAGGCCAACTGAAAAATAAATGGCGCTGTACTAAGGCTTACAATATTTCTAGGGAAGTATAACGCACAGGAGAACCAGATTAATCAGAGGCTAATCCCTCAATGAGAAGTAGTGAGATAGAGAGAAGTCGATCTATTGAAGTTATAGATTGCCAAGGTTATCGCCCCCGGGAATTTTGAGAATGGCATGCTTTCAACACTATCAATGTGAGTTGTTCCCTCAAATGCTCATCCAGCATTAAACCCTTCGACACTTCATGCCATATTTTAATTGTTGCCTCACAGGCTCAAATCACCTGACCCTCGATGGACTACCAAAAGATGACTCTCAATTTTCTTGCAGTCCAGTTTCTCCACATCTTACCGTAATAGTACAAAGGAACTGCTGCAACCATCCAGGCGAAGAATAAGGCTGCCATGGTGCCAAAGACCTGCACAGGGAGTACTCAGCGCATGCCTCTCACAAGATCATCTTACTCATTATTGGCGATAGGGTACTGGGAGGGTACTGGGAGGGTATCCCATCTGCAAATCACTCACCTTCGCATATCCCACACTCTCTGTCCATGGAATGAAGCCGTAAGTGAAACCCCAGGCGATGGTGTTTTTCAGACCATTGACCAAAAGCAGTCCTTCGGCCGCAACGCCAAAGTATGAGTCCATGACGTATGTCATACCGATACTGGCGGCACAGTTGCAGGTATTCATGAGAGCGTAGCCGATGAACATCACTATCCAGTGTAGTGTATGTTCGGCACCGAAACCAAACATGAGGAGGCCCGTGGGAACAAGGATGGCTGGAACGACAAGCAGCACCAGACGAGACTCGGCGCTGAAGATACCACCATGCTGGCGGGCCCAGCGTCTTGCCCACTTGTCGGTCAGAGGTCCACCGACGTATGCACCAACCAGATTGCCAATTATTGCCGGAATATTGATCAGGCCGTTCAAACTGGGCGACCAGCTGTATGGCGGTGGTTGAAATATGAAGGACGTGACTGTATTGGCACTAATCTGCCAGGCAAGCACCAGCGAGTCTATGCCCAAAGGTTAGAAAGTACTGCATGCGAGACCAAAATCCAACATTACTTACATGTAACAGTCGCCCAGATAACCGCTGGATACACAATCATGAGGTAAGGTCGCATGAAGTGGCTGAAGAACGATTGTTCGCTAATCCCAGACCAAAGACTCAAAGTTCGAAGATAGGATTTTTTGGTTCCGGTAACCTCAGAGCCCTCATCAACAGCGGTAGGAGAGTTTTCGGTAGTGGAGACATTAACCTTCTCCAGATGTTGCTCTCGAGTATAATTCGCTGGTGTTTTCTCTGGAAGCACCTCGCCGACCTGCTGACCAGATGGCGCAACATTGCGTTCAAATCTCGTCTCCTCTACGAATAAGAAGATGGCCAGAAAGTTCAAACATGAAATAATGGCACACAGCCAACAAAACCATCGCCAACCAGCACGGTCGATCACGAAGCCGGAAATCAATGGCATCACAGAATTACCTCCGTAGAGGAAGATTATGTAGAGACCCATTTTGGATCCTCTTTCATGAAGGTAAAAGATGTCCTGTATTCCACGTAAGCATATAACATAGCCTGGTGATTTATCTTCCGCATGAGAGTCCTGCTTACGTTGATGATGGCGGCACCCAAAGCTTCAGTCGATGACCCACCAGCAGCGACAATGATTCGGCAAGCGAGAAGCAGCTGATAGCTTTTTGAGATTGCAGAGCCAACCATTCCGAGAAATGTTATCAGAGAGGCTATGACAAACACCGGACGTTTGCCCACATACTCAGCAGCCGGGACCCAGAAGAAATTCTAGCAATCTCTTGGTCAGCTTAGGCATCCTTGTAAACCGTCTGTATGAAGGCTAGGAGGGATAATACTGACTCCAAGTCCCGACACCAAAAGTGGCCAGAGAATGAGATTCATACTCTCATTCATTGGTTTGTCGAATTCGATGCCGAGCAGGTAAAGCGCAGGGGCAAAGCCACCCACATACCCCGTGATCATGAATGCAAATAGGCAGACATTCAAGAAGGCGAAGTGTTTCTTCCATGCCGGCCATCGCAGTGGATCATTGATGTCTTGAGATGGCTGTGGAATGAGAACCACGTCGGTGTCTCGAAGATGAAGGTTGTGAACATCTCCAACCCCAGCACCTACAACTGTGAGCATCAAGTATCTGCTGTCGCGGGACGTAACATACTATCAATTAACTGCACCAATTGGTCGCCCTGCCCCAGCTCCTCGAGTGTTCTGAACCGCATCTTTTGGCCCAGGTCTAAATGACTAGGTTACCTCGGTCATAGAGATGTTGCTTTGTAAGTTGTGGTCTGATTGTCAAAAACTTAAGATACTTTTCGTGTTCTGCGAGCACAGGGCAGCTGATCCTAATGTACTGCTGTAAACAGTGCTATGCGAAGCCATTTAGTCGCGACCTGATTGGCGAATACTGTGTGTCGCATGGAGGAAACAAGTCGGAAGGCTAGGCCTCAGCTCTGGGAAATGCTCCACATCCACGACTTCGTCTAGAACCGAAGAGAGCCTATTGGTGGTACTCCTACTGCCGTTCTCTTTTCCCAGAGTATACAATAGAGACTTCGTATCGTCCATTACATGGGGATTTTCAGATTAGTCTGAAAGCCACGGAGTAGTCTCTGGTACAGAGAAATGGTACTTAAGAGCAACCAATCGGAAACGAGATCTACTTCCAAATACTGTTGTCCGTTTGGCTAGGCTCCCCGAGGTAGTTAGATGTCTAATCTAGGTATCCAGATAGTGAAAGGACTGAATTCCAAAAAAAATAGGGGCGCATCAGTAGCTGGAACCGATATCGAAACTTGTAGAGCAGCTATCCACTCGGATACTCAATGGAAGAAAGAGCCACCGCCAACATCAAACATTTGGCCTGTGATGAACTCCGCTTCAGGGCTTGCAATGTACATAATCGCGTGGGCCACATCCCGCGCCAATCCGACTCGTTTCACACACTGCTCTTCAACAACTTTCTCAAAGAGCACCTTTTGATATTCCCCAGCCTGTGTGGTAGGTGTGGAAATTAGTGTGGGCGAGACAAAATTGGCTGTAATACCAGGACCGACTTCCGTAGCTGTCGCCCGAGTGAAGGCCGCCACTGCTCCTTTTGATGCGGCATATACAGCAAGTCCACGTACAGGTCTGACCATCGTCTGACTGGCGGTGTTGATTATTCTACCGTAATGCCTCCGTTGCATGTGTGGCAGGACTGCCTGGGTCAAGAAAAAGCAGCTTTCCATATTGACCTGGAATATTCGTCTGTACTCGGCAGTAGTGACATTCAGGAGAGGTTTAGCGGGGTATATGCCGGCGAGGTGGGCGAGGATATCGATTTTATTAAAGGTGCGGACAACTTCGTCGATAGTTTCACGCACTAAATCCTCGTTGGTGATATCACATATTCGATGTGCGACAGATGCTCCGTTCGATCGTAGAGTCTTTTCAGCCTGTTCGAGTTTTTCTTTGTTGATGTCTAGAAGAATAACAGTACACCCCTGCTCGGCGAATAGAGCTGAAACTACTTCGCCTATACCTTGTGCTGCACCAGTGATGACAGCGACTTGGCCACTGAATTTTCGGGGATCAATGATGATTTGCGGAGTATCTGATTCCATTTTTCAACACTTGCTCAAGTTCATGCCCAAGGAGAGTTGGACACCAATAGGTCTGATGAGCAGATATATAGCCAAGATTTAGCGAGTTGATGTGTCAGCGTTCGGTAACCTCAACCGGCGATGTTCCGAGGTCTCGTACCATCGCAAGACTCTTGATTGAAGTACTTTACCGTTTTCCGCTATTTGGTCTTACCACTGATGGGTGTATGAGCTACCTTCCACCACTCTGAATCATGACACGCACGAAACTCTAACATGATGTAACTTTCGGAAATTTTGATGAAAAAATGGCACTTTTACATCTTGCGCCATGATATGTAAATGAAGATAAATGACTGGCGACTTCACGTACGGGAAAGCAGTTGAGCGCGTCCTCTTTCTCTGGATCAATGGCGCGAATACTTCTTATCGTAGATTTTCAAACCTTTACCAGAGACATCACCACCAATCTGCAGTGCCAGAAATCTCGAATAGAAACGGGCGAATGTAACACCGCCACCGGTATACCAAATTCCGGGCAAACCGTGAGGCTTATACACTCCTCGAAGCTCACCCTCATTGTCAATCTCCCAATAGTCATCCAAACGCTCTCCCAGCTCTTGACCGATAAACTGAATAGCCTGGCCGCGGACATCATGGGAATATCCGGTGCAGAAGACAACCACGTCGGCATCAAGATGGCTTCCATCGCTGAAAACCAAACCTGTTTCGTCATATGCCGTCAAGGTGGCATCGCCTTTGACTTTGATCTATAAAAGAAAGACTGCGTCAGTAAAATGTGAGATTGCAGATAACTCGGCTTTCGAATGCTCACCAGGCCCGCTGATACTTTGGCAGAAGCACCAACATCCATGTAATGACCTCCAAGTCTGTCTGTAAGAAGCTTCCACAGATCCCCGTATCTTTCCACGCGGAAACCCGCTTTTTCCAACGAATCGAAACGCTCAGGCTCAGCATCCACAAGTGGTCTGCCTCCATGTAAGGCAGCCAAGCGGGTAACAACGAGCGGCAATGCCATAATCTGTCTATCTGCGTCTTCAATGTACGAGGTCTCATTGTAGATTGGGTCCGACCAAGCTTTGTAATGTTCGATGGGGAAAACGGATGTGCGACCACGCTGTATCATTGTCACCTCAGTGACTCCAGCATCTAGCATATCTTCGGCAACGTCGTGTGCGGTATTTGCGACTCCCACGATCACACAACGCTTCCCTGTCCACTCTGAGGAATTCTTGTAGGTGGCGGAGTGGATCACGGTACCATTAAACTTCTCCCTACCTGGCAATTGTGGCATCTTGGGGACTGTCCCACCGGCACCAATTGCGAACACGAAGTGGGGAGCTTTGATTGTCGTGGAACTCCCGTTCCTCGTGCATTCGATAGTCCATATGTTGCTTGTCTGGTCTAGAGAGGCAGATTGAAGGTAGCTTGATAACCAGACATTAATCTTGTGCTTGTTGACGTATTCTTGATACCCGCGTGCCAGTTCCTTTCCAGTTGGGAAGTAATCATAGCCTTCACCAAAAATTGTCCCGAGAGGCATATCACTGTAGTATTTAGAGGTATGAAATCTGGCAGAGTCGTATCTGGAGGTCCAGTTGTCACCAATTTTTTCATTCTTTTCAATAATGATGTAGCTGATCCCAATTGCCTTCAATCTGCCAGCAAGACAAAGTCCGGCAAACCCTGCCCCAACGATTATGCAATCGAAGTCGTTGCCTGTGGATCTGGGATTGGGGGCCCCTCTCTGAAGAACTTCTGGCGCGATTGAGTCTGGATTGGGTAGCCCTTCGATCTCTTCAAGAATGGTAGTCAAGAACCAGATCTTCCATCCAAACTCTGTGTCAGGGACAATTCCCATTTGGCCCGAGCATTTACTAGCAAGAACACCACTAGTAGCGAAGGAAAATCGAGCCTGGATCCAAGAATGACCATTACCCAAATTGACAACTTTCGAAGTGCCTCCGATCAAGCCAAAGCCCGAAGGATTGTGGGATTTTTCAAGATCAGTCCACGCTGAGCGAATGTCTTGGGGACCGTAAAAGGTTCGTGGAATTCCAGTGAGGGCGTATATGTCTCTCCAAATGCCACTTTGACAAAAAATATCGGCGTTAAAGTCTTCCAAATATTCCAGGCAATAGTTAATGGCAGCGACATGATTGACAGAGGGCGAGATCTTGTTCTCTGGCAGGGCTCCAGGTAATTTTTCTATCGGGAAGGCCGGGGTGCGATGAAATGGCTCTTTGATTGTGCCATCCTCATTGTAGGCTTCAGAAAACTCGGTGACTTGAGTCAACGGAATGAGCTTGTCGAGTTTACTGCTTTGATGTTTTGCAAATAAATAGTCAGGAGGAGGAAAGACCTCGGCATGAGGTGCCATGATGACGAATTGGGTCGAATTTACCAGATATTGTGTAATGGGGTCGGAGATAGCAGGAAGCCTTATGCTTTGATCGTTTCTATATAGATTGAACATCCGTCCCTATAAATAATAGTCTCAGATATTTGCCACGTCAATAAGCAGTCGGAAGTCCATTCCTTACCACCATTCCGTAAGATATCTCCCTCCGTGTACTGATTTGGAGGATATCATGATCCAATAGGGATTCAGAAACTAGCGGTTACTCCAATCGGAAAGCCAAAATATCTGGACTAAGATGAAAGAAGGTACTCGGTATGGAGATCTCTTTACAAGCACCACAACGTTCAATTATGTTCAGTGATCATCCGCATCTATGAATGTTGTTCAAGATAGGGACTGGACTACCGACATTCAATTTCTCATTCTGCTGCTTTACAATACTCGGCTCTATGGCGAACAACGACATCGTGGATTCACTTCCATGGATCAATGAGAAGTTGAACGTTGCCCTAGATAGTGTTGCATCTTTTAGATCTCTGTTACCGCCAAAAGGTTGGCCAAAGATCCGTACTCTTCCTAGCAGCACTGCAACCGAATGGTATGAGAACAGTAAAAACATCCCCCAAGTCAAAGATTTCCTCTACAGTCTAAGATTGGAAAATATTGAACCATGGAAGGGTTTCACGAGCGATGGTAAAGTGAACTTGGGCGTCCAAAATTACGAAGACGATGAAGGGGCCCCTATCTGCAAGATGACACAAGCCGCGTTGGACTTGATAAGCAAGATGTCCGAGTGCCAAAAATCTGCGACATTGTTCAACTCAGTAGAAGCTGACGAACTTCGAATGTGGTCGAATCCGGAGTTTTACGTCAATCCTGGTGGCCTGAGGCTCGATGAGTGCTCTGAGCAGATCCAAAGAGCTGTGCATACTCTCCTAAAGGTTTCTATGTCTCCAGCAGGGTACGACAAAGTTCAGGGATGTTGTCTCATCAATGGGTTTTTGGGAGACCTGATTGATGGGCAAAAGGTGCTGAATGCACACTCGTATAATTTTCGGCTCTTTGGTCGACCGGATCCAATTGAGCCATGGGCATTCACGTTTTTCGGTCATCATCTGTGTATTGCTGTTTTCATACAAGGCGGTAGAATGGTCATCGGACCGACTTTCATGGGGGCTGAGCCTGACTATATTGACGATGGACCCCATACTGGTCTCCGGCTATTCAACACCGAAGAGACTGTTTCTCTAAAGCTCATGCGCAGTCTCTCAGCTTCACAGAGGAGATTGGCTCTCATGTACCACAGTGTGTTGCCTACCGACCTGCCATCCGACCGATGGGCTCCACATGATGAGCGACATATTGGTGGAGCTAGACAAGATAATCGCGTTGTCCCGTATGGTGAGTTATCTGAATTTCATTCGCAATCGTGTGGTGGCTAACGAAACTCCTTGATTTCTAAAGAAGGATGTCCTGTCTCGATATTTGATGAGCCTCAGAAAATTGATATTATCAGGCTGTTCGAAGCATTCAATGAATATTATCCTGCACCTGTTCTTCAACACCGGAGGAAAGCTTTCATTTCACACTTTGACCAAACCTACTTTGCCTGGATTGGAGATTTTGAGAACGATGAGCCGTACTACTTCCGCATCCATTCGCCTGTGGCATTCATGGAATTCGATTTCCACTCCGGGGTGTTCTTGGTGAACCCAGCTCCTGCGAAGTGTCATATTCATACGATTAATCGTATCCCAAATGGGGGAGATTACGGTCGAGCGTTGCTTGACGCCTATAGGCGGAGACAAGCGAGATATTCCTGAAACAGTGAATTGTCAGACAATCTACTCTTGCCACAGATCGGTCAAGATGTTGGAAAATTAGGGGTGTACAATATATCAGTAACTACCACACCTGTGGTGTGGCAATCTATGTTGGCTGGCCCCGGTGACAGTAGACAAATGCATAGTGGCTTGACCACCCCTAAGATCCCAGTGGCCCACAAGCATTTCGTTCAATCGTTTCCTATCCTAGATACGATATCCAGCTGGGAGCAGATCTTAGTGCAACGCCCGAAGATCAGGCCAATATTTCGTGTGCATCCTCCATACTTTTCCACCCATCGTCTAACTCGAATTTCGATCAATTCTCCTGACTCAAAATCTCTACCAGCTTTGATTTCACATGTTCCACAGTGGCATCTGGACCAATTGCTACTTGCATACCATGAGGAACAGCATATGTTCGTATATTTGGTATGATATTCCGAGCAATCTGTTGAATCTGTTTGCTTTCATCTTCAGTCCACATCGAGGCGCAGAACTGAGATAATTAAGATCCGTAAGCTGAACAGATTTTGCACTGAATTATAATGTTACTTACCAATACATCTGGTTGGACCTGCTGAACGATGTCGTGGACATCTTCGATTCCTGCCATAAGTGACTCATGTTATCATTACCGCGACGGCTGTTTGCTATGGATACGGTCTTACGTTCTGCATTTGCTTCATGAGTGATAGTATACCTGTCTTTCACGTCGTTACACAATTTCGCTATCATTCTCTGAGCTCTTTCTGGTGCTGTGTTGACTGACACAAGCTTGTAAGGACCTGACGGTAGTTGAAGTTCTGTCATGATCTCAATGGTCTGCTCGCGCAATTTTGGTATGCGCTAAATCTCATGTGAATGATCAAAGGAGGCTGATTGCTGTAGTGTAGAGGTGAGTTTGATCACCATAGTAGAAATGGCAACGATTCATTATATACAGGAGGCGATATCAAAAAAGACATCGTCTGATTAATCTCACCTGGAAGATAGAAGAATTTGATTCTTGAACAATGCAATGTTTTGCACCTTGTGAAACTACCTAGCGAACTAGATAATCGTAAAAGCGGAAATCAGGTGCCGGATGTTTCTACATTCCGATTGGTTACCTCCGTGCTGATCTGGAGTTCCGATTGGTTCTAGTAGTATGAAGCGGGCTGGATATGGCTCAGGCTGCAAATTGGCTAGGGCATACTATTCAAGCTACTAAGTATGAAAGGGCCGATAAGGTGTCCCATGCTGGGTAATCTCGAGGGGTCATGAGTCTCGCTTATTACCTTTTCAAGCATTGTCTTGAAACATTTGAGAACTTTGATAATTGAGCTCCACCCAGCTCACGACCTACTCGAGGACGATTCCGCAATTCAAATCCAGCTGAGCCCCTTGTGGCTGCATAACCTGCAAGTATACCACATGGAGCTCATTGCATCCCTAGGGAACGACATTGCTGAAGTTCTTGTACCAACATTTCAAGCTTATACTGCACTTCTTCAAACTCCGGAAAGAAGAGCAGCAACACATCGTGTCAAGAGGGAAACATTCTCTTACGGTTCTCACGAAAGACAAAAGCTCGACTTGTATACATCTCCTCTCAATTTAGAGCCTATCTCGCAGAAATGCCGACCGGTTTTGCTTTTCACCTACGGTGGAGCGTTCGCAAATGGCGACAGGATTCTTGATGCGATAGAAGAAGGATTAGTATATGCCAACGTTGGCGCTTTCTTTGCGGCTCAGGCTGGCTTTGACACTATCATTCTAGATTATCGTCTTCTCAAACACGGGGCAAAGTATCCATCAGGAGGAGAAGACTTCGGGCTGGGATTCGACTGGGTTCAGGGCAGATATCAAAATGGGGGACCGCGGGAAATATATGTCATAGCGAATTCTGCAGGTGCAGTCCATTTCAGCACCTGGCTTTTCTCACCAGAATTCGCTACTCAGAGAAAAAAGCTATTAAGTACCTCAAGTATTGTGCGGCTAACCAAAGCGGTTTTTCTGGGTTGTCCTTTTCGACTGGACTATCACGGGGGAATGAAGTCAATGCTGCAGGGGTACTATGGCTCTGAAGAAGAAACCAAGAAGGCTGAACCCACACAGCTGATGCTGACAGCAAGTCGGGACAAGTCGTCCCAGGATATGATCATCATGCCAGCCATTTTGACTGTAGTTGCAGAGCTGGATCCGAGATTCATAATTGAGCCTGGGCAAGAGTTCTCCGAATTTTGGAGAGAATGTGGTGGTAGAGGCGACTACTTGGTCTTGGAAGGACACAACCATATCAGTCCTCCGCTATCTTTAGGGACGGGTATACCAAGAGAGGAGCAGTGGGGTTACCAGGTTATTTCATGGTTTGAGAACAGGAATTGAAAGACTGTACTAGATTTGTTGTTCGTCTGCCACGATACCACTTTTATGGTGTGTAATCCTCTTTCACATTGCCTTATGCAGACAATCTTTACATCAGAGCGCCTAAGGAAACATCCTCCCCGTGTATAAGGCTTTGGTGCCGAAATGATTGATCAGAACCTCGACCTCGGTACATGAGGGCTTGGGGAACTGAGAACTAACCACAGCTTTGGGAACGATTTAACCACTGTCAGAGCCCTTTGACGTTTCGCTAATCAGAATTGGGATGCTGGGGACCCTCGTTCTTGTGATGGATGTACCCCGCCTTCCTGCCGAGCTTTAACTAATGACGTCCAAGGAAGTAACTCAGGCCAGCTCCGTTTCCAATCTCTTCAGTCAACCCCCAAGGGATCTTCAATGGCAGAGATTTACAACCTTCAGCATCTGCCCACAAGCCAGTACTCCAGAGTCACGGCTAAGAGAAAGAGAGGTCCACGAGCGACAATTGCATGTGAATCATGCCGAAGATTGAAGGCAAAGGTGTGTGATTGCGTAGTTCTTAGCAGAACCAAACACCAAGCTAAGGCCAATCTGGCAGTGTGATCAGAACACACCGTGTGTTGTTTGTACGAGTGAGTCGCAATTATTCTTCCTAGACTCAACTGTCGTAAAGTTTCGCTCACCTTCAAGGCAATTCTCTTGAATGCGTACGGCGCAAAAAGATAAGAGCGAGTAGCCACGAAGGATCAAACGAGTAAGGAACCTCCGCGAGCTCTGCCCTACGATTATGTTGATGGTGACTTGCAATAGCAGCAGCCACCTGCGGAATTTTGACGCTCTTGTTCGAGGTTCCAAAAATGATCAAGCCACAGTGTCTGAAGTTACGACAAAGGGAGACCCCAATGTTCGCACATTGACTCAGCAAGCGAGTACCATCGCATCGCTGTCCAAGACTCAAACGCTTTTCGAACATCAACCTCTGAATGCTAGCGGGCCAGAAACGGGCCATCTCGTATATCCTGTTAGCAATTTGGCAAAAGATCCTGTACTTGAACAGGAGCCAGAAACAAGTCCTAGAGGATTCGGCGAAGTCAATAATCGCACTCAAGGAAAAGAGTTTTATGGCCCTGCTGCCACACTAGCCTTCCTACTAGAGCTACGGCGATGCGCGAGAGTCTACCAACAATTGAGAGGGTTGCCCTACAGTGAGATAATACTCTCGACAAACGAAAATTCGGCCGAACCCGCCTCATCAATTGTGAACTTCTTACACGGAGATGATGAGATTTTAGCAGGTAAGATTTCTTGCCTCTTTGCTAAGAAAAATTGGTGCAGAAGGAAAAATTTTGGTTGATTGATTTGAATGGCAAGATATCACCGAACCCATCCAAGAAGACAGCTTCAACCCAGTTGGAACGAATGTCAGTCTCAGCACGGTATCGACACCACCCGTGGTTGATCTCCCATCGAACCAGGAGGTTGAGAAAGAATGTATCAATCTGTATTTTGCTAATTTGCATTTGATCTACTTTTTCCTCGATAGGACTTCATTCGAAAAGCGGTGCCAGGAAGAGATGTGGTCTTTCACGGATGCTTTCACTCCAGGGAAACACAAATCACGTCGCCAACGATCCAGATTTCCTGCTTTATACAACGCCGTGGTAGCTGTTGGTGCGCTGACTGCAGAGGATGATACTTTAGTAAACAAGTGCCACGGAGAAGTACAAGCATTTCTAAAAAGTTCCTCTCGTCAAGATGGCCAATCATTAGGATATCAGCCACTTGCACTGGCTTCTATCTACTTCGCAAAAGCGAAGGTGCTCCTGGGCGACATGTTTGAGTCATGCTGCTTGGAAGGACAGCAGACTCTATTCCTCATGTCCATCTTCTGCCAGTATGCACTAAGACCACACGGCTGCTATATGTACAGTGGCATGTCTGCGAGGACCGCATTGGCCATTGGCAGCGCTAATGAACCAGATCTGAAGAAGAATCCATTGGAGGCTGTTCGTACCTGGTGGTGCATGTACTATCACGAAATTGAAGTCTGCTGTTCACTAGGGAGGGAAACACTTCTGAGAGAGCCATCTTATTATCCTGTCTTCATGGCCAAGTTCGGCGAAAGGATGCCTCCGAATTTCGGACGAGATGACGACTATGTCTTGTTTTTCGCACGGGCTATGACGGAGCTGGCACAAATCTTGAAACGTACCTCAGAAGACATATACCATAATCCCACCTCCAAACCCATTGATCAAAAGTCTCGAGATGCGCTCACGTTAGATCAGATGCTCCTTCATTGGAAACAGCAGTTGGCTCCGATATTTGATCTGGAGAATACCTCCTTGACCGAGAAGGAGCTCATCACCAAAAGAAAGGTGGTTCTGAAACTCCGTGAGTCGACAGTCTTCCCCCTCCTAATCAGATGTGTCTAACGTTCGATAACAATAGGTTTCTACAGTGCCAGAATATTAATTCACCGAACATTCCTGATTACCGCTGCATACTCCAAGGCGTCCAGCAGTCTCTCCGCCAATGTTGATATCTGCCTGTTGGCTGCCCGTGAGACTATTCGCCTACTTTACGACACCTTCATGAATCGACCCTTTTTTCGAACATGGTGGTACAACACCACCTATGCATTCAATGCCATCACAATCATCCTTTACGTACTAGTCTCTCCTCTGCAACCTGAGAATAGCGAGGACTTATTGGGCGATGTGGAGAAGACCTTGAAAATCTTCCATGCCATGTCTGGAATTGCCGTTGCGCGCCGCTGCGCAGAGCTTACCGAGGAGATATTCGCAATTGCAAAGATATCCATTCAAGGCCAGCGGCAAAACCAGCGGAATCATCAAGCGAATTATCAGATGGATGCGACTAGCAAGGACGGATTGGACCTGCTCAGCGGAATCGAAAGTGCCCTGGCCTCTCCCAAGATGCCCTCTGAAGATCCAGGCGAGGCTTCAAGTACCACAAGAATCAACGACAACGAGCGACAGGGATTTGATGTGATGGACGACGCCTTTTTCTCCAATATCATGGATGTCAACTTTCTCGACAACTTTGACGCAAACTTATCAGCCATGAATTTTGATGGGTCACCGTTTGAGACACTGGGTTTTGAGTGGAACCCATCACTGAAATGATAGGAGAAGACTATAATGTAAAGTAGGCTGAAATATGATGAAGCTAAAATGTGTAGCGCACGATGAGCTTGGACACCAAGAATTAATGTCTTCCATAGGTATTTCACGCATTATAAATTATGCGAATCAATAGAATAGTTGAATAGATGTAGGATGTCGGACAAGCTTTGTGCGAAACAAACAATAATGTCTCTAGTTCAGCTGGGCTCTGCATCCGTCCTGCAATGCTATCCAATCGGAACTTTTGAATCTGACCCTGATGCCCCTCTTGGACTCAAAAAGCGTCTTGTCCCACAGGCTGTACCCAGGTGCTTACCCGCAAGCCACTATATTTGAAGCTCAGGTTCATCTCCTTCAAGCCTCCGAAGAAAGCTGACAAATTCCACAACGCGCCCTAGTAGCATGACCTGAGCAAGAACAGCGACTGAAAGACAATGACCAAGACGGCGATCGTGACCGGCGCATGCTCAGGTATAGGGCTATCATTGGTACGACGACTACTCCATGATTTTGACTCAGGCGAACATCAACAGTGGAGAGTGGTGCTTGCAGACATCAACGTCGATTCCTACAAGGCGGTCAAAAGCACTCTCCCCCACCTGACCCGTGGAGAACCACGACATTTGTTCGTGAGAACGGATGTTACTAACTGGAACAACTTGGTCGACTTATTTCGTACGTCATTCGAGTGGCCTGGTGATGGGCAGGGGAGGATTGACTTCGTGGCCTGTAACGCTGGGATTGATGATCATGCGCTGAAGAACGGGTTACTGGATGATGATGATGGAGGAGGCGGCGAAGCAGTGCCCACACAGCCTGACCTCAAGGTTCTGCAAGTCGATCTACATTCTATCTTCTATGCAACGAAGCTGCTTGTCCACTTCACACGGAAATCGAGGAAGATGACGAGTTTGCATGATGATTGGAAACCACGGCTCGTGGTAACAGCGTCGATGGCAGCACAGTATCCGTTTTTCTTGATCCCGCAGTACACGGCTGCAAAGCATGGATGCCTGGGGCTAGTCAGAGCACTGGCGCCGGCTTTGTTGAAACACGAAGGCATCTCCTTGAACTGCGTGATGCCTGGCACCGTCGATACGGGACTCATCCCGCCACCTGTCATGGCACAGTGGCCAACACAGCACCTGACACCTCTAGATACGGTCATGAGAGCGTTCATGGAATTGATTGGAGACTGGGAGCGGGCTGAGCTGAGTAGAGGTGTCGAGAGCGATGTACCTGACCGTGAATTGAAAAACGGCTGTGCCGTCGAATGTTCGTCAAACTGGCTGTGGTACAGAGATCCTGTGCCGTTCAAGGATGAGAGTATGAGATTCGTCGCTGACCAGAGTCGGGAGGAAGGCATTTTAGGACAGTTCGCCTCCACCCTCAGAGGATAGCTTCTCTCATTCTTACTACGCTCCTAATACTAACTTGAAGTACTACAAATGGTGTATTTTCTATCTTCCATTTCGCCATCTGGGGCTGTTGTTGGCTAAGTTCACGGATTTTTCTCCTTTCTATAATGTTTCTAAATAGTTCCGTACTAAGGTCCAGGATTTAAGATTCTCGCGAGGTTGATTATCGCTATTTTAAGAATGACGAGAGCGAGAATGAGCCTAAAATGGTGCGCAACATGAATAATAGCAGCGAAACTGTGCTTGACTTCGTGATTAGTGGGGTCTGTACATACTCATTTTTGCCCAACACGAATAGGGTGCCGTTGGAAGAAATTGCCCTGTGATTTGGTGATGTGGGTGAAGCTGCTGATTTTGAGAGGCCATGTTGGCATTGGAGACATAGCAAGAGACCAAAAGTCAGATGAGTATACCGTGAAAGAGAATGAGCATGGAGGCAGTCACACTAGAGTAAGGGGTTTTAAAAACAAGGTGAGACCAGTGCAGTTGTAGAAGGACTAAACGAATGTTCTCAGAATGCACAGTACTTGGTTGTAATGTATAAGTATCTTGCAGAGCAACTCTGGTTCGTGAACCCATGAGATCGTGGTCTCAAGGAACCTTGTTTTTCCGAATCTTGTCTTCCCGAGCCTTCTCTGCCCGGACTTTATCGTTCCGAACCTCCTCCTCATGGATAGAATCCTCCAACTCCTCATCCGCAACCCACTCATCCACCTCTTGCATCCGCATCCGATACATGCCAATCACATTCTTCACAGCCCTTAAGAGAAGCGAAACGACCAGACAAAGCACAATGCTCACACAAAGCGCCGATAATGCCATCGCTTGCTGGAGCCCTATCAATTCCACTAACATGGCCCATGTTTGAGTCACAAAATGTCTCAACGAGCCCTTCTTGCCGTACTGATCGAAATTGATTTGATATATGTATTCATAGTGAGGATAATCGGGGATGTCGGCACAGAGCCAGGACCAGATGTGGCATGTTTTCAGATCCTGTGGCGCTTTGTAATTGTCCCCACCCTTCGTGTTTTGCCAAAACCAGCGGCTATCGGCTTTGATGTCGCTGATTCTGAGGGGAATGGTGGAATAGAGAGTGTTTGGTGGGTGCGCAGAGAGGTCTTCGAGCCAGACCCATATTTGCTGTTGCGCGTCGGAGGAAAGAGGTGTGCTGTAGCCGGGGAAGGAGGAGAAGCTGGCGCGCAGGATGTCGATTTGCAGACGTGGGTTGTATTTCGGGTTCCAGATGGAGGTTCCTGAGGTTGGGTCTGGCGTTGAGATGTAATAGTCCAAATCCATCACCGGGGCGGTTGAGAAGTTGGTGCAGACTCGGTTTGCGAAACAAGTCGCGCTTTCCGGTGTCTGATGGACGCGGAGAGGGGTGGGGATGTGTGGGTGAGTGCGGGGCAAGATGGGCTCATCGTTCAACAGAAGGGTAAGGTTGTCGGCGGTGAGTGTGAAGTTAAAGATAAAGGCACCAGGATAGTGCGTTGCAATCCGGTCTCTTTGGTTCCCTTCTCTCACACTTCGGATTAGTATCACTTCAATATGAAAGTCGGAGACTAGATTCTTGAGGCGTCTTACTATGCCGATGCATAGGACTAAAACGTGTTAATGGCTGCGGAATAGACCTACAGAAGTGTAGATCAGGAGTCGGGAGATGGATGAGCACGCTCCTTCCTGCCTGGACCCATTTCACGGTTCCACTCGCGTAGTCTGCTTCTTCTTGGGCATTAACGTGGGAGAGCAGATTAATGCCGAGCCACAACAAATGAGTGATTGTCACCATGGCGACATGAGAAGAGGAGGTCGAGTTTACTCTACTAGTAGTTAGACGGAGACATGTTGACTCATCTGAACCAAAGTGACTGAACTGGACTGGCTGAACTGAACTGAACTGATGTCGGCGTTGTTGACATCTATATGTATTGGTGTTTTCGAGATAGGGGGCCGCTATACCCGTTACGGTTCCCGCGTCGAAGTGGACATTACGCCACACACTCGACACTCTACACCAGGTGTTTGACCAGGCATAAGAATTGGTCGCCGAACAGCATAGCGAGCGTGGTTGATAGAGGGACATGCTTCAGCTTGTGTGGCACAAGGCAGGTTGTTTGTATATGCATGACGGGAAATATTTTGTTGCTGCGTGCAAGATCATATAGGAGCACTTGTGGTTCATCACAATGACATTGTTGTTGGTTCAAGCTAAACTAAATGGTCCATAGCTTGCTTCGCTTGGTTAGCAGTCTTAGATTACGGAGATAAACGCCCTGTTGCGGTGAGGGGCAGCAATAGCACGATCTGTACCTCCAAGTTCCTGGGGTCAGACTGATGTTACGTAACACAACCATACTGCTTTGTCGGCGACCAGAGTCGGGAGGAAGGCATTTTGGGACATTTCGCCATGAAATCAGGGATAAAGGCTGATGGAGTTGCAACATTAAGCATATCAGTGGTAATACTAAATAAAACACTCTGGCTGATCTCTCTACTCAAGACATCGTGGGCATGACATCCTGTAGCATATTCTAAACATCAAGTCGTTACTCTACATTCAAAGATATCATGACTCTCCGTACCAGCTGCGAAACTCAACTACATAGTATCTTTCGATTCCTGTGGCACGTAAGAGCTGGGATCTGACGTCAATGAGGGGATTGTGGCCCTCAGCTGGCATGCTATGTGTTGGCTGCGGCCCGGGAATGGCGGAAGGAGTCGCCTAAGGATAGCCAGGGGTCGGCATATGGAGTTGTTCAAATTTCCAGTCAGTTGATTTCATTCCTACTTAAAGGTCTTGGGACAAGAGGTCTCTCCAACTACAAGCTAGCTCAATCGATGGAGCAGAATGTATTCCTAAAGCATGGATACGCACATGTTGCAAGAGTCTGAACTATTGGTGCTTAACTCAGACCAGAATAGGGGCAGCAGCCTTGTCCTTTGGGACCAATTCACGCCAAGGTTTGGGCGCGACAGTCTTCCATTCCTATCATCCCTCTTCTCCCCGTCAGTCGTTTCACCATGCTCACTGTACAGGTTGACTCAGCAACAGTGCCGTTGCCAACTGTTTACTCCACATCCGACAAACATGGGAAAAACGACATTACTAGAATCTACTAGTAATTATACACCTAAGCAACCGCGCGTCCCTGCCACCATTGCTATCTAGTCAGAAGCCCGTGTTAAAATGCTTTCTCAGAGCTGAGAAGTCTCGAGCGGTATTATGTTTGGTGGGCCCCTGTATCACACCTTTCCGAAAAGACCTTGTGGTGTTGTAACCTTGGTGACCAGTCCTATGAGACCACCAACAAAGCACATAACGCCACTGAATATGGATACTTCAAGGAATCCTCCATATTTTTGAACAAGTGCACCGTTGATGGGTGGACCAATCAAGACTGCGACACTTGCGACGGCAAACCCCATTCCCATGTATGTGCCGACCTCTCGGGCATCTTCCACACATAAACTCATAGCAGCCGCAGCACCAGAGATAAGGGTTCCGCTCCAGAATCCGAACACCACAGCATATACCACTAAACCAGCAGTACTCGTTGCTGCGGTCCAGCACATTATGATGGTCCCAGTCACGATGCCGCCAAGGCCAAAGACATTTAGTCGGCCGAACTTGTCTGCAAAAAGACCTGGGAGGATGCGGCCAAATGTGGAGGCACCATTGAGAATAGCGAGCAGATAAGACGCAAGTGTTGGGTCGATGCCTTTTTGGATTGCGTAGACTGCCAGATAGAAGATCGGGGTGAAAAAGCCGGTGAACATAAAGAAACAGGAGCAAAGCAAGAGGTTGTAAGTCGGCTTCTTGAAAGCTGCTGCGATGTAGAAATTTGTTTTTCTTGGTGGTAGCCTGGCTTGAATGACAATGCATGCGAATATCAACCCGGGCAGTGTCAAAAAGCCAATGATGCGGACCGACCAACCAAATCCCAGATTGGAGTCGTTTAGCATCTTGGACAAGGCAATTGGGAACACCACACCGCCGATGGACGAACCAGAGACAGCCAGGCCCAGCGCAGCAGCTCTCTTTTTGTCAAAGTATTGTAAGACCGCCGCCATGGATGGAATGAGTAGCATTCCAGTGACAATGCCTCCCAGAACACCTTGTGCGAGCATGAATTGCCAGTACGTTTCACAAAGACTTGTCATCATGATGGAGAATACTAGGAGCACTGCGGCCGGTCGGATGATCTAAGCCATCATTAGCTGATGTTCTGAGATCAAGATTTGTGAAAAAGGCTTACCGTTGCACCATATCGATCAAACAGAGGACCTGAGATAGCACCAAGTATGAACTGGAGGAATGCGGAAATAGATCCAATCCATGCCACATCATCGGGTGATTGTCCCTTGAGCTGATGGCTTAGATAATATTCCTGGAACACTCCCACAGAGTTTGAGTAACCAAGAGACGAGAAGCTAATAAAACCCGCTCCCGCAGCAACGAGCCATGCACGCGAACCGCCTTCTGGTGCTTCTTCAGAGAGCGGGGGCTTGTCTTCGATGCCAATGGGAGTGATGGCTGGTATCGGAATATCTTCTGTACGTAGAGATGATTCTGGTCGTGCTTGCAGAGAAGCCATTCTGAAATTGAGTGATGGTGAAGGAGACTGGTTGATCGAAAGCCGCGTGCGATTTTGGGACAGTGAAGCTAACAAGCAAGCTACTTCGTTGTGAGAATGCCCTTAATGCTTCTGCAAGCACTTTCAGAAAATTTACTGAGGACCACTGATGCAAGCAGCAGCGGTATTGTTGCTTTTAATATCCCTGGACATACGGAGATAATCCCACGCAGTTCATCTAGCCCGAAACTGCCTCCCGCAAAGAAGGCAATCGCAACCAGGGTTCCATGTCCTTCGGAGCATGTGCCTGTAGGCGATCGGATAGTCCATAGTACTTGGAAGTCCAACTTCCATTCACTTGATAATTTCTGCGACCGAAACGAAGACTCAGGGGAATGACCGCTATTGATTCGGAAATCGAATATCATCGCCGCCTACTTTTCTAGCCGCGCTATTCACAGCGAATAGTGGCGCAACCCAGAGGGTGCCAGGCTCCACGGGAGGCCTCACTTAGTGCAGGGCACTATGGCCGGCCGAATTTGTGGCGGCGGAAGTAATGCTCACCAGTATTCCCCGGCGGCGAACTGCAGATATTAGAGACACGAAGCGCAGTATTCCTCCTCGTCTTCATCTTCACCTCGTCTTTTTCATCAGGCTTTCTGACAGTCATGAGGTGATTACTTCAACAAGCGGCGAAGCAGAACCTGAAAGCGCTGCACCGACGGACACCGCAATTATGCAGCGCACCGAATAGTGGCCACGATGGTAGACCCGGAACGCCGCCGCCGAAGGCCAGCTGTGTATTGAACCTCCCACCTGATCTGCCAGAATGATATGCTAACCCACAGAAGATCTTGCACACTATGCAGGCAGCGCAAGATTCGTTGCAACAGAGAGATTCCATGTAGCAACTGCGTTCGGACAAAGAAAGAGCCATGTACCTATAGCACTGACAGTCATTTCACGTCTCGTCCGCCACGCAAAACAACTGAACAACTAAGGAGGTCTAGCCATGCCCAAGGCGGCCATTCGATAACGAACAGTATGTTTCAACAGTCCGGTACCGCCAGCCCATCGGTAGTCGCCTCCAGCCGCCATCCGTGCTCGCCCATTGCGCGTTCCCTGCTGGCCGGTTTCCCCAATGACTCTCCCACTTCGGACTATGTGCCTATACACAATGTTGAAGCCACACACAGGGCAGCCACGCAGCTCGAGGAGGCTAGAAATTCGGCCGCAAGTGGGCTCACAAATTCTTCTGGTCGATGCCTAGGGTTGTTTAGCACGAAAACTGTTTCATATCTCGCGAATTCTCACACAGTACATGAAAGTCGCTTGTTTGGCTCATCTCAAGTACTCAGTCGGGGCATGATGCACAAGAGCAGACTCTTCGGGCACAGCCACTGGAGCAGCGGTATCGCAGACATGGTCAGTATTTGTTTCTTTTGCTCATTAATAAACTCCCAATGTTTACCTCAATCCTATGGAGATTTCTGGAGAACTCATCGTCGCTCCAGCCTTATTGAGCCACGGGCGAGTTACATCGGTTGCTAGCGGCTTCCACATCGAGGCGTAGTCGCCCTGATACTGGTGGTCGAACATCTTCCTTCTTCAAGGCGCTATCAAAATACTTCTGACGGTCGTCGGTGTCGACTTTCCAAACATTTCAACTGACGAGAATCTTCTAGGCGTACGATATTATGGAGATGATTGAACAGCAAGACCGGACTGAATCCTCGAAGCTAATGGAGGGCCTCGAAAGATGTAAGTCTCTAGGAAGAATGGTCAAACGGCAGCGCACACCGCAGTGGCCCACATTGGCTGTCTCTCATCTTCCCTCAAAAGATATCTCCGACACGCTCGTTAGCTGCTACCTGCGGACTATCGAAACTGTCTACCGGGTGTTACATGTGCCGACTTTTAGAAGGGATTATGAAGCAATCTGGACGCCTGGAAGCAAGCCAGACACATCTTTCATGATTCAACTGAAGCTAGTACTAGCAATAGGGGCGACATTGTACGATGAAAAGTTCTCCATGCGATCGAAGGCCCTTCAGTGGGTATATGAGGCTCAAACTTGGGTCGCCGAACCCGAGTTTAAAGCTCAGCTTAGCCTACAATATCTCCAAACGAGGATCCTACTCTTGCTCGCTCGAGAGACAACAAGTGTAGGGGAGGACTTCACCTGGATCTCTGCCGGTGCGCTTGTCAGGGCTGCAGTCTACATGGGTCTTCATCGAGATCCAGTGCACCTACCAAAAAGAACATTGTTTGGCGCAGAGATGCGACGCAGATTATGGAACACCATCTTGGAGCTGAGTTTGCACTCGAGCCTGGTTTCTGGAGGTCCACCACTCATGTCTCTCGACATGTTTGACTCCGAGCCACCTAGGAACTTTGATGACGAACAGTTGCTAACGGAGAATCCTGTTTCAAAGCCAGAGGATGAGTTTTCTCACACAACAATCGCAAGGGCTTTTCGAAGGACATGGGAGATACGTCTCAGAATTGCCGAGTATCTGAATGACCTGGCTTCCCATGGGACCTATGATGAGGCACTTCAGCTTGATCACGATTTCAGAGCTTTGTACAAAGAACTTTCCCGTACCATCCAACGGGCAAACTTTAAGGGTGAGCGTTCACCTGCCTACTTCGCAATCAACTACGTGGACTTTGCCATGCGTCGATGGCTCATGTCGGTCCATGTTCCATTTCTTGGTCCAACCTTTTACGCAACCACATATGCATTCTCTCATAAAGTGGTGATTGACGCCTCACTTAAACTTTGGAAAACAACCAATCTGGGTGAGGCCTTGGCGACTTCGCAAGCTGAGGATGGCGAGATTACACAGGCTCGGAGGGATCTCACGAGGCTAGCTACCTCTGGAAATGGCTATTTGCGAACTTGCACCTTCCAAGCAAGCTTCCTACTTGCCGGAGAGCTTTTGAATCAACTACGGGAGGACGAAGGGCTTGGGCCTCTGACATTAAGGCCAGATCTACTTGCTGTGTTGAACGAGTCGAAAGACTGGTCCTTGAAATGTCTGGAGGCAGGAGAGACTAATGTCAAAGGCTACCTACTCAACTGCTTACTAGCCTCTTATGTAGAAGGGCTTACACAAGGTCTAGACAAGCCAGAGCTCTCTGAGTTGTTGTTCAAGACAGCAGAGGAGGCCGAGGTGAAATGCTTGACCATCCTCGAGCTAGCAGCCTTGCAGAACCAGACTAGACCGGACAATCCAACACTGTCGTCACCAGACTCGCTGGCAGATCCGATGGGCGAGTGGGATTATATGGTACGTCAAATGATAAACGCGAGTGCTTTTGGCTTGTTAGTGGCTGACTCCAAACAGATTTCGGACGACCAATTCAATTTTACTAACGATTCGATGAATTGGCTGTTCAATGACGAACCCTCCTTGCCAATTTTCTGAGGCATGAGATGTTATCGGGCGTATGTACTTGTGCCGAATGACACACTGAAGATAAAACCATACTTGGCGTATTAGATGCAATTAGTCATCTACTCACCTCCTATCTTCTTGCTGTGTTCTCCCTGAACATTACACTTGCTTGTTATCATCTCTAGGTACTTTGTCAATACTCGAGTCCTGTTCGCCAGTCCTGAAGTCCTTTTGGTATCCACATCTACAAAGCCCATCTCGGTGAGCTACTCAGCCCTCGGTCGATACTTCTATTGCGGATCGTGTATAAAACCATCAATCCCATAGTCATACTCGCTCCAAACAATAGCAGACATACATTAGTCCAGTGCCCGGTGGGGTAACCCCTTTTGGCCTCCTTACTCTTGTAGATCCACACGCCGGTGATTTGTCCTTTGGCACCAAAGCTGATGTTGAGCGCAATGGCCAGACCTTGGGCGGATGTGGAATGCAGATTGGCCGACAGCCATCCGAGTAGGATGGGAATGGTGGCGATTGTCCCAACACACGCGATGATCAGATTTGCGTAGCGCCCGCCGTACGCATCCGCAGGAAGGCACGCTGAAGTGATGAAACCGATAACTCCAAAGAGCATGAGTCCTACTGTAATGTGGGGCCACTTGTTGTATTTATCCGAAGGGTAAATGAGGAGCATTCTTGCAACAAAAACAGCGGCGTGTAGACGAGAACGTTGTTAGCATATCGAAACGCAGAAATAGATCGTCGAGAAGGAAAGGTGTATTGCATCAATATTCAAACACATAATCAGAAACAGCTATTTCCGGGTTTATGCCAACATCGTTCAAGCATTAGTGCACAAAGCGGATTACTGAAGTGTATAGAGGAAGAGATGAGGATTCAACCGTTCATCGTACAGCAGCTTCCATGCTCTCTGCTCACGTCTCCGAAAGTCATTTGACCTTGTTAAACTCCTCGATTGCTTTAGTGATCAAAGGAATCGTCACAGGTTGATCCAACGTGTCAAGAAACAGCTCGACAACTTGAGTGGTTCCATTTGCAGGATTTTTTTCCGCGAAATCCGTGTCAGCCAAAATGGTTTCCAGGTCATCCGGGGTCCTGGCGTTGTAATATTTGAACTTGCCAGCCTTTGTCTGAGCTGGGCCGAACAGTTCACCAAGCTTGCTGTAATCCCATATCGGAACTTTGTTGTAATCGGCCTCTGGGCCGTGTATCAAGCGCTCAACAGTATATCCATCATTATTAACTAGGAAAATCGTAGCTCCAAGCTCGAAGCGGATGAGATCAGACAGAGCTTGCACTGTCAACTGCAGGGACCCCTCTCCAGTGATTAGAATTGGTCTATTCACATCGCCGGATTCGCGTGCGGCAACAAAAGAGCCAACGGAGGCGCCAGTTGCAAAGCCGATAGAACCATAAATGGTTTGGTTATACAAGCTCAAATCCTTACCCTTGAGATTAGCAATCGGGATGCCATATGAAGACGTCCCAGTTTCTGCGATAACCAGGTCCTTTGAGCGGAAGTAGCGACCCAAAGCTGGCCAGAGGTAGTCTTGGGTCAGCTTGATGGGCTTTTCGGGGTGGTCCCAGGCGTTTGCATCCCATGTCACAAGCTCAGTGGAGGGTTTCCTCGAGGGAACAGCTTCAAGTGCATAAGTGACGGCTATCAAGACCTCCTTGAAGTTGAGTGGGTGCTTCTTACTGCCAATCTGAAGGGTCGAACGTTGGAAATCAATAATGACATCTGAGCGAACTCTTTCCGAGAACTCTCCCGTGTTGAAGTCGCTGCTGTAGCTGCCGATCCATAGCACGGTATCTGCAGTCTCTATCGCATTTTGAACACCAGGTACCGAGCCAGCCCCGCCGTAAACACCACCAAAATTGGGCAAGGATTCGGTAAACCCCTTGCTCATGAAGGTCGTGAAATAAAGAACCCCGGCAGCTTTGACAAGCGCCTCCGTTTCGGTAACGAGGCGGTTGCGAATCGCCACTATGCTGCTTTAGCATATAGTTGAAGCAATAAAAGGACTCTACTTACGACCATCCACAATAACAACAGCTTTGTCCACCTTGCGAACGGCGTCAACGATTTTCTTAACCACAAACTCTTGCAACTCGGGGTCATTTTTCGGCTGCTCGAGGCAAAGCGGCGTTTGGAGCCCGGCGGATGAGACCTTCTGTGGACCAATATCGACGGCAAGCCCTATGTAGACCGGTCGAGAATAGTGAATCATGGCATTCAAGACACGGTCAATCTCCGCGGCTGCATTCAACGTGGAGGTGATAACAGTGGTAGCCACGCTGATGTGTTTGCTCATTTCGTGGTACATACCAAACTGACCATCACCCAAACTATGATGCATAATAAGATGATCGTTCATTGCGCGGGATGGTGGGTAGCCGACGATGTGAACCGAGGGGACATATTCGGTATAGGATCCGCCAACTCCGCAGTACGCTGACAACTCTCCTGGTCCAAAGGTAGATATGAATGCGGAATAACCATTAGTACGAGCATAACCATCGGCCTGCAAAATTTCATGTGAGTGCCATGGTTGACCAAGTCAAGCGATTTGTGACCTACTGCATAGCTTGCATTCAGCTCATTCGGACTGCCTCTCCATGTGAGACCTGTTTCGGGCACCATATCAAGTAGCACGAGTTCATAGTCTGCTGAGCATCAGGATTGACCATGCTTCACCATAGAGAAGGAGAAGGCCTACCACCGGGAACCCCGAAAACAGATTTCACACCAAGCTGTTTGATTCTCTCAAAGAGATATCTGCCTACAGCAATATCCCCACTGTTATCGGTAGCGTCACCCATGTTAAGAGTAATCTAACACGTCGTTCGTAGTAGGTTGAATTCGTGTGCAGTACCCTGCTCTTGTTCCTGAATATATACCCTGTGCGATACAAATTTAATGTGTTGAGACGCTGCTTGAAGTGTGACTGTACGGAGGATGACAGATGAATGAATATATCATGTCTTAATGATTCTGGTTTGACGATGGTCGGTTGTTTAAGTAGATATCAAGGCATGCGCGACAGTTCCTTGGGACCTACATTTGCAATGAGTCGAGCATCCCATGTGAGTGCTTCTGCCGTCAATGCCGAAACATTGTTCCTCTTCTGGTGCAACCATGATTAATTGTAAACTTTTGCTGATGTTCCATCCACGATAATCCGGTATGCCTGTCGACGGCTGGCTTGAACCTAGCCACCCTTCTTGCTGTGACAACGCGTCATCAAACCAGGAGTCAAAAACTTGTAACGAACAGCAGTCCAAACTATGCCAAAGATGATGTCCAGGTCTCAATGCTCAATATGTCGGTATATCAAAAGTTTACTGGTGGACAATGTATGTAGCCTATGCAGGATGGACGATGTCACCCCGGAGGTCTCAGGATTGCTTGTCGATGACTAACAGCCAAAGCTTATCCCAAAACTAAACGCTTTATCCGAAAGTAGTTAAACCAATCGCGGACGAGATCGGTCTTGACCTAATCTGGAATAGGGCTCCTCGGGGTTTCGTTTAAGCCCAGCTATCTGGCTGTTCGTCCTACGCAGCGGCTCGGGAACTAGCACATTTATTCCAGCTTTGGATTGAGATCGAATTGCCCATTGAAACCGAAAGACTTATACCTGTTTGCACCAAGCTTAAGAGCATGTTTCCATGTTGAGCTACAGAAAACGTAATGCTCTACTTCAATGCGTGCCGATAGACACTAGAGTTCAACCTGAAAGATGAGGCGAAGCCGGACCTGAGGAAAGGTGACGTATGGTAACCTATCGCGGTGCCGAGGGGGGTGTGACAGAATTGTTGAACCATACGCAGGCTTTTTACAGCAGGAAACACACCAGAAGGGTGCTGACATGTGGTCTTCACTGCAATATGTAGCCATATATACTCTGGTAAGCCTCACTCGCCGTTCTTCAACTATCCAGTCGCATTCTCGGCATCCATTCGCTCATCTAATGAGAATTTCAGCCATGGAGGCGCAAATACCAGTACCCAGCAGCTCATCTGGTCTTCGGACCAAAAGCACCAATGAAGCCCGGCTACCGGCGAAAGTCATTGAGAGGGACTGGCGACTATCTCTAGGAAACTCATTTCCCATGTAAGCTTACATCCAAAGGACAGCTATTGAGATACTTACATCGACCTTGACAGCGGCATCGGGGGCATGGTGCTTGCTCTTTCGCCCCTTTCCAATATTTTCCTCGGCTGGCGAGGCACTGGGGGCTTAGGATCCGCGGCTGTAGGCTCGTATTACTTTCTTGGTGGTCTACTCATGATCACTGCGTCCTTATTCGAATGGGTTCGTGGCCAGTCATTTCCCTCAATTGTCTTTGCGACATATGGTGGCTTTTGGTTGACCTATGCGTCAACTCTAACACCATTCTACAATGCTGCAATCGCCTATCAACCTCAAAACCCAGACACGGCAGCCACAAACCCGGAATTCGCCGCATCTCTTGGTTTCTTCTTTCTGTATATGGGCTTGCTTTCCTTCGTCTATTTGATTTGCGCTGTGAGTCCTATATCTCTTATGTTCTCGAAAATCATCTATTGATATCGACTAATGCCGCCCCAGGTGAAGACAAATATTGTCTTCGTGGGTTTTTTCGCTGCACTGATCCCTACTTTCTGCTGTCTCGCCGCGGGTCTCTGGGCGTTAGCCGAGCATGACAATGACTCAGCAGTGAACCTCCAGAAGACTGCTGGCGGATTTGCTTTTGTCACCGCATTGCTTGGGTGGTATCTATTCTCGGCTGTTTTGTTGATCATCGTCGATTTCCCCTTCAAAATTCCACTTGGTGACTTGTCATGCGTACATTGGTACCCCAAATCTCAGATTTTCGATGAGGAGAACTCGGGAGACGGAAGCAAAGATTGAGGTTAAATTCATCACCAGAAGGAGGTGGACTGGCCATTAGGCGGGATCATGTAAGAAGGGTACGACTCGGACACAATAATATGTCAAGGAAGTGCAAGGTCATGTCCACCGGGAGTGCTCGGCGTATGATATCGGCTTCGAGTGATTACCGACCGCCAAAAAGTCATTTCTACGCCCTGACGATAGAATTACTGGACGATGCGTGTGACATTTTCATCCCGAAGGTCTGAATGATTTGACGGAGTATGTGGACTATAGACTGGAAGTTGTACTAGGTTTCAGGACATTAGATCACTGTAAGAGTATAGACGTTAAGGACATAGTGATACGCCTGGTAACTCCTCACATTTCGATATCGTGCACATGACCAGGGCCAAGAATAGCCGGCACTGCACAGCATCAATTAATCCACAAGCCCAACAATTAATGTCGGCAACCAGGCAGCACCGGTCCTCCAAACGGTTTTGGCTATAGTCTGCTGCGATCGCTTCCGATGACCTAAACATGGCTCTATTTTCCTCCTGGCTTGGCATCGGTCCTTATTGACTTGCTGCAAACCTGAGTGGTGTTTCCACTATGATCAATGGACAGTCGTGACACGCAGTGCTGGCAAATCAGGCAAATTAGGGCGCTGCCGCCGTGACATACAGCATTCTTCCCTCGAGTACTGCGTTCACCTCACCCATCTCAGCCGCAGGAGTCCCATCAGCTGCAGCTTAATAAGTCCAGCCCACCGGGTTGTTGCTCGCTTTCTCGCGTAGTGGCTCCTCGAACTCGGTGCAAGCTAGTGAAATCATATGTTTCGCACGATTTTCCTGACGCCAGAGAGATTCCCAAGCCCGAAGTATTCCTAAAGTTACTCAGAGGGGCCTGCAAGTAGTCATTCAAGATTTTGTACGCCTGGACACGGAGGGCATACAATTTGTTCGCCCCTCGGCCTTTTGATCTCGAGAGCATGTATTGGTGGACACGGATGAGTATCCACTGTTGCACCAGTTCACAACTCTCCAAGGCGATCATTGCGGGAATTCGTAGGGGACAGTACAGTGCGTCTGGGCGAGTACCAACGACTGGTGAAGGAAGCATGTTCAGATCTGGCATTCTTAGCGATTAGTTGTCTGTCTCAAGAACTGCTTTAGAAGTGCGGGCAGACTCACATATGTGCAGTAATCGCTCGTCGTATCGCGAAAGTGCACCTGGGATCGATGGTTGCGATGGCCGTTGCCGGCCTACCTCTTGCCCGTAGCTGCGTGCAGGAATCTCATGGAGTAGAGCAACGGCTGCCGGCGACCACTCTGAATTTTTCGTGCAAGCTGCAGAAGATTGATTAGAGTGACGATTATTCACCGACTGGGGCAGCTCGCGTTTTTCACTAGATGTCGGCGCTTCGCTTTTCATGGGCGCTTTTTGCAGCATGTGGGACTGAATCGGATTTTCGCTTTTGGGAGATCTATGCTTGGAGAGATCTTGTAGTAGTTGCTCCGCTTGACCACCGACATGACGGAGGCTCGTCCAAGGGCTGGCACGGTCTCTCATAGCAACATCAGCATGCTCGATCGTTGCAGGCTCGCTTGGCGTCTTACTTGTGGATGAAAGGCGGGATAAAGGCAATGCATTCTTCTTGATGGACAAAGGAGCACCAAGGGAGAGACTTTTGAAGCGAAGTAAGTGACTGCGATTGCGCTTCTTCCTTGACTGCGCATCGTTTTGGACATGTCGTTGTATTCTTGCCAACTCCTTCTTGTGCATTGCCTTTGATTGAGTCCTTGAGATCGCGTCTTGATTCACCCACAGTAGGGCTGGCGGTTCGCCCATATTTACCAGGGAACGAATTGCTGACCTGACCGAGATGTTCCGTAAAAGCTTAATGTTCTGAAGAATGTAGCCACCATATCAGTCGGCGGCAAAAGAAGCTCAATTTAAATAGGGTCAGCATGCTGAAGCCTTAGACTGCTCCTACCAGCATTGGTGATTCTGTAGAAGGTTTGAATTTCGATCTGAAGAAGTGTGTCAGCAATAGCGGAGAATGCTACAATGCACGTTCGAGCATATGGTTTTCCTGGGTCACAACATCGTGACTTACAGGCACCAGCCCATTGACATGTCGAGAGTTTGTTATCAACAGTGGCAAACTTGGACACGCCATCTGGCATCTCGTCGAGTTTATGGTCCCAGTCAGGCGGCTCGTGGGCTATTTGTCATAATCGGCCATCCAGTGATGCATATTTTCATCGTTGTAGCTGACTTTGGCATGCGGTGCGGAGGAGATTCTGCCAACAAGGTGAAATGTCAATGCCGGCTATGGAGACAGGTAAGTCAGCAGAAGCTATTTCCTACAGGAGTATAGTTCATGCGCACAGTCCCCATGTGGCGCACATTACCGATGGTACCTCACATGTGTGGCATGAGTATGCCTAGTGTTCGATTGGTAGCAGCTGAAGTTGTTTAAATCTATGCCGTACCTCTAGTAATCGTGTTTTTGATTACTTACAATAGCATCTGAATTTGTTTGAGTAGGTAAATCCGCAGTACTTCTGTAATACGTTGACGTTTATTGTGTAATTTCAGATAAACTTACTTCTGAACTATATGCTAAGATTTGGCCTTAGTTTGTTAGGAAATGGGGAGATCTTGAGGCGAAAATAGACACGCTACTGGTCTCAACCACGTCGGTGCTTCCATCAAGTCTTCAGGTTACAAGTCACATTCTACTTGGAGAGGGAGTTTCATACTGGGATGACTCTGTCCCATGGGTAAGTCCGCCGGATGAAGCATGGAATGTCGTCGATGTAGGATGTGTATCTGAGGTTGGGAAGCTACCTTGGACGTTAATCCTGTCTGACCATGAGACTCTCCATGCGAAATCACGTTTTGGAATGGGAAATGATCTGACTCTACACAACTAGGATGAGGAGTTGAGGGCGGCTTTTATCGAGAGTCCCATTGTGGTCAAGCTCCCGGCTTAGCGCATCTCGCACCTAAGGCCCGGCTCGTTTGATCGAGCGTTGTGATTGGAAGGAAAACGATTGCCTATTTACGTTGGAACGGCTCTGACTAAGTTACCCTAGTGCACTTCTCATTGGCGCAGCTGAAGTACAACCGGCGGACGAAAGTTCACAACACCCGACTCCCACCGTCATCTCGGCGCAGACTTTGATTGATTCAGTAGAGGCTGAGTTCTAGACGATTTCTCGATACCGTCAAGATTTTTGATAGAATCGTATGTCCTCCCAATCCCCTTTACTCCCTGACATTGTCAGAGTGACTGGCCCACGCCATATCGTACCTGAAAGGCATCACAATGCCTCCATTCGCGTGGATCAATTACACCGACGCTCGACAACCCAGGAATGCCGCTTTACGGCACCATGTGTACTCGCATGTTGGCAAGTATTTCCGCAATCGATCTTTTGCACGTCGGACCACCGAAAGAAACACAATGGCGGACGATCCTGGTCCCACCAATTCCCGGCCCGAATCAGTTGATCCACCTCTCCTGCCTGAAGGTAATGCCACCCTTGTGAACAACCCGGATCCCGAGCCTGAAACGTCCCAACCGAGACAGCGACTCCTGCAGTCCAAGCCAACTGCATCGAACAAGATCAGCTGTTGCCTTGGATCTCTCGGCCCAATATGTACAAATCTCAGCAACTATGATGCAACCGTCCTTCACTATTACCTCGAACAATCCCTAATACTCGTCTTCAACCATGAGTTTAGAGGCATTGTGAACAAATCAGCCCTGTCGCATCGGTTCTTCCCAGTCTTGAGCAACACTGCGCAGTGTGCAATGCAAGACAAGCAGCTGCTCGACAGCCTCTTGAGCGTCACTGCCTATCTCATGACGAACGTAGTAGCAAACTATGATACACCTATGAACTTAGGGCATCAAGCCTCATATCGAGCTTTACGGAGATTACGTACGAGCTTGAGTATTTCTAGTACTGTCCAATTCATGAATAACTTACACACGATGCTTCATCTCTGTATGGGAGCGTATCATTGTGGAGAGATCGATGTTGCCTTGCTTCATCTCAGAGCCCTTCTTCGTTTCGAGCGCCAGCTTAGCGCTCAAGAGTTATGGGCACAATGTATTTGGCAAACATTGCGCATGTACGATGTGTATATTGCAGCCGAAAACGGACAATTTCCGATGATGGCAATCCCCGGAAGCTGTAGGCTGTCAGTGGCCCAAGATCTTTCTGATAGCCACGAACTTTCATTGGACACTGCTGTTGCACTCCATGGGTCATCAACTACCGCTGGATCTTGGCGCTATGCGGAATTAGTGAAACCTTGCCATGCAAGGTCGCTAGAAACCCGTCTGCAAGATGGCGCGACTGCAGCCACAATGCACTTGCCTAACGAAGAGCTACCAATGTCTGATGGGTTTTCCAAGGCGATCAGGGCTGGAATCATCTCACGCAGGATTGGCCAAGCGACTCGGCAATACCTTGAACTAGCCGAGTTTGCCAACGAGTGCATGATGTCTGCATCTGTGGACATGGAAGCACTTGAATGGTCCCACCAACGCACCGTCAGCCAATTGCATGAGCTTTGTATCCTCCACAAGCAAATCTCTATTGATCAGTCTCTGAATGACCTAGCCGTTCAGGCTAAGCCATATCCCGGAAGTAGGCCCACGGGATTCGCCCAGCTTACCCAGGCGACGATACTTGCGATACAGATTGACCTATTCGTCAACCAAGGACCTTGGCTGGGTCGCGCAACTCGAGTCTTGTTGCGAAGGCTGAGGCGATGCTTGGACGGCTTAAATCCCAGATCCTGTTCCAACTTGACTGAAGTGGATCTCTCTCCAGATGCAAGAGGTATGATTCTTATCCATCAGCAACTGCGACTGTGGATCGTATTCATTGGGATACTTGCCGCAAATGATTCACCAGATGATCTAGCATGCTTTGAAAACCAAGCCGTATGTCTCACGAAATCTCTGGGTATCCACAATGCCGCCGCTATCAGCTCCATTCTGAACGTCTTTGGAGCAACGAAGCCATATGAAGGTGCCCGAATCCACAAAATCGGGCAATTATTTGCTAGAAAGTATTTGTTGTGAGCAATATCGGCATAAGTTAGGATTTATATATTCTTTACTACACCAGGCAAAGCTACCACCCAACAGCACTCGCCAATAACCACGAAAACCACAAAGGTAACCAAGGCAAACCCAGCGCTGCCATCCTTTAACGACGAAACACAGTTCATTTCTTCGACGTCAAAGTGATCTAAGTTGTCTATGCGGGGGACGTTTGCCTCGAGTATCTTGGTGAAAAGTGCCGCCTTCGAAGCTCGAAACGAATGTTGCTTAGATTGCGCGCCTTAGGAGTTCGGTGGGTCAGTCGAGCGAAGTGTGGTCGAAACCCGACTGTTGGGCTCAAGGCTTTATTGGACAACCCAATCTGTACCAATTGACGACTCTACATCCGATTCGGTCTCTCCAACAAGTGATGCAGCATTTGCGTTCCATCATTTGCTAATAGCTTGAGACACATGGCGTTACTGTAATCTAACCTTTTTGCACTGTGTGGGATATCGCACCCTCCAGGAATATAGGGTTCTAGGGAGGTCGCTTCAGCTCGATACTGCGTTAAGGACGGCCGCCAGTAGTCCATGTGGCACACTCGATGTCCCGTGATCTTTAGGCGTCTATTGCGTTGTCGCTGTTTTCAACCACTTGTTGGTCAATCGCGGCAAGGAAGTCGTCATCAAGCATCGTCCAAGCAGCCAACTGCTTCGATGGTGTAGGCTCTCGGGTTGGCAATGACACAGTGTCTCTGCTCCTTGGAGTTGAATCTAGTTGGCAGCTAGGTCCTTTAGCAAAAGATATCATCTTTGTTTACAGCGGTGACCATTGTCTTGTACTACGAGGAGTGAAAGATAGTACGATAGTACTACTATTTCTCACCATTCCTCCTTATCGATGAAATCCCCTCCCCCCCCACCCCCCAAAGACAGGTGTTCTCCTACATATCGAGCGACCAGCTTATGATGTTCAACCATCTTTGGCTCAAAGACTTGGAAACTTTGACAAGAGCCAGATACGCAATTGATCTTTTCAGCAGGTCTGGTATCATTTTCTCAATCTTCGGCCAAGCGCATAGAACCAGAAGTACTCTTTCCTCCTCAACTTGGGGAGTCGGCGTGGAGGATTTCCTCCTCAACTTGGGGAGTCGGCTTGGAGGATTGGTGGGCGGATTCAGAGGAGGGTAACGTAGGTACTCCCACGAGATCAAAGTCCTACTTCTCAACCACACTCGACGACGCCTCGAACGTCATGGCACGCATAGCTAGCGAGATTGGCGACGTACCAAAGTACACCCGTTTCTTCGAATCCTTGAGACGGGAGGTCGACCGCTTTTCGGAAAGGGATGGCAGTCGTAACTCTTCCAAGCCATCAAGAGCAAATGTAGCCACAGCTGCCCCTGGCTCTGGAGCACTTGTCACTTCTTCCAGGACGGTGTCCAATCTAATAAGTCAATCATTACTCTCACGAGCAGCAACTATCATCCACTCCACTCAACGGCCCAGCCCCGCCAGCCCATGAATCAACCCCAACTGGAGGCCAACCAGATTGGTTTGATGATCCTCTGTCATACAATGAGTACGGTTAAACGTCCAAATCGATCCCTTCGATCATTGGAATATCGGTAGTCGGCTTCTTAATAACCCACTAGATCTTGACATGAACTTTCAAGACTTTCAGGGGTACGACTCTTTGTCCATGCCTGACCATGGTGGTCAAACGGCTCTCTTAGAGTCATGGCCGTTCTCGCAAGTTTCCACCATGGGTCAAATCGCACCAGGTCTGGAAGACTGCACTTGGGAGGGTAAGTTTGCAGTAAGAGCCTTTTATACTGGTGAAGCCAGCATAGACTCCAGTGCCGAGGTTACGCAGGTAATACAATTTGAACCGGACGATGTAATCAGAATAAAACTCTTCTCTGGTCAAGGCTTCACCGCGACAAGTCAAGTATTTCTCTTGAATTACTCGAAATCATCATTTCTCGCTGCAAAGTCGTTGAATACGCCTCTCGATAACCGAAGTTCCATTATAGATTCTCTTCTATGATAAACTGATGTACAAAATCAATCGCGGCATTGGCTGTAGCCATCTGGGTTGCATCCATCGCAGCAGGCACGTGGGGGGGTGTCAACATAGTGATCGTGCGCCCAAAGAGTTTGATATTTGTCAAAGGTCGGCGGTTCCTGGACGTGGCAATCGAGGCCGCACCGCCGGATGAGGTTCTCATCAAGCGCACCGTGAAGATCGTCTTCGTCCACGATGCCACCCCGAGCAGCGTTGATGAGGATCGCTGTCCGTTTCATGCGCTGTAGCTTCGGATAAGAGATGAGGCCAGCGGTCTGTTTTGTCAAGTAAACATGTAGGGTGACGACATCCGCACCGGTCAGCACTTCGTCCAATGTCGTGACTCTATGGTGAAGAATGTCTGCCCAAACATCGTCGGGCATGAACGGGTCATATGCTACAGTATTGGAAGCGAAGGCCCGGATGGACATGTTAGCAACCGCTTCGCCAATGTTGCCCAGTCCGATGATCCCGACAGTAGAGCCCGTCAGCAAAATGCCGTTGCAGGTCTCATTCCGGATTGATTGGCGGAGCGCATGCTGTCGGTACCGCAGGCCGGGAATGTCACGCGCGCTGCTCAACGTCCGGGCAAGCGCCATTTCCGCAACAGCGCTGGCGTTCACGCCGAGCGTGTTGAAAACCTTGACGCCAAGCTCAGCGCAGGATTCCGTGTCAATGTTCTCTGTTCCGACAGCTTGCTTGCTGATGGCTCGCAACAGCGGCGGGGCGAGCAAATCCTCTCCCGTGATAGGATAATCCTTGACGAGTATGGTGTTTGCCTTGGACCGCCAATCCTTGGCCGCTGGGTCGGTATGAAGGATGCAGTCAAAGAGGCTCTGTGCATACTTGACTGACCAAGGGTGAAACTCGGACAGGCTATAAAGTGTCGGTTTAGGTAGTTTGGAGTGCATGGCTCCCGATGTTGCTGGAGGTGTTGTCGCACTTGGTGGTGCGATGGTAAGTCAATCTACTCTTCTTTTCTGTGCTGATAGCAGGATGATTCGGTGGGCAGAAACCCACTTGATCAGACATATTGAATTGGGAACGAGAGTGTGTTTTAGTATATCCACTGGGACGGACAAGAAGGATCATGAACCACAGTGTTGAGAAGATGTGAAGGATAGAAAGGGGGGAAATCTCTCAAACCCCTGATCCCAAATACTCACATATAGTATCCCACCTCCGACCATTGGACTCGAAAACTCTCGGTGCGGTGCGATAGCAGCCCGTTTGGTCGTGAAAAGAGCCATGATGAATTGACGTTGCCTCTTGTCGGGCACCCTCCGATTTTGTACCTGGAGTGTTTGTTATCGCATGTCGGAGGGACTCCGAAATCGCATCAAGCGAACGCCGTATGAAGCGAATCTACCCACTCAACGACTTCCTTATTCTTTGCACGTCCCTTTGCCACCAGGATATACAAAATAGTCTGCAAGGTGTTCGAATTAGGTATCACGACTACTTAAGTTCTCAGATACCTGCCGAAGCTGCGGATATGGCAGCCCGAGGAGGCTCGTTGTCAGTGCCAAGGCGCTAGCGAAAGAGCTCTTCTAATGCAAGATACGTCTGGTTCATGCCTGTTACTGACTTAGTATGCGTAGCCAAAAGAGTGTGTTTTCTGCTGCCGCTTTCTACACATATTGAATCATCGATCTACGTCTAGTGCACACCAGCCAACGATCGAGGGTATCCATTTGGCATCTCCAGCTTTGACTTTTTGCCATGTGTTGAGGCTGGGAATCCAATTCTCATTGTCCCACAGACCGTGTTTATTTTCTATTCTAAATGATCATACATTACCTCCATTTCAAACGGCCATGTGTTTAGTCTAGAAGCGAAACCGTTGTGTTACAGTTGCCGATCCGGAAGGGCTTTTGACTCCGAGTCTGACATTTTCTGACTTCTCCACGAACACAATCGCCATCTAAGTAGCTACTAGGTAATCATGGGGAAACGCGTGGCCATCGTAGGCAGCGGTTGCTCTGGGATTGGAGCACTCTGGGCGCTTAACACCAGCACCGATCACGAAGTCCACCTGTTCGAAGCAGCATCCCGCTTAGGCGGCCACACCAACACCGTGACATTTGACGGCCCAGATGGAGATCAGGTCCAGGTCGACACAGGCTTCATCGTCATGAACACAGCTACCTATCCGAATTTCATCCGTTTTCTCAAAGAAATCGGCGTGCCACCGAAGAAGACGGAGATGACCTTTGGCGTGTCGAGAGATCAAGGGACGTTCGAGTGGGCGGGGACGTCGCTTTCGTCCGTCTTCGCGCAGAGGAGGAATCTCTTCAGTTTCAGCATGTGGAGGCTTATCTTCGATATCGTGCGATTCAATGAATTCGCACTGGATGTTTTGCAAGAAGAGGTCGAGAGTGAAAATGATCCTCAAGGCGGCGCGTCGACTCGCAAGATTGCAGCTCCTTCCAACGAGAGCATTGGTGATTATCTCGATCGCGAAGGGTACTCACAAGAATTTCGAGACGATTATCTGATACCCATGACTGCAGCGGTCTGGAGCACGAGTCCGGATAAATGCTCTCTGGAGTTTCCGGCCATTACTCTGATCCGCTTCATGTACAACCATCACTTGTTAAGCACTGTTGCGAAACGTCCGGACTGGTTGACTATCCCTGGCGGATCAAAACGGTACATTGATGTGGTATTGAAGGATTTTCCTCGGGATCGGATACATCTCAAGTCCCCAGTGACAGCTGTGGTACCCTCGAAATCTGGGCCTGTGACGTTGACAGCAAACGGTCGAGATTATGAATTCGATCATGTCATTCTCGCAACCCACGGAGACCAAGCCTTGGAAATCTTGAGGCCCGTCGCCACGAAACAGGAGGTTGAGATTTTGAGTGGATTTCAGACCAGTAGGAATGTCGCTGTACTTCATTCGGACCTTTCTTTGATGCCACGGCGAAGAGTGGCTTGGTCGGCGTGGAACTACATAACCGAGTCGCCCTTCCCACCACAAAAGTCCAGGAATATTTCCAAGGTCTGCCTCACATATTGGATGAATCTCTTGCAGCATATCCCCGAGAAGAATTTCGGCAATGTCCTGGTGACACTCAATCCTCTGAACATGCCGGACCCACGACTTGCCCAAGGCATTTGGGAGTATTCTCACCCACTCTACAACGCTGCAGCCATCACGTCTCAGCAACATCTTCCAAATATCCAAAATACGAGGAATGTCAGCTTCTGCGGAGCATGGACCAAGTACGGCTTTCATGAAGATGGATTCAGCAGTGGTTTATCTGCAGCCATCAACCACCTGGATGCGAAGTTGCCGTTTGATTTCGTAGATTCGACATTTTCGAGAGGGAAGAAGCCTACCCTCGGGGTAAGCAATTATTTGTTAAGATTGGTTCTTTTGATCGTGCAGATCTTCATGCTTCTGATCGAGAAGCTGTGGGCAATTGTGGTCTCAGGAATGGACAGGAGGATAGCCCGGCGACGAAAGGTTGCTTGAATTTTATAGAAGCAACTCTATCCAGCCGAGATAGCAAGGCTGGCGGCTTGTCGCATCAGCGTTGTGCTACCTTCTTCCTCTTCAATTCCCACTTCGACTGTGGTTCGTGGTCTGCTCTTATTCAGACCTTCGAGCAATGTGCATGCCTTGCAAACTTTTTGACTCGAAAGATAGCCACATCTCTCACACTGACCCATGACCTGCTTTACAACTTTTCGTCGTCCTTTTGATCTCTTGTCGTGGATCTTAACCGGAGTCTGTGCCTCCACTCGTTGAATATTCGAGCTGCCACTTGGAAGTTTGATCTCCGTCTCCATCTCAGCCGCGGCTTCGTTGGCCACCAGAGTTGCCTCCATCTGAGCCATTGACTCGTTGTTAGTATTCTGCGAGCCACAACCGGTAGTTGTATCCTCTCCATCCGCAGCACAAGATGCCGAGCCTGATATTTCAGGTGGGACCAAGGATGCCATGTCCTCGCCACTCTTGACGATATCGAGAATACTGCTCGGGCGGATTTTTTCCAGGTCTTTTATCAATGCTCTAGCACTACCTCTGAAAGCTTCCGGACTGTAAATGCATTCGGTGCTAAAATAATCCAGCTTTTGGTGATGTGCGTAGAGAACGATTTCTTTTTCGTACGCATATTTGAGTGGTTTGCTGCGCTTGATCTCACTTGCCGCACTCGCAGTCACGATTGAGGTGGCACGAGCGAGTCGTGGAAGATCACCACGCAATAGATTCATCATGACCGTCTCCGCCACATCATCGGCGTTGTGACCGGTGACGACGTGTTTGATACCCAATTTGGCGGCACCTCTGTCCAGGGCTTGACGTCGAAATACTCCACAATAGGTGCAATTTCCCTTCTTGCCTACCTGAGCCACAACTTGGTCCATTGTCCAGCCGTAGAGTTCATCATAACCTACTATCTCCAAAGGCATTCCGTACTGAGTGGCATTTCTCTTTACCGTCTCGAGACTGTCATCTCGATAGCCTCTGATACCCTCGTCGATGGAGAGAAGGACCAGATTCAAGCCATAGTCATGTCGTTCATTCAGAGTCTTCAAGACTGAGGCGAGAACGGTGGAGTCTTTTCCACCAGAGGCCCCGATGGCGATGCGTTCTCCTCTGTGGAATAAAGAATTTGCCACAATTGTCTCATGAATTTCGTCTTCGAAGACTGAGAGAAAACACTGCTTGCAAATCTTTTGAGAGTTCTTTGGTCTGATGACCGCCGCACGCGTAACATGACAGACTTCGCATATAGACGGTGGCATGATGAGAAGTTCTATGGCCAGGATTGATGACGATAATGCATGTTTCTAGTTAAAAAATGATTCATATTCAAGTCGGACTGGATGGTGGGCCAAAAGGCACAACGTGCGATTCCGCCAATCGGAGAAAAAAGGCGATGCGGCTCCAGCAATCGAATTATTTTGGTTGTTCATCCAATCCAACACCACTCCGTGACAATCCACCATCCCTTTGACGACCTCTTCTCTACTGATATCTACAAGGTACCTCGATCATCCGCCCACTCGCTCGGATGCATTCTACCTTGCAGGCAGAACTGAGGTTCTCGCAGCTAATAAAGAGCACTTGTCGCCATTGCGCCCGAAACCACGCCTCCAAAACACGCTCCTTTCATTCCACCAACCGATTGCGCGTTCCCCAAGACTCCCCGAGCAATTCTAACTCACTTAATGGCCGCTTTCCTACCGACCATGCGACCGACTCAGCATCTCGTGGAGAGGTAGCAAGAGGAAAGACTCAGGAAGCCGCTGCTTCCTATCCTTCTCTACCGCCAGAGACGCAAACCCCGACAGAGAAAGAATCTTTGCCTTCAGAGAATGCAGGCAAGGAGCAGCTCAACTACTATGGGTCGCCAGCCAAACGGCGATTGCGAAATCGTGCTTCTAAAGAGAAAGAGCCTGAAATCAATACCAAACTGCCTGATTGGTTTGCTGTCAACAATATTCACCTCTTTGGCATGGGTCCGCTCTCAGCCGATGAAGCATCTACCATTGATATAGTGCCTGGCTATGAAGGAGGAGGTGCGCCCAAACCGACTGGGGTCCCTGCGAAACCCGGACAGGACGCAAATGAATCAAATGAAAGTCACCCGAGTCACAGTACATTAAGTGAGGACTCGACAAGTAAAGCCGTGACTTCGCTGTTACAAGATGGCTCTCCGGAAACTGCTCAAGATGACAAGAAATATTACATTGTGGCTGATCAGTATGAAGAGGTGGTCCGTACTGCAAGAGGGTTATTACACAGTGGTCAAAGTTCTAAGCGTGCAGAGTTAGATGAGCATCTCAGGAATCATCTCCTTTTGTCATACACTGGATCAGATGGCGCCGTTTACTTGGATCGACTCGTCGAAACTTTAGCACGAGACCTGGGCTGTGGCATCGTATCTCTGGATGCTCAAGATATTTCCGAACTTATAAGAGTTTCTGGTCAACCGATTGATGTTGCCATGGTTGGGCGCCTACTCAGTTATGAAGTCTTCTCCGAAACCTTCTCCGACCCATCATCGACAACTTCGGAGATGGCTTCACAGCAGTCTTTGGAGGAGGATGAAGATGGCCAAGACGAAGACGAAGATGATTCTCTTTCCGACATGAACCGTTTCTCCGATTCTGCCGGACCAAGACCAATGCCTGGTATGCCTTTCATGGTCGGGAGGCCTATTACCATTGCTCTTAAGGATCTTTTGGGCGATGCTCCTTCTCGGTCGTCTTCTTCAGGAGGACGCACGAGATTAATGGACGTTTTTGGACCTGGTTCGCTTTCAAAGAATAAACCTCGTATGCCCGACTTCACCAACATAATTGACCGTTTGATAACAACTCTCATGCAATTTCAAAAATTTTCTGCGATAGAGATTTCTGAAGACGGTGAGCAGACGGAGCGTGCGGCCGGCGAGCGGCGCAAAGACGCGGTCAAAAAGACAGGAACACCAGCCCATTCGACAATAATCCACGTCAAGGACCTTCGAGCGATACAAGAAATGCATATTGGTAATCAATTCCTCCAAATGCTATATGCAGGTGTCTCTTCGTACCGCGAAAACGGCGCAAATATTGTTATTGTTGGTACAGACACAACTCGAAGAGTACCGATCACCAAACAGAAAATCCAGGATATTCAAGATGGAAGACCACAGGAAATCTCTCAGAACGTCGTTTTGACTCCGGTATTACCAAATACCAGATCGAAATTAACATTGCATCAAGATCGCAAGAGAAGAATTGCCACCATCAACATGAGGCATCTATGGCAAATGATGAAAGTCAGAGACTCGACAATATTTGTGAATCTACGGGCCGGATTTTGGCATGGTAATTTCCTGGAAGAGTTGCATCCTAGTGATCGACTAGAACTCGAAGGCCATGTCTGGAGCTTCGCTTATGTTCAACGCCTGGCAACATATCTCACTGGTATGCTTGCTACAAAAGTACCATCGGACGCTGACAGAAATCTTCGTGACCAACCCATCATTGGTCAAGCAGCAGCCATGCTACGGAATAGTGATGAAAGCAAGGCACATTGGGCGACCACCTACAGAAAGGCCAATAAAGATGATTCATCACAACCAAAGTCCACCGACGGTGAGGCTTTGATGAAGCTGTTTAGAAGTCAAGGAGGCCCTGAGGTCGATGAGCAAGTGGTCCCATCATTTGACGATTCTCGATTACGCCGAATCCGTGCATCTGCCACCAAATATGAGAAAAAACTCATGACTGGTATCATCGAGCCGAAGAATATCAAAACCACCTTCAACGATGTCCACATGCCAGTAGAAACCATTGACGCCCTTCAAGTGCTAACCACGCTCTCTCTCACCCGTCCTGATGCTTTCAAATATGGTGTTCTAGCATCAGATAAAATTCCTGGACTTCTACTCTATGGACCACCTGGCACAGGAAAAACACTCGCTGCTAAAGCAGTAGCCAAAGAGTCCGGAGCCACTATGCTGGAAATCAGCGCTGCTGATATCAACGATATGTATGTGGGCGAGGGCGAAAAGAATGTCAAAGCACTTTTCAGCCTCGCCAAGAAATTATCTCCTTGTGTTGTCTTCCTAGACGAAGCAGACGCCATCTTCAGTGCCAGGAGTAACTCTGGTCGTCGTGTCAATCATCGAGAACTTCTCAATCAATTCCTCAAGGAATGGGACGGAATGAGCAACGACTCCGGCAGTGCATTTATCATGGTTGCCACAAACCGACCCATGGATCTTGACGACGCCGTCCTCCGTCGCCTGCCTCGCCGACTTTTAGTCGATCTCCCAACAGAATCTGACCGACTTGAAATCCTCAAAATCCACCTGCGGAATGAGAATCTCGCTTCTGACGTCGATCTCCCAGCCCTAGCCAAGTCGACACCTTTCTACTCAGGCTCTGACCTGAAAAATCTCAGTGTAGCAGCCGCACTGAATGCCGTCAGGGAAGAGAACCGTCTGGCCAAACAACACACTGGAACTGAGCCATATCAACATCCAGAACGCCGGACACTCACAGGCAAACATTTCGAAACTGCCATGGAAGAAATCAGCGCTAGCATCAGTGAAGACATGACCAGTCTGAAAGACATCAGAAAATTCGACGAGCAGTATGGTGACAAGAGGGGCAAACAGAAGAAAACTCCCAAGCTTGGTTTCCCCACTAAGGGCAAACAGGAGAGGGATACCATCAAGGTGCGAGAATAAGGGCATTGATGATGTAGCGAGTATCGCGTCTCTACACTCAAAGAAACCGCGAACATGGCGGAAGGGTGAAGCAAGTGGTCATACTTTGACTTTTTTGTGTTCGAGTCCTGATCTCTTTGGGAAGAGCTTGTACTTTATGTATTTCGCATTGCTGGGCCGTTCTAAGTCTCTACGTAAAAGAGATCTCTGGCCCTTTCTATAGATCCACACGGTACTACCTACGTATGACCGGTGACCAGGGGAAAACTGTAACATTAATAGATATCTAGAGATGGATCTTGATTTTCTAATATAGTTCCTATGTAAGTACGTATGTGTCATCGCACTCAAAAAAGCCCTCCTGGAGCGACCCAATATATCTCGAGTATCTGCAAGTAGATAGATAGATGTAAACCGAAGATCCCTCGCAACAATCATATATCCACCCCTTCCTCCCCGCGTCAACCATCCACTAACCCCTCCCCCCCTTACACACCCGCAACCCTCGCCTCAACTTCCTCAACAAGCACACCGACCGCCCATTCCAACACGCGCTGCATATCCCAGGTGCCACGACCGGGACAAACACGCACACCGTGATCCCTGAGCAAGCTCTCCTCATCAATACTTCCGCCGTCGACGTCGCCCCCGCTGTACATCCAGGCATGGTCGCGCGCAAAGTTGGGCCACACCACGTCCTCGACATAGCCGGGCGGGTCGGTCCAGAAGCCCTCGAGCGTCACGTAGCCGGTGCGGCGGGCGCGGCGCGTCAGGGTTTGCGTGCGTGTGCTGGGAAGGAAGAGCCGAGGCGCGAGGAGTGAGCTCGAGAGGGCGTGGAGGTGTGTTAGTGGTGTGGAGATCGATGACGCTGGTTCTGAGGGAGGAGGTGGCGGTGGCGGATACAGCAGGAAGCCGTCGAGGATGCAGATCCGAAGTTCCCTGTCGCTGCTGCTGTTGTTGTTGTTGTCCCCTGTGTCCTTCGTCGTCGTCGTAGAAGTAGAAGAAGAAGCACGAAGCCGCTCCTCCACCACGCCTCTCAGCCTTTTCACCTCGTCGTCACTGACACCGCTTTCCCCCACAGCGTTCTGGTCCTCTTTGCTGACGCTCCCCTCCGGGACCGTGCCGTGCTGCTTGACGTGCCGCAGCGTCGACTCGAAGATGTCGAGGTCGAGACTCTCCACGCAGTCCCAGTCTTGGAGGTCACGGGTGCCGAACTCCGTCGAGGAGACGGTGATTACCGGGACGAGCGCATCCGTCAGGTAGAAGTCGTCTTGGTGCAGGATGAACAGCGAGATCTTGTTTGTTGCGCCTGGGGACGACGGTGATGGGACGGTAAGGTTGAAGATGCTTCGGAGGAGACGCGCCAGTGTGGTTTTGCCCGATGATGAAGGGCCGGAGAGCCCCAGGAGGATTGTGCTTGGAGGTGATGTGTTGGCTTTGATGGTTTCTGAACCAGAAGAGAGCTTTGTTGTAGCCATGATTCTGATGGAGATCTTGGAAGGGGGAAATGATGATGTTCTCCTCAGATGTAAATATGTCGCTAGAAACCAATAGCGATAGGGACAATTTCACCCTTCAGAAGGGCGATTTCAAGAGGATTGATCCTGTGTATAAGATATCGGCCTCCCGTAGGAGAATATAGATACTGTCAGGTATTGCGACCGCCGATATCTATGTATATTGATTGAGTTTTTTCGGTCGGTTTACCAATATCATTCACTGAGTTGCAAGCTCACGAGGCGAGTCATACAGCCTGTGAAAGATAGAATCCCGAAGTCAACAATCTGTCTGCTGTTCTCCCCCACTTGCTGACTGCAAGCGCTGGTTACCGAAACAAACCCGAGACCTGGAGCCGGGCGACTTGATCTGAAAACTAATCCTCGCCGCAAAATGATCCAGATATCGCAGATGACTAAAGGTCGATAGTGCAGCTGAAGGTGAGTTACTCACCACTCCGTCATCCACAGGGAAGAGAATCCTCGAATTCACCTTCTTGAGAATTCAGCCAGCCTCTATGTACTCGGTCTCCAGGAATGCAATCAATAATCGAGAGTAAAGTCTACAAGTCGGATGGGAAAAGCAAGTCCACAGCCGGATAAGCCAGGAACATTATTTCTCCGAGTGGGAACAGGCTGTGTTTCAGATTTCATGTCTCTGCACGAACTAAGATCTCGCATATCACGAGCTGCAAGGCTTCGAAAGCGATCCAACATAGCGAAATCCCTGCTGCGCTGCACGATACGTGGCACTTTCTGTACTACATTGTTGGGATCTTGTACAATTCTGTTCCCTGGAATGCTGCAAGGAATGAAATAAACGAAAATTTCACATGAAGACATCAATTCTATTAGGCAGGAATATGGACTGATCTCAAAGTCGAGTCGAGCAAGGTCCAAGAAGCAGGTCTGACTGTTCAAGCTCCAAAGGTCCAACTCCAGATTCCCCCTCTTGCGGCCCATCTCCGTAACTTGAAACTCGATTCTCTAGGTAGTCCATCTGCACATGAATCCGTTTCTTGGGACAAATCATCTCTGAGTACGCTCGTCATCCAAAGAGGTTGACGAAGCACCGGATCTCCTTTTTGCGTTCACCCATCTTGAAAATCATTCCCCCATTTCAACGTGGTATCCAAAAGAACAAACAACGCCGCTTCAGCGAAGCCCTGCAAAAGAAAATAGAACGATCAAAAGTGCGCCATAAAAGCGGATCCAACGACAATATGATACAATTCGACGAGTTTATCCTCAAAACCTCGCCTTGGGTCCGGAAAAACGTGCGGTGCACGGCTGTGAGCCTGGAGATTTGAGATAGATTTCGCTATCTCAGGTATTTTCCTGGGCGATGATCGACGACAAAAGTCGTCACTTTCCAGAATGTGGTACTGCAACCTATTGGTCGTTATTTGAGAGGATGTATGAATGCAGGAGTGTCGTAGCACTGTCTATCGCGGGCATCTGTACCGAAAAGTGCATTCAAACACCTTGCTGTAGTCAAATCACAGGGATCGTCAATCAGGAATCCCAAGAAACAAGTTGATGTCTTGGGCAACTCCGTAAATCTGATCATCCTTTGGTTGACGAGTTTGCGCCCAAGATTAAGTGGGTATTCTCATCAATCTTTGAGGTTCTTGGCGACTCTATGAGCCCTTTTGCCGTTTGCCTCCTATCTTAGGACTAGGTTTGACCTGTTTTGCACCATTCGACTCGCCGGCGCCTTCTTCTTCAAGTTTGACGGCACTGGCTCGTCGTCTCTTGTTGGAGACGTTGGGACTTGTATTTGTACTTGGACCTTGACTTCCACTCAAATTCGAGCCTTGAGCACTCATTTGATGGATCATGGCAACTCCACCAGCAGCGGGATTTTGCGCAGGACTCGGAGTATGATTAGCGCCTCCCATTAGAGGAGACCCTTGGGCTTGTGGAATTCCCAAATGTCCCATGGCAGGAGAGTTGAATTGATTGGGAACAGGTCCGTTCATTCCTGGGTTCATTTGATTGGGAAATGCTACTTGCCCATTGGCCCGAGCGGCCATTTGATTTTGCAACCGAGCAGCATTAGTGGCATTGGCCATATTCTGGTTGTTCTCTGCAGTCACTCCATAGAGAGCATCTTTTGGACTAACTCCTGGATGGTTATGGAAATATTCCATGATTGGTCCCATAGCGGTCATGACTTCAGCAACCTTGAATGAACATCAATTAGCAGAACTCGTCAACAGTCGATCTTCACTGAAACTTACCTCGAGAAATTGGAAAATGTGGTTTGGTACACCGAATTCACCCACACCTGACTGGGGAATGACTAGACGGGTATTGGTTTCTGTTGCCTTGCCTTGAGCACGCTTGACATTCTTGTTGGTGATCTTGGGACTTTGTTTGACTTCGGGGGATTGAGGCTGTATTAGGGCATTTCGAGGGATATATTCCTGCCATCCGGTCGTACTTATATTCATGTGATCGATCCTCTGCATCTCATCAAAGGTGACACGAAGTTGTCCAGTAGTAGTGACTCGAATGTCATTTTGAAAGACATAAGTCAAACTAGCTGTACTGCTCACGATAAGGACACCACCATTTGGCAGTTTGTTCTCATTGTGATCGTAAGATTGCAGGAACATTTGCTTTACCCCACAGGCAAAATGCGCATAAAAGTATCTGGCCAAGGACGGAAATTGTAATTGGAAGGATTTGTCGCCGCCATTTTTGGTGCTGTACAACTGTTGTCGTAATGAGCCGATCGGAGAGAAATATCTTGTCATGGTATCTTCCCAGTAATCAATATCATTAGGCCGTTCAGGATTAGCCAAATTGTTCTGATACGAGATCAAACGCAGGATGCATTGACCGGCAAGAACATCTGTTTTGGAGATGTCTTGCATCATCATGGAACTGGTCAGATCTTGTTGTTGTTTGATGGAACTTTCCTCCTCTGCTTCACTGGTCTTCATAGCGTTGGCAGCGGCCTGGTTTTGTTGCTGCTGTTGTTGAGCTTGCTGTTGGGCTTGCTGCTGCTGTTGCTGCTGCTGGGCTTGTTGTTGAGCTTGCTGTTGCTGTTGTTGCGCGTGTTGTTGTTGGGCTTGCTGTGGTTGGTTGTTCACAGGCTGGGCTTGTTGCTGTTGCGGAGTGGGCTTTGGTTGTGGTTGCTGTTGAGGAGTGGGTTGTGGTTGTGGTTGCGCCTGGGGAGGAGGTTGTGGCGCGGGTGTTGGAACCTGTTGGGGAGGTTGAGAAGTCTGTTCTTGCGATCTGCTCATCTGCATCTGTTGGGCTTGAGCAGCGCGGTTGGCAGCTAGCTGAGCAGCATGAACTTGCGCTTGTTGTTGCTGAGCCTGCATCATACGCTGTTGCTGTGCATGTTGGAAATTTTGCATGGAAGGATTTCCGGCTTGCATCTGCATCTGCATTTGTGGTGCCATCATATTCATTTTCATCTGTGCGTTCAACTGGGCGGGATTAAATCCAGGCTGACCATTGGGCATCATATGCATACCCTGCTGTTGATTTTGTTGCTGCATCTGCAGCATTCTTCTCTGAGCCATCATTTGCTGCTGTTGAGGGGTCATTTGCATCTGACCAAAGTTCATCTGGGGATTCTGTTGCTGGAACATGGCTTGTTGTGGACCGAGATGAGCCATAGCCATTCCTCCGGAGTGCATGGGCCCTGGAGCGGGAGTTCCTGCACCGGGGGGCATACCGCTGACCATGGGACCTTGAGTAACTTGAGGACCAGAGACGCCAGGATGCATGGCTTGCATCATAGCATGCTGGGGTTGACCACCCATATGGGCAGCGCCAGGATGCTGCATTCCTGCCATGGGATGTCCATGGGGTATACCTGGATGACCAGGAGCTAAACCCGCATGGGTAGGAAAAGGTTGGGCCATCATCTTGGGTAAGATGATCTTGACCGACAATCAGCAGGAAAGGTTCTTTAACCTCAAAAGTCTTAATCAGATTCCAAGAAGGCGGCAAATAGGAATGACGATGTGTGAGTCCTCCTCTTGAATCTTCCTACTGACCTGGGAACCAAACGCAGGGCCCCACTTTATCCGAAAGACGAATTTGTGTTTCGCGAGTGGGTGATCGAGTTCTTACATTTGCACAAAGAGCGAGATAAAGCCTCTTGTGATGCGTGATGAGGAGAGGAAAAAGATGCGACGGGAGTTTCAGGAAACCCGAGGCGATGGATGCGGTCGTCTGATGAGTAGAAGCTGATGTCACCCGTACCTAAGTAAGGTATTATGGGGCTGGGTCAAAGGTCGCGACAAGTGGAAGCCGGAAGATCACAGGTAAAAGGTGAGGGTTGAAGAGGATCGCGAAAACTTCATATTTGAGGGATCTGTTGATCACGGGATGGATGTGTGATGAGTACTGGATCAGGTGAGAGAAATTGGGCGGGTTGGTTGTGGCCGGTGGTCGAGGTGGAAGTGGTAGCAGTCAGTGAGTGAGATGTTGACAGCGTTATCGGGGGTGTCTGTGCTCGTGATTGTCGGAGGGCCTGGAGGAAGAAATAGGACTTGGACTGGCGCAGTAAAATCCAAATCGATTAGGAGGCGAGAGACAAGATGAGAAAAAGAATGACCGATGCAGTAATCAAAGACTAGGCGATGAAGGACTCCGGATGATGGGAATTATGGAGTGGAATTGATGGTTTGATGGCGATGGGAGAGAAATGGGAGAGGGCTTTGGGAGGATGGGCAGAACTGAGAACGCAGTTGGCAAGTGCTGGCAGTGGCAGTGGGTGTGGGCGGCGCAGAGAGGCCGAAGTTGCAGCAGGTGCGGGTTGCAGGTGGCCGGCCAGGTGGTGAAGCCTTCTCTTCCGTACCCTCTGGGCGACCACTTCGGAACCTTTCCAGGAGTCGTACGAGTAGGGCCAGGCCAGCAGGGGCAAAACTGGGAGAGGCAGAAGAGCGCAAAGCTGGGGGGCAGGGCAGAATCACGCTCTTTTCTCCATTAGTAGCGAAATCCCCGGGTATATTGCCTGATTCATGTGCCAAGGATCTAGCGTTGGATAAGCTCACTAAGTTTTATCCGACAAGATTTATTTGGATTTGCTTTGCGCTTGAGCAACTTCATTTCTTCCAACTCTACCACCACTTTTCTCTCTCACTCATTCAATATTCCCAGCCAACAACCCTCTTCGACAGAATCACCCGGCATTTCCAGGATTAGGTACGTGTCTCTCCTTCCCATCCGTCCCATCCCAACCCTCACCTCCCGCCAACTCTCAAGATGACAAAATATCACAAACTTCTTTTCAATCTCTGAATCGCCCTTGAAGAAACATTCGGTCCGTCGTAGCTGAACGGACTGTTACTAGCCAGTATTTTCTGTCTGATCAGTTTTATATCGATCCATCAAGTCATCTCTCTTCGTTGCCTGTCTTTGTTACACAGTGTGGCTAACGCAGCTTTTCTCATAACAGATCTTCTTCTTCCTCCTCGTTCGAACGGCGAACACGGTAGGTCTTCTAGACTACCAGATCACCACGTTGTAAATTGTACGTACCTATCTCTCTCTCCTCATACGGTTATCACCACCTCACTTCTCATGATCGATACCTTTTCCACATTCGCAGTTTTCACGCTAGCCCTGGCATGAACCTAAATAAGTCCAGGTGTCGTTGAGCGCACAATCTTCCTTGGATGTCTGATTTTCTTGTCTTGACATGAATCATAACTTCGCAACATCAGTTACTGGACCTGCCTTGCTAACTTTGTGATTCTGTGCTAGGCAAATTCGTATTGTCGTGGCCGGTCTCGGTCTGATGGAGTGCCTCGCTTGTGTTGTATGCATGGAGACAATAGTTTACTGAGATGTCTACCTCTGTTATGATGCCCATAGACGACACGAATGAGAACTCATTACTTATAATCAACTTCTTTTCAAACTTCGTAGATAGTCATTCCGCTATCGGAATCATCTAGAGTGCTGCAATCTAGTGAGGATCGCAGTAACTCTTCATAACAGCATCTAACCTGGACGTGCTTCAACTTCGCTTCCCATAATTGTACATGCCTGGGTATCCCATCCTGTCCCTCAAAAGATGGAGTACTCCGCGCCATCTAAGTCCAGACATGCCGACCTGAGTATGATTACCCATTGTCCCAAACTCCTCAAAGCCCTTGTCCGTGTCGGATCCGCACGGCGGCCCACGATCGAGACACGCGATATTATCTCGCTTAATGATCAAAGCCTGAGCCATGCGTTTGGTCGAGCAAATTGAGATGAACGCATGACAGAAGTCGAAAACGCTATTTCATAACTTTTTTGCCATGCATCAATATATCTTTCAGCTAATGAAAGCATTACCAGCACCCTCGACGACTTTTGCACTCCTCCTTGCGTCAATGAACAGATCCTCGCATTCGGCAACATCGGCAGGACTGATCTCGGACCGGCCATTGACTTTGGCGAGGATACTGGACGGTGTGAGTAATTGCAGGGCGTACCGTAGAGAGACGTTGGTGCCATGGGCAGAGACTTTCTCAACGGCGGCTTCAGAGATCAGAACGCCTTCGGTCTTGGCGCGTAGTCGGATGATGGTTTGAATTTCCGAGGCGTTATAGGGGTGGGTTGGGATGATGAGTAGACGGGCCAGGAGATCGGGAGGCACACCATGAGCGCCAGAGATGTCTTGGGTGCCGCGAATGATGGTGTTGCCGCGGTTTGAGGCGAGGATGACGATGGGCGCAATGGGTGATTCTAGAGCGCGGTTGAGATATGTGAAGCATTCAATGTCAAGCATGTGAACCTAGAGACCATTGTTAGTCTTGGGCTCTAGTCATCAAATCATGGATGGGAATGGGCATTACCTCGTCGATGAAAAGAACGCCAGGAACTAGCTCTGCCACGCCTTGATCGATGTACCGACTGACGACTTTGTTGATCTCTCCTCTCAGCTTGTCAGTGATTTCGGTCTTTTTGGGTTTCATCAGCTGGCCCATCATGCTCATAACATCCTGACCACCCTGAGGCCTTGCATTGGCGATATCGAGATCGTGCAGTGTCACGTCTTGGACTACTTCTTTCTTTTTGTGTACTTCACCCTTAGGCACCGGCACATATTCTTCGGCCTCGAGATCAAATTCCGTGGCATATGCATCTGATCGTCCGACTCTCTTGCATGCGCCCGTGTTGGCTTCGATGTAGATGACGTCCCCAACCGCGACACGTTCTTTCTGGATGGCCTCGTAAATGCTAGGATCAAGTCGCAGCTTCTTGGTTCCTTTGGCAGACTTGAGAGTGATGACAAGATGGGAGATGGTGCGACCGAATCCTCCCAAAGGGTTCTCCGCTTCTTCAGGAATGAGTTCGGTGACTTCGCCTTCGTAGACTTCCTTGGTCTCGCGCACTCGTAATCCTAGGGTTGATGTGAGTGTTTGGGGGTTATCAAACGGGTTGGCATCGTACCGATTGCGCGTCTAAAGTTCTCCATCAAAGCTTCTGTCTTCTTGACCTCGGTCGAGTATATTTCACTTCCCACGATGGGACAGAAGGGAACTTTGGTGCCCAGTTCTTGTGAGACTGCCAGGGCCAGCGCAGTTTTACCTGTACCGGGACCTCCAGCTAAGAGAACTGCCCGTCCTGACATCTTCTTTGCTTTTATGAGGTCGACCACGACACCGCAGGCCTACGGTTGAATTAGATGGACAGATCATGGTATATTGGCTTCAGAATTAGGTACATACCTCGCGGGCGGCAGTCTGTCCTACAAATCCATTTCCCGAGGTCTCAGCAGTACCATCTGACCGTAGACCAAGACCTTTGATGTGAGTATGTGCTGCGGTTCGGTTTTCGCGTGCATTGCCCTTGACTTCGCTGATGTTGACCATGGTGGCAGGAGGCGATGAGAAGGGAGGATTTTGAAGGGTATCTGTGAGGATGGGTCGAGGAAGAGACTGCTCAAATGGCGATTCGCATAGATGGACAAGAGTCTGAGAGACTTGGACCAGTGTTCAGTTGTAATTCTTGGTCACAGTGGAATTGTATTTGGGATGCACTGCAGTTCGGACTTTCATTGATCCCTGTCAAAAAAGTCGCGCTAAGAAAAGTGGTTCAGAAGGAAGGAGCCGCCATTTACACTTGCAGTTGGAATTTGGACCTGGTGCTGCTCTTGCTTCACAGTTATTACCAGGCAGGGCCTTTAGTCTCAATTACACCACTTGCAATCGTACTTCTCACAGCTCCCAGTCAATATCCTACGATTTCAGTTCAACAGACTCCGATGCCTTCTTCACTGCGGTTGTGATCTTTGCAACAATCCCTCTCCTTCGGGAGCGAGCTCTCATCTCCTGTTCAAACTTTCAACATGACCACCACAGCTACGGCGAGTCATGTTTTCAAAACTGTTAGATTCGAACTAGACCCGGTCTTCCGCAGTCCGACATCTCTTCAGTACAAGGACTTCCGTGCCAACCACCGGACCAAGCAATCAGTCTCTCCCCATTTCAAACCTCGATTCACCTTCAAGTCCGAGGACAGAACCAGCCTTGAAGACCCTTCGATAAAAAATGCAGGCACCTCAGACCCATTGATGCCTCTCTACCCCTATGGCAAGAACGTCACCTTCAAGGAAGCAAACTTTGGTCTCTACGGAGGTGCCACTGTTACCTCTGGGAACAAGATCTCCAAAGGAAGGAACAAGGGCAAGACTCTGCGCCATTGGTTTCCTAATGTTAGATTGGAGACGGTTCGGAGTGAAGCTCTCAATCGAGAGCTGCGAATACCAATCACTGCACGCGTCATGAGAACCATTAAGAAGTGCGGTGGTCTCGATGAATACCTTTGTGGAGAGAAGCCTGCCAGGATAAAGGAACTGGGTCTGCTCGGGTGGCGCTTACGCTGGCTAGTGATGACGTCTCCAAAGAAATTGGAAGAATACAAACAGCAGAGAGCAGCATTGGGCTTGCAAGGAAAGTCTCCTCTAATCGAATCATTTGAAGATGCCTGGAACGATCCAGAGAGACAGCAGAAGCTCATCGACCAACAAGAGGTTGCTTGGCAGAGTCTAAGAGATGCTGCCACCAGATTCGAGGCTCATGTTCAAAGGCAATGGATCGACTCGGGAGAGAAGCATGAGTACAAGATTCCTGAGTTGCATGCTCTGAAGGACAACTCTTTTGCACGCTTTCAGCTACCCACTACATTGCCAGAATACGACCTTGATGACGTTCAAGTTCCAGGCCTTCGTCAACATGATCTTCCCGTGCGGAAGCGAGTCAGGGAAGTTGAAAGCGATGGAGACGAGGCTGAAGGATTTGTGGCAGACTCAGTCGAAGCTGATGAGCGGGTTCGGACTGTCGTTGTCGACGAGTTCCGGGACGAACTTCGGAGCATCATCAAGAAGGAGAAGAAGGCCAAGAACATTGAGAAGCTGGCGAAGGCGCAGAGGGTGGACGCAAGTAAGAAGACGTTCCGTCTGAAGGAGACTACAGCTTCAGTATAAGATTCCCACTTCTCTTGTATATCAAATCCAATCCTCCTATTCTGTACAGTATGTCATCATGGTATATCTAGTAGAGAGCTTACTTTTCACAATAAGGCGAAAGCAAATCATTCTGCCAGTGATATTGTAGTCTGGTACCATTCAAGTTATTCATCTCACAGACCGAGCCACTCCATCTACCATCGAAAATCAGAAAGCGTGACTCCCAGCATAGTCCATTATTATGCATAAAAATTCGCATTCATCGAACGGCCATGGAGGTATGAGATATGTTTCATCCCATGAATCATACGGAACACGCAACTCTATGATATGGGTCCCTAGCCAATATCAAGGCTGTTTCGGAACAACCCTTCCGAATTGCCCGGCTTTCTCAACAGCTGACAAATCCACATCGACACCGAGGGCTTGCTAGACAACTTCAACTCGATAGAATCTGAAGGACTTGAAGTAACTTACATATATTTCATCTTCATGCAGATTCAGAAACAATCATATACCTGTTAGGATATCTATGACTCCGTTGAAGTGATTAGCCAACTCCAGTATAATAGACCAGGCAGCGCCCTACCACCACAGAGAGAGAGAACGAGAGAGAGGAGTCAACCAACCCTCCAATTCCACACAGATCTCACAAAGAAACCACGCATTAAATTGAATGCGCATCAGCCCAACTCTGCGCCACCTCAAATCAACCATGTCGACATACAACATCCTGATAACTTCTGACGTGGTCTGTCCATGGTGTATGGTGGGACATTCAAGGCTCTCACGCGCCATTAGCGAGCACAAGAAGACGTACCCGGACGACAAATTCCACCTGAAATACACGCCATTCTACCTGCAACCACCACCACAACACACGGTGACAACAGGACCCGTGCCACCACCGTTCCCGGTGAAATCACGCCCGCGGCGAGAAATGTACGCGGAGAAGTTCGGCCCCCAGCGCGCGGCGCAGATCGAGGCGACGATGCGGCAAACGGCGGCGGGCGAGGGCCTGGACTTCAAGTTCGGCGGCATGACGGGCCCGAGCCGCAACGGGCACCGCCTGGTGTACTACGCGCAGAACCACGGGGGGGAGGAGGCGCAGAACGCGACGATGCTGGGCCTGTGGCGCCGGTATTTTGAGCGTGAGGTCGACATCACGACGCTCGAGACGCTGGTCGAGGTCGGCGTCGAGGCGAAGCTGGGCACGGCCGAGGAGATCAAAGAGTTTCTCGTCAGTGGGCGGGACGGGGACGAGGTCGATCGCATCGCGGATGAGGCCAGGCGGAAGGGCATCAGTGGTGTGCCGAATTATGAGATCAATGATCTTTGGGAGGTCAGTGGGGCGCAGGATCCCTTGGCTTTTCAGAAGTTGTTTCGCAAGTGGAAGGAGGTCGAGGCTAAGGAGGGCGGTGCGAAGGGGGTTGCTGGTGGTGAGGCTAAGGCTTTGAATGGGAATGGGTGTTTGTAGGCGTTATATACTGAATGGTATTCTGCTTAATGAAACGTTGTTCACATGTTCTGATTGGTGTCTATCCAGCATACCAGCATCTGTTGAAAGCGAGCTAAGCTAGCTAGCTATCTCAGCTATGATATGTGTGGATGTTCCTCCCAAAGCATCAAGTTCGATATATCTACAGCGCCGCCCTTTGAGACACCACCACACGTTTGTGGAGCTCATGGCTCACCTGGGCCTGGTGGAAAGTCAAATGCAACCCGCACGCTTTTCTTCGGCTTTTCTCCGCCGCCGAATATGGATGAGGAAGCAGACGAAGATGGAGTCTCCTGCTGTCGGGTTAGATTCCCATTATCGTCCTCTCTTGGCAAATCCCGAAGAGGAGTTGCGAATCTCATAGCTTCTTTGCCAAGGGTGCTCGGTGGAGTAGCAAATGCGACCGATCGCTTTTGTAGTGCCGGCTTCTTGGTGGTCTTGTTTCTCTTCTTCGTGACACGTTCGTTTTCCATTCCGAGTATCAAGTCGGTATCCTCATCATGAAGTCCACCAACCCGACCGTCACCAGTCTTGTCAAACAGCGGGATGGGAGTTTCCAACGTACTTCCCTCCATTGTCAACTTCTCCTCATCAGTGATCCTCAAAAATCCCTCTTCCCTGATGATGTCATTCATGGTACCATCATCAAGCAAGCTTTTCTCTGCTCTCAAGAGCTCGACGTTGCTCATCTGGCGTCGGCGGTGCAATATTTTCTCTTCCAATGTCCCTCGAAGGACGAGTGTTTCAACGTAGACTGGCTTGCTTTGTCCAATACGATGAGCTCGTTTGATCGCTTGTGATTCGACGCTTGGTTGCCAGATAGGTGAAATGATGAAGACACGACTGGCGCACGCTACATGAAGACCGTGTGATGCCTGTTTCAGATCCATCAGGAGGACACGGAAAACGTCTGAGTGGTTGAACGTAGCAAGGTATGCTGCACGCTTGCTCACTGAGAGGGTGTTGGCGTAGATAAGGAATTTCACCGACAGAAGTTCCAGAGCTTCGGCGATCCAGAATGCGATATTATTGGAATCGTAGAATATGATGATCTTTTCAGCCTTGTGAAATTTTAGGATCTGCGAACATAGATAATTGAGTTTGGCAGAGGTAAAGCCCAATATTTTGGTTTTTCGAAGATCCGATGGCAATGGAAGGTTTGCCAGAGGAAATGATCTTTTGCTTGCCGGAGAGACGGGTGTTGCAATGGTAGGAGAGGTATCAGGTTTCGCATTTGTCGGCGACGACAGTGGCATGGGAGACTCGGACTGATGCTTGATCTTCGGACCCTCTCCAGAACCAGGTAGTTGCGATTTTCCATTCGCACCGTTCGCACTTTTGCTGCGGGTCTGTTGTTCTGCAGAAGCTCTGGCTTTAGCAGAATGCATCGCTCGAAGCCCAGCACCAATCAATCCTGAGGCGGGGTCGTCAGCTTGAACATGCTTTAAGATATGCTGCTGTGCTTCCCGAGCTTGCACTGTGCCCAAAAGCAGTGGTTTCGACACCCCTCCATGCAACGCCCATGCTTCAGCGGCATGTTCAGGGAAATCCTCCACATAGACACCAATTTCATGAAGTGATGAAAAGGCCTTCCAGCCAGAGTCGGCTACAGCACGTTCGGCGTTCATGATGGCCTCAGTGATCAAAGTGCCATCTCTGTCTGATATTGAATCAAGGTGACTGTCGAGATAAGTATTGCTTACGTGTAGAGCTTGTGAAATTTCATGGTGTGTAAACCCAACCCAGTGGAAACTTGAATGTCGAAGGTTGGTGATTAACTCATCGAGAGACTTCCTGTTCTTGGGATGGAACATATAATCTTCATCGGCTCGCTCCGATGTGACAGCGTTCGATGTCAGTACCACCCTGAACAGATTCATACTGAGTTTATCGTAGTAGCTCGGTTGAAGATAGACAGTAGTGTTGTACAGTGGGGGCAAAGACAAATCAGTATCAATATCCTCGATGCGGTGCCTGACTATGAGCGCTTGCAAAATCGTCCGAAGAGCAGGAGCGAACCTTCGATTTCCTTGAGTATCAAATGGTGCTAGATAGGTCCGCCAATCTGCGTAGTCATGGCCCTTTTGATTCGCCCATGGCTGTAGTTTGAGGAACCTGACGACCATGACACGAAGTTTCTCCATGTCTTTGATCTCTTCAGTTCCAGAATCTTTGGTCTTCCTGCGTTCTAGAGCCGTTCGAATAGATTCTTTGCGGCATTGTTCATCGTCATTCGTGGATTCATTGGTAGCAAGGTTCACCTCAACCCCATGCAGAGAATTGGATGGTGTTCCGGAAACTACCCATCGTCGTTCAATCGACATCTTGTCTAGCATCGTCATTGCATTGGTGCGATAGTTTGCCCCTGCAAAGCCATGTCCCTCATCACATATGACCCTTAGCCAACGAACCTCGGTTAGTGGGGATCGAAATTTTCCCTCGCCCCTTGATCGCCTGCCCTGGTTGAGGTCATCATCGCGATATTCCTGTTCGAAGCGAGCCTTTGTAATCAATACAATATCATGCTTCATCAGAGTCTGATATGATGGAATGACTTTGACGGACGAGTCAAGAGCGAGAACATCTAGGGCGTAGCCATGAGTATGCTCTTCGATTTCTTGCTGCCATTGCACGAGCAGATTGGGTGGTACAATCACTAGAGTAGCGTAGCAAAGGCGTAAAACATTGAAACTCTCTCGTGTACTGGCTCGTCGCTTTGGGGTTGTCGGATGGAAAATTGGTTCGGCAAATGTGGCATCGTATTGATCAATGGCATCTCTTACTCGATCAAAGTAGTATCCTCTTTGTTCAAGGTTTGCAAGTTGTGCTTTCCATGGGGTACCCGACAGTTTCAAGGTTTTTGCTGCAAGATCGAGCAAGCTTGGAGTTCGCTGATTGAGTTCGGTTGAAATGATGTCAAGTCGTCCTTCAGGAATCTTGGGATAATGGCCTCGAGTCGCAAGAATCAAGGCAAGGCATATCAATGTCTTACCATAGCCCATGGTCTCAGCAAGAATACCCCCTTGAGGTTCGCTGTACAGAACTGGCTGACTCAGAAGGATGCCTTCCAAAACATCAAAGTAGAAGCGCTTGCCACGGAGATCGGTGAATGGTGGCTTTCGGGAGTCAACAGTCTTGGCTGGGCAGGCTTCTTTCTGGAGCATCATGGCCACAGACCGTTTCTGATAGGAATAAAGTTGGGTCTTTAGTCCATCAATGTCATCCTGCAGAATATCTGACATAGCCTGCTCAGAATAGATATCGGCTGACAACGTCTCGATTGAAGGTTTGGGAGATTCCAAAGTGTTGAAGATGTAGAATAGAGACTCTTCTTGATCATCACTTATGCTGTGGTAGGACTTCAACGGAGAGTCAGGATCGAAGTCACCATTCCAAGTTTTGGGAGATGTGTCGACGAAATCCACCAAAGATCTGAGGACTTTCCTAAAATCCTTCAGAGATCCTCTAGTACTTCTGTTGATATCTTCCGGAAGTACGTAGAGTCTAGCGATGGCTTTATCGTTTGGCAACCGTTGGACCTTGGTCTTCAACCACAGGTTTTTCTCACCTTGCACAAGTGAGCGATTGGGGTAAGGCTCTTCTTTCTTGACGCCTTTCATATGGAATTCATGCTCAGTATTGTGGCGCGCGATCAGGCGAATCGTCCCTAGCGCAATGTAGTCTTCCATCCGGTCCGCTTCGGATGTGTCGATTGGCACAAATTGTTGGCTGCGAGGTGAGGCTGCAGATGAGTCTCTGATAGTGGTGATGTGATCCATGTTTGACGGGCCAATGAAAAAGCTGTTGGCATCGAACGGCTCATCGTCGTCAACCTCCATTTCGTTAGAAAACGGATGATCGGTGGACATTGTAAGAGAAGATGAGCAAGTTGATACAATGTTGCAGGAGTGAGAAGAGATGAAAATTACAGGGCTGAGTGACAATGAAAGTGAAGGTGAGAGATGTTGATTGGTGGATGAGTGGAGCCTGAGTGTGCCTAGATGATGTGACTGTAGGAATAAACGGTCTGACAGAGCAGCATTTTCCCTGAATCTGGTCAACAGTAGGCGCGATTTCTGCGTGGCTCAGGGGTAAAATCCACCGTATGACAGAAAAGATTTCTCGCTTGACTTCGACGTCAACCTTTGGGCTTCTTCACCCGAGGAATGCAAGCCTGTATCAATATCTTTGATGCGGGCACATTATCTAGGTTGCTGTCTTTTAGAGTAGCCAGAACAGAGTGCCAAAGAGAGAAAGTAGTGCATTGGAAGCGACTACCTACAAGAAGTGTGGTCCACGCGTTGTACGGAATAAATTTCTTGAACATACGAGTAGTTGGAGTCAAGGAGTCAGCCAGATGATGCAGATACTAGTAGTATTCATACCATTCCCGAAAGTCACAGAGAACACCATTGCATACTCTGGCACACAGTCACGCAAACTACCTGGGTAACTAGCCCTGTACTATCATTGTGTTTCCGTGTCTCTCAAGAGCTCATCATCTGGTACGTACATCCACGATTTCAGACCCATGACTACCTAATACCTTAAGTTTCAAATTCATCTCAAATCAAATACTAACAAAGAAACTCTTCTCACCCTCCCTCGGCACCACGACAGACCTCTTGAGGATCGGATCTGCACAACTAATCCTGATCCTCTCCGGCGTCGCGGGACTCCTCAGACTCAACACCTCGTCCTCGCCATACTGGGCCCTCGCGGCCTTCAGTGCATCCCTAATGGCGAAGAAGACGGCACTGCCCATGAACAACGGCGGCTCCCCGACACCTCTGGAGCGCTGGATCGTACGAAGATTCTTCCACTCCACGTCCTTCAACAGACTCACATTCATGACCTGCGGAATGTCGCGGAACCCGGGGATCTTATAGGCGCCCGGCCCACGCGTGAAGATCTGCCCGGACGCGCGGTGCCACAGGGATTCCTCGGTCGTGAACAGTCCCTGGCCCTGGACGTACGCGCCCTCGATCTGGCCGTAGTCGATCGCCGGGTTGATGGAGTGGCCGACGTCCATTTTGATGTCCGTGCGCAAAACCGTCCAGTCGCCGGTGAGTGTGTCGATGAGGACTTCGCTGGCAGTCACGCCCTGTGTGAAGTAGAAGAACATCTTGCCTGTGTTTTCGGCGGATGGGTCTGCTGGGTTCGGGCCCCACGTGTAGCCGATGTCGGGCGTGCGGTAGAAGCCGTTGGCAGACAGGTTGACGCGGTCGAAGTATGCGGCATGCGCGAGTTGTTTCATTGTTGCGTCCGGTCCCAGTTTTTCGCGATAGGGTGCCAGGCGCTCGTTGATCTGTTGGCACGCGTTGTAGGCCGCATAGCCGTTGAGGTCGGAGGAGGCGGAGGCCGCGGTAGACGAGGTGTTTGCGACGGTGTTGGTGGAGGTTTCGGAGATGTGGACTTCGGAAAGAGGTACCTGCAGTGCTTCGGCGACGATCATGCAGATCTTCGTGTGTAGACCTTGACCCATTTCTGTGCCGCCGTGCGCGACGAGAACGGAGCCGTCGTGGTAGACATGCACGAGCGCGCCGGCTTGATTCAGGAAGAGAGCGGTGAAGGAGATACCGAACTTCGTGGGAATGAGGGCCAGTCCTTTCTTCTGCCATTTGTGCGAGGCGTTGAATTCATCAACAGCTTTTCGGCGCTCGGCGTAGTTGGCTGACTCTTGTACTTGTTTGTACATCAGTGGCACATACCAATCTTCCAAGGCTTGGTTGAAGTGTGTTTCTTCAGCGTCTTTGTAGAAATTGATCTCGCGGAGTTTCTCCACTGGGATCTTGAGATGATCGGCAACCTCTTCCATGATCGACTCGCCAATGAACATGCCCTGTGGGCCTCCAAAGCCTCGGAATGCGCTGTTGGACACAGTGTTGGTCTTACATAATCGACCGTCGACGTCGACGTTTGGAATGTTGTAACATCCGTCGATGTGGGACAAAGCTCTGTCGACAACTGCAGCAGAAAGATCCTGCGACCAGCCTGCGTTGTTGAAGACATTCGCCTTCAAGGCTTGCAATTTGCCGTCCTTATTCACACCAACTTTCCAGATGCCCAAGAATGGATGTCGTTGGCCAGACGTCATGATGTCTTCATCTCGATTGAGCATGCATCGGACTGGACGACGGGCTTTCTTCGCAGCAACAGCGCAGATTGTCGAAAGTTGGATTGATCTCGTTTCCTTGCCTCCAAACCCACCGCCGAGTCGCTTAACTTTAGACACGACCTTATTCGACTGCACTCCAAGAGCCTTCGCCACGTATGCTTGCGTCTCCGTCGGGTTCTGCGTACTACTCCAGATTTCCATCTCACCATCTTCGGGCTTGGGAATGGCTAGCGCGGCATTGGTCTCGAGATAGAAATGTTCTTGCCCTCCCATTCGGGTAGTTCCTTCAAACACAAAGTCGCAATTCTTGAATGCCTCTTCCACATCGCCCTTGTGAATATATCGATAATGCTCGAAAAAGCTTTGCTTCTCGATAGCTTCCTCGATAGTGAAGATAGCGGGTAATTCTTCGTATTGAACGAGGACTGCTCGTGCACCAGCTTCAGCTTGACTAGCAGTGTTGGCTAAGATCATGCCAATAGGCTGACCAGCTGTGAAAACCTCATCTTCAGCAAAGAAGACTTCATCGCAGACAGGTGCGCCCCACCAATTTGCTTCCTTGCTAATGTCGTTCCTATCAACCCAGTCAACCACGCCCGGCAGGTCCAAGGCCGGGCTAGCGTCAACGCTGAGTAGCTTGGCATGGGCCTTCGTAGACAGCACTAGACAGCCGTAGAGCTCATTCCTCTGGAGTGGAATATCATCCGTATATTGAGCCTCACCCGTACATTGTTTCAGAGCTGCTACATGAGGATTTCCCTTTCCGAGGATTTTCTGAGAATAGGCAACAGAGCTCTCGAGATCTTTGTTTCCCGTCGAGATATCTCTCTCAATCTCCTCGATAACCTCTTTATCAACGGTTTGACTGGTTTCCTCAAGTCCCAGCAGCACATCCTGGTAGAAACGGTAGAAGAACCCAATGGCGAGGGATTTTCGGTATGTTGCCATGCCACCCGGAACGCCAAATGGGAGATTGAAATCTTTCTCTAGAGCGTTCATTACTCCTTCGAGGGTCTGCGGGTCAGTAAATGTCTTTCCGATGATGTATTCATTTGCTTGTTTTGCTTGAATGGTGATGGGAGCCATGCCGCCATACACTAGCTCCGCATCTTTAACCTTGTAAGAATCGTCCAGGGCAACTCTTAGACAGGCATTGACGATGGCTATATCGTCATCCTTTCTCTTCGATTGCTTGTAGCTCCGCACATATTCACCGATTTCACTTGCGACTGGGATCCTCATTGCCGCGATGATAGCGTCCTCGGGCAATGCGGTCACTCGATAGCGCTTGAAGAAGCTTGACATGGGGATCTCAGTCGTCTCCTTGAGCGACTTGGCGATCAGCGTGGACTTTGTAGCCACGAATACTGGGTTGAGATCTGAGATTGGGGATGCTGTAGCTAGATTACCCGCCGGGGTTCCGACGTTTCGTATCTGTCGGCCAGCGAAATATCTGATAGCTTTCTTGATGGCCACGAATGGCTGAGCTTTGGCTGGACCGTAATGCTTGACAGCCTCGTCGCAGATGTTTTCCAGGTCAGTGAGTGCCACATTGCCACCGATTTCCAGGTAGTCATCGTGAAGAGAGTACTTCCGCAATTCGGCAACATCACCAACGTAGACCGAGGCAGAGTACTGCATTGCCTTGAACTTGATCTCGATTTGAGTCTCCGTGCTGCCGCCAATCAACTTTGCACCTGGATAGGCATTCTTGATCTCAAGGAGTTGTTGGAGGGTGACTGGACGATACCACTTCTTTCTTTTGTTACCGAAGGCTAGGGGTTTGAACTCGTGCTTACTCAAGGCCGGAGGGTGAATCAGTTCTGTAGACTTGTCGTAATGGATGAAGGCCGGAGGGGTGAATTTCTTGTCAGCGGTGGTATCAGCAACACCATTTGCTCCGTTACATCCACCACCGCTGCCAGAGTCCATACAGCATCCTGATCCACCGTTGGCTAGCGACTTTCCACACGTCTTCTTGAAGCTTTGAGCGGCATCCAAGATTGGTCTGTAGCCAGTGCAGCGACATAGGTTCCCATCAAATGCTTCTTCCACTTCAGTCTCGCTCGCCTCAGGCCCGTTGTTTCTCAGCAACGCATATAAGCTCATGACGATTCCAGGTGTGCAGAACCCACATTGGCTCCCACTCGCCACAGCAATGCGTTGTTGTACAGGGTGCGGACTCTTTGAATTTCCAATGCCCTCGACTGTAATGACATGTTTCCCATCCACGCTGACCAGCGGAGCCAGACAAGCGTTGACTGAGGCATGATATATCTTTCCAGTGGTAGGATTCAACTGCGAAACCACCACCGTACATGCTCCGCATCCACCTTCTGCACAGCCCAGTTTTGTGCCTGTCAGGCCTATTCCCCTCAGGTATTCGAGCAGGGTGATCTCAGGGTCGACTGTGTCCAACTGGACCTTTGTTCCATTGAGATAGAAGCGGAGTGTGTCATCGTAATCTTCAGTCAGGGACTGTAATGATGCTGGCCCGGTGTTGGTAGCGGTTGTTTCGACAAGGCCTGGCGCCATGTTTGGCAGACCCGCGGTCGCAATGGGTAGAAGTACGAAAGGTTCAAACTCGTGCAGGCAGAGTAGAGTGGAGGAGGAAGGGTGAAGGATATCTATATGGTAAGTGCTCCACCTGTGGCCATTGAGATTCTGGCGGGACACACGGGACGCGATCACAACTCGTACACGCACAAACAGCTTTTGGGGAAACAACTTCAGAAGGAGTGCTAAAGCAGATTCTACTCACGATCGATCTTATCGGCGATTACCTGAAGCTCACATCAGAAGGAAAGTAATCCGTTGACATGATTGATAGGGCACAGGCGGGCGTGGAGAGATGCCCACGAATCAGAAAGATGGTATTGTAGATCTCTTAGACTTTACCGATAGTGGGTGGCTTCAAGGAATGCAGATGAGTGGTCACGAAAGGTACAAATGCGAGGCGAGACCCCCGCCTATCTCCATCTTCGGTTGAGGTGGAAGTGGGACTTTGGTACGATGTTCGAGATATGCTCGTCACGTGGCTTCGGAGACCACCGACGTTGTAGAACTTTAAGGTGGAGGTCCGCGACAGGACCAGTTCAATTTCATTTGAGGTTTTCGTATCTATGACATGTAGCTACCTAGGTAGCAACTGGGCTTCATGTGGTTCCCGGACAATATCCAAGACTTTCTCTGATCGATGGGGATCCAGCTAAAACCAATGGCCAACACCAAGAATGTGGGGGTATCTCGATCTCTCTCATGAAACCAATTTGAACGCCTTACCCATGCTTTCGTCAAGGCTGTCAGTGCCAAATTTCGTCATGATTCTGTGCTCATTCCACATGTGGAGTTGTTCCCTCCCCTCTGTGTACAGGACACCTATTGCTCCTTCGCTCAGTCAATATAGTGACAAATCATCGCATTCAGTGAGGTCAATTTGAGGACTGAAGTGAGCTCCAACCGTGTTGCAGACGCATAGGCACTGGCAAACGACCTAAGTTTTGATAGATGAGGTTGACTTGGTCCACGTTGTAAAAGTGCTCTGGCACTTTGTAACCCCATTCGAAAGCAACTTGCATGCACAGGGTCGTCAGGATTTCTTCAGTCCAACTGCCGTCGACGATCATGAAATCTCTGATCATGTGGAACGCGATATTGCTACTGTTTTCCGCAAGTGGCCCGCCAAACTTCAGACATTGCAAAATGTGGTGATTGAAGAAAGCATGAGGACAGAGCATTGTTCCGTCGTTGAGGAATGAGATTTTCTTTTGCACTTGCCCCGTTCCGCGTACCAATTGCCATTCCACTTTGGATGGGGTCTCGGTTGTCAGCTGCTCGTTGTCGTCGAAAATGAAGTAGTCTGCAGGTTCCATTGCACGGTAAACTGCTTGTCGGTGGCGTTCAATGTGATTTGAAAAATGGCCAGTGATGTAGGACGTTCGAGGAAGCTGGCAGGGACGAACTGTATCCGGATCGACAGGTACAGTGATGGGATGTTTGCCACAATCAAGAAGCCAGTGGCGTCGAATGTCTTCGTACAGGTGTTCTTTGCAGCAATATCTGGTGAAACTGTTGGGGCTGCAAGCAGGACAAATCACCGAAACAGAATCTGCAAGTTGTGAAGTCAGCATGAAGCTCAAGCAACGGAAAGGATCTAGGGCTGAGATCCAAAATAAACTCACCCCAACAACTTGTCAACTTCCGACAGTCTGGTTTCGGGCACTTCAGTCTTGGGTCAAGGCTATCAAACTTAAATGGCAGTGCGACTTCGGTGAAAGCACGCAATGCCGATTCTTCCTGAATACCGGCAGGTCCATCTTCAAAGACTCCAGCCATGCTGACAGTGTTGGGCTTGAGTCTGCTTGGGAGGTGTGAAGGATGATTGAAGTTAGCCTGGGTGATTGTTTGATCAGATGCATCAGACGTTGGTGAAGCTACTTCACGTGCCCCCAGATCCACTGGCAAGTGACGACCAGAAGACCCTGCCTGTGACAGTGACGTACACTCCTGTGCTTCACCAGCCTCATTGTCCAGCGACCTCCGCCCCTTATTGTGCAGAGGTGACGAGTTTGTAACCAAGCTCGCTTCAAGTGTGGTGGAGGCAGTCAACTCGTCAACGGAAAATTCATTGCCGAAGCTGTCAGCCTCTGCCCTCGACTCTGCGAGTCTTTTGGCCGCTGCGTCGGCCTTGCGTCTTTGCTTTCGCCCATTGATTTTGCGCTTCGACTTGCCTGTGACGAAGCCGGAGCCTGGCCCTCCTGCCATTGTCGCTGAGGAAGAGGATGATGACTGTGTTAAAGGAGAAGGAGAAGGAGAAGGAATTGGTAAACAAGGAGGAGACGATGAAGTGTGCGTTTGAACAGTGACTGGCTGGCAGATTTCATATCTCGGCGTAATGGCCGCGAAATTGTGCTCCATTGTATCGTCGAGGGCTTTCAGAAGGGGGATTGATTTTGCATTATCGGCGTCCCATTTTGCTGATTGCTGGACGAACTCACCCTTCTTGATGGTTTCCAGGAGACGAATCTGTTCTGTTCCGTTGGAGAGCCTCTTCATATAAGCCAGAGCGTCCTCAAAAATAATGAGAGCAACGCGAATGATGCTTCCAAATATTTCCCAGGTCTGTTATGGTGCATTTGTTTCACGACGAAGTGCACTGACGAAAAGTGGATGTTTGACATTTACAAACAATTGATACGACTTTTTGGGCATTAGAGACGCGAAGTTCACGTCATGGAGTTTGAACTTGACGACTCCGAGTGCTTTATGCATCCCAATGTCCATTTCCAACAAGAACTGGCGATCTGGACCGACCCAGAGCCCGGGTTTGTTGGTGCAGACTTGACTACTATCCAATCCATCTTCCGTCAACACTGTGTCTTGCTTGGCCCAATCCAGCTCTTATACGCCCTGTATTCCAAAAGACAACAGTTCGCGCCTGAATCCGTCTTTGTTATCGAAAGATTGCAGCAGGTTCTGGGCAATAATGCCTGCGCCCGCGAGGGTCCATGACTTGTTGCCAGCCTTCTGAGGTGGATCTTCTGGCAGAAGCTGCACAGAGCCTTGTCAACAGATCCATTTTTTAAAGGGGCCCAGTCAATACGAATCTCAGCGCTAAGTTCACCGTTTTCCCAGCGAAAAAGCGCGATCTTCTTGGCTGGTGATGCGATGTGCACGACTTGCGAGTCGTTCAGGAATAGGGGATAGATGAGACACGTAAGCGAATGGTCTGACAGTTGACGACATGGTTTTTTGTCGTAGAGAATTGCTGAAGAAGTCGAGTTCTGTCGTGTCGCGCGAATTATGTTGCGAGTGGAGGTTTCCAAGACATTGATTCCGAGGCAGCTGCGCTAGCTAGCTGGAACAAGGTTGCAATCTGGAGTGATATGTCCAACGTCCACCCTTAGCATATCGACATCGTGATTTTGCACCTGACGCGTGGCCGGGATGAGGCTGTTGCCCCTATGAGGCTGGCATGGTTTCGCAAATCAAAACATTTTCAGTGTCTTCATTGCATCGCCATTAGGTGGCGAAATGGAAGCAAGGTCGAGCAAGAATGGGCTTGTGTCTTTCTAACCTGTGACTTGCATTCTTTGGATCTTCCAATTCAGAGGTGGCCGCATCTAATATACTTGTGTACATTGCCGAGTGGCAGAGAGTTCATCCCCGCTACAGTGAATTCAGTGGATGGCAGAACACTTGTCAAGCTCTGGAATAGAGACGACGCCATCAGAGCTTGGAGCGTGTTTAATCCATACGCTAGACCCTTGGGAAAGCCGACGTTCGACACAAGCCACCGTTGCCAGAGTAGGGCAATATTGAAAGATTAATATCCATTCTGGTTGGTGAACCAGTGCATTAAACCCCTTAGATGTGAATTGTTCACGAGCAGGAGTGGGATTATGAAGGGCTATCAACCTCCATCGTTTACAATCGAGCTTAGGCTGGGTTTGGAGTTATAACAGGTACCGGCAATGATGGAAGAACAAAAGGATGGCAGACAGACAGGTGCTGACTGTTCTTCATTACTACTGATGTGTCGGCACGTAAGTGAAACCCCATCCCAAAACCAGTCTAATGCAAATGCGTCCTCACGTTAGCCAGAAAACAGTCCCGTTCTGTGTGCACGTAGACTAAGTGCACGCCTTGGTGATTATCGCCCTGGCGACTGAGGGGAAGTAAAATCTGCTCGCAGTTCATGAGAGACTGACCCACATGGTGCCCAGCTTTTAATGCTGCTCATCCTAATACTCACCGTAACACTTCCTATCATCCTCTGGTGCTTCAACGCGTGCAGCGTCAACGGCAACCCTGCATCTGGGGTGTGCTAAGTGCTCCGCTTGCTCGCCTATTCAGCTTCAATCCACATCATGATCACTTGTCTGTTCCTTTTGTTATGAATCGTATTGCGCATGATGTGCGTTGCCGCAGACATGGCTTGGGTCCTTGTGCTTCGAATTAGCGCACAAACAGGCTTCGCACGGAACTTGAGTAGCATGTGGCGGAAAATGGTCAGTGTGCTTCACAACCGGTGTGACAGATCTAGAAGCCTTCGCGAGAGTGGCTTGCTTGGGGTCATAAGGACATGAATGGAACAATTCTAAAACGTTCAGTTGGAGGGGTGCATGTGGCAACGATAGGCGGCCTAGAAGACCCTTCATTTGTGAACCGAAATGCTGAGTCTGACTCTACTAAGAAGCCCCGTGGCATCACCTTGGTGGAGGATGAGTGTTTATTCCTTGGAGATTGACGGGGCCCTAAAATAGTTGTGATGCTGTAGTTTGTCGGATGAGACAAGGTTTCTTAGCGCAAAGCGCCCTTCACTGCTGAACAGGCTAGCAGCAGGATCACAGGCATCAACACATCATAGCCCGCATATCCTGTAGCCAAAGGTTGGCTAGGACGCGTCTTGACATAAAATCATGGGCCATAACAGGACATACCCATCGATGAAAATAGCCCGTCAAAACTCCACATCGATGGATAGTCCTCGACGTCGGAATAGCCCAGGACAATTGGCCTGCCTCTGGGACGGCCCGTCCGGCACAATCCCCCCTCAGCCTTCCCCATCCACGAGGACTCGCGCCCACCCCTCACCCATGCATACCTTAATCGGGCGTTACTCAATTCCAGTCAACTTCATGCACTGCCTTGGAAAGCTGCTGGGCCAATACCGGCTCTTAGCTTCCTGTCTCCTTCCCCAGGTTGTGATCCTGAGGATGCGCTTTACGTTGGTGGGAAGAAAGCAGGTTGAGCCCAATTTTAGCACAATAGAAATCAGCCTCAAAAACCAAGTCTCTTGCAAGGATATGTCGCAACCACGAATACAACGGACTTATCTTACGTGTATGTTAACATGCAGCCCAATTGTCCTAATGGAGAGAACATCGCACCATTTCTAGCGCCGGTCAAGTCAGTTGATCTTCTGCTTCTGTGCGGTGGCAGCTTGTGCCAACGTTCTCTAAGAAACTAGGCGCACTTCAGCTCCTGCTGGCAGCTTTGCAGTATGAAGAAGATTCATTCGCTGCGAGCTATGACTAAGTGGCCTCACGTCCACAGGGCCAATGCATATCTCTCCATATCTGCACCCTGGTCCCTGGCCGGTCAAGCCAGCAGAATAGAGAACTCTGATGTTTCCACATCGGTTCATTTGCAGAAAATTGATATTTTAAGTGAGCAATTCCGAATAAAGCGCTAAAGCTGCGCCACATCAATGCCAAAGTTTGAGTCTCCTTTTGGGAAGAGAACTTTTGTCATGCCTTGTACTATTCACCATTGTCGAGCTCGAGAAGTTGAATGTTTGTTGCTGAGACACTGGCTGGAAAGGCCTACTCCCCACTGCTCCTCTTGATGCCCCAATCACTCAATGCCTCGAGCAGCACAGCAAACCCTCGCTCTACCCAGGTTGCAGAGCCTCACCGGGCAAAGGATGACCACAGATGGCTCTTGTCTCGTGCAATTATTGATCGCAACTTTAAAAGCTAGCTCACACATGCATGCTAATGCATGCAACTTTTCTGACCGGTTATGTTATGGTCCAAATCCTTGTTGTGAATTACGCTTCAGTGATGCAAGGCGTCCCAGGTGTGCAGGCTCATTCAGCAAAGATTTTTGCAATTTCCAGCCGGACAGTCAAAGCAAATGCATTAAATATCCCGACTCAGTATCTTTTGCTGCTCTAGGAAGATGATCAGTTTTAGGCTCCGCTCATGTTTCGGTTACTCACAAAAGTATTGTGTCTTCGACAGTCTCAAAAAGTTGCACCTGAAGACGTGTCACACACAGATCCTCTATTCAAACAAGCTGATCCCAGAGCAGACATGGTATTGGCCGTTTCCGAGCTCCCTGCAGAGAATAATGTTGGAAAGACATCGCTATTTGACTCAAAGGAAACCAGCCTAAAAGACGAATGGCTGGGTGAAAAGTACCTCAACTATGTACTTGCCCACTTATTGCTCCGACACACATCTGGCTCCATGGAGATCCTTTCTTTAAATGTATTTTGTGCAATATCGTACATCAATTGCGAATTGACTTGGCTAACGGTTTTAGGGATCCCTCCTCGACGCACAAGTATTTCTTCGGTATGACAAGTGTTACAAGCAATTGCGCGACAACGGGGTTAGATTGTACCAGTCACCTGAGCTAGGCCACCTCGAAGGTTCCATCAATTTCAGAGAAGTCGTTCTCGGTTGGACGGGCGCCATAGTAAGGCGAGGAACTCCACAAGAACGAGAAATCCTCGATCGTGCCATCAGCGACAATTCAGATCTACATGGTGTCACATTTGACAATGAAAAACAGATGCTCCCTACTGCTCAGACGGGCACGACGGAGCAGGAAGTGTCGCCGGATGAAGAATGGACTCCAACAGCCTCTGAAACTGACATCTGGCGATATACCAAAACTTTGCAGGAAAATTTTGCAGGCCAGGATGTGGTTCCTATCTACAAGGAGGTTATGCTTCGAGGATATCCTCCTAGTTTTGGAGCAGAAGTAACTTTCCGTGGCAAGAGGTTTTCCGCGCAGGCGGGTAACAAGAAGCTCGCAAAGCATCGAACATCACAGAAATTGTGCGAGCATTTTGGAATCGAGGTCCCTGGACTCTGAAACTTGAGAAAGACATAGGCCTAGAAATATTGCAATGAACTTAATCACTAAATTCGTGGAAGTATGGATAGCAATATGGGGCTGAACAAAGCAGCCGTTCTCTTCGATCATCGCCGCGTACAAATACTTAAGTTCTCAGCGAGACCCGCCTTGACGATCGAATACTCTTGTCTCATCCCTTTTGGACCTCTTTATACTAGAGAATCCAAGACAGGGACACGGTAAGCAGACTCACATAGATTGAAAATCTAGATGATCTCCATGACTTTCCCTGATACAAATCGGGGGGGGGCAGCTTTTTCGTGTTGCAATACTGACATAAAGAGGGTTCAAACAGAGGGATCTTGGCAGAGGTTAGATTGCCCGTCAACAGAACTTAGCTGGCAAGAACGCTTCGTTCTTTATATCAGCATTGAGGATTCGTTCGAAGGATGTTGCTTTAGAATTACAATTGTTCAGCCGTGTCCACCTCAACACTGTTCATCAGATTTGCAACATGTGGTAGGGTTGTGGCAGTAACCCGGACGACTACTAAAATTTGGGCGCATCCTCGACCAATTTCGGAGTGAAGTGGTAGCTGATTGTACTTACCTTCGCGACTAGGTAGCTCATGATGCAGAAGTATAACTCGTAGTTCACGATTAATTGCTTACTCAAGTGGAATATATGGAGATTATTCTGACGTTTCTCCTCGTAAGTCGAGCTGCTGAAACTCAGCCAAGAAGGTATTAAACTCCTTACTAACTTGACGGAAACTGAATAGCTCGTTTTCTACGTTGTTAACTCGATTTAGTTTAACAAAGATATGGTCTAGAAGTTCTACGATTGCCTTATGATTAAATAAAAGACAAGTTTCCCCTGATAATACATAATAGTATTTTGGGTGTAAGTAGTTATCTTCTTGGACGACTATTGAACTTTTGAGCTACTTGACATGGCCCCAGTGTGATAGTAGCTCCAGCTAGGAATGTAGCCACTAGCTTTTCTAGGGCTTACAACTAGTTTAGAGTACCTTAAGCGGCCATGCTATTTATTTAGTTAGTAGCACAAGTTTTGCTACCCTGTACCCATAACTAAGCGCTTAGTTGGTCGTAGCTAGGCGAATCCGCCATTTCCAATTGTCTTACCAGTACTTGACGCTCATCATATCAGTGGCAGACGCATTTCTCCTCGTAAACATTGATTAGGGCTTCCATTGTTGTTATGCATGTATAATGAACAAGCTATTGGCTCGTTCGGTGCCCATGTATATCGTGAGTAGTGATGCAAAGATTCGAATTATGAACTGCCTAATTTGGCTTCCAGTCATGATATTTAGAATACTAATATCAGTACTCAGTTAGTATTGGTAGTAAGGCGACATTTTAAGAGCATCAATTGACCGTCGATTCGAGTCGATGGTGACAATTAGGTGCGCTTGGGAGAAATCTCTTTCGACTACTGCTGACATCGCAGGCACAGAGGAAGTATCAAATGCCCACCGATGCTGACCGACAGGACCCTCATTCGGGCCACTTTAAGTCAGTTGCTGCGTTGTTTGCGACTATGCGACTATGCGACTATGCGACTATGCGACTATGCTACTGAGTTGAATCAGATATTGACGCGAATCAAATAATGAGTTAGATGCACTTCGGTGTACTCAAAAAAACTCGTCCGTAGGCGCATCCTCAAGCCTTACTTATCTATGCCTGAAAGCCTCACCGAGTATTGATATTCGCGTCGCTTTTGTCCTTTATTTTGCACACATACACTTAAGGCCAATTCTCGCTGCTTGTGACCTGTCCACACTGTTTGAGCAATGTACATATCCAGGCGTTGCACCATCCGTGCCAAGGAGCTGAACACCCGAAAACGGGTAATCCCTCATTCGGTTAGCACAAACCGGACGTAAGTACAGGGCGGCGTCACCCTCCGCTGGATGAGGCACTAGCAGCTTTTATTCACTCTTGGCACCTTGCACTCGAAGCTCTGAAACCGGCATTCAACTGCATGCGACAAAGTCCGAGTCTGCACTCACTTCCTGCATGGCCCGAGACTTGGATTTCAAAAACCTAGAACAACTCCAACTGAAGGTCCAACATCTGAGCCCCACTCATTTGCACAATTCTTCAGGTTCCTTCCTTCGCAGTTGTATTTTACCTAGTACCTACGATTGTACCTGCAAGTCGTCGGGCTTTGAGCCTTTGTTCCAAGTTGCTTCATCTCCAATCACATCTCAGCCCTGAAATCGTCCTACGTTGATTGCTCCATCAGCCGTGAATCGATTCTTATTTCTCTGACAGCTGTTCTTAGTTCAGCAAACCATGGCTGATCTAAGTAACATCTTAGCTGCGCTTGCTGCGCAGAGAGGCACTCCTTCACAAGCACCCCCTCCACCGCTTCAAGGCGCTCCCTATCCTCCACCCCAATATGCTACACCTCCAGGTGGCGCAACACCCTATGGACTTCCACAGCCCATCAATTCTGGGAGTGTCGATCTTGCAAATATAAAACCTGTTAGTTCAGGCTCTGTCAGCATTGCCGATGCCATTGCCAAAGCTCGAAACATAGCCGCAGAAAAAGGTCTTTCGTACGATCCAAGCCGACGTAAGTTTTGACTATTCTTTCCACTGACAAATACCCATCACTAACATTATATTCAGCACCCATCAATATGGATCCTCGGGCAGCCAACAGAGGTTACAGACGATCGCGCTCACCTTCCCGTTCCCCACCACGGATGAGCAGAGATGGCTATCGTGACCCGTACAACAACAATCCCTACCGCGACGAGAGACGAGGCAACGACCGAGGCTTCACCCGAGAACGCTCATTCTCCCCTCGAGGTGGCCTTTATTCTCCTAGATATCGAGATGAGAGGTCCCCTGGTCGTGATCGTGGCGCTGTCGCAGGTGCCGCTCCTGGTGCGGATGGAGAATCGGAAATTGTACCACTTGATAAAAGCTTGGTTGGTCTGATTATTGGCCGCTCTGGCGAGAATCTCAGAAGAGTTGAAAGCACTACCGGAGCCCGTGTACAATTCATGGATGGGCCTGAAGTAGCTGGCACACAAAGACACTGTAGGATTTCTGGCGGCCGATCAGCACGAGCGGCTGCCAAGGCCGAGATCTTCAAAATCATCGAGGACAACGAGTCGGCCAAAAGAGGCGGAGGAGACAGATCTCGCAACCAGGGCAACCAGGGGTCCCAAGGGGGTAACAAGGCTGTTGTAGTCCAATCCAAGGGAGAGGGCGACAGTCTTCAAATGCTTGTTCCCGACCGCACAGTTGGTTTAATCATTGGCAGAGGTGGGGAGACGATCCGAGATTTGCAAGATCGAAGTGGATGTCATGTCAACATTGTGGGAGAGAACAAGAGTATCAATGGCATGCGACCTGTCAACCTCATTGGCAGCCCTTCAGCCCAACAATATGCTCGGGATCTCATCCTTGAGATTGTCGAAAGCGATCAAAAAGGAATCAGCGTCAAAGATCTCCATCGCGATCGTGAGGATACTCATGGTGGCGGTGGTGGCGGTGGGGGCGGTGGGAGCGGCAATGGTAAAATCAATGATTCAATCACCGTGCCTGGTGAGGCTGTTGGCATGATTATCGGAAAAGGTATGTGATCTCTGGCTTTCTTGCCCGAAATCTTCCATTAACGTATATTCAAGGGGGTGAGTCGATTCGCGATATGCAAAATCAGACGGGATGCAAGATCAATGTGTCTAGCGCCACTGGACGTGACATAGAACGTGAGATTGGTTTGATAGGTACTCGCCAAGCCATCGACGCCGCGAAACGTGCCATCATGGAAAAGGTCGACACAGTTGTGAGTGTTTATTTTCCCCAACTTACGAACATAAGCTAATCCTATCTAGCGTGCTCGATCTCAAGCTCGTGAAACACGCGATGACTATACCGACCATTACGGAGGACAACAACAGCAACAGCAACACCAGCAGCAACCTCCTCCTGGATATCCTCCTACCGCCATTCCAGCAGCTCAGCCTGGTGCACCACCACCAGCAGCTGGAGGAGCAGATCCATACGCAGCATATGGCGGATATCACAATTATCTTTCCATGTGGTATGCAGCTATGGCGGCGCAACAGCAAGGTGGTCAAGGTCAAGGTGAGCAACGATAGGCGCCTATGTGGTGTTGACCGTGACCTGGCTCGTGATTGTGGCTTGTACTCTATATTGGTTGCCTCCGCTTCACTTCGACGACATGACTTCTCGCTTTACGTACGCCCCATTTGCAGGTTACCACCACTTGCTCTGTCCGAGACGCCAATACCCGATCCATGCATTGCGTGACCGTTTAAGCGCGACTTCGCTTTTCATTCCGCACTTGTCGCCCTCGATGATACCAAGCAATACTCCAAGAATCATCTGCGTGACATGAAACCTGTATGCGATGATCGATGATCGATGATTGGTGACCTGGTGATGAATGACACTGCCTCGTATTTCCAAAAACGACTACACAAGAAGCTTTCCAGAGGGAGCATCTTTGATCTAGGACGAATTGCGATAAGATTGAGTCGTACTAACACGACGAAGTAGAGTTCTGAAGTACACCTCTAACATGACTTGAGAGTGAATGAGAGAGGTCTCGGGTGGATTTGAAGCTTACATTTGATTCTCGAGCATTGTATATGTGCTTTTAGCTCGTAGCTCGCGACTTATACTACATAGAGGTTCAGGTAATTAAAAGTCCTTTTGCTGACAGTCTCAAAGCCTCGGCCTCAGCCTCGGCGGGAATAAGTGAATGTAATCTAGCCGCTATAGGCAGCCGTGCCGATGTCATTTTCTTATGATGCGCCGCAAAACGTGGTAGCCATCTGCTTCAAACGAATACTACCAGTTAGCAGTGCATAACCTGCTATCGTGTTTATGACCACCAAAACATTGGCATGCCTCGAATTAGATTTATGGAAATAGGGCACGCCTCGCTGTCCAAACCGGCCCCCATAGTCAAAGACATCAAGATTAATCCACAAATCCGCGAACTGCTGCAACAACCAACCTGGTCCGTCTCATCACTCCTCCCACCACGAACACCCAAGCAGCAAGAAAACCAACGACAACATCAACATCAACCGTCGAAGAAAACCCGAGCCTCCCCGCTCTCCAACCCAACGCCACCTCCACCAATATTCCAAGCCACGCAAACAACGGTCTCAGAAATCACGCCGTCCAAACTCCGACACCTCCTCAAACTGTCCGCGCTCCCAGCACCCTCTAGCCCCGCCGAAGAAGCGTCGATGCTCTCGACGCTACGCTCGCAAGTGCACTTCGTGCGGGAGATCCAGAAAGTGGACACGTCGGGGGTGGCGCCGCTGGTGGCGATCCGGGACGAGACGCGCGACCACGTGTGGGCGTCGATGGTGACGGAGGAGTCGCTGGCGCAGTATTTCGTGCAGGAGGACCGCGTGGGCACCAACGGGACCGTCAGGCGTCAGCGGGACAATGCTGTCGTTATCAGTGGGGATGAGGAGGCACGGCCGTTTGAGATCGACGGCCAGGGGAGAGCCGCCCGAGACGTTGTGCATGAGCCGTTTGAGATGGGCAGGGCCGATGCTGATGGGCCTGGCAGGGGGCGCAGGACTGCGGGGAGGTTCTTCTATGTCAAGAGGGGGAGGAAGAATGATATTAATGTATCGACACCGGTGGAAGGGGAAGGGAGGGTGGTAGAGGGTGGTCAAAGAGAGAACAAGAACGGCAGGTGAGCCTGTGGATTGAATCAGATGACCACTTGATGCTTGCTCTGCTCTGCATTGCTCTGCTCGACTGGATGTTCTCGAGCTACGTACAGTGTCACGGGCCTTGTTAGCAGCTCTGGCCTCCGTCGACCAGTTCGGTCCACTTCCCTCTCCCATCGAGCTGAAACGCTAACCCACCCAACAACAACCCTGGCTTCACTTTACGCATGCCGCATATCTCCCAGACACAGATCCGGAACAGCCGAGCAGTCGATTGACCACTCGCTGGCGTGAAAGCCGGCTCAACTGGACTCGATCCGCCTCAGCTGAAATGCATTTCCTGTTATATCATCGCATATGTCACGACATGACTCCAGAGTCCACATCGTACAGGCTGGGTACGAAGCCCCGACCCGCGCACGCTGGCCAACCTTTCAAAGGAACGAGAGCAAAAGTGGCAGGCAGGGTTCAGCCCCTCAAAGCGAGCTCAGAACCCCGCGGGCTATACAGAATGAAGTCATACTGAAAGTTCAGGAGACCCCGTCTTGTTGGCCAAGAAAGATTCCAACGGGACTACCCTTGGGGGCGGTCGAGTTGCGTCTTTCGATCTGGGGATCGGTCTCGAGTCTCCGATCCTACGTGAGCCACGCCCATATACAGCTGGGGTCGGGCGAAGGACGTTAAGGTGGATAAATACCTGGGATTGGAGCTCGAGGCAGGGAGGTATGTATATATGTATGTATGGCATGTCGAATGTGACATGCAGTGCAGTGCATATTTATTCCCAGGATCGGGCCTTTTACGTCTATACGCATGTGCGGAATGGAAGAACTCCCAAACCGGGGTGGGTGGCTGCCTCGAACACCTTTCTTTGACTTAGGCAGCTAGTTAGCTTATTGAATCATGGGGGCCATGCAGAGATGACTACAACCACACCATATAAATGAAAACCAAGAATGTACATCAGATTGTGTAGCTCCCCATACATGCTGTAGCTTCAATGTAGGCTTTTCAAGCACTAGACTCAAGAAAGGGATGGTTATCCAAGAGTAGATCCACGCTCTCCAATCATCGTAAGCAATCGCTTGGTAGGAATCAAATATTATAGCCTACGTCTCTTGTTTACAGTCAGGAAAGGAAAAAGGGCACAAAGGCTTCTTGACCCAGACTGCAGCCCCAGTTTTCAAGAAAAAGGAGAAAAAGTCAAAAGCCAAAGGTTTGGCTCCTCTCTTTTTACAATCCGACAGCCATCATCAAACCATAGCCGACGGTGACGATGACGCCAAACGCGAGAATGGATGCGGGAACGCCGCGGGTCAAGAAATGTTTGACTTGGAGGTAGCGAACCCCTGTTTCGGGGACTTCCATCATGATTGCAGCTGGAGGAACATATCGTTAGTCAAGGTACACGTACAGTTTTGCTCACAAGCGAGGGTAAGCTGGACCATGTGGGATAAGTTGAGAGAAAGACAAAGTGAACTTACTCATGTTTGGAAATCCGCTGGTGGGCAAACCCATGGCCGCACTACACATCAGGGCACTACCCATGACGAGGAGGTTAGGGTGAGGCTCCGCCATATTGGCGCCGACTTGTTGGACCAAGGGTAGGATGATGAGTGCAGCAACAGTATGGGATATGAAAGTGGCAACGACAAGGATCAAAGAGGCGAAGACAATCAGAACCCCGTAGACGCTCATGTCGGTGACGGAGTCGGTGATGCCCTTGGCAATGGTGTGTAGGAGACCAGAGGAGCTCACGGCCCGGCCGAGAGATAACCCTCCAGCGGCAAGAATGATGATTGTCCATAGGAAGTTGTTGAAGTCTTCTTTGGTCAGAATACCTGTGCCGAAGAAGAGAACCATGGGGATGATTGCGATAACACCCATATCGCCGAATATGCCTTCTAATTGATGCGAGGTACACCAGAGGACGATGGTGAGGAGAGTGACGAAAATGATAAAGTATTGGAGGCCATTGAGCTTGTCTTTCATAGGTCGAATAGGGACAATGGTGGTGCCTCTGCCTGGCTTGAATGTGGCCAGGAGAAGGAGCCAGATGAAAATAATGGTGATGATGCAGACAGGTAATGCAACGAAAAACCAGACTCCCCAGCTAGGATTGGGTTTCATGTTTTGCAATGCGATGATGTTTTGTGGTGAAGCAATAGGGGAGGCAGCGCCACCAATGTTGGAAGCCAATGCAATGCCCAAGATAAGAGCCTTGGCCATATTGCTGTCTGCTGGAAGATTGCGTAACATCGGTTGGATGATACTAAAACACAAGACCGGTGCTGCGACATTTGATATCCACATACTCAGAAACATGGCAACAAACATGTTGGTAACCAAGACAGTCCGTGCCTTTGTACCAGCCTTGCTGAGCACGAATGTTGCCATCATCTTGGCAATGTGGTATTTAGATAGTGCTGCAGCGATAGTGAAGCCACCAAGCAGTAACATGATGACCGGGGTCCACATTGCTGCAAAGACAGCCTTGGTTGCTGCCTTTGAATCCAATCGCTGATAAGGTTTATCCTCAGTCCGCATGATTCGGAGCACAACAACCAAAAAGGGGACCAAGAGTGATGTGACAAATAGAGGGATCACTTCGGTGGCCCAAAGTAAAGAAACAAACACTAGCATCGCCAGACAATTCTGCTGTTCCGGCTTTTTCATGATCGGCACCAACAGAAGTGTCACGAAGATGGCCAAGATAGAGACCAGGGCGAAGAAACTGGAGCTGAACAGCCATTTCGGACAGCGATATCGACCGATGGGAGTCTTCAACTCTTTGGTGTCGAGGGAATCTCGATCACCTTGTAATCTGGCTTGAGAAGGATCTTGAACACCACCAAGTAGTGTTTGTCTGATACCGAAATTGGCAGCTTGTGCTTTTCGTTCGATACCAATCATTTCTCGCCAGACGGTATTTCTCTCCCATACAACATGTTCGCGGAGATGAAGACGGAGTTCTCTTCTAGCCATATTTTGATCGCCTTTTGTGACGATATCGGCATACACCTTTTCCACTTTGTCGATGTTCTCGTCCAGGTGTTTGCTCGTGGTATCCAAGAAGGGATAGGAAGGGTTGACCACTTTATCCATATAGTTCTTCCGGATATCTCTATCACAGACCTTGTCGTACTTCTTGGCGGCTTTCTTGAAACCGGTTTGATTTAACTGGATGAAAGATTTCAACTCGGCCAGGGAAACATATAAACTGATGGTCCTCTTTTTCAAGTTGATGCCGGAATCGAAAAGAGCTGATAATTGACCGGGATCGGAAGCGTCCAACTCGAGCGCGAGACTGGGCCTCCGACGAAGAAACGCGGACTCTGCTGAGGAACGTAGGTCTTCTCGAGATTCCGACATGGCACCATTAGCGCCCGTGGTATTTTCGGTACCGGCCCAGACGCTCTTACTCCTCTGTTTGGCGGCGGGTCGTTTCTTGATCATGTGTGCACTATCTTCGGCGTCACTATCGCTGTCATCGTCTTCCGGCTCCTCGACACTGATGCTCATGGTGGAACTCCTCCTCTTGCGGCGAAAGGGGACATTGAATATACTCTGGGATCTCGTGGTTTTGCGGCGGTTCTCGATATCGACGACATCGTCCATATCAATGTCTTTTGTTTCGGTTTTGTATTCTTCGGCATCCTTGATCAGCTGGTCGAGGTCGCCAAAGATTTCGAGCTCTTTTAGCCGGTAGAAGGAACAGACCTTGTCGAGCTCGGAATCCAGCATGCGCTTGAAGGTGGTGTCCGGGTCGAGCTGCCCATTCAGCAAAGCGGTATTTTCCTCATCCTGAGCTTCACCCGGAGGCTTGTGGATCTGTTTTTCGAGGGTGTAGATGAGTTTCTTGAGGTTGCTGTAGGAGATGTAGTTGCTGCTCCAGTCCGGCACGGCGTTGAACTGGATACTGTGAGAGAACTTCATGGCTTCTCGTTGGTCGAGGGATTCGAGTTTCTGGAGTCGTTTCTCGTGCCGTCTGCGGTCTCTTGCTTTGCGACGATCCGGGTTGAAGGTGTCTAGTTCGATGGAAGGACCAGCTGGGGCGACGGAGGCTAGTCGGAAGGGACGAGGGGAGTTGGGATGGGACTGGTTACCGAGAGTGTTGCGAGGATGAACCGCAGGCACTGGCATCCGACATCAAAGGGACGGTCTCCCCAGACATACAGGGTAATGGGAATGGTGTTTATGAGGCAGTTGTGTGATCAGACCTGGTGCCCGTGGTCGAATCAAGACGAGGCACTAAGGGAATTCCGTACTCGTAATTGGAAAATAAAGTCCAAGGGGAGAGCGACAGTGACTGGAGGAGGAGGAAGAGTGGGAGGATCCGCCGGGCGTGGGTTGGGCACGTTGGATTGGTCTCAGGCTGGTGGCAGTTTGTGGCGAACTTCAAGGGAGTCTTTCGCTAAAACGAAATGCCAGTAACGGGATGAGAAAAGACATGTAATCATGTGCGTTTCTTTTCCGAATAGGCGTCGACTTGGAGAGTAAAGGTTAGGCAGTGGCAGTGGGCAGTGGGGGAACCAAACTTAATCATGATAAGCCCAACTGTGGTTCAAGTGGTCCTTACAGATAGATTCAGACATGGCAGCAAAGCGTGCCGACGATCAGCACTTCGATTCGCCGTACCGCACCAATTGCCAAACGCCAAGAAGTTCAAAGATCGTCGCGTGGACGTCGATTCCGGATCCTCCTCTATTCTCAAACTCGTCGACCTCTTTGAGAGATCAGCTCTTGAGATCAGCCGGATTCCGAGTGCCAACTAAATCCAAATATACCATGTAACCTTCATCATCATCATCTTTGCAGCTTCGTACCTTATGTAAGGTCCTGGGGCTCAAGGCATCCAGCAGTGAGGCGCGAAATGACCCCAGAAACGGACTACCCGATAGGCGCGATAGGTAGGCTACCCCTGACCTTCCCACTCTGTATCAACCGCCCCAGCTCAGTGTGAGTCGATCTTGCTTTCGCCACGAGAAACAGCTTCATGCGACGCCGAATGACGGTTGGCAAGGCACCGCCAATCGCGCCATTGCGGCTGCTGTCGGGGTGCGGAATTGGTCCCAGCACACACGCATATAACCTGTGTCATTTACACTGTCTTCATGCGTGCCATGCCATCTGATCCATCTCCCACCCGCTACAATTTGGAGCTGCAGATAGCGGCCAATTCGACGAGGAGAGTGAACGCAAGCCGACATTGCTATTCAAGTGGATGGCGAATGGCCTGATCGAATTTATAATTGAACGAATTTCCTTGGGATTGTTTGGGATTGTGAATGATATCATTTGCACTTTGCATGTCTGCATTGTCAGGCCTGGCATGTCTGAGGAGCATCGTGATAGTCGTCCAACCTATCCAAAATTGGAGAACACTCAAAGCCACTTGGCGAGACATGCTCACACTTACCACCCAAGGTATCCTGAGATCGCAGCGCCTGACACTGGGACACACTGCAATTGCGATGGTCTCGAGAATCGAGAAGCTTTAGAACATACGATACGCAGACCTTCCAGTCAGTGAGACACTATCAACCAAGCCACAAACTTCGGAGATCAACTTTTGACAACAGACAAGTACTTGAGCTGTCGCCTTCACAGTCTGCATAAATCACAACATGCCAATGCATCAGCTACGTATCAGCTAGGTAGACTGGATGTCCATCTGATACTTGGCCTGTCTAGGTGGGTAGTACCGCAACGCTGCTTTCTGAGCTAAGCCACCATGGAGATAGAGCACTCCAGACCCGTGCCACCATGCAGAACTGTCAAAATTCTCAGCTCGCCACAGGAGTTGACCAGGTATATACGTCGTTCTCTGAGCACTGCTAAAGCTTGTGTCCCAGCCCTAATGTGCTCAGCACATCTCCAGGCCGTTCTTTGGTAAGCTGTTAGTACGATCGCAGACGCGTGGCAAGCTGTCTATGGTCACGCTTCTCAGTGAAATGAGTCCGGGTCCACCTCATGTCGTCTTAGCTTGATCTGTGTCAGTTTTCAAAAATGACACGCCTCACTATGTCTGGTGGGTGTCCTGCCATATAATGTATCGAATTTCCTTGATTCCGGCCTCCTCTATCGATCACTATTCTTTCACAGTTTCTCTGTCCAATTCCCTATATTTCGGAGTCATTATCTCGAGCACACTTCTTGTCGTGTGCAATCATCCTACAAAAATGGCAGTGGTATTCACTAAATGCAGCCACGAGTTTGATGATTTACGAACCACCGGAGGCGCGAATTCCATCAGATTCATCCCTGCTGGGCCTGCTTGCAACACAAATGAAACGATCCAATCCACTACCATCAGCTGTGATGGAATAGACTTGGTCGGAGGCCAATATGGCGGACATTATACTCCTGGCTCAAGCCGTACCATTTCTAGCCAAGCTATCCACTGGGGCGGTAAGTCTGATCCTAGCTCTTTCTGGTTTGAAGATATTCGCACCAGAATCCATTGCTCAAGAACTAAACTCGCTCGAGAATAACAGATGCTCGGGGTTCCGGCGAGACCGGAAGGTCGCTCACTTGTTGGTCCACAGACAAAGAACATCCTCTCATGACATTCTACGGAACTAAATGAAAGTGGGTACGCCGAAATTCGATGTATCTTGGGAAGTTTTAGTATCGCTATTGAGGGAATCCCGTGACCATGAAGCGATATGTACACTACGTCGCAATTGATGTGTCTAGATGGTTTTACTATCTAATCGAGCTGTACCTGTGAAAGCTGTTCAGGCGCCTCTGCACTGGTGGTAATGCAAAGTGTTCTCACTCAACCTTTCAAGCAATCCTATATTTATATGCCGTCTTGCTGGGCAAATAGCTCGCGCTTTGGCATTGATGTAATCTTTTCCGAACGTTGTGGGCTGTAATGAAGGCACTTTAAATTTCGAGATAGTACTGGTCTGCTCCGAATGTCTTTTCGCGGGCTGCGTAAGGCTTGTTCACACTATATGGGCTTGCATCCAGGCTTCATCGATTCAGAACAGATAAGCTTTCTACTTTCAATATTACCCAGTATCCATGCTCTTGCAGGCCCGAAGCAAGCGAGCTATTCCAGCTGCGTCTAGTAGCCGAGATCTTACAATTGATTGACAAGTCGAAAGGAGGTATCGTTTCATCCGGCGCACCAATTCTATCGGCCAGCTCTTTTGATGAGCGATTTGTCAGGCCCATTCACAAAGAGAGTAATTCAGGGAACGACACATATGTGTATCTGTAGCATGCTAGCATAGCTGCTTTGTTACTTGCTGGTTGCTGCCTACTTATTCGATAAATACTGCTCAAGCACCGAGCTCGAGGTGAGGAGCATGGCACCACGTTTCTTCCCGATTTACCCATCAAACCACTAACAGGTCGCTCGTATCTCTGGAATGGTCCACATGGTAAAGGATCTTGACCCAGGCTTCGGTGAATATGGTCCAAAAGTGAGCAATTTTGACTGGCACCGCACGAGGAAATCAGCCCCCGACCTCCACTACTCAAAATTTCGACCAGCGATAATGACTGGAAGCCATTCAATCTTATATCGAACCCTCCCCTAGTGTGATGGAAGAATCTGTATCTCAAAAGAAGAATGCCTCAACCCCATGGTCGTCAATTTAATTCCTTGATGTATTGGTCGCAATTATCGAAGAGCTTTTGCCACGAGTCTTTGAGCTATTGTGTTACAAGAATATCATGTTAGCAGATTGCTAGGGATGACGACAAGGAAGGGAGGTTAAGCACTGACATGTGGAAATTGAATCTTCCAGAGCTTTTCGATGACAGCACTGGTTCTCTGGTTGAAGAGAACTTCAGTTATGACCTGGATGTCGTTGATGTTAGTGTTGATGTCGTTCCAGATGTTGATGACTGTCTGTAGCTTGGTTGTGACAGTATCCATGGGAGCTTTCAATCTGATTTTCCAAATCAGCGTCAGATCTCGTTGACATGGTACATGGTGGCAGACTTACTGTCCGAGTTTGTCGGCCGTATCATTGGCAGTATCGAACTGCTGCTGCAATTCTTTGATCGCATCCGACAGCTGGAGGTCAAAAGAGTTAGAGTTCAGGCGTGGTTGTTTGAAGGAATCGGTACTAACCTGACCCCGATCAATCAGTTGTTTGATGCCTGTTGTCATCAAACTGATACCAACTGGTGCGAGCAGAGGAACCCAATAGCTGGCCACGAGGCAGATCACGCCACCTATGAGCTTCAGCACACCCCATACAGTCTCGTTTTCGTACTCTTTCTGTTTCGCTTCGATCTGTTCTTTGAGCAGTTTGGCTTTCTGGCAAATGACTGTTAGTCAAGTACGTATCAAATGTCGAAAAATTAGCCACTTACCGCCTTGCATTCTTCGATACGTGAAGTAATGTTTATTTGTGCGTTCTTCCATTCATTGAGAAAGTCGACATGTGCTCGTCGCGCGTCATCTGCATCTTGCTTGTAACCATCTACGATGGGCTTCATAGTCTCTGCGTAGTCTTTGATGCTGATATTGCTGGGATCCTTCGCAGACTCGGTATTTGGGATGCCGACTTTGGGAAGCAAGCTAAGCTGTAATGTGCTGGTAGACATGAAGTTCTGACAGACTGCAACAGTCTTGTGCTGAAGCTGCTCATATTTCTTGCCAACCATCAGAAAAAGCAAGCAGAAAATTGATAATGCAACTTACGGTTTTGTATCTCTGTACAAGAGTTCGCATATCAATCTCTTCACTATGTTGTGAGAGTGGGTCAATAATGTTTAGGTTCTGGAGGAAAGGCATTTCGAGGATTTTCTGGAATGAGTTGACAATAGCTTTGTGATCTGAACCAAGACCCTCCATCTTCTCCTTCACGTCCTCAACGCTGCAGATATGTCAATTGTGCCTCATATTGAAAAGTCGGCTCGACACTCACCCAAACTTCTTGATTTGATTTTCCACTTCTGGATCCTCCGAGTCGCTTGGAACAGCGTTGGTGAAGAGACGATGCACAACCTCAGGCACTTGAGATAATTTGGATAGGACAGCATACTTCTTGGGATCAATGAGCATTCTGTAGAAAGGCATTAATATCATTCTATATCAGCTCTAACAGACTTACTCGTCAGCGCCGACTCTCGCCGCCATAAGGATAGCGTTGATCTGAGCCCTGGTCTCTGGGAATGGCATCGTACGTGCAGTAGCTGACGAGAGTCCATTGGTGCTGCCGCCTCTCTGTGGCTTGGCCGGCACTGCTCCAGTGAGCTGTCCGATGGCAGAAGTCGCCGTCTTGACCATTTGATCCCATGCCATTGCCACGATCAATTTCTGCTCCTTGGTCAAGTTTGAGGATTGATCAGGATAGGTGGTGAGATCTTGCAACCGTTTCTGCACTTCGGCCCACACCTGGACAACATCTCTATCGGCGTCAATGCCTGCTTTTGTACCAGCCACAAGCCTGATAAGCTCAGCTTTGATGTCCTTGAGGCTGATTATGAGTGCCTTGACCTTATTCAAAGTATCCTGCAGCTTCTGTCGATCTTTGTATAGTTTCTCAAAGCTACTCAGAAGGGTGTCAACGGCAACACCAAGGAGAGTGGCAAGTTGAGCACTTGCGCCCTCATCATCGTCAGCAAGATTGAACAGCTTTCGAAGAAAGTCGGCAAGAAGCTTGCCGAGTGTCTCTTTTGCGAGGCTATCTTCGAGACTTTCGGCCTGCTTGACCAGGGCATCGATGTTCTCAGAAGCATCTTTGATTCGTCCATTGATCTCTTCAATTTCCATGACGATCTATGTGTTGTCAGTTTGGTCAGTTTGATGTTTGAAAGATCTCACCTTCTCTCCCCTGGCTTGTCTTTCGTTTTTTCCATTATCGACCGCCTTCTTGTATTCATCAACCATGGGCTGAACAATGCTGAGTATCCTGGTCTTGTCAGTAAGTAAATGACACAAGACTTCATACCAGCTCACTCAGAAATGGACATCTCGAGGAGAGATGGCAAGATTGTACCATAACCTTTTAGATCTTCACAAAGGCGAATCTCCGTAAGAGCCAGCTCCTTGTATTCACCAGTGCAATTGGTAATCAACTGGCGCATTGTGACCACTTCATCTCCACTTGGGCCCCTGAAGGCATCAAGATCCTTGGCGCTTTTGGTGAGAAGTGCTTTCGCGGAGGTATCAACTGAGTTGAATGCCTGAAGAGAAGTTTTCACCAGAACTTCGACATTTCCAGCAGGTTTTAGACATGCAGCAGGATCGACTTTGGAGAGCGCCATCTCGTTGGACCTGTAAGACACTGTGTTCTTCAATTGAACTTATGTAAATAGATAGATTGTAATAGACTGAGTATGATGCTCGCTGATCGAATGACCAGATCAGTCCGACACACAGGACTACAACGCATCTTAAATACTGGTCATACTCGCTCCCCTGGATCTAATCGGAAGGGAGGAGGAAACAGGAACATCGATAGCTAATGCAATGAGAAGGGTTCCTATGCATGGGTCTGGTTCAGCAACAGTAGTGAAACAGCAGGGAATAGCGGTGTGATCAGACCAACAAAGCAGTATCGAGTCTTGGGATTCAGCTGAAGCCATGCATGTCTCATCGTTCGTCTGTATGTCGAGAGATGTCAGGTAATAAGATGCCGGATTCGCTCACATACGTGGGAGTCGAGCTTCCTGAGAAATATACAGGGATTTGATTGATGGATTCTGTTTCCCAGGTGAGTTTGATTTCATGGCGATCACTTTTCATGCGTTCTCTAGACATGAAATATCGGGCCTGGAGTCAGCTGTCCATGCAGTTTGGCTGCTCATGATATCACGTATTCTCCGCACCCTTGCCTAGATGCAGAGAATCGGAGTTGTCTGATAGATGCTTGTGCGCGCATGTATCTAGGGTGTTTGACTAATACAAATTGTGGCTAGCTGATCAATGTTTGTATGTGCATGGTTTGAGGGTATGCTACTGTTGCGAGCGAGGCTGGCTGAGGAATGTTTGTACGCGCATTATTTGAGCAGATGATTTTCATTCCAAGTGGATGCTGAGTGGGGAAAGACAGTTCAGGATACATCGTGATTGCGTGGTGGTTCTGTCGTGACGGCGGGCTGAGGGAAGACGGTGAACGTGCTTCGCACATGTGTGATGACAGGTCAGATTTTATTTCGCGGTGGGCTGGCTGAAGACAGATGTTCGAGAGTGCAGGATCCACGTCGACGGTTGTATATCAAACCTGACAAACACAGAATGGCTTCTCGTGATACTGGTGTGATTGAATACCTACTCGTGCAGGCATTCGGAGGTTGTTGTGTACTTTACCTATGAGCGCTAGTACTAGTCTCCGTTTTCCGAACAGAAGTGCTTTCCAGGCCATTTGGAAAAGCCTCGACGTCCTTACAAGTCGATGACGTGCATTGCCAAGATCCCTTGCAGTCGCACTCGCAGACCCCTCCGCCACGCCGCTAGTCGGTGAACGAAGGTCTGTAGGCCCGTGCACTAATCACATCCTGAGCCAAGGCATGATATGAGAGAGGCATCTCGGGCTTTGCCCTGAACGTGGCTGCAACAGCAACGTCGATACTAACGAGCACATTCCATGTCTGCAACCGTCAGCTGAAATACTCAGGTAGGTACCTAAGTTAATCCGGTCTCCACTTCTTTACATTCAAGTATATGGGTTGGCCCCACTTCCCGTGGCACCGCGAAGGATTGCCTCATCTGATCATGGTCCCACGATATGGTCAATATAGCTCCTTCTGTGACCAAGCCCAATGTGCCAACTATCCATAAGACGTGCTCCTCCCGAGATCTCCGTGCTCAGACAACAACTGCAACTGACTAGATGATGGATGCAAATACGATGACAGCTCTTTCGAGTCGACTTGATCCCCCACCAAGTTTGGTCCCAACTCTCCAGACATTTAATGATGGTATCCAAAGACAACATGATCTCATCTCAGAACTACTGAAGCTATCTGGGACAAGGTGTGAAACTTCAAGCTTTAAGGCATCTGACTTGCAGTACTGATGCCTGGTAGCCCGATCCGAGTCCATACCAAATCTGGTTTACAGGTCAACTTGCAATTCCAACTCCAACAAATCGGCAACAAATGGCATGAAGTCTGCCAGCGCAGTCGTGTTGTTCCCTATGGATTCGGAGCATATGGCAACTTTGTTGAGGTAACCTTGGTAGCTGAGGCAAAAAGCGCATGCATAACTGATAGTGATCCAGCAACACCTGCCCAAGCTGGTCGAGCTAGAGCCTACTTCAATGGAGGATATGCTTGACATGTGTAGGGTCATTGCAACGGTGAGCTTTCGACGAACGCGCTCAAGACACTATCGGTGCTGAGCCGAACTAGGTTTACCATACCCAGGCTTCTGGTTTTTATGAGGAGATGCAGAGTGCCATTAGCGAGATTAAATTCATCATTGCATCACTCGAGCAGAGCGTTGAAACGCTTCAGCCAAATCTGATCACGTTGGAATCTATCAGCCAAGGCGAATTGGTCGGCGTTTCAGGTACGCATGTAATAAAACCCGAGTAAGCAGCTTTACTGAATATGCACAAGATGGAATTCTCTCCATCATCTTAGCTGATATCGTTGAGGATGCTTTCGATGCATCATCTATCCTCTTGGCCTGTGATGACGCGACATTGGCGAGGTTGATGAAGGACAATGCTTCACTCAAGGCTCCATTTCAATATATTCATGAAGCGATCAGGGCCATTGGTTTGTCTCGGTATTTCGTGATCTATCTTGATGATACTATGGCTCTGACACGCGGTGCAGAACGATCGATGAGATCAAGAAGACTGTCGCGATTTCTTCAAGTATCGCGAAATGGCTTCAATCACAGCTTCCAATGTATGAAGGAACGTCTGCATTAACCTTCAATACGGCAGATGCCTGGCAGGGAGTCCATGATGGTCTTAAAGGTCTGAATCAGCAGTAGGAGCAAACAGCCCTGGCGAGACCATATTTCCTTACTAAAGCAAACGTAGGGCTCAGAACGTGAACAGAGTGTTGTCAGCTGGAGAAGGGAACAAGCCTTTGTCATCATGGCAGGAAGTACACAGGCTTACGGCGTCTAAGGTCCAGACAGGACAGTCGACAGCGGCTCTATCTGATGGCCAGTCTGATGATTCAGGTGCACTTCAAGCATTTTTCGCTGCTCCTTTGGTTTCAGGTAGAGTTCTCCAACCAAAAGACCTCTCACAACTGATTCAAGAATACGCGAATGCGTCTCAAACCCTCTAGTGAGTTTTTGTGACATGCCAACAGCGACTTACTGCTGAAACCTGCTCCAGCAACGCTTTACAAAATGACATTGCTGGTGAGAGTGCTCAGATCGAAACTCTGATCAAGGACTCCACTCTGCCTACTTCATCGATCGCTGGACAGGCTCTGAAACAGTTCGCCTCTCGTCAGCCTGAGATACCGTCACTACCGATCGAGCAAACCGCTTGGGAATCGTTTTGTAATGCACGTATGCCGCAGTAAGTATTGCAAATCGTCCTTGTCGCATTTGAGATATTTTCTCTGAGTATGCTAATGAAAATAGGCTCAAAGATGGATCGAAAAAAGTTCAGGAAGCATATGACGCCATTTACAATTTACAGTCGAAATCAAGCGATTTGAGCACTCATATCAAGTCTCGCATTACAGAGCTCAGTCTTACGCTAGAAAGGATCAGGCAGTCGACTCGCGAGAAAAGAGATGAACGAGCACGACAGCAGCAATTGCTGGCACAAATTCCCCTTGGTATGTTGAAAGATGCGTGTCACGGCTTACGTGGCTAACATAAGGTAATTCAGCCTGGGCTATCAAGCGACTTATTGATCAACTCTCCGGCGAGATCGACCGTCTTGAGGAAGAAGACCGACAAACAGATCGATATATCCAGTCATTGATGGAGACAAGAGGGATCACTAACAGCGTTGGCGAACGTGTCGTCGGCTTGACAAATCTAACGACTGGGATGTCCAGGTTTTGGTTGGATTTGCAGGTGGTAATGAATACTGCGAACGTCGTTTGGCCTATCTTGCACAAGTTGCAGAAGCTCCCTCAGGAAGAGATCGACTTGTACAAGAAGACGTGGGATGCTGTCAGGGTCGCAGTACAAGAATGGTGAAATCGTAGTTTGATGTTTGATAGCATGTGTTCGGCTCATTGGACGTTTTCGAATAAGACTGAAGCTGTAATCTGAGAGCTCTCTCGTATCTTGGCAAACCTGATTTTGATCGAGCACTGTTACATCCTCTCTCATCCTCTCCCGTAAGCTTGGGCTGATCATCAGCATGTGGACCAGCTTGCAATACATCGTACGCAGTCACGATGGCCAGATAGGCCGCTAAACCCTGGCTACAAATTCGGGAGTGAATGAGAAAAATGACGTGACCCTGTATTCTCAAGGGATGGGCATCCAGATTTCGATTTCTCTAGCCTGCATTGGTTCCTGCAATCGACACATCACAGTCTAGACGCAATTTGTTGGCGGAGCAGCAACATAGGACTTTAGCCTTTTCCGGCATAATGGCGGTGAGAAGCTGCAATGTTGAGTCACAATCCACTCTCGTGAATTAGAATGATGTGACTCGGTTCAGAGGTTACAGTGGATATTCCCAAACTTTGGAAGTCTATGATAAAAACGGGAAGAATAGCAATAGTCAACAGATGTGGGGCTTACTCTGTGTGAGTTGATGACTTTGGGACGCGGTATGAAGTTTGTCCACGACCATGATACGTGCTCAACTTTGGCTGGGACATGGTTTTTCGAGGTCAGTGAGAGTGAGCGGCTATATAAGCGACGGTACCAAGGTAAGTCACACGTAAGCTCGGGGTGAATTTTCTGTCTCCTCGGCCGCCAAGATGTTCCAGATCGTCGCTTGGATGTGTTGTCCGGATTCCTCCATTCCCTACTTAGGTACACTCTTAAACCTCCTAGATAGATCACCTCTTGGGATCAGGCCTGTTCAGAGTGCCGACAAAATCCAAATATACTATGGAACCTCCATCACTACAGTAGCCATTTGATCCGTCATGAAAGCCTCTCCAAGATCCACGCCTGGATAAACTTATCCGACGTCAGCTCATGATTCAACCCATATGCCCGATCCACGATAGCTGCATCGTGAGCTTCATCCGCTGCCTCGAGATACTCAAGGCTTGGATTATGAACCTAGACAAGGATGCGTCAGTTCTCATCACGAATCTAAACCCACGAGGGATGCTCTGTTCCTTAACTCACTTTCACTTTCTCCATCATCGTGCGAATATCGTCCACAAACACTTCATGAGCCCCAGCGACAAACGCCATCTTCTCTGCTTTGACCCCATTCCACCAATCTGCAGGTGCATCGATGGGATGATTGTAGTTATCGCGCGTGTGACCGCCCAAGAACGCTTTAGACCAAGTCGTCAGTGCTCTAGGGCCCACGATATCTCTCGTCTGATTACGTCTAAACGATGGTGAGTTCGTTTGAAAAGTAATCCAGGGAGACATAAAGATTGCGCCGTTGAGATGTCCTTTCAGTAATAAGACTGGCACCTCTGAGTGCGGATGAGATAGATGGAGAAGAAGCGCGCCCAGCAGGTTTCCACCTGCCGAGTCACCTCCAAGAATGATCTAGGACAGGTCAATCTTGACATCTATTGAGCGCTGTCAGCGGATGTCTTCAAACCTGCGAAGGCTGTAGTCCCCTGTCCAACAGGTATCTCAATGATGCAACACCCTGTCGTAGCTGGGTCGGATACAGTCCATGAGGTGCAAGGTCTGCCGATGGTGAATTAGTGCCACCAACATAGGCAAAATGCTCCGCATACCATATTCAGGAATCAGTACTCGTAGATTCCTTGCCTTTTCACGGGCCAACTTGGTCAACTCCAATAGCAGAACAAAATGCTGTTCAGTAGCTGCATTGGTATATCCGCCACCTATCTCAGTCAAAAGCAGCCCCACAGGAACAAAGCCAAGGAGAATAAACCATGAACACATACCATGAAACCAAAGCAAAGTATCCCTTGCTGCCGGATCACCCAACCAACACCCAAACAACCCATCCTCGATTTCAACCACCTCAGGCTCAACCTCATATTTCTCCGCAAAGAGACGATACTGCTTACTTGTAGTCCCATTGAGCGCCCTACACATCGTAGCAAATCAACCACAGAACAAAAGAAAACCAAAGGGGTAAAGACACTCACTGTCCCACATTCACCGGCATGAGATCCAACAAGACCCGCGACGCACTGTACACAACATGCTGGCCGTAGAGCCTGGGTACTCGGGTCTGCGCGCCCAACCTGTTGCGGCGGCCCATGTTGCTGCGATGACTGGGAGTGTGCATGTGTCAGTGCCTTAGATGTGCTTGGTTTTGCAGCTCTTGGTACAATGCCGGACCAGAACTCAGGAAGATAGAAGGGATGTATGAGTTGCCGAACGGGGGTGGATGGATTGGATCTGATCCTGTTCAACTTACCTCCACGTACTAACGCGTAGGCCAACGTGATGTAGTCCGTAGTGCTGAGTGGAGGCTTCTCCTCCATGGCCGTGGAGAGTTTGCTATGGCTTGGCTCTCAAACGACACTCCTGATGGTGCAATTGAACTGTAACTGGGGTTCCCCTTTCGATGAAGTTTGTCGTATCTGTTGGCCTTCCAGTGTGAGGGTAACTCGGTGCAATCGCTGGGCGATTCCAACCTCATGAGGTACGTAGAGAGCAATGTTGAGTGTGCCTCGGTGATTAGGTGATGGGGTTTAATAAGCCATCGCGAGTGTGCAATGGGACGCCTTAGGCCTAAATAATACTCCGATAAGATCTGTTTACAATCGAGACGTTGGAAAGTGGCCATATTCAGTAGCTAGCCAATATCTCTATTCCAGGTCAAGTGAGGAGATCAATCCATGTACGCCATTAACGAGTATCGAGAGCCATGCTATTCGCTCCGAAAGTACTCGGCTTTATTTCCTCCTCAAAAGCTAGGTACTCGGAAGACAACGTCCCTCGTAGGCTGTGGTCGACCATACCAGAAACCACGTCCACGTGACTTACTTGAAGCTGGGGTAAGCTTAAGTGAACAAGTTTAGGTTAAAGTCTATTTATGTTAACCCCTACTTCGTAATAAACTCAGCTTAACTTAGGCTTAGCTTAGGCTTCACTTAGGCATAAGCTTGATTCTAGGATTATGAGCGACATAAAGCATCACCTGGTCGGCATGAATTCTACAATTTTTGTCCTGGTCCCTCAACAAGCACCGCCACTCCACCCTCGATACATCGCTTTCCTGTTTCCACCACGGTGGTCTGGAAACAAACCAGGTCGGCGCCGTCTTTGGCTGCCTCCCGCCACATCTCCACTCTCAAAGTCTGACCAGGAATCACCACACCCGAGAACCTGTTGCGGATGGAGCGATAACGTCCATAGGTGCGGAGGATGTAATATCCCGTGATGCCCAGGAAACATGCACCGCGAAGGATCGGGTTGGGGAACCCGGCTTTGGAACTTTCTGAAGGATCGATGTGCATCGAGACTCTGTCGCCTGTCAACCGGTAGAGCGCAGCCTGTTCTTCCGAGGTTTGGTGCTCGATAGACTTATCAGCGGGTCTTTTGGGCGGGGTGGACAGTGGCGGACCACGCACAAGGCTTTGGCGCGTTCGAGGCCCTCCAAAGCCGCCACTCTCACGCAGGAAAAATGTGACCTCATTGTAGTAGACCATTTCGTTCGTGACTTTGTCACGCGTCGTCAAGCCCGTGATCGTGATAGCCGCGTTGCCCTTATCAATCACATCGAGGACCTCGACGCTCGTATTCCACGCACCTTTGGAGGGAATAGGATGTTTGACGATCTCTAGGTAGTGTTCGCCATGAAGGGCCCGCCGGTCGGAGAAGTTTGGCACAAGATTCTGGTTGTTGTAAATCAAATCCGAGTCGACGGCAGGGATCAGACCGAACACAGGCACAGGCTGGAAAGCAGGCAAATTCTCGTAGATAAGATCGAGATCGGCTCTCTTAGCGCCAACGGAAAGATCTATAAAATATTAGTGTGAGGCTCTGGAGCTAAGTTCATCGAGAATGACACCTGAATGAGGTGTTACTAACTGTAGAGAATGATGTCTCGGTCGTCATATCGAAATGTTGGTCTCTCCCATCTCCTACCCTCCTTGTTTTCTAAGAGATTTTTTGGTAAGACTGGCACTGACTGGATAGGTCCCGGGTTGAAACTCAAGACATCTGGCCAGTCCGTCAGGAGCGCCTCTATCGTGCCGCTGGCGTGAACGCCCTTGCTGCGTTGCAGGACGGTACGAGAGTGCCAGCCTCCAGCGAGCTCGAACAAACCTCCAGTAGCCAGAAACTTTGCTTGAGAGGAGCCCAGCAGGACGACTAGAGGGGAGATATATTCGGGCTTCAACACATTTGGCTCTTCCCCAGGCATGGTCTTGATATTCCCAGCAAGAGTAGATGTCGCAGCAATAGGTGCAATCGTGTTTACGACAATATTATGCCGAGCTCCGTCTCGAGCGAGCGCGTCAGCCAGGCCGACGATGCCCAGTTTCTAGGAGCTCGCAGTAAGTTTGTTTTCATTAGAGGGGAAAGCACATTTTTCGGGAAGTCATGGGGCTCTTACCGCTGCCGAATAGTTGCTCTGACCAAAGAAGCCATAGATACCGCTTGTACTCGCTGTGTTGATCAAACGACCACTCTTCTGACGCACAAAGTGTGGCCATGCTGCTTTGGCCAAGTTGAACATGCCATCGAGATGGACATCAAGCACTGTAACCCAGGAGGCTTCTTCCATCTTCGCAAGCGTTCGATCGCGTAAGATGCCAGCATTGTTGACGATCACGTCAATACGCCCAAATGCCTCAATCGCCTTGGCTACGATTTTACCGCCATCAGTCGCCGATCCTACGTGCGCAACAGCCTTGCCGCCCTGAGCACGAATTTCATCCACCACGATCTCGGCGCCCTTGAGATCATTGACCACAACCGCAGCGCCTAGCTTGGCAAACAGGCGGGCGTGAGCACGTCCGAGACTAGATTGAGGCATCAGTTTTAGTCCATAAAGTCAGGTGTGGCTCAAACAACGAACTTACCCGCCTCCAGCTCCAGTCACAACCACCACTTGGTCATCGAAGCCGACATGTTGTCCGGATTTGTTGGGCCCGAGGTTAGGAAGGTTTGCAAGTACATCTGAAGGATCGACAGGGCCCGACGAATAAGACGGTTTGGACAAATCCACAATATCATTCCACTTTTGCCTAACTGACGACGGGTTAAAAGTCGTGTCCGGCTTGAGCAAAGCTCCAGCCGACCGAGCCCATCGGGCTGCCGTGACTTTGCTCCCTGATACCTCAAAAAGTGTTCCAGATTCAGATTCGTTTTTGGACAGGCCGAGGATAGAGATGGTGTTGACAAGGGCATGGAGCGATGGTATCTCAAATGGTCCTTGTCTACGTTCGTGGGCATATAGGAGGTTAGGTGCTAGGATATCTGTCAGAGTGTGTACATCTTTTCGAACACAAATAGCCACACAACAAGGCTGAAGAAACAGGAGCACACACGTGAATCCGTCACTAAACATGTCGAGATGTTGTACTTCTTTCCTTCAAGTGCCGACGTCTTGGTCAATCCCAATAGAGCGAACTTGAGAGCTATTCGACACGTAAGCCCAGCTAGAAAATAATGATTGGATCCGGATTGGCTAGATGCCCACCACTGTAATATGCGTTTCCACCATCGCTCCGAGAGCAGACATGAAGAATTTTACCAAAGTTTTGCTCGCGGAAATGAGGCCAGACTACTTGAGAAGCCTACAAATGCAGAATCTTAGCAATCTATCTCCGGTAGCACCGCAATCAGAACATCGTACCTTATATGCTGCTTTCAAGGGTCCTTGGACGGAGGATTGCCACTTCTCTCCCGCACTATCGTCAGTGATAGAGGCTGGAGCCACATCCACAAGATTAACGAGGACTTGAACTGTGCCGAACTCACTGACGGCCGCTTCGATAAGGGAAGAATCGGTGGCGAGAGTGGTGAACCGTGCGAGGAGTTTTCCTTGGGGAGGAAGTGGAGATACATTCTGAACGCCACCAGTGACATTCGCGACCACATTCGCGCCTTGTGAGAGAAAGAGCTTGAGCAGTGCGTGTCCTAAGTCGTTCTGGGCGTTCAATATCACCACGTTTGTACCGGTGAAGTGCAATCGTTCGGCACTGGAGCCTGAGACAGTATGCTTGGAATTCATACTTGTTGTCTTCTCCATTTTCCCAATACTGGCGAGCGTATGTGTCTTCCTACTATGGAAGCTATGTTTTGAATTCATTTTAATGGCTTGTACGGAGATGCGAAGCCAGCTTCGATGATGTCAAGCAGCCGTTCATTTGGTTTCGAACATTCCATCTTTTGGTCAAGCCGCATCGGGTCCGGATGTGACTTGCCCTGGATGCGGAGCCGATGCTGTTCTGGGACCCACAAAAATGACCACTACAGACATCCTGGTTCGGGCAAGATTGACATCAGGTCTCTCGTACGTAGTGCATCCACAGAGTGGTGATATTCAGGAAGATTTATGTCTGTGAACAGCGTGCTTAAGTCGAATAACTCGCTTGATGTGATGGTTCATGGCTCATATTCACCAGCAGGAATCTCCCAATCCTCAATCTTCGACGTAGCCACGACATTCAACCATGAACAAGAATAAACAGCGTGCTGCCTATGTCCTGGGCGTTGGTTTGACAAAGTTTGTCAAGCCACGAGGACTTGTTGACTACACTGAGCTAGGATTCGAAGCAGGCATCAAGGCGCTCCTCGATGCGCACATCACTTACGACGATGTAGAGATGGGCATTGCGAGTTACTGCTATGGCGACAGTGTCAGTGGCCAGCGAGTCTTCTATCAATTCGGCATGACCGAGATTCCGATCCTCAACGTCAACAACAACTGCGCAAGTGGATCGACAGGTATATCCATGGCGCGGGACACCGTCTCTCGTGGTGGTGCAGATTGTGTCTTGGTCGTGGGCTTCGAGAAGATGAAGCCCGGCAGTATAGATCGAAATTTCACCGATCGAGAAGACCCCGTTGGGCGATTCATGGATATGAACTATAAGAGCTGGGGTAAAGGGAAAGCCTCAGGCGCTGTGCAGTTATTCGCCAATGCAGCCCAAGAATATATCATCAAGTATGATACCCCCCTTACCTCTTGAATGCGCATGAAAACTAAAATCAAAATTTCCCCTAGGAATGGCGCAAAGCCGGAAGATTTCGCAGAGATAGCTCGAATCAACCACGCGCATTCCAAGAACAACCCATATGCCCAGTTTCAAAAGGAGTACTCCCTCAACCAGATCCTGACAGGACCGTTGATTCAGGAACCGCTAACCATGACCCAATGCTGTCCAACAAGTGACGGAGGCGCGGCGGCAGTTATTGTGTCCGAGGCCTTTCTCGAGGCGCGACCACATCTTCGAGGTCAAGCCGCCCTCATCGCGGGCCAGGCTTTCCTCACTGATGCGCCGTCCGCATTTGACGGCTCGGCCGCAGGGCTGGTAGGTGCCGGCCTTGCCAGGGCGGCCGTCAAAGAGGCTTTGAGACAGGCCAATGCCACGATTGCGGATGTACAGGTCGTCGAGCTCCACGACTGTTTCTCTTCCGCGGAGATGATTGCACTAGATAACCTCGGTTTGTCGGAGCCTGGCAAGGCCCACGAACTAGTCCGCAATAAAGACATCACCTACGGCGGCCGCTTCGTCGTGAATCCCTCAGGTGGTCTGTTGTCCAAAGGGCACCCTCTAGGCGCGACGGGTCTCGCACAATGTGCTGAGTTGGTGTGGCAGCTTCGTGGGTGGGCGAATAATAGACTGGTTCCACATGTCAACCTCGCCCTCGCGCATAATGCAGGTCTCGGTAGCGCCGGATTCGTGACCCTGTATAAGCGGGCGGACGGGCAAGAGAACCACCCAGTGGAAAGCGAAGAGGTAGCGGAGATCACGGGATTGGCCTACAACCCTGCAGTCCATGCGAAGGGTTTCTCCAGAGAGCAAGCAGAAAGTGTGCGCTCCAAACGTCGCAGCGAGTGGGCGCTCGGACGCACCTTGGACAAAGTGTCAGCGAAGTTTTAGCACCACAATCAAGAGTTGCGTGAAAGCAAGTATTCCGACCCTGCGATAAAAAAAAATAGCTGCACCTTGTCAAATATGTTAGAATTGGCCCTGGCTTGGTAAAGCAGATAGTATATTCATGTGTCTAGAAGCCTCGGGACTAGATCACAATTGCCAACGAACATCAGACGGTGCCCGTCGCATATCCTCTTTGACAAGCTCGGCTCCTTTTTCTGCAGCGGCATAAACACTTGCCAGTATATTCCCACTGAGGTTATTGGGGAAGACGCTCGCATCAATCACACGAAGTCTCTCGGCGCGTTTGACCCGCAGACGCGCGTCAACCACTTGTGAAATGGAACAAGTACCCTGAGCATGATACTCACCAACACAATTCTCCCTGACAAAATCCCGGAGAGACGTGGAACTGACACGGTGTCCGGTAATGGGCAAGGTGCGCCGGGCGACCTTTCCATTTTCGACCAGTGAGTCGCTCAACTTCATGGCGAACGCGACGCCGGCTGCAAGGGCTTTGGCGTCTGCCGGATGGCTCAGATCTGTGAGCGTAATTAGCTGCAAGACATCCTACCATGAGGTTGAACCTGCACTTACACCCCGGGTCAATCTGTGGCTGCTTCAAGGGGTCTGAGCTAGTGATGTGCACAGACCCACGAGACGCGGGATACTGAAGGGCTACCGCAATGGAGACGTTGTCGTGATCTTCAGGGAGGACCTTGCCAAAGAGCTTAGATTGATCTCCGACTCCCTCTTTAAAGTTCATGCGTCCAGGGATCAGCATGAACTGGACATTTGCCGAAGTCGGGGATTGAAGCTGGTCAATCACTTGAGCCAGTTGCTTCTTGTGAAAGTCAGTCCTGCCTTTAGTGTTTTTGATCTGCTCAATCGTTTCTTGAAGTTCATCACCGCTGACGAGAGACTTCAGAGGTAGGAAGCCCATGCAACTAGGCCCGCAAGATAGAGGACCGTCCTTGGTGGCCATATACTGCTTTTGGAATTCGAGGACTTCTGGCGATGTTGGTAACGAATCCATTGAGGAATGCCCCTGATTGAGTTCGACACATATTGCGCTGATTACATGGTCCTGGAAATTTGCTCCAACTTCAGGGTTCGCAATCAAACACTCTACACCCGCTGCTTGAAGGATATCTGGGTCACCGATCCCAGAGAGTTCCAGCAACTGAGGGGATCCGATAGCCCCAGCAGAGACGATGACTTCTTTACCAGCCCGAATATCGTATTCCTGCCCCTCGTGGGTGACCTTAACGCCAATAGCCACATTGTGGTCGAGGATGACCTTTGAGACAGTGGCATTACACAAGACCTTCAGGTTCGGCCGTGTCAATGAGGGCGCCAAGTAGGCGCTTCCACTGTAGCTTCTAGTGCCCTTTCTTTGTGTGCGATCGATCACGCTGAGCGTAGGGAAGATTCCTATATGTTCTCCCGACCACGCGTCCCTGGGCCTAGCAGTTCTCCCTGTGATGGTGTGGAATGCTTCAATCACGTCATCCTCAATTGGAAATCGCCAACTATTAAAGCTGGTGTGGATGGGCCCGGTAGTTCCATGATAGAGTGGAATAATGGCTTTCGCATTTTCGTCATTCGCTGGAGGAGCGTCGAGCTGTTGTGATTTTTTGAAGAATGGTAGGAGCTTTGAAAATGACCAGTCCGGGGCGTTGAAGGCGGCCCAGTCATTGTAATCAGATTGGTGACCTGAACAAAGTCAGTACCTATTTGAAGCATGCCCAAATGCAAAGGCAAGGTTTGTAATGCAGACCTCGCACGTAGACCATGAAATTGGTTGCGCTCGAGCCTCCGAGGGTCTTTCCTCGTGGAAAAGAATGTTTCATGTCTCGAGTGCCATGCTGCCGCCAAAGTCAGCAAAATGATCTTGAATCTTGATAATTTGATTCACACCTGAGCGCTTGTCGTGTACATCCAATCGTACTGGGTGGTTGTCAAGAGTGCAGGGAACAACAGTGGAGTCAGAACATTGGGGTCTCCGAGGGAGTTCCCTCCTGCTTCAACAAGTCCGACGGTGACGTCCGGCAGCTCGCTCAAACGAGCTGCAAGAACTGATCCAGCGGTTCCACCACCGCAGATGATATAGTCATAAGTGTTTTGAACGAACTCGTTCACGGTACAAACGTTCTCTGTCATAGTGGACGAATAGTTTTTGAAGCAGCTGTTCAACAGACATCTCTAGTGTAAGGGAACAAGCCTGTCTCTTATCCACACTGGAAGGCTATGTACCCCAGAGAAAGTCTCCGCAAGATGAGAATTGTGGTAGCCAAGTGACGGGCGGTGACAATGCCCAGTGTGCACAACAACTGGACGATCAGCCCACTGTACCAACTCACGTATCACAGAGTTGCGGAAAGAAAATGGCTCCATTGCCATACGAGTACGGCTTGGTGCCATACTCCTACCACTAGGATGGTGTGTTGATTAGTGGGCGAAGCGAAATGCCCAACGCCACGGTCTTGATTTGCGGCTCTGGCGGAGCCGATCGGTCGCGAGATGCGGTCCCCATAGCACGTGACTGACCGACCAGCTTTCCAACGCTGCGAATAAGAGCTTGCTTCCCCAAAAGGAGGAGTCCGGGGGTGGCTTTTCAAGGTTCCTAATTGAATAGTCCACGGCTTCTGATTGGCTCCATTCTAACAATCACACGAGCAATGACTTTACCACACTTGAAGAATAAGCTCTTCATCAATAATGAGGTGAGTCTTGCAGTTTTCAGGCGGAATTGTCCAGCATATCGCCCTTCATCGCCATCGAGCGCCCTGAGCCACAGTCACCAGGGTATCGTCCTATATGTCGGCTCGTAGAATGGTGCTGACCAGTTTCTAGTATGTTGCCTCCAGATCGGGCGAGGTCCTAACGGTTCGAAGTCCTCGAGATGAGAGCATTTTGGCGGAAGATATTCCTCGCGCCGGTAAGCTGGACGTAGATGATGCAGTGCAGGCGGCACAAGCAGCCTTCAAAACTAGCTGGGGGATCATTTCCGGAAACGAACGAGCAAAGATAATGCTCAAATTCGCGGACATCTTGGAGGAAAACGCGGCTCTACTGGCCGGACTTGAAATGATGGCAATGGGCCAGCCGATCAGCGTTGCATTGGAGCTAGCCAAGATGGCGCCAGCCATGTTCCGCCACTATGCAGGGTATTGCGACAAAATATATGGCGAAGTGCTTCCAGAAGACGGCAACGAACAGTATAGTTTGGTACAATATCAACCCATAGGAGTTTGCGCTGGTATCGCGGCTTGGAATGCGACACTGGTGTTCTTTGCCGTCAAAGTCGCTCCTGCTCTGGCAGCAGGGAATACTTTTATCTTCAAGCCATCTGAGAAATCCCCATTAGCAGCCCTTGCCTTAGGAGATCTGATTGCGTGCGCCGGGTTTCCCCCGGGCGCCATCAATATCGTGACCGGCAGCGGGGAGACAGGATCACTCTTAGCATCGCATATGCTCATTCGCAAAATAAGCTTCACTGGATCTCTTGCTGCGGGACGAAAGGTGCAGCAGGCTGCTACTGCGAGCAATTTGAAAAGTGTCACTTTGGAATTGGGCGGTAAATCTCCTTCCATCATATTTGGTAAGTCTTAAATCCGGTTCCGTTGCCATGTGCTCACCCACCGTCAACCACTAGAGGACGCCGACATGGAGAACGCTGTGAACCATTCATCTTCGAGCTTTCTGTTGAACTCCGGGCAGATTTGCATAGCAGCCTCTCGAATCCTGGTCCACCAGAAGATTGCAGAGGCCTTCACATCGCATCTTCAGGCACGGTTTGAAGCACTGGCTCACGCTATGGGAGACCCAGAGTCTCCAGAGACGTTCCTTGGGCCCCTGGCTGATCGCGCCCAGACTGAAAGCGTGTTGGAATTCTTCAGTCAAGGTCGGAAAGATGGCGTGCAATTTCTCATCGGAGGAACCAAGCACGAGAAAGGAGGAAATTATGTCCAGCCTACCATTATGGTCGGCGGGCGGTTGGATTCAGTCACTTGGACGAAGGAGATTTTTGGACCGGCACTCTCAATAAGGACGTTTGAAACCGAGGAAGAAGCTATTCAGCTAGCCAATGACACCAGCTTTGGTCTGTCGGCATGTGTGTACACGAGCGACATTGCGCGTGCCCTGAGGGTTAGTGGGTTGATCGAGGCTGGAAATATAGCCATCAACTCAGCTTATCGTCCGGGACACACCGTCCCGTTTGGTGGTTGGAAAGAGAGTGGGAATGGTGCCAGAGAAGGCGGCCTGGCCGGTTTGAAGAGTTACATGGAGACTAAATCTATCCTCATCAATATGAAGGTTGGGCGCAGATGAGATATTCGTGGTGATGTATTGGTCATGCGAAAGTAAATGATCGCTCCGACGGGGCGCATGAGATGATACCAGACTCGTAGACTATGCAATAACAATTTTGACAGTGTTGAGAGGACTTGTTTGAGGCCAGAGGATGGCTTTCAAAGGCACAGTCTGTGTGGGTTCGAATGACGGGCGGATGCCGAGGTACACCCAGACTGGGCAAGGCCGTCATTGCGTCCCTTAGGTAGGTACCTAAGTTAAGTTAGGTAGTTAGGGAGGTAAATACCTACAAAGTAGGTGCTTAGGTATCTTCTGAGGTCCCTTCTTGGCTGGGGATAACTGGGCCTGGGTGGGCTGTTAGGCCCCTGGCGCCATTGGCAATTCTAACTCCCTAGGGTAGGTAGGTGACTTCTCCGCATTACGGCTTTAAGTGTTGCCTCTTTCCCAGACTTACCCCATCTTCTCGTTCCTACCCCCCCCCCCCCCCCCCCCCCCCCTCTATACCAACCCCCCCCCCAAATGCCCCCCCCCCCGGCTCTCGCCCCCCTTTTCTTGGATCCGTGGG